ACTTCTGTGGACCCCTGCACGAAGGGTCCACTATCCCTGTGATGCATGGGGGATCTGATTGTCGGTGGGCTGATTCACGTATGGATGTTTGTTCGATATTTCTTGACTTTGGACCGGTGGAGATCCTGTTGATAGTGTTCTCGTGCTTTAGTCGTGACGAAAATCTGCATTCATATCGAGTTGAGAGGATTTGTTGATTAGTACAAGCGCAATCTTCTGGTGAAGTTGTGAACATGGGAGACATAGGTACTGGATATGAAGGATTGCACGGCACAACCACAATGCCCGACACAAATGGGACCACTGTGCCTGTGTTCGATTACTCCGAATCAGCGGTGGACGGGCCATATCGAGTGCTCCAGCAGTACCATTCGAAACCCAGAAAGCTGAGGGTGGCATGTGTGGGAGCCGGGGCGTCAGGCCTGTGCCTGGCATACAAGATGGAAAGAATGCTCGTCAAGGGATCTTGGGAGTTGACTCTGTTCGACAAGAATGCGCATTTTGGCGGAACTTGGTACGAAAACACCTACCCTGGAGTTGCGTGCGATATTCCATCGCACTTGTATACGTTCACCTTCGATCCAAACCCAGACTGGAGTCAGTTCTTTGCGTCTGGCGCGGAGATTCAACAGTATTTTGAGAACTTTGCAAAACGACACGGGTCCGAAAGGTACATGAAACTCAATACCAAGGTTGTAAAGGCCGAGTGGAACACTCAGAAAGCTGTCTGGGGCATTACTCTGCAGGACAGTCGAACCGGAGAGCAATGGTCTGACTGGGCTCATTGCTTGGTCAACGGTGCAGGTATGTCTGATTCAAGACCTGAAAGGGTGCTGCGAAATTGGAACGCATGCTAATCTTCGACAGGCATTTTGAACAGCTGGAAATGGCCAGATATCGAGGGACTCCATGATTTCCACGGCCCGGTAATGCACTCGGCAGCATGGAACCATGATGTTGATTTTACTGGCAAGACCGTTGCTGTTATCGGGACAGGGTCTACGAGTGTTCAAATCGTGCCTCAACTACAAAAGATTTGTAAAGAGGTTCAGGTCTACATGAGGAGCCCAACCTGGATCAGCCCGCCTTTCGGATCGGGCGCCCTCGCGTCCGTCAAGGGGAAAGAGGAAAACCTTGCCCAGCGACAGTACGATTTCACTGAAGAGGACAGACGACGGTTCCGCGAAGATCCCGAATACCACCTGTTCTTCCGTAAGAAGATCGAAGCGGAAATCAACGGCCTATTTGGAATGTATCATCAAGGGTCTGAGCTATCCCACACATTTCGTGAAGTAATTACAACCGAAATGAATCGACGATTAGGACCCGGTAATGACGAGCTCAAATCCTTCATCATCCCCAAATGGTCACCAGGATGCCGACGTATTTCTCCCGGCGACGGATATCTCGAAGCTCTAGTCCAGCCGAACGTTCAAACCGTCTTTAGCGATATCGTGAAGGTGACACCAAATGGGATCGTGACAAAGGACGGAGTGGAGCACAAGATGGATATTCTGGTGTGTGCAACGGGATTCAAAGTGGCCTTTAAGCCTAACTTCGAGCTCGTAAACGGCCAGGGCAAGTCTCTTAATCAGGACTGGGGAGACGGTGTCAATTTATATTTCGGAGTGTCTGCTCCAAGGTTTGTGTTTTCCCATCCAAGGGATCTGTGGTCGTCACTCTTGCTGATCAACTTTCGATCGATAGGTTCCCCAACTACTACACCATTGTTGGTCCTGGTGCGACATGGTCAAACGGCACACTGCTCCCAAGCATCGAAACGACGATTGAATACTCGGTTAAAATGATGAGGAAGATCCAACACGAGGCCATTGAGTCAATGGCAGTCAAGCAGGAAGCGCTCGACGACATTTATGCCCATTTCGACGAGTTCCACAAGACAACTGTTTGGCAGGAAGAATGCAGAAGTTGGTTCAAGGATGGAAAGATCAAGAATAGGATATATCTGTGGCCAGGCTCAGTAAGTGGCGCCATTTGTTCCCTGAGTTTGCATCTCTTTTACTGACATAAGGGCTATCCAGACCATTCATTTCCTCAAGACTATCAAAGACCCTAGATTCGAAGATTATGAAATCGAATATACGTACCAAAACCGGTTCGCTTATCTTGGGAACGGAGACGTGAGAGCAACAAAGAGCAAAGATGTTCTGGGTCTATCGACCTACGTGAGATCGCATGATCACGAATGGTCGGTTGACTGAGACCATCGAGTCACGGCGAAGAAACGAATAGCTAGCCTTGAAAAGGGGGTAGGCTTGTCTCCACTCGTCAATGCGCAATGCGTTCAATGTGCAGATTTATGTAGCTAAAGGGGAAGAAATTGTCCTTGATTGTCCTTACAGAAAGAATACCATAGAAGAAGCTTTGAAGTGAAATCCTCCGAGCTATGTGACCCACAAGTATCTAACTCTCGCTCCAGTCTCTTACGGAACAACTTACATATGACTCGATACTCCGTATCTAGGCTCTGAAAGCCCCTGGGAGCTGGCCGCAAGCTTAGTGGAGTAAACACATACAGCAGCCTTTTCTTTGCGGATAACATTTCCCGATGGTTGGGGATGACGTGGGACCCATTTTTGGATGCCTTTCAGAGGCATACCACTTGGCCCCTATGGCCTTCAAAAGCAGGGTCTAAGGAATCAAGACACACAAACATCCCTGGAGGTACCTCAAAAGTAGGAGATTGACCAGCCAGACTTTCGAAAACAAATCAGGTCTCCACTTGAATATCTCCTCCGACAGGAAAAATGCACGCTTTGGTCTTTGGAGCATCAGGTATTACGGGATGGTCAATTGTCAATGAGATTCTCAAAGGGTATCCAACGGCGTCAACATTCGACAAAGTCACGGCCTTGACGAGTCGGCATTTGTCGTTTAAGGCTTCTCAATGGCCACAATCGCCGAAGTTGCAGATGGCGTCTGGTCTTGATATCCTCGCCGGAGATCAGAGTGCGCTCGAAGCCAGCCTTGCTGAGAAGGTAGACGGGATCGGAAACGTCACCCACGTCTACTTCTTCGCGTATATCGCGGACGCAGACCCAGACAGGGAGGTGTCGATCAATGCTTCTCTGCTGCAGCGGGCCATCGTGGCAGTCGACAAACTCTCGAAGTCTTTGAAGTTTGTTGTCGTGCCGACAGGAACAAAGGTGAGGTCGGAGCCCCGTCACTGAACGTCCTGTGAGCCTCTGGTTTCGAGATTGTGTCATTGTGTAGTTCCAGTCCGAGGAGAGTAGCGATTGACTCGAGAGGTGTTATATCTAGGCTTATGGAATCCACCTGCTCGACCGATTCCCTTTCAAGGATCGCCTTCCACTGGTTGAAACTCTCCCAAGGATCCCAGAGCCCGATGCGTCACGCATGTTCTACTACAAGCTCATCGACATGATGAGGGCCCTCTCAAAGGACAGACCGTGGTCGTTCGTCGACGTGATCCCCGACAACATAATCGGCTTCGTGCCCAACAACAACATGTACTGTATGGCGCAGTCTCTCGGCCTGTACCTGAGCCTGTACCACGAGATCGAAGGCCACGGTGCACAAGTGGTGTTCCCCGGTACGATGGAGAGCTGGAAGGCCAAAATCAACGACAGCAGCCAGGACATCGTGGCAAGGTTTTCCATCTATGCGAGCTTACACCCCGAAACAGCCGCAGGGGAATCCGTCAATGTCGCAGACAACACGACGCCGACGTCGTGGTCGCAGAAATGGCCGGTCATCTGCGAATATTTCGGTTTGAGGGGCGTCGCACCGGAAAAGGGCTCTGGACCGGATCCGGAGAAGTACCTCACGACAAACATGGACCGGTGGGTGGAGATGGAGAAGAAGTACGGTTTGCAGACGGGGAGAGTCACGCAAGCGACGAATTTTGTGGGATTTCCGCACTTCATCATGGTGTTGTTCAATTTTGACCGACACCTGGACTTGGATAAGATGCACAGAATCTGGGGCAGCGAGAAGGAGGAATGGGACGTGAAGACGTCGTGGTGGACAGCATTGGATCGATTCAAAAAGGCGAAGATCATCCCGGATTTTTCATGAGAGAGCAGTATCTTGTCCACCTGATGCTCATCAAGAGCAAGGGTGACGGACGTGGTAAACCTCAAAGGTATAAATCTCATGGGAACGAACCCGTTTCCCGCTAAAGCCACGACAGATTGGTCGGACTCAGAGGTTAGCCAGTTCATGCTGGAGGCGCGAAGGACCCACGTTTGTGGTAAGGTGAGAACGATTCCATGGAAGCTAAGTTACAGTACAATGCGAAGAACCAGTGGGAAAGCTCGCGTCGGCAAAGACTATGTTACTGTTGTTGAGCTTGGTAAAAGTTCGGGCGGCTCGGTAAACCAAGAACGTAAAGTGACAAGGATCGAGCAGTTTCCTCAGTGATTTGCAAGACGATCCCGAATCAAGATAAGTTGACGCTTTGAGGCCTTGAATCAAGAGGTAGAGTATTGGTCAGGTATCCAACTGAAGCCCCGGATCTTCCTTTCCAATAAGCACCCTATCCAAGGCCTGACAAAACCTGTCTGGCAGTGCATCACCAAAGCTATGGCAAAACCGAATCTGCAGGTTCCGACTCAGCCTTCAAGACTGATCGATCATCCTGTTTCTGCTGATTCGCAAGGCCCCGACCGTGCTTCGCCTATTCAGTCTTAACAGGACCGCTCGAACTGTGTCGGTGTTTGTGAATGTACTCGTAGCGTCCCGATAGGATTGGTATGAGCAAGGGCGGCATCATCCATTTTCCCGATCAGGTTTCCCATGCCTTGGCAAAGCATCTAGAGCGGCTGCGGCTGCGGGACGTCAGTGAATCAAAGTGGCCTCAGATCATCGCAGGTTCATTCATCAGACAGCTTTTGCACGAACATTCAATTCAATCTGGTCTCCTCTTACCGTTGTTTAATCTATAGAATGCAGGATCCTCGCTGATTACACTTGTACCCATCTGTCTTTTGTCGAGCTGTAATTCTTCACCCATAATCATGGCGTCCGCGTTGTTCTTTCTGGATCTGAAGGGCAAGGTAATGTGAACAGCGCACTCACAAGGGCATCTGCTGAATCTTACAGACCCTCCTTGCGCGAAACTACCGTGGCGATGTGCCCATGTCAGCGGTTGAGAAGTTCCCTGTCCTGCTCTCCGAAGCCGAGGAAGAGTCTTCTGCAGTTCCCCCTTGCTTCTCGGACGAGGGGATCAATGTAAGTCGCATGTGCTTTTACACTGGGACCCTGGACGCTGAGCATTTCATAGTATCTCTATATCCGCCACTCCAACCTTTATCTTCTTGCCTTGACGAAACGCAACACAAATGCCGCCGAGATCCTCCTGTTCCTCCACAAAATCGTGGAAGTCTTTACAGAGTATTTCAAAGAACTGGAGGAGGAATCAATACGAGACAACTTTGTGATCATCTATGAGTTGTTGGATGAGATGATGGACTTTGGATACCCTCAGACGACCGAATCGAAGATCCTTCAGGAGTACATCACCCAAGAATCGCACAAACTCGAAGTTCAAGCCCGACCGCCTATTGCCGTCACCAATGCTGTATCATGGAGAAGTGAAGGCATCAGATACCGTAAAAACGAAGTCTTTCTGGACGTCATTGAATCCCTCAATCTGTTGGTGTCTTCCACGGGCAGCGTTCTCCGATCCGAGATATTGGGTGCCATCAAAATGAAATGTTATCTTTCAGGTATGCCTGAACTTCGGTTGGGTTTGAACGACAAGGCTATGTTTGAATCAACAGGAAGGGCAACACGTGGTAAGGCCGTCGAGATGGAGGATGTCAAGTTTCACCAATGTGTCAGGCTATCAAGATTCGAGAATGACCGGACCATCAGCTTTATACCACCGGACGGAGAATTTGAGCTTATGAGCTATCGTCTCAACACCGCGGTGAAGCCTTTGATATGGGTCGAGTGTGTTGTCGAGTCACATTCTGGGTCCAGGATCGAATATATGCTCAAGGCCAGAGCACAGTTCAAACGGCGGTCGACAGCCAACAATGTCGAAATCATCATACCCGTGCCCGACGATGCGGACTCACCGAGATTCCGGACAAATATCGGTTCAGTGCACTACGCTCCCGAGAAGTCCGCCATTGTCTGGAAGATCAAACAATTTGGCGGGGGAAAGGAGTTCTTGATGCGAGCGGAGCTAGGACTCCCTAGTGTCAAGGGCGATGATGAGCGCGGTGGTGGGATGACCGGCGGATTTGGTGGTAGTATGGGAGGCATAACAGGCGAAGGCAAAGCGAAAAGACCTATCAATGTCAAATTCGAAATTCCTTATTTCACGACCAGCGGAATTCAGGTGAGATATTTGAAAATCATCGAACCAAAGGTTTGTCATATCTGATCAGGGCAAGATGACGTTTGCTAATTGGCCACAGTTGCAATATCCCTCGTTACCCTGGGTCAGATATATCACTCAGTCCGGCGATATTGCGGTTCGATTACCTGACGTACAAGGTTGAGCCTCACTTGCGTGCCTCGCTCTTCTCATGGGCTCTTGATCACCTCTACACTGTCCGCATGCTGTGTGGGTTGTGGCCCCTGAAGCAGCGTCCCGATGTCACCCCCTAGTGATCCCCCGAATACTGATTTTGACGGTGAATGGGATCTTACCGGCAGACACTGGAGGGGCGTTTCTTCTCCTGCACGCATGTTCCACCTTCGGAACATCTAAAGCGTGGAAGACCCAGCCGGCATCTTCAGAACGTTTGCGCCACAGAACAACCTGCGATGGACCTTGTCAATATACAACTGTCACACGTCATTGGACAGTGGTGTATCATGATGGATTATGCTATTGAAACATAGAAATTGGACCTTGGTGACATACTACGGAGTCACAGGCGAGCATATTACCTAGCTCCCCGGAATGAAGCAACCGTTTCACCTGTTACCCGATTTCGTGTGCAATGAACACGGTGTGTCGGCGGAGCATTCAATTGGCTTTGATGGGCGAAGGCACTGCCCCGAGACACATATCTTCTGTAGCCAGCGAGCCCAGTGTCGTGCCCTGAGATACACACGAGCACAAGACAAGAGGAAGACTAGTATTGCGAAGCTCGATCTTTCAATCAAAAATCACTTGAGATCATGAGACATCAGATGATTGTCGGTCCGCGCTGTCACAGTCTGCGTGCGACCAAGGATCACTGTGTGGAGGCTTTACCGACATTGCACGACATGTAACTGGTCGAGTGACTTGTGGTGACTCATGAAGCCTGTGAACTAGGATGTTCTTGCCAATCGAGACCAAAGCCACCGCAGTGATGGAGTAGAGGACATGCGGGTCGTAGGTTGGGACGCTATCGTTGTCGACAATGACTTTGACAGGCAGAACTCTGAAAATCTCATGGAAACAACCACGGGGCTTGCATTAGTCTCGTGTCACTTCAGTTGTACTCCGTACTGATTGCGTCCTCAGATTACTTCCTGACTTCTCACACCCTCAATCATGTTGCCTAAGCTTGACCGCTACCTCCGGGGACTCATTCCGGAGTAATCGGGTCAATAAACTACGTTGATTTCGTTTCAGAAACTAATCTCAGGGTCAACAGTGTCCAGGGACATCCGAGCTTCGCTTCGCCAACTGCTGGAGGACACCATCTATCTATCCTGGTCCTTGCAAGGCGGAGCGGAAGATCTTACCGCTTCAGCCATCTCAGCCATCCGAACTTTACACTACAAGATCGGAATATCAGGATTATTCATGACTCGGTCAGCCAGCCACACTCTCCTTCTGCTTGCTTCCGGCCTCTGACAGCATTCTATCTCCAAACATCGAAACCCAAAATGGTGACGACGATGCACATCCCCCAACCTAATCTACACCGAACTCGAAGCCTCATATTCCTGACCCCTGCTGCAGGTTGCCTTCTCAACTCTGACGGGAATGTTCCCGTCGCTATTTTCATTCTCAGCCCGACCAAAATCATCAGATGGTCGAATCACCAGGCATTCTCGCATCGGGGACGAGGGATCCTCCTGTGATGGCTCGGGCCTCTTGAGCGCCTGGAATGGGACTTTTTAAGCCACAACTGCAGCCTCATCGCTTCAAAGGGCCAATGGTCGAGCTCTTGCTCTTCACCGTCATTTCGAAAGCGACTAATTCGGTCATCATCATCATCCCCCGCAGCAAGAAAATGTGATCTCGAAAGGGCCGGAACGAGGTGGCTTTTGCCAACAATCAAGCCAAGCAGAGCTATGCTTCTGCGTCATTGGCTCCCAATAGTTTGGTATAGATTGCCATTGGCCCTGGTGAAGACAATTCGCGTGCCGTTTGTCTAAGCTGCAGTACCGAGAAGCACCATCTGCGAACCCTTGTCGTTGGGAAGTGGGAGGCTCCATGTGCGGCGCATCCAACATTACGGCCCCTATCTGCGAGGGTGCCTATATCCATCATGATCGCCTTTCGCCAAAGGTCGAGTTTCGTTTACTGACCATCTACTTTGAGATCACTTTTGAGGAAGACTACATGAGGCTTTCTTCATCGCTTTGTCTACGACGACTGCCCTTTTCCATCTTTGGATCTCTCTCCCGCCCAGTATGAATAGCAAAACAGACATTCCGGCCCCAGCTAGTGACAATGTGGATGGACTACGTAAGTCCAGAAATTCTCCCGCATGTAACAGCTGCAGAAACTCCAAAGTCAAGGTAAGTGTTGTCCGACTTTCATCCGCAAAAGCCGCTGCTCTAGAATCTGGTCTTGTTCTGATGCTCGGGAACCAGTGCTCGGGAACGATGCCCTGCGCGTCGTGTGTTTCGTCTGGAGAGCATTGTGTTTATAACGGAACATCGTATCGCAGAAGAACGACTGCATTGAGCCGCAAGGTGGACGAGCTCAGTCTCTACAAATGGGCCTTCGAAGGTCTCTTGATTTCCCTTCGAAACTCTCGAGATCATAACTTCATTAGAGTCCTTGAACAGATATATGATGAATCTTCCATGCAGGATCTAACGATTACGATCTCCTCCTCCCTTGCAACGACAGAAGTTCCCGAAGCCATTCAGAGCATGGTAGCGGACGTCAAATCGGAGCTCGAGGATGTCATACATAGAAATGCCAAACAGGAAGGCCGTCGCCCAAAGGGGTCTATCAGAAAACGCAGATCTATCAGAGTCCGGGAAATCTCTGGTGGACCCTCCAACCATCCATCTTCTTTCCCTGGAGGTTTAGAGTCCTGTAGTCCGATGCAGCGGATCAAGCACGAAGTTGGAAGTCCTCGGATTCCAGAAGCAACTGCTCCTGGGAATTTGGTGCTCGACATATCGAGCGAGCATGAAGCAAGGACTCTACAGCAAGGTCAAATGAGAGCGGCTTCTGGCTTAGGCCTCGGCGAAGTCATAAGATACTTGAATGAGTTTCAGAATCCCAGGATAGACCAGAGCGTCGATGGAAGGCCATGTGACCTCAATGATGGTATGTTGCTTTCAGACAGTGCATCACCATCCGCTCATCAAAGTCAGGTCGGGCGGTGGACTCGAGGCTGGGTACTCAAGCATTGTTTTCTTTTGTTTCAAAGGAATCTTTTGACAAGGTAACCGTCTCTATCCTTGATTTGAATAGGACTGATCGTGTAGGATCGTGTCACTTTCTCTGCCGATGACTGCTCGCACCATGAAGCCCGCAGGAGGTCACACCCCCCGATGACCGTGGCACCGCCAAGGACGGCGCCATTCACGCATGCTCCAGTCGAGGACCAGAGCACATACCCGTCCCTTTCCAGGGATGCTGCAGAACCGCAACTGCTTTCCAGTGCCTCGTCAACCTTCAATGATTGTCATGACATGTCCCCGAGCGTCCACAGCAGACGCCATCGATGGACTGATATTCCGCCATCAGTCTCTTGGCCAGCATCGTCCATGGCATTGCCTCGATTGGAACCCAATGCCAGGCCAATGGCGAAAGCCATCACGGATTACCTGAAACTTGCTCGCAATTTGTTGTCTCAAGGGTGTCCGGTGGATGACATCTTGGGTCCGGAAAGACCCTATGTCGATCTACTCTTTCGACGTCGGCGCCAATCCGACTCACATTCTGCTTGTCATTTTGCTGCGGAACTCTGTACAATGCTTGAAGAAATGGAATGGGCTTCCCGGCTGGCTCTCTCGGTCATGTTTACATTCTTGATCAGGGTTTGTGGCGTTTCGAAACCATCGTGGTGCACGGGCTAAACTTCTACATAGTGGATGATTTCACCATCAGAGGAAAACTACTTGAAAATCCCACAGCTGTACCGGCCAACATCTGCTCAAATCAACATACCACACAGCGCCGACATTGAACTGTGTCCAATTCCGCACCTGCGGGAGGCACTTTGCCACAGGAATTGGTACTTTTTTCCGGCACTGGTAAGCACCACCACTTGCAATTGGCCGAATCCGTCCATGGATTCCTGCACCGAGTGGGTCTACGAAGACGACGCCCATTCCGTTCTCACGGCAGATTTTATCATGCATGCCATGCACTTGCAAAATTGGACGGTTGGTCCGGGGATAATTGACATGTCTCCAGAGATTCAAGGTACTTTTGGGACAGAGGGTTAAGTAGGTATTAAATGTGAGGTTGGTTGGGCCGTTTGTGGTTGGGTTTACGTGAACGAGATACTTATACACAGATGGCGTCCTGCAGAAGATCACGAGGGTTTCGGAGAGTTGGTGTTTTGTAGTCTTGATCATGAAATTTGAGAGGAGTCGATGGATGGTTTGTCAAACATGAATGCATAATCCAGGTACAGCTTTGTATCTCGAATGAAGAAAAGGACTCCGTTGTGAGTTTTGGTGTTTTCATTTTTTTTGGCGTCTGGGGAAAATCAAATGACATCATTTTTAAACATTCAAATTCACCTTCTTTTTATTTTTTGAAAATCAATTCCAAGACGCCACTACAGTAGTTGTTCTACAGACTCTCATGAGTGAACACAATATTCCAGACTCACCATAGAACGACATCACTCATAGCAGTTCAGTCTTACGACCATGCCGTCCGCTGCTCCTCCCCTACCCACTCCCACCCCGGACGAACTCGATGACCTGATATATTTTTCGCGGGCCGGCGACCTCGAGTCTCTCAGACAACTCATAACGAATCTTTGCGCGACGCACTCGTGCCCACCTTCAGTGATCCTCGCGTCGGCCATTGACGTTGACGAAGACGGTCTGGGGTCACAGTCGAGTCTGCTCCACTATCCTGCGGCGAACGGCAACCTCGAGGTCGTGAAGTACATACTGGGCTTACTCACGCCCTCGGACGCACTGGGATCGAGCGTCGGCGCGACCACGGCGGACAAGTCAGCGCCAGCGCTCGTGAACCACAAGAACGTGAATGGGAACACGCCGTTGCATTGGGCGGGGATCAATGGCCACCTGGACGTCGTCAAGGCACTCGTGGGAGCGGGTGCGGACCCCGGGATCGTCAATGCCGCGGGGAGAGATGCAGTGTTTGAGAGTGAGATTTCGGCCAAGGAAGGGGCGGCCGAATGTGCCGAGTGGATGTTGAAGGAGTGCGAAGGGTTAGAAAAGGGTGTAGGAGGAGGCCAGGAGGAGGAAGGTGAGGCAGCGCAGGAAGATGTGGAATCGATGAGACCAGAAGAAGAGCCCTCGACGACGACGACGAAAGAGAATGGTACGACGGAGGGAAAGGCGACATGATGACGGATGATCTGGAGAAAAGAAGAGAGAGAGAGAGAGAGACAGAAATCGAAAGAGGCGGCACATGCAACCGCAAGAACTCTCCCGTCGTGGATCAGCCCAACAACACTTGCCAAAGTGTTCAACTTGAGTATTTCCTGGATGAAGATAATTCTCTGGATATCACCAAATACGTCTTTGAAAGTGGACGGAAGGAAGAAGGGCTCTTGCATGTTTTGAGGATGAGCGAGTTACCTCATGTCAGGTTTTTCAACATTGAGGCGCCAGATATGCTGTGAAACAGAAGCGCTTGCCTTCTCACGCACGACCTGGCCAAGGAACCGGAGAATCCAACATCCCACGAGTCAAATAGCAAATGTACATGAAGGCTACATTATGCTTTTTGGCCTCGACCATACCAAAAGAAAAATGGCCAAAAAAGCAGAAATGGTACAGTACACACCGCAAACCACAGTCGGACTCAACACTGCGCTTTTGAATGGGGTTCTTCTGCCCACGATCCGACTCTCTGACCTCCACCACCTCGAACATTGTCACTTGTTTCTCTCTCCCTCCTCTCCTCAGTCATCCCTAACTGGAACACATCGACATTCTTCTCCCTCCTTATCTGACAGACTGCAAGTTATGGTGGGACACAGTTTTCCGGTCTGACGGTCGACGACGCAATATCCATTGTGGCAACGTCCTACCATTTGACGCTTTGATTACCAAGACATAAGAGTCAGTCATGTCATTTTTGGGTTTGGATAGAGCTGCAGTTTTCGTGTTGGGCAAAAGCGGTGATGAGGGAAAAGGAACGAAAAAGGAAGAGAAACGTCTCTGGGCACATGTAACTCGTACAGAGTGACATTTGTCACACATACCTTGTCGATGCTATTACCATCTCGGTTCGGTCTGAGACAAGTCTCTTTTGCCGGTGTTGTATTATCTGCCGGCAGAGGTGAGGTCAGGGATGAAGGGATCAAAAGTACAAAGGTGGCTAGGAAGATTTTGGTGAAGAGCATTCTTTTTGGTAGCTTTCAGAGTGAAAAGAAATGTGTTCGAGAAGACGGTTTGACGGCGGTGTCGGTGTCAGTGTGAAGAGTACGAGGGCCAGTGTGATGAAATGCTCTACGACGGAGTACGGATAAGGGGGTCACTTATAAGCCTATCTACAATCGAGCCATCGTCATGGTCATCGTCAGGTTGTTCTGGATGTCTCTTTTACGAGGTCTCACACACGACGGGCCGTCGAACTCGTTTAGCGAGAGCCAAAAACTACAGTGACTAAATATTCGGTGTAGGGAGGGTTAGGTTTCGCTTTACAAAGCTTTACATTACACCATGATGGTGTCCCGGTTGAAGAGGTTCGGAGTTCGACCCGTAATCCGTGAGCTCATGCGAAGCTGAGCTGAGAGCGAACAGTTACCTAGTTGGTACTCGGTACGGGAGGAAGTCAAAAAAGAAAAAACAATACGAGGAATGCCTGACTCCTTGACTACCTCTGCTCTTTTTCGAGTTCGGATGACCAACAGTTTTTATTTTATTTTTTTGGTTCGAGGCAAGCGATACGAGAGGGGGGAGGTGATACCTTTTAGCTAGCTGGTAGGCTGAAAATTTCATTCGGAATCTCTTTACTCGAACACGAGGATGACCGATGAGGTTGGAAAATGAGTATTGAGCGTACACACCCAAGTCATTCGTATAGACTTACTCTAACCGGGGGGGGGGGGGGGGGGAAGGGCGCCCGGGCTGACTCCGCGATTCTGGATTCGTGCCCAACCATCAGAAATACGAGAATATATACAAAATACGAGACATGTACAGCTGTACAACAACTGGTTCACCTAACCACCTGGCACCTTACCTCAGCTGAGTCTTGTCAAGCCTCCCAATGTTTGTCCAACCCTTCTCGGGTGCAATGTGTCATGGTTCACGGGTCATATGGGCTGTGGGAAACATCATCCCCGACGCACCACAAAAATCAACAGAGTTGAAAAAGGTTCAGGGTTGCTTACGTTGTATAACACAGTATGCGTTTGAGATCTTACACATCTAATCGGTCCATGAGTCGCTCGAACGAGTGCAGACTCAGCCTTGTTATTCGTAGTCGTGCATCTTCACTGGGCACGACTCCAGAAATACCCATTCAAATACCCCCGTCATTACCTGACTCGTACGTATCCCCCCCTTCTACGAATCTTCCTCACCAACCTTCTCTACGCATCATCCTGACCCTGACAGGTTTCACAGGATTCACCGCACCACCTCCGGGTTTTCTCCCAGGATGAACCCACCTTCCGCCGTTTCCGACCGGTACAACGTCCCATTGCATGACGATGGCGGCCACGAACAACAAGACCTCCCTTTCGGCAAACGTCTTGCCCTTGCACATGTGCTTCCCACCTCCCCAGACTCTCATCGTGCCGTAATCGACCTTTGCGTCCGATGACCCTTGGGGGGTTTCCGATTTCTCCTCACCAACGGCGTCCTTGGTCCAGAATCGTCTGGGATCAAACCTCGTCGGGTCTCGGTAGTACTTTTCGTCACTCTGGTGCACGCCATGTGGGATACACACGAACTCGCCCTTTCGCAGGAGGAAACTCTGCGGCTCGCTCTTCCCCAACATCCTGGCATCCTCGTCGGATTCGGTCACGACAAAATCCTCCAGGATCTTCTTGTAACTCATACTGGCCGCCTCGAGTCGCATCGTCTCGAAAAAGGCCCCCTTGAGCAAGGGACACTTCGGCCACAACGCAGCCAAGTCGATGGTCAGGCGGGGGGCCTCTTTTATGGGGAGCCCATTGTCATGGGGAGGAACGAATCGGACATACGGAGCGACCTCACGACGGATCTCCTCCACCAAACACGGGTCGCTGAAAATGTACCACACCATCCAGAAGATGACGGCGTTGGAGTTGATGTTCATGACCCAGACGATCGTCGCGTTGCCCGTTGTCCAGGCACGTCGAGAACTTCCGGCCTTGCGGAACTCGGTCGCGCGCTTGACGATGACGGGACTCACGTCCGACATGTCGGTCCAGCGTGGGCCGGGGTCTTTCCCGTCGAGGTACTTGAACATGGCTTCGTGATGGTCCCCGATGGCCGCGAGGACACGCTCGCGCGCGGCCGCGGCGCGGGTCATGTTGGGGAACCAGCCGGGCAGGCCGGCCAGGAACAGATTGAGCTTCTCGTCCATCTCCCACAGGTCGTGCATGAAGTTGGGGTGGTTCCGGAGAAAGTCACGACCCATGAGGACCGTCGTGGCGATCTCGCCTACAAAGTACCTTAGTAGTTGCCATAGTTCGGCGTCGGCCACGAACGAGCCGCCGTCGCCACTCGTAAAGTCCCGCGAGACAATTTGTACGTCAGCCTCGCGTTCCCATATGGTTTGGTCCACGGGTGATTCGACTCCGGATATCAAGTTGTACGTGTCGGCCTCTAAAGCTTTGACGGTGTCGGCCAGCGCGCTCGCCACAAAGTCCTCTCGCATCAAGGCGTTCAGAGCACCGTGGATGGATCCCCAGACCGCTGTAGGGTCAGTCGCCCGTACCGAACCCCCGTCGGCCCAGAAAGTCTCCATGATGTGGTAGATGAAGGGTTCCATCGTCAGCGGCGCGTCTCTGGATATCAGTTGTTTCTCTATGCCGGGCACCGTGACGACGTGGTGTTTGCTGTTGGCCATCCACAATGTGAAGATTGAGCCATTGGCACCGAGGGACTTTGAAGCTTGCGTCAAAAAGTCGGTGCCGCCTAGAGCGAAGTTGAGGCCGTGACCGAGCCACGGAATCCAGTACGGTAGAAGTGGAGGTGGGCTGGCATTTTGTGTCTGTGATTGTTTGGCGTATGCCGCCTTTGATCTGATGCCCGAGGTGATTCGTGTGATGATGCAAAGGGAGACAAAAGCTATCAGGGCCGAAAAGAAGGGGTGGTTTGTGAGAAACGAGGTGATTGTTTGTCGGAGAATGATGACACGGCTTTGCGGCGTGGAAATCATGGCGCCGAGGTTTCGCGCATCCATCTTGGACTTGTAAAGCTAGCGTTGGAGGGGACAAACTAAGTACTGTGAGACAGGTCCAAAGGTTCTGAAAAGAATGATATGAATCGCTCTCCTATCGAGTTTGTGAAATGCCGGGTCGGTAGCAACTGCCAGGAGGTCAGCTCCGCTCGATTGAAGAGCTAGAGAGGCTCTATATGGCTCAATACAACGATCTTGAAAAATCACAGAAGCTATAGTAGAACTGCGCACAAGCCATGAGATGTTGATAAATCTGTTTGAACGGTGAGAATTGAGGGAGTACAATACAATCGAGGGGAGGTGGAGACTGGAAGCCTTAAGAATGTAATACTCCGTACAGAATGCTCGTTAAATAATCATTAGCCTTGGAGGAACAACAGCCTCGTATTTATTTCTTCGGCCCATCGACTCCCGCATCCTTTGTGGAAGATATATAATAAAGAGAGTCACGGGCGAAATACTGACCAAGATGAAATTCTTGAATCGACATATAAATTCACTTTCACAGACAAGACACAGAAGTGAATTTGCCGGGCAAGCATAGAGTAACCACTTTGATTTCATGAAAACCTGGAACCATCTATTCCACACCATACAGAACATTTGATCGGGGTATATATATCTCATGCATATCATACATTATTGACTGAGAGGAAAAGAAATGGTCCTGTACCCATAGAGACGTTCCACATCATGGCGTCACTTTCACACTAGAACTTGTCTGAAAGCACCTTCTTCAGCTTACCGCTTTCAGTCTCGTACTGCTGGATTTTTATCTGAGAACCCATCACCTTGGCCAGACAGTATTGCGTTCTTGGTTTGATCTCGCTAGGTGTCCCTGGCAATTCGCCCAGAATCTTTAATTCGTTCTCGTACTTTTCGACATTCTTGGTCTCGGTACTGATCAGTTGAGACAGAATGGCCAAGTCAAGTCGTGCTTTGAGAACTTCGTCATCGGTAAGATATTCAAACGCGGACTGATAAACAGGCCTGCCGGGCTTGATGCTATACGGTCGTCCGTTGGTCGAGGTGATCGTGATCAGTTCTGCCTGCTCAAGTGCTTGCAGGACAGCTTCACCATTACTGAAGAGAGGGTCAAGTAGCAGTTCATTATATCGCAGAACCTCATCAGAGGCCAAACGTTTGATGATCAGCCATGCTTGCTGTGGGGTCCATGTGCGGCTGGCGCTGTCGACATCAAGAAGATACATCTTCAAAATCTCCGAGGCAGATTGCTCAATAATTTGACGTACAGCTTCTGTTGGCATTGTTAGACAGGGTCAACTAGGACAAAGCGGGCGGTGCACTTACTTCCTGGGGATTCGCCCGTCTTGATCCTTCGGGCGAGGAATTCCAGATCCGTCAATCGACCACCAAGGATCTGGATGACGCTATCGAGCTCGTCAATGTTACTCTGCATTTGTGTAGACGACATCTTTTCCTCTCCCTCAGCTGACGAAGCTTCATCGCCCTCGGGTTTGAGATGCTGCAGAACGAGTTTCTTTGCCACTTCTGGCGTACAGTCACTGAGGGTGATTTGGCGGAACACCCTGTCAGGTAATGCCTTGCTTAGAGATTTCGAAAACGACACATCTGTCGTTAGGAAGATTACGTGTGCCACATTCTGTGTTGTCAATGTTGCTGCCCACTCACCCAACTTGTCGTACACGATGCTAGACGATCCTTCATTGTTTTTGTGCAAAAAGTTGTCAATCACAACAACAGGTCGGTACTCAGGATGAGCCTCGAGCCACTCATCGTCCGCCATTTGAGCCTCCTTTTCATCCTTCTTATTTCGATGCGATAGCGCAATCTTCTTCAAAGCAGTGGTGGTGTTACCCCATATCTTAGCCAATTGTGTGTCGAGGGTCTCGGAGAATCCAGTCTTGGTTCCGATTGTGCCCATTGCCGCCAAGTCGATCATGCTGCTGATACTGTTCATCCATGAGAATACTGGCCGATAGCCGACTTCGGCGGCCGCAGCAGCAATCGTAGAGCTGTCTCCCCGTGCTTCCTGAATCTTTTTGCAGTCGATGATCAATTTGTTGGGTCGACCCTTTAGGGCTTGGTCCATAACGAGTTCCTTCTTACCGGCTCCACGAGGACCCTGCACCACAATAAAAGTATCGGCGGTCTCGATCATCCATGTCTGCAACTGAGTAATTGCTCCTTGGCGATCTTCCCACACAATCTTCAGATTGTCACCGTCGCCCCCTTGCTTCCGGAGGCGAATATAGTCATACCCTCGGCTGAGCCAACTCTTCGCCCATCTGTAGAGTGGTTGATCCTCCAAGTGCAACCCATGTGTGATATGCATCCGGATGAAAAATGTTCGGATTGGATCAAAGACTGCAACTGACGCCGCTGTCAGTAGTGCTACAACCAACGGGAGCACTATTCTTGGATGGCTGGTGATCCAACTCCAGATCCAGTTCGCTTTGACTCTAGGTTCGTAGCTGAGCTTAAGCAGGGTTCCAGCCTTGCCACCTCCTTCGGCTGTACCCACAACATAACCGTGCATGCAGTTCTTGGCCATCGTCGCAAATCTCACTCGAGTGTAGTCAATGTATGCATATCTTGGAAGGACCTTGGAGTCAAAGGGTTCAGGTACAATCTCGGAAAGTTTGCCATATCTTCGAAACAAGGAGTAGAGTGTCTCTTGGGTCAATTCGGCGGCAGACGTTTCAGGAGAGGTCGGCAGAAACTCGACTTTGACCCGGGAGCTTGGGATGCGATAGAGATCTTCGATCCAGGGCTTCCCTCGAACGAGAAAAGCCCGCACTTGGCGGAAAGGATTGAACCATGGCTTGATTGGCTTCTCCTTGAGATATTCTTTCAGCGTATTTTCGAGTTCTGTCGTTGTGATTCCCTCCTCGTGTCTAAACTTGACAAATGCTCCTCCTTCTCTGAGTCTAGGCAAAACTGTGGTGACAGTGATAGGTAGCTTTTCTGGGAGGGCTCGCTTGATTATGCTCGACGGATCAGCCAAAGCAAGATCTGGGTGATTAACCCTCTTGAGGGATTCCGCCAAAAGCGTGTCAGCATTCAGGAATGGTATTCGAGTTAGCCACTGAAGCTTGAGGGGAAAGACATCTGAATATCAGTCAGCATGAACGCTTCTCGTTTCACTTGTGGCACTGCGCACTGTCAAAGAAAAGAATTCCTTCATTCGGCTTTGTCTCGATATGGCCGCTGTCATTGTCGCCGACTTCTGAGGACTCATTTCTCTTTCCTGCTGGAACTGTTGGTTTTATCGGTCGTGGTCGAGAGCTGCCTGTGTTGTGCAAATAATACTTTCTGAACAGTGCTGCTGTGGGCGACGTCCGCCGCCCCAAGCAACACCTGGTGGTCCTGAATATCAACATGTTGCGGAGGACCTCTAGCAGCACATCGATCAATGACTATGACCATAGGTCACTTTCGAACCGTTGTGAGCATCTGGAAGACCTTCTTGCAAGATGTAATGCCTTTCACATCTGTCAAGTTTTCCTGTCTCCATGACGGCAGAAGCATCTGTGAATTCATTGTGGTATGACGTAGTATTCAAGACGCGCTAGTAGTCGTATTGTGGCGCACGTGTTTTGCGGTCTGTGGCCGTGCACGGCTTCATTTTATTTTCCAGAGAGCAGCAGGCCATGCATGAGCTGCAGTTTGGACAAGGCCGGTTTTTCTCAACGTCGAATCCCCCTATCGACCATCTCTAGGACTGGTCAACATGGACTGGTTCTGGAGGTCAAAACCCTCCAAAAGCCATGAAGCCTCAGAGATTGACTCTTCGAGCTCTTCCAAGGCCTCCACCTCAATGGCTGCACCAGCCCTTGCATCGGCCACTGAACCAGCCAAGCCGACCCTTTCTCGAGAAGAACGAGCCAATCAAGAATTCCTCGAACTCATGAAAGAATTTCAGGCAGAGACAGAGGTCATTCCAGAGAAAAATACAGGGGAAACAAAGTCAACAAGAGCGGTACATAATGCATCCGTCGAGGTTGATATCTCACCTGACTCCCTTTACCCAACTGAAATATCCTGCCGTTCGTCCTTCGATTATGCCATGTTTTGCCAGAGTTTTGGGGGGCAGTTTGTCAACATTTACCGATATGGATCATTTCGTTCATGTTCAAATCACTGGGACGACTTTTGGCTTTGTATGAGAACACGAAATTGGGATGCGAAGGATCGAGCGGCAGCAATCCAAGATCATTACCGCAAAAGAGCCATGAAATGGAAGACTGGCCCAAGCAGTGAGGATGTCTGGGATGTCAGGACCGAGCCAGCCAAAGATTCATTTCAAGGCAATCTTGACGAGCTTGAAGCAGCAATTGCAGCATGGAGAAAGGCAAATCCCAATGCTGTAGACCCTTGGGAACAGCATCAGCAGCCGGCTTTCAATACTCAAACCAGTGCATAGGATGACCCATTCCTTATGCATGAATGGATCGTCGTATCGGGGATAGCGAGAGCGGGCTTCCGCGAGTGAGGCAAACACGGACGACGGCCAGCATGGCATCGTTGTCTCCTTCATGTGCCAAGCTCCTCATCATTTACCTGATTTGGTCGATGGTGCACTGCTAAATTGCATTTCCATCGCACGACTCGAGAGACTGATTTGTTACCCTTCCACTCTGTTTACTGTTTCGTGTGCCATTTGTCGCGATGACAGACAGACAATCGCCGAGCGACGTGCTCAATGAAGACGCCGCCATCCTCGAACAACAAGCCGCTTTGATCAGAGACGAGGCTGACCTCCTCCTTACAAAGTCCCGCCTCTTACATCAAGAATTCCTCAACCTCTACGATGAAGCCATAGCCCTTGACCGAGCCTCCAGTCTCAGTGCCGACGCTGCCTTGGGAATGCGCAGGGTCGCTGCCGATTGGGAGAATAGGGCACGATTGCTTCGCGAAGATGCGAGGACCATGGAGAGAGCTAGTGGGATCGCTGTTGGCGCTAGTCGGGGTACACAAGCTTCAGTCGCAACATCTCAATTGAGCCCACTGTTGCTCTCTGAGCAAGCTTCAGAGATAGCGAATGACAACCCGACCTCGGCCGCAACGGATTTGGATACCGATGAGAATGGAGTCCAACACGATACCAAGTCAAAGAGCCCGGAGCAGGAAGAAGACAAAAGCACCGGGGAAAATGAAGACGACCATCTGGACGGCAACGGAGGAGAGCCGGCTTTGGCATCTGGAGGCATGCCTGGCAAGGACTGCGACTTTGAGAGCGAGCCGACTACCTGATGAAAGCCTCTGATGAGGCCAGTTCTGAGATGAGGAGACTGAAAGTGTCAATATAGACCAGACAAGGACTGTAGCACCGAGCACGATTTAGGTCGCAGGGGTGGGCAACTTGTCCTGGATGAGCAAAGCATATTCACAACCACAATCATCCTTGAAAAACATAAGCAAGAACAAATGTAATCATGAGATGCACAATGCTCATATTTAGTTTCGTGAAGAGGTCGTTTCCTTCGATAGTGATAGAAAGGAAGATATGACCTATGATTACCCCTTTTCCCTCCGCCTTGGGCCATATGGCCACATGTGAATAGGCAGTGAGGTACAGTCGCCTTTCAATGCTTTCAGTCACGTGGAACTGCCGATCGTGTCTTTGTAGTTTGGTGATTATGCATAATAGTCTATATGATATATCGTGGGTAGATTTAAACGTCTAGCTGCCAATAATGATTTGAAGGTATCGTATGCTGTGGTGCATAGAAAGCGGCTTGGAGAAACACCTCGGCCGTCTTGTTGGTTCAAGAAGACGATCCTTTTTCACTCTCTACAAACCTCTAGGTTGTTTTATGTTTCCAATGGCCACATGCGGACATGTCTATACCGACAATTGATCTGAGCAAAGCGGAGATTTCAGTGACTCGGACTGAACTACTCAAGGAGTTGCGCCATGCCCTCCTCGAGGTCGGTTTCCTTTATTTGACCGGTTACAGCGTCGACCAGTCTACCATTGAAGACCTTGTGCGTGTCTTGCCCTATCTATTTGGTTTGCCGGAAGAAGTGAAGGAGTCAGTCGCGCTCGTGAACTCTCCTCACTTTCTTGGTTATAGCAAGTTTGGTTCCGAGACTACTGCCAAAGTCCAGGATCATCGAGAACAATTCGAACATGCGAACGAGTTGAAGGGTAGATACGACCAGGACGATACTTTGCCACTATACACCCGATTGCAAGGTCCGAATCAATGGATCAAGTCATCAACCAGTGTCCCAGGACTGCGAGGAAAGGTGGAATCCTACATCACAGCTTTGCAGGAAGTGGCATCCCAGTTTCTCTCGCTGGTGGAAGAAGCATTGGACTTGCCGCACGACAGTCTGGCCTGCTTTACTGGGCCTCAAGACAGGTTGAAGCTCGTTCACTACAGGCCCTCCTCGACAGATGCAACGCTAGACGCACAAACACAAGGCGTTGGACCTCACAAAGACAGCTCAGGCTGGATGACGTTCCTACTACAGGCTTCGGACCCATCGATCAAGGGACTTCAAGCGCTGTCGAAGAGTGGCGAGTGGCTTGACGTTCCATCTGTGCCGAACACGCTGGTCGTCAACATGGGCCAGGCCTTTGAGGTTGTCACGAACGGCGTGTGCAAAGCTACGACGCATCGTGTCCTGCTCCCCCCTGGCGACTATGATCGCTACAGTGTCCCCTTCTTTCAGGGGGTGCGCCCTGATTTGACCAAAAGAGACCTCCAGGCCTTGTGGCAGCACTTTGACCAGGACCGATGGCACACGAGAGAGTCGGCAGAAGGCCAGAGGATCGATAGTCCGTTCCTTCAAGGGCAGTACGACACCTGGGGCGAGGCACAGCTGAGAACGAAAATCCGAAGTCACAGAGACGTGGGGAGAAAGTTTTATGCAGATGTTTTTGACAAGTACATCAATGACAGTTGATAGATGAAAAGTACTGTTTGAGATACCGTAGCATCCATTCTGGCCGTTCAATCGTCAACCCGGTAGACCTTGTAACTTTTACTCGACGACAACGTCCTTGCTGGTGTCCAGCTCCTCGAACCTTCTCAGATCCATTTCTCCCTCGAGTAGGGGTTTGACGTAGGGGTCGAAGGTTTTCCAGTATGGGTTCTCCAGGTGATACTTCTGGCTACTCTCCTGCTCGTAGCGTTCGACAATGGTAAAGTCCCTTGGATCGTGGACGGATTGCATGACGAACCATGAGACGGTTTCCTTGTCCTTGGAGTAGACTCTTGAAGCTTCGATGAGTTTGTTCTTGAGCTTTTGGATGATTGCTGGGTCCGAAGATTTGGCACGCATGTGCACCGTGATAGTGTAGACCATTTTGAGAGGCGAGGGGGGTATGGAAGCTGGTGGATGTTGATCTTTGGTTCGTCTCGACTTCTGTTCGCTTACTCGGCTGGGCGACCAGTGTTGGGAGTGGGAGAATTCAGAATTTGGTTGACTGTGTCGGCATGTAAATTACTCAGAATGTTCCATACACAATTTACATTTCCCCCCTCTCTGTTCATCGGTGTCTATTGGGCATATGCTCGTGTCATGCTGGAGTCCGGGCAATACTTGACGAGGCCGTCTGACAGATCTCTTTTTGTCATTCAGAGGAACTGATTTCCTGGCTGCTGCATTGGCCCATGCGTCATTTGAACCAAGCATTTTCGTCAACCCGCCGATTCCGTAGATGAAGCTCATTTTTACACGTGTCGGAGCGACCACCAATAGCGCAACAGCCATGACGCTGGTACCCTTTTCTTTCATGCCCATGGCTTCGGTTGACATTTTGCACGCTGCATCTTCCCGGGGTTGATGGCCCTCTCTCCCTTGTGCTCGCGCTGTTGTCGTTGTTCCTGCGCGAATAATAAACTCATGCAGATTCGCGTCTACTGTTAGCATGACCTCGATGTGTGCAGTCACCCGTCCAGGACATGAAGTTCGCAAAGTGCGTAGAGACTGATTCCTGCTCGGTACTTCCTCAGCCACTGACATAGATTAGGGAACTGGAGGACGAAGCCGTCCCCGAATGGAGAGTTAAGTACCTGAATTATAAGGCAAGGAAACTTCTTCTCGGCCGTACCACAGATGGCTAATTGTAGTAGCAAGGGAAAAAGAAGATCAAGGCCATCTCCAAAGCCCTTCGAAACATCAATCGCACTCCGTCCACCCCTGCTCGCCCTGCGCTCGTTCCTGAGGATTCTTCGGAGAGAATACCATTCACGCATTATGATTTCACACGGCCCCGTCCCAAGACGTCCAATACCACACATTCGCTCCCCGAAATCGAAGAGGTAGCGCCAGAAAACGAAAGAGCAGGTTCTCCGAGACCAACACTGGAACAGACCGAAAGCAGAACTTGGTTTGCTCAGTCGCCACCCATCCTCATCCCTGGAGGTCCCAGTCAGGACGCAAGTAAGTTACCAACGCCAGAACGGACACCACTTGCCAATGCCCAGACGAATCAAAACAGATGGCAGACGAGGTATGGGAGTATCATTGGTACGCCACCAGACGATGAAGGAGAAACGCCCGGACATTTCGCAGCCTTGGAATTGCCTGATCCTGCTATAAGTCCGGTTGTTCCAGATCGAAATGAAACAGTGTCAGCAGAATCATCGGGCCAACAGGTTATGAAACTACCAGAGGCTGCTCAGATACCCCGCGCTCCAGATGCGTACCATGTCGGTGAAACCACTCCGCCAGCCAAACGAAGCCTCAGAGGCAGCATTGCCCGGAGGATGTTTAGGGCTGGGAATGCAGACAAGGACACAAAAGGCCAATCTTCTTCTCTTTCGGAGAGCCATACTTTCCCGCGTTCGCGAATACGAAGACTGTTTACGGCGCAAGCTCTGGACCAGCCCACAGTCAATGATGTTCAGCTGGAAGCATATAAGGAGCTCGACGCCAGACAGGGGGAGTTTTTCTTCTTCTTGGACAAAGAACTGGACAAGATAGAGACCTTTTACCGGATGAAGGAAGAGGAGGCTTCTGCTCGACTTCAAGTACTTCGAAAACAGCTGCATGAAATGCGAGACCGCCGATTGGCGGAAATTCTCAAAGACCAAAAACCTCAGCGTGGCACGTCTCAGGAACTACCTGACGGCGCGTATGTAAATGGCCCTGGCGGAAAGGAAAACGGCCAAGCAAACGATTCTGGTCCAAATTTTCTCAAGAAACCGATTGAAGATGCTCTGGGACGCCGTCATGCTCCTGGCAAGACCAGCAAAGCCATGCAAAAGTTAAGTTCCCCGCCTGGCCCAAATGCCCAAAGGCGAATCGAGGATGCCAAACAAGATTACGTGAGGAGGAAACCGCACGACGATGTGCCGTACAGATTTGCAAAGCGACGACTCAAGCTTGCTTTACAGGAATTCTACCGCGGCCTGGAATTACTGAAATCTTATGCCATCCTGAACAGAACTGGATTTCGGAAAATTAACAAGAAGTACGACAAGGCTGTTCAAGCTCGACCACCACTGCGGTACATGGCGGAGAAGGTTAACAACGCTTACTTCGTCCAAAGTGATGTTATCGACAATCATCTTGTGGCAGTTGAGGATTTGTACTCTCGGTACTTTGAGAGAGGCAACCACAAGATTGCAGTTCGAAAGCTGCGTTCCAAGCTAGGTGCAGGTGATCAGTCTGGCACTACCTTTCGCAATGGCCTGTACGTTGCAGCTGGCGTCTGCTTTGGCATTTCCGGACTGGTCAATGCGTCCGACCACCTGTTCGGCGCAGACCCGGTGATCAAACTGCAGACGTCATATCTTTTGCAAATATATGCAGGATACTTCCTTGCGCTTCTCCTGTTCCTGTTGTTCTGTCTGGACTGCCGGATCTGGACCCAGTCTCACATTAATTATGTCTTTGTTTTCGAGTACGACACACGACATGTTCTCGACTGGCGACAACTGTCGGAAATACCTTGCTTCTTTCTCCTGTTGAACGGGCTGTTCCTTTACCTCAACTTTCAACTTGACGCCAGCGGCTCTTTTTACGTTTACTGGCCGGTGATCCTAATATTTCTAACACTCCTCATCATGGTCCTTCCTTTCCGGATTTTGTACCATCGCGCACGGCGTTGGTGGGGCTATTCAAACCTCCGACTTCTTCTAGCAGGCTTGTACCCTGTTGAATTCCGCGACTTTTACCTTGGCGACATGTACTGTTCGGAAACCTACGCCATGGGCCAGATCGAAGCATTTTTCTGTCTGTATGCCAACGGCTGGAAGGACCCTCCACAATGCAACTCGAATCATTCTCGCCTGCTTGGTTTCTTCACTACCTTGCCCGCTATTTGGCGTGCCTTGCAATGTCTCCGGCGCTACTACGACTCACGGAATTGGTTTCCTCATCTCGCCAATTTTATGAAATACTGCTGCAATATCCTATATTACATGACCTTGTCATTGTACCGGATAGATCGGAGCGACACGTTACACGCCGTCTTTATCACATTCGCTGCTATTAACGGAGTCTACTGTGCGTTCTGGGATGTGTATCTCGACTTTAGTCTGGGCAACTTCTGGGCTAAGCATTTTTTCCTCCGCGACCAGCTCGCTTATAAGAAAGTTTGGGTGTACTACTTCGCCATTATTGCAGACGTGGTCCTCCGACAGCAGTGGGTATTCTATGCAATCTTCACTCAGGATCTCCAGCACTCAGCTTTGATGTCTTTTTTCGTAAGTCTGGCCGAGGTTTTGCGCAGAGGAATGTGGAGTTTGTTCCGTGTCGAGAACGAGCACTGTAACAATGTCGGCAAATTCCGTGCTTCGAGAGATATCCCGCTGCCATATGAGATTACCGAATCACCTGAAGTCACAGGGAAGTTGGTTTCACCAGAAGATGCAAGAAGAGCCCCTGGCACCCCAGCAACGATCGGACAGGCGGATGGTCATGTTGCTACAGGCGCAGACCTAGAGAGGCAATCTACCCGGGACTCATCACTACGACTACGCAAATCGAAGACATCTAGCGGAGGCGCACCACTTACACCTGGCATGCAGGCTCTGCGACGAGTCGGCACTGTGATAGCATCAGCGCATGCGCAAGATTTTCAGAAACGGCGCAGACCTGAAACTGAAAGCCAAGGCCTGGTTGACGATGAAGCCTCTTATGCCGAAGGAGGTGCTGATTCGGATGAGGAGGATGAAGAAGACGAGGATGATGGTGGCTATGACGAGGTTGCCGAGCTGCGTAGGCAGCAGGCCGAGGATATAGAAAGTGCCAGTTCAGCTCGAGTGAGGAGGGTCGGCTAATATGCTCAGCTCATAGTACGTGACAGGCTCTCGAGTGATGGCTCATTGGATAGAGTGGACTTATTGTAGAGATTTCTATGGTAATGTTTTGGGTAGAAATGAAAAACAAACAGTACGAGAGCCACCACGACCAAGGCTTACCCATGTGGGTTGAGTTCATTGTTTGCTGGAGTGGCACGAGTACCTACTGTAGGTTGTTGGAGCGCGGGAAAAGGACATTGCTAGTCAGCCATCTCACTACCGGCACTCCGTTCCGCGTATACATTGACGCTTTTGGAAGACATCCTTGTACTTGTGCTCTTTCCAGTCATTAATCAGCATCTTTGGGACCCTTGACGGACGGAGAGATTGTTACACCTTGCTCCGCGGATTGAATTCCACGAGTATTGACGCCGCACAGAATGGAGTATCATCATCTACCTACCGGGGCAGGTTGTGGTTCCACCCAAAACCCGCGCGCTAACCACATTTCGTATTTCTGATCAAGACAGTAATGAATCTCTACTCGGTACAACCTGGTGACGCTCATACCGTTGCCTTCAACACGATCCAACTGGACCTAGTATTCTCATCCTCTCCAATGAATACTCTTGCTATGGCCCATTGTCAAGGGAAAATCAATAATGAAGGCTGCAAGATGGGAATTGACGAGATGTTCTTACCTCCGTCCTCCATAGGGTTCTATTCTAATGTCCGAGATGTGTAGGAGCAAACACAAGGTATAAAAAGGCTCGTGTGAGAAGGAGATTCTTTGAAGTTGTATTTTGTATTCCATCGCACCAAACATCTTTCTCTAGCAAAGTTCTCGACTCGACGAATTCGTACTACATCAATCTTTACCAATCTTCCAACTTCAACAAACACCAGTCCAACAGCATGCGCGTCTTCATCACAGGAGCATCTGGCTTCATTGGCTCGGCGGCTGCCAAAGAGCTGATCAGCAACGGTCACCAAGTCCTCGGTCTAGCTCGTAGTGATGCCTCGGCCGACACGGTCACCAAAGCTGGCGCTGAAGTGCTCCGAGGACACCTGGAGGATCTCGAAGCGTTGAAGAAGGGCGCGAAAGAATCCGATGCCATTCTGCACCTTGGCTTCATCCACGACTTTAGCGACATGCCTCACAATACCGCCGTTGACCGTGCGGCCATCAACGCCATGGCAGACGCCATTGCAGGCTCGGGCAAACCGCTGATCATTGCCTCCGGTAGTCTCATGGTCGCGAAAGGCGCCGTCGCCACCGAGGACAGCGAGATCTCACGAGATCCTGGCCCCTATGACCGCTGGAGGTCCGAGGACCTCATTCTTGCCTTGACCAAGGAGAAGAATTTCCGAGGTATGATCGTCCGTTTTGCACCGACGGTCCACGGCGCAGGGGACAAGGGCTTTGCGAAGATCTTCGTTGACATGGCCCGCAAGAATGGTCGTGCCTTGTACACCAGTGCATCTGCTCGGTGGCCCGGCTGTCATCGTTTGGACGCTGCCGTGTTGCTTCGTCTTGCCTTGGAGAAGGGCAAGTCTGGTGGAATCTACCATTCGACTGCGGAGCAAGGGATCTTGTTGAAAGATACCCTGGAGTTGATCGGCAAGCGTCTGAACCTGCCTGCTGAATGCGTGACCGTCCAGGAAGCTGCTCAGTCACTTGGCTTTTTCGCCCACGCCATGACAATGGACAATCCTACCTCGAGTGAGAAGACTCAGAAGGAGCTTGGCTGGCAGCCGAAGGAGGTTGGTCTGCATGAGGACATGCTAGCACACTATTTTGATTAGATTGTAGACATCACAGGTGGTTGATAGCATATGACATTGAGCTAAACTGATGGCTTTCATGTTTTGATTTCGTTGAATCTTGTGGTAGTCGAGCGATTCTCGGCTAATAATCGGCTGCCGGTGCTTCAGGTGGTTCCGCACTCGTATCTTCATGAATCATGGTTAATACGTTCCATGGGAGACCAGATCATGTTACTCCTGTCTCTCTCTTTAATGAGTCAGTGTTTACGGGGGAGCAATGCCACCAATCCCTCCAGCTCCCGTGACAGCGTGGAATCATCGCATAGTATGTTACTTTCAGACCTATCATCACAACGATGAATACGTGTCTCTTCTCCCACTCATCACCAACCCGTCCGGGGTTACGCATGTCATTCTGGCGGCATTGCATGTAAACTGGGCCCCAGATAATCTCACACTCAACGATGATCCACCAGATCACGAGAAATACACCCAGCTCTGGGACGAGGTGGTGGTGCTACAGGACTCTGGCATCAAGGTTTTGGGCATGCTAGGCGGTGCCGCCCGAGGCACCTACGCCAGACTCGATTACAGCGAAGGAAGGACCGACGTCCCTCTCGCGCGGTTCGAAGCGTATTACGTACCGTTACGAGACACGATACGAAAGTATGGACTCGACGGTCTCGACCTGGACATAGAGGAACCCATGTCTCTCCCGGGAGTGATTCATCTGATCGATCGATTAAAAAGCGACTTTGGTCCGGACTTTATCATCACACTTGCACCTGTCGCGACGGCTCTGATGGCGGGTCGACCTCACCTATCTGGTTTCGATCATCGATTGCTCGAGGCCGCCAGAGGAAGCAGCATATCGTGGTACAATGCGCAATTCTACAACGGCTGGGGTGGTATGAACACGACCGACGCTTACGACGAAATTATGCGCAACGGTTGGCCTGCACAGAAGGTGGTCGCAGGCATGCTGACGAACCCAAAGCACGGTGGTAGCGGGTATGTTCCGTTGGAGCTTTCGGCTGCGGTGCTGAGTCTGCTGGTGGAGAGGTATCCCAACTTTGGGGGTGTCATGGGCTGGGAGTACTGGGACGCTTTGCCTCAGGAGGAGAATTGTTGGATGTGGGCGTACGCCATGGGACTGTGCATGGGCATGAAGAGAGTAAGAGATGCTGCCATCATTGTGCGTATGGGCAGGAACTTGGCGTCTATCAATATCAACCGATGAAGAAGATGGCACGAGGATATGAAATAGGACTGGAGAGGGCATGCCCGACCACAAGGCTGACGCAAGGCTGTCTAATCGACTGCTAGAACCAATCACACGTTAGACCATTACGAGTACGATTCCCCACTAAACCTCATCTGGGCTGGCCTGCGTCATTGGTCGAATTCCGAGTCGCAGAAGCCTGCTTCAAAGTAATTGTTTCGCTGTTTGGGGCCAACTTCGATTGACCATGTGATGTGAAGGACTCATACTCGCTGCTGAGGCAGTGAGAGATATTTTCTTTGAACTCCTCAACAAAACCATGGCTCCCGCGCCTGTCATTGCCGCTGCTGTAAGCTCGGCGGTAGCCAGAGTATCCGCATATATCTTCCTGAGATGGGTACGTATGATTCTTGGAGTTCCCAGAAGCTGAAATAGCAGATGTAGATGTTCTGAGCTGACTGCGACATAAGATCCCAGGACACCATTTCCCTCCGCTGATACTTTTGAGTATCGCCGTGTATCTGTATTGTGTCTTTGGCAAATCTGAAGAAGCCTTTGGCTCCGCCCGGCCCCGTCTGCCCGAAGCATTCCCTAAGCTCTTTCCACAGCGAGAAGACAACAAGTCGGAAGAGCAATCAGAGACCAAAGAAGATGATGACGATCACGAAGAGCCGGCTATCTATGAGGAGGAGAAATCCTTTCTCAGAATCAGTGTCTTTGGGATACCCAACTGGAAAGAGCCGGAATGGAGTTATATGACCATTGGAATCAATGTTCTTTTGGCCCTGTTCACCCTCGATCTCGTTTTCCGAGGACCTCTCCTGCACCCGGCACGAGACCTGAGCTTCACAAGAGTAGGGTTTGTGGACTCGACGACGGCGAAGGTCCTGGTTCGAGAACCCGATCCTGCTCAACTACCCTTGTACGTCTACTTGTCGCCTGCAGACAAGACAAGTTGGACAACGACGGACACCATCTACTACCTAGGCGCTGACACCGATTACACGTACCCAGTGACATTCGGAGGTCTTCAGCCGTCCAAGAAATACATATATTCTCTCTCAAACGACAAGTCTGGCACATTTACCACGGCACCCTCTCCGTATTCCGACGCGGCCAACAAACTCACCTTCCTGACGTCGTCTTGCATCAAGGCCAACTTCCCTTACCGACCATCTGCCCCGGCTCTTGCGATTCATGGCTTCGAATATTTATCCAAAGTTCTTCGTGGACTACCAAACCCAGCCTCGTTCATGCTCTTCCTGGGCGATTTCATCTACGTCGACGTACCTTTCCGTCTGTCGTCTTCTCTCGCCCACTACAGGTCCGAGTATCGACGGGTGTACTCGTCACCGTCGTGGTCTTTGCCGGGTCTCGATACTTTGCCGTGGATTCACACCCTCGATGACCATGAAATTGCCAATGACTGGTCTGGCGGGAATGACACCGAACCGTTTCCAGCTGCCTCGGATCCTTTCATCCATTATCATGTGTCTGTCAATCCACCCACGCCTCCCGGTGCTCCTCCAGGCGCCGAGACCAACACGACATATTTCCAATTCTCGAATGGACCAGCTTCCTTTTTCATGCTCGATACTCGACGGTACCGGACCGATCCTGAATCGGATTCGTCTTCATCTTCGAACCCATCTGATACACGCACGAATCATACAATGCTCGGATCCGTCCAACTGGCATCTCTGCTCAAGTATCTCTCCGCACCCGAACCATCGCACATTCATTGGAAAATCATTGCATCTTCCGTGCCCTTCACCAAGAACTGGCGCTTCGGCACGCCCGACACGTGGGGTGGGTTCCTGCGAGAACGCTCCGTCATTCTCGAGGCGATGCAAAAGGCCGAAAAGGAACTTGGCGTGCGCGTGATTATATTGTCCGGCGACCGCCACGAGTTCGCGGCGATTCGGTACCCTCGGTTTTTGGGGACGGCAAGCTATACTGACCCTAGGAACAAGACGGGCGACATGCGTGTGTACGAGACCGGGCAACAGGCTGGGCCGCACGAGTTCAGCGTGGGGCCCCTGAGCATGTTCTACCTGCCCTTCCGGACGTTCAAGCAAGTGGACGAGGATGACGTCGCGATCAAATACTTGCCCGACGGGAACAGCAAGGTCGGGGTCGTGGAGGTCGATAACCTCGGTGGGAACAACGACCTGCAGCGCAGTCTGTTGAGGTACAAGCTTTATGTCGACGGGGAGTTGGCGTGGGAGTACGCGTTGACCAGCCCGGCCGAGGGGAGTCGCAGGCCCAAGGAACGAGGGTGGTTGTGGATGTGACCTTTGGACCTCTCCGTACCTCCGACTCGATCCCGATCAGTGCCGGGGTCAGGAAGGATCAGGTCGAGGATCATTCGACAAGTCCTCGATCATGGGCGGCGTCAATGGATGAATGCCAGGGACGATTCTTCCCATAGGCATCCTACCAATACACGAGATGCGATCGAGCGGAAGGAGTGGAATTGACGACTATCCCTGTCCGTATATGAATGAACTTGCACAACGAACACTGTTCGACGACAGAATTCGATTTATAGCGGTGTGGGTTACTTTTGACGTGATAGATACTCTATAGATATCATACCTAGTGGATCACCGGCTGTGTCGGTGTTCATGTGTGTCTTTTTATGTACAATAATACTTGTACATGTACGGATACAACAAACTTGTTCCTACGAGTACGACTAGACGTGGTGCGCCTTTGACACCGTGTACCCGTGTAGACTGTATCCAGAGCGCAGTCCTCCTCCATGATTCGTACCTTGTCCCACTGTCGTAACCACCGACCTAGGCAAGTAAACACATAAACACCTCGCGACGCCTGTACGTTTTTCTTCCAAGAGGAGAGAGAAGATGGGTGTATGTACATCAGCTCAACTCTGCTCAACTCCGCTCTCCTTTCCCCCGGTTCGTCCCTGCGTGATTCTTGTCATACGTTCTTCTTCGGTGAGAAGCTAATGAGTATCGTTAATGATGACGTTCAATCGTGTCCTGTGGCACCACCGAGATGAACTATGTACACGTCGGCCTCGGTCCCTGTGGAGGTCATGAAAGATGGACGGCGTGATGATGAACGTAGTGACACAGGTTTGGGACCAATACCTGTCCGTCCAGCGACGAGGACCTGTTCAATTGGGCTGCTCACCGCCTGCCAGTCATACTTCCATTTCTTGGGTGGGCATTAATGCCTTGCCCAGAAGGAGCCAAGTCCGATGCCTCTTCTCGTCCCCGGAGGGAGTGAGCATGTCACCATCGAGGTAATTCCGCTCTTTGACATGGCATGTATGATATTCTTCACAGCGATGACGCCGGCCCCATGCCCAGGATGGCTCCCGCGGGCGACTGAAAAATGTAGCCAAATCGATCAGCAATTGTAGAAACAAAAAAATAAATTGGCACGACGACCGTCATGCTTCGGCTCTGCAAAGCTCAAAGCAAAGAAAGCGCATGGCCCGAGACCTGAAACTCTCTCAAAGGCTTTGGCCGAACCTGCGATCGAAGTCTTTCAACACCGCCATGACGTTCGCGGCATCAATCTCAAGAGCTGGCCTTCCCACCATTGCAGTATGAGCATCGCTGGCGTGCAACTTTGGTAGCCACGTAGCTATTTCGTCACTGGCACGTTCATACGCCGGGTGTCGGCTGAGCGTCGTGTATGCATCAGCACATGTCAATGTGACGCTGGCCTTGGCCGTGACACGAGCTTGAGACGAGCCGACCGCCGCACGGGACCGAGTGGTCCTAGGCGGTAGCGGGACAGAGTCTATCTGGCTTTGGCAACACGAACGACCGCCAGGGGTTTGACCACCACAGCAGCCTGATTGGGCGCTTGCAGACTGTGCTCGAGAAGCGGCGAGGGATTTGCAGAACAACGTGCTGTTGGGATCGGCACGGCATTGTGCGCACGTTCCTGGGCCAGAGGCACATCCCGAGGGCGGGGGTTCTGCTGCTGCAGGGACTGATATGGCGACATCCCCTTCTGAGGGTGGCGGTGTGAATTGGTCGAGCTGTCTTGGCGGGTTGACTGAAGCTACAGGACGATGCAAGCTCATGGATACAGGTGCAGCTGTATCGTTCTGAGCTTGCTCACGCTCTGCCGCCATTTCCGCACAGATGCATGGAGTGCCATCAGAGCAGAAACCGCAGGGGTCGGCGACCGCTGAGGTTGGAGAATGTCGCTCCGAGTGACTGAGGCCGGAGATGTCTTTGGCCGAATACATCGAGGTGAAATCGACTTCCAATGCTTCTTTCGGCTCAACCTTGATACGCTTTTGGGCCTCCATATAGACTGGGGAGTGTGGTCGTTTTTCATGCTGATGTGTGCTCGTACCGGCTTCGCCGCCCATTGCTTGAAAAGCGTCGTCGATACATTGACAGCGAGTTTCCAGTGTGCAGTTTCCGCAGCCGACAGTGTTGTCATCGATGGCAGGCTCGGTTGTAGATGCCCCTCCGGAGGGTGTCCCGGCTTGGGGAGTTGTTGCACGAAGCGAGGTCAGTTCGTCTTCGAGTTTGCGGCAGCGATCAACCCAGTTGGTGAGGTCATGGCGATACTGGTCGATTTCCTGTTCGAGCTTTTCAATGGTTCCTCTCAGGACATCTTGCTCTTGTTCATTCTCTTCTTCGATCTGTTTCAACTGTTCTTCGAGTTCTCCCACCCTCGCGGCACGTCGCTCTCGAAACGCCCTCTGGGCAGCACGGTTCTGTGCCTTGCGTTTGGTGGGTGGCGTATCGGTCGCTGGCTTCCGACCGGGTTTTGGGCGTGGGGGGATGATCCATTCCTTGCTTGTCAGGGAGAGTGTGGCGGAGGGTGTTGTCGAGGTGGGGGATGTCGCCGGCGGGGTTTGCACAGGCTTTGCACACAAGGACGGCTGTCTTGTAAGTATAGGCTTGATGTCGACCGGGGCCGGGGTCGAACCCGCCGTCGGTGGTGAGGCTGCACTCGAGGCCATGATTTCAAGAACGTAGGTTCACGCTCGCCGAGATTGGCCGAAAATGAAGCTCTTTGTACAAGATGATGTTTATCCGGAGGAAAATTCAATAAGAAATCGTGGACAGTGTCGAGGAGCCTTTTCAGGCTGCCCGATACCCTGTCAAAACGGTGCGACAGCAGTACCTATGCACAGTGCACAGTGAAGACAAGGCAGATGAGTGATATTGAGGTTGTGTTTGGGAGGGAGAGGGAGATGCGAAAAATCTAATCAGATTAGATGGGTGCTCTCTGCCAAGAAAGAGGGGCTCCGATTTCGCTCATACGATAAACAGCCGCGAGTCAGGCCACTACTAGATTAATAGAGGAAGCACAGCATCCGATCAGGGTCCAACAACTTGTACAAGCTTGTACTGTACGAGTAAATTCCATGTCCACAGTGAGAAGAGTAGGGGGTATCATCAGCTAACACCCAAAACGCCTTGCTGATCCCGGCCACCCGCACATACATATACACATAGTAGCGAGGCCGCAACATAACAAATCAAACACAAGAAAAGAACCTTGAGCTTTCTCAGGGTCTAAAATTTCCCACCATGAACACCGGTCCCAGCCGTGGCAGCCTCGCTACCACTTTGTAGTCCTCCAACAAAAGAAGTGCCCCACACTCCGATGAGGCCCCAGAAACCGACCCTCCAGCCACGGTATAGGCCTTCGATGCCTTGACCTTTGCGCCTTCTTCTGGGTGCTCTGCCCGCTAACGCTGCCGTTTTGTCTTTCTGGGATTCGGAATAGCCTTCTTCCCGCATGATACTCCAGATTGTAGGTACAATTCCTCTGTACGATTGCGGCACAGGTACAATCGTTGTAATCGCCTTGCGTTTGGACGATGTAGTAGGCGGCGAGTATGCAGGAGAAGTCCATGTAGCGATCTGGGCGCGCCGTAGAACAGTTTCTAGTGGGAATTTGATAGACAGGTCTAATGCAGATCCAGCAAAGGTTGCCAGACTCCAGCTGGCCGGATTCATGGCCGGATCGAGTCCCAGATAAGTCTTCAAAACCACAGGGGTGCTGGTAGAAATCATGGTCGGCAAAGTAGAAGTCAGGAAGGTGATAGGAACAAGGTGGACCGGGATCATGTATGCCGTAGGGAGAGTCCTCAAAGTTCCAAGGAGTGTCCTCGGTTCCTGACTAGAGGGTGTAAGGATCAGCCGGGTCCTGGCTGCATCTATCGGGGCCAAAATCAGAGACGACAACGCTGCCGCTGCAGTAGCAATAAGGACGGTGGCAGCTGGTGCCGTGGAGGTGAGTATGGAAGTGTCTGGGATCGCTCCAGCAGTTGCAGGGACTAAGATGTCACTCTCTGCAACTCCAAATACTGCGGCCAAAAAGCTTCGGAAGAAGATCTCCAGTGTCCTACTCAAAATGTTGTAAACGAAGGTGGAATTTGTGGCCCGCCACATTGCCAATGCTCCGCTGCCGGACGAGAGGGATGACAAAGCATCGAGAAGAGAGTGAGGATTCTTCAAATTTATCTTGCCATTCTGTTGTTGAGCATGGCCAGAGGCATGTTGGGGAGAGAAGTCGTCCCGGGGCGGTCTTCCACGCCGGCCACGAGGCGGCGAATGACTCGCAAGAGGTCTGTCGTACGGTGCAGTTGAGGTAAAGTAGTTTGGTTCGTCATCGGAGGGATTATCGTAGTCATAGCCATTGTCTAAGTCATCATCGTGTGCAAGCTTTTTCTTCTTTGGTGCTTCATCTCCATCATCTTCCTGTGCAACGCGCGCTTGTAGAATCAACTTCGCGACTTCGAAGGGTTGTGCGAGGAGGACATTGGTATATTTCCAGAAGGCTCGATCAATCACGGATTTGACTGAGCCCGTAATTGAGGGACTTCCCTCTGGGATGTAGTCGGAATAGTCAATGTCTGGAAAGGAGAAGGTCGGGGTGGAAGATGATTTGAAGGCGCCAGTACTCGAGTTGGACGGTAGTTCCGTCCCTATTGACGGAGGCACATAGTAGGGGCGTAATGGGTTCGGGACATGCCTTGGATCTTGCATGATGCGAGGATACAGATGCTCGACTTTGCAGGGAACAGATTGAGCCTCCTCTGCTTGTCTTCATGAGGTGAGGTGATTCATCTAAGGATGCACGAAAACAGACTCACCAGACGTAATTGCTTCCACTCCACCGTACACAGTCTCTGACCACATGCAGCACGTGATTCAGCCTCGCGAGGCTACACTACACTACACTACAGAGTATGCAGTTCTCCGTATCTGAAGTCTGTCCATTGCTGTCGTTGCTTTGCTGCTACGTGCCCACTTCTCATCTTGAGCCTGCACAAAAAACCTCCTTGTAACTCGACTACCTCCATTCATCATACAAGAGCTACACCTAAATGGCGACCACATTGCTGACGCTGGTCTCTGCTTTTTGCCTGCTCACCAGTGCAAGTGCGGCCACTCTTCGCATCCAAGTTCCTGCCTCGAATCTACTTCCAAATCCAAATGCTTTATCAGCCTCTACCCATGCCACTCTGACCTCTGGCACCGGGCAGCCTCTACGAGCGGTTCTTCGCAAAGGAAACTACTTTGAGTTTCCCGACATCACGACAGTTGGCTCCCATCTACTAGATATTTACAGCCGAGACTACGTATTTGCTCCATACCGAATCGACCTTGCCTCTTCGTCCGCCTCAGGCGAATCTTCCTCGACAGTCATCACAGGAGCATGGGAGACATATCGGGGCACAAGATGGGAAGACCGTGGTGTCGCCCTAGTCCCAGCACCGACAGATCGGTTGGAGATGTCGGCGAAAGTTCTCTCGAGAAAGAACTTCTATGAAGAACGTCAAGGCTTCAATCCCTTGAGCTTGCTCAAGAATCCCATGATTCTGATGGGCGTTGTGGCTCTTGTGTTCACTTTTGGCATGCCCAAGTTGATGGAGAATATGGATCCAGAAATGCGAGCCGAATACGAGGAGATGCAGAAGAAAGGCCCCATGTCTGGCCTCACACAGGCGATGCAGGGTGGAGGAAGCAGCGGACCAGCAAGCAACTTTGATCTGGCAAGTTACTTGGCTGGCAGTGGCAAGAGTACAGGTAGCGACAAGGGATCAGAAGGCATACGCGAGCGGAAACGGTGATCCTGGTGGTGTTAGACCCTATCAACAATATGATTTGGCCATGAACAGTGCAACTTTGACACCAAACCTGACTCTATTGGCTACTCATCGATCTTGACTGAATGACCTCAAGTCCCAGATATCTACATATGCCACACAACGAGCCTCAAGAGGACATTGTTTGTCGAGAACGCAGCGAGCTCTCCTTTTGTGTTTAATGGTTCCATACTGATCTCAGAAGCAATTACTCGGTCTCAGCTAATCTCATCTTGCGTTGATACCAAAAGCAGTTTGTTCTTGACTATTCTGGGTACCAACACAACCTGTTTACTACTCGTGGAAAAGGAGCCTTGCAATGTGGGCGGCCCATGTTTTCACCACGTCACAATCTCCTCTGGTAGGGACACACTGACCATCATTGCGATCATTCCCACCCAGAACAGAGGTTCATCTGCAAGTCACTTCACTGCGTTCAATTGCTCAATCGCATTTCAACGTTAAACTCGCCATAACCCGCACCAAGCATCATGCGATGCGTTGCAACACAGCGGTAACAACGCAACTTACCTTGCGTCAGGACATACAATCGCTTCACTATATGCGTATGCCGATATCGAAGCGGGGGCTTTCGGGGACTCGGCCATTGTCGCAAGCGGTGGTGGTCTCGTCCAATTCAGACACTCCTCGCGTTTTCTTTCTTCTATCTTCTTATGATCATTTACTGTCGTTCTACAACATATCGAGACCCGACATCTGCCTTCTTCGGTCTCAGCCGCGCGTATGCCACACGATATAGTGCTCATCAATTTTGAAATCGGAGATCTATGTGGCTACTCTTGATCATACTGCAAGAATCGAGACCTGCCCCGTTGAGCCTCCGCTTCCTTGCCTGGGAATTGCCACCGTCGCTCGTCAGAAACACCAATACGTGAAAGCAACGGTAGGATCCCTCTTTGCTGGTATAGCCTAGGACGAGCGGAAGAAGATCTTCGATTTCTTCATCGGCCATACAGACCCTTCGACAAATCCAGTGTCTAGTGAGAAACGGTTTGGTATCCTGCCTGATCGTCTTCTTGAATACCGTCATGAGGGGCCAGAACGTGGTCAGGTCCAGGTCTGGAAAGAGGGTGGATTGTACAGGGAAAGGTCCTGTACGATTACAAATATCTGTCGAGCGATTGCTTCATAAACAAAGGCGCATTACGTCGCAATCATTAAGATTAAGAACGATACGCTGGCTGCTGGCAATTGGTTTCCTCGGCTCCTGGATGCAATCAAGATCGTAGACGAGAAGATGGAGACCCAGCATTCTGGACAGACTTGGGTACACCTCCGTTTGTTCTACACTGAGACCCTTCTTGGGTATGACTTGGCAACCCACCTGTTCTGGTCCTTTATCGCATGGTTGTCAACATCCTCAGCAATGGTTGGAATAAGACGATAGCCCCCTAAGAATGTCAGTTGTATAACTACAGGAGTCATGGTTGTCATTTCTTTCGTGTGCCTCCCGGCACTCATTGCTTTGTTCTTCCTTGCTGGCAAACAGTCAGTGACGCCGATCCCGCGGGGTGTCGAAGAGATGAATAAGTATGGATGCTGCTCTCAGGACCTTGTCTATTCCTGGGACGTGATCCCAAATATCCTGGATCAGATAAACCTTGCCACAAAAGGTCTGGTGGACATGGAGATCGAGAAAATTGCAGACGAAACCCAATATATGCGCTGGGCCATTGTGCCCCCTCTTCTGCAACACATTGGGACCACGAGTTCCAAAGGCTATGGATTCGATGACAATGCTCGGTGGATATGGAATCTTCAATATGAATCGTACTCCGACAGGCAATAATACACTGCGATGATGCTACGGTGGCTGGGTGGGGTTTTCTGATTGAGGCAGGTGGTACAAGCCATGGACGTTTCGGCTCGTAGAAGGACGACGCAGAAGCTGAAAGTGTAGACAACACCAAGAAGTTCATTAGCTGGAATGTATTTTCTCACCTGTTGGGTGGTCATTGGTGTTTACCAACCCACGACAAATATATAAATGCTGGGACTGCAATGACCAATAAAGTCGATAACCACTACCTAGGAAAACGTTAGGGCTTATCATCCTTGTACTTGGGCCGTTGAACAGCTTCATTGAGAAGGCGAGGTAAGTTCTCCGTATAAGAATCCATCTCACACGAACCTCGGCTTAGCTGTTGGTTTAGTACGGGCTATAGGGAGCTCCGCATTGGGATCAAAGCCGTTGACCCACTCCCCGCTCTGATTTGCCGTGCTCCTTGTCTGCTCGCTCCAGAAAGCAGGGCACCGAAGTATAAAGCACCTTTAGTCTGGAGGATTCAAAACCAGACCACGGCATCAAAAACCTTCTCGAGACCTCTCTCTCCAGAGAGCACTGATGGTCCGTCGATTGGATCCAGATTCACGAAAAGAAATACTCCCTTAATACGAGCCTCCTCTCCCAAGATGGAAGCCAAATTAACATCAAGTTTTGAGGCCGCAGCAAAGGACAAGTCTGTCCCTGGCATCGGCGCCGTGCTCGTCAGCTCCAAAGGCGAAGTCCTCTTCAAAACGGCGCACGGTACATTGAATCTGGATGATCCTGCTTCTCCGCCATTCACGACAGACACTACCTTGCAATTGTTCAGCTGCACCAAACTCGTTACCTCCATTGCTGTGCTCCAACTACTCGAACAGGGGAAGCTGTCACTATCCGACCCGGTCGAAAAGTACGTTCCCAGGATCTCAAGAATCCAAGTTTTGGAGTCGATGAGCAAAGATGGACCTATTCTGCGCGATCCGAAAACCAAGCCGACCATCCATCACCTCATCACCCACACGACAGGGTTCTCGTATGACTTTTTTGACCCATTGACACTGCAGTACCGCATGCACACTGGCCGCAAACCGAGTGGCTATTCGAACCCGAGCGAGTACGAGGATTTTGAGACTCCCTTCATCGCCGACCCAGGCACAAAATATGTCTACGGGGTAAACACAGATTGGCTTGGTTTCGTTGTCGAGGCCATCACCGGGATGAAACTGCCCGATTACATCGACCAGAATATTCTGAAGCCTCTTGGGATGAATAATACAGGTGGTATTCCAGATCGTTCAAAGCCAGGCCTGATTGTCCACTTCCCCGTGAATGGCAAGCTGGTAGCAGTGCCAGCAGCAGGGCCCACTGACAAGCCTGGGGTTTTTGGTGGGGGCGCATTTCTGTTCTCGACTCTCGAAGACTACTCCAAACTCCTGGCGACGCTGCTGAACAAGGGCACGAGCCCGACCACGGGCAAGGCCATTCTCAAACCGGACACCGTCGAGCAGTATCTCTTCACGGATCATCTGCCAGCGCATGTCGACCGGTCACAACTTGGTGAGATCAGCGCTTCGATCCCCGTGGCTTCGTCGGAAGGAGCCTTCTTCCCTAGCCTTCCAATAAGTTCACGCGGCTGGTCGTGTGGATTGCTTTTGAACCACGAGGACCTACCGTTCGGTCGGAAGAAGGGCAGTGGTGCTTGGGCTGGTTTGGGGAATCTCTATTACTGGATCGATCCCACCTCGGGTGTGGCAGGGATCGTTGGCACGGGTATGCATCCTTTTATGCACCCGACTGTTCTGAAGCTCTTTGATCAATTGGAACGTGTGGCATACGGTCACGAACCTGCAAGCGCTGAAGGAGATGAAGGCCGAATGAACCACAGGGCGGGCCCGCCTTCAGACTCGAAAAGGGCCAAAATGTGAACTAGCTTGACGACGTGTCCAAATATACATACATTTTCTGTCGTAGGCCCAGCAAATGGCTCTTTCTGCATTTTATGGTTTCAAAGGACGTGGCCATGGCCTCGAACATTTCCGATGACAAGATTCGCTTACTTATCAGAAACATACATACATGTGGTCTCCGGCGACCAACACGGCGCTTAGGGGGACAGTTCAACACTTTCTCCACTCCCTCAGACATATCATCCAACGTCACCATCGCCTTTCAAGAGTCGCGAGTAGATGTCTGAATTTGATGCCTCGTCCATTGTACGTGTTGTTTTATTCAATTGCAAGTGGCTCTGACTGGGACCGGTTTGACGGGGCTGGAATAAGCAGTGGGCAAGGCTGACGATTCGAATTGGCGCCGGGCGGGGAACTCGATGCCGACTTTGGCGCCTCGTTGAGACATTCATTGTTTCGACTCCAACCATTTTTTACGATGTTGGCGTACGCCATGTGCCCTGGAGAGTGTGACTCGGCTTCTGGTAGCTCTAGTGCCTTGCATGAGTGAACTTGCAGTATTTAGGGTGCCACGAAATGGCTGTGTTAGGCGATGGTCTCTTCGTACCTTTCCATCTCTGGTCTGGCCGTTTCACCATGTGGTGTAGGGAACCGGCTGGCCACAGGCCTCAGCCACAGTTTCTGCCTGCGACTGCGATCATAAATGGTCTCTCAGGGATCCCCAAGAACTTGAGATGGTAGGGTCTCACCCTATTCAATGTTCTGCGGACACAGACCATGAATTTACTATCACCACATGGCAGAATTGCGCGCTTGATACGAAAACACGCAGAAGGATATCAAAATGCAAACGTCTCGGATGGGGGGCCTCGAGCAAGAAGATGTGCCACCTTACCAAGCGTCGATTTGGCCAAATTTCTTACTACCCTGCACGTACTGTGGCAAAAGATCGTAGCCATTCTCCGTGGCAACCCTCTTCCCTATGATGAAGCGTTCAAGGCGACTCGAAGGCCGTCAATCAAGGTCCTCGTCATGCATCTCATCCCTATCGCAGCTGTCTTTGTCATCACCTCCTTGAACCTTTACGGGTACTGGATAGGCAAAGAGCTCTCCGGGGTCAACAACCAGAATGCTCCAAAGGAACTAGCGCTCCAGTTGACCGCGAAAGCCCACGAGCTGCTTATCCTGGCTTCCGTCAGCGAGATAGTACTCACTCATTTGCTCAAGAGTTTGGCTTGCGGCTACGGTTTGCCTTTTGGTTCGCTCACGGCCGGCAGCAAGTTCAAGGATCTGTCTTACATCTGGTCTCGGGACTTTCGCGCAATGTGGGCTGTTGGCTATCCTCGAAAATCGCTCCTACTTCCTCTGATCTTGTTATGTCTCGTTCTCAGCATCGTCGCTGGACCATCATCTGCCACGGCATTGATCCCCAGACTTGCTGAATGGCCATCAGGGAAGGCTGTCATGACTCTCAACACCACCGAAGATGCCTTATGGCCTTCCCGACTTGAAGGAGGTATTTCATCATCATCATCATCATCTACCAGTTGTGATAAATCTACATTGGGCTGCTTCAATCCGTTGACTTGGGATTCCATCGGGTCGGCCCTTTTCTCGTACTGGGGTCACGACACTACGGGCGGCTCGCCGGCACTTCCACAACATATCAATGTCCCGGGAGTCTCGTCCTTGCGATCAATGGACACGAAACTTCGGATTTCGGCAGGGTCACTGGATCCACCGTATACGCTCGCCACGGTCCAGCACGCCGTCACTGGGGACATGGTCAACACCTTCCGCTTCCTGACCTTTCCGTCCAGGTCGAAAAAGTGTGGAAAGAGATGGGCTGGTGCCATGTGTTCTTATCAAGACGTCAAGTGGTATGCGAAGACAATGCAACCATTGGTTTTGTCGACGTGCATGGAGACTGGACTGAACACGACGAGGATTGCATTTCCTTCACTTCAACCCAAGACCTTTGTTTTGACGACGCGATATATTGACATCCAGAATGTCACTTTTGGGGACGATGAACGACACCCTCAATTTCGTTGGGTGTCATCTACCAATCAAGAAATGTCGGACACTTCTGCGAGTATCGATGTGGTGGTCAAATTGCCAGCGACCACGTTTGGGGTGCGCGGTGGGTTCGCCTGTACAATTCAAGCGCAGTGGTCCAAGTCAACCACGTTTACAAGTTTCACTGGTACAGACAATCTGGTAAGTAGTACGGTGTCGGGAATGAAGTCTTCAATGCTCGACGCCAAACAATACAAGAGTCAACCGGTCTTGTCGATCGCGTCTGAATGGGCTCAGAGAGTTGTCGACAGTCGATTGAACTCTCAATCAAATGATACTCGTACGGCGTTTGAGAGTTTCATGCAACTTGGTGAGGTCGATGCCAATCCAGAGGGTAAAATTGAAATGGCACTGTCGGTCCTGTTCGCAGAGACGATGGCCCACACGAGTTCGGGTACGGCACCACTATCCATTTCCAGCAAATCTCTATCTCAAGGAGAGTGGGGTTTTGAGTGCCGGGCAGCAGCAGAATCAAGGGTTGCCAATATCGACATCACCGACGACTCCAGACGGCAAGCAGGAAGAACCGACGAAGTTTACGCTGTCAACCTCCACGGTAGGTTATGGCTATGGACTGTTCACCGTGTCGGGACTATCTTGGTCCACGATGATTTCAATCGTCGTGTTGTACGTGTATGCGCTTGTGGCCCTGGTCCATCTGGTGTGTCTTTACGCGTCCCGAGAATTGTACATCGAGTCGTGGAGAGAGGATAGTGAGATGCTTTTGGCTTGTTTATGGTCGAGAGATGGACCTGCCGTGTCGATGGGTGGTAGTGGTGGACAGGGAAACCTGAACGGAAGTCCGAATGGAAAGAGACAACCAAAAATTGGGAATGAAGACGAAGAATCAACGATTTTGAAGGAAATAGTGATGTTGACGTGTAGAAGGAAAAGGGCCGAGGTCTCATTTCGAACAAAGGGAATCCAATTGATAGATGATCCGGTTTGATAAGTCTCAGTGTATATGATTTATTAAACATTTGGTTTTTGGCTGCGTATATATATGAAACACATATATATGGCGACTGAGATCTTACCTAGTGCCATGTGCCGTACACAAGTATCAATGATAAAATATCTCCACAGCCCAGGTGTATACGCATACGCACAGACACACACACGCTCTCTCTCTCTCTCTCTCTCTCTCTCTCTCTCTCTCTCTCTCTCCCCGGCACTGGCTCTGGAATTGTAAGAAAAGAGGGAGTAGTGCGTCAAATTGATGTCATTCTCTTGAGGCTAATTCCAAAGAGAAGGACCACACAAGCATATCTCGGCATTCTTAAGCATCGACACACATGCACACCCAAAAGAAATTCGGTGCGTGTATTGGTGCACAACCAAGACCACATTCCTCGATTAATTCATGATCTTTGACGGTAAAATTGCCCTTCTGACTCTCGTTGAGATGATAACCTCCACAAACTGAGGAACTGAGGTGTGCTATAAAGCAAGCTGACGAAAGGCTAACAGACCTTCGACGACGAAACCTTTGATTCGACAGCGACTAAAAGGAGTGATTCGTATGCCATTGGAAGGTGACTTTTCGGTTGCTAGACTCAGTTATACGTCCTTCAAGGGATATTGCCGAGCATTTCAGTAAATGGCTGCGTATAGGTTGTAATCTGTAAGTTGGCGTATAAACAAGACCACCAGGACATTAGAGTTGACGACATACCCTCAAGCTCGATGGTCTCGATTCGGTTTGCATGCATGGCCCCTTTCATACTGGATGGTTCATGTCTCATGGTTCATTCATTGAGAATAGCCGACCCCGCAAAAAGAGCAGTGTCTGAAAAATCCGAAAAGATCTCGGGAAACAATTCCTCAATCGACCCTTGACCTTGGGGCATGAGAAAGGCATCTTCCGGGAGAGGTTCTCCAAGCATGTCGTCGTCGGCGCCGCCGCCCATATAGATTCGCGTGTCCATGAGATCATTGCCGTTGCTCTGCACGGGAGAAGGCAGGGTCAGGGTGTTATTCGCCATGGGCGATGATCTGGGTAGGGCATCTTCGATCCTCTTCAAGATCGACTCGCTCTGGGACAAGGCAGTCTCGGCGAGGTCCCACTTGTCCTCCTCGTGGAACCGCTTCAGGCAGTCGACGAGAGACCTGGCGCTGGCCATGCACTGAAGCCGCACGTTCGTGTAGCTCGTCTGCAGGGCGCAGCGGAGGAGGAGGGTCACGGCCGAGGTGAAGTGGTGGGCGTTGTACGGCATCCAAAACCCCATCAGGTCCTGCTTGCTCAGCGCCGTCACGAAGCGCACAATGTCTTCCGCGGCAGTTTGGCACCCAAGCAACCACGACGACGAAGGGTCGCTTTCCCGTTGGCTGATTTCGTGCCAGGCGATTCGACGGAGAAGCATGCGGACCGAGAGATAACATAGTTGGAGGTTGAGGAGACCAGGGACGGGTGGACGAGTCGTAAAGTCGGTCAGGTTCAGCCACGGCGGACGCCCCTCCACCCACCGATTGAGTTCGATCTCGGACCTCGATGTCTGCTCGGCTGCTATGCTGTCGTTGCCCGACCGGATATGGTAGATGAGTGGGAGCACGTCGCCGACGATCTCTGTAAGGCGACACAAGTGTATAAAGACCTCTGCTCCACGGACGTGCCTCGACGAGCCGCTCCTTCCGTACGTGAGCAGATCCATGGTCGGTAATGGAACGTCGTAATGACCTTTTGAAATGTAAGGAGGAGTGCCTTGGGCGAAGTTGAACCACCTGTCCTGTATCACTACTCCCCACCATGCTTTCCAGCGAAGTCTCTTTTCCGTGTCGGCAAGCTTCCATTCGCCGCAGTCATGGTTCAATCCGACGGCGTGCGACAAGGCGACGGCTCGAGCAACGTTGGTGACGTTGTGGAGCAGGCATCTGGACGGCCGGCCTGCCAGATCAAGACAAAGAGATAAGATAGTCGCCAGATCGCCCTTTTGCATATCCGCTATGTTCGCTGCTACTGACGTCTGCCACGCAACATCCTGGTCAGGTCTGGCATAAGCAGCAAGTGACGGCGACAGATCCCAGTAGAACAATGCGTATGCGATCAGGTTGACGTAAAAGGTCGCATGCATGACGGTCTTGTCTTTCAGCTTGGACATGACACACTCCTCGTCGGTGATGGGATAGCAAGGATGTACATTTTCGAAATAGTTGGCCAGCAACTTGTCGACAAAGGGCTCGACCTGGTCTACGAGTTCACCTGGAAGGTTCCTGCTGCAACTGCAACCGGCTGGACTAGGTCTGCGTGGCGGGACGGGGGTATGATATATCGGCTTGGTGGACTCTCGGCGGCCGAGATTCGGTTGTATGGGAACATGTCCAGCGAGGCCGTTTGCCGGGGGTAGATATTGGTCCAAGATTTGAGTGTCGCGAGCGATGACCGGGCCTACAATGTGCGAAACGCCCTCTAGAGGTTTGTCGTCGGCGAGGAGTGATCTATGGACGAATCCAATTCTGGGAGTGACTCGTTCGTCCTTCTTGGCCGTGGCAGAAGAACATGGCACACCGTGCATGCGGCAAAGTAAGCAAGCCTGACCGGGGACCTCGATGGTACATCGTGACCGGCGCTTGTGGCAGCGAGTGCACGCCGGGTATTTGTGAGACCGATAAGGTCGCGCGGTCTTCATGGTACCAGCGTGCATTTCTTTGCTCGCGACAGGCGAGTTGTGATGTGTCCGAGGACTGTTGATTGGCGATGGTGAAGTTGTTGAGTCCGGCGATGAGATTGAAGGCGCTTTCGAAGCCTGAAGCCGATCACGTGCGAAGCCTTCCATGGCCCCAACGCTAGCAAATAGATCAGGCTTTGTAGGGGCCAAATATAAATCAAATGTTCGAAAGGAGGGAGTATCTGGGTCATTAACGATAGCTGTATGGAGTACGGACTTATGATCTCTTGTTACTGATCACAATTGACATCTAGATTCTCTTATATGAATGCATCACCCGAATCGCTGTGTGACACCCAATGCTCGTCAATTCCGCACATTAGCAGAGGGGATCGTTTCATTGGGGGACCGTCACCCCTAGAACCCTCCCGGGAATAGGACTTCTCATCGATATGAATCTCTCCTTTACGAGTCAGCTTGACGATTGTGCCGCTCACCAGCTCCGTCACCTTTATCGAGACACAATCACCATCTAATCACACACCGACTTTCACGATAGAGGATAATGGTCTCGCGAATGGGAGTCTTTCCTTTCCGAAATGATGATCAAGAAAGGATAGTGGGAGAATTCATTCGTCCTATCGGATGGAGAGTTTTCCGACGGTCGATCTGAAATGGCAATGTATATCTTTCCAGGTTGACCCCGGCCCCAGCGCACCATGGCTTGTGCTTTGACAAGATCTGACAAAGCGTTTTGTGTCAAGGCATCCAGGTTATATTAGGGTCATGGCTCCTATGATTGAGGACAGCGTCTCCCACACAATCAACGCCCCCGGCAAACCCGTCAGCGAACCCACCTTGTATTCCAACGTAAATGAGGAGCACCTTCAGGCCATTGCATCGAGTTGCCTAGCCAATTATGGTACCAAGTTCGAGAAAGATGTCGTGGTTGGTAGCAAAGGGCTGTACGTCTACACCGCCAGTGGCCACAAGGTCCTTGATTGGACATCGGGTCAAATGTCATGCTTGATCGGACATGGACACCCCGAGATTGTGTCTACGATCCACGCTCATGCCGAGAATTTGGACCATCTCTTTTCGGGCATGCTATCGCCGCCTGTGATCAATCTGGCCCAGAGGCTGACATCCCTCTTGCCCGATGGTCTTGACAAAGCATTCTTCCTCTCGACGGGAGGCGAGTCCAATGAAGCCGCCATCAAGATGGCCAAGGTGTACACCGGCAAATTCGAAATAGTTGGCTTGGGAGCGAGCTGGCATGGTGTTACAGCCCAGGCCTTAGGCACACAGTACCATTATGGCCGTAAAGGACAAGGTCCAACGATGCCTGGAATGCATATGCTTCCCCCACCAAATACTTATCGATCCATTTTTCGCAAGCCTGATGGTTCGTATGATTGGGAGACTGAGCTCAACTATGGTTGGGACCTAATTGACCGGGCATCTTGCGGATCACTAGCTGCATGCATCGTCGAATGTATCCAATCCTCGGCTGGGATGCACGTTCTTCCACCAGGATACCTGAAGGCATTGAAGAAGCATTGTGAGAAGCGAGGGATGCTCCTCATCGTCGACGAGGCTCAGACTGGCGTTGGGCGATGTGGAGACCTCTTTGCTATCGACCACGAAGGCGTTGTCCCCGACATCCTGACCCTCAGTAAGACTCTGGGAAATGGCTTACCTTTGAGCGCCGTGATCACGAGCTTGGAGATCGAACGTGTCTGCGCAGAAAGAGATTTCTGCTTCTATACCACTCATGTCAATGATCCCCTACCTGCATCAGTAGGAGACAAGGTCTTGGAGATTGTGGTCAGGGACAACCTCGTGGAGAATTCCCGTACCCTGGGCTTGAGGTTACAGGCCGGACTGCAGAAGCTCAAGGAACGTTACGGTTGCGTCGGTGACGTGCGAGGGCGAGGACTGATGGCTGGATTGGAAATTGTGGGAGACCGCGAGACCAAGGCACCGGCCCTCGACCTCGCACGCAGAATTGCTGACAAGATGTATGAACTGGGCTTATGGGCAAACTTGAGCAGCCATTCCAGCTTCGGAGGCGTCTTCAGAATAGCACCACCCATCGTGCTCACTGAAGAGCAGCTGGATGAGGGTTTGGAGATCATGGTGAAAGCATTTCATATGACTGAAGGAACGATGCCGTTGAACTGATTGGAGACATTGGACTTGAAAAAAGTCGATTGAAAGGTATTTGAGCTAAGTTTGTGATGCTGGAGCATGATATGATGAACAGATCGATGTCGATATGAATTAGCGCTACAAAGACATGAATGATGATCATAACGATTGAACACTGAATGCAGGCAGCATCAGGACAACTGCTACTATTAGTATGGTAGTAACTAATTGCTCTACTCGAAATGTGAAGTCGACGTGTACTCGCAGGTGTGAATACGACAAGGCCGAAGCATGCCAGAGTCAGAGGTGAAGTTCTGTGAGGAACAGTATCCAAGATTTGAGGTGCTCTAGTTGGGAAAATCTGCTGATCATAATTTGTACAAGTGATAAGCTCCGAAATACATCAACTGTAAAGATGGTCTGATTGTAGTCAGGTTGATGTCTGTACAATATCGAGCTTGGTCTTGTTCTTGTGGTTGCGGTTGTTGTCATGATGGCGGGGTACTGTCTGTTATAATAGATGCGCCTAATGAGCAAATGTCCTTTTAAATCGCGTGGATTTCTCTTTAGCACCTCGCTTGAACATGACCCGCATCAAACGAGAGATACTGTACAGTACATAGAGTTGTGGAAGAAAAATCATACCATCATCTAAGCGAAGGAGAGTGGTTGGCACGAGAGGAAGAAAAGCTTCGATGAACAATTCTTGATATTGGCGCCCAGAGAAAAAAAGAGGGACAGGCACGAACTGCACAGCCTCAATCTTGACGTTTCCGCGGGTGGTTAGGGGTTCATTGGGGCCTGGGTACCACCTGGACAGTTGCTGGGACCTTGCTAAGCGCCCTTAAAACCAGTTGATCTAAAGCCTAAAGAGCCTAAGCAGCCTAGAACCATGGCATACTTCCCACGGTGTTTTGTTAGTTACCCCTCCAAACCTCCACCACCATCACTATCGCCACCACCTCCTCCTTCTCCGCCGCCTCGGCCACATCATCCATCTCGATAACTCGCTCAATACGGTGTACTACGTATCCATCCCGCCTGGTGACCATCCCGTCAGCACTTTTGCCCAGGCCTCAACTCCCCCCAAGACAAACAAAAGGCCGCCTGTTTTCCTTTCGTTACCTACTACTCCGCTACCCTAAGATCTTGTTCTCATCAGACGCATCTTTTCATCGGCGTCCCATTCTTTTTTCCTTTTTATCTCTTTGTTGTCTTGCCTTGCTTCAATCGAACTCAAAGCAACTCTCGCCGCACAGAGCACTTCTGATGGCGGACTTTGTGCCTCCTTCTGGACCGCCACCCCCGCAGGTGCCCGAAGGCTGGAAAGCCATCTTCAACGACCAATATCAAACATGGTAATGACTTGCTAAGAACCGGCTTGGGTTAATATGCGGAGATACTGACATTTTGTGTGCGCGTGTTCTCTCCCTCCAGGTTCTACGTCAACGTACACACCAAGAAATCGACATGGGACAAGCCCACCGGACCTGCCCCTCGACCCGACGACGATGCACCTCCGGGCGGCCCTCCTCCATCCTACTCTGCCGGGCCCGGTAGTCACGACGTGTCCGACGTCAAGCGTCGTTCTTTCGAGTCGAACAACCCCTACAACAAGCAGCAACAGCAGCACGGCGGCCACGAGTCGGACGAGGAACTGGCAAGGCGTCTGCAGGCCGAAGAGGACGGCCGTCGCGATCGAGGCCAGGCCGAAAGCTACTACAATTCGGGCGGCGGCGCCGGCGGCGGTCCCAGCCCGAACCCTCCGGGTCTACAGGGCGGGTACCCGGGAGGCCCCAGTCCCACGTCGCCGGGGGCAGGCTCGAATGGCAAGAGAGGATTGTTTTCGAAGTTGTTGGGCAAACAAGGCGGAGGAGGGTCGAATTCACCTTACCCCCAGCAAGCACCGCCCGGAAGTCCCTACCCTCCCCAACCCGCCGGTTATCAGCAAGGTTACCCGCCTCAAGGGCCGGGCTACGGCCCTCCAGGAGGAGGCTACGGCGGAGGTTACGGCGGAGGCTACGGAGGACCACCCATGGGCCCGGGAGGATACGGCGGCGGCGGCTACGGACCACCGGGCGGAGGGTACGGCTACGGCCAGCCGCAGTACATTCAACAACAGGCCCCGCCTAGGAGGGGAGGTGGCCTCGGTGCAGGTGGTGCTGCTGCGCTCGGTGTGGGCGGTGGTCTGTTGGGTGGCATGCTCCTCGGCGAGGCCATCGACGGTGGCGACGGTGGCGACGGGGGTGGCGATTATGGTGGTGACGACGGCGGTGACGGTGGCGGTGACTTCTAAACCAAAGCTGGGCCTGAGGATGCACGATGCGAGTACCATTTTACCTCAGTACCTTGGTACCACCACCAAGTCTCCTCTTTCACTTTACAGGGTTCAAAGCGAAGAACGAAATGATTTCACGTGGAAAATGAACGAAGCGGACAAAGAGACACACTCGTCTTTGAGCTCGGATGCGGTGTGCGCGTATGCCGGACAGGGAGGAATCAAATGTCGTCCAACAAGGCCTTGATCAAATTCCCTAGGTAACTTAGGTAGACGGTTCAGCACAAAAGAGGTTCAAAGCAAAACAGGACTGACTCGGTACTCTTCAAAAAGATCTTTCGCGCGCGGAAATATTTCTCATCATCTTGTGATTGACATGACCTCTCCACAAAGCCCTTAATGGCATATGTACATCATCTCTCCGACGTCCACTTCCTACCCAATCTACTTCGCAGTGATTAACCTCTTTGCCTCGGCCTCGGCCACGCCCAGCGTGGAAACGAGGTACTCAATACTCGCCTTCTCAGCCATGCGGCGCCTTACGTCGACAAACTTGTTGAAACAATCCTCCTTCACCCTCGCCCGCTTCCGCGCATCGATCGTCTTGAGTCGCAACTTGAACGTGCCGCTGACGGGCCGGTGGTCGCTCGTGTGCACCTCGTGACGACGGTATTCGATCTGCTTCACCCGCCCGGGACCACGGTACAGCAGTCGATCGCACCACGCGGGGGCCCGCTTCTTCTCCGACGTGTCGTAGTTATCCGTCCCCACGTCGTACTTGTACGTCGGGGCAAATGTGATGGGCAGCTCCGTGAACTGGGACAATCTAAATCCAGATACACGCCGGCGTGATACCATGATCTGGTCCCGCTCTAGAAGTTTGGCCAGTTCGTTGCGCTTGACCATATTGATCACCGTGTCGCGAGGGATCGTGTCGATACGATAGTTCAAATCGCCATTGAGTATGCAGATTTCGTGGTCGAGGATCTGAGTGCCATCACCACCGCCGACGTACAAAGAGCTGCGGTATTCTGGATCCGGTTCAGGATCCAGAGATTCGGCCTCGAGAATGGTTGCAACGTCATTGTTGCGGTGCGAAGTATGAGTCTGGCCTGCCGCAAGATGGCAATTGATGAAGCATACAGAACTATCGTCCAATGTGAAACGTGTGATTAATGCTCCTTTGTTGCCATAATGGCCTTTCAGGCCGAGCTTGACGCTGGCAGCTTGCAGGTTGCGAACGTTCTTACGTTCTTCCTGCCTGATGAAAACGCATTGAAAGAGACCAATCAAGCTCGAGGTCTGCAGCTCAGAGTAGGCGTAATGGGCGCCGGTGTACCGACTGATTGCGGATGTCAGATGGTCTCGCCATTCGCGGTAGACACGACTCTGATACTGTTCGTTCTTGACCGTGTCCTTCTTCTTGCCAAAGCCGAGAATGCTTTTAGCCGTCACCGCACGATCTTCAAGATCTACCACTTCCTGGAAGCCAAATACAAGAATCTCTGGCGGATCTGCGGCATGGATGGCATCCGCGATGAAATCCTTCTGTAGATTGTACGGAGACGAGGCTCCCACGTTCCATGTTACCACAGCGGATCGAATTTCGCGAAATGTGCAGTATTCGATGTCGCGCTTTTGCATCTCAGACTCTATCCAGTCCTCTTCGAGCGCAGCATCCCAGAGTCTGACAAAGTTGTCGTGGCCGATCGTGACAACCTGAAGTCGTTGTAAAGTCCATACGCTACGTGGATCGAGCAGAAGCTCGTGAGCTGGGCCGTTATGCGCACGCCAGTCCTTGTTCACCTTCCAAGGTGATGTCGAAGTGTCGTATACATAGACCATGCCAGTCTTGAAAGCCGCCCATAGCTTGTCTCCGACGAACGACATACTGTTGATCTTATAATCACTGGCTTTGACATTTCCAACGCAGGAAAAGTCTTTGGTAGAGTAAATGGTCACTCGCCCATCATTGTGGCCGAAATATGCTCTGCCACCACCCTCCGTTGAATGAGTTCCACAAGTTACATCTCCTGTGCCGTGTTGTGACAGAGGTTTTGTCAATGCAGTAAACGTCATTTCATCCCCGGGGTTATAGACGCGAATTTCTTTGCCAGTGGCAAGCCACAGTACACCATTGACGGCCATCGAGAATGAATGGCCTTTCTGAACCTTGTGAGAGATGTGACTATACTTCATGTTCGGGACGCCTGTTTCATCTGCTTTCCAGACGAAGAGCTTGCCATCATCGTCGAGAGTCCACAAGTCTCCCCCACTTCGCAGGACGCGAACAACTTCTCGACGATTGTGGACGGAAGTGGTACTTTTGATGGTATAAGTGGCCACTTCTACTTCCATCAGTTCACCGGCATTCGTGCCCAACCATATTTTGGCACCCTCGCCAGACAAGTCTGCGGCAGGCTTGAAGGCGAGTGCAGTTACTTTGACCGTCTCGCCATGGTTGATACTCATTATCTGCTCACCAGAGGTCATGTCGAAGACGCGAGTGGTGTAGCCAGCCGTGCAAAGGTACTGGCCACAAACCTCCATCGTCCTCGCATCGGACTTCGTGGCGATTTCCCACACTGCTCCTTTGCAATAAGGAGGTCGACGGTTGGTGTGAGTTGCATCAGGATATTCTGATCTGATGGTTGAAGGTTCTTCGACAAGTGCTTCTGCTTCATCCGAGTCACTGCCATAAGTCCTTCCACCGACTCTGCTAGGGGACGTGCCATTAAGTGTCTGCGATCTTGATGGCGTAGCTGAAGTAGGCTCAATGCTGTCAATACTGCCACGTTTGGGTGGAGGAGGAAAGCGGGTGTCTATTGGTACAGTGGGAGCCCTCGATAATTGCTGTGTTGGAAACGGTTTCCTAGACCTATCTGGTGTCGTTATCTGACTCGGAGGAGGCATCGACCTTTGTGAATTTTTAGACTCATTTGATGGTCGTGGAGGAGGTTCAACGTTTCGCCTAGGGGGGAGTCCGGGGCGCGGCTCTTCCTCGATGATGCCGACTTCAGATTGCTGGTGAGCAGAGAATCCAAATAGCCTAGCATCTCTTGCAGGTGCAGCACGGGGTGGTGGCAGAGCGTGAATAGGAGGAGATGGGCTTGGTCTTATTGTCTCCGACACATGTCGGGGCGTTGGGTTGGATGTTCCAAGGCCAAAGTCTCGTGGGTCTCGTGAAGGCTTTTCCGACACTGTGTTTGCTCTAGAGGGTAGGCTAGTCGATTGCTGAATAGGCTGTGGTTGTGATTCAGTAAATCCAAAACCAAGACTCCGTGGGTCTTTTCTGTCCACGCCTGTTGGTTTCGAGGCAAACCCCATGAATCGTGCATCCTTCGGTCGCTCGACTGGTTCAGGAAGAGGCGGTCCTGTGTTTCGACCCGATGAAGGTGTGGGCGCTACAGGTCTAAAGGATGTGGTGGGAACATTTGGCTCAGGGCTTCTTGATGGGGAACTTTCGTCACTGCTAGGGGGTGTGTTGAATGGTGATACACGTGCCTCAAAGGACGGCCTACGTGCCTCGGGGTTCAATGCGTTGGAAGAAGCGGGTGGTCCAATGGGAACTGCGATAATGTTTGGCTTTGCCGGCACTTTTGGTTTGTCGGCTCGATTCACAGGCGGTGGCCTAGCCGGCGACTTTGATAAGGGTATCTCTCCCACCTTCTGCTCCCTGTTGCCCGCTTTCGAAATGTCCTGATGCTCCGGACTCGATGCTCGAGGTGAAGGAGGCCGAGAGGAAGCTCGGCTCGAGTGCTGGGATATGAGCTCCCGGACTTTGCCGAAGGGTGTATTGTCAACTCGTTCCGGAGACCTTGAAGCGCTTCTCTCGAAGAAGGTGCGAGGAGGTGATCGGGGAGAGTCGACTTTGACAGACGGCGTAAGTTGGGGCGATGACTGCACCAACATCGACATTGGCCGTTTGTGGCCAGGCCTTGTGGGAGACTCATCACCTCTCGAAGGAGTGAGCGAGCCTTGACGGTCGATATTCCCGCCAGCCGCCCATGGAGACGTGGGCCGCACCATGTCAAATGATTTCCTAATCATTGGAACTGGCGACTGCACATCGACCGGCCGCAATGGCTGCGGAGAGGAGGGTGTACTGCCCCGGTCATCTTGCAGCGCTAGGTTGACCTTCAAGCCCTCAAAATGAGATCGTAGAGATGATACTGGTTTTATAGGGGCGGCATCTGTGCCTTTGTCTGTCTGTTCGGCCATAGTTGTCGGTCATAGTTCTCTCGGGCGGGCAGTGGCAGCATCAAGCAGAAAGCTCGCAGGCATTGCTGATCATAGGCTATCACTGCCAGCGAAACATGCCTGATGTTTCCAGAAACCTTGTACCTTTCAGATAGCAGATGAAGTTTCCAACAACAGTGTCACGTTTGGCTAGGGCGCTTCTTGGTGGCTTCGGTGAGATGTAGGCTCGAGGTTCGCGGGTTTGGGAGGAATGGATGGAACACGAGGGGTGGACTGTTCCGAACAGACTATGAAGCGGAGAAAATCAGGTCCATCCGGATGATGCGGTTTTTAAAATCGGGCTGGTAAGAATAGGAATGTACTGGATGGGTGTTTGAGGTCTACGTATGCTCCCATCAAACTGCGGTGGGCATTGTTGACTGCGGAGAGACATGCGTCGCAAGCCTGAAACATTCAATGCGGGACAAGGCTGAATGCTGACCAGAACAAGGCTGCATCACGTGAGTGTCTCAACCATTTTCTCAAATGTGAGTGCGTTCCTGTCTGGATTAGCTAACAACACCACGCGTGTTACGAAGTACGAAATGATGGACTACGTCTTTGTTCATATTGCCATATTGATGCGCTTCAAAGAAGCAGCCAGATTCATGCAGCATCCGTATCGCTCTCGCATGGTCCCTGGATCAACGTCGTTCCTATGAATATCTTTCTCGCCGTGATGGGAATGGACTGACTCTGTGCGGCTCAATGCTAAACCCAAATGCCATTGACCCTCTCCCCCAATCCTTCAGCAATAACAGACATGAATCCACAACTCCAGGCCTTCAACAGTCGGAATTGAAATCCATAAAGTGACCTCATGATATTATACGCGAGATTCACAACGCATGTCCGTCATCGCGCACTTACCATTGCCTCCTTTTACATGATGTCATGATGAAAACATCATGACCTCGAGCGCGAAGTCCCCCGGCAGATGGGATTTAGAAAGAGTCTCGTACGTTGCGTAAGAAATATATCAGGCAGAAGACAGTCAGTTTTTTTGTCCTTACGATTCGTTCCTCCTCCATCGGCTCTTGAAAATCCAGTCCTCTAACTTTAAGCCTTCGATAACACTCTCATTACACCTGGAACTCTCACGATGGCTCTCTCACAAGCAGCAGCCGTGGTCGAGAAGATCATTGGCCATGGTGGCGAGGCCACGACAGAACAAAATTTGACCAATCCGGCGAAAGATCCCTCCAAATATGCCGATCCTTCTGGCGAGAAGATGAAGGCTCTTGTATGGAATGGCAAAAACGATGTCAAAGTCGTCGAGACCTTCAAACCCGCCAAGATTGAAGACACCGATGTCATTGTCAAAGTCACCGGATCGACTGTTTGCGGATCAGATCTGCATCTGTTGCATGGAACAGTCGTCGAGCTGCAAAAGGGGGATATTCTAGGACATGAATTCTGTGGCGTGGTAGACAGTGTTGGCCCCAACATCAAGAACGTCAAGCCCGGCGATCGTGTGGTCTGCAGTTTCCAAATCGCCTGTGGAAGCTGTATGTATTGCCAGAAGAAGTTGAGCAGTCAGTGTGAAAAGACAAATGACAACACGATTGAAAACATCATGTACGGTGGTCGCACCGCGGGCATGCTTGGGTATTCCCATTTCACAGGAGGTTATGCAGGTGGGCAAGCAGAGTACGTCCGGGTTGCCTATGGCGATGTGAACCTCCTGAAACTCCCCGACAACGTGCCTGACGAGAAGGGGCTATACCTGTCCGACGTGCTCAGCACGTCGTGGAATTGCGTCGTCGACACTGGTGTCAAGGATGGAGATGTCGTCGCCATTTGGGGTGCGGGTCCAATTGGCCAAATGTGCGCCGAGATGTCCTTTGTCAACGGCGCAAAACGAGTCATCATCATCGATGGCGGGGAAGCGGCCTGGCGTCTAGATTATGTTAAGTCCAAGCTGCCCAAGGTGGAAACCATCGACTTCACCAAACTACCCAAGGGTGAAACGATTGTGTCTATGCTGAAAAAGATGGAACACGGCGGCCCTGATGTCGCGCTGGAGTGTGTCGCGGGTGAATATCCGAAGGGCTGGGCCCATTACTTTGAACTGGCCCTCGGGATGGAAACCGACACGTCTGAGATTGTGAACGAGATGATTGCCAGCGTCAAAAACTTTGGCCGCTGTGGCATCACGGGTGTGTACGTCGGATATACGAACCACTTCAACATCGGATCCCTGATGGAGCGAGGCATCCGCCTGATCGGAAATGGTCAAGCGCCGGTACACTTGTACTGGGAAGACCTACTGAAGAAGATCCAAGATGGCACAATTCAACCACTAAACATGGTCAGCCACCGTGTCGACCTTGCCGAGTTGGAGGAAGTGTACAAGCGCTACGATGCGCGTGAAAAGGGCATGCAGAAGGTATTTGTTCAAACCAAGTTCAGCTTCCCTCCGGCAGCTGGAGCACCACAACTCACGAAATTCGGGACCGGATGAAATGATTCTGGATCTAGCAATTGTTACTGTGGCGTTTGAGGTTGTTCCAGTGGAAATGGCGGCAACACATGTATTCGATATATCGCTACAATGCACAATTGGACATCACGATCTTGTCTTGCAAATATTTTAAAGCATAAAAAGTATTTTGACTGGAGCAACTGTGTTTCATCTTTTCGTCAACCGTGTCTAGATGTAGATTCTTTGCCAATTATAGTGCCTATGCATGTCATGGAGTCACGTGTACAACAGGACAAAGCAGTGCCAATGTTGTTCTTCCAAGTCGGCGGGTTTGGCGCAATCATTTTCCAAAATACTTCAACTCGACGTAGCGAGCCGGGGCATAAGTCAGGGCCGTGACGACCAAAGTAAATTCGTTGGCGACATCACCGCCGGAGTCCCCGATGACCTTGGCAAGGGGTCCGACGAACCAAGTCTCGCTCATGCCCATGCACCAGGCGACCACCCCGAGACTGAAGGCCACAGCGGCGGCGATGCCATGCGGCAGCCTCCTGGGATCGTTCCACCCTTCGAGGTCGTAGTTGGCGAAATTCCCCTTGCGGAAAATGACGTGCTCCTCCAGCAGGATGGCAAAGTAGCTCGTGCACCAGTAGCCCAGGAGACTGAGGAAGTCGCTCAGGTAGGTGTTGAGCTGTTCCCGACCTCCCAGGGCCAGGGCGATGATGGCGGCGAAGCACACAAAGGTCCAGACGAAGCGCGGGATGCGTGCAAAGGGGCGCGAGAACTGCTGGCACGAGATGGCCGCACTGTAGATGCTGATGACGTTGGTGTTGATGCCGGACAGGACGAGCAGGGTGAGGAGGAACTTGGCGAACCCTCGAGGGTACAGCATGTCCTGGATCAGAAAACCCAACCCTTGGTTCTCGTACGCGTCCTGCCAGTGGGGTTTGTTGTTGAGGGCGCTGGCGACGACGCATCCCGCCGTCATGCCGATGGAGGTCGGGATGGCGATGCCGAAAGCCGTCATCAAAAACACCTTGACCCTCGACACGTCGGCCGGGTAGTGCACGTAGTAGTCGCTGGCCATGGTGCACCAGGACGCGCTGGACCCGTAGACGATGGCGAGCAGCGACAGGACCGTGCCCGAGAGCGTGGCGCCCTTGAGCGACGACGGCGTCGTGTTGTCCGCGTACCGCCCCGTCTCACCGAAGATGATCATGAAGATGACGAAATAGATGAGCCATGCGTAGCGTTCGTAGACGAGGATGGCGTTCAGCCCGAGGAACGAAATGACCAATGCCACAACGGCGATGATGATGATGCCCACCACCAGCGAGACGTGACCGTCGGCGACCGCAGTCAGGGCGAGACCGCCCGTGATGCATCCCACGGCGGCCCAGCCGAGTTGTTGAATCGCGTTCAGCGCAGCGATGAGCTTGTTCGGCCACCATCCGAAGCTGTAACGGCTCACCGAGATCTGACGGAGACCCGTCGCCGCGCCAAAGGTAGCACAGTAGCCCGTTACCGATCCGCCGAGGATGGATGCGAAGATGGTGATCAAGAGCGCCTGTTTGAGACTCAGGCCGAATTCCCATCCCAAAAACCCGGTCGCGAAACACGACGTGTTCATGGTGCCGCTGGCCCAGAGCAGGGCCATGGTGAGCTGCTCGTGCCATGGGACCGGTCTCTTGTCCTCGGGCCTCTTGCGGACGATGGCCTCGGATTCAATGCCGAGCTTTGCGTCCATGCGAGCCTCGAGGCGGCGAAGTCTGGACAAAATACCATGGTCCTGGTGCACGACGGTGTTGTTGTAGAGTTCCGTCGACGCCGATGGAGACTCGGTGGCGAATTCACCGCTCGTGTCGTCAAACGTCTTCGGCGGTGCATCGTGGAACTGGCCTTTTTCCTCGTCGATAGCCATCTTGTGTGGTAGGACTGTAGGGATTTCTGCTGGCGTCGAGAGAACCGTGTGAAAGGTTTGAGAGCACCCGGGACGGCGGCTTGGGGGTGAATCAGGTACGAGTACTTGACGAGGGAACAGCTATATAAGAATAAAAGAGATCTCCGCTGTCGCGTGAGACGGAAGAGTCCCAGTCCAACGGGAAATTCTCTCTCGATCGAATGGAGAAGAACTCAGAATGGCAGGTCGTAAGCCTTTGGATAGCGTTGGTTGATGGAGTCAAAAGCTCGCTCGCTTGATTGATCCGTCGCGTGGGGGAGTTCCCAGAGTGGTCAATTGAATGTATATCAGGGCATCTCGGCCCATCGACCCCTCCATGATAAACGAGTCGGCTCATGTCAATTGGTCGTGTGTGCAGTACGATGGTCTTCGACACCAACAGAAGACGACGTAGAGTGTCATCGGGCGTGGAGTCTTTTGGGGTGGTATTCATGAAAGACTCGGGTCGAGGTGCCGCCTGGAGAAGCCATTTTGAGGCCTAGAAAGATGTCCATGACGCCCTAGTCGACGCCTAAGACCGAACGCTAGGCTTGAACAGGATTCTTCCCGGCAACAAGCATTTAGTTCTTGGTTGGTGGGAAAAGCTTGGCCAAATCTTGGATTCTTTTTGTTACTTGGTTTACTTTTCAACCTTGGCACCGACTTTGAATGACCATGGCTGATCCTGTTCAATCGTTACCAATATCAATTGATGCCTTTTCCCAATCTATACTCTGAGATGAGATATGTTGAAATTCAATCTTTCTACGGTGACGAGGTAAGTGTGTATGACTAGTACCTGCCCAATGGTGAGATCAACCACAGTCGTGCCCCGACCTCCCACTTCACCTCTTGCAAGAATGTAGGTACATCACAAGGTATTATCTGAGCTACTAACGACAGGCATCATGAGCGCTGAGCCAAGCAAGGGCGAGTCTTTGTGATTCCCAGTATGCACTGGACTTCAAATCTCGGAAACACGGGAAATTGTTCCCCGATTCGAACCGTGGGATCTGGTTCGCCATGTCCAATATGGCACCTTATCACTGCAGCTGGAGCTCATAAATCTACTCACTCGGTCACGCATGAGACTCCTTCGAGATCACTTCGAGCCTGGTTCTAGCCTCTCTTCCCCCAGCAAATCGCCCACGAGATCTGTTTGGTGGCGCGAAAACAACCTGAAGATAATGCCTTGGCCATTCACAAAGACGTTAGGGCTCCACTCGTTGGTATGTTGCCATATCATGGCTTATCACGCCATACAGGGGTTTCAACACCAACCAAAAGTGCTCCCATATTATCTAGCCATGGGTGCTTGATAAGGCTCGTGCAGGGTTTGCGCAGAGCTCGCCTTGGATAGGACCAGCGGCAGCCCTCGCTTCAAACAGCTATAAAGTAGTGGTTGCCACGTTGTTCCCTCGGATTCAACCTCGCTTCTATAGATTCTCTCAGCCTGACCATCATCTGACTGCATTGGCAACAACATTTTTCGCGATGTCTCATCCGGTCTATTACAAGGATGGAGAAAAATATATCAGCAACGATGTCTCGGGCGTCCAACCCCCGCGTAGACGCTCGATTGAGGTTATTAACGCGCTGGTGGTCGAGGATCATACCCACGAAATCAGACTCAGAACCATGTCCTGGCAAAAGGCTGCTTGGCTGCTCGCCGGCGATCAGGTCTGCCTCGCCATCATGGCTCAAACATGGTCCCTCTCCGTCCTCGGCTGGGTTCCTGGCATCATCACCATGGTCGCTGCTGGAGTCCTTTTCTGGATCACCTCTATCACGATGCACAAGTTCATCATGAAGTACCCTGAAATTATGAACATCTGTGATTTCGGCTACTACATTTTCGGCAAGTCCCGAGCCGCCTATGCATTCAGTGGCTTCATGCTGCTTGCCAACAACATCATCCTCATCGGCTTTCACATCCTCACTGGCGCCAAAGTCATCAACACTCTCTCGGACCATTCACAGTGCACTGTCGTCTTCTCTGTCATCGTCACCCTGATGGGCATCGTCATGTCGATCCCCCGGACTCTTCACCATGTGTCGTTCATGTCCATGTTCTCCGCTTTCTGCATGGGAATTGCCATTCTGCTTTTCCTGGTCTTTGCCGGTATCGAGGATGCCCCTGGGTATGGCTATGGCGGTAGCTACCCTACCGAAGGACCTGTGAGGACTTATGCCTTTCCCCTACCCGGCACCACATGGGTGGACTGTCTAAATGCAACACTGAACATCACATTTTTATGGGTCCCACAAATACTGTTCCCAACGTTCATCTCTGAGATGGAACGGCCCCAGGATTTCCCGAAATCTCTCGCTGTCCTCACAGCTATTTCTGCCTTCCTCTTCATCTGCCCGCCAGCGATCGGGTTCCATTATTTGGGTCAATACTCGACCGCTCCGGCCTTTGGATCTCTGGGACCTCTCGTGTACAGAAAGGGGAGCTTCGCCTTTGTCATTGTGCCGACGCTTGTGATCGGGGTCATTTACGCCAACGTCACGGCAAAATTCCTCTATACTCACATCATGGGCACGTCACGACACGCCCACAGCAATACAGTCATTGGATGGGGTATATGGGGCTTAGTCATGGCAGGGATCTGGCTTGTGGCTTTCATCTTCTCCGAGGTCGTTCCGAGCATGGGCGACTTTTTGTCTCTGCTTGGTGCTGCCTTCGACTCGTTCTTTGGGTTCATCTACTTCGCCATTGCTTATTATTGCTTGTATAAGGGCAAGCTGTTTGCTGGCGTCGGCAGGTCGATCATGACTGCAATTCACGTTTTTGTTATGGTAGTGGGTCTTTTCTTGCTCGGTCCCGGCCTTTACGCCGCAGTAAAGGCAATCATTGCAGATTACTCTGGAAGTACGACACCAGCTTTCAGTTGCGCCAATATGTCTATTTAAGCCATGATATGATCGAACGAGCATCTAGACCGCCAACAGAGAAAGTACTGCGAGTTTGATATATATCTATATTGGATATCATCGAGTGCCACCCGGCACAGTTCTATTCATGGTACTGAAAAGTACATCATTTTCTCCCCTCATAAGCACCTACCCGTCTATTTCAATCCCACTCCATTCAACATTGTAGCTTGACGGTAGACTTGGTCGCTACGTATATTTTAATACCCCGGACAACGGCTAGAGCCTTTTTATTCCCAAACCAAATCAACTCTCTCGCCAACCACTTTACTGTTGAACCACTCCAGGATTTCGACCTTGTCCTTGAGAGTGTGGGCACCCTCCAGAGCGTCTGCTCTTGCCAATCTCTCTGTTGCGCAAAACAGTTCGACCGTCGCCAGATTTCTAGCTATGCATTGCCGACTGCCCAATCCGAACGGGATGGCGTCGCGAAGCATTTCCTCTGTGGGTTCTGCCCATCTCTCCGGTTTGAACTTGTGGGGCTCAGGAAAGACCTCGGGGTTGAGGTGGAGAGTATATGGCTGACAGCTCACAGTTGTCCCAGGAGGGAAATATGTGTCCTTAAACGTCCAACCTGCAGGCGGCACCACTCGAGGTAGGCGAGAGGGGTTCGCCATTGAAAGGCGGAGACCCTCTTTGACAACACCACGAAGGTACGGTAGAGACTGGAGATCGTCAAAGCCTGGGTCTGCTGAGAAGATCTCCTCGCGGAGCTTCTTGTAACATTCTGGCTGGCGAGTGAGGTTGAACAGGATCGTGGCCATGTTCATACCTGTGCTGTCTGTTCCGGCGAAGATCAGATCTTTGCATTGTGCGCGAGTCTCTGAGATGGTGAGCCCCGCCTGAAGAAGCCTGGCAGGGTATGAGGTCAGTGGATGAGAGGTCTTCTCGCTCGACTTGGATGCAGCAATTGCCGCCTCGGCCTGGGCGACCACGCCGTGGACGTATTCATCAACAAGAGAAAGACTCGTCGAGACTTCAGCTTCTGCATTCCACCATGCATCGAATGACTCGACCCACTTGAATGCCCACGTCGGGAGGTACCAGAATCTACCGACCGCCACGAAACAGTCGACCATACCACTGGCGCTCATGTGTTGTTCGTGGTTTTCTGAGTCTGGAGTGCCCGAAACTTCCTTCCGGACTGCTCTTTTCTCCTGACGTGCTCCAAATTCGTCGAGAGCACCATAGGAGTTTCCGAGCAGGTACGAAGAGACAGCATCGACAGCCAATCCTCGTGTGAAGTTCAGCATGTTCATCGGCTTGCCCAGGTTGTCTGATCTTCTGCCCTCCTTGAGTCTATCCACGAACCTGTCGACACATTGGTATATGATATCTTGTCCTTGTCTGAGATTTGTCGTCGAGAACATCGCAGCCACCGCTTTTGCGCGGGGAGCCCGTCTAGCCGGGTCCGTCTCGGAGAAGATGGACTTATGTCCATCGATATCAAAGTTCGCATAGAAGTCTGTCTTTCCGAAGCCACCCTTCTCAGTGTATATTGTTGCCAGAGCAGTGCCATCTGCTATGTCCACGCTGTTTGGTCCCGTGCGGACGATGGGGCCATACTTTTTGTGCAAGTCGTCGGTGATCGTGGCTTCGTCACCAATCCATGCATGCCACGTCAACCATAATGACGATACTCGAGCTATAACAGGGCCAGGGATATGAGAGAGTGGGTGAAATGGAGACACTCGATATAGGTAACGAACGAGTAGGAGGACGACCGGCAGAAAGAGCAGGGACATAAATGGGAAAGCGAAGAACGGAGCGAGAACCAGGCTGTGGATGGCCATGGTCGCTGAAACACCGAAAAAAAAAGAGAGCCTCACTTGAAAGTGCCTAGAGGAAGAATAACGACGAGTACTGACTGTGGTCGCATTATCAGCAGCACGCGCCTGGCGAGCCTTTTACGGAGTACATGTGTGTCGTTATCAATCGTGGCGTTAGCATTGGTGATGACTCTTCAACATTTGTTCTCACGTCGACTCATCACTGTCCCGCAACGGTGATGTCCACTCCTCACAAGTCCGCATGGAACGGACAAAACCGCGGTCCCTATCAATTCCACCCGCCCGCCGACAGTGGGAACCGATGGTCTGTGAGCAAGAGAGGGTCTACACGGCCTATCCGAGGATGATCATGGAGATGTGAGCGATAGGATTCTCTTCCAGCGCATCAACCAGGATCACATTCAAAATAGACGGCGGAATTGACTTTTGAACACCACTCCGAAGTTAGATCAACGAATACGAAGTAACAGTCACCGTAATAAGTTGTATGAGCAGGAGATCGGACTTTCTGTAACAACTCGAACCACTCGAAACAATCTATCCTTGATAAGCAATGGGTTCCATTCAGACCAACGACGGCGCCACGGCTGGCCACACGGCCGAATCGACACGAAAGGTGATTGTGGCGGGCGCTCAATTGGGACCCATCAATATTGACACTCCCCGATCTGAAGGTATCCGACGAATGGTGAAATTGATGGACGATGCACACAAAGCCCATGCCAAACTCATCGTGTACCCAGAGATTGCTCCGGTCACATTTTTCCCCAGGCACATCCTCGAGGGGGAAGAACTGGAAAAGTATTTTGAGCGAGAAGTCGGCGGGGACATCACCAAATCCCCAAACCTGAAGCCTCTCTTTGACAAGGCTCGCGAGTACAAGATGGACGTGAGCATCGGGTACGCCGAGTGCACAGGCGACGACCACGTACACTACAACACGTGCATATACTACTCCGGACAGGTGGACAAGGTGGTCTCGAAGTACCGTAAAGTTCACCTGCCGGGGACGTTCGAACCGTATGAACGCAAAAACGCCACGAACCAACTCGAGAAGAGGTACTTTAAACCGGGGAATCTGGGCTTCGAGGCGTTTCGGGCCCCTGAACTCGTTCCCGATACCCTGACAAAAACGTCTGGAGCACAGCCCAACGAGCCCGACACTCTGGGCAAGGGAGATCCCATCGTCGGCATGATCATCTGCAACGACCGACGCTGGCCGGAAGCCTGGAGGGTTTACGGTTTACAAGGGGTCGAGCTGATGCTATGCGGTTACAACACCACGGCCTGGGCTCCGGAATTGTTGGGTACAAACAAGAAGATCTCGACTCAAGAAAAGGCAAAGGCCGAAGCACTTTTCCACAACAAACTCAGCCTGACTTACAACAGTTACGCCAACAGTTGTTTCAGTATCAACGTGGCCAAGTGCGGGTTCGAAGACGGCAAATACCCTCTGATCGGTGGCAGTTGTATCGTGGATTGTGACGGGGAGGTCGTAGTCGAAGCTTCGACCGAGGAAGATGAATTGATCGTCGCCGAAATCGACCTGGGCATGTGTCGTCGCGGGAAAGGAAAAGTGTTTGCTTTTGAGAAGCACAGACGTGTCGAACATTATGGTCGGATTGCCGAACAGACTGGGGTACGGGAACCTGAATTCTTATAGATCTCTCCCCTACCAACGGAGTACTCGTAGTACACTGGTAGGTGTCGTACATTCTTTTCTATTCCGACCTAATTACAGTACTCAGTATCCGTACGCGATATATAACTGGACATGAGCAGTAAATTAAAAGGCTCGGTAGGTTTGGAGTTTGGGCTGAAGGGCCTGGAAGGATGGTTCCATTATTATTATCGGGGGCTGAGGGAGGGATGGACCGCGATACGGGAGTACTTACTACGAGTGCTCCGGTACTGTACAGGGGTTCAACTATGGAATCCTCCCAGGTGGTTTGAGATATATATAGCACAAAAAGTCCGGGCTCCCTTTACGAAGATCTCCGTCACCTAAAAACCAGCCTCTATTTACCTCTACTCCGTATATCTTGGGACGATCGGGACGCCTGAGGCTGATGCATTTTGTCTAGGGCATCGTTAAGGGAGGATTAGTGGTTGTAAAGTAGAGTAAGCACTCCCTACGGAGTTCTTTCTATGCGGACTATAGCTAGCACTTATTAACTGTAGGCTGTAAGATAAAACATATACTGTAGTGACGCCCATCACCGGTCATTCTTTTCATCTTGAACTTACCTCTACAGTAGATATCTACAAGAATATCCCTACTCTCGACTCCCTACCTGAGATTGATTCTGGACACTAATCGCAGTGGTGATCGGTGACCGGTCTCCTTACCTCATCTATTCTTCTTCTCCCCCCTCCACAAAAACCATCACCAGGTTCCTCCTCCAGAATCTCGCCCCAAAAAATCCCTTGTCCTTTCGCCTGGATAACAACTACTCGTAACTGCAGGGGGGTTTGATCTGTCTCAGTTTGAGAAGAAAGTTGTCGGAGAATAAAACAGGCGAACACGCCATCATCACCAATACCCGCATCATCATCATCATCATCATCATCATCATCATATTCACTCTGTGCCACATAGACACACACGCACTCACATTATCGTGTCAATTGTCAAACCGCCTTTTCCCGTCTGTCCCGTTGGATTTAGCGACTTCACTGGGTCCCTTTTCTTTGTTTTGCAAGCCTGGCTGGTGTTTTTGCCGAGTTTTTGACTTGGTTCCCCTTGCTGCCCAGATTTTGATTTGTACGAATCAGTGACCTTGTATCCCGTCCGGAGTACTCCATTTACAGAGTACCAAGCAAGAGAATCAACCTCGCTTAATTGACTCGCCCTCTGGATATTCCAAGCTCTTCTTTTTTCAATGGCCGAATTACAACAACCTCAACAACATCCCATTTCCCTTCGACCAGGTGGTTCTTCTTCACGATCTTCTTCCCCTCAACCTCAACCACAACAACACACATTTATCAATTTCGAAAACTCTTCTACCGACGACATGCAAAATTCATCGTCTTCTTATCAGCAACAACCCCGCCACATGTCGGGACCTGGACCTTCACAATACGGTGGCGGCGGAGGGCCTTCACCATCACAATCTCCTCCAGCTCAGCAACAACAGGCCTACAGTGGTGGCGGTAATAGATTCCCCAGTCAAAATTATCCTCCGCCACAACCACAATCGCCCACAAATGAAGCTGGAGTGCCAGCTGGGAACCCATTCGCCGACAATTCACGATCGCGCAGCAGCACACTCGGACAAAGTTATCCCATCGCCCTCGGAGGAGGACAACCGCCAATTCCCATCTCACCACCCCAACAGACGGTTCAACCACTTTTCGCACAGCACAGTGGGGCCGCTGCGTCGCAGTCGTCACGGCCGGTGTCCCGCTCGGCCAACATGAGCGGACCAAGCACGCGGCCAACGAGTTCGAGCACCACCACGAAATCACCCTTTTCCACCCCCGTCACGTCACCTCCCCGACAACGACCCTTTCAGATTTTGCTCATCAACCCCAACTCGACCCGGCCCATGACGGAAGCCTGCCTGACCTCGTTGAGGCCCATCATCCCGACGGGGGTCGAGGTGACGGGTTACACGGCTCCTTACCCTGCCCCGACGGCCATCGAAAGCACCACCGACGCCATCATGTCCACCGAGGCTGTATTGCGAGACCTGGCCAAGTACGCCGCCAGCAACGGGGAGACGGTACAAAACTACGACGGTATGATCGTGGCATGTTTTTCGAAACATCCACTGATCGACGCCTTGAGGGAGTCTTACGATGTCCCCATCATCGGCATCATGGAGGCGAGTCTTTACACGGCTCGGATGATCGGTGGACGATTCGGGATCATAGCCACCGGCGCACGCTCCAGAATTTTACAAGACGACGCCGTCGCCGCCTACGGACTCGGCCACTTTTATGTGGGAAGCGAGGCCACCCATCTGGGCGTCTTGGAGCTCGAGGCCCGACCGAGAGAAGAGGTGGCCAAACGTATGGCCCACTCTGCCCGCAGCCTGGCGGCGAAGGGAGCCGACACGATCGTCTTGGGCTGTGCCGGTATGACCGAGTTGGTTCGAGCGGCCAAGGACGCCGTCCGTGACGAGGACGGACGGAGGACGATCAATGTCATCGATTCCGTCGAGGCGGGTCTCTTGATGATGACGAGTCTGGTGGGCATGGGGATCCCCACCAGCAAAAAGGGAATGTACAAGGGGGAAAAGGAAGGAAGAAGGACAAGAGGTCAGAATTGGTTGTGATTGGGAACAATCTTGTCCATGTCCGTGACGGCACTCTGTCATTGGGGGGGAGGCGCGGGTGTTTAGGCTGCTGGAGTGAGATGGTACTACTCTGTGTGTGTGTTGTACGGGGGGGGGGAAACGAGTCTTTGATTATGAATCTCTTTTTTTTATTTTCCCTTTCTACTGATCAAGGATCGATAGCCACGGTAAAAGGATATCTTGGTTGGATGAAACGTGAAACCTTGCATGTGTGAAGATGGGCGAAAATGATCAAGCTCGGAATCAGATTTCCTGAATACCCTGCAAGATCATATCAAGGAATATATAAAGTCATACGAGGTGACTTGAGACTAAATCAGTCCTCGCCACGGCGTTCGATCCAAGTGGGTAGATTACGCAGGCATAAAAGAGCCAAGTGTCATATGGATCAATGATGAGGTCCGGCCGCTCTCCTCTCCCTGCCCGAGACCAGATAGATACTGGCCCTCATGTCGATCAGAGGGTCGTCACTGGCCTCGACACCCTCGACCCTGGGTACCGGGTCGTAAATCATGGTACGTTGTTTCTCGTCGTTGTCATCGACGACGGTTTCCAGTTTGATCGTGCCGAGTTTGACGATCTTGCGTTGCTCGGGCCACCGCACCGTCGCGTCGTCGGTGGTGTCGTTCGGGTCCGCGACCTGGGCGGACAGGGTGAGACTGGCCCCTCCGTCGATGATTCGAGTCTGGATCTCGTTGTGCAGGAAAGCCGCGTCCTTGGCTTTGGCTTCTTCGTCGGACAGGTGGGCCGCACCGGCGTCCGGAGTGACGCGGTACCTCACGAACGCGGTCCCACCGTCGGCCGACAAAAGTTTGAAGGCGTTGACCCCGAAATAGTTTTCCGTGGCGAAGCTGGCCGGGGTGGGCTTGGGAGCTTCGACGAAAGCCTTGGCCGACGGGGTCTTGCCCAGAAACTCCTCGATGGGGGAAGGGGACGTGGGAGCTCCGGGGGCGGAGGAAGCCCCTATGGCTTTGAGCAATTCCAAAAACCCCTCGCCGGTCCGGACGGGGAAAAAAGGGGGTCGAGTGCGTGATGATGTCGGTGTGGTGGCGGCGGCCGTTGACGTCCGGCAGATTGAAGCGGACCGCCATGCCGCGTGGGTTGGCGTCGTTGGCATTGTCGGGGATCTGAGGGATGCCCGTAGAGTTTGAGAACCGCACGAGGATCGGGGTGGACGGTTGGTTGAAATGTGGTGCCTTGCTCAGGCCGGCGGCTTCGGAGGATGGAGTGAACGTTCCGCTGAGGAGGATTCCTCGAGCGTGGGCTGAAGACAACGTCAGTGACGCGGTTTGAGTTGGTGGGACGACCTCAGGAAGAAGGAGTGAAGTAGATAAACAGAAGACATTAAAAAGGAGACGTACCTGGTCTATACCCTGGAGGAGTATGAAAGGCACCTTGGAGAGTCTTGACCAAGGTGGATGCCGTCTCGTTGGTCTTTTCGTTGGTAGACAGAGGCATGATTGTGTTTTGGTCTCTTGTTGAGATTGTATTGTTTTTTTTGTCGGATGATATAGTAAAGAAGAGATGAGAGTTATCTTTCTTGGTGACTTGTTCAAACACCTACCATCCCTCCTCTACTTATACTTGAATGAAACCCATGTTTCCACTTCCCACCCTCCACCATTCTCATCACCGGCAAGAAATGCCATTTGGAATACTTCTCGTTCTGGTAGCGAAAGATCGAGACCGAGAAGGATAAACAGTCAGCAAAGGAACCGGGGCGCGCGCCATGAACCTTTGGTCATGGGTCAAACCACCCACTCAGGTCCGAGTATTTGCAATAACGTCTTTATCACCCCTCGTTGGGCGATTGGGTCATTGGTGGGCTTGATGCGGTGGCGGCGCCATGCAAGATGCAGCAGATTAGTCAGGGTGTTAACAGCTTGATCGAACGAAGACTTGCGAAATCAGTCACTAGTGGGTCAGGCCAAACAGTCCACATGATGATTACAATTGGGAAGATGAGGATTCAAATAATTATTTGATAGGCACGTTGTAGAAGACGCGGCAGACGCAAGAATTTCGGAGGTTGAAAGCGGATGCTACTGAAACTACCTTACCTCGATCCTACGAGATTAATAACTTATCAAGTAGGTTCTCATTTCCCTTTACGAGCCAAAGAGTGAGAAGAATTGAGAGCACAATAGGAGTTTGTCCGGGTGAATTCAATCTGGAGGTCGAAGAAACAGACAGTAGAGAAGAAGAAGGGGGCGGCACGATGCTTCAGTACATCACCCGAATAGACCACCTAGAACAACCCAGCATAATATCCGCTAACAGGTACTTTAGAGGTACCTTAGGTGCCTTAGGTAAGCCCGGCCAGCACCTGAAAAAGGCCTCATCCGCGGCATCTCTGCTGAATGATTAAGCACAACTCTTCAACCCAATGATGATCCCTCGACATCCCAGAATTGATTTGGAAAAGAGTTGAGGATTGACTTGACTTATCTTCCACTACGTCATCTCATCGTTGTCAACATAGATGCCGTCTCAAGGTCTAGACATCCTCAGACTGTCTTACTGCACCGAGGCGTCAATTCCCTCGTCCTCTCCTCTCATCACATGTTGCAGTACGATACGATGGTGATGGACACAACAAAGCTCCTGGGAACCAACGGCATTCTATTTATACTATCTTGGCGTACACGGGCATCATGCCTAGAATGAAGAAGAGCAAAACAGTGTGGCACAACCGAGTCCCATTTTTCACCAAAGCTGCCAACATTGATAAATGACAGCACCTTGTTTGTTGTACATTGTGAGACGTGATGAATGCCCAGCTGGTCTTGTCAGCAATCTGCTCGACCTTTGGTGGGGTCGAGAGATCTACCAGGAAATCCCGAATGGGTAGGAGAGTTGAGTGAGCCATTCTTATCTCCTGTCAATGGAGCATGAGGTGGTTTGCTTCCTACGCAGATCTCCGGACTATTTCAATCTCAACTTCAATGTTTTGATATCGAACATATGAAACATCTGGAACAGATAGGTAGATCCGTCATGTTTGGCTGCCTGACCTCAGCGCTTTGCTTGTGAAACGACCTGATCAAAGGGGCCCTGACTGACATCGGCTTGGCGAATATCAACCTCACTCACGGAAATTCACCGACCGTTCAAAAGGTCTTCGATACATCCGGACTTGCATTCAAAAGGCGGTTCGAAAACAGCTTACTCCTCAACATGGGGGAACTAGCTGCCGAAATTCCTACAAGGGATAACATCTACAAAATATTGGCTGCCGATCACAAAGTAAAGGCGGCCGGTGTCGATTGTGATGGCATCTTACGGGGTAAGATCATGGACAAGGACAAGTTCCTGTCAAGTCTCGAGCATGGGTTTGGGTTCAGTTCGGTGCTGTTCGGCTGGGACATGCACGATGTCCTGTTCAAGACTGAACAAAGCTCGACCTCAGTGTTGGAAGGCTTTGGCGATTTCACCGCCATACCGGATGTTTCATCCTTCCGACGAATACCCTGGGAAGACAACATACCATTCTTCCTACTCCGGTTTGAGTCCCACGATAGCCCAGTCCCTGCTGATGGAAGAACGATCCTCCGATCGTTCTGTCAGGAATTGGGGAAACATGGATTCAAGTCAATGGCAGGAGGTGAGTGGTGGCTTCTCTCGTATTAAAACGTGACAAAGAAACTTATCGAGTGTATGTAGTGGAACTAGAATTTATGAACTTCCAAACACCGACCGAGAATGGTTATACCAATAATGGAGACCCTCGAGATCTGACATCCTTCCTCGACAAGAATGCCCCAAGCAGCCTTCGATACTTGACCTCGGGTATCTTCACATATAGTTCGATACGCCCACTGGCCACCAAAACCTACTTTCATCAGATATTCGACAAGTGTGTTCAATTTAGGACGAATTTGGAGAGTTGGCATACCGAGGCGGCTCCTGGAGTCTTTGAGGCTGTATGTTGTGTCAATGGAGTTGCAGTGAACCATTATCTCGGTAGTTGATGATTCACACAGGCATTGAAGATGAGCGAGATCGACGAGATGGCTGACAGAGTGACACTCTTCAAGTATCCCCAGTCTCCCATTCGAGTCAAATCGACGAGAGCTGACCCCGTCCAGGTTCCTGGTAAAGTCATTAGGCATTGAACATCATGTCACACCGTGCTTCATGGCAAAGCCTGTCTATGGCCAATGTGGTAATTCTGGACATATCCACATATCACTGACCGATTCCACGGGTAAGAATGTGTTTGCACGAAAAACACCGGATAAGAATGCCAAATGGAAGGACATTGAAGAACTCTCGGATATCGGACGGTATTTCCTGGCTGGTCTGTTGACGGCAATCCCAGATCTAATGCCGCTCCTCGCGCCAACCATCAATTCATACAAACGCCTCATCGAGAACTACTGGGCGCCCACGACACTCGGTTGGGGTTTGGAAGATCGGAATTCTGCTATTCGGCTGATCGCGCCTCCGGTGTCCAAACCTGGTGCGACGAGGTTCGAGATCAGAATACCCGGGGCTGATTTACATCCTCATTATGCACTCGCTGCACTTCTAGGGGCAGGATGGCGCGGAGTCCAGAAGAAGCTTGAGATCCCGGTCCCGCCAACTTTGCTCCGAAAGGACAAGCCAGAGTCATTATCGAATACTTTGGATGTAGCTGTCGCTCGGTTCAAAGCGCCAGGAAGTATTGCTCGTGAGATCTTTTCGGATGAATTTGTCGACCTCTTTTCGTCGTCACGAGAACATGAGATTCGTCTATACAAAGAGGCTGTTACGGATTGGTACGTACTTTGTCCTTCCCTATTTATGATATATTGCATCTTTCATCACTTCGTAATGTTCTTAGCTAACAGATTGTCTTGATAGGGAGTTTAAGCGATATATTGAGACCGTTTAAAACAAGGCATCGGGGCTACCTGAAACGGACGCTTCGCACTCGCAACACCCTTAGAGATCTAGATCGAACATGACCGGCTGGTCAGCTTGTCACGTCAAAAGCCCACGACATGACTCTCGAAAATGCCTTCTTTCCGTCCTCGTCCTTTTCTAGATTGTGATTGAGTTGTGCAATTCCTTCTGGAGTCGGGTCTGGGAAGTACGACGCATCTCGTCCACTGATGATACCTTGGGCAATTTTCGCCGTCATCTCAGGGTGACCTTGGAACGTCATGACCTGATCAGACTCTGATATAAATATCTCGTGATTCTCTGCTAGATGTTTGAAACCCGGAGGTGGTTCGGCGACAATACGTTTGTGGAATTTGTGAAGTCGCTGTACTTTCAACTCAGCTTTTTTGGACTGGACTGGACAAATCTAGACAATCGAGAGGTTCCTACCAATGAATTGAGATCCGTAAAGAACTTGCGACCAGTCTCAGTAAGAGGAATGTCTACCACGTCCACCTAGAGAGCAGAAAATGACTTAGTCGGAGTCTTCCTCTTCACTTCCAGTGTTGCATCATCGAGTCTCACCAATGTTCCCCCTTGTCTGTAGGCTATCTTGCCTCCGAGTGCGTGCGATATGGCCTGGTGGCCCCAACATATACCGAGAAGTTTTGTGTCGGGGTGATTCGCGACCACGTCTCTCACCCAGTCCAGTAGTTGTGCCACCCAAACCTCAATGTTTGGCTGTGTGAGGTCGTACGTGCCACCGGTCAAGATCACCAAGTCGAACTTGGAGGAATCTGGCAATTCGCCGCCGTCGATGGGTTGGAAATGTTCCACGAGAGCATCCCTGTCAGCGGCATGAATCAAATCGGTAAACGAATCGAGCATCTCCTGACCCCATGGCCCGTTGAGTTTGTAGTTGCGTATGATGGCGACACGCCGTGGAACTGGGTTTTTGGCAATCATATTGGACTATGAACTTTTATTTATTTAATCGAATTGGGAACAAGAACGTGAGGTATGAGTGGAAGCCAGCTTGATCAAGACAAGACCATTTATTAATGTTAACACTCTCCATCGTCACGGATAAGTATGCGGAGTAGTGCGTGCTTGCAGGTTTACCAAGGGTGGGTAAATATGATGGACTACGAGAAGAGACCGAGATAGACCAAGCGGGTCGACATGGATGAGACGGCATTTTAATCGCTCTCATTCTAAGTTAGGTAGAGTTGATGTATACCGAACATCTTGCCCAAAGTCTCTCTCTGAGCTCTCATCACCATCACTCGACGGTAATGTACCTCCGGTTCGTGCAAATACATGCCCGAACTTGGACCTCGTTTAAGGGAAAAGCCCTCCCCTTGGCTCAACCACCAAAACATCCCCCCCCCCCGCAATATATACGAGGACGCCTCGTTCATATTTGCGGGGGACGTTTTGGTCGATCGACCACACGACCCGTTTGGTGTCGAGAGCGAAAGCAATCGCTACGATGTGACTGGACCGTGGCGTTCTTTACTCCGCATCATCCTTGTCACCGACGTCGACATCACCTCGGTTGTGGTTCCGTGTAACTTGAACTCAAGAGTCAGAGTCCGGACATCTGATCTCACGTAAAGGATACGAGAAACAATTTTCCTCTATCCTTCTTACCCTTTCGTAGACCAGACACTCTCAAGTCTCTGGACTACCTGTTGACGGACTTCCCTCCTCAAGTCTCTTAGAATACTACTCCGCGACCGACATCTCATTATGGCAAGTAATACATCGACCGGCGAACCAACGCTGGCGGTTAACGCGAGACCTACCGTCGACTACGAAGTCATCATCATCGGCGCTGGGTTTGGTGGAGTTCGTATGATCTACGACCTCCAGAAACGAGGCATCACAGCCAGAGTGTTTGAAGCGGGTTCAAACGTCGGTGGAACTTGGTATTGGAATCGTTATGTATGTTACATCCCCGAAAACCACCCAGCCACTCCCCCTTTTGCGGCGATGGCTGACTCTTTGATGACTTTTCATATAGCCTGGTGCTAGGACTGATAGTGAAAGTTGGGTCTACATCCTCACGTTCCTCGAAGAACTCGGTGTCGAATGGAGATGGAAAGAAAGATTCCCAACACAACCAGAAGTGGAAAAATATGTCAACCACCTCGTCGACCAACTCGACCTTCGAAGGCACATGACGTTCAACACTCGAATCAAATCGGCCCACCGTGACGAGACCCAGAACGTCTGGAGATTGACCACCTCGGACGGTTCGACCTACACTTGTTCGTTTTTGGTCACCGCCACAGGCCCACTGGCGACCCCCCTTGAGCCTCCTTTCCCGGGTCTCGACTCGTTCAACGGAGAGTGGTACCTGACCGGACGGTGGCCCAAACATAAAAAGGTCGACTTCGCCGGGAAGAGAGTCGCGGTCGTGGGGACTGGTGCCACCGCTGTCCAAGTCATCCCGATAGTCGCCCACACGGCAAAGAGCCTGACCGTGTTCCAAAGGACTCCCAATTTCGTCCTTCCGGCCAGAAACCACCCTCTGACCGACGACCAGGTGGCCGAGCTCCGGCGGGACTGCGAGACCGTCTTCGAAAGAGCCAGAACTTCCTCCTTCGGCATGGACATCCCTGACTCTTCCCTCCGCCTCACGGACATGACGACCCAAGAGGAAGCTCTCCGGGTTCTCGAGTACGGTTGGGAAATCGGAGGGTTCCGGTTCATCTTTCAGACTTTCGCCGACATGTTGACTAATCAAGAGTGTAACGACTTGGCCGGTGAGTTTGTGCGGAACAAAATCAGGTCCGTCGTCAGAGACAAAGACACGGCCGAACTTTTGTGTCCTTATTACCCCATACTCTCCAAGAGGCCACCGTTGGGACATTACTATTACGAGACTTTTAACCGTGACAACGTCAAGTTGGTGGATGTCAAGGACGATCCAATTGCCGAAATCACTCCTACCGGTATCAAGATTTCTTCCGGGTCACGATACGAATTCGACATGATCATCTTCGCCGTAGGATTCGACGCCGTCACCGGCACGTTGGCTCAGATCGACCTCCGTGGAAGTCAAGGGCAGGACTTGGGGACCCAACTCAACGAACAAATGGCCACGGCGTACGGCATCACGGTGGAGAATTTTCCAAATTTATTCATGATCTCCGGCCCTCAAGCCCCATTTGCCAACCTGCCGGTGGTGATTGACAACACGGCGGACTGGATAGGTAGGACCATATCACACATGCGCCAACGCGGGTTCACCAAGATATCCACAAAGTCCCAAACGGGTCGGGAGTGGAAGGACAAGGTCAACGCTTCTTTCAACGCCACCGTCTTACCTCCCGGGGCGAAAAAGACAAAATCATGGTACATCGGGGCAAACGTCCAGGGGAAACGTGTCGAACCTTTGTTCTGGTTCGGTGGGGTGGCTCCTTACTTCGCAGAGTGTGAGAGGGAACTCGCGGAGGGATTTCCCGGGTTCGTGCTTTCGGGGGATGATGGTAAACAACAAGAGAATGATGCTGCTGGCAGAGGAAATGCAAGAGAGTCGAGGTTGTGAGGAATAATACAAGCAAACGAAGATAAGTCGAGGTTGCTCAAATTACATGGTCTGGGTCATTTTACATTAATATGTGTTTCTTTTTCTTGGGTTTTGGTTACATACATATGTATGTTTTACGTTTTGAGCACGCAACACACATTCTCTCTCTTAGGGACATACAACTGTTCTCTTTTTCTTTCTCTCATCACTTATGCCGAGGGTGACAACTTCGTCAATAATACGGTAAACACTCCTTGACATGTATACCACAGTAGTTGAGTACGGAGTATAATGCGTCTTGACGGTGCATCTGAACCTGATCGGATGACCACAGCTGTGACTTGTGTTGTATATACCCATCTACCTGACTAGGTAATAAATATCACCAACATAACACGATCTGAATTCTTTACATACAATCGTATCTCTCGTGTTTATGTACACTGTACTTTCCTCAATCATTCTCGTAACTCTTCATTCCACTTTTTCATCCAAACCTCTACAATTCTCTTCATCAAACCATCACTGACGGGATCTTTTACGTCTTGTAAGACACTACTTTGTTGAGTAGTCCTTGTAGTGTCAAATGTCAATCCAGAGTTTTCGTCTTTCCCTGTTATGCTTGTCTCCGTCTTTGGGATTGGGTCATCCATGTCCGTCACTGTTGTTGACTTGACCTTTGAGGTGGAAAAATTTCCTCCATCACCATACTTTCCCTCCCAATACCCGATTAGTTTTCGGCTCGGGTTTCTTTCAACATCACCATCACTCTTTTTGAGTGTGTCTAGCCATGTTTGTGGATCGACAATTTCAAATTTCGGTATCGTTTCGGTGGTTTGTAACATTGGTAACAAGTCACCTTGGAAGCTGAATGTGTTTGGGTTGACGATGTGATAAACAAGATCTGTATCTTGAAGTTCTGAATCAACAACATCACCATCACTGGCAGTGACATCGGACGAACTCAACACCAACTCCTCAATAACTTCAGCTGCCTTGTCAACAGGCAACCAACTCGGTCTTTCACTCAACCTTGGTAGACAACCAGCACTCGAAGGTAAAGCGGATCGAATCATCAAAGCAATGGCCTCGGTGTCATTCCAAACGGCTCGTTTCGTATCTCCTGCCAACTGACCTATCCTCAACACTCTCGCGACACAATTTGCCTTACCCGTAGCCGCGGCATTGGTTATCCTCTCCGCCACTAGTTTACTCCTTCCGTAACCCATGCGTTGAGCGTGAGAGAGGTTTGTGATTTGTTTTTCGGGTATGATGGACGGTTTGGGTGTACCACTGGCAGCCGACACACTCGAACAAAACCAAAACTCGGCCGGTTTAGAATGTGTGGTTCTCAACGCGACGTGTTGGATCAAATTGTACACTCCACGAATGTGTTGAGGTTCGAACGACAACAGAGGCAGATTGAAATTGACCGCCCACGCGCTGTGGATGATGTGCGTCAGTCGGGACAACAATTCATCCAGAACCAAACCGTCGAGTCCCAGAGAAGGCAAACTGAGGTCAGAAGGGTACGCGTGGATTTTGTCCTCGAATACCCCAGGCAGGTCGCGCGTCAAGTCCCGGTCTCGGAGCGCCTTCATCACTCGCGACCTCGCTGATGCAGCATCCGATGCTCGTACAAGACAATACACCTTCACCACGTCGTCGCGCCTGAGCAAGTTCGCAAGCAGAATCGATCCCAATCCACCAGTCACACCTGTAAGAAGGACCGTCTTGTTCTTGACCTCAGGTTTACCTGCCGCATCGTGAGGCGTGAATGTCGAGTACTTGTCGATCAGATCTTGCATGTTCTGAATCTCGGCACGGTCATGGTCCGAGTTGCAGTCTGAATCTGGCTCTTCAATACCTAATCTCAAATTGTACAAATGTTGAGCCAGAGATCGGACGTTGCCACACTCAAACACCACATTTTGTGACAACCCGTCGCCGTTGCCCTCTTCGCCTAGGTCGAGTTCCTTCTTGATGATGTTCCAGATTCGTGTCGTCTGTAGACTGTCCACGCCAGCTGAGAAGATATCGGTGTCCGCAGACTCAAGATCGACAGCCAAGTCGGTGCGGAATTTCGTCAACAAGAAGCCCTCGAGTGCAGGCATGTCTAGCGCTAGCAAGGTATCGTTCGACGACGGTCCACCCTCGAATTGTCGGTACGCCTCGTCGATAACGTCCCTGTACTGCTCGTACATTTGTGCGCGGATGATTGTCCCCTTGTCCGTACGCGGGTACGCCTCATCAGACGGTCTCGGAATGACCAGGTCTCGAGGGATGCGTGAAAAAGTCTCTGCGTTGTTGTTTGCGTCTTCGATGCGAGGCCAGATTTTGTCCACAAACTCCTCATCACTCAACATCGCCGCGTGTTCACTTCGAAACACAATCACGCCCGGCACGGTCCTCTGAAACCCAAAGACGGCGACCTCGTTGATCAACTCACTCTTCCTGATGTGACCCTCGATCGGGAGCGGGAGGACCTTTTCACCATTGACCAACGTTAACCGATCGTCCAGCCGACTGACGTATTTCCAGTAATTCGACTTTTCGGGGTCCGGGTGTCTAACGAACAAATCTTTCGTTCGAAACGCACCGGGCGGGTCCGTAGTGTTTGTGGTGACCTTTGACGGCAGACCATCAAGGGCCACACACTCGAATATCCCGGGCGAGATTTCGTCCATCAAAACATGATCCGCCACGGGCCTATGTAGACGCAAGTAGTTCCACTCGTTGTCACCTTCGGGTCTGAACGAGTTCATAATAAACCCCGTCTCGGTGGCTCCGTAGTTGCCGGCCAGATTGACACCTTTCGAGACAAGTTCGTCGCCTAAAGGGTCAGGACACGCGCTCCCTCCGTACATGACCACTTTGGCCTTTGCGAGTTCGACGATTCCCTCTTCCTTTTCCGCGAGTAGTTTGAGCACGTACGGCACGGCGCAGATGATTTCGGGTTTCGCCACTTTCAGAGAAGCAAGCAGGTTCTGTCTCGTCACGGGTAGTTGGTGGTTTCCGAAATATATGGGCCGTTTGGCGTAGATGGCCCTCCCAAACTCCATCAGCGCGTGGGAGTGGAAGAGCGGCGAGACGGTGAAGGAACGAAACCCCAGACCCTTTTGGAAGTTCGCCAGACACCCGAAATTCGTCACGAAGATTGGTTTGGGAAACCCAGTCGAGCCTGACGAATGGATTATCCACGCCACCTTTTTCGATTCCTTTTCCAGGTCACATTCACGAAAGAACCTGGGCATACTTGAGTCGGTAGCTGCCGATCTGTAATCGTCCTTTGCGTCTGTGATTCTCGGTAGGTGTGTGAGGTGCATCATCTTCTCGGAACGACGCATCTCCTCAATCACCCCGTCGTACATCGGCGGTGCAACTATCGTCTTACAGTCGGCGAGTTCCATTAGACTTGTGTACGCAGGTGCGGTAAGCCTTGTGGAAAGAAACAAGACGGCCCAACCAAGTCTATTTAATGCGAAGAATGAAATGATGGCGTCCAAACATGACGGTGTGAGAAGGGCGACGACTGGTGCCTTTTCGAGTGACGGATCCTGGTTTAATTTAGTATAATGAGTCAGAATAAATGTATCAGGACTTGATCCATCTTCTGACTGCCTGACTCAAGATAGATTTGCAGTGCTAGGATATGATGTGTGAAAGCAAGAGGGAAAAATAAAACTTACTGCTGCTTCAAGTCCTCGCTTTTTATACCACCAACAAGCGGCGTCGACGTATCGATCAACCTCGTTGACCGTATGAACTTGATAATCCGCTGGCCCTGATATAGGGTATGCAAACATGGGTATTTTGGGGGTTTCGGATACATGTCTACGTATTAATCCGTCTATGGTCCAGTATGTGGATGGTGGAGGTCTCGATGCACCCGGTGAGGTTTGTTGTGGAATAGAAGCAGTACTCGTAGTTGTCAATGTTGCTGTGGTCGGTGCAGTTGGGTGAGTTTCTGTTATGGTCGCCATGCTGTTGATCTCCAAAATTGACGCCTAGCATTAAATTGGAATATATTCTCTTGACCAAATGTCTCAAGTGTCAATAGAGATGATGATTTATGTGTTTATGAGAAAGGAAAGAATTGTATGTTCGTGGCCACTATGTGCCTGGGGATGTTAAGAGTATATCGAGAATGAAGGTCGCAGTATTATTTGCCCGAGCCGACGGAACGTCTTTGCCGACGGAAAAACCTTTGCTGACCATCAATCGGTATTTGACTATTACTACCTTTCTTCGTATCCGTATAGCCTCGTGAACGAACCCCCCATGGAGGTATCTGTTCTGTATGTCGACACATATTACTCCCGTGCTACATCTTTGAATATTCAATTGCACTAAATACTCACTCGTACTCGTTCACACAAGACACATCTCACCTTAGACGGTTGAATCTCTTGTCATCCACTCTGTTGCTGCGCTTGATCAAATTTCCAGGATTGTGCATGATGAACATGAGACAGCACTGACAATTTCTTTTTCTCTCCTAAAGTCGCCTTTGATAATTTAATAATCACACACTGTTGAAGTGTGTTTTTACTCGCTACAATTGGTCTTTGTTTGCTACAATACATTCAGCCATTTCAAAGGTTGATTGATGCTGTATATCCCATCCCTCATTTCCCATCCGTCTTTCCACACACCCTCTCCCAAAGCCATAACCAAACACACACCCTGGCACTTCCGTTCCATTGTCATGCTCGTTCAGTTACATCTATCTCGAGATGTCATCCCCCCAAACCTTCTTCGCAATCTCCACCTCAAGCCTAATCTTCTCCCACTGTTGGTCCTCGCTCAACTCGTTCCCTTCCATCGTACTACTGAACCCACACTGGTGACTGACGCACAACTGATCCAATCCGCGCTTGCAGTACTTGCTCGCCTCTGTCAGTCTCTGCACCATGGCGTCCTTGTCGTCCAAGTCACCCTTCTTACTGGTCATGACGCCCAACACCACGACCTTGTTCTCCGGCAGGTGTCTGAGGGGACTGAAGTCGCCGCTCCTGGCATCGTCGTACTCCAAAAAGTACACGTCGACGTTGAGATCCTTGAACAAAACTTCCGCGACTGGCTCGTACCCTCCCTGAGCGAACCACTGGCTCCGGTGGTTGCCTCGGCACAGGTGAATACCAACGGTCATGTCGCTCGGTCTCTTCTCGATGGCCTTGTTGATCAGGTTGGCGTACTGGCGGGCGAGTTGTTTCCCGTCGCTCCCGTGGCGGGACTCGGCCTCGGACCTCATCTTCGGGTCGCACAGGTAGGCGAGGTTGGTGTCGTCGAGCTGGACGAACCGGCAACCCGCGTCGTACAGGTCCTGGAGTTCCTCCTGGTACACGCGGGCCAGGTCGTCGAAGAAGTCGTCCAGGGAAGGGTAGGCGTCGAGGTCGATGGTGTCCCGCCCGCCGCGAAAGTGCACCATGGTCGGGCTGGGGATGGCCACCTTGGGGGTGACCTTCCCGAAAGACGCCTCGCCCCCCGCCGCGGCGATCTCGCGCTCGAGGAACTTGAAATCGTCCACCTGGATGGGCTTGCTGTGGCCCAGCTTGCCCGTCACCACGAGCCGGGGCGGCATCCACCCGCCCTTGGACTTGTTCGTCGACAACAGACTGCCCTGGACCTCGACGCCGTCCAGGTGCTGGAGGAAATCGAGGTGGAAAAAGGCACGTCGAAACTCGCCGTCGGTGATGGACCGGAGACCCGCCTGGAGCTGTTTGCGCACGACCTCTGAAATGTACTTGTCTTCGAGCTGGCGGAGGTCGGAGGTGGTGAGGGTTCCATCTGCGACTTTTTCACGAGCCGCGAGGATTTCTTTCGGTCGAAGGAGTGACCCTACCTGGTCGGCTCGGTAAACTCCTGTTGGCAGTGGCATTTTTGGTTGTTGTTGTTCTAGACCTTTATTTGATTTTACACTCAAAGTATCAGCTGAAAGGCTGTATTCTTATTCTACTCGTAAAAGTAATACAAAGAGGTGAGAAAGCTAGATGCAGCGAACAAAATCCTACCTTCGGGACGAGGTGCCTCACAAACAAAACCGACCAGTCGTGTTTTCGGTACTTCGTACTCCGTACTCGTAGCGGGTATTTTCTCACTCTACGATCCCATCAAACAACTGCCGGGATTGTCAAAGACGCGAATTTTCTCCTCATACTACGTCATTCCAAATTCGGTGGTGGAGATGGCTTCGAAGAGACGAGAGAAGATGGAGATTATTATTATCGAGAAGTTCGCCGAGGCTGAATGCCCCCCGCTAAGCTGAAAAGGGGCCTGTTAAAGACAAGGCTGACAACTCTGACCATCATAACACGCTGCATGATGTTCAGAATCACTCAAGCCGTTGCAACTATAACAAAGATGCACAAGCGTACTTCTTTCTCGAGACACCATTCCTTGGTATTTTAGTTATCGGGCATGACATCCTTCAATGTCAACATCTGCAAAGACAAATCATGTTAGCATGATCCTTAGTATTTCTTACCACGACCGGTCGCAGACGTCGCTCCTCTTGCCGGTCTCTTTCAATATGGATGGCAATTCAAAAATTAAAAGAAAAGAATAGAGACATGAGGCTCACCGGAATCAATGCACCATGCCAATCATGATAATTATACGTCACCTCGAAAGACAAACTCGTTTGCAAAGCATGTCCGAATCCATAATCCGGCGATCCAAACGCTGCGCAATGAAACACGAGCCCAATCCAGTACAAGAGACCGATATTTTTATCCCAAAGTCCCTTCCCTGAGATACCTCCTCCTTCGAATGTCGGACCCAAATGTGTCTTTTCCAGCGCAACTCGCAGCTCTCCAAGCAACGCTGAAGCTTGTGCGACTGTTTTCCAGGATTTCCCAAGTGCAACACTCTGGATCATCAACACCGACGTCAGACGACAGGACTCGTACATGTGGTCTCCGGTACAGGCAAGTCCTGGCATCTTCGCACTCGGCAGGGAGAGGATTTGTCGACATAATAGGCCCAAAAGTGCGACCTCCTTGGGCCCCACCTCGAGCGGCGTTCTGGTCTGTCTTGTCCAAATCTCGATGGTTATTTGAATCATCCCCAGTAAGCGTCTGAGATGGTCGGCGTGGACATAGGGAAAAGAATCTTCGTTGTCTGGATCATCCCGTCCATCATATACTGGTGAAAAGAGTTCTGCTTCAGGACGTGTCCTGGTCTGCCATTCATCCTCGAAGACATATTCGTACTCTTTGAATGCGGTTGCGGTGTTGATCAGCGGCGCCAAACCAGGTATTGGCATACTACATCTTCTTCCGATCCTGTTTTCATTTGAATGTTCGGTCAGTAACTTTTTCCTAAGTGACTGGAGGTGAATTGAACTCTAAGGAAATACGCACGCTATCACCGTAATTATTCGCAACACATCCTTACAAAACCTTGAGCGCTCAAACATTCGTTTCTCAAATGCTTCTTTTATGAGCATCGCATATGCTTTTCGATGTATTTGGTACTCATCGGCACCCTCGATTCCATCCCGGACCTGGTTTCGTCCTCGACACGAGCAAACGTCAGCGATCCTATGTTTTCGAAGAAACCACCAGAGCCAGGACCTCGAATTATTATCCGAAGATCGTGATGGTCGCTCTGGCAAAAGGATAGGTTCCGTTCAGACTGTTACCACTTCTTTCGACTTCACTTACCAAGGCACAAGCAGCAAGACAGGCGATGGCCGCAATACAGCTGATAATATCGTCCGCTGACTGAGTCTGGATCTTCTCGCGCACTTTTCTCATCGCTTCCAGTTTCAGGGCAGTCGAGACTGGAGACACAGTATTCGACCGAGTATGGAGACTGTCGAGGTGAACCGAGCACATCAGGAGCATTCCTGTGAACTGTAACCTGTCAAAATAGAGGCCGAGAGTCAGGGCAACACAGCAGTCCAACCACCATATTTTGTATAGGACCAACTTACAAATGTGTCGTCCTTTGTTCCTCGAGGCCAGATGACTTGTTGCATAGCAGTCTGGTTGTATACGTGAAACACTAGGGGTGCGAAACAATAAGCCCGTGAGTTACAGCAGATTGACCGTAAGATGTAAAAGGGAAGCCATTCGGGTAAGGGAGGCATGTGTAACACGGACCATTGTACTTGACCTCGTTGAGAATTCCAGGTCGCAGCTCCTCCATACGTAGTTGCGGCAATACCTGGAACGCATCGAGTTGAGACCCGAAAAGGATGTTTTCAGGACGGTTCTTTCGACGAAGGAGGGTCTTTTGACACAAATGATATGTTCAATTAGTACATCATTCCAATTCCGAGATGTTGCTGTCCACCACCAAAGTATGGAGCGACATCATCAAAAGGAAGACAATAACGTGAGATCAGTAAATATGTGGGAACAAGATCACCCACACTGCAAGATAATGACAATTGAAGAGAAGGGAACAATTTCAAGCAAGATGAAAGGTAGTGACGGGAAAGGAAAAATGGAAGGAACACGGTCAGCTAATATGGAAGAACATACCTGTCCAGCTTGACGTCTAGTCTTGTGCAACTCTCTCGTTGTGTGAGCTCGAATCTGACTGATGCCAGATTTGTCGAGCCCTCCATTCGGAGCCATAAGCACGAACTCGAAATCACCATTTTGGGTAGGATTGCCCACCACCGTGTCGGTATCATTCGTGTGAACTGTGTCGGTGTTGGCGATCATCGGGCCTTGCACCTGCCCTCCCGTCGTCGTTGTGATGATCTTTATCAGACTGTCAGGGTCGTCCATGTTGTTGCATACTCCATGCGCGGTATAGTGTACTCGGTAACGAGGATGTCAGGATCACTGACAACTGTGAGTCAGGTACCTAAGGAAAGGCACAGATTTCAAAAGAGTTGTCAGATTGTGATGTGAGCATTTGAGACAGATCATTTACCATCCTTGGATTATGTAGATATCTCCTAGGGACAGAGTTTTAGAAGGGAATGCTTGTCTCTTGCTCTCAAATGCTCACTGGATCTAGCCGGTCAAAAATTGCTTAGACGACACTCGGACAGGGATCCAGGGATGTGGGATTCATCAGAATCAGGTTAATAAGCTGCCGACTGTTCTTTCTGTCCGCACTTGGACCCAGAGATGTCGAAAAGATCATCTGGCCAAAAAAACCCCCGATGACTAAGTGGCGAGTTGCCCAGTTGTTCAGCGTGAAGGAGGGCGGAAGCGTGTGGGTGTTCAGCCAACGGGGGAATTGTCACCTCATTCGGAGTGGTCCATCCAAAACTTGAATTGCAGCCTCGTTGTTCAGCTCGAGTGTCCAGGGGTGCACCTTGTGTTGTGTTGTGTAATGTAAGCAAACACGAGGCGTCGAGTACGCTGCTTACCCTTTTACTCCTTTCGGGGATGGCCAGTACCGAAGTCTTTTTTCCGGACCAAAAAAATACAAGTCAAGATAACAAGTCCTTTTGTCTGGTCGCTTTCTTCACAGTATTACTGACTAACTGACGGAACATCAACCAGTCAACAGAAAAGAGAACCTTCGGCTCGTGCAACGGTTCCAAATCTGGTTTATTTCAAAGACACCGACATTGTCCCGGTTTGTGGTTCTAAACTTCCTTCAGAGACAGCCACAATTGTAGATATATCCTTACCTAAGCTGAATGATCACACTTTTCCCAAAAAGATTGGGTAGAGAGCCACTGACTGCTTTCAGAACTGCTTTCAAATCAAATCTGAGTAGTTTCTCGGTTGACAGCCTTCAAAGTCTCCACATGGTACAAGAAATATAAGAAGTGATGGAATAGTAGTCAAAGATGTGGGAAGTGGATATTCAAAAGCGAAGGTGTCACCCTTCTCTTCCCGAGAGAGATCACAAGAAGCAAGATCAATATTGCACTGCCGAAACACAAACTCCAAAGGCAACTGCAATAGCTGGTATGGTTGAACAAGACGGGTCTGTGACTGTGCCCAATTAGAATAGTATTGCGATATTTATGAAGGTACATATTTCATCTCATCCAGAATCGCCAGGACCAGTTTGCCGCACATTTGAGGGACGTAATTCCAGCCATCGCCAGCCAGGCAAACGACAAGCGCCAGGAACAAAAAACAGGGGGGTATCGTCCAAACAAAACAACCAATGGCGCACCGTCGATGTCAATTTGACCAGCGACACTATCAGGTCTCAGCATACACCCTAGATTCTTCCAACCAACAGATGTCGTGGCAAGTATATTCCAAGTCACACCGTTGACGCAGGTGGCCCTCTAACTATCTCGCAGACCTGACCTGTTCTGCCGTCTCCTCGTCAATAACTTCAAAGTTTTCTCGAGATCCTGCTTCATGGAGATTGTTCATCCTATCTTTCTTGTGGTGCTCAACCTTTTTGATGGCTTCAGCCGTCATTTGCTGTCTCTCAATCTTCTTGAGTACATCCTTCTTTCTCGTTCTTCGATCACCAACGCTGATCAGTATACCGGCCGTGATATTGACGGTGATAGAGCACGAAAGAATGGTTGCCGTCAATGCTTGAGGTCGAGTGTGGTAGTCGATGGCCCAGGTGCATGTCCCGAGAGCAATCTGCAACAGGGAATGGCAGTCAAGCAGTACGACAATAGCCACGAGAAGGCGCAAGGGAAAAGCATGATGGGTTGTTGTCTCATGAGGCTTATAGAACGAGTGTGACTTGGAAAACTTCGCTTGGTGGTGAATCAACCGCTGCTGTTGCTTTGCGTTGAGAACGGAAAATTCGGCCTCGTTAGGGTTTGCAGATTCCGGATCTGCTTCTTTCTCGCTCTTCGCTGGCAGGTCATTGTGATCTCGAAGGCTGGGCAGTTGCTGCTCGCGTCTCAGGCGCCATGTGAGGTGGTGGTAGTGGGCAATAAAAATCATATGGTATGTGTCGACGATCCGGAAAGGAGCCAGGCCGTCACCCATAAGAGCAAAGAGTGCGACTAGGACATTATCAATGACGTTAATCAGGTAGGATTGTCGATCTCCAACATAAATCCAACCTGGAAAACTGTGTGTCAGCAGAGACGGCTTGAAGTTGGTGGAGTGATTTCGCCTACCGATCAAAAACAGAACCCAAGCAAGACCGAACAAGGTGATCGAAACCGCATATAGTGTAACAAACAATCCCAGAGCTGTGGACGAAAGATCAGCATACGTTTCTCATGGATGGTTTGCGCCTTGGACTTACGTTGTCGAACGTATTTTCCAAACGCGATCATGCTATACTTGAATTTCGAACGCTTCGAGTGCATCATATGTCGTACATGGTCATCCAAGGCTTCCTTATCTTCCTCGGACCATCCTTCGAGCGACATACCATGCGGCAAAACTGCAAAATGGGAATCGGTAACGACCGAGGAAATACTGTGCGTTCGTTCGATTTCAGGTCTCCTTTGATAAGACCACGTCCGCTGAACAGCCGGAGAGACACTCTCCGCGTCGGCCCCGTATTCCTCTGGTACTCCTTCGACCGGGGTTTCGGTACCGACACTCTCAATCGGAGTCATGCCCACCGGTTCTCTCTCTTCTAATGTAGACGGCGGGCGGCGACTCATGGTCGAGCGACGACTACTGAGGGTGTAGGTTGGTCTTCGGTTGACCCAACGACCGAGATCTGGCACAAACAAGGAATTCTGCACGTTTGTCAGAGTGGTTAGAGTGGACACCTCGGGATCTGGTAGAGAGTTAGTCTTGTGCACCCTCCACAGCATCTATCATGTCACGTACCAAGAACATCCAACAAGTCAACCACCTCTGAGTTGTACTCTGGCTCTTGAGTCTCACGCGAATGATCGCTGAGGCGACTTATAACCGATCGTGCAGCGTTACTAACGCTCCTTCTGCGACCTGGGACCCCGGTCATCTCATTCATGGTGCCTCGATCGGTTGTCGCATTGGCGGTATGATGTTCGGCGACGGTTGGCAGCAGAGACTGCCTCGTCGACTGTCTCGTCAAAGTGTGACCACCTTGTTGTTGAGGCACTGCGAGATGTTGCGGCGCCGAGGTACTGCGCCCGCGTCCCGATGATGCCCTACTGACATTTCCACTTGCACCGCCATTTTCTTCTAGAGCATCCTGCCTCAAGTTTGATGATGGGAGCCTTCTGATACCAATAGGGCGCCTTCGAGGGATCTGGGGAGAGACGGATTGGGGAGAGGAGGTTGACATGGTGGTTCGTTGTGGTGGTGTGGTGACTGTCGTCCGCGTACTTGGTCCTTGTGAAGAAAGTCCTGAGGAAGAGACGATCGTCGCAGGGCCTTGGGTCGGGGCCTGGGTGGAAGTGAAGGTGTATGGTCTCCCGCGAGAAGTATAGGTGGTGGTCGTCGTTGTCGTGGTGGTTGTTGTGGTAGGCGAAGAGGAGCTGGGCCCGGCGGATGATTCGGGCATCGCAGGAAATGGTTCAGTGTCATTACTATTATCTCCGCCATAGCGACGTGAGTTGGGGCGTGATGAGGCCATGGTCACGGCGTGTGAGGTGTTGGCCGTTGTTGGCAGTGTCTGATTAAATCAGCACTTGGATGAGTATGTACAGTAAAAAAGCGGAGGAGGGAAATAATGTGAGATTAGATCGTTGCTGCGGGTGTTGTTGTTCGCTAAGCCCGTAGCTTGTTCCGGTTTGGCAGCGCGGGTGGAGGGGAGTGATCGGCCTGTCAGCCACCTTTACCGGGGGTTGTCCAACATGATGGGTTTTACAAGTGACTCTGAGAGTACGAAATAACAGTCAAGAAAAGAAAAATCAATGTTGCTGACACAGGATGATCTTTGTAGCAGAAGTGGTAAGTCGAGGGGAAATGAGAGGAGGAGAATGTCCAGGTCAGATTTCCACTACGATTAGGGAGGAGGCGTTGAGTATGCCTTTTGTTCACACCTAGAGTACAATACGGAGTAGATCAACGGGCACCAATTCGCTGTCAATTCATCACATTACGTCGTTAATGGTGCTTATCGACACCGAGAAATGCCTCCCGAATTCACCTTATCCTTGGCTGGAAAGGCCATCAATTACGGATACGATTCGCTTGATCCCGCCCATTCCCAGTTTTCTTTGCCTGTAAGCCTCTTAGAATGGGCTCGCTATGCCTCTCCAAGACCGGACCATGACTCAGCCTACAAAGATGACAAACTGCATCATGGTCTCTTTTATCTGCTTTCTGTCTACGGTGAAAATTGCAAGTCATCGAGGGCACCTGGCGAGTAATAGATGGAATGTACAATACATGCCGTACACCGAGTCTAAATCGTTCAAAGGAACAGCTCATGGGTAGAATTGTGCCTATAGGCTTGCATAAAAAATATACCTCACTTCCGTACCGATTACACGACAATTTTGCCTCATTATTGGTCATCACGCCATGTCAGCCTTACGAGCTGTGTTTGTCTATGTGTCTCTCACACTCTCTCTCGCGTGACGAATCGGTCCTGACAAGGCACGCGACAATACCTATAGTAGGTACTCGACTCCTCTCACAACTTGGCTTCTGGAGCCTCGTGTGCAAATGTTGGAGGGTTTTCGTCCACCTCGCTCTGGAGCCATCTCACCATCCTCCGAGCGGCCCGACGAGGGCCTAGACCGTCTGCATAACCCATAAAGGGCTCCATGTGCTGTTGCAATGATCTGTCAGTTTTTCCAGCACTGGACAGTATGCAGAACAGTACATCAAGTATGTTTATAATATGGTGGCCACTCACCTTATAACCCATCATCTCCACAATCCGCGGGTCAATCTGATCAAGCTTTCGTGGATCCACGGCCAGTATCTGGTTCTCGATCGGACGAATGTACGGGTTACAATACTGAACCGTGGCACTCTGTCGAGGACGATCGGACACATTGGCACCTCCCCCGTGCCACAAGGTACTGACGAAATACACCACTCCTCCCTCGGGGCACAGGGCAGGTATCGTTTCTTCAGGAGTTCCACGGCGCGAACTGTCCCAGATATGAGAACCAGGTATGATTCTTGTGGCGCCTGTCATCAGTGCTGTCAGTCAAATCCAAAGTACCAAACAACCCGTCGACTTCTGATCGATGTCATCAAACTCACCGTTGCTAGCCGTGTACTCGTCGAATGCGATCATGATGGCCGCACCGAATGGTAATCGGGGCCTCGGGACCTGAATATAGCCGTCGTCATGATGCAGAGCCTGTGCTTTTTCGCCCGGGTTGATGGAGATGGTATGAAATGCCGAAAGCAGATACCCTGGGTCCAAGAAGTAATCATTCAATGCCAGCACGCGAGGTAAGACCAAAAACTTGTCAAATACTCGACTCTTGTTGAGGAGAGAGTATATGCGGTTGGTGTTTAGACCTTCGAAACTGTTGCGGCCGGGCAATGGGTCCTTGCCCAACAAGCGTACAATCTCGTCTCGTGCTTCTTTGGCTTCTGCTTTTGTGAAACAATCAGGTATAACGACATAACCATGCTGAAGGACATGTTCAATATCTGCCCGAGTCCCAGCGTCCTCAGGCAACGGTCTTCGAGCTCCAGCCCTGGAATGGAAGTTAAACTTGTCAAGAGACATTTTGTCGCGTTATGAAGTTTTGTAGAGTCTCACTATAAATGGGAAACCATGAAACACCCTCTTCCATTCCATGGCTTCTTTTATATCCTCCCGCGCGAAGAATACCACTGTTATTGACTCTTCGCGTAATGTCAGCTCGTAACTCCGGCCATCAGCTTCCCCGCTTAATTACCATATAGTAATGGTGGGTTTTGCCTCGGCTTCAGTCAGATCACTGTCTCAGGTTGCTTTACTATAGGCGCTCCACCAATTTTGGTTACACCTTGTCATCTGGTTCGATAGTCGCTGATGCATTGACGAGGCAGGGCCGAATACTGACCCATAGATGACTTCACACAACAAAAAACGCAACGTACTCATTTGGCATAGTTTTCATTGTGACTTAAAAGGTGCTCACATCCCATTCTCCCTCCTTTCGAGGTCCGGGCAAAGTACTCTTGCCCCTGGGCACGAATTGTCCATATCCCTTCTTACCGAGGAGACCACCATTGTCCCTATCCCATGCCACCTCACCCCGTAGGATGGTATATCTGGGCCACTGGTTTAGCTCCATACCTTCAAAAGGGGTGTAATCCACATTGTGATGCAGCATCGAGTTAGTGAGCTTGAACGTTCCCAGCTTGCCAGGAGGATACCAGATTGTCAGATCAGCGTCACTGACACCCGGAAGAATTGTCCCCTTCTTAGGGTACAGCCCGTACAGCCTTGCTGGGTTGGTGCTGGTAACCTCGACAAATTTCTGCAGAGGGAGTCGATTGGCACTCAATGTCACAGCCAGACGAGTTTCAATCCCTGGACATCCGTTGGGAATCCCGCTGAAGCGTCCTTCAGGGTACTCCTCGCTGATGATAGATTTCTTTCCTTTCTCGTAGTCCTCGTACATGAAAGGGCAGTGATCGGAAGAGAGAACGGTAAATGTACCATTGGCAAGACCTAGCCAGATTGCCTCGTGGTCATTCGCCGATTCTCGTGGCGGTGGAGAGCACACACATTTGGCACCTTCAAAATGTGGTTTATCCAGGTCATCTCGGGTCAGGAAAAGATACTGAGGGCAAGTTTCGGCGTAGACTGGAAGTCCCCGAGTCTGAGCATTACGAAGATGGGCTGCAGCACTCGGGGATGAGACATGAACAACCAGTCTGGCAGAAAGTCTGGTTAGTTTCTGGGACGTGCTTCATGGTACAGTCTGCAACTCACATAGGGGCGTCCATCAGCTCGGCCAGCGCAATGGCTCGGTTGGTAGCCTCAGTCTCTACGATCTGGGGCCTTGATGTAGCATGATATTTCGGGGCATATAACTTTCTCTCTTCCAATTTCTTGGTCATCCAGTTCAGCACATCGCCGTTCTCGGCGTGAATCATGGTTGTAATGCCTTCTTTCCTTGAAGCCAGCAAGACGTCGAGGATCTCATCATCTCGGAGTTGCAGAGCGGCATAAGTCATGTAAATCTTCAATGAGGATATCCCGTGTTCGCGCAGCTTGGGGAACTCTGACAAGGCTTGCTCGCCAGGGTGGCCAACTAGTAGATGGAATGAGTAGTCGGTGTAGCATTTATCCTTGGCTCGAGCATGGGTGTCTTCCAGGACTTGGAGGAGAGAAGGAACGGTCTTGGGTTGAGGCGCAAATGCTCTGGAATGGCTATTAGATGGGACGACATAATAGAAAGGGACAAACGTACACGATGGTCGTGGTTCCTCCGCAGATGCTGCTTCTCGTGCCTGTTTCCAAATCTTAGTTACTGCGCGCAACTCGCTAGTGGTGACTTCGTACCAGTTTCGAAGTCGTCCGAACTTCTCCCCTTCCCTCCAAACAGCGCAGGCTCCTCGAGATGGACATGGCAGTCGATACCACCGGGCTGAAAAGATCGTTAGCATTCCTCCGTGCATCCTATTCAACAATTCCGCCACAGCTTAGCCTTACCATGACATAACCACCGTCTGCGTCAATCACCTTCTTTGCACTACTTGTCGCAAGTACGCCGGGCGGGGCAAGCAGCGCAATCTTCCCATCTTTTATGGCAATGTCGTAGTTGGCCGTGTCAGAAGCAGTCACGACGAGACCATTGATGACGAGTAAATCAAAGCTGTCCATGGTGAAGTAGCACCTGTGCTTTCACCCCGACCAGCCAGCATACGATTGAAATAGAACTGATCCTCATCATGCAGCAAGTTCTTCGAAATGCGGCTAGAATCTTTGCGCGCGCGTTGACTTGTGGAGAGGTCCCTATCGCCCATACTAGCGGGACCAGAGGAAGGTTCTCTCGTACTGCCCGCGGAGGACGACGCCAGCGTGGAATTGATAAGACTTTTGCTGTGACCGCGCGCAACTGTTGAGGCTTGTCTTCCTTCCGCAGTCGGCGAACGTACATGTCCGCGATCAGACTATCCCTCAAATGGGTTGGCGTCATCCTTGCCGCCAACAAGGGGGAACGAATACGAGGTGCCTTAAGTTCCTTGTGAACAGTATGGAGTACTAGTACCAGTACCAGTACAGATGCATTATGAGTACCGATCGAGATTGTCCCAGTTCGTCTCATATGTACAGTTCTCTATCTAACACAAAAGTCTACTCAGGTAAAAGTCTATGTCGTCAATCACGGTCTTAGCCTCCAGCTCAAATCGCGCCCCGATCCAACCATCTGGCCTCAGCACAAATGCAGCACCGGAGTCTGAGTCAACACCATATCTCTTGTTTGCGCTTCCATCTCCATCATAGTATACCCGACCCAAGGGATCTGTTCCCAGCTCAAACCATGCGTTACCAACCTTCTCAGGAAGGATCGTCACAAAGTCTACGGGCCACTCCTGTGCTAGAGACGAATCTCCATTCAGGTGCACTCCATTCGACTTTGCTTCCGTGATTGGAGCTTTGCTGGGTGAGATGCGCTGATTCTTCTGGAGATCCGCTTTCAAACCCATGAAAAGCTCCTTCGCATGTGCACTCTTGCCCACAAACACCAAAATGTAGAACCTGGCCACGTTTGCCATCAGACTTTGCAACCACACAGGCTCCCACAGCGCTGGTGTCAATACTTGAATGTCCGGTGCTCGGAAACCAGGGATGGCTGGAGCTGGAACAATAGATCGCTTTGCAGCAACAGCTGAGAGATCCTCGACCCCGCTGTCATCACGCAGCACCGCGAGATTTGGCTCGAACCCGATGGTCAACCCAGTGTTGAATCCTTTGGCTTCCTGCAAAATCTTCCCCAAGACAACGTTTGGGTCCTCGGTCTTGTCTCCCGTATAATCTTTGGGCAATCGTCCCGACACCAAAACGCTGATGTCCTCATCATACTTGATGAGCTTCTTGGAGTTGGGCTGCCTCTCCAGGCTATAAGTCTCCAAGACTTCGCGTTTGAGCACACCAGTGAGTACTAACGCCAGCTTCCAGCCCAGGTTGACTGCATCATGCATGCCTGCGTTCATACCTTGGCCAGCCCCAGAGCTGTGGCTGTGAGCAGCATCTCCGGCAAGGAAGACAGATTCTTTCGCCCAGAATGTTCTCGCCACCCGCTGTCCAACACTGTACACGCTGGCCCAGTCAACCCGTTCGTACTCGATCTCGAATGGTTTAACTGACAACTTTGCTTCCTCAATAAATATTTCCTGATTCAGCTCTTTGTATGCTTTTCGGCGTTCCTCGTTCATGGCAAACCCGAGTCTTGTTGCTCCATGATCTAGCGGGATCCAGAGCACATTTCCGTATATCGGACTTTCGATAGCTCCATATGACCTTGGCTTTGGCATCGTTGTACTCTTGAGCACTCCATCAATTCTCACCCATTTGTCTTCTGTTCTGTCGCCATCCGACTCGATACCCGCGGCGCCTCGCACCACCGTTCGGGATCCATCACAGCCGATGAGGTAGCGGCAGCGAACAACATATTCTTTCTCCTGACCTTCGCCTCCACTGGTGTCGAGAATAGTGGCCTTGACCCTGCCTTTTTCTCCTGGCGCTATCGACTCGTCGATTTCGAGACTTACAAAGCTTTTCATCTCGCTGACTTGGACGCCATATTTCTTCAACTCTGCACGGAAAATATCTTCGACGAACTTCTGGCGAAGTACGCTGGCAAATTTGAACCTGGTGTCCTCAATACCTTCCAGAAAACTCCAGCCTCGTCCGAATACCTCTGTCCCGGTCGTGTCATATGCTGCAGATGTCCGCACAGCAACACACTGTTGAGTGATCTGATCGCCCAATCCCATCTGCGACAAAATCTCCATCGACCGAGGCCAGAAAGTCACTGCCCTTCCGAATGCCTCTTGCATTGGTTTGGGATGCTTCTCAATAATGTGTACCGAAATGGGCTTGTTCTGAGATGATAGTGGCGGCGATGAGAAACGTTGAAGCTGATAAGCCAGATTCAGTCCGACAGGACCTGCCCCGACAATCAATACATCGACGTCGACGTCTGCGGGCGTTGATGTAGGAGGCGCCATGATCTTCGTTTGTGAGAGCTTCGTCTGATGATGGTCTGCGACCCTGGCTCGCGATTTCAAGTAACTCGATCTATGTGTGTTACACCTCCAAGGCTCTATGATTAGGTAAGGGAAGACAGTCGATCACAAGGTACAAAACCCCTGTACCATGCCTTGTCTCGGTTTTTTACAAAGGGAAAACGAAGAAACAATACTCGGTAAGATCAACAGACGGACAATGAAGCGCGTCTCAGGCGAGAAAACTTGCTTGCAATCGAAATCGAAGAAACCAAAACGAGATGCGTGAGCGACTATATCCGTCTGCCACGACAAACTCCAATGACTTGGCTCAACGCTCGTTTCTAGACTCTCTTATCGCTCGCCATTACAGCAACGCTTCGATAAGCTTTACTGGCTTTCGGACAAAGCTTGAACTTGTGTCTCTTTGGCACAGAGTCCAGCCCACAGCGGCAACCGAAGGGGGGAGGAGATTTGAAGTTTCCACCTCTTACGAGATCGTGCTGTTCTCCGTTACCTTGATTCTTTTGGTGCTTTTGTATTTACTTTGACCTCATTCAACAGTAAAGAGTACGAGTGTTGTTCCCCCCTCTTTTTCTCTCCACTCAACAACGCACTTCAGCGATAGAGGCCAACGAAGCGAGTTCGAATCCCCCGGAGAACAGAGATCGGGAATGGATGTGGCTCACGGATTTGTCCGCTACAGATTCGATAGATCGACGAACGTGGCTGTCAGCAGATCTGATGAAGCCCCATATTGGTTCGTTTTCTTGTTCCAAAACAATCTTCCATAGGCATTGGATACCCTTACTCAATTTCATGATCCGAGCCGGCAAGACACGTTTACCAACGAGTACAGATCACTGAGATCTCCGGTATTCCTTCAAAGTCTTGAAAGTGGATGTATCTGCTGGAGTTGACCGACCACCTTAGCACTTGAACGCAGCTGCAAACAAACTCAAATCCGTACGGGATATGGATTGTGTGTAATACGGCCATGTTACATAGAATGAAGAATGAATCACTTACAAATGATTAGGCTTGCGAGGCTCCTGTGTCTGTACTCTGTTGACACGGAAGACTCGGCGAAGCACCTTTGACCTGAGAATACACATATACATACACTCCTAGAGGCAATGTTCACTCTTGTTCTCAAGCATACCGAGGACTTTGTTAAGTTGCCAATATTAGGCGGGTGTATTTTCATTTTCTCGACCACCCGTCATCATGTCATTACTACCATCTCCCTGTTTGTCTGCCTAGGTAGGTGCCCGGTGATGTTTGTTATAGGTATCGATACGGAGTATCGTCATTGCAGCTCTGAAGAAACGAACAGAAGAAATAGCACGATGTCATCATCATCATCATCATCATTACGGACCCAATGTTCTCGACCTCAACTTTGACGCCATAATTCTCTGTCAAATCTAAATGTGTGGATTACTACTCCCGTATTGTTACCTGCAGTGTTTTGCCTTTTTCTTTCTTCACTCCTCTGCATAATAATTTTTGGTCCTCTCGGCGGCATCGGCCATGACCTCCTTGATGACGGACTCGTCGTGCCTCGGGATCAACTTGACCTTGAAGTCACGGGGGATGGCCACCAAGGCGCTCTTGAACTGGTTGTAGTCGACGTAATCTGTGTTGGGGGGTTCATCGTCACTGGCAACGATCTTGTAACAGGTCAACAGTCGGATCAGGGCGGTGTAGAGTAACCTGCTGGCGATGAATTGGCCGCTGCAAGCTCTGGAGCCTGCACCGAAACTGAAATGTTGAATACCCTGGGCCGGTTTTTCTTCCGGTGTGTTTCGGTCTGGTTTCATGACGAATTCGTCGTTCAGCCATCTCTCAGGGTTGAAGACACCACCGTCGGGGCCGAAATGGTCGACGTCGTGGTTGGCTGCCTGGGCGTTGATCAAAATCATGGTCTTTGCAGGGATCTTGGCCCCGTTCCAATCGACCTCGGTGACCGTCTTGCGAGGTAAACTCATGGCGCTGACGGTGTAGTACCGAGCGGCTTCCTTGATGATGGCGTTGACGTACGGGACTTTTTCTTCTTGGAAACTGTTGGCCCACACTCGTTTGGCGTCGCCGTCGTAGTGCCTCATGATGTCCGCGTACGCTCGGTCCTGGAACACTTGACCTTCTTTTGTGGACAAGGAACCGATGCAGGAGGTCAGTGTCCCGGGGATGGTCTCGAACCCCCCCGACACCAACGACAGGCAAATACTCGAGACCTCTACTCCGGTGAGTTTGGTCTCCTCGTCCTTGAGGATGGCGGCGCTGATGCAAGGTTTGTCGGTTCCCTTCTTGATCATGTCCCGCACCTTGTTGAGGAGGAAGTTGAGGTAGGCGTCGCGACGATCGCGGAGCTCCTTGGACCTTTTGTTCTTCTCGTTGTTGGGGAAGTAGCGGAGGACGGGGACGTAGTCTTGGAAATTCTCGGAGGCGGACCTCAGCAGTGAGATGGCGGAACCGACGTGCAGGATCTCCCTCAACATGTCGTCGTACACGTTGTCCATGCGGATGCCGTAGCAGAGGGTCAGGGTCGTGTTGAGAGCGTACCGTTGGATGTATGGCCTCACGCCGATCTGTGTGGCCCCATTCTTGCTGTCGCGGAAGAGGTCACGCACGATGCAGTACGACTCCAGGTCGAACATGTCAAAGTACCCTCGCATCGCCGGGCGGCCGAGTGCTTGACCCGCAGCCTTGCGTTTGTTCTTGCACGAGTCGTCCCACGGGCTGGAGCCGATGGTGAAACCCTGCGTGGAAGAAATGACTCCGTGGAAGGTGTACAGAGTCGGACGGTCGATGACGGCCGTCTGGTGCCCGACGAGCATTTGCTTCGCGTCTTCGAACGAGTTGACCACGACGGCCCGGGTGTTTCCCAGGCGGATCTGGAACACCGATTGGCGGTACTTCCGCCACCATCCTTCACACACTGTGGCGTGGTCGGGTCCGAGTTGCAAGAGATGACCGAACACCGGCAACGCTCCGGGGATCTCGGGAATGCCTTTGATCTTGGGGATGTCGGTCAATGTCGACCACTATTGGTAGAGGGTTAGCAACGTCCTTGTCGGCAAGGCTTTGTTTCCTTGAAAGATACTGACCCAGTAGAGACCAAAGACAATGACAATAGCCCCAACGATCCACATCGTGTAGTCGTGGTTGATGGCCTGTAGAAGGCCGCTGACTGTTAACGCCATGGAGGGAGGGCGCGGAAATGAATGTAGTGGAGGAAAAGAGGGCAGGGAAATTTTCTGATCAGGATGATTCAGTGATTTGAAAAGTCTCGAGTTCTCAGAACCCTTGAGCACAGTTATATTTTCACATTGAGTGTGCCACCCTAGGCCATCGTTCATGTGAGACGTTGCAACGCATGGATACCAACGGACTTGTGCGAGACACTGTCGGTCCACCGGACGGAGAAGCACGAGTCGAATATTTGCGTAGTGGGCACGGTTGCAGATCGTGTTTCCACATGTTGCGTGTGACATTAAGATGGTTCCTAGAACGGTCTTTTTCATGGTTCTCATTGTTGGAAGTAATCTTAAGACACCATGTCAACTCTTTCGGTAGCGGACCTATTTGGTGTCAAGGGTCGAGTTGCCCTCGTGACTGGAGGATGCAGCGGGATTGGATTGATGATTGCCAAGGTAAAGTTGAAGACAAAACGATACTCGCCGTTCAATCTGACACTGTCAAGGGTCTCGTGTCGAATGGTGCCAAGGTCTATGTTACTGCTTTACCAACAGATGACATTCAAGGAGCAGTGGCAGAGTTGTCGCGACTCGGAAAAGCGAGTGGGGGTACGGCAATAGGGTAAAGGATGCTCAGGGATAACTCAATCGCAGGATGCTGACTAGGAACTGCCAGATTTGCTGGTGACGTTTCTTCGAAAGAAGGCATCGCTGCCATTGCTGATGAGATTGAGAAGAACGAGACTCACCTGGACATTCTTTGCTCGAATGCTGGCATTCGACGGGACCCTCCAGAAATGTGCAATGTGAAGACTGCATCCTTGGACGAACTGCAAGCTTCATTGTGGTCCTCGAGACATTCCGACTGGGACGACACTTTCCGAGTCAATGTGACGGCACATTATTTCTTGTCTGTGGCACTGCTGAAGTTGTTGGCAGCAGCGAGCAATCTCGATCTCGGGGATGGTCGCAGAGGGAGAGATGAAGGACGAGGTGTCATGGTCATAACCAGCAGCTGTGCGAGCATGCACAACTGTACGAACATTGATCTGACCAGTTATGCCGCGAGCAAAGCTGCTATTGATCATTTGGTGGCATTACTGGCTTCCAAATACGCAAGTTGTGAGTTGCATGGTTTTGGGTGAGTTGTACATTTCCAACAGGCACTGACTGTCATCTCGTCACAGGGTATGTTAGGGTCAATGCCATCAATCCCGGGTGTAAGTGCCATCATAACGCGGTGGTGAGACAGGTTCTGATTTGATCACAGTCATTCCCAGTAAGATGAATCCAGTGGAAGAGGGTGGTAACCAATTTGCGGACCTCTTCAAAGCCATGCCGGCAGGTCGCATAGGCAAGATGGAGGATATTGCTGGAGCAGTTTTATATTTGAGCAGTCAAGCTGGGGTGAGATCCATTGATTATGTACACCTTGGACGGTCATTGCAATACTAATGCTAGTGAACTAGGCATACGTCGATGGTCGATGCCTTTGTGTTGACGGAGGCCGAGTGTTGTTGGCAAATGGGCAGTAATATACGAGCTCATAAGCAATGGGAGAAGAAAAAGAGATGTCAAAAGTTGAAAGGAAAAGAAGCGTTCATGAGTCCGCCCTGTGATATGTAGAGCACTTGGACTCAAGCAGGGATAGCGGTGGATGCAAAGTCTCGATTAGGAAAGAGAGAAATTCAGACCAATTCATATTCACCATTTGACTCTGAAACTCGACTTTTGCAGATTGAGCAGAGTAAATCCGAGAATCCTTCCGACAAGCATTATGATATGCGAGATCTATATTCATCTTTCCCCCGTGTATCGCAGTTGACGGCTCACAGCCAACAGTGACCATTGAGTCCAGGGAGTGTCTTGTCTCTTCTCCCGATCAAATCCCGAGTTGAAAGTGCGATCAAAAAGACTGAGTGTTGAAATGAGAGTCCATCAGCCTTTTGTACAAATGTCGAAACAAACAGAATCTGTATCTCTGTCTCGCAGCTATTCCAACAAGGTCACAATGATATGGAGCTATTGAGCGCGTGCTCGATCACCGCATAATCTGGATCTCTCCAATGTATCGCTCATGCTGGGGCCAGTACGAGTACGAGTACGAAGCAGCTCAGGCACACGACCCCCATCAACCCATCATATAGGCGGAAGGCCGCGGGTGGCGTCGAGACGACGATGCCGGTTGATCTTATCTCCAAACACACAGCTGCCCGCAATCGTCCCCTATCAACTGGGGCTTGCTGAACTCCAAGTGGCCCCCGAAGCTCTACAGATCGCCCGGACTCACTAGTCTTGAGCATGGACTGTTCCACAGGCTCGACACGATAGGCTGTCTCCTCGCCTGTTCCCTGCGCACCGTCTCAATATCTCGGCGCCTTGCCGTTATAAGAAGGACATGTGCTCGTGTACGTTGCATCACCACGATACAATGCTGTCATAGCCTCAGGACCTTCCTAATCGCTACTATCATGTCTCTTCCGAGGTGACATTCTCAAGGCGAAGCTAGCAAAGCAATCGCCGGTGCACAATGATAAAGCTTGCGTTCAGGCCAGACGGCCTTGCTCGCCCTCCGGCTTGCTCGTCATATATACGTATGCTTCAACAGGCTCCTACGCTTGTTCGCAAGTCTGGCGCAGGTAGAATATACACAACATGAAGGGGTCTGTCCTGCTTACCGCAACCGCTCTCTGCGGCGTTGCATTTTCAAGGCAAGTGGTGGTTTCCTTGAAGAAGCATAGCGAAACATCCTGATATACTGACCTCGCACGTACCGTAGGATAATTGCTCCTGCACCACTTCATCTGCACCGGCGCGATGACATTGACCCGGACGAGCTATATCCTGCCCATAACATCTCCGTTCCCATAGACCATTTCCACAACGAATCCCAGTATGAACCTCATACGAATGCCTCGTTCAACCTGCGATACTTCTTCGATGCGACATACTACAAGCCCGGTGGTCCCGTCATAGTCTTGCAAAGTGGTGAAACAGATGCCTCGACCAGATTGGTATATCTTCAGAAGGGCATTCTAGCTCAGCTGTCCAACGCAACCAACGGCATTGGAGTCGTCCTCGAGCACAGGTACTATGGCACAAGTTTCCCAACCAAAAACTTGACCACGAAGTCGCTTCGATTCCTGACAACAGAACAAGCCCTGGCCGATCAAGCATATTTCGCCTCGCATGTTGTCTTTCCTGGGTTCGAACATGTGAACTTGACTGCTCCGCATACACCGTACATAACATACGGAGGCTCATATGCAGGCGGCTTCGCTGCGTTCATGCGCAAGATTTATCCTGACTTGTACTGGGGAGCGATCTCTTCTTCCGGAGTGACAGAAGCCATCTACGATTTCTGGCAGTACTATGAGCCTGTCCGCGAGTATGCACCCTCTGATTGCATCGAGAACCATGTCAAGCTCACCAACATCCTGGATACCGTTCTGAAACAGAACGACACCAAGACTGTCACACAACTCAAGGCCGGCTTCGGCCTGGAGACACTCACCCATAATGATGACTTTGCGAATGTCGCTTCATACGGCATCGGTGGTTGGCAAAGCCGCAATTGGGATCCGGCGGTCAATGTTCTCGATTTCCACTATTACTGCGGAAACATCACCTCAAACAAAGTTCTCTGGCCCTCTTCCAATGCCAGGGCGTCCACCGCGTCGTCTTTGGTAGAAGCTGGAGGTTGGGGTAACGAGTCGAAAACACTGACCACCCCTTTGTTGAATTACATGGCATGGACCAACGACAGTTATGGTGCTGCAACGTGCGACGGCACTTTGGATGAGTGCTACAACAGTCACAATGCCTCAGCTCCAATGTATGCCGACAAGACTCTTGCAAATTATAACTCTTTGTCGTGGTCTTACCAAGTCTGCACTGAATGGGGCTATTTCCAGACCGGATCGGGAGTGCCGAAGAACAAGTTGCCTCTGGTCTCCCGCTTGTTGACGCTGGAGTACGAGACGTTGATTTGTCGATTGGCATTCGACATTCACCACGCTCCCAATCTCACGGCGATAAACAAGTATGGTGGCTTCAACATTTCGTACCCTCGACTCGCATTTGTCGGGGGTGAGGCTGACCCGTGGCGTCCGGCGACTCCGCTTGCAACTCTGGATGTTCCAGATCAATTGAACCGAACGAGCAATGCCAGTGAGCCTGTCATCATGATCGCTGGCGCTGTCCACCATTGGGACGAAAATGGCCTGGTAAGTTGAGCCTTTCTTGGTGAAGTTCGAGATGTTGTTACCTTTCTGGATGTCTCCAATTTAGATGTGATCATATAAATTGAGAGCTCCACTAACAATCAACAGTTCCCTAACGAGACCACGCCTCAACTGCCACCTCGCCCAGTAGCTGAAGCTCAATCACAGCTGGTTCAAATCGTCCAAGGATGGATGAAAGACTGGAATGCGACGAAATCGTAACTGGCCTGTTAACACATGTTCTGTTCTACCGGCGGCTCCGTACCATCGACTATATAGGTCATAGATACCGACGGTAGCACAATCAGACGGGTGTCTGGTTTCGATGCTGATATTCGCTGTCTGGACAAGTAGTAAGCAACATAAGAAGATGATGAGCCCCATTTATGCATTGTTCACTTTGGGGGTTTTTGTCTGGCCACCAAGCTGTACTACATAGTACAGGGAAGGAAAGTGTCACCGAGGTCTACCGCATGAGGAGGACATGTTGTACCTGATATGGGCAATGTACTTCTCCCTCTTTAGGATAAGGTAAAATGCATCTGTGACATACGATCTTCATAGAGCTCCGTAAGCCCCCCGCGGGTTCTTTCGTTACATGTACTCCGGACAGCTGTACTCGGTAAGAGTTACATTTACTCGTACTCCGCATGTACTCGTACGTCTTACTGTGAACCTTTCGCCCCGAGATTGACGAGGTAGGCGAATATCGAATTTGATGATGCCGAGTTTGAAGCGCTTGCTGATGGAGGAGGCCCCCCTGCGGTTCTTTGCTTCCCCATGCTCCTCCCTCCCTCCTCCCGGTCTATTGGTCGTATTGAGTGAACGAACACACCTTATGTGGCACCGAAGAGGGCCTCATTCCATTACCCGCGGTTGTTGTGCTTGTGGAACGACCTGCTGTTATGCCAATTTTCTTTCTTTATATAACCTTGAGGGGTGAGAACGAGCAGCAAGTCTTCTCATCTGAACTTCTCACTTCTTCGATGACGCTTTTTTGTTACCGTATTAGCACTGCATCACCCTGACACAGCTTGCTGAATACTACATCTCAATTGCATATTGTTTGTTACTGTCCTACTAATTTCAACAATCTGACCAACCATGTCCGAGTCAGCCCCAGTGTTCGATATCCCCAAGGAATGCATAGCCGGGGTCGTGGTACGTCAACCAACTGAAGCAGACAGCCATCATAACCCACGGCCTCACAACAACACCATGTATCACTGACACAAACCTCTTGACAGAAAAACGAAGGCCCCAATTTCCATATTGAGGTCGAGAAGGTGCCAGTGCCAGAGATCGGTACGCGCTCCCCCTTGACATTATTTTACCAAGATGCTGCCGATGTCTCCAGTACAACGTTGCTTTTGCTAAGCCGAGTCCCTTTGCTCTAGGTCCTCGAGATGTACTTGTCAAGCTCAATGCGACCGGTCTTTGTTTGAGCGACGTTCACTACATGCTCAATGACTGGGCCGTTCCTTCCATGTCTTCTTTTGGCGTCAAGTGTGCCGGCCACGAAGGTGCCGGCGTCATTGTCAAGGTCGGTGAAGAGGTGACCGGCTTCAAGGTCGGTCAGCGTGCCGGCTTCAAGCCTATCCAAGATGTGTGCCATCAATGCGAGTATTGCAGGACCGGAAAGGACAATTATTGTCTCAAGGGTGTTCTCACTGGACTTCACTGTGACGGTATGTCTCTTTTGGCTTGAGCCAAGTCGATAAGAGAAGTGGTAAGTCGCTGATGTTCTTCCAGGATCGTACAAGCAATATGTCGTGTGCCCGGAGAGCTATACCACGGTAAGCTGATCCTTTTCAAGAATTGACGAAGGGATGTTTGGCTAACTTTTTGATTTTCCCGCCAGCTGATACCTGATGTATGTTACGATGAAGGCTAAAAAGTCTTCTGTCTGGTTTGTCTCTATGTATGAACGAGAGTTGACAATATCGTCCAGGGTGTCTCGGATTACGTGGCAGGACCGGTCATGTGTTCGGCGTCCACGATCTATACTTCGATCAAAGAATCCGGTCTCCGGCCTGGACAGTGGGCCGTCTTCCCCGGCGGAGGTGGTGGTGTCGGTATTCAGGGTGTTCAACTCGCTTCTGCCATGGGCATACGACCGATCGTGGTAGATACCGGAGACGAACGCCGTAAATTGGCCATGAGCCTGGGCGCTGAACACTTTTTCGACTTCAAGGAAGGTGACCCGGTGAAGCAAGTGCTTGAACTTACCGAAGGTGGTGCACATGGCGTGTTTGTGACTGGTGAGTTCAGTGCCTTTCCCAAGAAACCATTATCAATCATGATCGGAAGTTTCGAGTATAGTCCGATGCTAACGAGAAGCTCAGCTGTACAATCGTACCCAATCGCACTCAACTACGTCGGCCACCGAGCTCTGGCCAAAGTCATGTGGTGAGTAGCCAGAGATCTGGCACGTTTGAAGGGTCACACACGCTAATCGCCTCCCTCAATATTTAGTATCGGTCTTCCTCCTGATGGAAAATATCATATCGACCTGAACCCTGGACAAATCGTCTTCAGAGGCCAGTCGGTGAGAGGTACCTTGGTCAGCTCATTGGCCGACATTGATGAGACACTGGACTTTGCCAAACGCGGTGAGTGATTTCTATCTGGCTAAAAGAGAGGGTGTTTATGGATGTGCACATATCTAACGTAACATGTTGTTTCATCCAGGAAAACTCCACCTCGAGCCTACGGTCGTTGGATTGAGTCAGTGGAACGAGTCAGTCCAGAAGCTCAAGAATGGTCAGGTTGCAGGGTAAGTCGATGCCAGGAAACTGGTTTGTCAAGAATATCGGAAATCACTGACGTGTGTGCAGACGAATTGTTGTCGACTTCAACTTGCCATGAAAGGATTTGTGGTGGCGACTGAGTAAGAAGTTGGGCTCGTCCATGAACGATCACGAGGCGGGAGGGACTCTCAAAATTATGTTCTCTGAGCTTCAAATTGATGTATGAATGATTGAGATACAAAATCGAAGAATACTTCTCAAAAAGAAAAACTCCCACTCCATACCAGCGATAGATCTTAAGCACACCCACCTCTACACTACGCACAAGGCTATACTCAACACTGGAGTGACCCACAATTGCCATTCGCCATAGAGATACCTTTGTAAGAGACACATGACTGAGTAAGTGATAAGTTTATCGTTATTACTGTCCTTATGAGTGTCTAGGTACTCATCATTCTCAATATCCCTTTATTTCACTAGGTACCTATCAAGACACGTGACCATCCCTGAATTAACATAGCCTTGCAATATTACGAGCTTCATTGTTCTTTGCGATCCTCGGCTTCGATGATGGCTATGTTAAACCTGAGGCTAGTATTAAGACTTAGCAGGTGGTGTGGCTTCAGTACGAAAAGTGCGGTTGCCGCCTACGAAGATGTCAAGGTTGGTGAGTGAGTTTCCACCTTTGGAATCTCCGTGTTTCTAATGAATTGCAGCGGTTTCCATTTTCCAAATTCAAAGACAAAAAGACGTATTTAATAACTTTTAGATGCCTAACAGATTGGATAACACAAAAGAGAGAGAGAGAGATATACATGTCTCCTTCCTTCCGCACATCGATAAGACTGAAAATGTGAAATTCCAAACTTGAGTCAGATCACAATTCCGAGTCTTTGTGAGAGTGTTTTTGTTCGTCTTCTATATTCAGAACGCTACCTCTGTAGGTCCTCCTGCCTCTCGACTTGAGTCATGGAAGCACCACGCTCAGATGGACGAGATGCCCATATGTACGACCTGGAAGATCCGACCATTGTGCTCGGCGGCCTGGAACTCCTTCCCGCTGTGGCCGCTGTGGCCTATCCATTGATAAGTACTAGGTATAGCCTTGTATGTAATGCAGAGGTGGGTGTGCGCAATTCCTACCGCCCAGCCTTACGGCATCAACAAGTTCCGTTTCCTACTGTACCTTCTGGGCAACATGTTCAAGCGTCTCTCTCTAATTCAATCATATTCATATCAATAGCGGCGACTTTTTCGACATTGTTATGCATTTATGGGTACGATCACCACCAGTTGTACGGTAGGTCAATGGCCTGCCTCTTAAGTGCGGGATAAGGCTATCGACAACACCCCCAATCACTAGTCCGAGAAGTTTGGTACCGTACTCCATAGCAAGTCTAGTGTTGGCCAGCTATCAAGATATGCAATCTGTTGGAGAGGTAACCTGGTGAACCCTGTGAAAGTGCATCCCTGTCGACTCCTAAAGGGCGGAGTCTTAGGAGCATCTTCAAGCCGCGCAGGCCGTAAATACGGAGTAGCTGTTGGACATCTAACTGTACAGTATCTTTTGCTTGCCAGGATGGACCACTTTTTGACCCCTTTGGGCTTTTACTTGAACGGAAAAGCGTCCGGGATCAAGGGACCTGGACTCTCTTCAAAACATGAGCGAAACCCCGAAAGAACCGACTATCGTTACAAGTCCAGCGCCACTGACGCCTAAAAACAACCCCGACAACCGACCTTGTTGCTCTAGCGGCTCGGTGTCGTTCGCTGGTTCCTGGCGGTACACAAGAGGCTGAAATGAGCATCGTTCTGTGCTACTCCGTACCTATGGTAACGTATTGACTGCGCAAAACACACTCTTAGGATTTCGTATAGATGATGCTCGTTGGTCACATTCTCAAGCCTCTATCACATTTCCCAAATTACCCTCAAACGGTACGCGGAATATCAACTTGGACCAGTGAATCTCTTCGTTGGTACTTTAAGTCCCTCGCAGCCATGCTGTACGACGACAACAAACTACATACTCCTCCTGCAAGGCCTTTACAGTAGTATCAGTCATGTGGTGCCTTTCTCTGGGCATGTTACCCTGAGAGAGCTTCCCCAGAAGACGTAATATGCAAGCGAGTTTGCTACGTTAGTCCCTGCTCCTGTACTGTAGCCTCATCCACACCTCTCCGCCCGGGCAATCAAGGGCAACTCTCCACCCCGTTGCGATTTGGCCCGTCTAAATCGAAATTCATTTCCGTTGGCCTCCCATTTGTACCGTGCGTACAGTGGGCAGATCGGAGTTCCCATTCTCTGCAGAAGCTTTTCGCCCGTGAAACGAAAGACGATCGAAGAGAGCATGCGAGAATTTGACACTCACCGCTCATTCCCAAGGACAAGGACGAGTTCACCGCATGTCAAGGATGAAACGCTGGACTTCGGGATTTTGTGTCAATGCCTCTCCTCGACTCCACCGGCCCCCTGGAACTTGCAGCAGACCTCTTTACACGTCTCCCGCGCTATCTCCGGAGTGCAGAACACTGGGGGATGGTTTTTGGATCCTAAAAAGAAAATCCGACCATAAAAAGAATAACCTAACTCATCGCTTCGTGATTTCGGTTTCCTGCAATCTCGCCTTGCAATGTGAGATCGACTATGCTCTGTTCTCCGCCTTTCCTGTTGTGTCTAGTTGGAATCGTTTGCTCTCCCCATGCAGCAAGGATCCTCTCGATGGTCTGCCAGATACCCTTGTCGGTGACCTACAATTATAGCAAAGATGTGGTATTTGTGGCTTGCCTCCCACCCACTTCGTGCATCTATGTAACCGAGGATGCCAGTCCACAATTACGATCTGAATATCCACCCGGTCCAAGGATCTTCCCGTTCCCTTTGGACCTCTTTGAAGCATCTTCTGGCCACATGAGACGGACCCTGTTACTGTTAGAGTTCCAGGTGACAGCTGTCTCCGGCCTCTCCAGACTTTCTGCAAGAACTTCTTGAAAGAGTTCTTTGCACCTCGTATAATGGCTTTTTTGCATGATGCAGCCACCACGTCTTCCACTCACCTATCGTCGCCTCCTTCACAAACGCAGACTACAGGCACAATGGAACAAGCGTTGAAAGCGAGGACAATGACTGCGGCCTCTGTGCGGCAACGGAACACCCAACAGCGCCTGCAGTTGAATGCTCTGGAACAAGAAGGACCCACGAAGAACAACAGACAAAATACCAGATATAAACTTAGTTTGACGAACGACCTGGAAGATTCGGAAGCCTCTTCGGCAGACGACATGGCCACAGACAGAGAACGCTTTGAACGAGAGTCCTCGGTCGAAACACCTTCAGAATGCAGTGTCTTGACGCCTGACGAGCCTCGACAAGACAGAGCGACCTTTGGTCGACCCAGCATCTATGAACCTTCCACCGACACTCCTCTCAAGCTCGAAATACCAGAGCATGAAGACGTCATGCAGATAGCCATGGAAGGAACTCGGATTGTGATTCCTCCTTCACCACAACCAGTCCTCGAGGCGTCCCTGGCGTCGTGGTCCGACTTCAGATATGATCGCTACTCGATGGTGTTGAGCTCCTCTCCGGTATCGTCCGAGGTCCACACCCCAGACCCGGAAGGCGACGAAACATTCTCACCCATCGAGACGGCGACCCCGGTCTCTTACCGACAGCCACGAGCACGACCGTCACTGATATCGATCGTCAGTAGTCCTCACCGGGGCAAGCGAAGAAACACATCGGCACAGAGTCCTCTGTCCCAGGAGGTTTTCCTGCCGCCTAAACGACCAGCGAGACGGACATCGTCAAGTTCGTCTCTCAACGGATACCGCGCCGCCGAAGCCACTCTGTTTGAAATTCCTGATCTTCCGGCCAACGCAATCGAGATGATTGCTTCAGCGAGCCAGGACTCTCTGCTGCTTCCCTCGTTCCCGTCGAACGAGGTGAAAGCGCCAAGTTTGCGAAAGTCGAGCGTCCCTCGTTTACCCTCGGCGCTCAACCACTCCCGAGTGAGTAGCATCAAAACCCTAATCAAAACACCCACGTCTGCAACGCACGCAAGAACAATCTCCGGCGCCTCCAGCCATTATAGCCGACCTTCAACAGCCAGCATGTCTGGAGTAGTAGAGGCGACCCCGGCACTGAAGAAGCTGGCTTCTTCAGGCACAATATCACGCGCCTCCGCCATGCTACGGCGTCCTTCGACAGCGATGAGCACGTCGAGTACAGACAGTCATAGCCATGGAGTCATAACGGCGTTACCATCTGTCCCTCGGTCTACCACTGCCGACGAGGACGATAATAATCCTGACAACACACGGTCCATGCAACGAAAAAAGTCTTTCTCCAACCTGAGACGCCGGAGTGAAAGCATCCATCAGGCCATCAAGGGGTTCGGCAAAATCAGCACCAAGCAACAAGACATCCCCGTGATGCCGAGCTTGTCAACTCCATACCATCCAGACCTTTCCGGGTCTCCTGCGCCACCTCTTCCATCGCCGAGGACAACTGGCAAGAGTAGTGGTGTGCGCACGCCTTCGTTCATGTCGACTTTCTCCCGGGGCAGCAATGGCGGTGGCATCGGCCTGGGATTGCGTAACATCTGAGAATGACTCGCTGATGTTTGGAATTTCTGAGATGCAGGCTTGAGTTGTTGGTGGACACACAGAGAGGAGAAGTCACGGACAAGACGACAGTATTGAAAGACCTCAGAACCTCCAGAGAGAAGAAAAAGGTATCACGAGAGAGCATGAAATGGTTTAACCATTCCTCTCTCCAAACGACTTGATGATTGTGTCAGCATTGAATTGATTTGGGCAAGTGAGCGTTCTTATGTTTATTGATACCATGTACAAAAAAGAAACCGAAGCAGAAGCGATAGTCGGGAACAAGGCTGTGGATGCTGAACATCAGACAACCACAGTATAATATCATCACATTCAGCATTTTCTCTCACAAAAACTTGGCGCAAGTCACCGTCTCGTCCTGCATTCGTCCTGCATCATGCACACAAATCCATCTAGAATCACGTGTCTATTTTCTTCCAGCCGCAAAGGATTATATATAGGCTAGTCTGTATCCCGGTGGCCGCGCTACCTTTTTTTCAGTAAGACAGGCGTCTGAAGACCCCAAATCGGAGAGCTTTGGGTTCTCTTGTTCCCCATTTCTGTACAGATCCAGTTGCAAGAGGTTCGTACGGATATTTCGCGTCAACTTTGCGACTTCTGATCCAGATCGCAAGGCCAGGGACCTCTCAAGTGAACGGAAAAGGGCCGCCGCTGGCTGCAGTGTACGCGAGTACGAATACGCTTCGTACAATGACCGTACTTTTTCAACATCGGCCCCCACAATTGTTTGTACGCGAGAGAACGTTTACTGGCTCTGGCGCATCTCCCCCTTCCGTCCGGGAACGAACGCCCTTCTCCAGGGATTGGATTTTTGTGTGTCTGATGCAACATACATAGTTGAGTGTAAGTTTCCGGGCCATCTCTCACTCTCCCTTCTTCGTTCTCTCCCACAAACGAGAAGGAATGCCAGGGGGTTTGTCAAGACAGTAGCAGCGACGTCATGATAGTAACAGAAAAGCAGCAGCGGGATCAAGATGACACCGACGATTTTGCCCAAGAAAAAGTCGACGAGGACCAGCAGTTTATCAGTAGCCCAGGTAATAAAACTCCGGTTGGTGTGACCGGGGCAGAAGCCATACCGACCCAACCGAAACCAGACGATGTTCCAGACGGTGGTACTTTGGCTTGGTTACAAGTTGCTGGATCCTGGCTGTTGTTCTTTAATTCCTGGTGAGTTATTCCTGTACTTGCTCTCAAGATTTGCTTAGCAAAATACCTTCGTTTGTGGATGTTCGTTCTCTTCCTCACTGACCGACCGACTGACACACGTACGTCTCTGCAGGGGCATCATCAACACGTTCGGTGTATACCAAACATACTATGAAACAATCGGTTATCCTAATCTGTCACCGGACACGATCGCATGGATCGGTTCGACCCAATCCTTTTTGATTCTGTTGGTGGGAGTCATCGCGGGCCCATTGTACGACATGGGCCTCTTTCGAGCGCTGGTCGTCACGGGCGCCACATGTATCGTGCTGGGTTGGATGTTTACCAGTCTCTGCACGGCATATTGGCAGATCATGTTGTCGCAGGCGGTGCTGATCGGCGTCGGCACTGGTTTCCTGTATATCCCATCGCTGGCACTCTTACCGCGATACTTTTCGAGAAAAAGGGCTCTCGCGACGGGAATCGTGACATCCGGTAGCAGTCTCGGTGGGACTCTGTACCCGATCATTTTCCAACAGCTTCAACCCAAGATCGGGTTCGGCTGGGCGACGCGGGTCATCGGGTTCATCAGCCTCGGGACGTGTCTGTTCGCCATCACCGTCTTGCGTCCCCGAGGAGGGTCAACCACGAGACGGTCCCTGCTCGACCTCCACGCCTTCACCGAGATTCCGTACGTGTTTTACTGTGGCGCGATCATGGCGAGTTATTTCGGGTACTTTGAACCCGTCTTTTACATACAGTCTTACGCTTTGAGCCACGGGGTTCAACACGGCACGCTGGCTCTGTATCTCGCCGCCATCCTCAACGCGGCTTCGATTCCCGGTCGAATCACGCCGTCTTACTTTGCCGGGAGAATCGGACCCGTAAAGACCATGTTGATATTCACGACGAGCTGCGCCCTGGTGACCTTTTGTTGGATCGCCGTCCACGGTGCCGCGGGGAATGTGGTGTTTGCGGTGGCTTGGGGTTTCACGTCGGGTGGGATCATATCGATGCCCGCCGTCATCCTGGCGTCCATCACCACAGATATGAGCAGGTTCGGCACACGGATGGGCATGTCGTCCGTACTGAACTCCATCGCGTCCTTGTGTGGGAGTCCAATCGCCGGGGCCATCCTGAAGCACACGGGTAGTTACTTGGGAGTCCAACTCTTCTCCGCCCTCGCACTCGCAACGACCGTGGGATTCTTGCTGTGCTTGAGGCTTTGCCGGAGTGGATGGAAATTTGCTTTCAAAACGTAAAAACTGCATCCACTTCAACTTGTATAGCACTGTACATGAGAGAAAACATAGAGATGGATTTACTCCATACATAAATGGGATAATACTGTGCCAAAATCCAGCCCTCCGTCAAGCTCAGCCTCGTCATCTGTTGTAAAAGCAGCGATCAATTATTTCTCCGCGTTTCCTGACGATCGCGTCGTTTTGGATCATGTACGTAGCGACTTAGGGAGTACATTACACAATGACTTCTTCTCTGCGTCGTCGCACAGTATTGTAATCAATGCTGCCACCACAGAGAGATGCCACCTCAAAGTAGAGGCTCCTCGCCCGAACCAGCCCCGGGGCGGTCGCGTTCTGTGTCGAAATCCGAATCCCTCCTCCCACCCACTCTCCGTCCGTTTCTTGACAACCTACCTTCTCCGACTCTTTTGATCCCTGCTGACCAGCGCACGCCGACGGAATCTCGTATGGTGGTCATACCTGATCGAGATACGGAAACACCGACCCCGACTCCTCGGTCAGTGAGGACACGTCGTGCTGCCACCACCGCCTTTGAACTGGGCGGTGACGAAGAAAGAGATGATGGATTGGAAGAAGACGGGGATTCTATATTACACCACTACCCCGGAGAAGATGACGGCGACGACTACGGCGACGAAGTGGCCGGCGTGACGTTGGACGACGATGATTTCGAATCGCACTATTCGAGACAAGAATCTCCAGAGTCGGAAGAAGACGAAGAAGATGTGTCCGCGGAGGAGGACGAGGACGAGGATGAGGACAGGACGGAAGAAGTAGAAGAAGAAGACTTCAATGAAGAAGAGTACCAGAACGGTTCGACGACCATCTCGGTTCGAAGAAGAGGTCAACAGTTCCCGACGTCGTCGTCAGCCCGACAGGCAGCACCAGGTTCTCTGTCCCGAGTTCATTCTCTACCAGTACGACCGCCTCCGTCGCAATCATCAAACCATCCGGATGGCGGCAACCATGCATCGAGCACCGGAAGTGGTCTACATACTTCCCAGTCAACCACTTCTCTCCCGCCCGCACCTCCCCCGCCACTATATCCACCATTCTACAATCGACCACCGACACCATTACCCCCATCACCTAGTTTGACGTCCCTTCTCCGTCCACCCTCACTGCTGAACCGCTCGACGACGTCCACTCGACCGACCACACCGGAAGATTCTGACGCCGAAACACCAAACGACACCGAAGCGGCCGTCGCACAATCCGCCAGGCGGGCTCACCCTTTACCACCCACGTCCCCCAAGGTGCCGACTTACGAGTACTATGGGTTTGTCTTGTACCTGGCGTCGACGATTGCGTTCCTGATGTACATCTTATGGTCGTACCTACCTTCACCCTTTCTCCACGCCATGGGAGTCACTTACTACCCCAACCGTTGGTGGTCACTGGCCATCCCTGCCTGGATCGTCATGCTTTTGATCTTCATCTACGCCGCCTTACTCAGTTACAACGTCGAATACTTGACCCTCCCGTTGGACAGCCTGGAATGTATGGTCGACGATGCCGCCAACGTGGCCATTCTCGACGAGAGAAATGGGCGCGTGAGGCATGGAGGTAGCAAACGGTTGGTCAAAGAGATGGAACAACGAGCGGCACTGGAACAACTTCAACTCCAACGACAAAAAGGCAAAACAAATAACAACAGTAATAGGAGGTTCTCCAAAAGTAAAGAAAAGGAGAAGAAAAAGCGACCTTCGCTCCGCAATAACAACAATGTTTATCCGTCTTTCCCTTTCCACGAGAACGGCACGGCAATGTCAAATGGAACTGCTCGTGCCTCTTCTTCCTACCATGAACAACCCTTGACGACTGCAGCGGCGGCGTATCAACAGCAAAACACTGCCAACCGGTCTCTCTATTTGGCCGGCGGAAACGACGGCGGCAGCGGCAGCAACAACAACAACAACAGTATTCAGGGCCAGTACGGCGCGCTGCGAACAAATTCTCACCCTGATCCTGAACCTAATTGGAAAATGATTTGGAACGAAGGCACGGACGCCGTAATGGACGTTCCGATCGGTGGTGTCTGTGAAGTCTTGTATGGTTGAAAACAACCTTTCGTACAGAGAGTACGGGGGTACGGGGTCCAACCATACACAGAAGGAAAGATCTATAGCCGCAATAATTCATCTATTACATGCCCCTGGTTCTACTTAGGTACGCAGTACTCCGTAGAGAATTGTGACTTTTCTGCCATGACTTTACCATTTTATATATCTACGGTATGTACCTAGGTAACTATCGACATTGAAAAATCTAGCAAGCGGAATGGATACGGAGGACTTGGTATAACTGAATCTGCATTCGATTAAAGCACCAGTTTAAAAAACGCTCAGTTCGCTTGCTCGCAACCACAACCAAACGATGCTCCATTTCGTAAGTCTGTCCAGATATGAGAGGGTTGTCGTCAAGTATTCAACAAGATACTTTTATTCAGTCTCCTTCCCATTCACTACAGCCACCGTCGAAGTTTTGTCGTCATCCCCTTCAAGGGGCGGCGCAACCTTGCCTTCTCCCTCTCCATCTCCTCCTCCTCCTCCGGCGAGATGATCGATATCTTTTTCAATTCTTTGCTTCCACGCCTTGAGCTCGACAATCTCGCCGTCTTTGGCCTTCAGCTCGGCCCGAAGTTTTTCGGCCACCTCTTCGTGCTCCTTGGACAAGTTTTCCAGGTCTTGGACTTTGGTCTCGAGTGTATCATCATTTTCGCCACCACTACCACCGCTTTCTTCTCCGGGCGGCTGCTGACTTGTAGCCGATTTCGCGGTCTCAACCTTGCTGCGGAGAGATTCCAATTCTGCCTCCTTGGCTTTCAACTGGGCCTCGGTGACATTGTTACTCTCGACAAGCGCTTCGACCTCGCGCACCTTCACTTCCAACTCCTCCTGTTGGGCCTTCTGAGCTTCGACACTCTTTTGCTGGACAGCTTCGAGTTCATTTTCAAGTTCATGTAGTCGACTCTGGGATGACTCGTGGGTGGTGTTGGATTCTTCAAGCTTGACTTCCAGTTCCTTAAGCAGTCCCTCCATATCTGATTTAGCGGCCAAAGAGGCACTTAATTCATCCTCCTTCGCAGTCAGATCCTTGGACGACTGATCGACCACACTGAAATTTACATGTTTCGCTTCCTCGAGTTCGGCCAGAGCTTCCGTCAACTTCTGTTCCACTTCTGTCAACTTGGCCTCAGATGTAGCTTTCTCATCGGCGGCAGCCTTCAGTTTTTCTTCCAGCTCAGCCTTGGCCTCTTCAGCCTCGCTCACGTTCTTGTCAGCTTCTGCCCGGATACCTTCTGCGAGACGAAGTTTGCCTTCGAGATTGCCTTGCTCTTCTTCGGCAGTCTTGACCCGTTCTTGTAACTGCTCTAGAGCGTCTTCCGCTGTCTTTTGGGCCGTTTGAGCCACAGTGACTTCCTCTGCCAGATTAGCAGATCTCTTGGATTCTTCCTGTGCCTGTGCAAGGGCTTCTTCGGCGGCTTTTTGTGCCTCCAATGCTGCAGCGAGCTTTTGCTCCAATTCAGCGCTGGAGTCGGCCGCACTGGCTTGAGCTTGCTCCAGTGCTCCCTGTGCTGATGCGTGAGCCTGTTGAGCTGCTGAGAGCTTCTCTTCAATTTCTGCCCGAGAAGCCTCAGCCTCTATTTGAGATTGGTCCAACGTGGCTTGCAAGGATTCATGAGAGCCTTCCAGTGCAGTCAATTTCTCCTGAAGTTCACTCAATGCGGTAGTAGATTCTTCACCAGACTTTGCCAATGCTTCTTTGGCGAGATTTAATTCCTCCTCCAACTTCAGTTTAGCGGACTCGTGATCATCCCGAGGCTGTTGTATTTGGCCTTGAGTGCCAGCTTGCGCTGTCTCGGAACTCGTGAGCTTTTCAAGCAGCTCTTTATTTGTAGCCTCCAAGGACTCGCTACGTGCTTGATGATCTTCTTGTTCACTGACAAGAATCTGTGCTGCTTCGAGTTTCTGATCAAGTTCCGCCTTGGCTGTCACAGCTGCTTCAATCTCTTGTTCCTTGTCTTGTAGAGCTGCTTGCAACTCTTCTAGTTTAGCAGTCAAAGTCGATTTCTCCTCTTCTAGGCCGGAAATGCTCTCTTCAGAGACGGCTTTCGCTTGTTCGGCAGCTTCCAATGAAATCTGAAGATTGCTCTTCTCGGACTCAAGTGCTTCGATGCGAGTTGTGAAGTCAGTAGAGTTTTCTTTTAGAGAAGCAAACTCGGCCTCGACATTAGATTTGTCCGACTCCAAATCATTGATGCGCTGCGCATCGGCTTCTTTTGCAGCTAAGGCAGCATCATGCTCTTCTTTAGTCTTGTCTATTGACTCTTTGAGTTCCGTCAGCTCTTCAGTCAATTTTGCGTTGACATCTTGCAAAACCGCGATTTGCTCATTCAGTGGCTCATTGGCACCTCGTAATGCTTCCAACTCCTCCACCACGCTGACTTTGTCTGCTTGAAGGGCATCAGTCTCAGCCTTTGCAGCATCGGCGGCTTCTTTGGCCAAGACAATCTCTTCCAGTATCTTAGCCTTCTCCGAGGCATGATTTTCTTCAGAGCTCAGCTTTTCCTCGGTTGCAGATGTAAGTTGTGACTCGAATTGGGCATTGCTCTCTTCAAGGTCTTTCATTTTTGCCAAAGCAGTTTCCAACGCAGCTTGTGCATCGCGGTGAGATGTTGACAATTCTTCGAGGTGCTTTGTGAGTTGTTCATGTTGTTCTGTCGCGGCAGTCTGATTCGAAGTTTCAGCGGCGAGCTGCTCCTTCAACGACTCGATCTGGGTCATGAGTGCGCCGTGCTTCTCATCGGCATCAAGTGCGCGTGCTTCGGCTTCGTCATGCTTCGCTTGTAATTCAGCAACGATCGCCGCATGATCCTCAATGTTTTTGGAGAAACTGGCCGCTCGATCCTTCTCACTTTCAAGCTCGGCCTTAAGACCAGCATACCCTTCGGCATCACTTGATAGTTCAGCAATCTTTGCCTTAGCTTCAGCAAGAGCTATCTTGGTTTCTTCGTAGTCTTCAAGCTTCGCTGTAAGATCAGCAACCTTAATTTCCGTAATCTTTGCCTGAGAGTTTGCAAGCTCGTCTCTACGTGCGTTGAACAACTCTAGATCAACCATGAGTTGAGCAACCTTCTCCTCGGACATTTCTAGCGCGGCCTTGGTTGCGGCGTATTCCCCGAGTTTTTCGGTCAACTCAGTGATGCGAACTTCGGATATCGACAATGCCTCTTTTGACTCTTCATAGCTGGCCAACTTGGTCGTAAGGTCTGTAATCTCTTGTCGAGCAGTAGATAATTCTTCTTCGGCGATCTTGCTGGTAGAAGAATCTGTGTCGTTTTTGGCCGAGGCAGCCTCTAATGCCTCTCGTAGAGTGGAAAGCTCTTGTGTCTGAGAATCAATTTGGCTTTGAAGCTGCTCTTGGGTTGTAACCAGTGATTGATTGGCTGATTCTAGTGCCTTGGAGGAGCTCTCTTGCAGGTCTGCGTATCGCTGGCTGTGCTCTTGTGAATTGACTTGAGCATCTTGCAGCTGTTCAGAGAGTGTGGCTATTTGAGTTTCCAGTTCGGCCTTGACAACAGCAGTCGCTTTTTGCGAGTCCTCGAGAGCCGTTTTGGATGCATCTTGTACGTCTTTCAGCGTCGCAGTCGTCTCGGCAATAACAATTTTGGCGGATTCAAGTTTCTTGTTGAGAGATGCGAACTCCCCTCGTAAGGTTGTCAATTGAATCTCATAGGTGGCCTTGATCTGCTCAGTCCCTGCGCGGGAGTCTTGAAGCTCTTGTGTCAGAATGGCCACTCTTGACTTGTATTTGTGGTGGAGGTTGTCCAGAGCGCCTCGATTTTCCGCGTTCAGCTCCAGTCTGACCGCTTCTCGCTCTGCCTTTCGTGCATCCCTGATCTGTTGGACCACGACCGCCACCATATTATCCTCGAGCGAAGCCTTTTGTTTCTTGAGAGACGCTTCTTTGTCTTTGTATTGTGCCTCTAATTTCGATTGATTTTGTTCGTAGTAAGAAATTTCTTTCTCCTGAGTAACGACAATTTCTCTGGCCTCTTCCAAGTCTTGCCGACATTGTTGCAATTCTTTTCGGAGGTTATCAAGTTGATTTTGAGTGGAAGGGTCTGATTTCGGTAGTTCGGAGTGTCTCTTTCGTCGGAACATGGGATCGGGTTGTGCTGTAGGAGAATCGGGGTGGAAGAGATAGTTGTACGCTTTCCGTAGACTTGTGGATCTTTTTGGCAAGCCCGGAGGAGGACGTTGACCAGGTTTGGACTGTGATATTCGTCTCAAGCGCTTTTCAGAAGCCATTTTGGCGAACTGCAATTGTGAGATATCCTGTGGGTGATAAGCGAGGCCTAACTTCTAAGGGTAAATGTGGCGTGCAGCAGCACGGGTTTCAGGCGGACAAGGGGAAAATTGGTGAACAGGGTCAGTGATAAATAATAGTAGCGAAGAACCAAAATATCGGTCAAGAGTTTAGTAAAGACTTGGATGGAGTAGCTAGGATGACAAGGGAAGAGATGAACAAGGAATACTCTGCCCTTTTTGAGAGCTTCATCTCATGACTCTGAGGTCGGCCACAAACAAATGGCAACAAACCACCTGGGACAGGAACATTCTCATTGCAATCTTCCAGTCACACACGCACTGATGCATTGGGTAGCAAAAGAACAACAAATGAAGCCAACGACGGTGGAGAATCGAGCGAGAGACACGTCGCGCAGTTTCAAGGGTTCGCTAAGCAATTCCTTACCGCCGCATGTCGCCGATAGGATGCTTCATATTAAAGACGCATGAAGAATGGTTGAAAGAGGTTGAGATGGTCTGAGTTGGGTTGACAGTTCATGCACGTCCCTGATGCTGCCGAGTCCAGGTCCATGTAAGAGCAGGGTCACAAGGGGGATGTTGATCGTTACACAGCAAAGACAGACAGACGTCTAACTCGTAAATGGGTTTATGGGGCGCAGCGGGATCTTCAGGTACGAGGGAGGATGTTCCCGAAGCCACCACAGCAAGCCTCGGGCACGGAATATCCGCACAGCGCAGAACCGAGTCATGAAATGTAGAAACCTTTTTATTCGCAACATCGTCGATCGGGCATCTATCTGGCGTTCTTCCACCTGACTGATTCGTCGCATCAATAGGCAGCAGACTCGGTGCGCAGACTCAACAGCAATGTTCGCAGATCCCGTGACAAAAGAGCACCTGAGATTCGTATGTGTCGCCATATAAACTTCACTACCCATCACACGATCCGACCTAGACATCTTGTCCCGGAGATGACTCGGATGACATCATCCTGAGTCGCCATTTTCTCCATCTGATCGTCGCGCTTTGCCATCGCATCCGCCGCAAAGATGAAAGGTGCAGAGGGGAATTAGAAATAAATGATGGAAGGATTGTTGAATATCATCATCAACCAAGAATCTTCGTCGCTTCTATATAACGCCTTTGCGGCCTGTTTATTTCTCATCGCTTTTCGCATGCTCTTCAAGCAGGTTTCTCGTTTCTATCGGCCGTCGACTTCCCCCGCTCGTGTCAGACTCGCGCAAATGTCTTCGCATATATCCAGTGGCCTCACCAAAGGGCCGAGGTCAGAGAAAGAGAATGATGCCACGTCTACTTTAGCAGACATTCCAAAGTCAAATACATTCACCTCCAAACTACCTCCCGATTCACAGTATCCCACTCCTCTCGAGTCACATCAGGCGCCTCGACAAAAGCTGGGGCCTCGCATGGTCAGAGAAGCATTATATACATATGTCAGGCCGGAACCTACTGAGGATCCCGAGCTTCTTGCTGTCAGTCGAGCCGCCCTCCGTGACATTGGTCTTGCCGACAGTGAGGCCAACTCCGAAGAGCTCAAAGAGGTTGTTGCAGGCAACAAATTCTACTGGGATGAAGAAAATGGGGGCATCTACCCTTGGGCACAATGCTATGGTGGCTTTCAATTTGGTCAATGGGCGGGCCAACTGGGTGATGGACGAGCAATCTCCTTGTTCGAGGCTACCAACCCAAAGACCAAGGTCCGCTATGAACTACAATTGAAAGGCGCGGGCAAGACGCCCTATTCGAGGTTTGCCGACGGCAAGGCTGTACTACGATCCAGCATCAGAGAATTTGTCGTTTCTGAGTATTTGAATGCCATCGGTATTCCGACAACACGAGCTCTTTCATTGACGTTATGCCCCAAGTCAACCGTCATACGAGAACAGCTTGAGCCGGGAGCGATCGTATGCCGCTTTGCCGAGTCATGGCTGCGTCTTGGTACTTTTGACCTAATGCGATCGAGAGGTGATCGGAACCTTATTCGCAAAGTTGCTACCTATATCGCAGAAGATGTGTTTGGCGGATGGGAATCACTTCCCGCTGTCCTGCCATCAGACACAAAAGATGCTCATCCCGATCCTGCCAGAGGCGTGCCCAAGGACGAACTCCAGGGTAAAGAAGGTGCTGAAGAGAACCGCTTCACAAGGCTATACCGGGAAATTGTCCGTCGAAATGCCAAAGTTGTTGGCATGTGGCAGGCCTACGGTTTCATGAATGGTGTTCTTAATACCGACAATACTTCGATATTTGGTCTCTCTATGGACTATGGCCCGTTCGCATTCATGGACAATTTTGACCCGACATATACTCCCAACCATGATGACCACATGCTTCGATACAGCTATCGAGCCCAGCCGACCATCATCTGGTGGAATCTTGTCCGTCTCGGTGAATCATTGGGCGAGTTGATCGGTTCTGGTGAACGTGTCGACGACGAAGTGTTTGTGGAAAAGGGTGTTGAGGAAGACTTTGCTCCTATTCTCATCAAGCGCGCCGAGACCATCATTGATCAGATTGCCGATGAATACAAGGCTGTGTTTTTTAGTGAGTATCGGCGCCTGATGACTCTGCGCCTTGGCCTGAAGACCCAGAAAGAAGGCGACTTTGAGAAACTCTTCTCCGAGCTCCTCGACACTTTGGAAGCCCTCGAGTTGGACTTTAACCACTTCTTCCGTCGCTTGTCTACGGTAAGGCTCGAAGACGTCAGTACCAAAGAGAATCGAGAACAAACGGCAGAACGGTTTTTCCACCATGAGGGAGTTACAGGGTTGAACGAGACCAATGAAAGTGGCCGCGAAAGGATTGGGAAGTGGCTTGACTCGTGGCGAGAACGAATCGTGGAGGATTGGGGCACCGAGTCATCTACCGACGAGGACCGAGAAAAGGCCATGAAAGCAGTCAACCCGAACTTTGTGCCACGAGGATGGTTACTCGACGACATTATTGATCGAGTGCAGAATAAAAAGGAAAGAGATATCCTTCAAGGTGTGATGGAAATGTCATTGAATCCATTCCAAGATGAGTGGAACTGGAATGAGGAAATCGAAAAGAAGTATTGTGGTGATGTTCCACGATATCAGAGAGCCATTCAATGTAGTTGCTCCTCTTAGATTTATCACCTTACATACCGGAATGACAAAACGGCGTTGATTAGTACCCAAGTCAAACAGAAGTCGCAATTGTCTTTCGTGTTTCCCAGGTATATACAGTTGGTACTAATACCATTCTCATGTACCTAGTCAGGTATATATGCTCGTAGGGTACCTGAGATAGTCGGTTACATATATCCGGTACCTTTTTACCCCGCAAATCGCAATATGTCTTGTTCACGCGAACAACCACCCTCCATGTTGGTGACAACTCTTCATTCCAAAGTACCACACGACTTGAAGTTGCAGCAGCCAATGTCGCAGCATTGGGACGATACTTTTTATGATCAGAAACTTTCCATCACAGCCTTGTTGTAAACCCTGACTTGTCCTTTTTTCTGTGCAAAGTGTCGTCGGCCAAAAAATTGACCGTCGCACTCCGCTATCGGAATCCACGGTACGGAATACGGAGTACACCAACGGTTGAAAGAGGAAAACAAGGTAGACAGATTACCCAAGGCCTTCCCGTATGATTCGGTATATCTAATGCAACCCCCTCATGGTTCGGTTCATGTTGGAAATATCGGCACGAGGACTGGTTGAAACATAGACCTACCCAAGGTATATATCAGATGTAAATGCACTCAGCCTTCCCAATATAACCAACTACCAACTTCGACATCGACTTTGAAGACTTGACATTTACAACCACAAACATCCAAACACATACTCGTACCCCGTATATCATTGATACATTTCTCGGTCAAAAAATCACCCGCCTCAGGATATCTTTTTTCGATTTTGATATCTACAACTCTCAAACCTTTTGTTTTTCTTTAGCGAGGTACTCTGCTCCAGAGATACGTACAATTCACATCTCTCACACATCCCAAAAAGGGAAAAATCAAGAAATGTCACCACCATCGACACTCAAGATCGCCGTGATCCCTGGAGATGGGATAGGACAAGAAGTCATGCCTTGGGGGGTGAAGTGTCTGGAAGCGGCCGCCAAAGTATTCGACCTGTCCCTTCAATTCGAGACGTTCGACTTTGCTTCTTGCGACTACTACCAAAAGCACGGCGACATGTTGCCGACGGACTGGAAGGCGACACTCTCCAAATTCGACGCCATCTACTTTGGTGCCGTGGGGATGCCTTCTCTGGTCCCGGACCATGTGTCCCTCTGGGGTAGTTTGTTGAAATTCCGACGGGAGTTCGACCAGTACATCAATTTGAGACCCGCCAGGTTGATGCCGGGGGTCAAGTGTCCCCTGGCAGGTCGATCACCCGGCGACATTGATTTTTGGATCGTGCGAGAAAACACCGAAGGGGAATACAGTTCCATCGGTGGGACCATGTTCGAAGGGACCGACCGCGAAACCGTCATACAAGACACCGTCATGACCCGTCGAGGTGTCGACCGGGTCGTCCGGTACGCGTTTGACCTGGCGAGACGTCGGCCCAAGAAACACCTGACCTCCGCCACCAAATCCAACGGCATCAGCATCACCATGCCTTATTGGGACTCACGGGTCGCCGAGATCTCCGCCAGAGAATACCCGGACGTCAAGCTGGACAAGTACCACATCGACATCTTGACGGCCCATTTCGTCCTACACCCGGACATGTTTGATGTCATCGTCGGTAGTAATTTGTTCGGCGACATCCTCTCCGACCTGGGCCCGGCATGTACCGGCACCATAGGGATCGCACCTTCGGGGAACATCAACCCGACCGGAGAGTTTCCGAGCTTGTTCGAACCCGTCCACGGGAGTGCCCCCGACATCTTCGGCAAGGGCATAGCGAACCCGGTCGGCATGATCTGGGCCGGCCAGATGATGCTGGACCACTTCGGTTACAAACCGGCGGCGGACGCCATGCTCAAGGCGGTCGAGAACGTCTTGGCCAGATCAGAACAGGCCGTGGTCACGGCGGACGTGGGTGGGAAAGGAACGACGGACACCTTCGGCCAGGCCATCGAAAAGGAGATTTTGAATATGAAACAATAAAAACCAACAAGAACGAAATTCCAGGAAGGAAAACCCCACAAATATGGCGCATCAAACCACAATTCCAGGCCCAAAAAAGGAAACCAATGTCACGTTCAAATTGTTAACAAATGACCGTAAGGGATAGGGGGTAGGGGCTACGATAGATATGTTCTTATACACTCTATAATCAGATATGAAACATGCTCTCTTCTAAACGACTGTCTTCCCCTCGTCCCTCTCTATCTCGTCCGATTGACCTATTCAGAGGGGGAGAGAGAGAATTCTGTCTTCGCATTTCCCGTTGCAGGAGCAACAAACCATGTTCAGTAGGAGGTATCTACCTAAAGGCACTTCAGCCTTCAAACTCTCGCCCATCGCATTCCCAAGCCCAAGACCGTTAGACTGTTCAATCCTTGAGGAAAACCTCGCAGCAAAAGAAACCATTTATATCCTTTGTTTGTGACACGCGCACGAACCCTGCAAATGGTCACCAAATCCCTCGTCACGACCTTTCTCAGCCAAATCTCAGGTATGTTGCAGGGTACTGATAACCGATGTCAATCTTGTTCCGCTCACCCACCGGGCCCGACCGCCGAGACCTTCTCAACGCTACAGTACTGACCGCCACGAGGGCATGTCGAAAATTATCATCATCTTCCCTTGGAAAGTCCATCTTCGAGAAAGTCCAACGCAAAGTTACCTCTCTTGATGTCTCAGTAAGCTTCCCCTGTTAGATCCTGCCGCATGATGAGTATTGGAAAACAATCCTGCAGCTGGACTCGCTTGTCGACTTCTGGTTCCTCTGCCGGGGCCATCCAAATTTGGACTTCCTGGAGGTTGAACACTAGATCCTCGGGTCTGGACACCTCGAGTACGCTTCAATTGACGATTCTCTTCTTCGAGCCTCTTTAGTCGCACTTCTCGGCTGTGGATGCCCAATTCTAGCTCTTGTATCTTCGCAAAGTGCTTTTGAAGACTGTAAGTGTGACTTTGTTCTTTGAGACGGCGCTTCTCATCGCCAGCTTGCTGGGTGAGTTCGGCAACTTTGGTCTCGAGTTCTTGAACTTGTCCGGCGAACTCGGCGGCTTTGTTAGAGGCTTCTTGATATTGTGTTCGCGTAAACTCAAAGTCCTTGCGTGTGTTCTCTAGTGACTTTTCAAGGTACACGTTCTTTGCCTGGAGCCCACGAGCCTCTTCACGAGCGGCTTCCAATGCAGCTGCATCGCCACCACCAGCTTTGACTTCTTCTCGCACAGTCGTCAACTCTGCTTGAAGCTCGGCCACTTTTCGCTTGAGCGACACGTTATCCTCGGCGGTTCTCTCCTGTCGGGATTTATTATTATCAATAATCTTTTGGAGCTTCTTGGTGGAAAAATCTAATTCGTGGCATTTCGTCATTCGTTTTTCGTAACGTCGTTGAAGGTTGGCGTGATCCTCCTTCCACTTCTCCAATTGCTCTTGGATCCGCGTCCTTTCTTCTTCGGCCTTTTGTTTGGCTTCACGTTCGGTTTGAAGATCAGCCTGTAACTTGTTGACAAGCTCCTGCATCTGTTGCAGTTGGTCATTGGGTGGTTCACTTTTGGTGGCCGCTTCTGCCGAGTCCTGGAGAGGAGTCAACCTCTGCCGCTTGATCAAAGCAGGAAGAACACTGTCAACGTCCAACATTCGTCTCTTGCCGGATGGTGTTCCAGATCTTGACGCAGGAGTTCTGGATCGAATGGGTTCTTGAGGTGTCGGAGCCATTGTTGGGACACCACTGGATCTTAATGGACCTAGGTCCATATCTGTCAATTGCAGCCGAGGCATCGGAAGAGTCCAGTTGCTTGCCCAGTCCAGTGCCAATGAGGCCCTGGTGATCACTTGTGCAAAGATGGCAAGTTTGCGCTCTGGGGTCTTTCGCAGACCTCGTTGGAGATCTGCCATGTCCATAGCACGGCCTTCGGGTTCATCTGAAGGATCGGGGACATAAGTCGGCCTTCCTCCGAGATTTGGTCGAGCTTGATACGTCGCACGTACAAGAAGCTTCAACCTTGATGGGGAAGGCATGTCTTTCGGCAGACATCGATCCACGTGCTCAGATGAGTTGGATACAAGGAAATGCACCACAGGTAACAATGTTGGAGGTCTCGGAGAGAAGTACTGTCTGATACGCATAACTTGTGGATCTTGCGAATCGAATGACGCATCGAATGCAATGATCAAAATAGGTTTCATAGGAAACGCTAGTTGACATGTCGAGAAAGTGCTGACCAATTCGACCTGGAATTCATTTCGAGAACGCTCCACCTCCGACGAGCTTAAAGTAATCGCACGATCCTGTCGTCTCACAGTGATGTGTTTGAGCTTCAAGTATTGCTCAATCAGGTCTTGTACCGGCCCTGCTTGACTCATGACGACGATGGAGCATTCAACATGGGCAAGCATGTCAACCAGGTGACCCAGAAGAGAAAATTTGGACCCTGCGTAGTTGGCATAAGCTGCCTCTGCCTCTGACTGAATGGAATACTGTGTAAAAGTTCCAGGGAGACCAAGGTCCATGTGAGTAACCGTGTCGTTGAGCTGTTGGATCATTTCCATCATTTCGATCCGCTCTTGTGTACGGGTGGGAGATCCATTGGCGGAGCCAACAGAGTCATGCCGATTGAGGAATTTCAAGATTGCCTTCTTCTTGGACTTGATGATGTCGGAATAGACAGACTGGATCTTGCCTTCAACCGGGAGAGCGAGCGCATATTCTCCAGGCCCTAATACTGGTAAAGTGGGAAGTACCAAGCCGTCAATCTGGGCAACGTCTCTTTCATTTTCGACAGACTGTTGACTGGAACTTGCTTTGGATTCTGCCGACGAGTGCTCTGCACTAAAAGACTGTGGTTCTTCCTCGATCGATTTCTGGATGGGCAGAGCACTCCCGCCAAGCGCAACATCATAGACCGGCGCCTGTGGCGTATGACTAGGAGCAAGCTCAGATCCAGAGAGGTGCTCGTGATGGCTTGCCAGTGGCGGTGACATCTCTATCCCAGGAGCAGAGAGACCCAGACTACAGAAGGCAGCAGGTAAAGTCTTTCCGAGTCGGCGAAGTTCCGTGCGGTGACAGCGTTGTGATGGTTGGTGTTGGGTCTTGAGTGGAAGAACGCGATGATTGAAAAGTAGCACTTGGCACCACGTGACTGCAGGGGAGTGATCACCCTGGCCACATCCCAGACCTCGCTATGGACTTTCCCGTCCCCAGAGGCGGCCATTCACCTACTGTACAAATGGGTGTGGTAAACTGATTATTTGAGGCACTCTTTTTTGAATTTCTGCTCATCGGCCTGCCCCTTCTTATACTGGTACACGGATTTTTTGAGTTTTAAGAAAAAAACCGACTGAGGCTTTCGTTATCTCAAGTGCCATTGCGGGAGACAGCCTTGCAATCTTGCCAGCTTCCATCACGCCGCTCGATCCGAGTAGAAATGTTGGGTTCATCACTGTTTGTGAAAAGCATCGTCACAATGCCATGAAACGAATAGTTGCGATGGGCTCGTCCACGAGCCAATTTACGATACTTGGGAATGACGGGTTCTACGCTGTCGTCCTTCTGTAGGTACGTAGCTGTACCGCGAAATTGATGATTGTAGTGGTGGGCTAACATACAACACCTCCGCATAAGTCACCGTCCACCCCCAGAATTTCCTCTATTTTACACCAAGATTCTAGAAGTTCAATACATTGTAACTTTTTATTCAGTTGAAGAACTTGTATTGAAATTTATGATATAGATAGAAAAAACTATAAAGAAAAGATTATATATATAAATTTTTCTTATATTATTCAATTCAAAAGCACTATCTTAATTTTAGAAGAAAGAGACATCATAATTTAAAAGTTTTATAGACTTAGTTCTACTAAAAAAGTAAATAGTTATGTATATTGTAGTAAAATAGAGGAAATTTTGGGGGGGGACGGTGACTTATGCGGAGGTGTTGTATCACGCACGCGGCACAAGACTACCTTATCGCTGAAGTGCCCGCCCAATAGTCAAGAGACATTCTCAAGGGCAATGATAACGATTAAATTATTAGTTCTCTCAGTCGTGTGCCTTGTACAAAGATATCTCGATAGGCATTCGCTCAGATCGCCCCTTCCAGCGCCTAAGAACAACAAAATCGAGAAGATCCCGGTGGAGGTCCGGCCCGGACGGAAGCGAGGGAATGCTGTGCGCCCCAATGTCTTGGATATTAGGTAGTGTATGGTGTTGCTTGTGATTGACAAGAGACGACATTAGCTAGCTTTCAGCATAGGCTGAGAGAGAGAGGGAGACGATAACACAAAGATGAAGCAGAATGTAAGGTAACGCCGGGGAGGCTTTTATCCAATAATTAAAATCGTCTATGAGTTCTTCCTTAGGCAGTCAGTACCTGGTGAAGATGGCGCTATTGGTTCGTCGGTGGCAATCCAAAGGCCGACGCCAATCTTGACACCTAAAAAATGCGCCATTTCGCAAGAATCACGCACTTGGAAAATGGAGAGAGATGGAGGGAAATGTCAATGTCCTCTTGCACAAGATTGTGATGCATCCATGACCCAAGTCTAAAACTAATGCGCATTTAAAAATCAGTACATCCCTTCTAACATTTGGCCTCTTGAAACATCGCCAGATCCTTCTCCTCTGCGTTCTTTCGCCACTCTTCGAAATCGAATCCAAGCTCTTCCATCGTTCTGACCTTGACTTTGGCCTCTCCTCTCTTCAGATAAGCGGCCTTGATGTCGGGAAACTTCGATCTCATCCACACTTGTCTCTCGTCCCATCTGGTCCCAAGTCGGCCGACACCCTCATTCTCGAGACCATCTCTCTTGCTCGCCTCTTGAGCCCAGGCATAGAGCTCATTAATCTGTGCGGCGTCCTGTGGGAACTTTTTGAGATGAAAATACTTGCCATCTCCGTTCATTGCGATATTGTTCAGCTCCCACTTTTGCATCTCGTTCGTCGCCGGTAAGCTGAGTCGACCACTCCAGACACGGGCAACAACAGCCGCCTGGTTTTGAGACAACGGAAAGGGGATGACTTTGAGATTGATAACTGGGAACGCAAGTGTGGGATGATTGATATGAAACAAGTGCTGATACAATCCTCTTGTGCGGAAACCGTCAGTGACCAGTGGCGGCGACAACTTTGACAGAAAAGGAAACGAATAAAAATATCCGGTCGCAAAGACGATCGCGTCAATGTCCTTTTCAATTTTGCCACTTTTGAATCTCAACGCCCGGTTACCTTCGCTGGCAGGGAGGCACTCTACAAGCTCGTCGATATCCTCTCGCCACTGGGCCGGTGGTAAGGTTCCGAATGCTGATACTGAACGGGCAGATAGAAAAATGGGATGTTTACAGTGTAGGCCAATCTGGGTCGCAATGTCGAGACCACTGGCAGAGTTCCCCACCACGAGGACCTTCTTGCCCCGAAAGTCCTCTGGTCTGCGATATGCCTTGGAATGAATGATTGTCTCCGGGTAGGTGGCGTTCCATTCAGCGATGCCTTTGATATCAGGAACGTAAGGGATAGTATAGTGACCATTCGCGACCACCACTGCGTCGTAGACATGGTGCGTCGTCTCTTTCGTACGCACGTCTTCGGCAACGAGGTTCCATTGTTCGTGTGCTGCCGTGGTCCGAGGGGCGATGGGCGTCAAGTCCTTGACGGCGGTATGGAACTTGATGAGATGGCGCACATCAGCGGCGTAATCTTCCAGATATCGTAGAACCGCCTGGTGGCTCGGAAATAATGGGTCGGCAATCGAGAACGGTTTGTCTGAGAAGGCCATGAGTTGCTTCGGGATGTTGGTCTCCAGATAGTCATACAGGGGCGATTCAAACTCCAGTGACTCGGTGCCTGAGTCGTGGTGGCCATATCGTGGGTTGATCTGGGGCACAGGAATGCGTCTGGATCGCACCGGTTCGCAAAGATTCCATATTCCACCCACACCGTCACGTTGTTCGTAAATGTCTATCGTATCAAAAGCCTTTTCGGCAAGGAGGTATCTAACAGTCAACAGTCAGCTACAATGAAGGTCCACCAAAGAAAAAATTCTTGAAAGCATTTGGAAGATTGACGACGCTTACTTTGCACACGACACTCCCACCGGACCAGCCCCAATCACCGCGATCCTCGATATCGAGGGTACAAGGCCCGCGTCTCCCATCGGGCACAACTGAAGTTGCTAGGGTCGGGTTGGTATTATGAATACCAAGACAAATGCCCACTTAGCCTCCAGACGATTCTTCTTCGTCTTAGAGCGGGTTTATTATGGTCGGGCGACGCAGTTGAAATGCTCACAAGTGAAACTCCAAGAAAGGATTTTTCCTGTCAGAATGATGACAACCTGGGTATCCTTTCAGTGCCACGGCGAAACACACGAGTCCCTTGTTCACCTTATACGATACAAAGAGTGAAAATGTCTTGTGCATGACGTGAATCACGACATTCCAAGATCACAGAATTTCTTATCCGATGGCATGATAAGGTGACGGACAAGGTTTTTGGCTTCCTATATCGGTCGGGATCAACCGAGAAGCGAGAAATCCGGACATTTCTCCGGAGCACAGTATCGCCACATATTTTATTGATTCAACTAACTATCTATTCTTATACACAAATCTTCTCAAAATCTATTTACCTTTTCGTAAACACATGACAGATTATGACTTTGGTGATAATTATTGGCTCTCATGCATACAATACAGCACTGGGGTTAAGCGAGCATGTGGCCCAACTGAACCCTAATCGCACTCTTGAGTTGTGTAGAATCACCATGCTTGTTGCAACGATTAGGAGCGAGGCAAAGAGCGAGGCGGAGGCGTTGCTCCGCCTCGCGCTCATGAATCTGCCTCATGAGGAGTCTTGAAGGCATTGCTTGTGCTAAAAGGATCAAGCCCAGTGTTAACCTGCATGAATACTCCAGGCTGAAAAGACTTCCTCGTGAGTATTTTGTTTAGAGTAGATTGGATTCATCAGACTCACAATACCAAATCTGCACTGGAACTCAATGAAGCCTCGGCACCCAGGTAATGTGTTTTATGCGGGAATAATCATAACAACTTCAAGGTCTGCTATAGTACATGATATTCCTGACCCTGATATATTAGTTTGACCTCGTCGCACGGTCAAATGCCTTGGATTTAGGTCAATATGGATTTCGCGATCTTAGTTTTAGGCCTCCCAAAGTCCACGTCGTCCACTACAACATATCAGGGCTATTCAATCTTTACAAGAGATAAGTAAACCCGAGGGCTTTGTCTCCTTCCAGTCCATTTGTGGTGGCACCTTCGGCCCTCAACTTCTCCTTCTGAGCGTTCCTTCGTCGCAGCAACCAGAAGATGACGGCCACACCAAAGACAGCAACGATTTCGCAACCCATGCTCACCGCGTTGCCCATTACGTATCTTGGGGCATCTCGGGCAATGTACAGCTGAGAGCCAATAAGCCCAGAGCAGTTAGTGATTGTCAGAACGAAAGGCAGAGCCACAGATCGCTTGTATTCGGGCGACACGTTGTTGGAAACCCATGCGAGGAAGATGACGCTGAAGGTTGCCATGCCTGACCAATTTGCAGGAGGTCTGGTTAGCATCGTGATGCAGATGGATCTCCAATGAAAGACATACCTCCAGCACACAGAAACATTGCAATATATCCAGCCACTTTGTTAGCGGTGCCCACGACGATCGCGTAGCCTAGAATACCAGGAACCACGAGCATACAGAGAAACAGTGCCCTCTTCTTGAAACGATCCGAAAGGAAGGCGACTGTTCCAATAACGACGGCCCCAAAGATGTAGACGGGGATGGTGAGATAATTGGCTTGGAGTGCGGTGTATCTGGGCAAAGAAACGTCAGCTTCACGATGGACACTGGGAAGAGATGCCAGCAAAGGAGGCCCACCCAAATCCCCGTATAATTGTGGGTAAGAAGATGCTGTATCCGAGCACCGCAATCGAGTGGGTGAACAGGGTGATTGCGGCAATGACCACGAACGGGTCAAAAACTGCCATGGCAAAATAGGACCACCGGAAAGTCTGATCTTCTCCTTTGTAGATTGCCGTTCTCTCCGCACGGAGTCTCATCGCTTCCTGCTCACTTGCGTTGAGGAACCATGCTTTTTCAGCGCTGGTGGGAAGAAATAGCAGCATCAGCAGACCAACTCCGCCGCTGAGGGTGCCTTCGATGATGAAGAGCCATCTCCACGCTTCCAGTCCATTTCGGTCGCCACCGACTTGAGTACCGTACGCAATCAGACCACCAAAGGCGCCGGAGATGGCAGTGGCAATGTACACAACGGCGATCCGCTTGCCCTGAGAATTTTGGTCCCACTGGAGCAGGCGGTGTCGTCAGCGGTCAAAGTACAAACGGTCAACAGGGGAAAGCCATGGAAAGCGCGCCATTGACTTACAATGGTGGAAATTATAAAGATGGTCGCAGGTAGCAGGCCGGCCTCAAAGGCTCCAAGGACCAATCTGCATCCGATGGCCTGCGCGTAAGTATGACAGAAACCCATGCCGAGGGTGGCCGCGGTGAATCCGATCATGGAAATGCAAAGGACGCGGCTGGCGCCGAAACGTTTGACGGCAACGACCCACGGCACGTCGAGGAGAATGTAGAAGGGGAAAAACAAAGTTGAGATATTGTTGAATTGGTTGCCTTTGAGTCCGAGGCTTTCTATGACCGGGAGATGATATCAGCACGACGTCTCGACGGCTCAAGGGGTTTGAATTGTCAATAGCTCACTCTCGAGTCCAAAAATTTTGGCGTTGCCAATGTTGGTCCGGTCGAGCCATGCCAGCAGAATCAGGAGCAGGATGGCGGGCAACAGGAAGATGTCAAACTTGCGAAGCGCTCGCTTCTCATGTTCACTCATGAGGGCGGCTGACTCTGCATTCTGAACACTCCCTACGCTTGGAGCGGCCTCCTTCTCAAGTGAATGGCGAACTGATCCCATTGTTCTTGGATGAAACTATGCTACCTGGTGGGATGGTGAAATTGGAATCACAAGATCACGAACAACGACGGGTTCGGTCGAGCTCTTATGAATCTGTCGGCTGGCCCGCTTCTCTTGGGAGACTACTTCAGACCAAGTAGGTCTGAAGTCCGGCGCAGCCTGGAATTCTCCATTCGGAGACCATTCAAGCATTCATCCACAGACCTATTGGTCCCCATGGCTTCGCTTGGCAATCCCGGAAAGTGGAATGAGCATCGTTGTCGGCTCCGAGATGGCCAATGAAGTCTCTCGATCCTCCGGGACCAACAATCAACAGACCCTTGGCATTTGTACATACTACTATGTACTTCAGTTTCTGGGCACAGTGGCGCCGCCAAACGGCCTGTCTACATCTCCGGCCGAGACCTTGGATCAGTTCTGCTGCGATCGCAGTAGAGTATATCGACGATAGCTCGCTTGTCGACTTTTCGATGAGATGAGAAACGCCGGCTAACGACTTTTGAATCCGTCAATTGCGAGAGGACGCATTTCCTCATCGGAGGGTGTGCTGTTCTTCGACGTCCGAGTCCGACGTCAGAGTTCTTCACATTGCAGTACATCTCCATCATTATGTTCCAACACCAGGTAGTCTGACTAGGCTTCAACCAACCAGCGTATACATATCACTTACCCAAAAACTTTTGAAAAAGAAAACTCGGGCGAGAGTAAACCCGCGGTTAAACACAGTACTCGCTAGCTCGCCTTGCAGGTTTGATCTCGCTATGGCTTCTTCACGTCGGAAGATCTCCGCCAACGTTGATATGGGGAAAGCATGGGTCAATCATGTATGCGGGCCCGATGAAGATATCATCCCTCCCATCGATCATGCGAATGCTGCTTGCGGGTTTCAGCAAGAGTCATCACCTCGGATCTGCCATGACGAGAACAGCATCAGTCCATAGCTGATGCAGTGGAGGAGATCCTCTAGTGATGACGAAGACTCTGGCTTCATGCGAAGCTCACAAGCTACCCGTTGACGCTCATCCCCTCCTAGTAGATGTGCAGGGATTTGGGACGTCGGGAGACGAATCTATGGCAAGAAGAGCATATCGCAAACGTGGTCTATCAGGTAGGAGCACTCTAAGACTTTGTTGTCCGTGAAGGTCTCGAGCTCAGTCACGTCAAACCTCATGGTGCATTGTATAGAGAGGCTTGTTCGGGAATAGCCTCCCATTGTACGAAGATGGGGCAATCTCATTCCTGATTGGCCTGTTCATTCGGAGTTCCATCTCTTGGTCACCCACTCCACTTCATCGACCTCATCCTTCTCTTCTCTTCGCCTTGAAGTTGGTCGCTCGGTCTATTACTCTGTTGTTTCTCAACTCAACAGCTAGGGTTCTCCATGGAGCCTCGCAGAAGACAGCAGCGGAGAGCTTGCGACGTGTGTCGACGACGAAAAGTACGATGCGACGTCGGCTCTGCCGTGGGTGATACATGTTCAGTCTGTCGCAAGGGAGGTTATGACTGCCAGTGAGTGCCATGTGGTGAGCTTCGAGACATTTACAGTATATCCAACTGTGCTTCTGTGGCCGACCACTAACGTTGCTCCCTGTCCGCGATGTAGCGTACAGACAGACTGGCCGGCTCCGGCGAGGCACCGAGAAAAATTGGCACCGAGGCCAGAGGTAGCGAGACCTAGGCCGCCTCTCGAACCCCGACGTTCATTCCCGCGCCAAGCTGACGACATGCTGTATTTCGAACCACCAAACCCCTCGGTCGAACAGGAACAGGACCAAGTTGAAGACACGCCGAGCACACCGGGTTTGCAGGCGGACGATTCCAATTTTCTCGCTCGAACGGCCCTCTCACAGTTCTATCACAATGGCATTGAGTCCTCGGACTGGCACATATTCCAGGTTGCAGATGACTTCAGGCTCGCTTACATTGGCGCCCCAGTCTCTAATCTATCACACCTGGTGCAACTACGCTGCTCTCACTTGAGATTACGCCAGGCCAGTCGTCCCACGCAGCACACACTGGTCCAAGAAGCGCTTGGAAGAGCTCCATACGTGGCCTTTAGTTTTAAGGACTTGTATCAATTTGCAGCATCGCCGACTGACTCTCAGGGTCAGAATATCGACTCCCCTCTACCTCTACATTTCCCTTATCCACAAATTCGACCGTTGGAGGCCCGTCATACGGGCGACCAAGCCCACCCCGGAATTCCCCGAGACCTATCCACAGATGCGTTGACATTTCTTGGAGAAGAGGTACGGGAGAGCCTGGTCAAGGCGTACTTCGATAGCATCCATCCATCATTTCCCGCCATCGCGCCATCTATGATACTGCAGAACGATGGCAAGTTATCGAGCACGGCACCGCCACTACTGGTTCATGCTGTTCTCCTTGCGGGAGCCAACGTCTGTTCGCATCCACAAGTGGTGCGCGCTCGTCCATCGATCAAGGCTGCCTTGTTTCGCACGGCAGGGATGCTTTTCCACCGACGTAGCGAAAAGGATCGCTTGCATCTGACACAAGCGGCACTGTTGTTCACATGGCACATCAACGACGGAGACACCGTTGCTGGAGGCCCTTGGTACTGGATTGGGGTGGCTTTGCGCATCAGCTGCGGTCAAGGAGCGCATCGTCTTAATCCACTTCTCCCCGACTTTGAACGTATCATGTACAAACGAAGCTGGTGGTGTGCCTTCGTGTCGGAAGCATTCAGTGCCCTGGAAACCGGTCGGCCGTGTGCGGTTCGGCCACCAGACACCGATCAGTCAGTCCCAACCGAGGAAGAACTCAACTGGGACGGCAAGCAGACTTCTGTCACGACTGCCGGAGGGCAGGAGTCAGCCACGGCCGAGGAACAGAGCCTAGGTCTGGGCCCGAGGACCGTCTGCTCCCAAGTACCCTACCTGTACCACAAGCACTTGATAAGTCTTGCGAAGATAGCCATGGACATCTCAGCCTTGAACGCTCCGGCCGAGAGCACATCCATAACCATGGCGAGTCTCGACGCTCGGTTGGCAAAGTGGTCACTAGGTGCCACTTCGGGGGGAGACTTCTTCAGCATCTCGTTACGACTGTACTTCCACATGGTCGTTTTGAATCTTCATCGAAATTATCGACGAGAATCGAGTGACAGTCAATCGACGTGCAGTGCAGCGGCAGAGAGCATCATCACCGCGATGGATCGCATCATCGACCTGGACTCGCTTGGTCGATGCCACTTCCCCGTCGTCAGTGCCATCACGGCGGCCGCCATCCAACTTGTCCACGAGATTCGATCGGCGATCGCTACGGGGGCGTATGTGGTCGGCCTAAACCGGCTCGGACTGTTGCAACGTGCCACAAAGTTCGCGAAATGCCTTGCGCCACTGTGGCCAACGGCGGAAGCGGTACACAATGTCTTTGAGGGACTTCGCAGAGAATACGAAGACCAAGTGGCCAAGTCCCTCGATCCCACACATGGCACTTCTGTTCCATACGACGAGCCCGACTGGGCAAGTCTGTTCGCGGCAGCAGACCACATCCCAACGTCTGAAGACTGGTTGGAATGGACATTAGAGGATAGAGCACCAAGTCAGTAAAAGGCAAGTCGTCCACAACACACACACATTAGTATTAAATACAAATTTTATAGACTAAAGGTCGGCACCTGCTGGACGGTGTTTTACCTTCCAAACCCATTCCAACGTCGTGATATTGGACAAATGATCCTTCACAAAACGGTTCCTAAGAGTCTCAAATACCGTCTGCGAGATGAAAGATCTTTCAGACCAGTAGAACTTTCCAAAGTTGCTTTTTCTCAGGAAGGCTAGACCAGCTGATGGCTGGTCGGAGAGAACAGCCAACGAGGATGCAGGACAATAGAGAAGCTCCGGGTGGGACCCCGAATCACAAAGCCTCACACGCCCTTTCGGACGCGAAACCTCGGAGCACCTGTGACTGGGGTAGTATGTAGCATTGTACCCACGGCGAATGGTAGCTGGCTGCCAGGTGTATTTTGTTCAATTAAAGCTTACTACCGCATCTTGCCTGTGTGCGTCTGTTGCGCCTGCGTCTGAGAGTCTGGCGTTTTCAAGTGTATATCGCAATTTGTCTGCCCTCTGTCACTTTCTACGGACTTGCTATGGAGTCGACTTCCGACGTGATCGTCGTAGGCGCTGGGCTAAGTGGCCTCCAAGCCGCCCTCGATCTGCACTGCTCCTGTCGGTCCGTTGTCGTTCTGGAAGCTCGAGATCGTGTCGGCGGCAAGCTCAGAACCGTTCAACGTCCGGACGGCAAGGGGTTCCAAGAGTTCGGCGCTGCATGGCTCAACGACACCAACCAACAGCACATGTGGAACTATTGCAGGCAGTTCGGTTTGACTCCGGTGGTTCAGAATATCATCGGTGCGGTGGCATGCGAAGATGCGCAAGGGAAAGTCCAGTCGGTCCCCTTCAATACCCTCCCAGAAGTAAGTCTGCCACTGTCCCTCCTCCCAGTTTGCCCAAAGGTTCCTTGGGAAGCCTATAGCCAGCCAGGCCCACTGATTTGGCGATCTCAAAGTTCTCTCAAGTGGACAACGACAGCATAAAATCAATCCGAGACAAGTTTGAAGCCGCATCTTTCGACCCGGAAAGTTTCAAAGAACCCAGACGGACAGAATTGGACAACATCACATTCGAGCGATGGTGCGTTCGGAACGGTGCCACAGAGGTTGCCCTCCGCACCGCGACAGTCTGGACCCGTGGCACCCTGGGTCAGGACCCGTGTGACGTTTCTGCGTTGGCCTTCCTCGAGATCGCGCGTGGAGCACTCGGCATAGTCAACCTGCGGTACGACGGCAAACACGGTCCACAGCACCTACGTCTCCAGGAGGGTACGCAGGCCGTCCCGGTCGGCATGGCAAAACTACTCCCGACAGGCACCATCCGATTGAACAGTGCCGTCAGATCGATCTCGAGGCGCGCTCCCCTCGAGTACGTCGTCACCACGATCCACGGACGACGACATCAAGCGCGGAAGGTCATAATCAGCATTCCCGGTCCGGCGTACAAGACAATCACATTCGAGCCTGCCCTTCCCGGTCCGATGGAGTCATACATTGCGTCGGTGAGATTCGGGTGCTACGTCAAATACATCTGTCTTTTCAGGACACCATTCTGGAGAGAAAAGGGCTTTTGTGGGCTATCGCAAAGTTTCAAGGGGCCGCTGAACCACACCCGCGACACGTCGGTCGACTCGCAGGGAAATTACGCCCTGACCTGTTTCGTCACCTCGACCCCGGCGAGGAGCTGGTTGAGACTGAGTGATCGGGACCGCAGAGAAGCCGTGCTCCGGCAGCTTGGCTCCTTGTTCACCGTCGGCTACGACAAGGTCAAGGAGGAGCTCCTGGGCACTATCACGTCGGATTGGCACCAGGATCAGTGGGCAGGTTGGGGATGTCCCTTTGCTTGTCCCCCACCGGGTGTGATCGGCGGCGGCGGTACCGGAGGTCTATGCAACCCTCGGTTTGGCGGCATCACAGCGGTCGGTACCGAATTTACAAACGAGTGGCGAGGATACATGGAAGGAGCAGTGCGGAGTGGAAAGCGAGGTGCTTCCCTGGTCTTGTCCGACTTACAAGGTGAAGACAACAATCTATAGACCGTAGTTGCGATCCAGAATGCCAGAACTAGAGATGGTTTCTCATGGGGGCCGGTAGTCGTTGGTTGAGGAGCTATAGACTAGATCAAAGCAGACTGAGGATAAAGGAAAATGTGCATCTATTTTTTCTACTCGCATTCGTGCCGGAATCCGATACACAACTCCCGCCTCTTGTATCCTGGTCCAGAATTAGAGATCTGATATCCCATCGACTATACTATCTCGCAAGGATCTCCAGCCGGCACTGCCATAGAACGACTTGAGCAGATCCTCCGCCTTGTTTCTTGGTCCAATCTGAGAGAGGTCTCTGCCTTCGTTGGCAGGAGGATCTGGGATCCGCTTGTTGTCAGGACGAGCGTTGCGTAGAATAGTCACGACGTCGGTCCAGTTGACCGGCTCGGCAAAGGCGAAGATTCGTTGGTGGTTGACATTGCGGTCCAGTAAGGCGGCCACATGAAGCCTTGCGCAGTCTTTGACATTGACAAACCATTCTAACGCTTCATTAGTATTGACCCTTGGTGGAGAGATTACCCATTGAGAATCTAAATGAGAGCCATTTAGACTTACGGGGAGGAGTGAAGGTGAAGACGTTGGAGTTGCCGCTTAAAAGCTGCCGAGCCCAGCCCATTGTGCTCCCGGAGATTTCGGGTGCGAGAATGGTTCCATAATTTGCTGCTGGAAGGACTGTGTTGACGGCAAAAGGAGGATTGTTTTCATTTACAAATTTCCACAAGGCGCGCTCGCCTTCAGTCTTCGAGGCTGCGTAGACGTTGTAGGGCAAGTCTTCCTTTGAAGTATTCTCGTCCCATGCGGCTGCCACAGAGGCATCGTTCCATGTATCTGGACGTTTGAAGGATGGGTGAGCTCCTGGTCAATGTAGATAAAGAGGCGTAAAGAACAAGGGCTATAGCCTAAGCGACAGTCTTCCTCGTACACGCAGTTGAGGTTGTAGAACTTACTTTCGTCAATGTATATACCTTCCTTTTCGGGAATAGGCATGATCGAGGCTGTGGACGAAGAGGTCAAGACGAAGCTTTTGATGCTGGGAACATTGGTCGCCGCTCTGACTGCTGCCAGAGTATGCTGGATAGTTCCGTTAATGACCTTTTCCGGATCAGGGTCCAGAGTCAGGTCCGATGCCTTGCATCCAGTGAGTCAGTGTCCAGCGTGTTGCTCACCATTGTCAACGTTCAATTGCAGAGAAACTTACAACATGGACGACGCCACAAGTGCCCTGTAGAGCCCTTTCAAACCCTGCCTGATTTCCCAAGTCTGACACGACCACACTCTCGAACCTCCCAGAACCATATTTATCTGTAAACAACTTGTCCAACCAAGGCTTTGCGCTACGAACAGTCCCTCGCACATTGTAGCCTTCTTCTAAGAGGACCTCCGCCACAGTCGAGCCAATATACCCATTGGCGCCAGTCACCAGGACGATCGCATCACCAGGGGCGATTCTCAGGTTTCTCCTAGTGCTGGCCATGTTTATTTCAAGCAAGCAAGTGGACAGGTTGGAGCCACCAGAGCCAAAGCTGACGGTGTTTTAAATACCAAGAACAGATCAGGCTATGAGACGACAGAAGATAGTAATTTGGCGCGGCTAGAAACAAGAGACGAAATGCTTTCAGGATCTGTTCTGCACCGTCTCAGCCCAGGCAATGTCATGATGAATCGCCAGAGCGAAGATCATTTTGGTCCAAGACAAACCTCGGAACCGTCGTACGATTAGGCAATCCGCTTGGGTCTTTGCTCTAGCATATCGTTCGTTCGCCCCCAAGCCAAGGCTCCGTGGTCAGAATTGAGGTTGTACGAAGCCTTACACGTTTGTCCGACAGATTTACATATTCTTCCGTGAAGGTACCGACTTTCCTTCTATCGTCCGTATTGTACACGGACGGCTGTTCAAACGCACAAGCGGTGCCGATCAGACCGGATCATCCGTACGAAGACAATGTGGGTAGACGGGAGCGATCCAAGATGGTATCGGGCCACAGTCTCAAACAATTTGAATGAATTATTCTCGCCAACTGTCTCGGGGGGTGAAGGCCAGCACTTTTCCCTAGACATGGAGGGGAAGAAGTCCCGCAGATTGCAAACATAAAGGCGAGCAAATTCCAGGCCAGACACATCATCACTCGTGGCACGAAGGCTCAACAATCCTGCTCACGTCTAGAGGGACAGGATCAATTGAAAACCTCGCCATGGCAGACAAAGTGATGCTGCAGTTGTCCTCTGACCCGTCCTTCCATTATGAACTCTTGCGTGTCCTCGCGGCAACCGCTACCCAAGGGTCGGACGTGACCGAAGTGTTGCAGGTCTGCAATGAGATCATTCCAGGTGACTTTGAGTCCTGGTACTCGGCCTTCAAGAATCTCGCCGATCGGGTCCTCAAGAGCGCCCAAGAGTCGCCTCACCGATCACAGTTTGACGGCGTGACGTTGCGGAACATGTACTTCCGGGCATCCCACTACTACTTCGCGGCCGACTTCTACTTGCACGGAGATGAAGAGGATCCTCGCATTGCAGACAATTACCAACACTGGACCCGTCTCTTTGACCAAGCAATCGCACTGCTGCCCACTCCTGGCGAGCGGCTGAACTTGTCGGCCGACGGATTCAAAGTCCCCATCGTCCTGCTTCGCCCCGGGCTTACCCCCAACGACAACCGACCCAGGCCTACGATCATTCTGGGAAATGGCTTTGACGGGTCAATGGAGGAGATGATTCACGTCCTTGGACTACCGGCGCTGGAGAGAGGATACAATGTCGTTCTTTACGAGGGACCAGGACAGACGGGTGTGCGACGGGTGCAGAACCTGCGTTTTATCCACGACTGGGAAAGGGTCGTCAATCCTATCCTGGATTTTCTCAGTCAGCAGCCGTTTGTGGACGTCAAGAGAATCAGCCTTGTCGGCTATTCCCTTGGAGGATATCTGGCAGCGCGCGCGGCGGCTTTCGAACCTCGACTTGCCGCTGTCGTTCTGATTGACGGTGTCTGGGACTACGGCAGCACCCTGAAGGATTTCTTTCCCGACACCATGCAGGCATTTCTCGAAGAAGATGCGGAGCGCTGCAATCACACCTTCAAGGTGGAGGCTCAAAAGTCAACCAGCTCACGGTGGGCGTACGAGCATTTCCTCTGGTCGTTCAATAATTCTGCCTATGAGGGATTGAAGCTGGCGCAAAAGATGAAGATTGGAGGATTCGTGGATAAGATCAAGTGCGCGGTGTTCGTAGGAGAGGCCAGAGATGATCAATTCTTCCAGGAGCAGCCCAAAAAGGTGAGTGATGCACTCGGCAGAGGCGCATACTTCTTTTCTCCCCCGCGAGAGACTGGAGCGACCACTCACTGTCACGTCGGAGCTACCTTCTATCTGGCACAAGAGGTGTTTGCTTGGTTGCAAGACAAATCCTTGGACTGAGAAACGCGGGGCACATCTCCCCTGGCTTGAACCAAGTTTGTCTGCAATGGTCGAGATAAGGCTACACAGTCTGAATGAACCTTTAAAAGTAGAGCATATAAAGACTACTTGGCTGCATTAAAAGTCTACTTGTGACAGCGTTGAAAGTCTGGTCGCTTGACTCTTTTATAGTGTCTATCGGGAAGAGCACTTAACATCAAGGCAACTTATAGAGCATCAGTTAGGGGTCTCAAGACTCTCTTGTGATGGTTGATATGGTAACGAGAACGACCTTAACTGAAAGAAGATTTACGCTCCTCTTTTACTATATACATAGATGGAAAATTGGCCTCCTGGTAGTCGTGGTCGGACCGGTCAATCTAACAGGATGGAGTTCCGACTAGTATTGCTCTGTTTTGCAACGCCGCCTGGCATCTCTTGCCAAGCAGTGACCACTCGGATCTAGTAGTAAGGTAGCACCCCATCATACGGCATGTCCAGGAAGTACTCCATGGCGAAGTTGAAGAAGGTTGGATCCTCCAGCAAGGCAGAGTGTGAGACCTGGGGCAAAAGGAGCTGCCCGGCAAACGGGATCCATGCAGCCATCGCGTCCGCCTGGTTCCTCGGAATGGTCACGTCGTGATCTCCGTCCACAATCCAGACGGGGCACTTTATCTTGCCCAGCGCGACCGGACCCCACGTCGGTTCGGAATCCCACATCCTGGTAGGGGTTCTCGGTCAGTGACAAATACACCTCTCGGAGCCCATGTGACCGCAAAGTGACAACTTACACATTCACGCCCTTCTCCATCGCGGGACAGTTCATCGGCAGTGGACTGAGAGCCTCACAGGAATACGCGTCCGCGGCGGTGGCGCGCCTGGTCACGTTGGCGGTCGAGTACGTCGTGCCGTTGTTGGTGAGGTCGGAGTCGAGGTTCCCCGTGACCGAATTGATGATGGGGTCGTTTGTACCAGGGTCACTGGTGTTCGCCTGAGGGTTCGCTCCGTGGGCAAAGACCCGATCGATCCGATGGGTGTAGTTCATTGCCAGATCCAGGCCGGTGATCGCCCCGTCGCTCCAGCCCACGACGGCCACCCGCGAGACGTTCAGATGGTCCAACAGTGCGATCGCGTCCCGGGAAAAGTCGTCGTAGTGGAACTCGGTAAAGTTCTTGTACGGACTCCGACCCTGGCCGCGCGTGCTAGATGGAGCCATGGCCGGTCAGAAACCAACCTCTGCCGCAACCAGATTTCAGGGGACGGGCACTCACTCTTGCAGGATTACTTGGCGGGTTCGGGCAAGTAGGTTGGCCTGGTGGAACATCTGATTGCTGTTGCCGATCCCCCCGTGTAGGAGGAGCACTGGGGTCTTTTTCGATGGTTTCCCCATGGTGGTGTACCACAAATCAACCCCGGAAGATAAATTGAGATACTCGCCCTTGTCGCCGTTCGAAAGGGGCCCAAGAGGAGGAGACCATTCCCAGCGGACAACCGAAGCGTTGTAGGCTTTCGTTGGCAAGGTGTCGCTGCAGACAGAGTCAGCACATGTGACATTGGGGGAGTCATGAGCATAGACCACGGGCGTACCCAGAAACAAGCGCGTTCATGAGCAGTATGCTCGTGAACGCGGTGATAAGTCCATGCATACCTGACCAGGAGGTGGCTCAATGAGGTGTGGTTTTTCTGGGAGACTAGGGCTACCAAATAGAATGTCCGTTATCAGCACTATGCGATCTGAGATCAGGATAGGTAGAGGTGAGGTGTTCTATTATATACTGTAGCACAGCGAGCTACTAGTGTGCTACCAGAGCCATGAGGTCACTGATGGGGCTTGATTGAGAACTTGTCCATGATATGCTCCAAACTTTGACCCGATGTATCCCTGTTGATATCAACTCGCTTAGTTAGTATGGAATTTGGGTGCTGGTGAGAAGTTTAATCACACGTTCGCCCACACAGTCGGGTCGGCGATCGTTCATCAGGAAGTCATGCATGCCAGAAGATATCGAACCCACCTCGTAGTGACAACGGTAGGAAGACTCATGATGAAGGGCCATGTAATGTGTTGCCGAGCGGCGCATCGTCTTAGCACACAGAGTAATGTATTGACCGAATACAATCAGGCTCAGTTATCGTTGTGCGACGTAAAAGACTAGGGGCTCGGCTGAAGGCGTTCAAAGCTACATCCTCGAGGTTTGAGTTGTTTAGTTCAGCATTCAGCGCCACAGAATCATACCTATTCCCTCTACAGCATTCAAGTTTCTTCGAGAGATACTCCGTAGACCGTGGTCCGCTCGATATCAAGGTTACATTCGATGCTCACACTCGCTTAGGTGCCAGCCAGGCTATCCTGATCTGAGTAGTGTATAGAATTTAGTTGAAGTTACTCTTGCAAAGTCTGCCGCCGACGACTGGTTGGTAGAACTTGTCTTCGAGTTGGCGTCGCACAAATCCGAAGATGGTAACCAGGTTTACCAGTTTTGTTACAAACACTGCCAATCAGATTTCGATAGACACACCAATCAGTGTCCACGTAATGCAGCTTACTCGAAGGGAAATGCTTTCGTATTGGTCTCAGAAAGCCACTTCCGATACACCTCCGCAGACAAGGTGAAAGATAAAAGGTCGATGGTTGATCATAGATAGTGCTAGACCCCTTAGAACGCACGTAGAACCGATCGAACCATTTTAGATTTGCGGAATACGAAGATAAGAAAGGTGCAGAGAAGTTAGTAGTTCGAGGGCCAACGAACAGAAGCTCAAGCAGAAGTACAACCACTGAGATCGTGCCTCTAGTTTCACACTGTTGGCTGGCGTGACCATCACAGCACCTTTTGCGTCGATAGACCGTCTGTCGTATCTTCCGGTGTCTGTCACGATAATTACAGATCTAGCATTCCATGCTGGTTTTGCTACACAACTCGGGATCGCTTCGACGAGGTATGTGTCGGCGTTTCACCAGCAGAGAGGCCGGATCGGCGAAAGTCCCTGTCAAACTAATAGCCAAGTTTCGTGGTGTCGATTATGCCATTTCAAGGCCTGATTAAGCAGAGATCAATCATTATTTTCTGCGCTGGTGAACACTGAACTGTCATAGCCTCCATAATATCGTGCTCAATTTCCAGGTCAGGAGTTGCTATATAAAATAACAAAGCCTGTTAGTGCTCGGAGCCCGAGGGTTTAAGATCCTGAGACAATTTTCTTACGTTCATTCGTTACGTCGTCTCTTCACTCCTTTCTTTCCACCACCCTCCTGCCTCCCTCGTGGCTCTTCTTGACTCTGACCGATTTCCTGTCCACCACGTTGTACCCAAATCCCACTCCCGACGACGCTCTCCGTGCCATTGTCCCAACTCACACTCATCTCCGTCATCGTCGCATCTCTCTGAGCAATCCACCCAGCCGCGAGCTTGCCGGTCTCATGTCCTATGGTTTCCGTTCGCTTCTTCCCTCCCTTGACGTTCATACCGTGATCCGCCCCTTGCACGACAGCCATCCAACTCCTCGCCTCCATTTTCCCTCTGACATGTTCCAATTTCTTGACATCGCACATGCTATCCCTGTCGCCCGAGATAAATAAGACATCCACGCCCGGGTCGATGTCCAACAGAATTTGATCCCTCACATCTCCATTCGGGCCCGTCAGCGGATAAGACACCAGAATGAGCATCTGCACATCTTTGTCCTCTTGTGCTGCGAGAACGGCGGCTCTAGAACCCATGCTTCGTCCACCGAACGCGACTTTGGACTTGCTCGTTTCATTCTTTTGCTTCTCGTAATCCAGTACCGTACTGAACATCTTTGTCCGCGATTTGAGGTTCATGTTTCCCTGGAAACAGACGATCTTCGATCCGGCATTCGCGAAACCCTGGGCGAAATTCACGAGCGCGGGAGCCGACAGACCTCCTCCGGCACCATGTGTGAAGATCAGGTCCGGCGGCCGTGCAGACCCCGGCTCATCGCTTCGAATGCAGGGAATAGATCTCGACCCCGATGTCGCAGGAACCTCGTGGTTGCTCAACGCTCGCTGTTTTGTAGACGCCAGACCAGTAGCCGACGAGGCTGGCAACGGAACTCCGCCGTCAAGATCCGGGTCGGCATCGTCGACATTGTCTGTATGTGTAGCTTGTGGTACCGTCTGCTTCTTTTGAGGCCTCTTGGTAACTCTTGACCTAGCCTTACTTTGAGCTTTTGCGGGCTTCGTAGAGACCGCCGATTGCTTCGTATCCTGTTCGCCTCCCGTCTTCGCCTTCCTCTTGAGAGCACGTGGTTGGCGCGCACGTGGTCCCATGGTCTTGAAGACAAGAGCCCTCTCTCTCAGGGGGGACAGCAGCGCCAATGAATAAAGCTCCCGAGTCAAACTCTGGGCGATGAAGTCTTGAGTAATATGGAGTTGGTCGGAAGAAGACGTTCACGCTCACCTGGTTGTGTACGCGTCAATGAAGTCACAAACCCTGCTGGGATCAATACCCTCCGATCAATGGGAAATTGTTCTGCAATCAAGGCAAATCGTATGCTAGCGGAAAATACTATAACGTTCAGTGGCAATTTACTATGTTGATGTAGGTAATAATGGGTCAGGAACTTCGCAAGTTTACGCGAAAAAAGCTCTTGCCCGGTCAGGCAGCCGAGCTGCCTAAAACGGACAGTCTGAATTATTTTCGTGGACCAGCAACGTATTTATGCTTAACTGGCACAACGTTCAACGGACCGTCACGTACGTGGTATCATTGGACACATGGTCTCTGCATCAAACAAGCATTGGTATTCACTGATGTCGACCTTGTCTGAGACAGGTAAAATTGAAAGGGCTTCATGGAACCATCTGGTAATACAACACCCATCACATAACATGCGCAACATAATTCTTTTAAACGCCAATAGTATGTCCTGAAAACCCAGACTCAAGTTGCCGCGCCGCATAAACATTCATTCTGTTCAGGTTGGTTTTATTTCCCGTTTCTTTCTCGAGTTGCGTCGTCCTCCACTTCGATGAGCTGGTGATCACTTGAAGAGGCACAAAACCCCTACTCCCAGCAGGACCACCCCCAATCCTTGCGCGTCAAGAAACTCCCTCATCCGGTCCCATCGTCTGCGAAATGATGGAATTGAAGTACGCCTCGTCAATCACGGCACCAAAGCTGCCATCAGCATAAGCACCGAGGTATGTGTATTTTTTGTCTGGGGCTGCTCACCCATAGCACTTGACTTCAGGCACAAGCTTGGACCTGATGTCCTCGAGTCCGGCCATCGTCAGGTCCGGAAATCTCGGGTGCAGTCGTATCCTCTGCCACGCCTCGACGGGTGTGATTTCCCCGTCGAGACTCAGTCGATCCGAAAACTCGAGCAGCTTCTCCAACTCCACGGCGGGCACGTTCCATTTCGTCCCGTCAGGCAGCCCGGACCCTGAACCTCCGTCGGTCGGCTGTGACAGCGGAGGCGAGCACCGCATTATCGGACTCATCAACATCATCTCGTGCCCACTGCCATCAATGTCGGCGTTGTGTACCGCGTGATGTCCAAGGCACACGTATTCTAGCCCGAGCACGAAGTCGACGCCGGTCTGGGCTGTCCCGAGGTCCTGAGGATGTGGGATTGCCGACGATAAATCTGCCATGTCCAATCCCCCTCCTGATGTGTACTGCTGCTGCCGATCGAAGGCCGTGTCAATACTGTCGCAGAGCCTCATGTTAGCCAGCGCAGCCTGGTTCATAGTTGAAGAAGCCACGGTATGTAAGGAGTTGAGCGTGGAAGATATGTCGCCTTCTGGAAGCGAGCTAGCCCCGACGGTGTACTGGGGAGCGTACGCGTACGCCTCAGGCAACTGGGCGCGAATGGTCTGTGTGTGATCGGGCAGGCCGACTAATTCGATGGCGGCTTGAGGACTCTTGATGAGCGGGTCTGATGCCAAATCCGGCGGCAAGATGAGGTTGTGATGTTTGATCAAATCTTTCAGTCGACGAATCGTGACCTTGTACGCTTGGATCTCGGCGTTATTCGTTGCGTCTTTCGTCCGTAACTTGGCGACTTCCGTCTCTAACATCTTGACGTAGGTTGCTTTGCGATCACGATGCGTTCTAGAATGTCAAAGTTAGTAAACAACTACTAAAGTATGCGTGCTGAAGGAGGGTCGGGATATGTCTATGTGTACGGACTACGCTAGAAAGATTTTGACCTTGAGCCGCTTCAGGGAGATATAGTCAGGAGGGTCGTGGGTGCTTACCTCTGTGCCCGCCTGACCTGCTCACGTCGTCGGGACCGGGCATCTTGAGTTGAACTGTCCTCGGAAACGGATGTCGTCGAAGGGCCTGCCTCTAGTACAGATGATTAGTCTACCGTAGTACACCTAACCAGATCACGCTCTCAAACTCGGGAAGGGCATGTCTGCGCCCTTGACCAATCTTTGGACAGTCTGGGAGCATCCTCATCTGGAACGTACCGGAAATCGGCTTCGAGGTCTTGGACAGCCATTCCGGTGATTTGCTGGCCATGGCGACACTGGAGTAAAGTAGCGGGAAACGTTTGTAGCGGTAACCAGATCGAGATGGACTTCATGCGAGATGCGTCAATGATATGTCACCGACAGGAGTTGCTGCTTGATGCACCCAATTGTTGCGGCCTGTATGTGATAATGCAAGGCCTGCTTGAGCAGTTTAGGTTCAAGTCGATTATGGAAACATCGCTCCCTCCACCTCCAGGAAGGGCTAGGCTCGCAAAATGGATGGCTCGGCACTGTTTGTTCGATTGTTATATCAACTTTTGTGAATTCTTCGACAAATTTGTCGGATGTGAAGTCAGTATATAAGTTCCATGAGATTTCCTAACCCAGGGGCAAAAAGCTGTATAGTGGCAACACTACATACCCACCGAGACCTTCGTGCAGTCAGTCCTTCGACGTCGTCCTTTTATTAAAGGGCCGGTCGACCTTCGCCGTCTAATTGGACAAAGAGACGGAAAATGCACTGCAAAGAGTAATGTCGGTTCGGTAGTACGTAAGCATTAAACCGCTTCAGCCTTATGGATCTTTATCGATGCTTTGTCAGGTGGAGATCTCGCTCAATCTGCGCTCATTGTGCGGGAGCTCAAAAGCCTCCGAAGGCTCCGGGCACGGTATTTTCTTTGAAATGCTTATATAAATACGATGAACTCCACGTTTGCTGATACCCATCCGAGGGGGCCATTTCGCCTTGGGCGGGTTCATTTGAAGCAATCAACCAATGAGCCATGGGCATGGCACAAGAACGAGCACCTCAACTGAGTTCACCCCAGACAGGAAATTATGGATCACCATATACAGTGACTTCTTCAGAGAAACTCTCCACTACTCGTCTTCCCGACTTGTCAGTCACTCGAGTCAGACCTCCATTGCGGGCGGACATTAACCTATAAGGGTAATTGCTACTTCAATCTCATTGGCCTTGTGTTGTTTAAAGTGATCGATCTTGCCGGCAGGTGATATCGGTAACGTACTGTGTCACTTTACGTTCCTCGGGATCAATTGATTGTAGTGGCTGTCCTGTGGTCTGATGTTTGATTCTGGCACCAACGAACCTCCTGAAGTCGTTGGGCGGTAACACACATTATATACCGGCAACAAAATGCCAGCTTGTGTCGCTGAGGTTCTCCCACTCGGATACAGGGCTATGGTCGGCAGTCCAGCGAGGGAACGGACACTTTGACCCTCCATGAATATACTCCTGCACTTCCGACCGCAGACCATAGGAGGCATATGGTCCTTCAAACGAGGTTGCCTTAGAACATATGTTGAAATCTTCCTCAGAGTGGCTATGCCAGTGACCCATGTCCTGCTGGACGTGCCAAACACCCCAAAGCTCAACCTTGGGGAAACGACGCCAGGAGAGATAGTCGAGCAAGTCGAGCATGGATCCATTTTCCAATCGGCCGTCCTTCATCGTCAGGGACTCGAGGTTTCGACCATCGGCGAGAAATTTTTCGAGATCATTCCATTTGCACTCAAAACAAGATAGACTTAGCACCCGCAGCCCGCTGAGCCACAACCGAGGACAGGGATCTAGGTTTGTTCCATCAAAAAGCTCAATTGAGTATTCTGCGGCATTACCAATAGGGAACTCAAGCCTCAGCGAATCGAGTTCCGACGTCTCTCCTAACAGTGTTTTCAATTTCAAGGCTGCAGTGTTTCTTCCATTCACATATATATCGTTGATCCCAGTCCGAGAAAGCCAATCGCTGTGAGGGAAAGCACTGATCTTGAGGTCAAGCCGTTTCACGTGCGAAAAGACTCGTGATAATACCTCTTTCCGGGCACTAACTGTAAGCAATTCATGAGGCATATCAATAGCTACGAGTTCATCCAGACCGAAATCCGACAAATTCGCGGCATCTAGGAAATTCATAAAGTGTTCGAGGCAGTGCCGTCGCCGGTTGGCGATGCGCAGACGGGGATCAGGATTGGATGGGCCCTGGCTCGCACACTCCTCTGGCCTGAAGTTCTCAAGGTCCTCGAGCTTGATTTGGGGCTCGTCCATAATCAGCTTGAAGGTCAAGCTAGGACAAGATTGTTTGAGGAGGTTGAGCGTCCGTGCCAGATCGTCCCTGACGGATGGTTCGGCAACCAAAGCAGCTTGTTGATCGAGATGCCACCTCAAGGCTTGGTATCGACTCGGGAAGTCGGGGGCGAATCGAGATTGAAGACCCTCGTGGAACAAATGATACCCAGCACGCTTGTCCCCTGTGATGGCCCAGTTACGCGTCCACGCACGAAGTCCTTCCGTAGATATATCGGCCTGCCAGTATTTGTAGTCAGCATACTCAAGGGGTATGCCAGATTCGAATGAAAGACATTCCAGGCGAGATGCGATGGTTGTCTTGTATGCCAGTTGTCCGAATTGATGTAGGCGGCCTGGTTTTGGATAGAGTCGGAATTCGAAGTTGTTGAAAAGCTGCTTCTCAGCGATACCAGCAATGGCTTTGCACGTAAGACGAAAGTTCTGCAGAGATGTTTTGTCCAGGAATAAGCAGAAGTGGTCTATTAGCTCAATTGGAAGTTTATCCATGGCGTCCTGTCTAGTTTAAGAGTGTTCAAAGCAGTGCAGTGTAAAGTCGTGGCGATTTCCAGCTGCAAATACCACGGGGAGGGGGTCTTTCCAGTCGACCAGCAGTCCGCAGCTTTCGAGTCAGCCTGATGCCACAGGTAGGCCAGAGGTATAGAGACAGCGGTAGAGAAGAGAGGAACAACGCCCTCTCGAAGGCCGCTAGGGTACCTATTTTGGTGTATCTTGACTCATCGATAACCCGGGTCCTGCATGATATCGGACAAGGAAGTAGCTTCGTATCGCTACTCAACAACCTTGCATTCTCTCAACGACTCTAATTTCGCCGCTATGTTCGTACAAGAATCAAATATCAGGCTAATAGCAGTTACCAAATCATCGAGTAGGGGAAGGTTGATGAGTGGTTCCTTGAGTACGGAGTAAATAACACTCCCATCTTGTCACACATAGACGTATGGAGGAGCATGGAGTTCTCTGTACTCCGTAGATAAGTGAGTAATTTCCACCTGGCGAGCCTTACAGCCCTGCGGAGTTGCGCAGCCATAATTCCATCTCTTGCCCACAACATCTCTCGCAGGTGGCCTAAAGCTTTCTGTGTTGCTAAATCTAGGTAGTTCGCAACCACAAGATGTTAGTATGTGGTGATTTGACCAAGTGCCACATACTTCCATGATTTGATTGGGTTGGGAATGTTTCGATCCATTCCTAGAGCTGTTCGCAGCACGAGAAATTCCTTCCCTACCCAACGATGGGTATCTCAAGGCAAGACAAATGCTCCTCGGCCTACTCCTCCGTCGTCCGATGAACAAGCCGCCCTGAGAGGCCGTTTCGACCGGTTCATAGATCGCACACCACGATTCCTCCGACCCAGCCTCAACGGACTACGGCATGCCCCAGTCTCTCACGTCGCAGCCTTCATCATCTTGCATGAGGTTACGGCAATTATTCCTCTCTTCGGGCTCGCGGGAGCTTTCCACTACTGGCAATGGCTACCGCCATATTTTGCAGAAGGAGCGTGGGTCGTTGACGGCGTGGAGAGATTTGGAAGGTATTTTCGAAAGAAAGGCTGGATCAGTGAAAAGGAAGAAAAGCAGGTGGAGGAACAGACCAAAGAAGGTCAGGCTACACAGTTCGAGAAGAACAAGAGCATATCGAAATGGTTCGGACGAGGAGAAAGTGCTACGAGATGGGTTGTCGAGTTTGCCACTGCCTATGCTATGGTAAAAGTTCTGTTGCCCGTTCGCATATTTGTGAGCGTATGGGGCGCTCCATGGTTTGCCAGGCTTGCGGTTATTCCTCTTGGAATTGCTGCAAGATCCTTTTTCCGTAGGACGAAGCCATAAAGAAATCCTCCTGCATCCCTGGAACGTTATGTTGAAGCTTATGTCACAGTAGGCCAAAGAGAAGAGCAAAGACAAATGGTTCAGGTCATCATCATTTTTCAATCATTTTGTACTCTATCATCTCCTGTATTGGTGATAGCTGGTGTTCCGGACAGATCCAAACGACATTCTTCGTCACGGGGGTCACGTCATGCCACCATGGCTATCGCAGACGGCTTATGCCTTCTCGTAGATCCAGTCGAATTGGGCGGACTTCCAGCTCTGGACCTCTTCTGGCTTAAACCACAAAGCAATCTCCTTCTTTGCGCTCTCAACACCGTCAGAGCCGTGGCAGACGTTACGGCCAACATCAATGGCGTAATCACCGCGGATAGTGCCTGGGGCGGATTGGAGAGGGTTGGTGGCACCGAGAATGGCTGGCAAGGTCAGTCTTGATCAGTCTCCAGTATAGTGGAATGCACTCACAGCGGCCGGTCTTGCAAGCGTCACGTCCTTCCCAAACCATGGCAACGATTGGTCCGCTCAGCATGTCTGTCTCTGTCAGCGACGATATCAATTAACACTTGATGCCGACATACAGGTGACGAGGCCCTTGAAGAACGGCTTCGATGAGAGATCCTCGTAGTGCTTCTCAAGGTGCTCCTTGGATGGGGAGACCATCTTCAGGGCAACCAGCTTGTAGCTACACCGCCTTGGTCAGAAATGTATTCCTCTCTCTTCTCAGACTATGGGCTTCTCACCCTCGCTTCTCGAAACGGCAGATAATGTCTCCAACAAGTCCTCGCTGTTAAGCAGTTAGAACATCAAGTCGACATGAGTTGATAGAGGTTTGTTTGGCATAGCCTGCATACTTGGACGCCATCTGGCTTGACGGCAATGAAACTGGTCAAGAGTCAGTGGATTTCTTGCAGAAAATATAGACAATGCTCACGTTTGTTCGGTAGACATCTTGAGATGGTTTTGAATTGTTGGAAGGCTGTTATGAGTTCGATTTATGAAGATGTTGGCAAGAAGAAAAGAAACTGTTGCAGTCAATGGAGAGGGCAAATATTTTGAAGGGCAGCTTTTTAGTGGGGAGCGAGGGGCATCACCATCACTGTTGTCCACGCCAATGATGCAGGGGTCCGCCTAATCCTCGTCCGCCAATGGCAGACTCCAGGGTCAAACTGCGCCGTGCACTGTACCGCATGTGTCTGATTCCACATCGGTCACCAAAGAGGACACATTGGTTTCCCAGACAGTTACTACCATTGACGAGAGCAGGGCTTTTGGAAACACTCTGTCAAAGCCATGGCTCGTTCTTCGAGGAGATTGTCAGATTGGACGTTCTCCTCCATAACAGTTGTCATCTTACTCTTGCTCGCTTCGTGTACAGGCAAGTATAACATCTGCATGCGAGAGAAAGATACTGACATTGTGCAGTAGCGGTCAAACACCATGATTTCAAAAGGTGTGAGCAGTCCGGTTTCTGCAAAAGGAATCGGGAACTTGCAGATTCCATGACCGAGAAAGGCGGGCCTGATTCCTCTCCTTACCACCTGGACAGTGCATCGATCAAGTTCAAGGACGGCCAACTAGACGGTTCGATTGTCAAGACGTTGCATGACAACGAAGCAGTTAAGCTTCCCTTAACTATCACTTTTCTTGAGCGAGGAAACGTGCGAGTCACAATCGACGAAGAGAAGAGGAAGAAGGGAGAGATCGAGCTGAGACACGGCAGCGTGGCCCGGAAGGAAAGATACAACGAAGCTGGAGCATGGGCACTGACTGGAGCTGGCCTTCAGTCTCAGAAATCCTCCTCATTGAGAAAAGTATCCAAGGATCTGAGCGAGGTGACCTGGGGTCCAGAAGGCCGTTTCAAAGCAACTATTCGTCATGCCCCCTTTGGTATGGAATTCTGGTCCGGAGACGAGAAGCACGTCGTACTCAATGGGCGTGGATTCATGAACCTAGAGCATTGGCGTCCCAAGGTTGACAAGCCTGTGGCCGATGAAAATGCAACTGCAGAAACTGCGGCTGCACCATCTGAGGATGAAAGCACTTGGTGGGAAGAGAGCTTTGGTGGCAACACAGATTCTAAACCCAAAGGGCCCGAGAGTGTAGCCATGGACATCACATTCCCCGGATATGGCCACGTTTTTGGACTCGCAGAACACGCTGGACCGTTGTCTTTGAAACAAACACGTGGCGGAGACGGCAATTATGACCAACCGTACCGCATGTACAACAGTGACATCTTCGAGTATGAGCTTGATAGTCCGATGACACTTTACGGCTCTATCCCGTTCCTGCAAGCTCACAAGAAGGACTCCACCGTGGGTGTTTTCTGGCTGAATGCTGCTGAAACATGGGTCGACATCACGAAATCATCTCATGGCGGGAATCCTCTAACTCTCGGGCTGAGCGGTGGTGTCGTCGACACTCAAACCCATTGGATGTCAGAGAGCGGTCTTTTGGATGTTTTTGTCATGCTCGGCCCAACTCCTCAAGAGCTCTCAAAGTCTTACGGCGAGTTGACTGGTTACACGCAGCTCCCGGCTTCTTTTTCACTAGGTTACCATCAATGCCGATGGAACTATGTGAGCGATGAGGATGTCAAGGACGTGGACCGGAAGTTTGACAAGCACAATATTCCGTACGATGTCATCTGGCTCGACATTGAATATACCGATGACAAGCAATACTTTACGTGGGATCCTCATACTTTCCCTGATCCGATATCCATGGAAAAGCAATTGGATGAAACTGAGCGCAAGCTTGTGGTTATCATTGACCCGCATATCAAGAACAAGGGTGGTTACACAGTCGATGAAGAACTCAAGAGCAAGGGACTAGCGGTGAAAAACAAAGAAAACAACATTTTCGAAGGTTGGTGCTGGCCTGGCAGCTCGCACTGGATTGATGCATTCAACCCTGCGGCCAGAGCGTGGTGGAAAACTCTATTCACCTATGACCGGTTCAAGGGGACGATGAACAATGTCTGGTTGTGGAACGATATGAACGAACCATCGGTGTTTAATGGGCCTGAAATCACGATGCCACGGGACAACATTCACTATGGAAACTGGGAGCATCGCGATGTACACAACATCAACGGCATGACCTTCCACAATGCCACTTACCATGCACTGCTTGAACGCAAGAAGGGGGAAGTCCTGCGGCCTTTTATCTTGACTAGGTCATTTTATGCTGGATCACAACGATCGTCGGCAATGTGGACCGGAGATAACCAAGCGAATTGGGACCACCTTGCAGTCTCTATTCCGATGATACTGAACCAGGGAGTCAGTGGCTATCCATTCGCTGGTGCTGATGTGGGTGGCTTCTTCGGTAATCCCAGTAAAGAGCTACAGACACGATGGTACCAGGCTGGTGTATTCTACCCCTTCATGCGTGGGCATGCGCATATCGATACACGCAGGCGCGAGCCTTATCTTTTAGGTGAGCCGTATACCGGTATAATGGCACAGGCTATTCGACTGCGATATGCATTGTTCCCTGCTTGGTATACGGCCTTTCACGAAGCTTCAACAGATGGTTACCCAATAGTCCGTGCGCAATACTATGTTCATCCCGAAGATGAGAAGGGGTTTGCGATAGATGATCAGTTCTATCTTGGGTCTACCGGGTTGTTGGCAAAACCGGTGACTACTGAAGGCGCCGAAAGTGTCGACATCTATCTCGCGGGTTCTGAAAACTACTACGATTACTTCGACTACACCATATACACCGGAGGCTCAAAGTCACATAGGATCCATGCACCCCTAGACAAAATTCCTCTGCTCATGCAAGGTGGACACATCATTCCGCGAAAAGACAGGCCTCGAAAGAGTTCTGGTCTCATGAGATGGGATCCATACAGCCTTGTGGTTGTGCTGGATAGCAACACTCAAGCCACAGGAAGTCTCTACGTTGACGATGGCGAAACGTTCGACTATGAGCAAGGGGCATTCATCCATCGAAAATTTGTTTTCGCCGATGGTGAATTGAGCAGCACCAACCTGGGCACCAAGGGATCCAAGACCGCACAATATCTGAAAGCCATGAAAGATGTGACCGTGGAAAAGATCATTGTGGTGAATGCGCCAGCCTCGTGGTCAGACGTCAACGAGGTGTCCGTCACAGGAGAAGGCATCAAAGGCACTGCTTCGGCGGAACTGATTTACCATGCCGCAGCCGGAGATAAAGCTGCATGGGCAGTGATTAGGAACCCTAGAACGAGCATTGGGGCGGATTGGACTGTTTCTCTACCGAAGACGGCTGATGCTAAATCGGAACTTTAGGCTTGTAAATTAGGACAGGTCGGGAAAAGTATTGCAATTTTTGCAGGTTGATACCTAGATAGCTGCAATGAGATACGGATAGACCAGTGCCCCCCGTTCGAAGAGTGCATCATATTGACGATTACATTGAAAGATGTGGACTCCAGACGCGCCGTACGATCTCCACCAATTACACAGTTGGCGGATGGCTTTATGCGCTTTTCCTGTTCCTGGTGAGATCCTCAACACCATTTCCAGGATCTTTCGGTGTCGCAATCTAAAGGGACTTGCTGACTGCGCTTGTTCTCCCAGATTTTTACGCGATGGCTTCTCAAGCTTGTTCTTCCCGACAAGCCTGAGCGACACATATCAGGCTTGAAGCTTTTTTGTTTCATTTTCACCCCGCTCCCTAGGCCTGTTCATTCAGGGCCATAATGCTCGGATTCCTGTCTCTTATCGTCGACTATTTTGCACCTGTCTTGTAAGTGGGAGTTCGGCTGCCCAGGGAACGTTTTGAATGACAAACTAACAACATTCAATAGCCTCATATTGTCCCCGATCACCTCTTATGCCGACCAGATAGCCTCGATCCATCGCAAGAAAACCAGCGATGGATTCTCCCTCGATATCCCCCTGATCATGCTTGTTGCATCGATCCTAAAGTGAGCCACGTTCCTCGCTCCTGAGAAAAGAGAGGTCGAAGTTCTGACAAGGTTCCAAGAGTCTTCTACTGGTTTGGAGCATACTATGACAAATCGCTCTTGGCCCAGGCCTCTTTGATGATTGCGGTCCAAATCATCCTCTTAAAGGTTGCTCTTGACAACAGAGCCCCTGATGGATTGCAGCACACGCCCTTCCACGGCTACACGGCTGAGAACGGCCTACGAGACTTGATGGAAGGACGACGCCCCTATGGGTTCTGGCAATGGAGCAGTGCAAAGCCGTGAGTTGTTCAACCAGGATTGAAACTAGCCTGAGCGATGAATTGACCCACGACAGTTATTTTCAATTCCTCGGATACTTCACGGGATTCCTTTTGGCTGTCCATGTCTTGCTCCCCTTTGTGTCCGGATCTCCTGCATACATTGCCTTCTTAGGCTATTTCGGACTGGCGGTGGAGGCAATACTCCCAATTCCACAGATTGTAAAGAACCACAAGGCAAGATCCTGCAAAGGGTTTCGACTTTCTGTCATCGCCAACTGGCTCGCCGGCGATGCCATGAAAATGAGCTATTTCTTTCTCAGCAGCCAGTACGTTCCCTGGCCATTCCGACTGTGTGGAATGTTTCAAGCTTGCTGCGATAGCTATCTCGGACTGCAGTTCTACATGTATGGGGAAGGCCCAAGCGGAACTGACATCCCCATGACTTCTACGAGTGGTAGTAAGCCGGGTCTCTTTGGCTAAACAGACGTAAGCTAAGTGTTTCCACCGCCGCAAAAAGAGGCTAGTGATGGAGCATCACCATCTACACCAACGTCTTTCATTTTGCGTAGCTTTCGACGAGAGACGAGTGCAAATCGCCTCAAGCTGTGACGTTTGTTTCAAGCTGTACATCAGACCACCCGTACAAGCACCACCACAAAAACCTCCAGGAACGATGATATAATCTGATTGGAACCCAGTCTCAGCTTCAATATTCAGCCTCTCAGCCTCGTGTCGTGCAGAGATGCTGTCAGCTCCGATCAGATGTTGACCAGGAGTGGCTTGTTCGTAAGGTTTTGATATCTCAAGACGACTGCTTAAACGTTTTGCCGCCGACTTCATCGCCCTAATGGCATCATGGCTCACATCCTTTGTACCCAGCAGCCATGCAAACCCTCTGGAATTTGATCTGTAGTACTTGTGTACTCCGGATTTATTTCTGACTTCTGTTTGGAGTCATGACTGGTCGCCCTGTTATAGATGGAAATCCGGCATTCTTCGCAGTTAGAAAAATCAAGCCTACTGCAAGTTACTCAAGTCATTGTCAACCAGTCTTGCTGTAAACTTTCTTGCCAGGAGAGCGACTACAATGTCTTATAAACATATATACGGCTCTCAGAAATCTACGCATTCCAGACGACCTCATTTCCATCAAAATACACACAATTGACATGTTCGAAATGTTTATATAGAGTTTCTACAATCTCGTTGTTCCCCCACATTCACCATTGCTCTAGCATCTTCCGTAGCCCTTCAGAAGAATGCGTGTTTTTAGAACATGACTCTCATGACTGCTAGAGGTTCTTGTCATTCAAAGACGGCGGGAGATATAAATCTTACCAAGCGTACATAGGGCTATGAGTTGAAGTGATCATCCTAGAGCTGGCTATTGTTTGTTGAATCTATTCTATAATATCTTCGGGCCCCGCTTGAACGTTTATCCGGGCGTTGCACTTCCCCCCAACATTGGAATCTTCCTCTCACCAAGATCCAACCACTTCAGCTATGTCACAATCTCACCTTCACACCAATTTAACCACGCAATCTTTCTCCGTATATTCTTGTATCCTTGGTATCCAGTTGCCTTATCCTGACTCAGCGTTGGCTATTGACCGCCGAGTTCTTTCCTTTTACTGGCTTTCATCTATCCTCTTTTCGGTCAGTCCTTCAAACCCAGTCGCATCCTCAAACGTGCTACGGAGTATTGGACGCGCATCCCCCCGGCATATTCAAGGGACTTTAGACCCCTTCGCTACACAGTCCTGCGGCTTTTTCTCCCCGGACCTGGAGAGCCTACCAGTGGACGATCCTATGCGTTACTTTTGCATCTTACGAGAAGACTAGTTCCACCCTCGCAACGACGTACTTTCCGGTCATCCGTATCAGCAGTTCGGTTCACAAGGATTTTCATGAATATTCGACGCAACACTTTATGACGTCGTCTTGCACCCTCATCTGATCTATTCTAACAACGTTACAATCCGGGATCCGTGGCTGCCGTCTACAACCAATCTATCTAGTCTTGCAAGGCTCAGGAACCATCTCCGAGCCTCCATTCTATATCTGACCCCAAACGATTGCCCGAAGGCCCGGACATATACTATGTTCGACGTATACCAAGCTCAAGGCTAGCCATCCAAGATCCTGAGGTTATAAACAAGGTGTTCCCACGTCTTCTCCGGATCTACGACAAAACCCCATGCTTCACCAAACGGAAAGACAATCCATCACTTTCCTTCACAGAGGACAGTAAACATCTGTGTCAATCGCTTGTATCAGAGCTGGAGTACCCCCCGAATACCCAGAGAATACAGATTCCCACGCGGCCAGAGATTTGAAACCGAAGGTATCGCCTTTCCAGAAGATCTTTTCCGGCCGTGTCATACGGGTGGAGAGCACTTTGAGTACATATTCGGCAATAGCTGTATCTTTTCGAGTCTTATTCACCAACTCGCCTAAGCAGCTTGTCCACACTATACGGCGACCACAAATTACGACAAAGCCCTAGGATTGGTGCACTGTTAACACCGACGTTTAAGGTTGTCCGGAGTACTTGTTTTCATTCAACTAGCACTTCTTCACACACATATCTAGCAAAAGCCGACGACGCAACCTTAGTCAGCTTCTTTCGTCCGGTGGAGAGAAGACGCTTTCTACAATTCGCCCACATACTTACGCATTTGGAAATATTGCTTGCAGGTCCGCAGCCCTCCGACTTACTCAAGCGACCAACACTGACTAGACATAGGTCGAGCCGTATCATCGAGATCCAATACTGGTAGTGGCAACTTCTTCGACCACGTCTGGGCCTTTTGAACCACCTTGGGACCTTGATAATACCCTTCCTGCCAACCATCCTGCTACTTGGGCACCTCTCTTAACTACAAGATTTCTACAAGATGCCATCACGGATAAGTGGTGCCTGCAACGGGTGTCGTACAAAGAAGCAGAAAGTATGTATTCCATTGTATATTGCACGTGCTGGCCGTATTGTCCCTGTCGCAGACTATCCCAACCTGTCCGGGCTGTCTTGTTTGATTGTCTTCGATCCATTTTGTCTTCGGAATCGAGATCATTCCACTGAGTATATGCTGACAAAGTTTTCCACCATCAGTGCAGTGGTGATAGGTACGTAGTATGTTTCAACAAGATCTTTACCCTCAATGAGACTGTCCGGTTCGAGGTGCAATGGGCCTTTATACCTGAGCTCCCCGCCTTCAGCCTAATGTCACGGCCAAGGTTTGGGTTGTGGGGGTGCCTCCGGACTCCCTAGCAAAATCGTTCTGCCACAACGATTTAATGTTGGAGTTGAGATCGGTCGGGCTCTTTGCTTTGTTTGCCGAACAAGACACAGATGCTGGGGAAGGATACTCGCTCCAGAACTCATTGCCCATACAAACCCCTTGGAAAAGCCGTCTTCTGGCCATGTCTTCAAAACCGGCCTTCTTTGGTATCCAGCCTGTGTTTTTTAAGGGTTTTAACTAATTATATGATCCTAAAAGGTCGGGTTGTACGCAATGTCTAGCCGCTGGTATACAATGCACATGGCCAGAGCAAAGAAAACGGTCTGTCCTGCCTCCAGTTTTCATCCCCTTTGCGCAGCGTACACGCAAAGTCTTTGTTACATCTACATTTTAACTCACCTTGGGAAACTGACTGTTGTTTTCACAGTGGACCGGCAAAAGGATACATAGAAGGCCTCGAACATCGCCTCCACGAAGCCGAGTCACTTCTCCTCTCGCTCCTCCCCCTCGTCACCACAGAGCAATTAAACTGTGCGACCGACTCATTAAACGCAACCTCATCAGCGGCCCACATCCTCAACGTGCAAACGCGGGACTCACAATCACCAGGGCCGCGCAACGTCAGAAGTAGTCCACCTGTGCTGAATAAGAAAACCGGTATAGAGTACTGGGACTCGTTCCCACTGGACACCGTCGACAACATCCGAAAATGGCAAGATGATTGTGCCATACACTCAGGCACGGGTCAAAGCCAAGCCTCTTTCAGAAATTCCATTTCTGGTGACGACTCGGTCTCCCGTGAAATGATACAGAATACTTTTCATTCCGCACACAATTCTCGTCCGGGTTCGGTCGACTTGTCGGCTCCGCCACCATCACATTCTCGAGCGCAATCCGGGGCACTACCGTCGATGAGTACGGACTCGTACCGCAGCGGGACAAGCACACCGGTTCATGTACCACCTCGACACGCTCACTCACAATCTACAATTCTTTCGTCCAATATTGTACGGCAAATACCGACCGCATCTCAGCAGCAGCAGCAACAACAACAACAACAGCAACCTCGACAACAAAATTGGAACTCGATGTCTCTTTTCTCTTCTCTCTCTTCACCGAGTGGGGCCACGACGACCACCAACACGCCAAACTCGAACGTCAACAATGTCGACCTGAGTAACGAGGCACTGTTGCTCCAGAGTTTCGCCGATTCCACGTGGGCTCAATCGCAGTCGTTGAACAACAACGGCATGGGCAACATGACTGCCGGGTTGGGCACGACCAATAACAACATGATCATGGAAAGTGGACCGATGGAAGTCGACACGGGCTTCTTTGGCAACGACGTTCAAAGAAGTTTATTTTGGTGAATGATGATGCTGCTGATATTGATATTGATATTGATATCATTGATGATGTTGACGATGATGATGAAAACGTAGGCGAGAAAATATGGAGTATGGATAGGTTTTGCTACTCTTTTTTTTTCTTCTGCTGCGCTGGAAAATAATTGACGGAGGTTTTGCTTTTTTGTGCGTGTCAGGAAATTACGGTTCCCTCTTTAAAAGAATGCAAAAGATGATGATGGGTAAGGATTGTTGTTGTCATACTCCGTACTGTGTAGTGTTTTGATGTATCGGGAATTTTCTGTGAATACAAATCCTTCACCCGAAGCAGCTAGGAGGTCTCGCTCGAAGCACACTACCTTACTGATCTCATAAATATTACTTTATTCCAGAGGGTGACGTCGGAATATAACGTGCCTCATTCCTTTTGTTTTTTTCTTCTTCTTCTTTTTTTCTCCTTCTCGTGAAGTGATGAAAAAATGAGTGTCAGAACTTCCAGTGACAAGGTTACCTAGATTACTTCAATCATATATTACGTGACAGAGTATCAAAGTTTGGGGAAATGTCCGAGGCAGAGCGTAAACACAACGAGTACAGCTTCTCACAGCATTTCCAATTGTCCTCTCAGACAGAAAGAACCAGACAGACGTACATGATACATACGGTCAGCACAACAAAACCATGACCCTTCCGCTGTCGACGTTTCCAAGTCCTACCTAGTCGAGTATGTTCGCTGCAAAAATTCCCGCCCTGTCTCGATAGGGTAGACCAGACCCCTACCAAATAATTCATTCCTTTTTCACATCTCCCAACCTCCATTCAAGCCACCACCGCCAGGGGCGAACGGACCCGTCATGTTCTCCCACGTGGCCGAGCCGAAAATGTCGGCGACGTTGAAATCCATGTTCCCCCAGAACATGGGGTCGGAATATTCTTGCAAGCCACCATTGTTGTTGTTGCCGCCGTCGCCGCCCATGCCACCCGCGCCGTTCCCGCTCGACGGTAGATTCATGTTCATCGTCGACTGGGCGAACGCCAGATCCTGAGGGGTGGCATAAATCGCGCTGCCTAGACCGGGGTTGATCTGTGGTTGCGTCGTGGGCTGGCCACGGTCCCAATTGGAAAAGTCAAAGTTCGGCATCGAGCCGGCGGGGTTGGTGAGCGCGGAGGGATTCGTGGAATCGTAACCGAGTGACGGGGGCCAGTTGCCGGGTGTGCTGCCTTGGGTCGAAGATGCCTGGTTCTTCAATCGTGACAGACCCGTCGTGGGCCCAGAGGAGGATTGCTGTTGGTGAGGCGAAGGTGTGGCGGATTCTGTCATGGATGATTTCCGAGGGCTAGGTAGGTCGTCACCGGTGCGCTGGCGTTTCCGCGGAGGCTGGGCTTGCTCAAAATCATTCGGCATGTTTTGTGGCGACTGGTCGGGTTTGGGGACAGTCAGGAAACCGTTGACGCTGGCCTTTCGTGACTGTATGTTGATCATGAGCAGGTTCAAAACCTTGTGGCAATTCTGAACCGTGTACCATCTCGTATTCATGCTATCGAGGATGCTGAGGCATGTTTGAATATCGGACAGTGCCCTCGCTTTCGCGTACTTGCCCAGTTGGCAAGCGAAGGCGATGATCAGTCCCGACATCCACACGGCGGACAGAAGGCCAGGTAAGAACATCGATTGTCCGTGACTTCGATGCGACTTCAGGCCGGCGACGATACCACGGGAGGCCCGAATGCAGACCTGCAAACCATGTTGGAATTCGGGGGTTGACTGATCAAGAGATAACCTTGGACGATTGACGAGAAGGAGGAGTCGATGATAAAGGATTTTGAAGAAGCTAGAAAGGTGTTGTTGAGGAGGGAGAAACGAGGCGTCAGCCGACGAAGACTTATGGGTGCTGCTGGTGTCGGGGACATCGTGATGCTGGCCTGGATCGGCTTCACCAGTCAAGAATGCTGGTAAATCGTTCCACCAAGTCTCGATATCGCTGGTCAGGCGCAATATCTGTTCATGCTTTGGGAAACGGTGATTGATACTTTTATGAAATACTTCAATAATTTGGCCTGTCAACTTTCCCCATTGAACGTATGCGGTCAAAGCTGCTTCCCGCAGTCGCTTCTCTCTTGCTTCCGGCCCTTCCTTGTCTTGTTGAGCGTTGCGAGATTCATCAGAGAGTGGTCTGGGCGGCGGCATGGCCATTGTTTCATCGCCATCTTGCGGCATCATCGGTCGCCACACAGCTTTATGTAATTCGGGGCCGGACAAACAGACATCAATATCGTCGTCCTGGATCACATTGGGGTCGCCTAAACTTAGATTGCAATGTCGGTCCAGCGCATATGCAGACCAGAAGATTCGTTTTCGGATTTCGCAATCGTCCGCAGACAGCTGCGCATATCTCAGAGGACACCGATGGAGACCGGCATGGTATATGAGCTTGACCACGATGCCTGCTACAGTGCTAGCCTGACGAATTGCCAATGTTGCTGCTAAATAGAGCTCGGCTGCGAGGATTGCTTGGATGTTCGTAATGTCGTGAGATAGAGCAAGGCAACCAGCCACTCGACTCACATCAGCATTTGACTTTATGCGGGATTCCATTGGCAAAAGAATGTCACTTCTATCCAGTGACGCTATGTTGATGACGAGTTGAAAGGTGATCAGTTTCCTCAGGTCGGTAGGGGATGGGTGCTCCCTGGTCGCTTTTGCATGTCGCCTTTGATTGAGATATATCGCTTCCATGTCTTTCAGAAAGGTGGGACCGTGGAGGAAGGGAAACAGCGGGTGCCACACGGTGAAAAAGGAGGTGACCAGTTGAAAAGCAATCTTCCTTTCAGGTGGTTTGCCGAGAGCAGAGGTTAGTACTTGAGGTAAAGAGTCGGTCTCACAAGGACCTTCATGCAGAGGGCCATTATATGAGCGCCCTTCGGCATCTTCGCCAGTGAGGATGTCTTCGCTGGCGGGAACAGCATTTGGACCGGCGAGGTTCGAGGCGCCGAAGGCAGCAGAGAAAGCCCGACGGACAGTATTGACAAAGTACACACCGGAGGAGCTACCTAGCCAGGCCGTGCCATGATTCGGAAGCTTCTTGAGCGTGCCAATCTCAGAAGTATGAGGCGGTCTCTCTTCGGGGGTGTTGTCACTATCCGAGTCATTGGTGGCTGTGGTGGCGGTGGTTGTCGAAGGAACTGCTGGAGGGGTCGGTTGGCCAACACTGGGAGAGGGATTGCTGTTACTCGGAGTCATGTCTGTAGAGCAAACAAGTGGCAAGTCGAAATAGGCAAACCAGTAGTGCCTTTATCGGGGAGTTGATTCCAGCATCACCATGTCATCTTGTCCGCGTGTCGATGGAGCGAAGAGATTATGCGTCTGACCATGTAAGAGGCGAGAGGGAGTTTCACAGTGGCGGAGAATTGGCCCAGCTCAAAGGCAGAGATCAAGTTCGCATCAATTGAACCGTTGCTGATTGTGGTTTGTATGTTGATATTTTTGGGAATTTCAATCTTGATGTTAAACACACTATCACCGACGCGATCGTGGTTTTCGGTAGGAGGTTCTGGCTGGTCTCACTGACTGAGCGAAAAATGAGACGAGTGAAGCCGTGGTGGATTTACACGTACAGGGTGTAAAAATTTCCCACCCGTAACTGACCGAGGAAATACGGGCGGCTGAGGCATTGAGGGCTGTAAGCAAGTCGGACACCGGCTACGCTGTTTTTAGTTAAAGCCTCCAGCTTCGCAAGCCCGAAGCGAGAGACTTTTGTGCCTAGAAATATTTTGACGAGGCCTACGGAGCACCTGGCTCACCCTAGTGACGCCTAGTGAGGCACCTACTTACAACCCCAAACAAGACCCCGAAGCTATCAAGATTTGGTGCAGGGGACACCATTGGGCTCTCGCGCACACTAGTCTCGACCTGGAATCAATGCTGACTAACGGGACTTAGCATTCTCACAGCTACAACCAGAATACGAAATTGTAGTCTTGGGAACCAGGATCTGGAGCATTATAAATAATCGTAGATTGGATACACGTCTTCAAAACCCATCTCCTGATGTACTCTCGGACATGGGCATTCCCTTGTCATCGAGCAGACAGCAAACCCCGATTACCATGCATAACTCCTGCGGCTCAGACTGGTAGCTGCGTGAATTGCTTTGACGAGAAAGATTGTAGGTTATCTGTCTTCGGCAGACGAAGAATGGAAAATCTCCATCAATAGGAGCTCAACGGTCTTGGAATGCCTAGTCTACTCCGTTCCTTGCCTGGATATTCCCACGACTCCATCGCCAGGCTTGATAGCAACATCAGTACCGATTACATTGGCAGTCTTCAGAACGTCAACCACACCACTCATGACAGTCGGGTCGACTCCTCTCGTGCTTCCCACAAACTTGACGTCCTTCAGCCACTCTCGGCCGTCTTCTTCGGAATAATGGCACTGCGCCTCACCTGTGCCTAGCATTTTTATAGCAGCGTCGGTGTCAGTGTTGAAACTCTTCACGCCTTCGTCAAAGGCTTGGAATATTTGCTTCAACGTATCGTCTGACTCCTGATCCGGAAAAGTTGATCTCGACGCAGCAATATGCCAGCTTGGCCAGGGTGTGTAGATTTCTCCAATCTTTTTCAGTGGTGTACTCTCTCCGTGAAAGTATGGCTTGGTCGTGAAGTGCTCCCACATGAAGAAGTCAGCGGTGGCGTTGGTGACTCCATCGCGTAGATCTTTGAAAGGGCCTAGTGGGACAATCGAGAGCCCTTCCGACTTTTGGTCTTTTGTTTGATGAAGCCAGCCTTCCTGCTGGGCCAGCACAAATGCCATAACATGACTACCACTCCCCATTCTGCTGACTCCGACACGGCGGTGCTGCTTGAGATCGTCAACAGAATTGATGTCGTTTCGATTCCGACCAGTAACGATTGCCCATCTCAGTGGTGTCGCCACCCATGATCCGACTATTGAGTAACCTTTTTCTGTCCCAGCCTTGTTGTAGTTGTCCGCATTCAACAGGCCTGCAACCCAGCCTTCTGTCAAGCCAATCGCAAGATCGATCTCGTTTGAACGTAGGGAAGTGATCATGTGTCCGGTGCCAGAGGGGAACGGAACCAATGTGGTTTTTATCGAAGAGGGAAATAGATTGTGTTTTGTGCAGAGGTGCAATGGGAGGAGGTAGTGCTCCGGCACGTACCCGATGCGAACTTCTGAAGGCGCCATGATTCTTCTACCCCTTTAACTTGATGAGCAAAATGCGGATGCAAGGAACAGGAGACGATTAGAACAAATGGGAAAGACCATTGACGTGCAAAGATGCCACCCCCGTCTGTACAGCGCAGTCAAGAGAAGAAAGAATCATTACGACGACTTTCCGTATATCGGACTGACATTGACGCTGCGGCCATCTTCCCCCGCAGTCTGCAATGCCGTAGTTTTACCGGAAGGAGGAGAGCTCGACGTCGGGTGTCTAACAGTATCAAACTCACAGTCATGATAACTCAGCTTGGTATGGACGGCGATACATGTCATCGAGATTGTTTGAAGCGAGTCTACGGGACCCAGGCTGAATAACCCTACGATCATCCTGGACGGCTACTGCAGGGAGTCGAGTCCCCGAGCCGATGCGGAATCGCCTGTATTGAATTCCCCGCGAATATGCGGAGGCCATTCCGTGTTATGGCCAAAAAGCAACTGCAAGATCCCTTATATATACTCAGGTAGGTAGAAACCGAGTCACATCGGCATTCAAAGATTGTCTCAATACTATCGAGGTGGGCGTCGTCTACTTTACTCTTTTGTCTATTCGATTATCTCTGCCAGGAACAACCAGCCGAGAGGAAACATTCAACCAACGTCGACCATGGCTGAACAATACCAATATACCTTGTACACGTATTTTCGGTCCTCTTGCTCAGCACGCATTCGAATTGCTGCTTTGCTTAAGGGCATTTCGCTCGATTATAAGTTCATCCACCTTGTGAAAGGCGAGCAACTCACGAGGGAGTACAAGACCCACAACCCTAGCGCATCTGTACCGACACTCATTGTAACCGACGTCAAGTCAGGCAAGACCGCTGCTACTATACGACAATCGCCAGCGATCCTGGAGTACTTTGAGGAGGCAAGACCTGACTTACCTCGATTACTCCCTCCTCCAGATGACCCAGTCGGTCGAGCCAGGGTGCGTGAGTTATTCGACATTATAGCTTGTGACATTCAACCAGTCACGAATCTCAGAGTTTTGAACTTTATCAAGCCCCTGGATGTGGAAGCAAAGGATTGGCAACGGCATTTCATGAGTCTGGGGTTGCGAGCCTATGAAGAGTTGCTCAAGCAGTACTCTGGAAAATATAGCGTTGGTGACGAAGTGTCCATGGCGGATTGTGCACTGACACCTGCCATCGATAACGCATTGAGATTTGGTGTCGACGTCAAGACTGAATTTCCTCAGACCTGGAAGGTTTGGGAGAACCTCAAGGTCATTGAAGCTTTTCAAAAGGGGAGATGGAACTGTCAGGATGACACTCCCGATGAGCTCAAGGGGAAGGAGTAGGAGAAAGGCCAGAAGATATTGACACGACGGATTCAACTTCTTACTTTACACATGTTCACCGGACCACATGTCGAGTGATTGTCTGATTGGAACCAAGTCATTGGTCCATAGCAATGGTGGTTGCAGAGAGTATGTATCGTGATAGGGGCTTGTACCCTTGCAGATCTGTCTATTGCTACGCGGGACTATCTAAGGTCCATCATTGATTCGTAAGATCCCCGGACGATGCACTCTGACGTCCAGTTCATCCAAGTCATAGCAGTTGACCCTACTAATTGAACGTCGCTGGTCTCCTTTCTACAGACGTCGGAGCGAGGGTAAGCCCCCTCTAAGCAGCTGAACATCCCGTAGCACCCGCTTCGCCTTGCACCAACAAACCCTCAAAATGCACAGTGACGCAAGACAAGTCTTTTGGGCGTTTTCTCAATCCCTCGCACATTTACTGTACTTGTTGTCTTGTCCTATCTCTCTTTCTCTCTTGTGACTGTGACCTTCTTCAACAACATGGTCGAAACAGATAATGAACGTCGACCTGGGCCTCAACATCTTCCAGGTGGTACAAAATGAGCTTCTGTCACGAGAAGGCACCCGCTCCACGCTCGGACTTGGCTTTCGCCTCGCCGTACTCGAGGAGAGACTGAAGAACCACGAAGCGAAATCTAAAAACTCGCTCGTCTGGCGACCACATCACGCCATAGCACCAATCTCCTCCCTGACCCCCGAATCGAAACGGCTGGTCGACGCCGAACGTAAACGACTCCTGGGAAGAAAAGGAGCGAAGGCCATCGACGACAAAGACCCGACCATGCTCCCCCGCCACGAGGAGTCGTGGGAGGTTCATCCTGATTTTCCGAGGACCGTCTTGGAATTCAAACAACTTCAGTTTCATCGTAAGATATTACGACTTGCAACCGCTGATCTATTTACTCTTTTTGACACATTGTTCTCTTTTTATTTAGCTGATACGGTTCGGAGCCTACTCGAGTTTTACTACGTCAGAGTTTATCGTTCAGACATGAGACCCGTCATGATAGATACCGATCACTCGACAGACGTTAGATATAACCTGGAAACTTGTCTCGAAGAACTCGCAATGACATGGGGTTTGAACTGGTTGCGTATCGGTGGTCTGGCGCTTCCTGGACCATCGAGACTCGACGGTGTACCGTGATCAAGACTATTGTACCAAATCTTGATAATACTGCGAGTGTCTTTGCCTCGACGAGGACTCTACGGTAATCTCTAGAGCTATGATTGGCAAAGGGTGGAACGACAAAGTCTCGCATCTTCTGCGAGAGACGAATGGCCACACTTCAACAAACGTGGAACGACTGAGGGTGTCCTCGGTTCATTGGTGCCGTTCTGGATGGTCATCATATTCCTTCCGACGGATCATTCACAAATCCAGAGACACCAACACCGGACCCCGTAGCCGAAAACATCCCCGCCGTCACGCACCTTTTCGCCGCCTTCGCCGCCTATGCAATAGACATCACGGCCAGCGGACCTGTCTACCCTTTGGCCGCACCAGATCGACATATTCCCCCATCCCATCCCATGTACCGAGAGCGCAATATCTTCTGTCTTCAATTCGAGAAGGAGACCGTGCGATCGCCCGGTTGTGCACGACATGACCCAATGCTAAGAATAAATGATGAATATAGACATATAAAACTAGAACAGCGACATATCAAAGTTGTTCCACACGAACGGAGACGCCCTCTTCCGACAGACGACTCCCGCCATGACGTATCAAAGACAACTAAGAAAAGAAGAAACAAAGGGATTTAAAAAAAAGATGCAATCATATCCCATTAACCCTTCCTCGATCCATACAACAGAAGACACCCCAACGCCTGTAACATACCTGGGTACATAAATAGCTACCTGCCTAATCAATCTGTACGCCTCCCCGCCCTGCTGTAAAATGATCCATACCAAAGTGTAAGCCGGTTTCTGAAAAGATTCCCATGTTGAGGAATTGATTCCCGTAGCGGATTGTTACAAAGTGTCCCCGATAAAACCAACTACCCATGGGGCATGATGAGAAGCACCATCATTGATCATCATCATAATCATCATCACCACTACGAAGGTTTCGACGACGTTCCTTCCACCGAAGCACCGACGACACCTCCTTCGTCGGCGGCGGCGGCATCGTCACCATCATCCACATCTTCCAAATCACTTTGCTTCAGAGGTCGACAGACACCCTCCCTCGTACAGATCATGACCTCCGGCACGAGACCCTTGACCACGGTCCGGCCCCAACCTTTCAGACGACGCAGTTGACTGTCCCGGGTGGTCATGGGGGCGATGAGTGTCTTGGCACCGACTTGTTCCATGACCACGCAAGCGAGCAGATTGACGAACAGGAACGGGTGTTGGATGATCTCGACGGCGAAGGCGTCCAGTACGGCCTTTGCCTTGGCTTGATAGTTGTTGTTGTTGTTGTTGTTAGGTCCGTCCGGGGGGGACGAGGCACCCTGGCAATACGACGCCAGGTAAAGTAGATTGGTGCATATGATCCCGTTGGGCGAAGGGAGAGAGTTGTCCGTACCAGGTTTCAGTCTGATGATCTGCTCCGAGGAAGCTTCGGCCTGAAAGTAACCTCCCGTGGCGGAGGCAAAGTGTCCATCGACGTAATTTTGTAGTTGGACGGACCAGTCCAGGTACGGTTGTGCGAGAGTCAAGTCGTACAACGCCAGCAGACCAAGGATCATGTAGGCATAATCGTCCACGAACGCCGCCGTCGCCGCCGTCTTGTTAGAATCCGGCGTGCGAGACAGTCGGCCTGTAGATTCGTCGTACATTTCCTTGCGGATGAAAGTGGCCGCCTTTTCCGCGGCCTCCTGGCACGCGCGGGCTCGAGTCTTGTCGATCGTCGCAAGGGTGTTGGCGGCACGAGCCAGGGCTGCAATCGCGAGGCCGTTCCAGGAAGCGAGGATCTTGGTGTCGATGCTGGGTTGTTCACGTCGGGACTTGCGGTACTCGAGCAGTTTGGAGCGTCCGGACTTGATGACCTGAACAATCTCCTCTTCGGGCACGCCAAATTCTTTTGCCAAAACGGACGGTGTGGCCTCGATGTGCAGCACGTTCTGAGACAAAAACTCATCGTGGATGTCATGCTCCGCTGGGACGTTGCCGTCCGGTTTGACCGCGAAGTGGCGGGCGACGATGGCGGCGGCGTTGCGCTCGTGACCCAGGATGGCCTGAAGTTCCTTGTACGTCCACACGTAGTAAGCGCCTTCCTTCTTGTCGTCTGATGATGATGGAACACCGTTGGCGAGCTTGGGAATCGAAGGGCTCGAGTCGGCGTCTTCGCTCGCGTACCAGCCTCCTTGGGGTGCCACGATCGGCGAGTCCGTATTGGTGAAATATTCTACCAGGTTGTAAATGGTACCGAGGATTTCTGGATCGCGACCGAGTGCCCACGCGTCGCAGTAGCAGCCAAGCAGCTGGGCGTTGTCGCACATCATCTTTTCGAAATGAGGGAGATTCCAGTCTGGGGTGACACTGTATCTGTGGAAGCCATATCCGAGATGGTCTCGCAGGCCAGATCGAGACATGGCAAGGAGAGTGTGCAGTGACATAGATGCGGCCTTTGTGCAGGATGGTGTCCCGAGGATGCCAGGGACAGGGCTGCAGAAGCCGAAACGAGTGTGCGTCGAAGGTTGGGCGATGGCGGCCCCGATACGAAGTAGGAAGGTCAGGTTGGAAGGGGTCGGGAATTTTGGAGCAGTAACAGAAGCGCTGAAACCGCCGTGCACAGGGTCGTAACGGGATATGAAGTGCTCAAGCGCATCGTCCAGGAGATCGACCTCCAATGGTTCAGCCGGGTCCGAGTCGTTGCCTTGGCTCTGGGCATTGGTCTGAGAATGGATTCCTTCGGCCGCAAATGCTCGCAGTTGGTTGGTGATATCGATGGATGACTGAATACATTTCTCGCGCTGAGTCGTCCATACGTCCCGCATTTTGTGCAAAATGTCAATGACAGTGACTGGTGCATCGTCCCCTGGTGTGGCTTGTTTGATGGTGCTTGATGTTGATGGCCCTGGCCAATATGTGCCTCCAAAGACAGGTTTTAGATCTGGAGTCAGAAAAACATTCAATGGCCAGCCACCGGACCCTGTCGTTGCGGTGACATAACTCATGTAGATATCATCGAGGTCGGGCCTCGATTCCCTGTCGACCTTGATTGGGATGAAGAATTTGTTCAGCAGGTCGGCAACTTCTGGCGCACTGAACGATTCACGTTCCATGACATGGCACCCTTGCAATTTTGGTTAGTTCCTAGAAACAGTTCGCTACAATGAGAGAAATCCTCACAATGACATGCATGATAACCAATGCTCAGAAAGATCAATCGCTGATGCTTCTTGGCGAGCGCAAGAGTAGTGTCCGACCACTCTTGCCATGCTACTGGATTTTCCTTGTGCGCCCGAAGCTGAAATCTGTTAGAGACGTCCATTTGAAGTCACTCACTGACTTGTCTTACATAGGGCGAGGGATTGTTTGCCAGGGCATTTCGCAGGTGGAGTTCAGAGTCCGCTCCAACCATGAGGGCCAATTGCTGAATGGAATCGTGACTGGGAATGGTATGGGAGGGATGGTCAATTGTCGATGCCCAATTATTGGCGTCGAACACACTCAGTCTTGTGACGATGCAAGGCGAGTTTGAGGATTGAAAGATTCTCAGTCTGTTGAGCACGTGGGCCCTTGAATTCTCCGCAAGGCTCTGAGAAAAAAGTTTGTCGCTTGTATGCGGAAATTGCCGGTTGGACGTAGGAATTGTAGGCAGCACCCAGCAAGAGTCAGAAGATACAAGTCGATGAAGATGGAGAATCTCAATTAAGCTGGTTCTAGCTGACGACCGAGACCATCACATCAGCGTTCAGAGTTTTCTGCGGTAAGAAAAGAAAAAGCACGGGGATCTCGATTGACAAACCACGGTCGCGGGGCAACCAATCAGAGACGGGCATCATTGCTTATCTAAGCCTACGCATTGATAACCGGCGATAAGACTTGGTCCTTGTGTTCAACAAAAAGACAAGAGTAGATCGAGCTTCATCAGCCTGGGGACTCTAGACAGTTCTCAAATAGAGCGGCCTAAGGAATAAATACTAGGTAATCTCATTGCTCGTCTCGAACCATCCTTTCAAGCACATCTTGCTCTTCCGACTCCATCAATGCCCGCAACTCCGCCTCCTCTTCCTCGGTCAACGTCGACATGTCCATCTTGGGTTCTGGGTTGTCCTCCAACAATTTAGGGTTCTTAGCCTCTTCCACTGCCCGCTGAAGATCGGCCGGGGCAAGACTCCATCTCCGCAAAGTGGCATCAATACTAACACTGACAAGTAGATCTCCCGATAACGCCAAACCAGTGACCTCCTCATAATGCCCAGAAAACACATGGTGCAGGTCGCTGGTCGCCTTGTTCCATACTCGTATCTCCTCATCTCGACATGCAGTGACGACCCAGCCATATCTATCATGAGTGACTACATCTCGGACAAAATCCGGATGCTGAAGAGTCATGGCCGTATTCCAGCCTTCATCTCTGGACAGCTGCTTGGCCGTCATATCTGCTGAAGCTGTCCAAAGATCCCCATCATCGTCGAAATGTAATTTGTAAACACTGGTAGCATGTGCGAGGATGGGACTGTGCAGCTGTAACTGGGACGACTTAATCTGGCTCAATTCAGGTACTGGAAAAGCGAAGATTTCTTGTTTAGACGTGGACACCATGACAATTGGAGAGTCTGGAGATGACAGAGGATCCAGCACAAGAGATTCAATCCCACGACAGTTTGGGTTGATTCCTCCAAGAGGCTGTCCTTCCAACGACCATAATCGGATGTCACCATCTGTGCCACCTGTGATCAGGATGTCGTGTTTGTCCGGCGTCTGAACGACCACCAGACATTTGACAAAATCTCGATGTGCGGAAAATGAGGTAATGTCTGTGACCGTTCGCCCTTGGGTGGTGCCATCGGCAAATCTGAAGGTATACTTCCACACAGACTTGTCCCAGCAACCGCAAAAGACGTCCATGGTGGTAAACGGGTCTTGAGACGATTTGGTAGCATGAAAAGCCAGGCTGGTCAAAGGTCCTTGCGGACCTCTGGGGGTACTGGACAATTCATTGGTAGACAGCCTCAGTCCTGTCACCGAACCGCCAGCTTCAGCAACAAACACAACATCTCCCTTCGAGTCGAAGAAGTAATTGACCCCAACAGCCAAGATCTTGGTCGAAAATTTGACAGGGTTTCCTTGAGTATTTGCCGCTTTACGTTGTTTGCGATCGTTGTCGGCTAACGAAGAACTGGTGACGAACGGTCAATGATGATGCGAACATTGCAGAGTGAGAAGGCCACCTTACTCGGTTTGAAAGTAATTGCCCGGTTGATCGGCCACTCCAAAGGCGGCCATTACAGACCAACGGATCTTCAGAGAGGGGATACTTGCGTAATGATGAACCGATGAAAAACCGTCCTTTCTCACAAAAGTCCCTTCACGACCGCTTGTGGAACCTGATGCATCCGTGGAGATTCTGACCATAATACTCCGCCGTAACTTGTCCGCCAAGATAGAACGGCGGAGTAGCTGCACCAATAAGTAATTCGAAATCACAGCCACTCGTGTTTGGCGTGGAAATCTCTCTCTTAATGTATCACCCAGCTCAAATACATTCTTCACGCGATCTAATCTTTCCTTCTCTCATGTAATATTAGTCCCTCTTTCCTGAACAGCGCGCGCTCACTTCGCGATTATGGACATGGATCATTTGATCGGTCAGAGGTTCAACCTCATCTCAAAAAGTGAAATTCGGTAAGGTGTCCTCGGACTGCAAACCAATCTTCGACACTAACAGAGCCTCATACAGCTATGTCGGTACGCTTCACGAAATAAACCCTGAACAATCTACAATCGCGCTCGAGAACGTCTATTCCTTTGGTACCGAAGATCGGCAAGCCGAGAAATTCATTCCACCTTCACAGCAGAAATATGGCTTCATCATTTTTCGAGGCAGCGATGTCAAGGATATCAAGGTCGCAGAGGAGGAACAATCACAAACATCTCCTCCTCCAAGCATGCCAAATGACCCAGCTATTCTGGTATGACGTCCTCTCCTCCCTGCACAACCCTTTACATGATGAAATATTTCGGATGTAAATTCACAGACCTGTTCTGAAAGCGCAAAGCCGTGTGGATATTTCCGTTGCCTTCCTTCTGATAAAACCATCTACCTTATCCGTACCCTACACGAGTGACTTGCAATTGGCTGAAGGCTAACTATGCTCACTCATCTAGAACGCGTCTCAGCCAGGTCCACCACCTCCTGGTCCTCCACGCGAACATTTCTCTCCTCCTGGCTACCCTCCACACCCTCCCTTCGGTGGCTTCTATCCTCCTGGTCAATTTGGCCGAGGATATGGACCACCTCCTGGTGGATTCGGACCTCCTGGACCTGGCTTCTCACCTTACGGTCCTCCCCCGCCTGGATATTTTGGTCCTCCAGGACAGGGCTTCCCACAAGGTCCTGGACCCCAGTTTCAACCCCCTCCACCTCCCATTGGGCCCCCAGGGCAGCGTCATGATGGACCTCCACCACCATCTCAACTTCCACAAGATCCTCATTCTCGACCTTCTGCGAATGCTCCGAACAACAACCTCACTTCAGAACTGCCAGTTGACAACAAAGCTGCCCAATCTCCCTTCCCTGTACCAGCAAAAGATGCCCCCTCACAATCAAAGCCAACGGCTGCTCAAGTCGCAGCTAGGCCGCCACCACCAAGCACTAGCTCCGAGACGACGCAAAGAAAGGCTGCAGGACCAGGTCCCAAGTCCAACAAAGTCGCCCCAGCAGTTCCTTTCACAGTGAACCAAAAAGTGTTCACTCCCCCAGTAGTACCGGCAGCAGATGGGCCAGCAACAAATGGCGCTGCTGGTAAACTTGCAAAGCCCGCGCCGTCTCAATCTGCAATGGATGAGGCCGCCAGACAAGCTAAAGAAGCTGTAGCAGCAGCTATGGCAAAGCTAAATCCCCAAGCAGCAGCTAGTTCGCAGACCAAACAAGCCGCCCCTCCAGCATCTGTTGATGCAATAACGAGGCAAATGGCAGAAGTGTCCACCTCAGGCACCACGAATGGGACAGTACGTGGAGGTAGAGGTTCATTCCGCGGCCAACGAGGCGGACGTGGCAGTGGAGCCAAGAAGATCGAAATACCAAAGTCTGACTATGACTTTGAGTCCGCTAATGCGAAATTTAACAAGGAAGATCTGATCAAAGAAGCTATTGCGACTGGCTCTCCACCTGTTGCTGGGGTCGAGGAGAGCGCAGTAACCGATACACTTGACGGTGATGTGACAGCCCCTACACCGCAGAGAAAGGACAGCCTGAACGCTGCCCCAGCTTACAACAAATCGAGTTCATTCTTCGACAATATTTCCTCCGAAGCAAGAGATCGGGAGGATGGTGATCGTGGCACAGGCAGGCAAATTCGAAGCGAAGAATTCAAAAAGAACATGGAAACCTTCGGTCAAGGAAATGTCGATGGTGGCTACCGAGGACGCGGAAGGGGTGGCTATGGCCGGGGTCGTCAATATGGAGGTAATTACCGTGGTGGCTATGGAAATCGCGGATACGGCTATCGAGGCAACAGAGGCCGTGGCGGTCAGGGACAGGTCCCTGATCAGACTCAAGCTCAGTCCTAGGTTTGTGTGCATTTCAGCTGGCTTTTCATTACCATTTCATCAATGAACTTTGGTGGGAAGTGGTCTTCTTGCACAGCGGGGAAAATTAAGGGTGGGAAGCATTTGTACAATACCTGGCCTTCGGTTTCGGTTGGCGTTGCCTTGTACTTTTCTCATACAGAAAAGGTAGAAGGATATGAATGAAACGGGGACGGATACGAAATGAGCCGATCTTAAGGCAAGGATAACAATCGAGATACCTCTCAAACATGGCTATTTAAGTTCCAGGAAACTGCCATTAAAAGAAGTCATGAACAATGAATTTGAATGAAGAGAACCAGGAAGATATCGTGCAGCCGAATGAACTGTTGTTTCTATTCATTTGCTTCCCGTGAGTTCGTACTATTGGTAGTAGGGGTACGGAGTATCTACCTTTGTCCAGTAATGAGTACATGTAGAAAGCCGCATTTGGATTGATGTGAGGCACAAGGCTGTGTAAGGCTGAGTGACACTTGTTGCAGGCTGATTCCAATGCTGACCCCACCATCTTGTCACAGTCCAAACAACACCACCACATTTACTTCTACTCCCCTTACTTGTTGATCTTGCTTTCCACGACGACGACATAAACCAAAACACCTCTCGATCGTACTTTGAGTCCAAAGACACAAAAGTCTTGATTTTTTCCTTCTTTTAAAGTTGACGCTGCACTGCCCATCTCACCATGGCCAGCGAAGCTCAATTCGACGCAGCTTTGTACGTTTCTCTCCCAGATCTGATATAACGTTCTCATATTCCCCTTCCCCCGGCTCGATTATCAGCTACTACACGGCTGATTCCAAAGGGGCTGGGACCTATCCTTTCTGATCTTTGTGACTGACCATCCTGTCCGCGCGTCATGACAGAGACCTCCTCCGTCGACTCTCCCCTCTCAACGTGTCATCCAACCTGACGGCCATCACGAGCCTCGTGCCCGACCTAACCGAAGACCTCCTCTCGTCGGTCGACCAGCCTCTCAGCTCGGCGAGGTGCAAGAAGACGGGCCGGGACTACTTGCTGTGCGACTACAACCGGGACGGAGACTCTTACCGTTCCCCCTGGAGCAACGAGTTCGAGCCTCCACTCGACGACGCCACTTTCCCCTCGGACCGGGTGCGAAAGATGGAGGTCGAGGCCAACAACGCGTTTGACGTTTACCGACAAATGTACTACGAAGGGGGGACGGGGAGCGTGTACCTGTGGGACCTGGACGACGGGTTCGCCGGGGTGGTGTTGTTGAAGAAGAGCGTGGCGCGAGAGGCCGGTTGGGACAGCGTCCACGTGTTCGAGGTTGACGAACGTCGGGGGAGTGGCAACGGTGGTGGCCGGACTTGCCACTACAAACTCACTAGCACGGTAATCTTACACCTGAAAAGTGGCGGCGGCGGCGGCGGCGGAGGTGGTGATCAAGAGCTCAACCTCGCAGGTAGCTTGACGAGGCAGGTCGAGGCGGACCTCGTGGTCGAGAGCGCAGGCGGCCAGGGCAAGGACGGCGGACACGTGTGCAACGCCGGACGCCTGATCGAAGACATGGAGGGAAAGATGAGGAACATGCTGCAAGAGGTGTATTTCGGCAAGGCAAAGGACGTCGTGGGGGATCTGAGGAGCGTCGCCCCCTTGACCGGCGTCAATCGTGACAGGCAGACGCAGAGAGACGTCATTTCCAGTATGGGTGGGAAGTGATGATCCAAAAAAGCCTTTGTTTTCATATCACACATCACATCGGCGGGCCTTTTTCACATCACAGTAACCTCGACGCACATCGCATCAAATTATCCCATCCCGCCTCATGTCACCCATCAGTGCAATTCAATTTCGCTTCACCCACAGCGTGGTGCTGTGTCGTCGCCAAGGGCCCGTCAACCACGACCACGTCGCAGAGACGGTGACGGGGACCAGCGGACCTTGATACAAGGTACGTGGGATTCCAATTTTGGAAGACTCGACTGCACAGCTCGACGGTATTAGGAACTCTTAAGGGACGGAATACACACGGTGCTGGTTGAATGGAAACAGATACAAACTTGTGCTGGATGGATGGACGTATGCGTTGCGCATGTCAAAAGGCAACCAGGCAAATACCTCACATTTCCTCCGGGGCCATGATACCACGAGTTACCCTACATGCCCCGGAACGACAATGTGGAATCATGTGAACCATGTACATGTACATTGCAGGAAATCATGACAAGAACGGATTCCTCGATCCCAGTCTAGAATGAATCTTGAAAGGCACTTGTTATTTTTTCTTTTTCCCAATCAAAAGTAACTACCTATCCCCACCATTAGGTACATTTTCATGCTACTCCGCAAAAAAAAGGTGAGTGAGAGAGAGGATGTTCGTTTTGAAGTCGAGAAGAGTCGTTGTAATCATTTGACACACAGGCAAATCAGTGAGGAGTCCTTTTTTTTGTTATTGGGAAGTCGCGATCGCTCAAGGTTATTGTGATTGTTGTAGTTGTTGGTTGTTGTAATAGCAATAGTAGTAGTAGTTGTGGTGTTCGTATAAGTGTCGATATTCGCATGTACTTGATAGCACCACAGGGCGAGTTTCGACCTTAATCATCCCCGTGAGACGGCATTTCCCGGGCAAACCCATGGCAAGTGCTGCAAAGGGACTGCAATCGATCTTGTCTCCTCTGTTCTCTGTGACCTTTCTTTACGCACCGTCACCCCAAATGCCCACCACTCCCATGGCGAATCCGACTCCGGCGATCCAACTCCTCACCTTTTGTATCCTACGTTCCCGGGCCATTTCCATCTCGACCTTTTCACCATTGACCTGGTCTTCGGTCGTCGAGGCCTCGATTTGGATAAAGGAGCCGCTGTCGGAGCCGACGCCCTCTGGACTGCTGCTACCTCCTCGAGTGCTCGTCGTTCCCTTGTTTCTGTTTGACGATGATCTAGACGAGCCACTCCCGAGACTTGGGAATCTGGAGAGGCCATTGTACCAGTACTCGACACCCTGGCCACCGATGAAAGCCACCAGGGCCGTCCACAAAAGGTAAGGGTGTCGACCGCGCGGGGAAGCCAGACTGAAAGCCGTGATGAGGGAAAGCGAAGAGACCGAGGCCAGGGTGAGGATCTGTCGGGAAGATTGAGTCTGGATGGTCGAGAGGGTTCGGGCGGCCAGGGAAGCCGAAGGTAGGAGTGCGAGTGAAGGGAGGGTGATGGTGGTTAGTGTGTATGACGTTCCCTGCGAAAAGGGTTAAAGAAGTCAGCGACTACTCCGTACAACTTTTGCAGAAAGTAAAAAAAGAGAGACCGGTTGTCCCTCAAGGTCGGTAGATAAAGTGCTTTGGGCTTTACTAACAGTCAAAAGACCAAGGGATATGGTCCCGACGAATTTCGTGATGCTTATCGGGCAAGGCATCTTTGCAAGAACAGAAGGAGAGGGCAGAAGAAGTTAAGAGGGGTTCAGGTATATGGTTGTTCGGTAGGTATGTAATGTGGTGTGGTGTATCTCGAGGTGTGGCGGAGAGACGGAGGGATGATCTGTAGCTCCGGCAAGTCGATTGCGATGAGTGAGATACGGCGGTGATGCCGGCGTGATCGAGAATTATAAGATACGAGGGTTCACTCGTACCAGTATCGCCGTTCGAGTTGATCCCAGTCGTCGTGGTCGTAGTTATGGAGAGGTGCAGTTGAGAGTCCTGCCTGATCTTCCGGCTACGATTACTACAGAGTAACTCGGGGCCTTTTGACGCAGGTTGGTCGTAGCCTACAATGATACCACGCTAATCCACTTCCGTGACCCATCACTTCTCATACGTCATTTCTAGTACTTCATACGAGTACCTTACAATGTCAGTGCACACAATTAAATACTTTGTACTCGCACTCGCATCCGCACTCTTACCCTTCACCTTGGACAAGAGTATCAAGTACTTACGGAGAGCCTAGGTGGCTACTTAAGTAAACACATCAGCCCAATATCGGACACCCTTCAATCCGTTCGCCCATGTCTCGGCCTGTTCCCTCGACACCCCTTTGGCATCGACATAAATCTCGACCATGACCTTGTTGATCTCCACACCGACGGCACTCGAACCGCACATGTAGACCTGGGCCTTGTCCAAGAAGAGCTTTTTGGTGTCGGCCCTATCGTGCCAGATCCGGTCTTGGACGTGACGGCAACCCAGACTCTTCTCCGGTGCTCGTGAAAAGGCGTGGCGGAGGTCGACCGCACCTTGCTCTTGCCACTCGGCGAACTCCTCTTGGTACAGGGCGTCTCGATCGGGAGACGCGCAGCCGTAGAACAAGAGTGCGGGTGCCAGTTTCTTACCGGATCGGATCTGGAGAGACCGCTCTTGGACGAATGCCCGGAAGGGCGCCAAACCTGTCCCAGCGCACACCATCAACACAGGAGTGTTGTCGTCCAGGGGCAGATGGAACCCGGCGTGGCTGGGTCGGACGGCGACACTGATTCGGTCACCCGACTCTCGATGTCGGAGAAAGTTGCTGCACGCCCCGAGGAAACGGTCCTTGTCCGGATCGCCGCCTCCTCTCGCCGGAGCGTCAACGACAGTATAAGTGATGGTGCACTTTGCGGGGTCCTCCAGCGGTGACGAAGAAATACTGTACTGACGGATCCGCATGGGAGGTAAGGCTTCCAGAAACTGTCCCAGTGAGAATTGTGCACCCGGATATCTCTCCAAGATGTCGAGCAGAGATTTATTCTTGCCCAAAACCTCCTGCATGAAGTCGTCGGTCGCAAGTTTCTCCAGGCTCTGCCTCGATTCTGCTTCGGGGATCGTCCTGGCCACTTGCTTCAACTGCTTCGACGTCGCCGGTTGAGAAAGCTCGACGAGAGCCGAAAAGACTTCAAACACGGACAAAGGTCTCCCCTGAGGCAGAGGAGTGTGAGACTCCGGGCTGATGGTGATCATTGCGTCCCACGTGAGATTGAATCTGGCCAGAGCGCGACGTACGTTTCTGCGCGGGTTGAAGGGCAACACGGCCAGATAGTCTCCCGCTCTGTAGGACATCCCTGAAGGCATCTGGATCTCCATGTGCCGCTTCTCGGGGCAATTTGGCGCCGTCAAAACTCGATTCTCGAGAACCATGGCGGTCTTGAGATCCTGTCGAAGCAAGCTCGCCCTGCTGTCGGCTGTGACTTGAATGTCGAGACCTGGAGATTGGTCTTCATCGGATTCGACTGTCTGGGTCTTGAACGTCTTTGCAATCGCAGGCCACAATTCTTCGTCTTTCCACTTGTCAAAGTCCTCCAAAAACCCAGCGTCGTTGGCGTCCGCGGCTCCTCTTGCTGTCATGCGCTCCGCACCTCTCTCAGCCAGGGTGCTGTCTACAAGACTGGGGATTTTGTGATATGTATGATGCCAGTCGCCTGCACATAAACGTCAGTCTCGTTACAATGAATTGCTCACCACCGGGTACTTACGATTGCCCATGCCAAATACAGCGTACTTGACCCCTTTGGCTGCTTCTCCTTGTAAAGTCTTCACCCAAGACACAAAACGGGCCGCGTTGTCGGGAGGTTCTCCCTCGTAACTGGAAGTGATGACAACGAGCGGCCCTTCCTTCGGCAAGGCGTTGGTAGCCTTGTCCAGTATTTCGACCTTGGCCTCGAAACCGTGCGAGGCGGCCGAAGAAGCCAGAGAGCTAGCCATGGCTTCACAAGTCCCTGTGTTTGAGCCGTAAAAGATGGATAGAACAGCTTGGCTTGACGCAGAGTCTGCCTTCGGTTTCGCCGAAGACGTCTCAGCCTTTTGCGGTGTGGGACCTCGTTGCCCACGAAGCCGGGATTCAATGTCTGGATGTCTGGGTTTGGCGCGCATATAAAAGTCGTGTGGCTTGATCGTCAATGTAGACTGAATCGAAATTTGATAAGATGGATCAGACATGGTGAACTCGAAGTTTGAAAGCAGCATTGCCAGAGCCAGGAGAGCCTCTTGCCATGCAAAAGGTCGACCAATGCAAGCACGGGCGCCGTTCCCAAATGGCTGTGATAGCTGGGGTCAGCGATACTCACCATCTCAAAAGGGGGGACAGATACACACCTTCCACGCATTGGGTGGTAGCTGACCAAATGGTTCGTCCATCATTCTTTCCGGTCGGAACACTTCAGCGTCTTCACCATACACTGCAGGGTCTTTGTGGATGGCCATCAAGAAGCAAAAGAGTGGAGTCTCTTTTGTTACGTGATACTTGCCACCGATGATTTCGTCTTTCTTGGGGCGGACGGTGAAAGCAGGCGCCGGGGGATACAGACGCAGGGTCTCTCTCAGGATGGCGTTGAGGTATTCCAACTTGGAGAGATGTTGATATGTTACTGTCTCGTCACCGACCACTCGGTCGACCTCCTCCTGTGCCTTGCGATAGGCTTCGGGATTCTTGAGGAGTTCGTAGAACACAAACGAAAGAAGACCGGAAGTGGTCTCATGTCCTAAGGAGAACAATTAAGCCTCGAGTTCAGGTGCAGTTACAACGAACGCCTTACCAGCAATGAGGAATGTGATCATGTTATATGCGATACATTCCTCCGTGAGATTCTCTCCTGTCTTGGGGTCTTTGTTGTAGAGCATGGCATTAAGAAGATCCTTCTTGTCGACAGGGTTCTCGCGACGCTGTTTCACCAGATCAGTGGCCACCTTGAGCATCAATTCTACGTTCTCGTTGAATTTCTGGTCCTCTGCGCGGAAGAAGTAGCTCGGCAATGGTGGCCTGCGTGCACGGCCGCCTGCCCCGATCAAGACAGCAACCATTGCGTTGACGAAGGGGTGCATTTCTTCGGTATAGAAAGAATTGAAACGGGTCCCCATGGCGCATCTTTTTCAGGTCAGTCCAAAGAATCACCAGGACGCAAGCCACTCACAGTGCAATCGAATCCAACGTCAAACGGGTGAAGTCATCAGTGACCTTGATGTCATGATGGGGACCAAATCGTTCCCATTTAAGGACCAGCTGTGAGGCAATATCATACATCTCTGTGGAGGGAGGGTCAGCCTCTGGAGCCGTACATTGCTGTAGCAATGTCTGGATCACGGCAGAAAGATGAACTCACCATCAAACATGCCATGGATGGGGAGAGGGCCAAAGGCGGGCATCAGTGCTCGATGAGCCACCCCCCAATTGTGTTCTCCTGGCAGCGCGGTAAAGAGACCATCGTGAACGGCTTCCCGGATGTAATGAAGGGCTCCTGTCACGGCCTTTTCGAACCTCTTCTCGTCCATAACTTCATTGCATAGGTCTCTTGTGCAGATAAAGACCCTCTCGCGCCCACCCACGGTCAACTTGAAGATCTCACCTGATAATCTCATGTCAGCTACGTCGGCTCATAAAGTCCTGAGCCGCCTCCCCGTTGCTCACCATATCGTTTAGCCAGATTGGACAAGCTCGTCATTGGGAACTCTGCATTGATCTCGAGGGCATTGCCAATGAGTGGCCATGACCGCGGCGAAGGAATGGTATCCGTCATGATCGGTACCTGGTCACAACTCCAGAGCGAGTAAAGCACTACTGTACGTTTCTCTCTGTAGAACGACAAGCCCGGCCAGAGGCCAACGGTCGTAGGCCTTTATTATATCTCACCTCCATGATCTGGGCGAAGCCGACGCTAGTCGGTCCCAAGAGTGCAGGAACAAGCGAGGGTATGGAAATCCAAAACGATTTATTGGCTCAATAATGGTTGACGCATTCCTCAGCAGAGCTGGAGAATGTATCCACGTGTGGAGGAAGATCAAAGCGCATCGTTAGTTCAGCTTCCTTCTAGACACCTGCAGATGGAGGAGGCGCTCGCTTGTTGACTTCTTGGCTAAACCATGTTCGGGGGGGTGCAAGCTAGCTGTGACACATGCTGTCAAGAGTTTCTTCTGTCGCAACTCTCTCTGTGTCCTTTGACCAGAGTCCGTGGTTGTTTGGTAAGAATACTTGACGTGGTTGATAGTGGGGAAACAGCGACAAGAAGAAATCCCACACACTGGTGTATGGATGACCGTGACTTTTTACCCTTCAATAAGTTCACTGTAGACAGTTACTAGCAACCTCGGAAGCAGTCGAGCACAGATGCAGATTTCAACCCCGGCAGTGCCGGGATCTGTGGTGACCTGACACTAGTATCCGAATCTATTCCTGGGAATACGAGGAGCGGGCCAGTGCACCAATAGTTCCGATGGCTGGTGGAAAGTTTCATACAAGTCGCTTGGCCATCTAGGCCTTCTCCCTCGAGTCATGGGGGGTGAGAGAACAAAACACATGTGCCAAAACGATGTCCCATTTGTAGATTGGCGTCTCTCAGCTCTTATGGACCTCCGAGTACTTCACAGAACTTTAGAAAATAAGTCGACCAAGGCGAAATGTCTCAAATACCTGCTCTGATAGAACAGTTCAGGCCAGACCTCGTGAGATATGAGAATTTGTACAAGAAGTTACATGCGAACCCCGAGCTCTCCCACCATGAAGTCGAAACAGCATCGTTGATCGTTCAACATCTCACAGGATTGAGTGGTGAGCTTGACATTCGGACCGGGATCGGAGGCAATGGGTTGATCGCAATTCTGCATAATGGACCAGGGCCAACTGCTTTGCTGCGGGCTGATATGGATGCCCTGCCAGTGGCCGAACGAACCAACCTCGAATATGCAAGCCATCGAAAGCATCTGGGCAAAGACGGTCTGGAGAGACCAGTCGCGCATGGTAAGCACTCCGGACCATGGGTTCTGGCAAGGAGGATACGCAGGATTAATACTGGTTCTAGCATGCGGACACGACGTTCATGTCGTATGCCTCCTGATTGCTGCGGAAGCTCTCATCAACGCACGAAGAGCATGGGCTGGAACGATTGTTTTTCTCTTTCAGCCGGCCGAAGAAGCTGGTGATGGTGCGCTCGGAATGGTGAACGACGGGTTGTATGATGCGTCTCGTCATAACTGTCCTCTTCCAGACATTGTTCTGGGACAACATGTCGCGCCAATTCGAGCTGGAATTGTCACTTCCAAGACTGGCGCCATCATGAGCTCGTCAGACAGCCTCAAGGTCACAATCTTTGGTCGAGGTGGGCATGCCAGTATGCCCCATCATTGTATCGATCCCGTTGTGATCGCGAGTCATATTGTGGTCCGTCTTCAGACAATATCGAGCCGCGTGATTCCTCCGGACGAGGTCGCCATTATAACAGTTGGATCGATCCATGCTGGTGAAGCTGAAAACGTGATTTGTGACCATGCATTTTTTACCATCAACATTCGAACGCTCAACGAGGAGGTCAGACTGACTGTCCTCAAGCACATCAACAGCGTCATCAAAGCAGAATGCGAAGCCAGCTTTTGCGAAAAGCCTCCTCAGATCGACCATCACATGAGTCTTCCAACTACCTCCAACGCCGCAGATGTCGAGACGAGGCTGCAAGCAACTCTGAGAGAGTTCTTTGGACCAGTCTTTATGGTGGCTCCGAAAAGCAGCTTGGCGAGTGAGGATTTCAGTATCCTTGCCAGTTCTATTGGCAAACCGTACTGTTTCTGGTTGTTCGGCGGCACTGATGCAGAGTTATGGGACAGGATGGAGGCGCAAGGGAAGTTGGATAAAATTCCGATCAATCATAGTGCGGAATTTGCTCCTGTGATAGAACCGACGCTCCAAACTGGTGGCGATGCGATGGTTGCTGCAGCTCTGACATTTTTGGGACAACCGTCTAGCTAGTAACGCCGTAGAATGGTATATAAATATCTTCAGTGCTCATCTATTGTTCGTCTCGACCGTAGAATGCCCGTGCGACGGCCAAACTGACGATGGGGTAACTCATAATTCTATCGTGCAGTCCATGCTTCACGACTTGCTCCCTGATGATGCCTCCTTTGCCACGCCAGTCAACTTCCCATCCTCCAGCGCCGAGCTCTATCCTCTCTCTAGCTTTTATATCTTCCAATTCGTCAAAGCTGACGTTCGAGTCCGGAAATCTCATAGCATTTACGGCATGCCAGAACACGATCTCTGAATGTATCCAAGGGATGTCATAGTCATCCTGTGCATGTATAAGCGTAATATCGTACTTCCTATGTCGATTTCCAAGTTTTGAGGAGTCGCAGTGTCGAATGAAGGCCGAGAGCGTGTCTTTGGACGGCCACTTACTCACAATGAACTTGTTGAAGAAAGGCAGTGCGTAAGGAATTCTAGCAACGGGGCCAAGAAGCGGTATTGTTCCGGCCACACTGTATGTCCTTGTGAGAAGCTCAACATCCGCAAATGGCGCCACGAGTATCATCCCAGCAAAAAGAATCGGCGGAGACTGTAGAGCAAGATGATGTGTAAGCGCTATACTCACACCTGTTCTGAGAGATTGTCCAAAAATGACTATGCGGTCTGGCCGGATACCGGCCGTTTCTAGGGCGAAGTTGGCAAGCGTCAGCGCGTCAGTGAGGAGGCCAGCTTCAGACGGCCATCCGGTGCTTGTCCCAAACCCTCGGTAGTCTATGGCAATGATGTGGACGTTCTGCGCAGAAGCCGAGATGGCACGGTAACTTTGGGGTCGCCAGCCAGATCCAAGAGTCCCTGCTGCTCCATGTAGATATAACACCAGTTGTGATGTCAGATCGTCTCTCAGTAGCTTAAATGCCAATCGTTCTTTGATTTCATGGCACAGGCCTACTTTTTCGCTCCTCAAAGCCTTCTCGTTCTGCCTGTATGTCTCGAGCGGCAGGATATGCCATGCATGCAAGATTTCTCCGTCTGGCGTGATGAGGTGGAAAGGTGTGACTTGGTTGCGGAGGAAGCCCCATTGTTCAGGCACATTGACGTCTTGAAACCATGTCAAGGTAACTCGGTGTAGGTAGATGACATGGTCTTGTAAGGTGGGAATCATGAGGAGACCGAGGAATATCGAGTATAGGCCGGCACTCGCTGTGATGATGATGACAATAGGTCTGAGCAGCGCCACGATCCAAGAGATATTGAGCATCTTCTTGTCAACAACCTGGCAGCTCAGTGCCAGCTTCGTACTCAGTCAAGCTGCGATCAGTGCGGGAATGTCGTTATGCTTCGGAGACGCGCCAGAATGAACCACTCCTAGTGATCGCTCCCCCATAAAGCATGGGTCATTAGGACATTGCCAATGCCTTGCGACGGTAAGTGGTGTCATTAATGTCACAACGTGTCTGAGTGAAATCTTGGGGCCTGAGGCAGGAAGTTTCAGGACCTCACGAAGTGGCATTGTAACGATAATTTGACTTTACCCCCTTCATGCGCCTCCTTGCTTCGAATCCTTTAATGATTGCGACTTCTTGCTCTTTGGTCGTGAACTTGAGATCGACGTCACCCACACGCCTAGCTTTGACCTCTTCTTCGGTAGCCCACAGGTAATTTTGATGCTCCTTTGGGTCCAGCACGACGTTCAAAGCACCATTCGAGTTCCTTTTCGCTTCCACGAGGAAGTGAAATTTACAGACCAACTTGCCGGATCGTGTGAGGAAGACGTCTCCATCGCCAACTCGAGGGCCGATTGTCTCTCCTGTCAGTCCAGATTCCTCCCACAGCTCTCGAGCTACGCTGTGTAGAATGGACGGATCCTCGAAGTCGGTGGCACCCCCTGGGACCTCCCATCTGTTTGGTGCACTGTCAGTCGCGGCACGCTGAACCAACAAGACACGTTCTGGGTCGGAGGAGGAATCGAAGACTATGGCTCCCACAGCGACATATTGAAATCTGATCGTGGCACCCGAGGAAGTCTTTCTGCCTGGGTCGTTGGCAACGAACGTCTCTAGGTTGACGGCGAAAGATGAAAGCGTCGGGTCCGACGTGAAGTCGAATGTCGGGGCCATCGGGCTTGAGGCTCTGAGATTACCAAGCTACCATTGTCCCAAGGGCTGGGTCACACACCTTCTGTGATGATCGACATAAGAAATCAATACTCGTAGGAATTGAGGCTGCGGAACGAGGCGATCAGGCTACAACAGAACGAGGCCTGGAATTCGCTGAGTCATTCGATTGACCCCGTCTAGGAAACAGTGTTATATAAGCGTCGGGATCAAAAAGACCGACTCCGACTGGAGATTCTCTTCGTCTTGACGCCATTGACGAGTGAGATGGCGTTCCTACATTACACGGTCTTTCCGACTGCTTAGAAATTTACATGCTTAGTACCCTTTTCGTCCATGATGACCTCGAGGTAGGTGGCCTCTCTTTAAGCTTTGAAACGATACTTAAGCCGCAGTGACTGTTGCTTCACAATGCGACGATAGCTTTTGAAACCTAGTCAGAACATTCATCATGGCACAAAAACCTGTGCTTATCTCGGGCGCCGGGCTGGCGTCGCTCCTGCTCGCGCGTTCTCTTTTGTTGTCGAAGATTCCATTTCGTGTCTTTGAGCGCGACGCGTCTCTCTCTTTCCGGGGACAAGGATATCGTCTCCGACTCTCGTCTGAAGGGCTAGATGCGATTGAGTCGGTTCTTGACCCGGCGGCCTTTCAACGCTTCTATGACCGCTGTGGCAAGACAGGTGGCAGTGGGTTTACAGGCTTTGACGCCATCACCGGTGCCGTTTTCGAAGAGAGCAAAATGGGGGAGAGCCTCGGATCGAGAGACGGAAAGATTGTCGGCATAGCTAGAGGTGAAATGAGGAAACTGTTCATGGAAGGGTGTGAGGAATTTGTGCAATTCAACAAACACGTCAAAGGTTATGAACTGACGGAGGACGGCGTTCGGGCCATATTCGCCGACGGTTCGAAATCAGAGGAAGGGTCACTCCTGATCGGCGGTGACGGCATCAAGTCGAGCATAGCCAAGCAAGTGTCTGGCGGTCGACTCAAGGTCTACGACACCGGTGCAAGAGGCATCCATGGGCAAGCACCCACGACAGCGTTCAAAGGTCTGGGGGAGGGTGTTTTTCGACTTCAAGACGACTCGAAGCCTACCGGACGAGTGGGACTCATAACGAATGTGAGACCCAATGATATGGACGATGCCAATGTCGAATTCGGTTGGACGCTGTCGGCCATGCCTGGCGTGATCAAGGCCCCGAACGACGACTACACAATCGTCGGCAAAGTCGCGGCTGATATTGCCAAGTCCCTCACGAAGGACTGGCATCCTCGGTTCAAACCTCTGATCGATCAAATGAATGAACCCGAAGCGGCGTTCTGGAAGATCACTTGCTCGACTCCCAGCGGAGTGCCAGAATGGCCCAACGAGCCTCGCCTCACGGTGATTGGAGATGCAGCGCATTCAATGACCCCTGCTGGTGGCCTCGGTGCGAACACTGCCGTCAGAGATTCAGCTCTACTAGGACGATTATTGCATGAAGCTGGCGGGTACAGAGAAGGGTTGACGGCCGAGTATGAGAAGGGAATGAGAGTGTATGCGAGCGAGGCTGTGGGACAAAGTTACGGCATGGCCACGAAGATGTTCAAGGTTACGATCAATGAAGCATCACATACAATGGAGGCAGAGTAGGAGAAGAGCAGTATACATCTATTATTACCCAGGTGGTCAGTGTATTGACAGTGATTGGAATGATTCCACGAGAGGAGTTGATATGATACGTGGACGTCTACCTGCATCAAGATCATAACTCGTAATAGTCCATACAGAATCCAGTACTCGGTACTTAGTAATCATTTGAGCCTCGGCTTAATTCTGGTTTCTTCCCTCCGCATTTCCTCGGCGCCGTTGATCTGTTACTGTAGAGTGCTCCGTACGAGAACATCCAAGGTAATAATTGTTTACGGCCGTTGCTACTCTGTAGTACACTTACTTGAAATACAGGTCTCACCTTTCATCTTTCGTCTTCATTACTACAGGCCGTGGAAAACACTTTTGCGGTTTTCGAGTCTCCCTCTCTCACACACACTTCCTCCAACCCTCACCAGACGCCCAACCTAATCGTGGTTTATCCTCCGCCGCCTCAGTCCTTCTCATCCTCCTCCACGCCGTTACAATGCCTCTCCAGAAACATGAATACCTCTCCTCGGTATGGCGAGATGGCATCTTCACCGACAAGGTCGTCTTCTGCACCGGCGGCAACGGTAGCATCTGTTCCGCTCAAGTGCGGGCTCTGGTGCACCTCGGAGCCAACGCGTGCATAGTCGGACGCAATGTCGAAAAGACGGAACGTATGGCAAAGGACATTGCGACCGCACGACCGGGTAGTAGGGTTTTGGGCATAGGCGCGGTGGACGTCCGCAACGTCGACTCCCTTCAAAAGTCGATCGATACCTGCGTCAAGGAACTTGGAGGGATCGATTTCCTAATGTCAGTATTCAGTACTCTTGAGAGTTCACGGTGGTGGTTTTTTTTTTGTTTTTGGTCTCTTCACAAAAGTATTGAGGCTGACTATTCTTTTTGCTTTTACACACAAACAGTGCCGGGGCGGCAGGAAACTTTCTAGCTCCTCTCGCTCAATTGTCACCCAACGCCTTCAAGTCGGTCATGGACATTGACATTCTGGGATCTTACAACGTCACCAAACTCGCCCTGCCTCACCTCGTGGCCTCGGCCAAGAGACACAACTCGTCGTCCTCGCTCCCGCATTCGTCGTCCGGCACCCCGGGCGGCCGCATCATCTACGTGTCGGCGACCATCCACTACACGGGCCTGCCGATGCAGACCCACGTCGCCGTCGCAAAGGCCGGCATCGACGCCCTCTCGGCCAACGTGGCCATCGAGTACGGCCCGCTGGGCGTCACCAGCAACATCATCGCCCCCGGCCCCATCGCGGGCACCGAGGGCATGGACAGGCTGTCCAAGGAACACAAGTCGGGGGGTTCCAAGACGAGCAAGCGCATCCCGTTGGGCAGGTGGGGCCTGATCAAGGAGATCGCGGACGCCACCGTCTTCCTGTTCAGCGACACGGGCAACTACATCACCGGCGACAACCTGGTGGTCGACGGCGGGGCGTGGCGCACCTCCGGAGGCACCCCCGGCGGCGACTTTGTCTATCCCGACTTCATCCTCTCCGGGGCGGAGGTTACCGGGGTGGCGGGCAGCAAAAAGAAGAAGGCGACGCCCGCTTCTAAACTATAGACGACTATATAAGAGGACGCCTCCCACACGCCCGAGGTTTGCTTTTTTTTGGTATGCACGAGTTACGGAGTTCCAAACGAAAGCGTTTTGATTATATACCTATCTACGAAAGAATTGAAGGCGCTTACACCCTTTGATCTGTCCCTCAACGCTCAATATTTCTACTTCTTTTTCCCCCGACGAGCGAACGCTCGTCTTGATGAGGGTGTACTCTGTATTTACTACTGGCTATGAGATGTTCCTGCCTTTGCTTCGAGTTACGGAGTATTCTCCCAGCACGTCTCCGGTTTGGACTGCATATGAGAGACTCATACCTCATCCCCTCGTTGTCCGACATCACAAATCGCCTTCCCTACGTCCCTTGGCTCGTTTTCACGTTCCATCGTAACTTCTCTCTCTCTCTCTCTCTCTCTCTCTCTCTCTCTCCACATCATGCAAGGCCATACCGTTGTCGCACCAGTCTCACAAATATACACAAGCCGTCTTTCGGCTTATGGCTCAAGCTCAAAGCCCCTTTCGTTGCAACGCATCAAGACCTCCTTTTCCGTCCATTCAATCTATTCAGATCAACATCCTCTACATGCTCAACTTCTGGGCCATCCTGTTGTTGCACTTCCTCGGAAGGTAGCCTAGTCCACGTTCCTGGCGCCGCCTGCCACAGGTCATGATCATATTCATGGCTGGGTCCTGCGTCGTGAGGCAGATTTCCATAATCGTCATCAGTTTCCCACCAAGATAGACGAGCCTCGTCAGACTGATCTTGACCTGGCTCCGATTGCAGTCCCAGTCTCTAACTGTTTTGCCAATTCTCAATACTTGTCGCATCGGGAGTTATCCATTGAGGCTGCGGTGCTGGGACCTGACCTTGTGTTTGGACGCCGCTTTGATCAAGACCTATTCCAACTGTACCATTGGCAGAGCCATAGTTGCTTCCGCCATTGACACCGATAGCTTCCTCGCCGAATGCAACATCTTCTGTACCATCGCCAATCCGTACGCCCGCCAAGCCCCATCCTATGGCATCGAGTTCACGACGGAAAAAGTCGCGTTCTTCGTCGTCAATCTCTTGGCCGCCTTCGTATTCATCTGAAGCAACTTCATCGTCGTCCTCAGTGGCCTTGGATTTGCCCTTGCCTTTTGGCACTGTACCACGCTTACCCTTCCTCGTGATGCCAGGATACATACGTCTTTGCCACCAAAATGTCAAACCTCTGAGTGCCCATTCCAGCGGCACAGCCTCATCGACCTCGCCTTCGACACTAGCATCATGCATGCCTGCGAGCCATTCATCCCTCAACTCCGGTCGGCAGTGGAGATAGATCGCCGTGATGACACGCATGTTGCTTTGTCTCCATTTCCGGCCGCAGTAAGGAACTTGCGACTTGAACAATTTCAGGACGTACAGGCGCAACGTCGGATCGGGTACACGGAGGATTCGCCTCAAAATCTGAGAGGATTTGAACGTTACAAGGAATAGAATTCGATGAGACTTGCTGCGTGTGAGCTTTTGCAGTATGCGAAGAAGATGGATGGCAGTCTGGAACTGGCGAAATGAATAGACAGTGATTGGTTGCGAGGGAACGGGTCCCAGGGGGTTGCCGAGTTCGTCGACCGATGGACGATTCTGTGCGTCCAGCCCCTGAGACAGATCTTGTTCTCCAAATTGACCATCGGGCCTTGAGATCGGCGATTTTCGGTGGCGAGGGATTGACGGTGGGATAGCCTCATCTATGCTAGAAGCCTCTGACCTTTCACCGGGACTGGTAGGAGACAGTGGCGGATGGTCAGAATGTGCGTGACAATAGTGCCACACGCTGAGATCCTCTCGGTCATATTTGAACGCCACAAGGTCTTCCAGGTTCTGATGGGCGAAGTACTTCAGGGTTAGCTGGATGTAATTGGAGTCCAACAACAGTTGTGTCATGTACTCAAACTTCAAAATATGAGACACCTTCAGCCACTTTAATAGTAAGAAGATTGCTCCAGAAACGGCCTTCTGGCTGATTTCTCGAGATCTGACGTTATCAAGATCCTCCAAGGTCATCTCTGCCGGGCGTGGCGGAGGCGGCGGCATGGGGAGGCCTTGAGTCTGAGCCATGTTAGAATTCGATTTGGAGCGACTGAGTCCACCGGTCTGGGACGGATCTTGAAGACCACCATTTCGAACTGCAATATCTTGGACATTGGTGAGCATGACTTTCATCATAACTATGACTAGAGATTGGAGGTCAGGCAGAGCTTGTTGGAAAAATTCTTCGACAGCCTCCATGCGAGCCCGAAGGTCGGGATCTAGACTGTTGAGTTCATTTTCTTCCTGTGAATCTTCGCTGCACGCATCGGATGCACCAAATTTGTCAGCACGCCAGCCTCTTTCATATTTCATAAAGAGATCTCGTTCCTTCCATAACTGGCGCATGGCTCTCGTCATCCTCATTCGACTGGCAAACAACTCTCCGGCTTCAATGATTGACAGAGGGATGTCGCTGCCTTCCCACTGCTTCCCTACCATCGAATCTTGCACCTCCGTCGATCCCTTGCCGCCGATTGTGTTGCTGGAGCTGTCGAGTGGGGGGTAAAGGAAAGGGAAATTCTGATTCGTCTGATAGTTCTGCTTTTTACCTGCCTTGCCGCCTGGTCCGATGGGTGAAGGAGGTGGTGAAGGAGCTGGTGTAGCAATATGGACCGGCTGATGGAATATTGAGCCACGCGTAGCATTGCCGGTTTGGGAATAGGCTTGAGCGGCAGAGTCAGGTCGGCTTTGTTGTGGCAACGGTGGGAGCATGGTTTTCTGCTCCGTCTCGAGCGGAATCAAGGGCAATGGGGGGTTGTACGCAGGATACTTCGAGGTGATCTCCTGTCGAAATTGATGGTAGTCTAGGGGAGAAGCCGTCAGAACGGGGTGTGCAGCGTCAGCGGAGAACGGATCGACTCGTGGCTGTAGAATGCTTTTAATCCTTTCCAAATGTTGTGTCAGGTCCCCGAACAATACAAGTATCGACTTCCAGAATAGTTGTAATGCATGCATGAGAGGTATGTTGTATGATTCATCCCATCTCAGCCGTGAAATGATGCTGGTAAGGAAGACAAGGAGATTGGGTTCTAGAGAAGCAATCGATTGTCGTAACTCTTGCCCGGCAGTATCGTTGATTCTTACCCTGGCCGATTCGACGAGAAGATAGAAAGCTGAGAGACAGAGGCTGAGTTCTCTATAGTCAGCCTCTCCAAAGGCTCCTTCACCAAGATCGTCGGCATCGTCCAGCTGTGCACGCCACTCATCAGGAGCTTGTGCGGCTTTGATCAGGCACGTGTAGAGATATGATATGATCCCACTCTGGAGAACCTCGTCCGCCCCTTTGTGCATCCAATGCACTTGAACAAAATTAGGTCGCTCATCCTCGGGTTTAGACAGCTCTTCATTCTCTTTGCTGGGGCGCTTCGGTTCTAGACCAGATGTCACGCTCCAAACACCAGTCAGAATGTAGAATACACAGCATAGAGCATCAATGCGAGAGGGATAAGATGTCTGTGCCAAATCCTTGCGGATTTCCGACAGGAAAAGCTGACGCTCATCTGGGCTCACTGTAATCCATGTTGAGTCATCAGGGATTTCCTGTTCTTGGCAGAACTGTTTCCATCGCTGCTCGAATGATTCTCGCGATACCAGAAGATAGTCCCGGTCCTGTTCTAGCTCCGTGTAGTGAAACCATTCGTCGACTTCTGGCTCGTAGTCTTCGGCATCACTATATTGAAAAGCGTACGCTTGCTGCTCGATCTTCGGGAACTGGCTTACCAATTGCCGTAGCTGTGGTAAGCTGAGAGAATCAGTAGGATCTGTTTGTGTTGGAGGAGCAGGAGGCGGCTGCGAAGGTGGTGGAGGTGGTGGTGCTGAACCTTCACGTCTTAGAGCTGGACGAGGTGGAGCCTTTGGTCTACTTCCTGGAGGTATTGTATCGGAAGGGCTCAGCGCACTCAAGGGGAGATCTTTACTGGGCGATAATATGGTGGTTCCAGCGTCGACCTCATCTGCTCTGACGAATAAGTGTTGACCTTGCGAAAGTTCTTGGCCCGGGTGATCGGAGGCCATGGATACAGTCGATATTTGTTCAAGAGCAGCCAGACATAATAGGTGACATCCCAAACTCCATGGACATTATAAAGCGAGAGTCCAGTGCATGTCAGTATCGTATGAGGCTAGAAGGCGTAGAAAGATGTTAAACAGGGCGATATTGCACGAAAGGGGAGTGAGAATGAGTGAGAGAAGCGCGATCATTTCGAGGCCAGAATGAACTTCGCCAAGCGCCTTCCTCATTGGTCATAATCAAACCACAATTCACCAGTAAATAAGAATACACATCTACATTGCTTCACTCTGACTAACAGGAATACTCTTGTCTAAGATAGGATATTCATCTAGGTGAATAGGTAGACACTTTAGTTGGCTGACGGAAGAAACCATGGAATCGACGAGTTTATTGCTCTAGCTGCCATCTCCGGTTCGATATCCTGGTTCCTCTCAGACGGTGGTCTCTCTCCAGGCCAGGTCTAATCTAAGTTCTTCTCTTCTCTGATAGCACATTCTTGGGACATGTGCTCGTGTTGGATTGCCCTTGCACACTGTAGGGCACACCGTCAGGTGCAGTTCTTTGATCTATCGTCCAACCTCCCTGAGTCCCCGTTCTTATCGAAAGCGAACAATGACTTCAGTTCACATGTTCATCAAAGTGTGGCGGGAATCTTGGATGAGAGGGTTGGCACTGATGACCTCAGCACCCATGTATGCCATATCACAACTGAATCAGCTATTGCTGATTGACCATGTCAAGTTGACATAAATTGAATAGTTTGTGTGGTGATATTCCCAGTGCGGTCACGCTCCCAATGTGGTCACGCTCCCAATGTGGTCATTGGCTTTTTGAGAACACGTTGGTGCCTGCAAATTCATAATCTGAGCTGTCGAAGAGACCACACAGTCCCACTGAAGCCATCGCTGTGAGACAACATAACGCTTGAGTTTGAAGGCTGGGCGGAATGTGAAGGCATGGCTCAATATAGCTTCAGCCCATCTCTCTTTCTTGATCCTGCGTGGCATCATCCTTGATGACCAAATCTTGTGTACCTTGATCGGCTCTTTCCACAAATTCCCGTGCTCGACTCAAGAGTTCCCGTTTCATCCCAGCTCCTACCTTATCGCTAGCTCTTGCATTCAACCAGCTTGGGTCTAGAGGACCCCCTCCAACTTTGGTCAGACTGCTATCGCCTCCGATCGCTCGGCCTCTTCTGCTGTCTCTTTCGTCGCCTGGTCTTATGAGGTTGGCTTCTTCCAATGCGTAGACTTGCCGGCGGAGTCGAACTTCGATGGAAGAGAGGGTTGAGAAATATGTGTCTGCAGCAGTGGTGAAAGCAGAGCGAGCCGCCTCGGGGTTCTGAAGAGCTTTTGCCTGTGCCTCAGAAGTAGGCTGATTCGAGAGGATACCGATTGCTTCAGAGGCAGCAGATAGTAACGTTGCGATGGACGTATCGATCTCGTTCAATTCTGCGATACGATCAGCTGGGCTGAATCTGGACGCCTCGGCTGGAGCAGGCGCATCAAGGTCCATTTCTATGCCATGCCGTACAACCAAAAGCTCCTGTGCAGATGCGAGCATAACATGTCGCAGGGTCAAGTGAGTTCAACTTCATTGGGTAGAACAATCATTTCGTGTGAGGCAGGTTACCCGATACATTTGGCCTAAAGAGGGTTAGCGTGATCTAGAACATATCAGACTTGGCAGTTGAAGATGTTCCGTGTCTGAACTTGTTCACTTCTTTGAGACATCATCAATGTCTTCATCACATCTTCTTTGTCGCATCCATAACGTTTGAATCTTCCCAATGGTACAGTAGCACCGAAAAATTCCTCAGCCAGTGCATGAAAGCGCGGCGACAATGTCCGGGCAGACCGCGCCCAGCCCAGGGCCGAGAAGCGCGAGTACAGGACCAAATGGGCCGTTGGCGACTCCGACTTCTGCACCTCTGGTAAATGGAGTTGCAAACGCTCCAGTCTCTGGTACATCTGCCCCTGTAGCCGCACCGTCAGGTGGTGGAGGTGGTGGTATGAGCCAACAGAATCTCAACCAGATTGTAAGCATTGTCCCTTGCGGTTTGTTGCCTGTTTTGTTGTTATGGTTCAGAACCCGAGGGTAGGATGAGCCCCTAGCTCTCTGGAACCTTCTTTCGCGTTTTGTTCATTGAATTTAAGCGGCTGCTTTGTAGTGAAGTTGAACATGCGCTCGGCGCGGCGCGTTTTCCGCTCACTCCGATTTATCCCAACATGATCAATAAAAACCAAATTACACCTGCGATGTCAATGTGACTATCTGATTGCACCCATCATGGAGAAAATGGAAGGAGCCGACATGACTGACCCTCAACAGGTTATCGATTACTTAGCGAAGAAAGGTTACCACAGAACTGAAGCCACACTGCGAGCCGAATCATCAAATCAAGAGATTCCCAAGGATGGCGATATCAGTCCAGCTCCAAAAGGCCCACCCCGTTACTACGAGATGTTTGCGCGCCTACGAGCTTGGACGGACGACGCTCTCGATATCTACAAGCCCGAGGTCAAGCGTCTTCTCTGGCCGATGTTCGTCTACTCGTATCTCAGCCTGGTGAAACAATTCTACACCAAAGACGCGAAAATGTTGTTCCAAAAGTTCTCCGAAGATTTCAGGAAGGAACACGAGTACGACCTCCGTAGCATCGAGAAAATCACCCTCCCCGAGCATGGCGAAGACAAAACAGCCAAACTCTACCGCGACAACAAATACCGCCTCTCCCTTAGCAACTCCACCTTCATCTACTTCATGCAGTTCCTCGAAAGTCTCCCCCAAGCTGGATTCAGACTTTTCATTGAAATTGTCGAGAAACATTTGGACCTCCGCCAAGTCGAACGTGCTGCCGATGACCGCTACAGCTTCGCATCCATCATTCAACGCGGAATCGATGGTCAAGACATGCCTGCTGAGGATGAGGGTATTCCAGGTCACCGTCCGGGCAATGCCATATCATCCACAGACCCGACTGTCGGTAATAACCTCGCGACGTTGAAACTGGGCAAACTACCATTGGATAAGGAAGTTGAGGAAGACGTTCGAGGCGATTTGATGGACCTCGATCTTGCGGTACCCCCTCGTGCTGATCAACCGTCGCTCGTTCAGGTCCATGAGCAGATCAACATCAAACAAGAAGACGAAGATGAAGGACCGACACGCGCCGAGATCCCCTTCCCGCCTTCCACGGCCCGTGACGTCGCCCTTGAAGTTCAAAAGATCCGCGAAAATCGAGACCGAGTCAAGATCGAGTCCCGCACGGGCGGCATCGGCCCTGGCGTCAGCGTCGTCATGTACACTTTCCACAACACGCACGATGGTATATGCTGTCTCGACTTCAGCGGCGACAACAACCTTGTTGCGGCGGGTTTCCATGACAGCTACATCCGTGTCTGGACCTTGGATGGCAGCCCCCTGGGACAGCCCGTCAACGGCCAACCGCAGAATTCTCAGCGCCTCGTCGGCCATTCCGGACCCGTGTACGCCGTGTCTTTTTCACCGTCCAGCTGGAAGCCGACCCCAGACTCTGGCTCTACCGATGCGAAGTGGCTGCTTTCGTCCAGCGCAGACGGCAGCATCCGTCTTTGGAGTATAGACGCCTTTGCCTGTGTCGTCGTCTACAAGGGACACGTGGGACCGGTTTGGAGCGTGACTTGGGGTCCGTTCGGACACTATTTCGCGAGCGCAGGCCACGACAAGACGGCACGGATCTGGATGACCGACCACATTCGCAATGTCCGCTTCCTCGCGGGGCATGACGACGACGTCGACGTGGTAGCTTGGCACCCCAACAGCAGCTACGTCTTTACCGCGTCGAGTGACAAGACGGTACGCATGTGGGCGCTGAACAACGGCAACCCCGTACGAATGTTCACGGGTCACACGTCGATGATCACGGCACTGTCGTGCTCACGCAACGGCAAGATCTTGGCCAGCGCGGACGACACGGGTGTGATCTTACTCTGGGATCTGGGTCCGGGAAGATTGCTCAAGAAGATGCGAGGACACGGCAAGGGTGGCATCTGGAGCCTGAGCTGGAGTGCCGAGTCGACGGTGCTGGTGTCCGGCGGTGCGGATTGCACGGTGCGCACGTGGGACGTGACCGGCCCTGCGAAAGAGGCTGCGGCGACCGCGGCGAAGACAGACGGTGCTGCCGGCGTCGGCCCAGGGGGCAAGGCCGACGGCGGTGCCGGAGGAGGCGCTGCCGGCGGTGGTACGGGCGGCGCAGGTGCACCCGCATCGAACATCAACCTCACGGCCGGCACCGCCGGTGGAGCCCCAGGAGTAGGACCGAGCGTGCACAAGAAACGAGGCAAAGACGCCGTCGTCACCAGCGACCAAATCAGCGCTTTCCTGACCAAGCAGAGCCCCGTGTATCATGTCAAGTTCACCAATATGAATCTTGTCATTGCCGGTGGCGCTTATCTGCCGGAGCAGAGCAAGTGAAGCCCGAATCAATGAACCAGGATTCTCCACGCGCGTCAGGCAGCGAACGACGGACCTCGTTCTATCGGAGTAGTTCAGAGGCGATGAGAGCCCGGTCTATTTTCCCATGGCGACAACAATCGGATTGGTGATCATTCAACTTTGGGGATGGGATTGGATGACAATGTATGTGTATTTCACCGGAGCTGAAGGGGAGAAAATGGAAAACGAACAAAAGGAATGGCGCGTCTTTCCAGGGAAAACTCCAAGGCGAGGTTCACAATGGGCTTGTATTGGGACGAGAGTTATTACCCGGGCCACGACTAGACGGACCGACAGTGCACCGTGGCTCTGCCTTTTTTGCATGTCTCCTCCAGAGATATTAGGTCAGGTATTCAGATACCCTTGGGTCTGGCAGAAAATACCAATCTTGAATTATTCATGACTTGTGCTCTCGGCATTGACTCGTTTGGTTTTCTTTCCCATGTCCTTCAACTACATTTGGAACAATGATCTAAAAAGGTACTACCATAACGAGTACTAACAACGATAGTATTATTGCCATGTTTAAGTCTATGGTTTCTTGCCTCCCATGCCTAGAGCTATTAACGACTGGTCATGTAAAAGCACTGGCAATCTTACTCCTCGCCCTGATCTTGGGACCGTTGAAGTAGAGGACCCACGGCACGAGGGTCAACAGGGCACCGATGCCGCCGAGTAACCCGCTGGCGGCCTGGAAGCCCAGGTTGCGGTACATCTGTTTGGTCACGAGCGGGAACGACCCGCCCAGCAAATTCCGACACAGTCCCGACGCGGCCAGGGCCGAGCTGGCGTAGATGTGGTAGACATCGGCCGTGTAGTTGAAGGTGGCAAGGAAGATGCTGAAGATGCCCATGGTGGCGATGGAGACGCCTATCGTGGGGACCACCCAGTGGATGGACGGGTAGCAGGTAAACCCAAACCAGAAAATCCCAATGGGCATCAGGGCCGACTCGACACAGGCGAAGGCCAATCGACCCTCGGGGGACCCGTTGATCTTGACCGGGTAATGTTTGACGGCGTAGTTTTCCTGGCAGATGGAGAGGAGCGTGGAGAGGATGGCACCGACGCAGATGGAGGTGAAGATGGCGCCGGTCTGTTCCAACGAGAATCCGTGGTTGACCTCGTACACCAAGGGGATCGAGCCAAACTGCAGATACAGAATGGCCCAGGAAAACCCAACCCACAAACTAAAAAAGAAGACCACGGGTTCGGTGAAGAGCATGTGGATCGGTCGGTACAGGGACACGGCGATCATGCGGCCTATCGAGGATCTTTCTTCGTCGGCCTTGACTTTCCACCTGATGCGGCGCGCTTTTTGTGTGTCTTCTCTCTTGTCGCGGTCAAAAACTTGAGATTCCATACCGAGAGCGCCGGCCTGTTCCAACTCTTCGTACCACTTGTTGAGGATCTTGGCCTTGCGACTTAGGATGATGGTTCCACGAGTCTCTCGGAAGAAAATCGTGACAAGAGACACCAAAGTGCCACTGGTGATGACTTGGATCCAGAACACCCATCGCCAGGATAGATGCTGTGCCACAAAACCACTCACCAGTGGGCCAAGGCCTGTGCAATGGTCAGCCCTCCATCACACCAAGGGCTCTGTAGTACTCAGAGTCTAGACTTACCTGTACCGAGTAGAGTTGCGCCGGTGAAAAGAACCATAGGAGTATTCCTCTCGGCTGTGATCCATACGTCCGCGAGGATACCTCCGACCATGGTGGAAAAGGTTGCTAAAAACAAAGATGTATCAGCAGGGCACATACGAGTGCACAAAAGAATGATCACTCACAGCCTCCAACACCGAGGAAGAAACGAGCAGCAAGCATGCCACCGTAGGATTCGGTCACAGCACAACACAGTTGACATACTACAGTACCTCGGTCAGAGACTGGTTTGCTATCGGGTGTCGAAAAAGTTACACTTACTGACAAAGAGTGCACCGGTCGCAATGAAAACTGGCCTCCTGCCATTGATCTCTGAAAAAGGAGCCAGGACCATCGGGGCAAACCCAAAACCGCAGGTGAAGACGGTGATGCCAACGTTATATGCTACTTCTGACACACCCCATTTCTCCGTCAGTTGGAAAGCGGGTGAAGCATACGACCCTGCTGAATACGCAGCTGCGATATTGGCGGAGCATGAGAGCCATGTCATCCAGTTCTTCCTGGTCCTGGACCACGAAAATGGGTTGTCGTAGTGGCGTAGATCTGGAAGTGGCGGACGATCGACTTCGACTCCTGGAGCAAATGCTGGGGTCAGAGGTATGTCCGATTCGAAGGTCAGGTAGAGGTATTCAATCTCTTCCTGCCCTGAACTGGGGTCTGCTACTGTATATGGATGGTCGTGAATGGGAACATTTTGGAGCTCCTCTTGGTAGGGGGTTGGGACTACCACTTGCTGGTCCAAAGATCCTTCATCCTGAGTCGTGTCATGCTCATTGAGCATGGCCAGGGCAAAGAAGATCAAAGAAAACGAAAGCCCGCAGGTGATTGAACACTAGCTATTTCTCCTTCAGGCTCTCAAGGACACAAGGATGTGGCAGCCGCCATATATGTACATAGATGTAAAACATGCAAGAAGTCTGAATGACGGGACAGAAAGCAAAGAATGCTAGCCTCGGACGCAGATGTGCGTGTGGGTAAATGGTCGTGCTTGGTCGATGACTCGCTGGGACGAAGGCCGATCTGTGAGGGTCAACTCTTCTCGATGCCGGAGGGTCGTTTCCTTCCCCGTCAGCAATAGCCGTTTCCCCGAATTGGGGCTCTTGACCGATGCATTACCGAATACGCATCTACTATAGGTAATCAATATTGGCAGATCTCTTGTGTTCTGCGTGTCCTGCTGCAAGATGGAGTGAGACCTGAAGGCGGATGGCTGTTGGAACGGGTGAATTCCGCGGCGTCGTGATCCGCTTGTAGCCAGCACATGTAGGTAAATTGCGCCGAGTCAGCTTCACACATTATCAAAGTTGTTCTAGAGCTTTTTCGTCTCGATGAAGTGCCTTTCAGTGACGGATAGACGCATTCTCGAGCCCCATGTGAGTTGTTAGAGATGAAGGAAAGTATGAGACTTTGGAAGGGAGAATCTACTCCGTACGTCAATCATATCTGCCTTCACGGAACGGAATAACTTGTACTTCCGCAGCCCTCACGAGTATGGACAGAGATAGATGATCGATAGTTGACTTCTGACGCCCTTCTAAACCTCACAGTCCTATCCTTGCAATACTGATGATCTTACACAGTCAAGTCTCATGGTCAGTGTCATTCTGATGGCATGAGCCACCAAGTCGGCTTCGGCACCAGCAATGTTTTCAGATACATGATGTAACTTGCAACACTCCCTTGTAACCGTCATGATTCATACATGAACATGACCATGACTCTGACTACGATTCCGCCGGGCCTGGAATTGCCCTTTTGGCTAATCAGGACGAGATTGTTCCTGGGCTGCAACTTCTCGGTTTCTGTTTCCAATATCAACTGCTCAGATTCCTCCACACCATCGCAGGATTAGTAGTAGCGACTATTAAGGAGACCTTGCGCGAACGAGCAGCTTCTTCGTTCAACATGGGTTTACCAGATCAAAAGTCAAGCAAGGAGATGATGAAGAATAAGAATGGTAGGCAATCAGCTGTGACTATTCCTCTTCACCACGACTAACTTCGTCAAGTGGCTGGAGGACCTTTAGCCCAACTCACACAAGATTACCCTGTTGGACACTACAGGGACGGTTACTGTAGAAGCGGTTCCGACGATTCTGGGAATCATTCGGTGGGCGCCACCGTGAACAAAGAGTTTCTTGATTTTACAAATTCAAAGGGGAACAATCTGGAAAAGGCGGGCGTCAAGGATGGAATGAAATGGTGTTTATGTGCGAGTCGATGGAAAGAAGCATTTGATGCGGCGCAAAAAGGGCAACTCGCGCAGTCTGCCGTACCCAAGGTGCATCTTCACGCCTCGCATGATAGAGCGCTCGAGGTTCTCCAGTACAGTGACCTGCGCAAGTATTCGCAGGGCGGTGAATTACCTGCAGGCCAGAACAGAAACCGCCAGGCCGATTATCATTCTCCCGAAAAGCCTGGAGGAGTTGCGAAGGAGAGCAGTGAGATAAGAGGTCAATCAGAGACGACAGGAGGGTCGTGGCCACGGTTGGATCCCAAGAACAATAAGAACAGCAAGAGTGAAGTGAAAAGATATGATAAATGATGGTACAGATATTAGATACAGAATAGAAGCAGTGGAATCGTGTTGGTCGTGGTGGTGACTGATGGTACTTTCGCATGCTGTTCATATGCTTCGCTGGAATACAAAATATAGCCGAGGATGTGGGAAGCCGCAGTCTTCAGTCTCTGGTCTTCAGAACCTCCCATCAACTTGTCAAATGCCTTCCGGTAGTAATCAGAGGGACACTCTTTACAACCCCCTACACTTCGACGCCACCCATGTCTCTTTAACAACCTCCTCCCTGTCCTCTTCTTCATCTCTATCCACGCAATCAGATATTCACCTCACACGATCTTCTCCGCATAATCTCCCCGGCACAGGCCCATCTATGACACCGTCTCCTTGATACGCATCCCACCCTCGAGGGGGATATTTCCGCCTATACCTCACTTACTCAAGCAATCTAGTCCACGGTGTTACTGAAGTCATGTCTGACTCTGTCGGTATGCTGCTGCCCTCCGCTGACCTTTCCTCTTCTCTATCTCACACTTAGGCCCACCAGATCGCGTGTTTGTGCATGCTCTAGCGACCGTCCGCCGGCTGCCACGAACAGGATCGTCGAGGCCTCCACCCTCGGCGCGCCTTCAACTCTATGGACTCTACAAACAGTCCATGGAGGGGGACGTCGAGTCGATTCTTCCTCGTCCCACCTTACCCACCGTATCGCCAGACCCCAACAATTCGAGGTCGAATAACGTCCATCGCTATGCTTCGCGCGATCTACGCATCCGAGAAGCTGAGGCCGAGATCGAGAAATGGGATGCATGGCACAGCTGTGCAGGGATGTCCCGGACAGAAGCCAAGAGACGCTACATCAGCACATTAATTGAGACGATGAAGGAATATGCAAGCGGAACGCAGGAGGCACGTGAGCTTGTGGCCGAACTTGAGTTCGTATGGAACCAGATAAAGAGCCAAACCGGGAGTTCGGAGGACGAGGACGCCGACTCGCCCACGCGACGACTGGAAAGGGCTGGCCTCAAACAGACCCAAAGCTTTGGCAGTGAACCCCCAAGTCAGGGTAGTAGATCTGGTCGACCAAGCCAAGCCCTCGGGCGATTACAGTCCGATCCGAATCACCTGCGAGTCTTGTCGCCGGTGTCACAGGGTGATAGTGATGGGGTTGTGGAAGGCGAAGAGATTGATCCCGAGACAGGTGCGCTTGTTGGGCCCGTCAGATCAGAACAGTCACCTGTTCCTGCGTCTGAATGGAGAAAAAGTATCGAGGAACATCTGAGGCATTTGTCAACCGAGGTGGCCGCATTGCGCGAACAGTTATCAGCAAACCATTTACTTTCGTCCCAGTCCTTTTCTCCGTCTCTAACCTCCAGACGACGGAGAATCTTCTACAGAGTCTCTGCCTGGGCCAAATGGTTGACCTGGGTTTTGGTGAGACAATTGATCTTGGATGCAGGACTAGTGCTAGCCTTCATCCTATGGGCTCGATGGAAGGGGTATAAGGAACGCAGAGTCGAAGATTGGGCAAGACGACGGTGGAACGAGCTTCGTAGAGGGTTCGCAATCCTTGACACATGGCTCAAAAGAACATTTCCCCTGCCGACAAACCGAATACCAGGAATTTCCAAGGGCTAAGAATGTCTCGGGTGCCACGAACTCTTTTGCGAATTGTTATGTGGTCATACACTTCGCCCCAGGACCGACAAAGATGTAAGCGCCATCAATCAGGGTCATGGCATGCACAATCATCATTTAGCGAGTCACGGCCAGTACATGGTCAAGGCCGTCCGTCTCACGCGGGGGTCCCGTATCACAGCTGCCGTATTGACTGAAAGTCGACGACTGGTGCAACAGAGCCAGAGCTTGATTCCAGCTCCGAGACATATCTCAAAACTTCAGCATGGCTATATTTTCATACTTTACACAACCTTGATCTGGACTACCTTCTCAGCCATGCGATGTGACAGTTAATTCTGTTTCTCAACAAAAGTACCGATGTTGGTCTTCGACGTCGACCCCAAGAAGATCAATGGACTCAAATACGATGATATGAGTGTTCGCATTGCGATGGATTTCTTTGTTCTGGATCTAGTACCTTACGACAAAAAGGTCTCAATCTCGGGATACATTTTTCGTTTTTGTTTTTGTCCTCGTTTTTGTCCTTGTATAGCATAGATATGCAGATGTCAGTATTGAGCTGATCCGAGATGAGTTTGGCCTAGCTGAGAAAAAGAAGCCACCAGACATTTTTAATTGCCATGTTGGTTGGATATGGATAGATGATCATGACGACGAACGATGATGATGTTCTGGAAAACTGCCTTCTTTACTTCTTTATACTATCTGCTTCTGCCTCTGACCCTACCCTTGGAGATGCTAATATAAACAACCACACGTAGATCGATAGAGCCTCGACGGGAATATATTGAGACTGGTCTGAATGGTTCTGATTGTTCTGACTATTGACAGGGGTTTTCCATGTTCTAGCCAAAGGGAAAGCCATTTTTCGATTTTCAGAGCGCCTTCTCCAGATCCAAGATCAAAAGCACACAGAGAGGAGTGAACAATGACTCTATGTTGATTCGTCCTCGTCATCGCTATCAATCACACGTCGGGCCCTGCTCAGTTTGCTGTTGTTAGATACTGGTGGTTGTTTCCACTTGCGGCCCGCCTTTTGTGATGCCGCCACGACAGCAGCAGAAGTGGCAGAGGTCGTCGCCTGGCCCCCGCTCTTCCCGTTCCCAAACAGAGATGCGAGTTCGGGCAACTCTTCCTCCCCGCCGGCGTCGTCGAAGCCCACAGATTCTTGCGAGATCCAAAAGGGCTTGGTCAGAGCCACGGGTGACGGTTCCGGCGGAGAAAGGTCTCGATCGCTTGATTCGGCGCCTGGGCCGGACTGAGCCAAACTGCCGTCGTCGATGAAGCTGTCTTGATCATAATCATCATCTTCTCCGTCACCACCACCGCCGCCGCCGTCATAATCGTACTGACCGAGTGGTCCGTTCGTCGCCAAGGAGGGCCGCAAGGGCGAAGAAGAGCGTGTTGAGCGCTCGACCGCCCGGCGAATCGTATCCTTCCGCCGACGAGTGGTGGCACCGGCAGCGGCGGACCTCTTGTCTGTGTCTCCATCCAGCCTCTCATCCTCCCACGGCGGTTCCCAGTCTCGAAGTGGATCGTGCATGGCCTTGAAAGCCTTCACGAGCGTCTCGGTGGCCCTGGAATGCTTGACAACCATTGTCCTGCCCAGTCGTTGCTGCTGTCGGGGAAACGCATCGAACCTCACGTGTTGGATGTACTGGTCCTCGGCGGTGCCAGTCAACTTGACGTACCGGTCGTCCAGCTGCTCTTCTTCCGTCGTAGTCAACAGTACCGTCTCGAGAGACGGCAACGACGCCACGGCCCTGTCCGTTCTAGAGCGAATCGTCTTTGTTTTGGCCTCCTCCTTTTGCACGTGCTGCTTCGCCTTCTTTCCTTTGCCGAGGAACGTGAATCCAGTCTCGACTCCGTCTGGCATGTGAAACTTCTTTGCTGGTTTTTTGGGGTTCTTCGCTCTACGTCTCTTCTTCGGCTCCAATGAACCGGGTTGTGTGTTCTCGATCGGAATCTCCACGACGCGCTTATCCACAGAGGGTACAATCTCTCTGGGGATGATTCTGGGAGACAGATCTTCGTGGTACTGGAACTCTCTGCCGCTCTCGATCTTTTCCTGCATCTTTTGGTAATTGTCCTTGGCCGCGAAAAAGTCGTGCTCTTCCTTGCCGCGCATCAACAGGAGTACGATGTTGCCCGCCCTTTTCCTTCCCGTCCGGCCCATGCGCTGCAACATCCTGATGGGTGACTTGGAGCAATCGTAGCAGACGATCAGGTCGACCTCGCCGATGTCCAAGCCTTCCTCGCCGATGGAGGTGGCGACGATGGTGTTGTAGGTGCCAGCCTTGAACTTTTTGATGATGTCGAGCTGGGTCTTCTGGTCCATGCCTTCGGACCCCTTGGTGCCAGATTGCCCGACGAAGACGTGGGCTCGGATCATCGGGCCGTGCCTGTTCAGGACGCGAGTGATTTCTTCGGCGCTGTCGCGGTAGTGCGCGAAGATCATGATGCGGGTGTTTGCCGGTTGAGACGTGTTTCCTCCGCCCCTACCCTCCCCGGCATCCAGAAAGTGGTTCAACACCACCTCCTTCAGGTACGAAAGCTTCGGGTGGCCGATGAAGTTGGGGTCGTTGATCCAGATTTGCAGGCGGGACATCAGCTTCTTGAAATTCTCGTCGTCGGTGATTTGCTTTGCGTATTTTCCCTTTCCCGTCTCACCGCTGGCGAAGAGTTTCATCTTGTGGTAAAAGGGGCCGATCCCGTGGTACTTGAGGAGTTCCAAGCTATGCGCCAAGCTCATGACCACGGCGAAGATGGCCGAGACCATGCCCTTGATGCCCTGGGACGCTCTCCTTCCGGCCTCGGAGACCCTCCATTTATCCTGTGCCATTTTCAGACCGTACAGCGTGATCTTTTCGGGATCTTTACCCCAGTAGGCATTCTGGCTGTTGAGTTTGTTCATCAGAGGTTGGATGGCGGACGAAAACAGTTCCAGGCACATGCTCATCTCGTCGGAGTTTTCGAAAACCTGGGTCTCGACATTTCTGGCGTGCACAAAGTCTCGAATGTCGAGAGACTCTTCTGTCCTGATCTCGGTTCTGGCGATTCCAAGACCATCGATCACTTCTTGGACCGCCTCCACCGTGGCCCCCGGTGTGGCGGTCAGGGCCAGTACTCGGAAACTCATGTTGAACCTCCGCAAGAACTTGACCACTTCGACGTAGGCATAGTTGCCCGTGGCCTTGTGTGCTTCGTCGACTACGACCAGAACAATCTTCTTCGGGTCCGCCATGCCGTTTTTCAGGTCGTTGATCAAAGTTTGAGGTGTCATGAAAAACACCCGCTTCTCCTGCCATTCCTCCGCTCGTATGCCCGGGGACACTTCCCCTGTCAGCATGGTGGTCTCTGAACGAGGGATGCCCGCAATGTTGAAACAGGCATCGATTTGTTGGGACACTAGAGGTTTGGTGGGTGCGACAAAGATTATCTGTGCATCTCTGGTCCACCTGAACCAATTCAGCATGACCGTGGCGGCGATGAAAGTTTTACCCAAACCGGTCGGGAGGGCAACAAGTAAATTGTGAAAGAGGCCTTTGTGCACGATGTTGTACTGGTAATCTCTGATCCTTCCCAGGTTCGTGGGATACACCCACGTCGCCATGGCTTCGCGGTCAATGCTGTGATGTGTTGGGGTTTCGTTGCGACTGACGACCAGTGGCCAGTTATTACGTGTTGTTTTGGCCTGCTGGGATTGCTGGGTTCGAGAAGGAGGAGCAGGATCCTGTTGAGTGGTATGCATACCATGGAGAGTGGTCTGACGAAAAGAAGTGCTACGTTGAATCGGACCTCGGCCAGCAGTAGTATTAGAGGAAGAATTGCTTGCAGCATTGCCATTGGCGGCGGCAGGGACAACATCATGTTGAGCAGCAGCAGTCTCGACAGCTTCAAAGGCAGCCAATAAGGCGATGTCATCCTCGTCTTCGTCTTCGACTTCAAAATCATCAGCTGCCGCAAGATTATTCGTGCTGGCGCCAACACCGGTGGCGACGATCGTGGATCGAGCAGAAGGAAGTCTCGCCGGTGAAGGACTTGGGCTGTCTCGAGGTTTCATCCACCGCGCACCTCTGATCCTCGAGGGACTGGACCATTGTTGGGTCAATTGGGTTACAAATGTGTCAGGTTGTCGTTCTGCTTCCGGGTAATGAGTTCGATCTTCGTATTTGGATTTTCGATTGTTGTCGTCGTTCTCCTCCTCTCCCTCGACGTTCGCTTCGTCCACTTCGTCGTCATATGAGGGTAAATCATATTCGTCCTCCTCGTCATCGTGATGGCTTGACGGTCGGCTTCTCCGTTGACGTTTTCGCGCTCGAGGGTTATCATCATCATCTGTCTGTGAGCTCGGGACCAGTACATTGTCATCACTACTAGATGAGCTCATTTTGTGATGCAACAGAAACAAATTTGATCGAACCGATGACTTTGATACGGAGTTCGGAGTGGAGTGGGTTCAGGAGACGCGTAAATGAGACTGGCAAAAAACCCGCGTCAAGGCACATTTCGAACACGCCTAATCACGTGATTGGAATTGTTACAACTCAGGTAAATCATCGTTTACTCAGAAGGCCGTCTTTGCAAAGTGTAACACATCGCTATGATTCCCCAATGTGATGCTAGTGCTGAGGATGGGAGACACTTCTTCCCAACTGCTACAGTGGTTTGAGCACGCGGCCTCACGTACCTACCTGGTAAGGTGTATATCGCGGCCAGTCCCTCCTTCACTTATACCGAGGTAGCTAGTCAATCTGATTCTCTACCAACATGTGCCTCTGGTTGGATGTGACATCCCCCGCACGATCAGTGAGTGCTCTCTGAATTCTGTTGACCGACGGCTTCTGCGACATTTTATTTCCCAATATCGCGAGCACAGACTAACGATGTCCACATCTCCATCATGGGCGACATCACGAATCGTAAGGATCTGAAGCGGATGGTGCCTCAGCCCAAGACGTACAGGAAGCCGCCATTCACGGCGGAAATACTGTATGGCCAAAAGGTCGATGGGGAGACTGTACCGCGAAGAAATGTCCGCACTAGAGATGACCTCAAGTCAATTCCTGAACCAGGCGTCACCACGCTCTTCCAGCTTCTCGGGCGGTCAAGCAGAAAGTTTGGCCAGGCGAAGGCGCTAGGCAAGCGCAAGCTTATCAAGGTGCACGAGGAGACCAAGAAGGTGAGGAAAATGGTCGAAGGTAGAGAGCAGGACATCGACAAGACGTGGCAGTACTATGAGCTGTCCGGGTACAGCTTTATATCCTTCGTGGAGTTTGAGGAGCAGGCCCTCAAGATTGGTTCCGCGTTCAGAGCGATCGGACTGAGCGCGTCTGAGCGCGTACACATCTATGCCGCCACCCACCCGTACTGGCTCGCCATTGCGCATGGTGCGGCCAGCCAGAACTTGCCCATCGTTACTGCGTACGATACGTTGGGTGAAGAAGGCTTGAAGCATTCCTTGCAGCAGACCAAAGCGAAGGCAATTTTTCTCGATCCGCACCTCCTTACCAGGCTCATCAAGCCGCTACAAGAGAGCAAACATATCCAGCACGTCATCTATAATGACGACGACGCACCAACTTTCAAAGCCGACCCAGACCAAGTCATGAAGGATGTCGAGAAACTCAAAGAAGTACATCCAAACCTTTCTGTTTACAGCTTCTCCGATTTTATCAAGATGGGCGAGGAAAAGCCGGTTGAGCCGACGCCACCTAAGCCTGATGACCTCTGTTGTATCATGTACACCTCCGGGTCGACTGGAACTCCAAAGGGTGTACTCCTCACTCACAAGAACGTGATCGCTGCCATTGCCGGCGTTGATGTCATTGTTGGTCCATATATTGGGCCGGGCGACGGACTACTGACCTATCTGGCCCTCGCACACATCCTCGAATTCGTCTTCGAGAATGCGTGTCTCTACTGGGGTGGCACGATGGGCTATGGTCACCCAAAGACAATCTCGGACACCTCAATGAAAAACTGTTGCGGAGATATCGTGGAATTCAAACCGACCATCTTGGTCGGTGTGCCAGCAGTCTGGGAAGCGGTCAAGAAGGGCATTGTCGCGAAAGTCAGCAAGATGAGCCCGATGGTGCGCTCTTTGTTCTGGGGCGCGATGTATACCAAGAGCTTTCTGATGCACAACGCTGATTATCTTCCGCTAACTAGGATCGGAACCAGCGTTGTCGATACTGTCGTCTTCCGGAAGATCCAAGAAGCTACTGGAGGCCGCCTACGCATCTGCATGAACGGTGGTGGACCAATTGCTAAAGAGACACAACATTTCATTTCCATGGCCATTGCACCAATGATATCTGGCTACGGGCTCACCGAAACAACCGCCATGGGCGTTTTGATGGATCCAATGGCGTGGACGAACACGGCACTCGGCGAAATTGTTGGATGCGCCGAGCTGAAGCTCGTCGACTTCCCTGACGCGGGATATTTCTCGACGAATGAACCACCACAGGGTGAGATCTGGATCCGCGGAGACTCGGTTGCGAATGGTTACCTTGAACTCGACGAAGAGACCGAGGAGTCCTTCACCGAGGATGGCTGGTTCAAGACGGGTGACATTGGCGAATTCGATGATGCCGGCCAGCTGAGGATCATCGATCGAAAGAAGAACTTGGTCAAGACACTGAACGGCGAGTATATTGCTCTGGAAAAGCTGGAAGCCATTTATCGGTCATGCCCGATGGTCGGAAATGTCTGCGTGTACGCCGCACCGGACAAGCAAAAGCCAATCGCAATCGTATTACCTAACGAAGCAGCTATGAGACAGAGTGCGGGTGATAAGGGTATTCAAGGCCACGACTTGGAAGATTTGTGCCATAATGACAAAGTCAATGCTCTGGTCCTCAAGGAGATGCAGAATGGAGGACGTCAGGGTGGACTCGCATCATTCGAGATCATCGATGGTGTTGTACTGGCTGTTGAGGAATGGACACCGCAGAACGTGAGTACTCACTCTTCTTTCTCGAATCGATACAGGGACTTGTAACTGCTAACGCGCGGAACCGACGGACCAGGGGCTTGTCACATCGGCGCACAAGTTGAACCGCAAAGGTCTGGTGGAGAAGTACAAGATGGAGATAAATAAGGCATATGGCAACTAAGCAGATGGTCCAACTTCAAGGATCAACCTAGGTACGGAGCACGGTAGGTACCTACTTTCTGGGGTCTGACGACACTTTTATTGCCTATTTTGTGTTTTACCTGGTTGACGTATCTATCGAGGAAAAGCGGACGTAATTGTACTATCTTTCCACCTTTGGATATCATATGAAAAGTCTCAACGGGGACCATGCAGGGGACGAGGGCAAAATTGTCAGCGGTTCTAGGGCCTCAGTAATAGGCTGGGCCCGTGTTTGTATTTTACAGTTATAGTCATCTCTAGCTGCCAGAGGCGAGCGCTGGAAGGGTCAAGGGCCCGTCAGCACCTACGAGAAGTCGGCGGCTATGGACATTTCGTTCGTGGTTTGATTCATGTTTGATGAAAATACGGATAGCAAAAAAAAGAATTTCCCCTCGGGCATAACTTACATACTGTAGTATTATACGTATGGCGGCGCCGGGTTAGGTAGTGGTGATGTGGCGGTCCTCATTCCTCTTTTTTCACACGATTCTCGCCAACCATTAATGCTACCGAAAGGAGTCGAACAATAGTACGACGGCGCGACGCGTGAACGGATCCCGCAAAATGAATAAATCATGTACCTTCGTATGGAGTAATAATACGGTGTTACCCCGTATAGAACCTGGTTAGGTACTCGAACGGGTACCAGGAACAGTGAGATGATTTCCGACAACTCTGGGGCGGTAGAATTACTCTGTATGGATAAGGCTAGGTGGTGCATTGTTACAATAGTTGTTAGGCCTAGTTATATCTGTATACGGAGTAGTCGCTAACAAGTACAATACTCCGTACTGTAGTTCGACTTTGGATGGAGGAATAAAAAAAAAGTTTCCACCATGACAACATTCCACGCGAGCCTAAGCAGAAAAAAAAGAGAGAGAGACAGAGAGAGATCGACCTGGTTGAAAGCTGCCAGTGTCACCTTTGTTTTTCTCTTTTCTTGGTTTGGGGGAGACGTGGTGCCAACTAGGCAGATGGTGTGCTTGGTTCCGTTTCATCGAGTGAGAATATAAAATTCGACTGCCTCTGTACTCCGTGCTCCGGTATTACAGCACACTTTTTGCTGAGACACGCAGTTGTTGGCGTTGGGCATTATTGATCGGTCTTCCAGCCTGTCAAGCGATTTCATTTCCAGTTTCTTCCCTCTCTTCCCCCCGGCACATCCTTGTCTTACTGAGATTGGTCTACTCCGTACACGGGCGAATCAAACTTCAGCTTTCGGATCGGGCCATGGGACAATCATTTCTTGTACTCCGTACGTTTTTAGGATATACTAAGAGGGAGCCACTCGTAACATCCGGACAAGGGGATACAAAATGATGGAGTAGGGAGTAGCCCCCTACAAGCGACTTCACCTCATTCCCAGACTAAAAGCAATGGGCTGTGACACGCCAAAAACAATTCGGTAAGAGTACGGATAGAGTCCAGGGCTACCGAGTAAACAGTCCCCATCACAGGCCGCTGTGTCCATACAAGTCACACCCGCAGAACAACCAGCCTGACCCTTGGTGGTGCGAGAATCCTGGGGGAGATTGATTACCTACTGTAAATAAGGAGTGACCACCTTGTACGGAGTACTCCATACTTGCATTGCTACTCTGTACTGCATCGCTATATTTATATCTCGCAAACGCGCGCCCGTTTGCTCAGTGAGTCTCTCTCTTGTTGGCGACAGAAAAGTCCTTCAGTCTCACATCCTAATATTGTGCTGGCACCCTTCGCCATCCTGTTCTTTTTCAGTCTTTTGTGACTATCACGTTCGTTATTTCTGCTTTGATCTGCTCTTTTCGTCAAAGAACCAGCTACCACACTTCCTACAAAATCAATCTCCAAGCCTCATCAAAAGACTTGTTCCGGACCAAAATGCGTTTCTTCAGCGTTCTTGCCTCTTTCGGCCTCGTTGCCATGGTCGCCGCGCAAAATGCCACCAATGCTACCAATGTGACCACCACCACCGGGACGAGCCTCACCAGCGCCGCATCTTCAACAGCATCTCTGAGCGCTCAAGTGAGATGCCTGCAAAAATGTAAGAAAGAACAATACACACGCGCATGAGCTATTGAGCCGACGTGCTGATGAACTGCATGCTACAGGTGGCTCTGCCGACGTCTGCTGCCAGGCGAAATGTGTCAACGTACCTTGCCCTAGCCAAAACCAGGCCAACGCGACAACCGAATGCGAAGCCAAATGCCCACAAGGAAACGGGACCGCTTCCGAGACAGATGCCTACGCCCAGTGCCAGGCCTCATGTGTCAATTCATACTTCCTCTCGTCTACCGCTGCACCAACGGCCTCCAGCTCGGGTAGCAGTGGCGCCTCGGCCACCTTTGGAGGAAGTTCTGCCAGCGCTACGGGCTCAGGATCCAGTAAGTTCTTCGGACGAACAACGGCACTTCGTGTGGAATTTTTTCACTGATACTTGTTACCTCCCAGGTGGTAGCTCAGCGTCAAACACAGCATCCTCGGCATCGGCGAGCTCGACTTCGGGTAACGGCGCCAACGATCTTCGAGTCGGCACCATCGGTCTTGGGTTCTTGGGGTTGGTGATGGCTGGCCTTGCATTGTAAACCATCAATGACAGCCACGAACATGATACCCAGCTCGCATCAATGATTTTTGCTTCTTCGTTACGGCCTTTGCCAATTGCGTTTTCATTTCTTGAGCCGGTCTTCAAACGGCTTTGCCACAATGTTGCATGCCAGTCAATCTTGAAATTTTAAGACTCACTAATAAATCAAATCTATTTTTTGAATAATTTTACAACGTGATTACCTGTTTGAAAGATGAGGATAAGGGACGATGAAACGGAACATATACTCAGAACTCGATCATAAAGTCTCGAAGTATACCTAGTTAATTGATGGCTCAAAACTGGGACTCTCTCAGGTGGACATCCTTCAATAGGTCTAGTCAGGTACTCGTCATACAGACACATGAGAGAATTGTATTGACGTGCAGTGAAAGACTCGACAAAATCTGCATCTGCGTCGTCAAGTAGCATTGTTAAAAAGCAACAAAAAAAGAAACGGTTCAAACGAAGGCAGGAACAGCGGGACAACTTGAGGCTCATTTCGGCCCACCAATAAAGGCCGATCGGGGCCACCATCTCCTATTCCTCCATCAGAACGTCAGCGCCGCGCCTTGGCTGCTTGGCTTGCGAGGCTTAAGCCGCAGCGGAACTCGTTAAACGAGAACATGTGGACGGCGACTTCATCGTGCTTTGGCGTTTGGTCATGCTGTTTTTGGATTCATTCTTCATTCTGCGTGTGTTATCATGATTGTATGACTGTTTGTTCTCCAGAGAAGCATTGAATGTGGCCGTCAGGCATGTTGGATTCATCATTTCTGCAACCTGCCTCCTTTAACGGAGAGTCTTCCCTCGAAGTCGCGCGCCTCATTGTGTTGTTGAACGCCGGCTGACTGGATCGACGGTGGTCGTTCAGACCGCCGACATCCTACCTTACCCTCCTCAAATCTCTCCTCAGAGACTCACGACCATCGATGCGGAAATCCGGTGCCTTTGCCTTTCCGAAGAGACTGAAGACCTGCGCAGTCTAGTCAAAACACAACATGTCGAGTCTGGAGCAGCCCTTGTACAGCAGGGGCAGGGAACCTGGTCATCGATACCGCCGACCTCTAATTGAGCAATGCACCAATAAGTGGCGAGATGAGTCACCTCATCGATATGAGATGTCTCCCGACCGTGCCACCCCAGGGGAAGATTTTGTGGATTGTCTGGAAGACTTGTGGGACAATACCACCACCCTCGTGAAGGCTCCCAGGTTTCGCAGACTCTTGGCTGTGGCATTCGTGGCTATCGTGATCACAGTCGTGTTGTGTATCAAAGTTTGGCCATTCGTCGACGAGGAAAGAATACTCCTGGCTTCCGTGGGCAAGAGCGGGACTTCAGCCTCGGGGGGATTATTTGGGCTGAATTTACGGCCTCATTTTCCTGGCATGACCCAGGTGCAGACACTTGATCCCCTTCTCCTCCCACGATTGCCTCGTGGGCGTTCTCCTGAAGCTGGAAATAAGACAAGATTGATTTTCGTGGGAGATATCCATGGCTGCCGAGATGATTTGGAAGCTTTGCTGAACAAGACGCACTTCAATCCGGTCACCGACCATCTGATTGCGTTGGGAGACATGGTTTCCAAGGGCCCTGATTCACGCGGAGTCATCGACCTTTTGCGTGGTTACAATGCCTCCTGTGTTCGCGGAAATCATGATGATCGACTGTTGTTGCTGGTCGAGGATTTACAGTCCACGTCTTTGACCTCTAAGAAGAATTCCCACTTCCCCTCCGATCTCGCCGCACAGGCTGCTGTGAGTAGGGATACTTCGCTGAAGGAGCTTGCCTTGTCATTGGATGAGGCCCAGATCGAGTGGCTTGCATCGTGTCCGGTCATTCTTCGGATCGGAACCATGAAGGCTTTCCACGGTGAGACTGTTGCCGTTCATGGAGGCCTTGTCTTGGATGTTCCTCTAGAACAGCAGGACCCGCTTTCAGTCATGAACATGCGAACAATGGATCTGCGAACACACGTACCGTCAGAGAAACATGAACAGAAGGGAGGCCATGCAAAAGCTTGGTACAAATTATGGAATAAACATCAACAGTTGTTGCCTACACGACAAGGCTGGAGCCGCCTCAAGAGTCTCGGGAGAAAGAAACCTGCCGAGAAGCAAATGACAGTCATCTACGGACATGATTCTAAGACGGGCTTGAAGCTGCGAAAATATACGAAAGGGCTCGACTCTGGCTGTGTGGTCGGAGGGAAACTCACGGCGTTGGTGGTGAACGGCAACGGCAAACAGAAGATCGTTCAAGTCGATTGTAAAGGTGGTCGCTGACCAAAATATCACGAAGGTGCACAGGAAATATCGTAAATATTGGGATGTCCGAGCTGCTTCTCGATAGGCAGGACTGAATGATGCCGTGAATATTGGTTTTGTCTCGAATAACAGCGATGATCAGCATAGCGAAGGGTGTTTAGGAAGGCTTTCAGCTTACGTTGGCCATTACTCGATTGTGGAATTACATTGCTCCTTCTACCTGCGATATTTGGTACTGGATGGAGGTGTGAAGTAGAATCTAGTCAGAAGCTCAAAGTGAGTCCTCGGTGAAGACTTTTTGTTCGCACCTCCAGAATTATGACCTGATAAAAGGTGTATGGCAGATTGGCCACTGCTGATTTTGACAGAGCGCAAAGGGATACGAACAATAGACATTGGAATGCTGAATGTGGTCCGTGTATAATCACACTCACTCCCCTTTGTTCCAGCCTCAGTATTCATTCTGCCGGAACCGGATGCCATTGACTTGTCGTTATGGGCCGCATTCGACTTCATCTCATCGCTGAAGGTTCTTTGTCAAGCATGGATGGGTTACGGCTCTATGCGACATACTGCGAACTCGATTCCAATGTCTGTCAACGCCATTCACCACCAGTTTCGAACCACACATGCGTCCAATCTCGCCCTTCGCCATGTTCGCTGCGTGAGCCACATCAACCACAGAACTTCTCCCCTGCACTCTGCCCCGAGATTTAAATCGAGCCTCCTGACATGGATCCGTTACCTCGGGGAACTACCGGTTCTACTGGCCAGGACTCGAGGGCTGACGACAAAAGGAGCGAGGATGAATGCAGCTCACTGTCCAGTCTCGGAGCGTCGCCAATTGTTTCACCACGGAGAATCCGCCGTCCCGTAGCAGCTGGGAGGCGGGGGCAGAATGTGACCTCTCCTGTGTCAACCATTGCTGGAAGCGATTTAGGATCGGATCGAATATCGCCTAACGAGCAAGGAAGTCCTGTACTGATCCCCAGCATTGATGCTATCGCAGGCATGCGATCCCTGTCAGCTGATCTTCCAACTTCTACGAATCCCGAGACTCCAGATGAAGCAGGATGCTCCGAAACACACGACCCAGCCGATGATGTTTCTGAGAGTGTCTCCCTGACGAGCAAAAATAAATCACCAGAAAGATCCGCAAATCTTACCTCTACAGATCGCCAACATTATACAAATGATGAAGAAGGGCATGAGGTGGATACTGTCGAAGGAGAATGGCTGCCCACAAGGAGCGGCAACGATTCGCCTCTGGATGAACATATTCAACAAGCCGACTCAACTCCGCCACAAGAAACTCGGACTCAGGAGTTTGTAGAGATTGACCAGGAGGCGGAATCTGCAGGACGAGCCATGCCGACACAATTGGAGCAGCGACTTTCAGATGAGACAAATACGACGAGGGCAAGTGCAGACTTGAGAAAGTTGCTTCGGCAGTTTTTGGAGGTGAAACATGAACGAGATCAGGTGGCGGAAGAGAATGTAAACCTTCGGATAGAGAAGGAGCGATTGGGTAACGAACTGTCCGAGTTGACGGCCGTTCGTCATAAGCATCTACAAAGCTCTTTGGTTCAGGAACAAGACCTGAATCTCGCTGAGGAAGCTGCCGAGGAGGCGAGAACTGAAAGAGACCGCTCCAAGGAGTCAGTCCTACGAATGTCGGAGGCAATCCGGAAGATGAAACAGGAGAATAGTAAGCTCGATGTTGAGCTGAAAAGTTCTTCACACGAAATATGGAGATTGAGAGGCCAGCTCGAGAAGTCTGAGAGGGAGCTGCAGACATTCAATCAGGTGGAGAGCCCACCAAAGGTTCCCTTGAGCAGACTTGGCCGTGTCGAAGCTGAGGCAGACAAGATCATGACCTGGATCAAAAAGGAACGAGATCAACAATCTCGATTGTTTCCAAAGTTGGCACAATTCCATTCTCGACATCTGCTTACACTTCTCAACGGGACTCGAGCGAGGAGGCGACCACCTTCATTCCTACCATCCCCTGCGCATTTTCACAGCCTGGGTGATGTTATTTCGACAACATCAGGAGCGTTCTCGTCGAATCGTCAGAGCATGATCAGTCAGATGAGTTTTCCAGTTCTCAAACACCAGCAATCCAGATCAGCTCTGCCGCTACCTCCTCTTACTCAGACAGCTCGAACACGATCGGTACATGACTGTGATCCCTGCCGTCAGCAATGTCACTCCTACAAGCGCGAACGAGCGGCGCGTACATGGACAAGTTTTCTCGGAGATGATAGAACGGTTCCTGTAGAGAAACTTCAGCAACCTTTGAGTACAACCGACATCATCGGAGCATCTCTGAGCAGGCCTCCTACTCGAATACCGATACCTATTTCGAAGACCCAAACTGCGAGAGGCACTCGTACCTATATGCCGTTATCACCTCTAAATCCTACCGTGCAGCTAAGTCGGCAGTACCACGGTCAGTCAGAAGTGCGCTCACCTACCCTGTTGGCTGCCGCCGAAGAGGACGAGTCCAATTCAGACTCACCACAGCCTGAACATCTTTCTGACTCAAGTCGTGTCAACGTGGCTGTAGCACCTTCAGCTGTCGAGGGTGGCTTCATTGATGCCATTGTAGCCGCTTCTTCTAGTGCACAAGGCAGCCTAAGTCCTACTGAAGATGTCATAGACTCCCAGCAACCTCTACTGCCACAGACAGAAGGAACAAGCCATTCCCAAATTCATCCCAGTATCATTAGCCCGTCTAGCTCTGTCGTCTCTTCACCTATGGGCACTGACCTAGGGGTATTAATGAGGGCCCTGACCGACACCGCCCTTGGAGTGACCCATCAAGCCACCAGCAGTGCTGTTGAGTTGCCTCAAAGTCCCGGCCTGAAAAAGCGATTCAGTAGCTCACCGCAAGCATCACCGGTCAGCTCCATTGAAATCCAACCACTCAGACTCTCTCGCAAAGCCGGAGAGTTGGGCAATGGTGATGTGGAGGCAAGTTCCTCTTCCCAAAAGAATTCAAAAGCGCTGGTCGAGTTAGTAGCGACTCAGGAAACTACATTCGATAATATTGCTGATGATGGGACTCATGGTGAGCAGCAGCATGTAGTTGCTTGTGAACCCGGAGCAACCAAAAATGATATACTTGTAGCCGCCCAGTATCAGACTCTTCCACTCCGACGAGGAAATGCCTCACCAACGGAACTCAGACATCGCCGACCTTATTCATGGGATGGAGCTGTCCATCAATCGCCGTCGCCGTCACCACTTATCGATACGCCCAGAAACGACTTCATGCCAATCCAATCTGTGAATGGCGCTGACGCTGTGGACGAGGAAACCTTAATACCTGGAACAATCGTGGATAATGCACCTCTAAGAAGGGACACACATAGCAGCAAATCATTAAACATTCTATACTCTGACTCGACAGACGCTCCTCATGACACTGAAGAAGTTGTCCAATATCGAACTAATGACACCCGCACCGATGAGCTGCCACCGACCCCATCTCTGGCTAGTGCATCTTCCCACTCTGGCTTGGACAAAATGTCCCCGGACGAGTTGAGGGCGTACCGGAATAAAAAGCTCAATCCTAATCCAGGACGCAACCCTCAGATCACTCAGGTTGGGGGGTGGCCGTGGGAGGACAAAGTCTACCATCCTCTCTTCTCAAGAGTGAAGACGAACTTGGACTACTTCATCGACAGGTTTGAGAATGCTCCATCCCAAGCACTAGAAGTGTTGTTCGAACCTGGAGTAGCCTCTCTCGGACTTTCAGATCTTTATTTTCAATCAGAAGCTTTCGAATTACATTTGGACGATGAGAGTACGCCATCTAGCGTAGGACGGTCCACGCGGGAAGTGACAGCCGGTGACCAAGACCGCTCTCATCTCACTGGAGGAGCCATGAGTGGGAATCGTTCAAGGGAAGGATTCGTCGATAGCTCTACAGATTCGGAACTCGGCATGGTGGTGGATGGACGACCACCGACAGTACTCGACGATGTCCATGTATATCGATTCATCTCCGAGTCTCCGATACAGTACTGCAGCAATCACAACATCTTGGACGCAGAAGCCGAAGCCGTCTCGTCTTCCCAGAGTGATGATCACGAAAGTCTATTGCCTTCGCCACTTCATCCGCGCGCTACTCTTTCGGGTACTGCGAGAGACTTGTCATCGCCGCAAAACAACAAATCGGCGTCTCATTCTACCACCCCTCTGTCGACTGCGGACGGTCATCGGTCAGAGTCCATCCGGGATAGAGGACCGACATATTTCCTACTCGCCTCCTTCCTGGTTTACATCTCGATGGGCGTCGCCTTTATCCTGTTCGCGTACATTGCACCGTTTGTGGTGGCTCTCCCTGCTGTCTTCATGGGGAGCCTGACGTGGATCCTTGCTTCTGTCCGGACTTTGACAGCCTCCATGGTGACGTGTGGTGGTCGACACCACCCTGCGTCCCCCTCGATGTCACCCGTGTTTACGATGCCTTTATCCACGATCGACAAAGTTTTTGGAGGAAGAGAAACATTGACATCATTCGAGTCAGTGACCTTGTCTGTCCCTGGACGTGTGAGTGAAAATGAGCGTGAGACTATCAAGGGAGGATCCCCATGGACGCCATTCGACGAGGAATTCGTTCCTGTCTCCGAGTCGTCGGAAGAGTTTCTGACACCGTCTCATTTTGCCGGCGGGGACGAAACGACAGGAAAGTCGGTTTCGACTCTCTTCTTGTCCGTAACGTCCGCACCGTCCGAACCATCTCAGGTCGTTGAGAGTTCAAGATCAGCAACCTCGATGACTCTGGATGAAGAAGAAGAACAACAAGGAGGAGATCGAGATCGAGATCGAGAACGAGAACAAGCAAGAGGTATCAAAGCAAAACACAAACAAACCGAAATCGATCGAACCTTTGCGTTCTCGGGTCCACAACACCTGGATTTCGTTCCACCGATCCGACGATTCATCGACATTGTCACTTTTGACCTTACAGTCATGATGATGAAATGGGACGAGGGTTTTTGAGCAGACGCGGCACACACAACACAAACAAAAGCCGGATGGGAAACGTGGTGTGACAGGCCCAAATAGATGGAATGTAAACAAAAGTTGGACTCGAAAAATTCAAGGTATAGTACCTAGAGGCAGTCAAAATCATCGGCACTGCAGATTGTGTTCTCAGTGTCGTTAGAGAGAATCAAAACATTTACTCCGCAACCTTTTCATGATATTCATAGTGTCAATTCTACTGTCAAGGTTCACCAAGTGAATTAAAAGCCTACATACCCTTCGATAGAACCACTCAAAGCTTCCTCTTCGAGCACACGCCACTTTGTCCCTATGTGTTCTTAATTGCTACTTCAACGCAACGTCGCCGCATTGGCTAGTTATACCGAGTCAAATATACCGTAACCCTGGTCACCGGTGATAACTCCACGTAACCAGTCCTCCTTCTGATGTCCATACAATCAGGTCGCGTCTGCACTTCATTTCACGAGTCTTCCTCAATTAAACACCTGCAATGCTTGGGTATCTCATAATCCTTGTAGTCCAGTACTTGGCTGCCCAGTAGAGTTGTATTTCTTTGGTCACAATAACGCGTTTGCCCTTCCGAGACGATTCGTTCAGTGTTTCTCGTCGGTCACTTCCTCGACTTCTTCGGCACAGGCTTCCAAATCCTGGTATTTGGGTGGAGGTGGAATGTCTTCAGTCATTAACGCCCCCTTCTCTTCCTCCTCAATCGCAACCTCAACCGTACGGGCGCTGGCGTTTCCTCTCTGACCACGTCGATGGAAACGAATCCAAAGATATGAGATCATCTGACCAACAAGCATACCAACAGCGCTAGCCATCAAGCCTCCAATGATACCCAAGAGTGCGGGGATGACAAAGAAGCGAATTGTTTGGTGCAGGATGTGGCCAAATCGATGGAAGCGGTGGTGACGACTCCAGCCACCCATATGATGGCCATGGCGGTGATGGCCGTGGTGTCTACCCATACCACCAAACTTTCTGCCATGACAACCCTTTCCGTTCTTGATCCAGCCGTGGGCTCCGTGGGCACGCGCTCTAGCGGCTGCCATGATGGACTGCAGACGAGCGGTAACAATGGCCCTCACACGGCAGAGCGACCACTGTGAGGAGGTATCGCAAGTCTTAGCTCCAGGGGTCAATTCGAAGGGAATTTGAGAGAATCTGGCAATCACAGCCTGATCGGGTGTTTGAAGGAGATCGACAACAATAGTATCGACTTTCACCGGACGACCTTGGAGACCAAGCACAGTGAATCGTAGGGGTTGAAGAGTAGCATCAGGGCTGTGAATGGATCTAATGGGCTCCAGAGCCTCCAAAGCAAAGTCCAACTGGACGGGATCCGACTCTTGACCATCTTCGGCCCTTATCTGACGAGTCGTCACAAAGACGGGGGAGGAGTTGGATGCGTCGGATTCGTGAGGGTAGACTGGAAAATCATTGATGTTCAGACGGTCTTCGGAGTCGATCGTGAATTCCAGTTGCTTGACACGATAAAGTCAGTATTTGAGCAGACCGCATGCCACGCACGTGCTTACAATTTTACTTTCGACGCCCACCTGCACCACGGATGGGTTCTCTGGATCGACGAACGGGCAGTCGTGGCAATCAAGATCAACAGAGCCACCGACCATAACCACGGATGGAGGAGGCTTCACCTCGAAGGCGGGTCGTGCGGCAGCTTTGGTGACTTCGAGGGGCAACAGGAAGGCGGATGCCCTCGAGGCCAGGGCACCGGCGACCAGCGCAGGCGCGAGATACATCGTGTCGTTGTGGTTCACTGGTCAATTGAATTTTGTTCGTACAGAAGTGGTTCGTGATGAGATTAGATAGGCGGATTGATTGATACAAAGGAAAGGAAAGACGAAAGGCAAGAGAACAGGTGAGGAGGACAGGGAAAAGGCTCGATTGGCGTGACAAAGCATTAGCATCAGCAGTAACGACCACGAACCATTTGCAGCGTATCAATCAGGCGAGACAATCTGACTGATGAATGCATGATTGCGTCCCTTTCAAGGAGAGTGACAAGGCCCGGATGCGCCGGGAAAGGGAAGTAATTTTAGAACCAAAAGAGTCTGGAGTTATGCACTGCGCTCGGAACGTATATGTTTCGAAGTCCGAGGATGTGTCTGACAAAGCGATTTTCCTCGTATCTACATACAATCTGAGCCTGACTCGTTCATATTCTTTCACGTCAGACAAATATATTTTCAAACCAAGGCTCGCGTGCACATACGTCCGAGTACGACGACTTGTCCTTTTACATATGTTGCCAGGGTTCAGGTCAGCCACAAATCAATTGCCAAAAAGCTTGATAAAGCCAGCTGTTCTGCCCTGATTCTGACAGGTATATAATACATACTACGCATAAAAATCCTGGTTTGGTGCCGGCTGATCACTCCCTCGACCAAGAAGCCTTTGGAATGTACTATCACGCACTCGTTCCCTGTACCGTGGAATGAGTGCAGACACGTGTGCACAAGTATTCGATCCAGGAGTGTGACAGTGACTCGACAGGTTCTAGTTCAGCACGAGTACACTTCACCTTCTCAGGGGGCGCCAGGGGTCCATTCGAGGGCTTTTCGTTGGGTTGCAAGGCTGTACTCCTACAGTACTTGATCGAAATGACATCAATCTCTTTGTCCCGGTCATGAAGCCCACGCTCTCTACTGTCTACCAAGTGAGTGTATGTGACTGACAGATTCAAAGACCGCTAGTAGTCTACAAGGGGAGGAATCAATAATCCCTTTGGACGCAATCTCATCTGCTCTTTTTGCCCATATCATTTGTCCCGGTTGTTCGCTTCGCTTTTCGACGCGTTTCCCAACGACCCCAGCCGGCGTCTTGAATATCCTCGGTGGTGATTAGATCCCGAAATCGAAATCTACGCGATATCCATGTCTCCAATGCCCAATCGATCCAACCGAATCTTCTCAGATAAGTCGTAAAAACGAACCAAAAAACAGCGAAGATGGCGCCGGCGGCTACACCCACTAAGACTTGCTTCGGAGTGTGATAGTTGAGATATACACGACTTGCAGCCACAGCACTGGCACCAACACACGCCAGCAGAGACAAGAAAATTCTCTCGGAGAACGTGGATGGTGAGTAGCTTGTGCTTGAGGTGGGCACATGTCGGAAGAGCAACCACAAGGAAAGTGACAGCGAGAAGAACGTCACAAATTGAGCATGCGATGATGGCATGCCGTAACCTTTGCCGTGCATTTCTGTAAATCATTAGAAGCCGGAGATGGAGCAGTGGCAGTAGCAAAGAGCCGCATACGTTGAGGACGTTCTTCTCGAATAAGCCTCTTCAAGCCAAAATTGAGACCCTCGCAAGCCATTTGTCCAGCAAACATTAGAAAGATTTCCACCTCACGGGACGCCCATATGAGGGACACATAAACGACGCAGAGTCCCTGGGGAACGAGCGCCAGCCATGCCGAAGCATACGATATAGGATCATTGGGGTTCTATATTCGTTAGTGCCACCTTTCAAGGAATCTTCTCGAGAGCCGTACATATCGAACATGTGTCAGCGACAGCGACGCGAGCGCAGGATCGTCCATTGACCCAAACCAGTTGTCGGGGATCGTAGTGTGTTAGATAGTGACGGTAGATATAAATGCGAAGTAGCGGAGTAGAAAATCGTGGTTATTGAATCGAGGCAAAAAATGTACCCCTTTAGTTGAGCATTTCTGGCTCGTCGGATATTTCCCCAGATATTTTTTCGGGCCTGCGTCATTCTTTGCCTTACTTCTAGGCAAGTGAGTGTTCTGGACTCATGTGGTGGTGAGAAATACAGAGGTCGTATTTTCCATCCTCTTCATGGATATTCCTTCTGATTACTTAAAAACAGTTTCGTCTCAACTGCCCTTCCTCTGCATCTCGTGCCTTGTGGTTGTTCCCACAAGTGTCGCCGGGATCCTCGTGGCATTCTTGAATACCGCCGCCACGATTCACCCCTCGCAGCATGGACGATGACCCGGGCGCCGCTGAGGATGAGAGAACGACTGAACTCTCTTCTATAGCGGCAATCTTTCCAGAACTTGTCATCGACCCATCCAACCCCTATATTGCAACCCTCGAGCTTGGAGTAACACCTATACAACCACTACGGCTCCTGTTCAAATCAGCGGAGACTGGAGTACCACCTGCGGTGTTGACGCCACCATCGTCCTCTGATCAAGATGAAGGTGACTTCCCTTCGAAACAGTCAGTCTCACAGCAGACTCCTCTAGAAGCCCACGAACTCTCACATCTCCCCCCCCTCTCACTTCGAATCAGTCTTCCAGAAGGCTATCCAGAGGAAATCCCACCAACGGTGTCTATCTCTGCGACACCACCATGGCTGCCTCAGGCTATACTCAAGAAACTGAGGGACGACTGCTCGAGGCTGTGGGAAGAGATAGGGAAGGACCAGAGTGTTTACACATACATTGACCATGTACAACAAGAGGCAGAGAACGCGTTTGGACTTGCCGGATCAACCGACTTTCGAATTCCTGCAGATCTGAAGCTTGCACTGTTGGACTTTGATCTCCAGGCCAAACGCCAACAATTTGAAAGAGGCACCTTTGACTGTGGCGTGTGTCTGGAGCCTAAGAAGGGTCTTCACTGTCACAAGATGCTTCAATGCGGTGATGTTTTCTGTGTTGCTTGCTTGCAGGACTTCTACAAAAGCTGTATCACGGAGGGCGATGTGGACAGTGTCAAATGTCTCTCCCCAACATGTGGCAAGGACGAGAGTCAGACACCGGGTATGAACGGCCAAATATCGAAAAGACGAAAACACGATCGTACACTTAATCCCAGTGAGTTGCTACAGATCCCCATCGAACAGGAGTTGGTCCAAAGATACGTCCGTCTGAAGCGGAAAAAGAGGCTGGAGGCAGATCCGGATACGATCTACTGTCCGCGGCAATGGTGTCAGGGTGCCGCTCGGTCCAAGAAACATCCCAAGCCGAATGACCCTTTGAATGGTGTTACTGCCAGCGGCTCCGAATCAGAAGAGGAAGCACATTCACCGAAAAGCAAGAAGAAGAAAAAAAAGAAGTATGACCTCGAAGGACTCCCGATGTCTGAGCGCCTCTCCGTCTGCGAAGACTGTGATTACGCCTTTTGCTGTGTCTGCCGAAAAGGATGGCATGGCGAACTGGCTCGTTGTAGTCCACGTCGGCAAAAGGAGCTCGACGAGGAGGAGGCTGCATCTCTGGCGTACATGCAAAAGTACTCGACACCTTGTCCGACATGTAACGCACCGTGCCAAAAGACCATGGGTTGCAATCACATGATTTGTTTCCGATGCAAGTCGCACTTCTGTTACCTGTGCTCGGCGTTTCTCATGCCAGAAAACCCATATACTCATTTCAATGATCCCACAAGCTCATGTTACATGAGACTATGGGTTCTTGAGGCCGGTGATGGCGAGGGCGTTGATATCCAAGCGTTTCACCATCCCGAATTGGCCGAGTGGCATGTAGAAGTTGACTCAGACACGGAGTCTGAAGACGAGCTGCCTCCTGAGGATTTCCGCGCTTTTCGTGGGAATAGGCCGTTTGCTGACGAAGTTGACTCGACCGACGACGAAGAGCCTGCACCAGATCAGCGACGAAACCGCAACGTCATCGAAATTGTGAATTTTGCACGTCCCGGCGGAGAGAATGCACAAAGAATTGCCTTGCCGGATCGACCTCGCCTCGCTGAACGCCCACCACCTGCCGCGCCCAATCGACCAAGAGCCATGCTGCATGGTAGAGGCCGTGGTCATCAAGACAGACGGCCGCGCGGTATGAGAAACGGCCAAGGGCAAGGTGGTGGAGATCGTCAACGGCGTCCCCAAGCAGGTCAGCAGAGAATAGTCGACGAGGTGCAAGTACCAGTAGAGGCCGAAGCCGTTGTGGTTAATGATGACGTGGGACATCAGGATGGCGAGATGCCTATTCTCCCACACGCGGCGCCAGGTCAAGGTAATCACCCCAACGGTGCCTTCGCAGCTGGTCCCGGTCGAGCCATGGGCCTAGAACGGTTTCTGCAGCTTGCGTTGCAGGACCAGGAAGATGAATGGGACAGTGATGAGCTTGATGAGGATCTCGACGAACTAGTTCTGGCCGGGCCAAGAAGGAACCTGGGTCGAAACCAGTGGTGGTGACAAGAAGAACCTGGAGCTTGTTACTTTCAGTTTACATATGAGCTGTACAAAGAGGGATAGAGAGTGAGCGATTTGGTTTTGGTTTGATTTCTCAAGCGAGCGTTTGTAGAACCCCAGACTATTCTTTGACAACAGCTAAAACGCCATGGCACATTGGGAATGGGAAGATGATGAGACATGAGAATGAATATGAATGAAAAGAATATCTAAGTAAATGAGCTGCATTGTATATAGTCGTTTTTGAACATACTTGAATATACTTTGTGCTTGGCTCGCGCTTTTCTCTCTGGGTGTCTACGTTGTCTTCCAGTGTTGATTTTGTTCGTGTGCCTCTCCAACGGGCAAGGGAGTTGGGTTGTTTTTTTGTACTTGTACAGGGCATTTATTTCTTCATATGAGACATTTTGAAATGCGACGTGACCGACTTGACCGCCGTCCCTCCTTTTCGCCTGAGTGGCGGGGACTGGTGGTAACTGTCAATCATATCGGGGAAGTTAGGAATCTTCGGGGGTCCCTCTCCCTCGAATATCACAGCCTCAACACGTCGCCGTAGGCAGAAAGTCCACCTCGGAAGAGGTCCCGGATGACGTTACCTCTCAAGAGGGTCTGTTCTATGATCCCCTCGACGTGTTTCGGTTCGACCCGGCCGTACCATATACCCTCGCCGGCCAGAGGGTGTCGTATCGGTGGTACTGCTACCGCGTCGGCGGCTCCAGGAGAGTATAGAAACTGCCGCGCTCCAGGTGGGACGTAGATGATGACGTTCCCGGCCCATTTGTGCCCCCCGACGTGTGAAATCATACCGATGTTGACCGGGACTTTTTGGATATTGGTAGAAGAAGATGAAGAAGTGGAAGTCGAGGCCGACGACGACAGCGACGACGACACAAAGGCACCCTTTACAGCTTCGAGTTTCACACCCATTCCACCTTCGAAGATTGGATCGCGACAAGAAATGTACCTTGCAAACTCGTCGTGAAGGAGAGGACCTAGGACGCCGCACCTATGGTCCCTCTGGCCGTGACTACAGATCAAGATCGTGGGGGTTTGTACGGTCGACGCATCCAGCGAGGAGGCGAGTGACGGGTCGCGGGACTTTGCTCCCCGTTCAGACTCTGAGAGGTGGTTGTGAACGGCGTTGAGTTTATCTTTTTCGGGTAGGAGAAAGGATTTGATCAACGTTCGGGCGTTGTTGCTGTCGCCGTTGGTTTTGCCTTGTCCATCGTCGGAGTTCTTGGTGCTGAGACCTCGAAAGTGTTTGAATGCCGGAAACAATATGGCATCGACGGTCTTTTGAGCCTGGACGCTTGTGGCCGTCGGTGTTCCGCTGGATCTTTGTAGTTCGGCCTCCCGTTCGGCGACTTCTAGAGGGGCGAAAGACGATGTGCTGACCATGACATCGTTGTGGTACGGCTAGAGATTCAAGACTGGTGTAAGTCAGCCAGTCTTTTCGTCTCCCCCTTGCTTCCGTTCTCGCTTTTCTTGCGGTCGAAGCGCGTTGTATTGGTACACAACAATCTCAGACCGGATAGAAAGTTAGGGGACAAAACGTACATCAAAGAATTCGCCTCTTCTCCCCATCATGGACTTTACGTCGGCCGTGAATCTCCCCCAAACCGCCGTGTCCCTCTCGTTTTCTATCCTGCTCGTCCAATCGGACCGCCCGGTCGAGACGATCAGGTGTTGCGAGTGAGCCGACATGGTGCCGCTGAGGTGAGCCTTGCGGTCTATGTCCAGGCCCGCGGGCATCGAGGAGCAAGGGCATGTCGGGTCGGGACACGTAGGGATCACGGGGAAGGGTGCGGGCGCCGCATGCGTCTTGAGCGTCGCCCGCTGCGCTGCCGGGGAGGTTCGAAGGACGCACGGGGCGGGATGATGCAGACGTGCAAGCCTCATGGGAGGCATCATTCTAGAAAAGGATAGACACGCATCCTAAGCAATCAAGTCAGAAAGCAAACAACAAAAGTGTCTCTCAACTTGTTTAATCTAATTTCTCATATCTGAATAATCGCTGATTTTATTTTTGAGAAGGACGTCGGTGTTAAGTCGTTAGCGACCTCGGACATAGCAAATCTCAGCCGAGCAGCGACTGAGAAGCCATCTATTATAAATTTCTATGTCTAACCTTATAAGTGAACCTTCTTGCCCTCAAAATCGGCCAGTGCAAGTGATGACGCTGTCAGTGGCCATAGTCCGGCATAGAAGGAATAGGCTCCGGTCAACAGCAAGACATAGTAGGCCACCGTCAACTTGAGGTCTTGAGGTCCTCCTCTTCCATTAGCTTGGATCGCATCGGTATCGTCTTTGCCTCGTATGGCTATAGGTGACAGCGGATACTCCTCTCGGCGTTGGACGCGACCCCAAAATCGAGGCAGCCCGACCCAATTGCAAAATGTGTGAATTAAAATACAGGCATAAATCGAGCCCGTACGAAGGTAGATGAAGTCGGCTATCCAGCCAAACAGCGTTGTGTATCCAAATTGGAAGACCGATCGTAAGAGAGCGGGCAGGAGGGGTGTATGAGGATGAGTCAGGATAAACTCATAGAAATGATGCACATGAGCAATTCCGAAGTATAGTGGTGTCAGAAAGACAATCTTTGTCGACGACACCTTGGCCAACAGATGTACTGGTACCAGAACAGAGCGGAAGATGACCTCCTCCGTGATAGGACCGGCCACATAGTTACGATAGCCTTGCCAACTTTTTAGTGTTTCGACAATTTTCCGACCACGGCGCAAATCACCCAGGCGTCCCTCCACAAAGAGTTTCTCGAACAGGGGACCGAGAAAGAGGAGAAAGGTCAAAGCGCAACATTTGACCACGTCAGTCAATTGGACCGGCCACCAACCCATGAAATGTAGAGCATCGACCGGTGTCAGTTTAGCTGTCACAACAAGTAAATAAAAGGTTGCCGCAGAGGCTGCAATGCAGGCCAGAGTGACGGTGCGTATCCGCGCTCGAATGACCGAAGGTGCATCTCGATTCAAGGTCGGCGATGGTCGCGTCGACCTCGACAGATAGAAGGGTATCACATAAATTAGTGTGAAGGCCACCTGGTCAAAGGAGGTTATGTTAAAAAACATGACAGCAAATGAACCCCGGAGTGGACTGGTTACGTACCGAGAGCGCGGTTGCAGTTGCGGTCGAGATGACGGGCTTTTCCTCCTCTGTCGTCATTGTCCGTATCAGCAGCTATCGATAAAAGATGGCAAGGGCTCAAGAAATGGAATACGAATGTGACTAGACGAAGTTGAGGATGTGGAGAGACTTGGAAAAGATTTGGGGCAGAGTTAGTTTCGCATCTTGCTGGTGATTGTGGTACAGACAAGAGCACGGAGTAATAGCCACCCCGAGGTAATCCAATGACGAACCTTTATGGCCAAAATAGGTCGACCTCAGTCTGTACAGCAGATCAATGGGTGCCATTTAGAACGACGAACCCCGGTGAATAATAGGGAGAAAAGCGGTGTAGTTGGTCAATGATGGTTGGAAACAAAGGCAATCATACAGACAGATAAAGGAGAGACGCGAAGAGTAGCGAGAAAGTGGCCCAGGCTTGTTGACGAGGTCAAGGCGTCGACGTGTTCTTTTGAGGTCTCACTGGTCTCACTGGCCTCTAGCTGTGACAGTGTATGTTTCTTTTTCTTTTTTGGCGGTACGAGTGTAGCAATCACTGGTAGAGAAGTGGCTAGCTAGGTACCTTGTAGTAGTATATAGTAACAATGTGATAGGTGGCAGGTACATGGCTGTTGCAGGTAATTTGATGGTGTCTGTAGGTACTCCGTACCGACGGAGGATTTGCCTGCGCTATTCTATTGTCACCACCATCAGCTTCCTCCTCATTGACCTTTTTCTGAACAACACACATTGTGCAATTCATTTTTCTACTCCGTCTAGTACAATACCAGCTCATCGGATCAATTTGATCAGCCAACAAATCAAACAGTTTTTAGTCAAATGGACTCGCCGAATCAACTACGACGCCTACTAGCGAGCCTCCTCTCTCCTCCGTCTCCCACAAAGTACGCACAGCCACCACTCGCCTCGCCTCCATATGGACCCCCTTGGGCCATCTCCATCAAACGGCCAAAGATTAACGCGTTAATTTCGTGACATGGATCACTCCTCCGTATTATCATTTTACCCAATGGGGGATTTCCAATCTGCCAACGTCTGCCACGCGATCACAAGAAAACGCGACTCCTTGACACACCGATGCAATAGAACCTGCGCCTCTCACCAATGGAGCCTTGCGCAATATTCTTTTCCGAGATTCCTCTCCACCAAATGAGTGAACAAGCTCGTCACTACGAGTACATCGGCTCACCAAGATTGTACTCCCCTGATCCTGTACACAGTAGCATCAGCCGCCGTCTTCTGCCTGAGGAGGCTATCGATAATGCTCTTTCGCTGGTTCTCTTGTCGGCGGCTGACCCTCGACCTACAGCTGTGGTCGGCTTGAATCGACCTCAGACGCAAAATATCCAGCATTCCTGACACGGACCATTATTGTTCAGGCCTCAATACTGCAATCTCCAATTGTCCACTGTCATATGCAAGCCTTCCGTCCGTCAACCGTCAACCAAGACAATCCAATTCGCCCTGCGGCATGCATATGCAGGCCCGGCCCCATAGTGCTCATCCTACTAGTCCAGCGCATGCGATGACGCCCGCACATACGACCTACTATTCTTGAGCTCAGAAGTTTTGTTGACTCTGCACAGACACCTCACCTTCAGTCGCTCGTTACTATACCAACACCTCACAGCTGGTGAGACTCTGTCCGCCACTTGGACCCCTTTTCGTTGTTTCGTCATCACTTTCTCGCCTTTAAGTTGCAGTACGATTCCTGCAAACTGAATCCTCATCGATGATGCGATAGCGATGTCCTCGTCCCCTTCGTCGGTGAAGCAGAGATCGCCGAAACGGACCTCCCCGGGGAGGACGCCCCTCGCAGAGCGGACACAGTCTCAAGCCAACGAGCTATCTTTCCGGTCCGGTAGAGATGCGCGGGCCGAACAAGAGAATATCAGCATTTACAACACCACTCCTTTTCCAACCAAACCGGCTCATGTCCTGCTACCGAGTTCGATCAAGAAAAAGAAGGACACTCCCGGGTCGAGCACCAGTTTCTTCGGTTTCCCGTGGGAAGTCAACAGTGGGAGGAGCAATGACGGGCAACGGACGCCTCAAGGCGCGGCACGGCAGGGCGTGAAGTTGAAACGATCTGTCAAAGCATTGAGGGAACTCTACGAATCTCAGGCGGAAGACTCTTCTTGTCCTTCAACAGCTACATCACCACCGCTCCGACCGAGCACGGCAAATTCGACGCGACTGAGAAGTGTAAGCTCAAGTGAGAGTCTATCTGGAGCATTTGCGTGGGATTCTCTACGCAAAATCTCTTCTGATGATTTGGCTTTGTTACCGACTTTGCCGGCGGGCAGGCGTCCAGTGAAGAGATTGTCGTCCGGATCATCTTTCATCTCCATTGCGGAGCGCGTGGCCGCCACATCAAGCCCAAACTATAGAGTCCTAGGTGTGACTTCAAGTCCTAGACCACCAGCCTTTCAAGATCTGTCTGGCGCTGTTCTTGAACCGTTTTCAGAGGATCCTAGCTCGAGTATTGCTCAAGACAGCTCCTCAAGTCCAAATATCGTCCGCCTAGCAACTACGTCGAGCACAGAACACCTCCCACTGCCCGATATATCCTCGAGCCCACTCGTGGTTAAATTAGGCACTTCTTCTCCTGGAGGTCCTCGGCATGGAGGCCTGGAATACTCGAGGTTTTCGCGGTCTTCCTCGACATCGTCGAGGAAGCGCAAACGCTCTGAGACCGTTGGAAGCACCCAAAGCTTTGCAGAAAGAGCCGGCGCAAGGAACCCTCTCGCATCCAGTCCACCGTTGGACCCGTACATTCCGACCTCGGCAGCAGCTAGCATCATTTCTCCAGATAACCGTGGGTTTCTTTCTTCGGCGCCTCAAAGCATACGACAGGTAGAGGATTCCCAGGATGAGTCCAGCCCTATCGTGCGAAGAATCGCCAGTAGCGACCTGCCGAGTTCCGATAATAGTTCTCTCTCAGGAACTCACGCCAGCCTTCAAGCCGCTCTTAGCTCGAGTCCTCCTCGAATCCAGTATCCTATCGTACGCGCGCCACCACGAAGCCAACACGTTGGCCTTGTGGTTCCGAAGCGGGCGTCTCGCAGTATGTCCACTGATGGTGGCCGGCCGATATTTGCATCTCGACTTTCAGCAGTGCCATCCGAAGCTTCGAGAGGAATCAAAACTCGCTCCGCAAGTGTAGCTTCGTCCGAGCTCGAGCTAGACGTAGATGACTACTTGCATTCGGACGAACTTGCTCCAGCTTCGGCCTATATCATCAATGACGTTGGTAACCAATCTCAGATTCGGATTGTACTGGACCAGGAGAATGAAAGTCACGAGGCCTCCGACGAGGTGTCAGCCCTTCCTTCGAGCGATGAGGTATACAGATCACCTTCTCATCCTAGCCGCAGTGGCAGCTTTATCTATTCACCGACTTCATCGCAGCAATCGCGACTTAATTCCATGAAATCATTTACGCAGTTACGACATCAACATAGTTTTCTTTCTCGGCCAACTTCTTCAGGAAGCACGAGCACAGCCGCCAATGGTCTCCCAATACCGACGTGGGCCAAGCGATATTACTCGGGCTTTTATCACGACTCCTTCCAATACCTGTACGCCAGTAACTCCCAAGCGAATTTGCATAATCTAGCCCTGTCGCCGAGCCGAGTATCACGGCCAGATGATCCAAATGCCCAAGTCAGCGACAATGGCAGCCCGCAACGACCACGTAGCTTTCACCAGGTGTTGACGGAGCGTGTCGAAGCCCTACTCAAAACCCGTTCCCGTCCCCGTGTTGAAGCCAGAAAGTCACATATCATCCCCGGCGTGGGACCACTTGTGTCCAACCCAGTCCGCGAACAACCCGCGACTGCAGCTCTGCATCAACGTAGTCAGACATATTCACTCTCCCGACAGCAAACGCCCACCGCGCAGAATCACAACCGATCTCTCTCTGCGCCACTTTCTCCTGCTGATCCTCGTGCTCATTGGGCTGGCGTGGTAGAAATACACCAACAGCCACTGCTCCATGGTCGCTCCTCCTACACCATCCACCACACGCACTACCGTCGATACAGCAACGGCGGATACAGTGTCAGTCCTTCCGAAAGCCAGTCCGTCATCTACCATCCTTCACCGGTCCATCAAAGGACATCTCGGCGCTGGTCAGGGTCGCCGCATTTGCACCACGACAACCGGCTCAACACTGGGTCTAGCGCGTCGAGGGGGTTCGGGTTTCCATTCAACTCGCACAGCCGTTGGACGGCACCCAGCATCATCACCACACGATCTGGCGGCTTCATGCCGCGCGCCAACCTGCGCAGCACTCAAGTTGCCTGTTTCGCGCTGGGCTTTGTCGTGCCTCTGACTTGGTTCGTCGCTGCGTTCCTCCCGTTGCCACGTCGACCCAGCTCGTATGCCGATCTGGAGAAGGCAGCATACGCCAACGCCATCTCCCACGCCGCGAGGGGTTCGGAGCGCACGTCGAGGCAGCAATACATGCCACCCGAGGAAGCGTTGAGTGAGTGGGAGCAGATGGACGTCCTGGCGCGACTGCGCACCGAACGACAACTCGCCGGCGCGGCCGAGCTGAAATTCCAAAACGCCCGGTGGTGGCGAAACCTGAACCGCTGGATGTGTGCTGTCGGCGTGGTTGTCTGCGTCTTGATTATCGTCCTTGCCGTCTTGGGTACCAGGAGGAAATGGTAAACTGCTGCTCGAGCTTTACGGGAGCATCACAAGATTTCTAGAATTCTTTTCTCGTCTACCTCTTTTATACCCCCCGGGTTTTCTTTTTTCTTGAAGTGTTGGATTTAGCGGGCGTTTTCTCTCTCTCTACGTTTGTGATCGGCACTCGTCTTGCCCTTCTTCTTTTGTGTCTTTTAAACCCCCCAGAAATTTTTCTGATGGGTTTCACCACCTTCCCAGCCCCTTTTTGTTTTTCCTTTTTCACTTATATCTCTCTCGGTTCTCCCTCTGGCTTGGTGTGAGCCCATGGAAAACGGACTTGACGAAACGAAGGACTTTTAGACAGAACAGTGTACTATATATATATACCTCCTCAACAAATCATGACGAAAGATGTGTTTCTATTTACTGTGTATAAAACATGAAATTGAAATGGATGTAAATTGGCCGTGGTCTTTTATTCGATGATGTACAAATACAAATACACTCTTTCGCTACTTCTCCATACGCTATGTTGTTGCAACAGCTTCTGTATACAGGTTCACTACTCCCTGGACCACGGGAAAAGATCGACAATGGCTTGAAAGATCTGGATCGACCCTCGTTTTTCCCTCCCTCCGTGACTAAGTGTGACGGACGGTCTGGGCGGGGAGTGAGTGAGTTGTGAAGACTGTCAATCGACCAAATTTCGAAAAATCTCTACTTGTAGGGCGAGTCCAACGATGTGCGCGCCACATTAGAACCTGGTGCCTGGATCATCATCAGACCGTACTTCGATACTCGTATGTCTCTTTCCACTTCTCTTCTTTTGTTCTTCCTCATGTTTCAGGACTCAACCTCGGTCAGCGGACATGACCATCGACGGCACTTCCCACGGTCATAAGAACACACTGGCGTGGGATTTGAGAGTTCAAGTGACTGTCTTCTCGAGGCGTAGTCTTTATTCCAAATTTCAACTGGCCCGGAGCCTCACAGGATAGCAATCGCCTTCACGTCTTACTAACATTTTCCGTAAGAGTTTGCAAAAAAGGGTTCGAGTTTTCGAAAAAGACTGCGGCGGACCTGACTATCCCCCCCCCCTTTTTTTCCACATGGGTCCAACGATTTGTTTCGTCTGTCAAACCAGGTCCTGGTGTTCCGGCGCAACGTTCGTGCCCCAAGACAGCCATTCAGACATTGAAATCCGGATATTCGTTGGGCCGAGAAACAGAGACCAAGACTTGAAAAGTGTGGAGGCAATCCAAAAGAAGGAAACCTCGTGGGCCTTTTTACACTGGAAGCTTGAAGCTCTTTCCTTTGAGGACCCTATCACGAGAGAGAGAAAAAAAAAGTGTCAGTTCTCCCAAACAACCCCGGTCGAATCTGGAACCGAAAGAAACTCACTTCGTGTAATAGACCCAGAAAAAGTCAGAGTACAGGATTGTCTGGATGATGCCGGCAATGACCGGGATGGGGTCGAAATGGCCCTCTGCAAAGTAGCGATAGATCCAGTTGGGGATGTACAAGGCTCTGTAGATGCCCAGGGCGAACAGGTAGTGGGTGGTGATGGTCTCGGCTTCCCCCGTCCGCTGCAGCATGAACAGTTGCGGCAAGATGGCGACACTCTCCAACCAGAGCGAAAAGGCCCAGAGCATCTCGGAGATGGTCCATTTGTAGGGGAACAGGATGGCGAGGACGGCGGAGCTGCCCGTGAGGTACGACACGCGGAAAGTGTCCAGGTTAGGGTCGTGCGTGGGTTTGTAGTCATTCAGCATCACCCAGAGGGTGTACGCGGAAGACGAGAGGAAGATGATTTTGAAAATGGTGTTCCATGCACTGTCGGTAAATGTCCAAAAGAGATCTGTGTTTCGAAGTCTTGTCAGCAAAACCCCTTTCCCCTTGAGACCGAGTGTTTTTTTCTCTCTCTCTCTCTTGTGTCTGGAAGGTATGTGGGCACCAACCAAGGTATCTCGTCAGGTAGACGAGGAAATAGAGGGCTTGCGATTTGAATGAGATTCCTGAGCAGGACTGCGGTTGAATGGAATTAGCGCAACCGTAACGTCGTAGCTTGTAAGGGGAGGAGAGAGAGAGTACGTACGTTGGTCACTCGCATCTTATGAAGGAGGATGAAGATGGAAAAGAGGTGTGACAGGTCAGCTGTGTGTTTCCAAAGCAGTCAGCTTCGAATGCGGTTTTCATCTCGTTGAGCGTGTTTGTAGTCTGCAGTCGTAGAATTGACATACCGAGTAACCTGAAGAGATTCATCTTGAGGTGCGGGTTGCGCAGTCAAGAGACCGCAGGTACACAACAAAAGAGACGATGGATGGGATCGAAAAGCGGTAATTGTTTCGTAGGAGGCTGTGAGACGTTGGATGGTTCGTTGATGGAGAGGACGCGTGAGACTGTGAGAACAAAATGGTGAGAGTGAGAGTTGTCGCATTCAAAGGAGTTTTTGGTACGAATAGCGAGTAAATGAGATGCCAGGCTGTTCAACAATCTTTTTTGTGGAGAGACGCGAAGAGGTACGAGTAAAGAATCGCGTCGTAGGTGACCGTGTTCCGTACTGCTACTCCTTACTCCGTACAGTACGTTAAAATAAAATAATCGAAGGCCCTGGATTCGCAGTGAGCAACTATCCTTTCTTAATTGTTACTCTCTGTCGTGTGTCAAAGGATTAATCATTAACCAGAATCCAAACAGCGCAGCAAATGCTCAACTTCCCCTGAATACGTGTCGCAGTCACGTGCAATGGGAAAGAGAGAGATAAAAGTCTAGAGAACCCTGGAGGCACACTCTCGCTTCATACCGATTGAATCTGAAAGGACATCTTGATTCTATTGAGCATTGAGTACTAAATACTACTTACTCCTACCTAAAGCTATTTAGTAGGCGGAGGGACATACAAAGTATTAATGCCCTTTGCTTAGATGACCCATACCAACCCCGAACGTAGATACCTCTGCCTCATTCACACCAGAAATATTACTCTGATGGAGCAGAAAGTGCAATCCCGAAATACAATCCTTGTTTGGACTGTTGAAGTCATCTAGGGGCTTTCGTTTGTCGTCGTCATGAAAAGAGCAACACCGTTTTTTTATTCTCGGAACAGCCTTTGAAATATGTCTCCCATTTTTGGATGCGCCGAATGAGTACCTCTGCTGTACTCGCTCAACCCCTCTTCAAGGAGAATTCACAATCTCTGTTACTGATAATACAAACCCTTCCAAACCTAAGAAAAGTATGACGAAAAGGGCCCTTGGTCTGGCGAGGAGTCGTTGACCGTGTGTGTGATGTTATAGGCCCCGTGACAATAAGACAGGCTTCGGACGATGTCGATGCCACTGTGTCAAGATTCAAAGTTCCACACAAAAACTCCCACAGAAGGGCCGACCGGGGAAGTCGTAAACGGTAGATGTCGTTCAAGGTGATCAACAGGAAAACACTCAAAGATAGTGAGGTCCAGTTTTGGAATCATAACCGTGGTCTGTCGAACCATGCCCGTGTGCTGTATGGCCTGAAGCAGTCAAACTATATGCATTGGAAGAGGTCGAAACACTGGAAAAACTACCATTGACAGATGAGAATGACATCCCAGTAGGTGCGCTGTCGGCACAGGTGATGGGCATAGGCGGCATGGTGTTGTACACTTCTTGTTTGATATTGTTACTCGGTAAACGGTTGCTTTCCATGCTATCCTGTTGAGGCGACAACGGAGTCATCCAGCGATTCTGTTGTTGGAAAGCCGCACTACTGGGAAATCCTGCAGACAGCAATGGCAAAGTCACGTTGGTGGTGGTGGATCTGCTCGACGTCGAGTTCTTTCTGGAACCAGACACAGCACTGTCCTCTGGCGAATGCGAATTCATTCGGGCCTCGGGGCTCCTCTCCAGCTCTGGTGGTGAATTACGTGCGGTGCCTCTCCGAACCTGACAAGTCGGGCACAGCTTGACGAACCTGGAGATCAGTTCTTTCGGCACCCTATGAAATTAGATTAGTGGCACTGTTCACCATGTAGCTCTGAGGACAATCCTACCAGGAATATACACGTCGGACCTGGGCAGAGGTCTTGTCACGTCCTCCATGTTGGCATTGCTTGTGTGCTTTGGTAAGTATCTTGAACAGCTTCTCTCGTACTGCTACCGGCTTGCCTTCGTGGCAGATTTTTCGGTGCTGATACACGAGTCATCAGTCAAGGGGCATGATGCCTGACGAGGCCAACTCACCTCGGGTGGTTTTCCATCGGCTAATTGAAGCGTGAACATCTTCTTCACCCAGAATCTAGGAAAGTTAGCCTCGACATTCCTACGGCATCGATTGTTTTCCCCGAGAACAGTGCACTCACCTGAATTGCGCCGATTCAATCGAAGTGGTCTTCTTGTCAATCAGGACGTGTCGAATATTGGCAGCTCTTCGAGCATTAATCAATGCCTTATCCTGTTTCTTTGGAGACAGGTCTTGGACATAACTACATTCGTTCAGGTTTGCGTCTCTCTTGAACTCTCACAAAGCACTCACCGCTTCATCAATTCATCGAAATCGTGAACATTCGGATATCCCTCCAAGGGAGGTATGACGGGTTCAGAGAGCATTGTATCTTCGTTCGGAGAGTCTTGACATTCAGTACCGTCCGCATGGCTGTAGTCCCGAGGAGACATGATGCGCTGGTGAAGGGGCGTTCGATGATTGGAGGAAGACCCCGTGTAGTAGGAGGATGATGGGAGCGCACGCGACTGGGATGGTAGGGTAGGGACTCGGGTGCTTGTGATGGGGTACTGAAGAGGCAAGGCAGTGACATTGGGCATATACATGGAACTCGAGTGACCATTGTGCGTAGGTGTAAAAGCCGTCGAGTATGCTGGATATTGCGTGTTGACGGCCTGATACGGAACTTGACCATTGCTGTAGAGGTAGTTGAGACCGTTACCATTGGAATAATGCGACATGGCGAGTTGCTGATTGTGAAAGAAGGTGTTGTAATCCTGACTGCTTCGTGGCGCATAGTCGGTCATGCTTGAAAGTGCAACAATTGATAGAACGCCAGTCAAACTCCAACCTGACGGAAGAACACAGATTCTATGTCAGGCTCTGGATGCTGTGACGGCTGTCAATGAGGGTTGATTTGGACAGTCGGTGGGCGTAAGCGTGGTTGATAGCAGGTCTCTAGAAGTCTCCTAGGATCGTCCACTAGAGTACAGAGAAGGACAGGAGGGGGGAACGAAAGACGGAAAATGCTATCAGTCAAAGATCCTGTAGATGATGATGAGACGACTGATTGGAAAAAACAGGCTTCGCGCGATATAATGAGGCAAAATGGATGGATGGTCCCTGATGTGAATCCGAGTATAAAACAGAGAGTGAAATAAAATGTTCAGAGTCTGACTACGGCAAGGTGCAGAGTTGATATTGGGAGCAGCAGAGGAAATGATGGAAGCCAAAGGCGGAGCAACATGCAGACGAGTGTGGAATTGACCAGGGATCCAGAGTCCGTAATCCAGCTCGCGTGGATGCGCCCTGGGGATGTGGCCAAGGGAGGCAGACCAAGGTCGCTGATGAGCGACCCTCAACAAAATGTGTCCAGGGGTCATCACGCCTGGGTCCATGGGCAGGCGAAAATGGGTTGCTTTGGATACACGAGCAAAAGGCGAGGCGTTGTTTGTGAAGGAATGGTGGCGATTCCAGTCGTCACAAAGCCTGAACCCACCAGGACTTTGCCCAATCCGGTCTCGCCTTCATTCGAGCAGCCTCGTTATGCTGTGCCTTATCGTGCTCCTTGATCATCCCTGCGCCCTCGGATCGACCCGTCTCGCTTCTTCTGGCCATTTTGACTTACGAGCCTGTCATATGCGAGCCATACATACATGCGTTGCTACAGGCGTGGTGGAGTGTCGGGGAGACGAAGCAAATCCGACTCGGCAATCTCCAGAGTCACGGACTTCGAATTCGAGCGATGATTGACTCCCAGCATAAGTATCTCCATGTTGTAAAATAAATTGTTTATTTCTCCAATGTATTTTCTGGGGGCCAGGCGACGCCGTTTGGTGGGAAGCAGAATTCGGCCGGCACCTGCATACAGTGGCAGAATCATGGCTGAAGATTGATTGACCGCCCATCCACCCACGGGCATGAGAATTTGGACACGCATACGAACAAGCTTGCTTTCTCAGCGATTCTGGGCGCCGGCAAGACGACGCGAATCTCAGAAAGATGCCTAGCAAGCCCTGGGGTCCCCGGGTAAGAGTAACTCGCCTGCACTTTGAACAGGGCTCAGAAGCCAATCAGACAATCGTAAGTACCTGTGCCCTCAGACACACTGTCGAAGATGACCAGGGTGACCCGGGTTTGTGAGACGTCCGCAGCCGAGCCAGCCAAAAGGCGCCGTCCGGCCCCCAGTCAAGTCTCAGGCTGTCTAATGACCCTGGAGAAGACCTTGAAGACGATTCCAGAGACGAAGACGGAATAGTACCATCATTGATGTGGTGAGGATTGCCGGTGGCTTGTAGAATGTTTGCTTGCAAGTGTTTGACCATCAAACAAATTTTGGCACTCTGCAGGGGAATTCTCGAGTGCGTCGTTGGAAGTGGCTACCGATGCTCGCCGACATTTGATTGATCAACTTCGTTTGTACGGACGAAGTACGAAGCGCAGATGGATGCGGAAACCAGAACCTGGTCACGTGTATTATGTAATCACGTGTCGCCCCCTCGTATCTCCCTCCTAGCAATCAATGCGCGTCTCACTTTTCGTAACCGGTACTCCTACGAGTAGTTTGGTTCTAATTTCTCCTGAGCGGCGTTGGAGTGATGTATGCAGGCCGCATCGACGGATACATGGCAGTCTGCATCAAACCGACACACACTCTGCCGCTTTAATGTGGGTCATGAGGTCGTTGTCCTTGCACCGACATGCCTGAGATGTCTCAATACTTGCAAGATACGACGCGGTTCAAGCGAGAATCCAGTGGAGGCTGAGCAAAGCACGTGTCGACCATGGAAACATCGGCATTACTTGTCCTCGAAAGACTGATCCAATCTCCAGGCTTGAAAGGAGTGCCCTGTCTCTACAACATACCCCAGCATCTTTCAGCCACATTTATGTTTCGTCAAAGTTTGTCAAAGGAAGACTTCACTAGCTAAACCAGAGTTGATCATATCCATGTTGTCGCCGCCACAACATCGTCCGTGATCTCGAACTCAGACGTGGTTCCCAGCGAATACCGAAATCACCATGTCTTTGATGTCCAGATCTATCAAAACCAAGCCAGCCGCAAGTTGCAGCCCGGAGCCCTCAAATCCCTGCTCATGTTGCCTACAAAGGCTGTACCTAATGAAGTAACGGGTGTAGGTTCATGATTATTCCGTCAAGTCGTCGCCTCATGTCACTTTTCGTTTGAGCAGCAGCTTTCGTCTACTGCGGACCCTGCCACGTGGTTCGGTCTCACTGAAGTCAGTCATTGAGTGGAGGAAAGCATCAACACGTATGTTGTACGGTTACCCAGGCTAACCCGCACTGCATGCATCCTCCTCGAATAAGGGAGGGGCGGTTTTTCTTCACTCTGCAAGTGCTATTCCGGTATGACCAGGTAGGCTGTCACTCCAGACAAGTGCTTTTGCGCCTTCCGTGTTGAGCTCTTGCTTCGCTTGCAGGATCTTATCATGTCTCAGCCTGATACTCATGCCCTGCACTTCGGTAATCTTCTCAATGATACCTGGCCCTGGCTGTCAATAGGGAACCTCAAGATAACCCCCAGCAATCTAGATCTAACACGACTGTCCCGGGGCAGCTGCAAGGCCACCATCCACTGGGGCTCGACTTTGGAGCTGTTGCTTCATTTGGTAATGACCGAAGACGATCCCTTAACCGATCATCCAGACGGCAGACACCGTCGCACAAAGGTGGGTATATGACTGGAGTTTTTTTGCTCGGGCAACCTCACTTTGTGTTCCCAGAGGGCGATGGTGATGATAAGTGGATTTTGAATGGTTTTATTGGCTTCGGGCGGTGAGAGAAGTGCTCTGATGGCCGCCCAGTACTGGAAGTACACCGAGAATGCTGTTTCCGAGGTGCTTCGTGGCTGCGTGGAGTTTACGGGTAATGGGCGCAGAAGCCTTGGGTCATGGTCGCCGTAAAAGATCTTCCCACCGACTATCCTTGCATACGAATTGATTCCCCACAGGCTGTCCGTGGATCATTCAGATCTTCCTCTCGCGCAAACCTCTCGTCCCTTCTTGGAATGAAAAGCTGCCGGTAGTTACATAGTAAGTTCATGCTTGGAGCAGCAAAGTGCGATTTCCCCTGTACCTGAACAGCCCGCCCCGGGTTAGGAATGGTTGAGTATGTCGCTGGAGGCAGGCAAGAAGGTGGATTCAACCCTTTGTTGTTCCTTTCCCCTGCAGTGTGATCCTTGGGTGAGAAAGCGGTGTATGCACATACACAGCCCTGTTCCAGACCGGGGGTTGTGAGCAGCAGGCTATCAACTACACAGTTCCGGGCCCTTTTTGCTGTTCTCTACATCAATGCACGCAACTCTGCAATTACATGTCTCGAACTGACCAATTCGCACTGGATACAGTTCATCCACGGATTCAATGGCTTATGTTTTATCATGGTGACTAGGATTGACGGTAGACTTTTCCTGCTGTCTGAGTACATTTTGGTCCATATCAAGGGGTTTCGGGACAGGGTATGGCCTCTCCTCTACTCCTCATTACATGGTCAACGCTTGAATCGGCACGACGCTAAACATAGTCAGGGGTCTATCTTCCTCCAGGTGTGGTGAAATTTCTCAAACTCTCTCTTGACTGTGCATCGGCAAATGCGGGCTTCCACCTTCTTTGTGGTTGGTGTTTTTTCCCACCCCGGGAGGCGTGAAATGTTGTACACTAGGATGGAGGACGGGGTGGGGAGGGGGGCAAACATGACACAGATGTAATTGCCTATTCTGCAGCGTCCGCAGTTTTGGTAGGAATCTGCTTTCTGCAGAGGTTTGTTTCTCCCATGTTGGTTGGTGAATTTCCCTGCATCGCCTACCAGTAAAAGAAAGGGAAACTTAAAGCATAAAAGTCTTGCTTTCGTTTTTAGCCCTGAAGCAGCAAAAATCTTTCTTGACGCGTCGAATTTTGACTCTGTCTGTCTCCTGTTGTGTGGCATAATGCATCATGCTTTACCGACTAGTTGTTGTGTGGATGATGGTGGATACAGTACGACCAGGAAGAAGGTTGTTCCCATCCCCTTTGGCCCTTGGGTAAAAGGGTCAGTATGCACTGTATGTATGTGTGTGTGTGTGTGTGTGTGTGTGAGTCCCGACCAAGTCGTTCCGTTCTTCTGCCATCCTGGGATATGACAGATCCATCATATTAACTGTCGTGCTCCTAGTGTGGTTTCTTAACATGACTTGCTGCATGCCGGTTTGAACTCGGTGGACGATAGGAAGTAACAACCCAGAGAGAGACGGCGATAGGCATTACGCACACCCACCTCTACATTACGCACATGGATACCTACTAGGGTTATAGCACCGAAGTACCCCCTAAGTACCATTCCTTGGTATCAATATGAGTTAAATGGTAACCGCCGAGATACCAGTACATCAAGAGATATTCGTAAGGACTGTAACAACGACTAAATTCCTAGTCATATAGTTACTCGGCCGTGTGCATTTTGCAAATCAATCGCCTATAGCGAATGGCAATGGGCACGACTTCAGTGAGATATACATACCTTAATGTAGAGGTGGGTGTGCGTACTCGTAATATCTATTCGCCCTCCGGAGTACTCCGTATGCTAATACGAATACGAAAGTCCACCTAACTGATAATCGGACAACTTGCCTAGTTGGACCTAACTATGTAATATATCGAATCTCCGCAAAAAAGTATGTCGTGAGAGTGCTGAAACGTCTGCGACTCCTACGCACCAACATGGATTCATGACCTGTGATCAACTCTGTTCCTTCATTTTACACCTTTTCTAAGCTGAATGGGCTACTTGGCTCTATGAGTAGGTGTCTGTCGCCTTACTGAACAAACAGCAACACAACTATTCCACTCTCTCTGCCTGACTCTGTTCTCCTTTGTCCAGATGAGTCAAAACAACCCAAAAATCTCCTCTTCCAACAACATCTCCCCCCTCCATCCGAAGCCTCATTCCGCAATACCCTCGCACCTCTTGAATGGTGGATCTCCTTTACACTCTCCCCCAACGACCAGTAGAGCCCAGGAACGCGAGAATCTTGCCTCGTCTATAAAAAGCACTTACGGGAGGAGAAAAACAATAGATCTCGGAGGGCCGCAAAGCCCTCCGAGAAACACGAGTAGTACGTCCTGGCTCGGACTTGTGGACGGTCCAAGCAACCACGATGAGAAACAGCCTGTCAAGTCACACGAGCCGGCACGAGACGAACGTGATGAAGCACCCATGACCCCTCCTGCGTCTCTTTCTCGGCCGGCAAGCCCTTACACTCTGAACCCTCCTATCGACTTCGACGGATTGAGTTGGCCCTGCATCGGCACACGCGAGAGGCGGGAGCAAACGCCAGAAGAAGCACAAGCCCGTCTTGACAAGCTTGCGGGCGCAGTGAGGACCATTTTTGAATGTATCGGTGAAGACCCCGAGAGGGAAGGGATCCGCGACACGCCGCAAAGGTATGCCAAAGCGCTCATGTACTTCACCAAGGGCTACGAGGAGAACGTGCGGGAACTGGTGAACGGCGCAGTCTTTCACGAAGATCACGATGAGTTGGTCATTGTCAAGGACATTGAAGTCTTCAGTCTGTGCGAGCACCATATGGTCCCCTTCACCGGCAAGATGCACATCGGGTACATCCCCAACAAGCGAGTTCTCGGCCTAAGCAAGTTGGCGAGACTGGCAGAGATGTTTTCTAGAAGACTCCAGGTCCAAGAACGGCTGACTAAGCAAGTGGCACTGGCGATTGCAGAGGTACTGAAACCTCAAGGCGTGGCTGTTGTGATGGAGAGCAGTCACCTGTGCATGGTCATGAGAGGGGTGGGAAAAACGCAGAGCAGCACGACGACAAGCTGCATGCTCGGTGCCATGAGAAGCAGTGCCAAAACGCGGGAGGAGTTTCTGACCCTCCTCAACCGCAAGTGAGGAACGATGGAAGCCTGATCTATTCTCAGACCACCAGGATATGGTATTGAAAGGGTAGGGCAGATCAGTCATCGATTCATTCAACATAACAATGATATCGCTCAACGTCGATTGTCATTTATTTCAGGGCCAATTTGGCCCGATGGATTCAACACACATAGCGTGTCGCTCAACATCGACGTCGTTTCCGGGGATTCCGCAGAAGAGCAAAAGGTCGAGTTTTACCAGTTTATGGCGATATTGCGCACACCAGTCATGCTTGTTCCCTATACAAGTTTTTACATGTTGCGATCACGGGCTCCCTTTGCATCGAACACGTCGAGACCAGGAGGGAAGAGTCTCAGTGAGACACCACATTACACTGCTTCAGACAGCTCCTGACATTTCGGGCTTGGGCAGAATACGGGTGTCACCGAGTCCTTGTGCCCCGTTTGCACCTTTGTGTACTATATAGTATGAAGGGATACCGACAAGGTACGCTTGAGCGGCCGACGGACAATGTCGCTCTCGAGTTGTGCTGACCAATTTCAAGAACTCAGTTACAGCACATGGTTCTCTAAACAAGTCGAAGTTGTTCTGAAGAAAGTGATTTTTGAATACTATGGATCTACTCCGTAATGCCAGAGGCATCGACGGGATTTAGCTATGCAAATACCTCAGGTATGCAAGTAGTCGTGCTCCGTTCTGTGGTCCCGCCGTAGACAAGCTGACTAAGTCGTTGATATTAATTTAAGTAAACCACAATATGAGATACCAACAAATACCAAGGGACGGAGTACTCCTTATCACCTAATGATATTCGATGAAGTCAATCTTCTCATTGTCTTTTGCCCTCGGCCTTTCTCTACTCGGGTACCTAGGTACTTGTATCATTTATGGTTTGCCAGAAAACCGATAACAAACCCCTCCCAAGCGTTGATTCCGTACATCGTCGCGCGACTATATCGCCGAGATAAAGTGCAACCATCACCGACCAGAACCAAACATGGTACGCAAGATTCGCTTGGGCGTCATTGTCCCATCTTCCAACACGACGCTCGAACCGCTCACGTCCGCCATGGTGTCCTCCATCGACGACCCCGGCCTGGACGTGAGCGTCCACTACTCGCGGTTCCGGGTGACGACCATCGACGTCTCTCGCGACGCCGACGCCCAGTTCCAGCTCGGACCCATGCTCGCCGCCGCCCGTCTCCTCGCGGACGCCGAGGTGGACGTGATCGGCTGGAGCGGTACGTCTTCGGGGTGGTTGGGGTTCGACAGGGACGAGGCTCTGTGTGGAGCGATCCGGGACGCGACCGGGGGGATCCCGGCCACCAGTTCGGTCCTGGCCATGAATCGAATCCTCGACGGCATCCGACGAGGCCGCCGCCACGGAGACGGAGACGGGGACGGAGACGGAGACGGGGACGGAGACGGAAAAGGGGAGGGGCGGGGAGTCACCGTCAAGGTGGGACTCGTGACGCCTTATGTTTCGGCTCTCAACGACGCCATCCGTTCCAACTACTCCTCGATCGGGTACGAGATCACGCCCGCGCGGGAAAGACACCTGGGTATGACCAAGAATACGGATTTCGCGGACATCGCCGAGTCTACGCTGGACGGAATGGTGGAAGGGGTCGTCGAGAAGGGGGGAGCCGACGTCGTCGCCATCTTTTGCACCAACCTCGCCGGGGCCAGGAGGGCGGCACACTGGGAAGAACAGCAGCAGCAGCAACAGCAGCACCGGCGCATCGTGGTTCTCGACAGCGTAGCCACGACGGTATGGGGTATGTTGCGAACGATCGACGTCGATCCTGCTTGCGTAAAAGGATGGGGTTCGATTTTTTCGACACCCTACGATACACACAATGCACACTAACCACCTGAGCAACCCACAAGGTAGAACGAACAGCTCCCAACACACAACGTGACTTGGCGCCAGGGACCTTTGATTTACCTCTGTCAGGACGCCCTTGGTCATTTACCTAGGTCCCCACGTTCATTAATCCTCCGGGGAGCCCTACCTCCAAAAGGATGTCTGCCTAACGAGTAACCCCATGGGTGCCTAACAAGGTGCACACAATTTGGTGCCTAATGAGTACCCAAATATTTGAGATCTGAAAGTGTCTCTCCCACTCCCATCTCCACCCTCGAGATCCTCCTTCCCTCCATTCGCTAAGGCCGTGTGTGCCTTGTTGCCGGACCACGTACGGAGTACGAGTATGGGGCGATCAGAGAGGGTCCCCATGACGGGAACAACCTGCGGCAGTATGATGGCCTTACTTACAAGGGCTGCATACCGAGATCCCGAAGCCGTCCCTCTCCACTCCTTTTGTCTCGACCAAGAGAAAAAAGAAAAATGGATACTCCATTATCTGCCTTTTATCGAAAATCAAATCTTTGGATCTGTCTTAGATGGGAACTCAAAGCTTCCTGAAGGATCTTTCTGGTTTTGACTCGCACCTCATTTACCCGCCATCTGTGATATACCCACCGTGTATGGAGAGCACAACCTGAGGAGTGGAGAGGGGGAGGACTAGGGACTCGAGAGGAGGCGTGATCCTGGTCTCGCGCAAAGGTCCATCCCAACTTAAAATGAATACCTTATATTCGGAAGCTTGAATCAGAGTTTTGACAAGTTTTATATTTCGGTTTTTTGTCTCTGCTGTCGATCAGTCACTGCGGTGGGCCTTGTAATTCCAGGTCCACCAAATAGAGAATCAAGCTCGTCAACAGCTCTTGTTAGGTCTTGTCAGAGTTTGTCGTCCGGAAGTGTATGCAGAGTGGGGGATCTCGTATTTTTTGTTACGCGGATCCTGAGGCCGCAAGATGAACCAAAAGTACATGAAAGACTATTTTGGGACGCTCGAGGCTGCAGTCTTGACATCCCCCCCATCCCCTTTTACTGGATTCTTCAAACCTTGCCCCTTAAGTGTGTGTGTGGACTTGGCATCAACCTCGCTCCTATCCCCCGGCACAGGAAACACCATATAGAATTTTATGTCCTTGTTATCCGCGTAAACATGTACAGATAAAATCATATGAGTCGAATGATGGAAGTTTGTGTTCCAGAGGTGACAAGGCTTGGGAACTTCGTCGCCTCGTACATACCATTCGACATGTAGCCTAGAGCCCCATGAATTTCGGCGGGAACCCTATCATATCAAAGAAAAATCACACTGCATAATTAGAAGAATTTTTCGTACAGCGGATCTCTCTCTCCTTCATCAATTTCACGCCAGTCGTATTCCAGGTCCTTTGCCAACGATCGTGCCACTTCCAAACCGCCGTAGAAATGCGAAACGAATGCCAAAGTTCCGTCCATCTGCAGGAGCTCAGTCAGGGAAACGGGTTTCAGCAAGAGAAGAGAACAACAGGATACGTGGAAAAAGGTCACAATCAAAATGAAAGAAGACAGGAAGGAAAAGGAAAGAGAAAACTAAGGGAAAAGCTGTCAACCATCACCAAAACTTACACCAGCGCTAATGCCAGCCGACGTCCAGATCTCGATGGACGACGACGCACTTTCTGGCGCCTCAGATGGGAGACTGCGAACCCATCGGGCCCCATGTTGCCACGATACACCGCGATTCTGTCTAGCGACGTCGTCGAAACGAGACATGTTTGTCGTGGCGCGACGGCCGTTGAGTAAACCTGTAAGAGCGAGGGCGTAGGAACCCGTGCACACCGTTATGATGGCAGTGCTGATGTGAGGAAACACCTTGGGAAGAAAGTCGAGCAAAGGTTGAATGTTGGAAGATTTGCTGCCATCTGAATGAATTCGCGTCAGCCGTGTGCCCACCCCGCCTGGAATGAGTATGACATCGAGAACCGGCTTGTCCGCGCTGGCGGTTGAGCCGAGAGCCTCCAAATAATCTGTGTATGTGGTGTCTGGCTGAAGATACTCATTGAATGTCGTATTGGTTTTACCGTTCGTTTGCGGAAATGCGCCTTCCAGGTCGAATGACCAGTCGGCGGATTTTAGCGCGATGGGTTTGACAGGAACAGGGTCGAGGCTCTCCGAAATGAATTTCAACGAGAGGTTCGGCTGGTGCTTGGATGAGAGCAGGTTGAGGATGTCCAGTGGACCAGCCAAGTCCAATAACTGAAAGCCTGGAAAGATGGGTACGATGAAGTGTAATGGGGTTGAAGCAGCAGCAGCAGCCATGATGGTGACTAAGATCGTAGACGGTATCGTCGACGAAGATCAAGTTGAGAGATCAAGGAAATCCCTGTGGTTCAAGATGGGAGAAAGAGTCTCATACAAGCACAGAGAATTGGGGATCTGGTTGACTTGATATGCCTCAGGGCTGTTGTGTTGTGGCTCACAAAAAAAAGACGAGGATCATCAGAACGGGATGGACTTTCCTGTTCGGGCTGCATTACCGTTTTCGGTCTCGATGAAGCAGCATGTCACTAGGCCGAGAAGAGCTTGACACTGATGACGACCGACGGGCAACGACGAGGAGGAGAGGTAAGAAGGACAGAACTGATACGGAGTGTGTGACTTGCAAATGGGACAGAAAATCAGTCTTTACAATGACAGAATCTGATATACCGCAGAGGGTTTGTATCATGGCTACAGACGAAAACCACAGGAGGACTGACACAGACTACTACTCCCCTTATTTACCTAAGTCAACCGCCTCTGCACAGAGGTGCCTACACCTGTATTGTCACAGAAATACGCAAAAATCCTTAGCCGAATGGTTTAGAGACCCCCTTTTGCCATCGAAGATTACGAAGAGCCTCACCAGCCTCACCGACATCACTACAAGCCAGTCATCCACACCGACCATGCCCAAGAGCTTTCCGTAAACCCCCTTGAAATCCTCTCCCTCTCTCGGTGACCAAGAGGCACACACACAGCACACTGCGTACTCGCTCGAAAGCACACAATACCCCCAGGCTATTACCGCCCAACACTAAAAGCAAAAGGCCCTCACGACCCAAACAGTGTGATGGGCTCCGATGACTATTGATGACTACTCTGCCAAAAATCTACCAGATATTCAACGCCTGCCTTTACCCCAATCAAGGGAAAAGTTGACATTCTACTGAGGTCTATTTTGTCAGTGGACGCCCATGGGCCAATCGCTTCAGTGGTGTCAATCACTTACGAGTACGAGTGTATCGTTGACAAGGCCATCGTCAACTCCACCACCGCAAAGGCTCGACTTCGGATTATAATACCGGATCGTTACTGATTGAAGCGTACCCCAAAAAGGAGACCGACGAGTAACGAAAACGACTCCGCCCAACCTGGGGACGGATCACTCAGTGAGGATCCGGTATGAACTTTTTTCCTCGCATGTCTCTCATCTGACAACTCAGCAACCACCGAAAACGCCAACTCTGTTGTCGACAGCTGACTCTTTCATCGAACATGTGCTCGCCTCCGTTGGATCCCCGGGCCTATCCAGCTTGCATCCCTCTCGTGATTTCCAGCCACACGAACGCCGCACTCGACTTGTCACCCGTTGCTATGAGTTCTCGCCCTTCATCTTCCCCTTATTAATGCACAAGAAGATCCATGACTATCATGATTTGCTTGTACTGTCATTGAAGCGCATTGTCTGCCTGATCCATTGAATTCTCCTTTCATCAATGGCCCACACACGTGGTTGCGTTCTTGAATGCACGATTTTCGGTTTGTTCATTCTTTGGCTTTGTATTTCAATGAATCTAAACCTACGCGCCGCCTTTTTACTATCACCATTTATACTTGGATCGATACACAATCATCGTCAAACTCAGTCCTTCCATGCCTCCACTTTCAGGCAAACCAATCATTTATTGCTCCCGTTATTTCCCATTATTTCAGCGGGTTCTACTTCTTTGGCAGTTGCACCCAAACATACTGACATTCTAGGGTTCACGGTTCCGACGACTCCTGTGGCTCCTCCTGCGATATATCACTTCATGCGGATCTCTCATTTAGCCTTCGAGGACCCTTCCGACAGTTTCTTTCATGGGCAGGGAAAAGAGGCAATACGTCCCCTGTCAACGACTCACACCGCTTATCAGGCTTCCTCCTCTTTGAGGACTTTTACGGATCTGTACCAAGGATTTCTTGGAAACCTCGAATGCCCGTGAGGACCTTTCTGACTCTTCTCGTATCTGTCACATTCCGTGAAGCTGTCCAGCGTGTTCTCTTGAATTGTATAAATTGACTGGGAGGTCCCCTCGTTCGAAAGATTTCTTTTCCTCTTTTCGGCGCATAGACATACCTCAGCTTCAATACAGATACCAATCACTTTTTAAAACGTACACTTTGTTCAGGATGTCTATCACCCCTCCAATGAGTGTTGGTGTCGCCAAGGGGCGGTTCGACTCGAGGTTGGAACCGTACGTACTAGACTGTCTTGCCAGGGTGAAGGCCTACCTTGGGCGAGAGGCAGATGTCGAGCAGGCGGTCGCTGTTTGTGCCCTGGTTGACATGAAGAACGACGCTGGGGACATGCCCCAGTTGGTGACGCCGTCCCCGGAGCCGGCAGGGGCCAGAGACCGTGTTGGGCACCAACACGACAACGACGACGACGGCGGCAACCACGACGGGTCGATCCGGCCCCAGCCTCGTTCGGGCCGGCGCCGGCCACAACCACCACCACCAGCGGCATTGACGTCGGCGGGCGGCGGCAAGGTCAGAAAGGCGCCGCACATGAGGCATCGGTACAGGCCCACTGAGCGATCAGAGGCAAGGTCGTCCGACTCGGACCTCTTCGCGAGGAGGTTCAAGGACGTCATGAACGCGCGGGCCAGCGGGAAGGGCGAGTGGGAGTCGTTCGTCGACGCGCGCCTCCCCCGCGGTGCCGCCGCCGGGGACGCACTGCGGGCCGAGGAGGTGAGGCTGTGCGGCGAGCTGGACATCACGGAGGACGTGTACCGCTGCCAGCGGGCTCGCTTCTTCCTCGGCATCGCCGCCTTCACCGAGGAGGTCCGCCGCCGCCAGGCCCGGGGCATGCTCAGGACGCAGTGGAACATCGGCAAGACGCAGTTCCAGCTCTTTGGCACCATGGACGCCAACAAGTCCAGCAAGGTGTTTGAGCTCTTCCTCGAGCTGGGGTGGGTGCAGCCCGCCAAACAGACGCCGACCTCCCGCGACGCGTACGAGCAGATGTTCCCCCCGGAGCACCGCGACACGCTCCACCGGGAGATGCGCTCGTGGGAACTGGAACACATCACCGACAGCTCACTTCATGTGGTCACGACGTTGTGACGGGTGTTCGTTTTTGTCGGTATTGGGATATTGTTTGGTTTGGGTCGATTTTTTGGGTTGTTTTCGGTCTGGGTTGTGCTTTTACTATGAGCCTAAGTGTCGAATGGGCAGGAGGAAGGACTATTTCAGCTCAGGTCAGGATTGTTTTTTCTGGTGTTTTTTTGGGTCCTAGGTTCTCTTTGTGGTAGTCACAATATCGAATCTTTTCGAACAAGGAAAGGAGAAAAAAGGGGCGGGAAAAAAAAGAGTAAATAGGCAACAAGCGACGAAGGCTGTCGACCAAAAAAAGGTACCTGGGTGTCGAAAGGGAGGGAGGGGAAAGGACTTCTTCCACTCAGTTTAGAATGTAGTTTTGTTTTTGTTTTGTATTGTGTTGATTTTTTTCGGAGGCAGTTACAATATCGAGTCTCTCTTCTCACTGAATCACTCGTAGAGGTACCTTTGCAAAACGCACACGACTGAGTAACCACCTTGGTAAGGAGGAGTTTGGTCGTTATTTACCGTCCTTGTCGTAAATCTGAAGTTGACATCCTCGCTGGGTTCTATCCTGATCTACACCCTAGGGTTCAAGCCCCGTTGACGCCAGCTTTGGCCTCTTGGTTCTTCTCTTCCCGCTCCTCTAGCGCCTTCACCGCGCCTTCCATCTTTCTATATTGCGCCGTGAAAGAGGGGTACAAGAACGGTCTCATGTCGTACCTGTGGTCGTCCGGGCTGTACTGTTCCATGTGCAACCCTGGCGTGAGCGTCGTCTGCTTGTGCCGGTTGATGGCGTAGTAGTAGAAGAACCGACGCACCTTCTCGTAGACGGAACGCGGGGTCATGCTCTCGCCGTGCGCGACGCTGTGCACGTACTGCGGGTCGGAATGAGCACCGTGGTCTTCGGTCGCAATGGTCTCGGGGTCCGGCGGGGGCGCGGTCCAGAGCGGCAGGAGCTTCTCGAACACGCCCCACGGACCGAGACGGTGGATCTTCCGCAGTCGACCCATCACGCTGAGCTCCGCGTATGTCATGCCCATTTCCACCTCATCGGATTGCGTGTGGGAGTCGGCGTTCGTGGTCGGGATGAGTTCAGCCGTAGGCGTCGCGTCGAGGAAGGACTGGAGGAGTGGGAGCTCGAGCTCGTCGCGGGCGTGCGCGAGGAACATGCGCAGGTCAACTTTGGAGATGCCGCCGATCGGGTTGATGTCGGCTGACGAGCAATCATATTTGGTCAGGTAACCACGGAGTTGTTCATCGACGTTGGCCGAGCCGAGGACCAAGAGACCACCGTTGCCCTTCCGTTTGCGGACGCTCGGTAGAAGTTGCGCTGTGCACGGTTAGTGGCCTGACAGGATCGAAATAACACCCAACCTGGTCTTTTCAGGTCTAGAGGAGGGAGAACACGTACCGAAAAAGTACGCGATGACCATGCGTATTCTGGCTTGGATATTCTGTAGCGCGAGACCTTCAGCAGCGTTGGATGAGGTGAAGGAGGGAGCAAAACCGGTCACGGTGGTGAACAGGGTGGTGAGTGCGGAAACAACGGTATCGATACTCAGGTCGAGATGGTACGCTCCGATCGCCCTGGCAAGATCGGCGGCACGAGTGCGGGTTTCTCTGGAGCTGTTTTTGGAACCCATGTAGGTGGTATGGAAGATGAAACTGCATATCTCTTGAGGACTCGAGGGTGTCCAGTCGTCTTCTTGGGCGCAGACTCTACGGCAATCGGAGAGGACGAGTTCGCGAGTGTGTGGCAAGGTCTTTGGCGACGTGATGGCATCATAGACAAGGCGGCACATGGACCAGACTAGGACAGCTGTACTGCATGAATCGACACCACCACTTAAAGCAAGGAAATATCCGGCAGTCCTCGATCTTCTAAGATAGTCCCACATCTTGTCCGACCGTTAGCATACACGCATATACATCTCGAAAAAAATTCAAGAGTATCACTTACCCATAAAGCTGGGGCATATTGAATTTCTTCGGCAGCACTGTGATAGTGAATTGGAATATCAGGCGATGGAGGAATAATAGTACCGGTTTCTTCCAGTGGGGGGTGGCTTAGGCGGATCTCGGCGTGGATTCGAGGATAAGGCTCTGCCTGAGCAGCCTGCAAGTTTCTACTATGGCTGACTCTAAAGCTTCTTACATCCTCAATATCGACGTTGGCAGCTATAAAGGCGTCAGCAACAAATTGCATCGCAGTATGAACGGCAGGACAACGGTCACAGCATGAGGGGGGATCTTACTGATTGTCTCAACGTCATTCAGACTGAATTGACTTCCTTGAGCGAGTAGTCTGCCATTGACGATGATCATCGCACAACCATCATAGTACAAGCGATCACCTGAGCAGCCACGTTGATTGCTATACACGTATATGCCACCGTTTTGCCTTGTCGCTTCTCGAATCAGAGACACACGAGTCTGAAGCTTACGCAACTCATAGTGACTGCCAGAAGAATTGGTGAATATTTCGACTCCATTAAGTCCCATTGGAACGTGGGGTGCAGCGGGAGTGAACAGCTCTTCACAAGTCTCGCAAGCGACCGATGTGTCGATGGTTGTGAGAACTGCATCTCCGAAAGGCACTGTTCGTTGGCCAGTAATGCTCCTTATGGCATCTTCGAGAGGATAGTCCTCGATTTGACGTTGTCGCGTCCAGGGTGTGACTAGCTTTGTCGTAAGCCTCCACGAAACATCCCACAGCATGCCAGCCACAAAGGGCCAATGGACAAATCTAGGAATCACTTACACCATCGACTCTCAAAGTAGTTCCCCTCCTCGCACAGAGCCATCTTAGGCCGGATGAGCAGGATCTTCCTGTTCAGCACAACTAGTGTTGTCGTCAGACTCGGAAAGCTGTGGGAAAAATGCGAAACGGGCAGGACTGGAAACAGTATCACACATGCTCCGAGGTAACTTACTGACACGACAATTGTAGCGAACATTGTTGTGCCTCACCGGCATCCCAATGTCCAGGATGCAGTCATTGACATCTGGGTTACTGATAATCGTGGCTAACGATTCCCAGCAATGGAGGAAGAGATCGCCTTCAAGATAGTGATCGGCACAACCATAGCCGCAGACCTCCAATTCCGGACCGACTCGAAGTTTTGCTCCTGCAGCTTTAGCTTGCCGTATACTCTCAAGGATGCGTTCGGTATTGCCGTCGAAGTCGAGCGCCCACCTGGGACTGTTAGAGCTTGATGAGTCAGGCAGGAGAAGATGACCGACTGGTTGAGAGAACAGCTTGCAACGGTGATTAGCTTACCCATCGTTGCCGGACGTCACGAGACGATCTGAATGTATGATCGGTAGACTGATAAGGAGATATTGGTCTGCGAACCAGGATGATGGTGCTATGTACGGAGTACTGACGAAGCAAAAGATCAGTTATTAGTTGCTTTGATGCCAAGGGCTCAGTGCTCGCTCCCGATAGCCAGATCAAGTCATTGGCGGAGTGTCGTATCCGATAGGCTGGATAATTACATAAGCAATCTGGATCACGTGAGTGGGGTTTCTTTTCCAGTGCTCGTACTCGTACCCCGCGGCTGGGATCAAGGGCTTCAGAGATGCCCGAGGCAGAATGGAAATGTGTGTACGGAGCACAGCACAATGATCATGTAATCGAGGGGAATTCAATCTAGGGCGGGCCCGATACTCGGATTCAACTCAAGTCAGTGATGGAGAAGAGCACGCAAAGAAGATTCCCAAATAGCAAACACCGAACGCCCAATTTCTCATCAATCAACTTCCCCAATCGTTGGCCCGATACTTATCACATTTCTCTCCTTTTTTGTATGTTCCGTTTGTGTTGTACAAGACGTCAATCTTCTTCGTTCCTTGTGTGCTCGTATAGATTTGTGCATTCTCGCATTCCTCCTGGTGTCAAGCATCCCTCCATCTTTGCACCCTCACCGCCGACAACCATGGCTCCTCCACCGCAACCGGAGCTACCACATCCCGCCCATCTGGACCGCGATTCTGCGTTGGGTCGCAAGTTCGGTAAAGAGGTCACCAACTATTTTGGAGGTAATGTTGGACCCAGAATCTTTGCCAGCGGAGCGATGACCACTAAAACACCCCTTACAGGCTCGCCTTTGAATAGACTGTCATTCCTTAGAGAAGATTACGAATTCCTTGCAAAAGCGTTCGCGCACCCTACCACGAAGTTCTTGGTGTTCAAGACCTTGTCTCCTCTGATCAAGTCACCCACCGAGATTCATTATGCCACTTATGACGATATCAAGTCCCTCGTCCCTTCGAACCCGTTTGAGAAATCGGAGAAAGAAACATTGGAGGACTTTGACTCCCGGGTGGACACGCCGCAGTTGGTTTTCTTAGGTGTCGACGAGAGTGTGAAGGATGGCTTGAATTTCAGACATTTCTGCGGGGCTCCGCATTGGGCGATCGATATTACGCCAAAGCCGACGTACGAAAAGGAGGCAAACGAACTGAACGAAAAGTTTTTGGCGTCAGGGCTGAAATTCAGCGAGGGAATGAGAGCCATGAGTTTCCCTGCTGACGTTGGTGAGTCTCTACAGATCTACTTTTTTATTTGGTTGCGATCAGGTTATTGTGCTGACCTTGCTCTTTAGCCGCTGAGTACGCTCAAGGACGACATTATCTTGATTGGAACTTTCGCAATACTTACTGCGGCACCTGTGGACACAAGACGCTTTCCGTACATGCTGGGGGTAAACGAGTATGCCCGCCAAAGGACAAAGCCAGAAACCCACCAGAAAGAGATGCCTGTTCGACTCGCACGACACTGTCGAACCTCACATTCCCCCGAACTGATCCGACTATTATAGTGGCGGTCCTTAGTCATGACAGCAAGCGATTGCTCCTCGGCCGCCAGAAACGATGGCCTCCGTATTGGTTCTCGACGTTAGCGGGATTTATCGAGCCCGCTGAAAGTGTTGAGGACGCTGTGCGCAGAGAAGTCTGGGAAGAAAGTGGTGTTATCTTGTCCCGGGTGTTGATACACTCTACGCAACCCTGGCCATACCCTGCCAACCTCATGATCGGTGCCATCGCACAGGTGGCAAGCCCCGAAGACGAGGAGATCAAGCTTGAACACGACCCAGAGTTGGAGATGGCAAAGTGGTTCAGTTTGGAAGAGATTCAGGAGGCGTTGAAGAACGGCACCAGTGGGCTGGGTGAAGACGCTCCGAAAGAATATAAGGAGGGCAATCTGAGATTACCACCGCCAACTGCTATCGCGAACCAATTGATAACGGCTGTCGTTCAGGGCGGCTTCCTCGAAGGTGTAACGCCGCTGGCGACAGCTAACAAGCTGTGAGTATAACCTTGTCAACATCTGGATTTTGGATCTGTCGACAGATAGCGCTGAAGTTTAGAACCCTCATCTTGAGTTACTAGGTCTGATCAGAAATAGGTCATGATAGAAACTGAACAATCCGACCAGCTTTATTGACTGTCCTTTCGAAATAAGTTTTGTCCGCCTGGTAGAAATCTTACGATGAATCGGCTGCTGGTAATCGGGACAATATTCCCACATGCCCGAAGGTGCAAGAAATTCAGACTGAAGCTCATAGATGAATGGGAGGAAATAGATACTCCCAAGACTTAAAACTTGGTCAAGATTCCTCCTCACCTTCTTGCTTCTTGATTCCCACAACGACAAAGTTTCTTGGACTGTGCTTGTAATCAAACACGATGTCAACCCAGCAATCTTCCACACAAGGCTGCTCTCTGAGGTACAGCCACCGATCCGTGACGATGATACTTTCAACCACCCCGGCGCTGAACGCCATCAGACTCCAGATGATGGCGAGATGTTTCTTCGCATAACCCCAATCGCGTTCATACTGGTCAATGATCTCATCAGTCACGCCCTTTGTGCGTTCGGCGATCATCGCACCGTCGACCGGATCCTGTGTCAGCTTCGCCAGCGCTCCGTGAACATACGCCTTGAAACTTGTAAAGCATTGTTTCCGCAGCGAACCGACAATCAGCGGCGTACCGCTTTCGTCTCGGCCGGTTATGCTCCCTCCTGCGGCTGCGTGCGCAGGGTCATCGCATTGTTTAACCACACCCACATCGAGAAGAATCCTCTGAAGGAGGGTGCGGTAGAAGTGGCGACGGAAAAATGCCTCGCAGTCGTCTGGACCCCAGTTGTACGGTGCTTGAACTGCCATCATGCGTGCCGTGATGTTTAACTTGACACCAACACCACCGCCGTCGGCGTGTGGGAAGGTCTCGAGTGTCCGGGACATTGGGAAGCCGTGAGGGTCGTGCGCGTTGCCGGTGGCCTCGAGTCGGGGGTGGTTGGGCCGGAGTCGTGGGAGTTTGTAGGTTGCTGGACCGAGGCGTTCAGTAAGGAGATTGTAGCAACATCCTATGATGGCTGTGGCGGCGACTGAAGGGTTGAGGATCAGAGAACGCAAGCCGTGGTGAGAGAGGTTACCGCAGGAGTGGAGAGATACGACCATTGCTTTTGGTTTGAAATCGGGAGTGAGATTACGATTGGAATGAACGGAACGGTCGAGGTCGCAGCAATGGATAGTCTCGACCTTGTCAGTTATAGCGTCGTTCTCGGTGGTTTTAGTGTCATCAGAGGGTTTCGCATTCATGTCTAGTGTGGTAGAAGTGAGGATGTCCTCAAGATACCCGTCTTGAACGTCGTGTTCGATGTAGGTCATTGACCCCTTGCCAGGGCCGGATAGTTTATATGTGACGTTAGGTTCGGCGAGGCTCGCATCAAGTATCGGATCAAGTTGAAATTTTGCTTGCTCTGGTGGTGGAGTAGGCATACCGTTGTTCATGGCAAGTTGGCGTTTGTAGTCTTTCTTGTTACGCATGACCTTCTCCTTCTTAGCCAGCTTTGCATGAACATCCATACCTCTAGCACCAACAATATTATGGTGGCGTTTTTCGATTGCAATGATATGCTGGTTGTAAGGAGGCGTTGCAAGGGTCCTGCCGAGGTAGTTTTGGCCTGAACCAAAGTCGACAACAGAGACAGGTTCTCCGAGTCGTTCTGAGACCTCTGCAGACAGACTACCTACATAAGCGGCAAAATTGGTGACTTCATGGGCCTTCTTGGTTTTCATGCCAACCGCGATATGTCGTGGCATATCAGCGATGTGTTCTGATACCGGGTGAAAGGTTCGCTGAAGACTGTGTCTGCGGATCGTATCGACGTATTCCAACAAAGACCGTGGAGGGGTATCGGTAGACTCTGTTTGATTGCCATCGCTCTCAAATTTTGAGAGGTCTGCACGCATGAGAAGATCTAACACTTCGTCGATTGTTACCCGTTCAAACCAATTGCGCCATTCTTGTGGCAACACATAGGTATACAAGTCTGGCTCCCGAGTGAGGAAGTCCAGAATATGTACACCGCCGCAAAGATTCCGGAAGAGATCTGAGCCTGTGGCAAAGGAGAGAAGAGATTCAACATATTCATCCTCTGACTTCCAAACATCGTGCAGGGGAAGCCCGCGGCGGTTTGGTGACGGAAACTGCCCTTCCACAGACATTGGACACATGAATCACTTGCAAGACCACTGAGCTCAAGCGTGGAGACCGAACTTGAAGCAGTAGCTTCTTTTATCACCTCGCATATGTTCTTTTGACGTCCAGGTCTCGGCCGAAATTCAGAAGCAGAGATGAAGGAGGTCGAAGAGCCAGTCTCGCAGTACAACTGTTTAAAAACACCCATCAAACAGCAACTACCAACTTGTCCTCACCTCCCTTCAAAGGCTCCAATCAATAAAGAAGAAGACATTGCCCGTGCAAATGGTTGAGAGGCGGTATGGAGTACTGAACAAAAAATTAATGATCACGGTTCCGTCTTATGTACTCTACCGTAGATTATGTTTAAGCATACAGCCCATGACCGACAACACGACGGAGTCAGGAATGTAGAGTACAGATACCATTCAACGATCTCCCCCATTGATCGATCATATTTGCTGCCATTTGGCCTTATGTTTCACGCCCGCGCCAAAACAGCGCCTAGACTCGTTGCGTAGGATAGTCCAATACCTTTGGTCTATCTCTTCTACCTACGTAGTAAGCAAGCCACCGGTGGAGTCGTTTTGCACAGGTGGCTGCTGGCACAAAAATTCGATCTCAAACGCATTTCGTTCGCTAAGCGTTCGTACAGTTCTGCCAACACCATCTACTCCGCGTAACAGCGCGCGAAGTTCACTTCCAAATTCACCTTGTCTTTCCTTGACGTAGCGTCCATGAACGCTCAATACTTCTCCAATCCACCTCAGAGTGAATTCAAGATGAGGCCTGGTCTCCATTTGCTGGGCCAAAAGCATCAATAGTCGACCAAGGTATACCCTAGGAAGTTCACGAACCAAGAGTGATATGGCTTCAAAGGGTACAGACTCGTAAACCTTTCTCAGAAGGGGTCGATCGTTTAATCTGAACGCCATAATCAGTGCCTTTAGATAGTCTGGTTCTGTCTGGCTTATGAGCGCTCGAATGTTCTGCGGAGTAACATCGATATCGAGGTCGAATGGGTCAAAGTCGTCCATGCCAGCACTATCGAGACTGTAGATGAGTAGTCCTTCAGTACTCGCTGCACAAAAGCTCCTGCCAGTCGGCGCGAATTCGATGCTGGTAACCCTGACTTCCGTTCGGAGAGTTCTGGCTGTAGCGTCCTTTCCTCTCTTGACTCCTGGCAAGCTCTTGTCAATACGATCCTCGAGATCACTTGCTTCGCCTTCAGTATCTATCATATCTTGCGGAAGACCATTCGACATTATGGCAGCAGAGTTGAGGAACTCTTGAGTCCCGTCGAGACTCAAATTGACGGAGACTGTAAATTTTTTGATGAGAGTAAGAGTTGTGACTGAATAAAGACAGATGTATTTGCTGTTCCCTGCAGCAAGCAAGCAGCTTCCATCCGCAGAATACGTGATTGTGTTGAAAGATTTGGTCCCAGGTGTCGAGGCTGCGGTTCTCCGAGATGTCAAGGTACGACCGCCACTCACATCCCGCCGCCCATCGAGCCCGGACTCTTGTATCGACGTACTCAGACTCCAGAAAGTGAGTGAGCCATCCAGAGTTGACGCAGCAATTTGAGCGGAGTCTGGGCGAATGGCGATGCACAACAGATCAGACGTCAGTTGTAAGACTTCTGATGTTTGTGACCTATCAAAGATGGACCAGACGCGAATAGTATGGTCCCATGACCCTGATACCAAATAGCGTCCATCTGGAGTAAAAGCCAGTGTAGAGATTGGGCCTTCGTGGCCAGAAAGTTGATCGAGAAGAGCACCAGTCTGTACTGACCAAAGGTGGATGTCGAAGGAGTCGTGGGATGCTGCACAGACGACCTCAGCAGACGGGTCGATTGCTAGGCAAGAGAAAGGAAGTCGTGTTGGGGCTGTAAAGGTTCGGAAATTTCGATACCTTAGCATGTCCCAGGCACGGACAGAACCGTCTAGAGAGGACGTGAAAAGAATATTGCCTCGTTTTGAGTATACTGAAGCTGTGACTGCTGAGGTGTGCTCGGTAAATGTTGCAATATGAAAGCCAGAGGAGATGTCCCAAATTTTGATAAGGCCATCATCAGCCCCTGTGATAATTCGAGTTGAATCAGGAGAATATGACAAGGTCGTAAGCGAATCCAAATGTGAAGACTGTTTCAGAATGTTGGATTCTGATGCGTGCTCCCAAACCAGGAGTTGACCAGTCTTGGATGATGCCAGTGCCAGCCATTCACCGGACTTGTTGACAGCCACCGCAGAGATGGGAGAAGATGCCATAGAAAGGCTGTGGATGTTGGAGAAGGATGGGATCTCATACAAGGAGAATAGACCGTTGTCGAAACAAACTGTTAGCAGGTTGGTTGAGGGGTGATAGGAAGCGCATTTTAGTTTTGCATTTTGCATGAAATAGTCCCTCTGCACAATGCGCCATCTCTCGTCTGCATACTCTGTGGGCTCCTCGCCATCCGACTGCGGTCTAGGAACGAAGCCCCATCGGAAGAGAGCACCATCCTCGCTGACAGTAAAAATACTCTCCTGGTCGGCCGAGAACCACACGTTTCTCACTTGTTGCCTATGTCCAGAGAGCACTGTGGGTTCGAAGCCTTCCTCAGGGTCCAGACTCCATACTCGCGCGGTCAGGTCCTTTGAGGTACTCAGGAAGAAGCGCGAATCTCCTGACCAGCTAAGATGCCTCACTACATCGAAATGCCCACCGTACTCGCGGTGAAGGATAAACGGCGCAAATTCGAGATCCCCGGCGGCATCGCTGCTTGGTGTCGAGGGAGTCCTCCACGCTTGTATTTTTCTTCCTAGTCCGACGACAAAATGCCGCCCATCGGGGGAAAAGGCTAGGGCCGTGACAGGAGTCTTGAAGGAGAAGTGGTATATGGCGAGTCGCCTCGGCAGGATCGACAGAATCGCTCGACCATCTTCGTCAATGGTTAGAAGTAGGTTTCCGTCTGGAGTCAGGTCTAGATGGACGATGTTCTTGCGATGAGCGAAAGGGAGGGTGTAGCTGGTGTTTCTATGGGAATGAAGATCAATATTCTGCTCTGTTACAGCCCAGACAAATACATACTTTGTCAGATTGAATACCGAGACTCTGTTGCCCACGGGCGACAACAGAGAATTGCCATCTGGTGTGAAGACAAGATTCCCTCGGCCATATATGGTGCCCAAGAGATTGGAAAACTGTTGACTTGTCAGCGCTTCCGTGGCATACCACCTCCAATCAAGACACTTACTCGAAAGTCCGTCTTCATGGTCTCATTATGTCTGAAACAAAATTGTCGCACTGTTCATGCCCTCATGCACAAGATCAACTGCGGCGTAGAAAAAAGTTGTCGGAGAAAAAGGCGACATACTCCGGCGCTAACGTTCTCTGGTTAGGCGAGTCTGGGGGGAGTACTTGGTCTTGATCGATCCCAAAGAGCCAGTTTCAGGGGCCACCGACTTTCAACTTGCCTGCGATTTTTGTGAGGAAAGTGCAACGACCCCTAATTTATTCAACCGAGTAGTATCTTCTACTAGTCCAGCAACTCTCCATCATCTTCTCCTCGAATTTATCTCCTTGTTGCTTTCATCGCGGTCTCATCGCCTACAGTCTGAATTGAACAAGTCACCATGGCACCTCCACCTGCAGAATCCGCCGCCTCGCCCATTGGCATTGCGAATCTGCCCAACCAGCGACACAAGATTGTCGCGAAGAGAGGAGCTGCTTTCACGATCATGGTAATACTCTCCTCATGCCAAGAAGAGTGTAACTGACTCAGAATCAGGTTGCGGGAGAATCAGGCTTGGGAAAGACCACCTTCATCAACACTCTCTTCTCAACAACCATTAAAAACTACCAAGACCACAAGAGACGACATGCTAAGCAGGTCGACAAGACGGTCGAGATTGAGATCACAAAGGCAGAATTAGAAGAGAAATTCTTCAAGGGTATATTTGCTTGATCTTCTGTACGATCATGGTGCTGACTGAAACAGTGCGCTTGACCGTAATTGACACACCTGGATTCGGCGACTATGTCAACAACCGAGACTCCTGGATGCCCATCATCGAGTTCCTTGACGATCAGCACGAATCATACATGCTGCAAGAGCAGCAACCTCGCCGACAAGATAAGATTGATCTCCGTGTCCATGCCTGTCTTTACTTCATTCGTCCTACAGGACATACCTTGAAGCCTCTGGACATCGAAGTCATGAAGCGGCTGTGCACCCGTGTCAACTTGATCCCTGTCATTGCTAAGGCCGATACCCTCTCTCCTGCCGACCTCGCGCGCTTCAAGCAGAGGGTCCGAGCCGTTATTGAAGCGCAAGGCATCAAGATTTACCAGCCTCCAGTTGAGGACGATGATGAGGCTGCTGCACAGCATGCGCGTGCTTTAATGGCCGCTATGCCATTTGCAGTGATTGGTAGCGAGAAGGATGTCAAAACGACCGATGGTCGGATTGTGAAAGGTCGACAGTATGCCTGGGGTGTCGCTGAGGTTGAGAACGAAGAACACTGTGACTTCAAGAAGCTTCGCTCTATCTTGATTCGCACCCACATGCTTGATCTGATCCACACTACCGAAGAGAATCACTATGAAGCCTACCGTGCTCAGCAAATGGAGACGCGGAAGTTCGGCGAGGCCAGACCAAGAAAACTGGACAATCCCAAGTTCAAGGAAGAAGAGGAAGCTCTCCGGAAGCGATTCACGGAACAAGTCAAGGTGGAAGAACAGAGATTCAGGGCTTGGGAACAGAAGCTGATCGCAGAGAGAGATCGCCTGAACAAGGACTTGGAATCAACTCACGCCGCTATCAAGCAGTTGGAACAAGAACTCGAACAGATGCAAGGCAGTGCAGTCCGAAGCCATGGACGTCGCTAAAGTTTTGGTTGATTGACTTGAAAAGCTCTGGGCGATGTTTCCCGTTGGGACAATGGACTCGGGTAGTTCTCTGTGTCTCATACAGACTGAAAATTGTCGTGGGAGGTGTACAGGAGCATCAAGCGGTTTGTGATTAGCAAGCAGTGGCTACGAAATACCTTTTTTCTAATGTCGAAGTTTGGCTCTATCTTTCATTTCGAGGGTGGCCACCGAGAGTAGCAATCCAACAAATTTTTCTCTCACAAAAGTAATGTTCTATACGGCTGCCTCTTTCAATTGTCTCGTGATATGCCCATTCGCACCTCGTCCTCCCATAGGATCATGATTCTGTCCTTGCCCTTGACGTGCCTTTTCCTGCTCCGCCACGGCGCGGTCCACATCGGCAAACCCCTCGTCTACATCTACCCCTTCACCCTGCGCCATACCCATCCAAGCCTTCATCTTGTCCCGCTTGAACTCCTCGAAGTCCCATTCTTTCGGCTCGAGGGTATCTTCCCCCTCGTCCCACACGTACGTTTCGGCCTCGACATCTTTTTCAAGGACATGCGCGGAGGAGTCCGTGGGAGCCATCTCGTCGAGCCCAACGTCCTTTAGGACCTGCACCCGGACTTGGCGTCGGACGTACTGATCCCCTTCGAAGATGTCGAGTCTGTAGAGGTCGGCGGACGTCAGGCCCGTCACGAGGCTACCACGGACACACGCGGCCGTCGTCGATACACTGTCGCCGGGCGAAGGCAATATGGCAGGGTAGTCCGCGTTACGGACGCGATGGCGCGTGTAGGATTTCAACAGGGCAGGACGGACCGTCAGACGAGAGGCCTGCGATTCGGAAGGGTTGTGTGTTCCATTGATCACGCGGTGAAGAACGCCGGGGGCCATCAACGTGCCTGTGGTAGGAGGGATAGATGCAATGTCAGGTGTTTCATGTCTCAGTGAAAGGATGCGTGCGTGTCTAGGTATCTAGACGCATGAACGTACCGTAGAAAAAGGCCGTGTGTGTATCTGAGTCGGCCATGCTTCGTAAGGACTCGTACTAAGAACAAGGTAAAAGAAAGTTGTTTACGCCGATTCCAAGGCTATACAAAAAAACAAAAAAAATCTTGGGGATCGGGAATGCGACTGGTGAGGATGGTTCTGCCGGTGGAATTGCGTTCTAGAAATTGTGTAGGGAGGGGACTGCTAGCCTATTGCCAACCAGACACAACAGTGTAGAAGAATCTAGTCATGTCCAAAGCTCATTCTCAGAACATACTGTAGGTAGCTAGGTTTGTAGTGAGTCGAAGTGGTGGTAATCATGGAAGGGCTTCGGGGTGCATCAACATAAGGTAATCTACCGCGATATGCAAATGAAACTGGAGACCCGATAACGTGTGTGTTTCCAGTAGTGACAGCGACAACGACATCATCCCGCAGTCCTTTGTCTAGCTGCGGCTTCCACACAACTAACAATTCGAATTGGAAAGTGCGCCGACATCCGTCATGCGGATAACCATCTCAGCCTTGTTCTCTCTGCACTTTCGAAATCTCAGCCTTGTTTTCCCGGCATCTGAAGCACTCGGTTCTTACGGCGTATGACGAGCGCTAATCTCAGCACCCGATCGAGAGACGTCAATCAGTGCTCCGTACGCATTTCACATGTCACAATTGCCACAACTATTTTTGTACGGCATGTAAAAGACCCTGAATTCGAAGAACTTAGTTCTCAATAGAATTTTTTGTTTCTCGGATCTGCGGAAGGAGATTTTGATACTGATACGGCGGCTTTCTAGCCGGAACTATTCGTTGTGTACCTCCCTTGATGTGATGCCAGACTTTCGCTCCCGGAGTGTCCCAATCCTCCGGACCATTATCAGTGTAACACAACCAATATGTGATTCATCTAGTCTGCTCCAGCATTTTCATCTACGTAAGGCTTGCACAGAACATACTGGAGTGGATCGGATCAACGACACAATGACGTTCGAGGTTGCGTGGCACTGAGGTCTTTGCTGTCCAGGATGGTAGGTATATATAGTACATATGTACCCTATGCTAGTCATGGGAAGGATACAACCAGCCAAGGCCTTGAGTAGTTGATCACGCCCAACCAAGCGTCTTCACTCACTGTAAGTTTAGTACCGAGTCTATCGTCGGAAGTTTTCTGCAACATATTACGATTGCGATCTCCTGGAAATGGCGTCCAACACCCACACCCGTCCGCATATGACAGAGCACGTCGATCAAGACCCCACGAGCTACCAGGCAGCCATCTACCAAAAGGGTCTCAAGTACCAACGATCACCCTTCACCTTCAAGTCGCTAGACTGGGAATCTCTGGCGGCGGAACGTCTTTCGGTCGAGAGCAAAGGGTATGTCGTGGGCAACGCGGGGACCGGAGAGACCGCACGCAAGAACCGCGCCGCATTCGAGAAATGGAGTATCGTACCTCGTCGGCTGGTCGCGACGAACACGTTTCCGGATCTGTCGACGGAGGTCGTGGGCCGCAAGTTTCCATTTCCTATCGCCATCGCGCCGGTAGGCGTCCAGAAGATCTTCAACCCGGACGGGGAAATCGCCACGGCTCGCGCCGCGGCGCGAGAGCGTGTACCCTACATCATGTCGACGGCGAGCAGTACGTCGATCGAAGACGTCGCCGCGGCCAACGGCGACGGCGCCCGGTGGTATCAACTTTACTGGCCTTCGAACGAGCACAACGACATCACCGTGTCTATTCTGCGGCGCGCCAAGCAGAATGGCTTCTCCGCCCTCGTCGTAACGCTCGACACGTACATCCTCGGCTGGCGCCCGTCCGACATGGACAACGGCTACAATCCGTTCCTCCGGAGTGACCAGATCGGCGTGGCCGTCGGTTTTACGGACCCGGTGTTTCGCGCGCAGTTCAAGAAGAGACACAACGTCGAGGTGGAAGAAAACCTCGGGGCCGCCGCCGCCGAGTGGACCCGCACCGTCTTCCCCGGCTTCAGCCACGGCTGGGACGACGTCAAGTTCCTCCAGGAGCACTTTGACGGCCCCATCATCCTGAAGGGGATCCAGACCGTCGCCGACGCCCAAAAGGCCGTCGAGATCGGCGTCCAGGGCATCGTGGTGAGCAACCACGGTGGCCGACAGACTGATGGAGGTAACTCGTCGCTCGGCGTTCTACCGAAAATCGTCGACGCCGTCGGGTCGAAACTCGACGTCCTCTTCGACTCGGGCGTCAGGGCGGGCGCGGACGTCGCAAAGGCAATGGCGCTGGGAGCGAAGATGTGCCTCATAGGTCGGCCGTACGTCTACGGCCTCGCCCTCGGGGGAGAGGAAGGGGTGAGCCACGTGCTGAAGTCGCTGTCGGGAGACCTCGAGTTGACGTTGCACCTCGCGGGGGTGCCGAGTGCGTCTCCCAAGGACCTGAATCGATCCGTGCTGGTGAGGGAGGACGATCTCTGAGACATATCCCTACAATAACCTGTCGTTTCATTGTACCTCTAGCAATGCAAGCCTCAGTTACACTGTACCCAAGCCCTGATAAGTTATACGCCGATTTAGGGCAATATGAGCCCATTGTCAATGAAATCAAAATGAGGGTATTACTTTTGTGAAAGTATGGGCATGAAGACTTTGTCTTACATGAAATTGTATTGAAAGACGCGATTGTATTTCATCGCCTCTTTCGAAAAGCTTTATAAATGTCAAAAGAATCCCACAACTCCGCGCATGGGGATATCATTATTGTCCATAACAATACAAAAGAATCTTGAAGGAATCATCAGCCGTTGCCGTTATCGCATTTCAAAACAGTTGAAGTTTAAAAAAGAAGACCTCCTAGGAGCAGACCTCCAAGCAAACCACCAGCCTGCAAAGATTTTGTTAGTAAGATTGATGTTGACAAGGCTTTTAAGGAAAAGAGAGAGATAATAAGTACTCACAATTGGGAGGCCAGCACCACCACCATAGTAACCACCATATGGGCGTCCGTATGGATAGCCAGGCCGGATGAACCTCGCATTGGGGTTTGCGTACGGTCCACTGGAATAAGGGTTCACCCCGTATCCTCTGTTGCCGTAACCTCCTCCGTAGCCATAGCCAGTATTTGAAGGTTCAATGTAGATGTCTCTTCCGTCCCTGTCTTTGGCGAAGAACTGAGGTTGACCAGTCATTTCCGCCCTTTGCATCGCCTGTCGAAGTCGCATGTGTGCCTCGTAGTATTCGCGCTCCTCCTGCTCCCGCTGGGCTCTGTTCTTGACTCGCTCATCGTGGGTCGTTCCGGTTACTTTGTCTTTCAGTTTTTCACCAAAGCTCTTCTTCGTTGCAGCACCCTGCTGCTGCGACTGATGATGACTGTTATTCGGACGAGGTGGCAAGTCGGGAAACGCATGGTGGTCCTTGTCGTCGGGTGGCTCGGGTGTGTGCGCGGCCCGCCTTCTCATCTGGTCCTCCTCGTCTTGGAGTCTCTCGCGTTCTTCGGAACTCAGGCTCTTGACGACGTCGGGATTGTCGAGGGGATGCTCCCAGTACGACTTGGGCGGGTCCTCTTTGGTGTTGACGAAGAATTGGTGGTTCTCCTTGGGATCATACGAGCGCACCCATCCTTCTGGCAAAGGCCGCTGGAGGTCTTCCATTGACCTTCTGTCTGAAGCTGGAATGCCATTCTTTGACTGTGGGACCTCGAGGTGAGATGACGGCTGCTCCGGTTTTGATGGGGTGGCCGAGGATCCAGTGGCGACCGCATAGGACGGAGGGGGTTCTGGAGGCGCGGACATGATGGTCGATCGGGTGTAGATGGGTGATAACAATGATTTTGCGAGATCGAAGGTGAGAAAAAGGAAGGGATTCAGACGTCCGTTGGGGCGAACTAAATAATAACTGAACTAGTGGTCGTATCTGCCTGCGGAAGCGAGGAGATCAGCAGAGAATGTAGAGAGTCGTGATGATAATTCAAATACAAGTGAGGCTCATCAACACCAGAGCATCAGCGTCGCCCATGCTGGTGACGCAATGCTTATCTCTTTGGGGCTTAGATTCAACTTGAGCTGTTTAACTGAGCGTGGCTGTGCTTCAACCTAACAGGGAAGGAGTGCCGAAAGCCACAGTTGCGTTTTCAGATCCTTTAATCCTCCGTAGCGGTACGAATACGGGTACGGAGTACTAATTAGTGCCAATGGACGTCTAACATACAAAGCTTTCTCTTTTCCTGTCACAACACAACACGATACGTGATATATTCTACCTGATATTGGTCTTGTTTCATTTCCCCTCCAAATGATTTCTATGAGTCCCACGCTGTCTGTGTACAAGGTAGTTTGGGAGTGCGCCTTGCCCTCCACCTTTTGAGTTTCGTACCAAGCAACGATCCTACAAGTTGCGTGTTGATTGATGATGAGACAAGGACGGAGCATTGACTTCACTTCTTGACGGAACACAATGCATTACAAAACACTTGATTTCCTGTTGTTCTCATCCTATGGCGAACCATAAGCTCAACGTTTTGGCCTATGATCTAACTTTTCTTTGCTTTTCTATATTCCCATCTCTCATTTCAACTCAAATGATGCTCACTCTAGGCAGCAACACAGGCCTATATTAGGTAGGTAGATCTCCCCTGCCTGCCGCGCTTTGCTTTATTATATTCTTCCATAAGCCAAAGAACACAGACGTCACAAAGTTGCTGCAGCTCATTCAGGGTCTGTGAAGATGAAATTTCCGTTCTGGATCAACCTTGTCCGAAAATGGTCATCATCGCGCCGACTTCCTGTCACCCTGGATGTACAAACGAGCAGTCTTCATAATGTAAGCTTCACCGAAAGAGTTGTGATTGTGCGACAGAATTCATGAAGAAATCGCAACAGGACAAAACCGTGAAGGCTGCTGCAGTAGCACAACAGGACCATGATGAGCTATGCTCTCTCCTCGATCTTCCCAACGAATGAATCCTCGCGATTGCTAGTCATCTGAGCCTGGAGAGTCTGCTCCTACTGAGTATTTCGTGTCGACGGCTTCATGTGCTTCTCAACTTTTCATTCGACATGGCACTTGATATGGACAAAGCCAGAAAGGTGCAATTTCTGCAACTTCTCGAAATCGATCTCCCAGAATATCTAACATGTCGCCACTGCGCCCGGCTCTTTCTCTGGCGAAGAAGGATAGAGGGCCCACAAACATGTCCGTGCTTCAAGCCCTTCCTGTGCGACCCTTCGTATCGGCTAGGGTCAACTGACCAGGCTCTCATAGAGGGAAAATCAGCTCATCTGGATCTGGGTCCTGAGCTGGTCGACCTACTCTTGAGGGCCCATGAGTACGGGCCTCTTTATGGTCTGCCTGTATCTTTCTTGAACGTAAACCAGATTATTCTGGACAGATTATTTCGAACACACGAGGCACGCTTGGTGGATGGTCAGCTCCTTTCGGCCACTCGGATAGGAGGGGAGGTAGATCTAAGAGAAGAAATGTGCGTACTGAACAGCATGTTTGTCAATGGCGGATGAAATCATCTGTGCGGGACACTCAGTCGGGTTATGTTTCAGACCGCGACATTCGAGGAAGGCATCCTTGCAATGACGATAGGCTCGGAGAGGTCCGATGTGTTCAAGTGTGACATGTGTGAAACCGACTACCAACTACAGTCGATAAGGCTTACTGCGATTCGGGCAAAACTTGTCCTGGAATGCTGGAAACAATTTGGTCGGCAACACGCAGACACGATTTCTACCAAGCAGTTGTTTCAATTCAAAGCATTGCAACTTGATGCTGATGCAGTATCGCAGAGGGATGTGCGAGCAATCTTTGAGTCAACAATGGGCCAAGTATGAGTACTTGTACAGGGAAACTGTCAAAGGCAGCTCCGAAACGATTCGGCAGGAATACTGGGAGTCCATAGATTATCGCTCACAGGTTCGCAACCCATCCAAGCACTATGCTGTTTCCCGCAGTCTTGAACGGGTTTTACCACGGACCTGAGTGCACAAGAGAAGGCTTACGCCACGACACTGATCTTGAAGAAGAAATGGGAAGCTAGCGACCGGTCTTTACGGAGTGCCCAGGATGTCGATGAGGAACAAAAGCAGGAGGTCGTTCATGAAGTGGAATTGGGAAGGGACGTCGGGAATGGCGTCAAAGTTAAGCCTGAAAGCCCTCTCTTGGTTCGATACTATTGCCTCTCGTCGAGACGGGGATGACAACCACACTTCAAGACAGCCTGTACCCAGCATTTAAAATCTTGACTTACACCAGGCTTACTGGTGAACACCTCCGGCACAAATGGCCCTTCTATGTTGTCGTCACAGTTGACTTGATACGCACAGTCATGTCGCCCAAGAAGCCCTCCCAAGATGGATTCCTCCGACTAGTGCAATGCGTTTTGGAAAGCCAAATATCGTAACACCTAGCAGTCATCAATTTCCCAAGAAGCGAACGTCTTTCAATGATCCATCAGAAAAAGTAAGGACACGTCACCCTATCTCTCATCAAAGCGAAGACGTCAAAGCAATGAAACCATTTGACTCCATGTCCGTGTATAGAGTCACCAAGAGTGCAAAGTATGGCAGTCTCGGTACTGATACCATGGCCGTTCTCAATCCATTCGAGGCCCGATTGTACTTCTACCGCATTAAAGGAGTACCACCTGCTTTGCACGGAATCACCGGTCTCTGGGATGGCGAGCGACCTCTGCCCACTCGAGACTCAAATTGATAGTGACAACTTCTCGTTTCGCCTAACGTATCTGGAAAACCAGCGCTATCACTCGGAATAAACCCGTTGGGCCCACCCGTTCTGACCGGTGGGCTGGTGACGGTGGCTTTAGGTCAGTCACCTACAGTACGTACATAAAGCACACGTACGGATACGGATAGGGATAACCTTGTCTCTCGTATTCAACGCGGGGGGGCTTTTTTTTTACCAAGACGCGGGCTTTACCCGACACGGTCAATACCCCGGACGCACTTGTTGATGACAAGACGTGGCGGCGTCTGTCTTTGCAGACGGTCTGGGCGTACCAAAAGCGTCTCCGTTCTCAAAACAAGAGTTCTGCAGGTCTGCAGGTCTTTTCGAGGCGACGCCACGCATGGATGGCTATCGCATGTGAAAGGAAAGCGGTCCGCATCAAGTAATTTCTTGTTTCGTTTTACCGAGGCATGTGTATCGGGTCAAGATCTGTTTCGGATGGTTGTCACGATCAACAACCATCAACAACTGTCGAGAGTTTGATGCGACGGAGAAAGGGCCTCGAAAGTGGAGGATCATGTCGTCTACCGTACCTACAGTACAACCGTGACAGCTCACTTCCTCTGGTCCTCGAGACAAGACCTACCTACCGCACGAGGAATTGTAAGGAGGGATCGCTCAGTCTTTTTCGTAAACAAACCCCTGGCGAGTCCACCGAAACGAGCCAAGAGGAAGGATCAAAGTGTGGCAGTGAGGCATTGCTCGCATATCGGTGTCGGCATCTGGGCACCGAACGTGGCTCCGTCCAAAACACCCGGTGGGAAAAGTGAAGCAATCATCGTCCATCTCTATTACCGAGACGGAGAACGGAGTACGGACAACTAGTTTGAGCCAAGATGTCAATCAAGAGATCGCGGGGGCTCGTGCCGGGAAACCAAAAAAAATAAGGAAATCTGGAGTGTTAACTAACTCGAACTTTGATAGAGTGTGTTGCTTGTGCTTTCTACAAGAGTGGAGGGAGAGGGAGGCAGGGAGAGACGGAGACGCCGGAGGGCGAGCACAGCAACAACAACATCATCCCACACCTCTCATTAATGGATGGACCTCGATCCTCGTAGGAGAGAGATTACTGACTCAATCAGCCAAGAGAAGGTTGTTCACTTGGACGCTGGCGCAAACGCCTCCTATTAGTGTCCCCCAAGGACCTCCGAGATGGGTCGGGTCCAACTAATGGTGAATACGAGAAGATTTTCATGGATGTGGCTGCGCTTTCTTTTTAGGATCCGTTGTCATTTTTCTTTGTTCGTTCTTTTGACGTCACATCACGGAGAGAGCTACAGCTTTTTACCAGAGGCGCGAGGTTGTAAAAATGTCCCAAAAAAGTGGTTTGCAGTACCAAAAGGTACCACTAGGTACGGGACGGCATTGGAGTATTGGGTGACAACAGTCCTCCCTGTGCAACTAGAATAGCAAAGAGGAAATCGGCGAAATTCGAGATTCGAGATTTTCGAGAAAAATTGTGGAAACATAACGGAGTAGTTTGACACGCTGACACGCTGACAATGCATTGCAACCCCGTACCTATTGTAGGTAAGTCGCTCCCTTTTGCGGAGAAGAGGAAAGATGAGGAGATGAAGAAGTGAAGACACAAAGATGGAGAGACCCCAGTCAAGCCAAGGAAACATAGCCCCCCTTTTGCTTTACTTTCGCGGAGTATCCGCAGATACTTGGGTGTGTACGAGCTCTACCTACATACCTACAGAGTTGGCCGAAGAAGCCGTAAGTGACCGACAGACCGGGCCGGGAGGGTAATCAGATCGGAATCGCCGAGGAGGAGGAAGGGGGGTGGGAGAGAGAGAGAGTGTGTGTGTGTCTGCAACTAGGAGATCAAAACAAGAGAACAGGCGAACTTCGGATGCACAATGTACACACACGACAATGAGTCCTTCTATTGTTGCGGGTCCGGATCTTATGCACAAACTGATACTTGGACAACGTGGCTTTCGGCTCGATCAAAGATCCGTTCATACAGTACGAGACAAACACATCTCGACGTGTGGCATTTGAAGAGCAGGGGTTTGCAGACTTGTACAGTCCATGCAACCTCCAATTTCCCATGTTGGGGTCTCAGAACTCGCCAGGAAGGAAATGTCAGGCAAGGCTGAGAGAGAATAGCAAGAGTACGAACGACCTAGTGCTTCAACATCGTCATCGTTGATGGTATATATTTAAAAAACCATAGCAACTCGGTCAAATCAAAGAGACTGCTATTATGATGGTTGCCGTGACACACCACAATTCCAAACTTCTTCACTCTCTTCGTACGCACGCCTGGGGCTTGCATGACATACAACCACATCGCCCCGCATCCATCTCGTCCTTCTTCTCATCAGGCGGTCTGAGCTCTTTCTAAAATGTATATTTGAATCCTCGGAGACCCTCGATAGGCTTGCCACCATCGTCGACTCGCTTGTTTGCTTTCCAGAACTTGTAGTCAAGAGCCAAGGTGATGACGATGATCAGAGCGCTGGATATCATGCATGTGAGGATACCTGGGTGGTATTTTGGCTTGTCTTGGTCACGGAAGACCGTGCTACCAATGATACCACCGATACCTCCCGCGCCGACCAGGGTCGCGGAGCAAAGCGCACGCTTCCACTGACCTCGGATGTTGTTCGCTTGCCAGGTGAGGACGCAGGGAACGTTGGCGTTACAGGCTGCCGTGGCAATGAAGACGCCAAAATAGCGAACTCCGACATTGTCGAGATAGCCAAGAAGAGGAAGGCCTTGTACACATATCGTCAGCATACTGTGAAGACTTGGTGGAAATCAGGGCGCACTTACCAATCAAAAGTAGACACCCATTGATGAGAATAAATGGCGACCGGAGGTGGTATTTGTCTCCAAGTACGGCGAAGGCGTACATGACAATGGCAGCAAGAACATAGGGTGGGGAGATGAGACATTGTGAGGCCGCGACACCGAAACCCATGCCCTCATTCAGAATGATTGGCAAAAAGTATGCAATCGCATAAGTGTTCGTGGTGGTTAGACCGAAGAGTGCAGCAAACCCCCAGACTTTCAGATCTAGCGCAGACTTGAGGTATTTACCCAACTTGAACTCTTCTGGGATTGCATCATGGCGATCTTTCTCGATGCGAGCTACTACAAAGGCAGCCTCCTTTTCATTGAGGAATTTGAACCCAAAGCTGTTGGTGGACAGTTCGGGGAAATCAACGATGACCAGATACGAGAAGAGAGCCATTGCGCAAGTGACGACGCCTTGCAGAATAAATATCCATCTCCAGCTGCAGAAAATCAGTACACCATTTCAAAACGCTAGGAGACCCCGATTGTTTTGCGACTTACCCAGCAATTCCAGGAAGAATGCCAGAGGGTGCATCTGGGTTGGTGGGGGTAGGGCCGTAATGTTGTCCCCACCACTTGGGTCCTGAACCGTGGTTCTTGAGCTGAGAGAATCCGTAGGCGAGGATGCCAGAAAATGCAGAAGCCATGGATCCGATCAAATAGAAGACAGCATTTCGCTTCTGCAGTTCATATCGAGGATACCAGCAACTGAGCAGGTACGCGCAGCCTGGGGCAAATCAGTCACAGCGCGTCAAGAGCAAGAGCCAAGGACTTACCGGGAAAGAAACCAGCCTCAAAGATACCTAGGACCAACCTCAAGGGAATGAGATCATACCAGTCCTTGACGAATCCAAATGTGATCATGGTAATACCCCAGAGCAAGGTGATGGTCGGCAAGAAGATGCGGGGTCCGACTTTGCGCAACACCACTGTAGCAGGGGGCTGCAGCAGGACATAGGTGATGAAGAAGAGAAGGACAATGATGGAGTATCGATTATCGATGAGCTTGAGATCGACGCCCATACCAGCAACGACAGCAATACCGGTGTTGGTTCGATCCATCAAGGAAACACAGTAGAGGAAGCCGAGAGTCAACACTAGTCGTCTGTCGATGTGTCTGATGATCTTCTTTTGTTCTTGTGGGCTGAAGGCTGCGATGCGAGCATCGTTGGCCTTGTCCGAATCGATAGATACTTGAGTCTCAGCTCTCTCGAGCTGATCAATGTCAAGATCTTTTTCCATGATAGCATTGTCATCCGTGTTAGTCTTTTGATTCATGTTGGGCAAGTTCAAGTCAGGGATATTCTGGAGAGGCAACAGTGAAGGAGGACGAGTGAAGGAGTGGGAGAACAGTGGGAGAGCAGTCAATCTGAGGCGAGGGATATGACGGATTATATAGACGGTATCGAGTACGCTCCGTACATTCATAGGCAATGTCCAAGACTCGAGGCTCCGCTGGGAAGTCGCACAGGTGAAAAGCTAAGCTCCAACAAAGCAATCGAATAGGGCAAAAGAATGTCAGGCCAAGGTCGAGAACACGACGGCGACAAGCATGAGACAAGGATTAAAAAATTGAGGGCCCAGGGAGATGCAACGCTTCGAGTACGATAGGCTAGGCGCAGTAGTGATTAGCAGTGACGGTAGCCACCAGCAAGGGCTGGCAACCCCAGAAAGCTGAGTGAAGGCCATGAGCATCCACAGGTGTGCAGACCTGAGTCTGGGGTACGCCATGTGGGCATGAGCCTGTGCGATTGGTCGTCCGACGTGGCAATCACGCATTAAGTGCCCTGCCACATTGTTGGGTCACAATCCTTCCAACTTACAGACTTGAATTCTGCCCATAGCCAATACACACTCATACTAGCAGACCGAGGTATGCGTTTGCTCATTTCCCCATTAAGGTGTGAATGACATGATCCATGAGGTGCGATGATACTGACAACCGGAGTGGGTTGGGAGAACGCCCCTAGTGGCGGGCCAAGGCCTTGGAATTGGCTTGGGGGCAACCCACTGAGATCTCGACAAAGTCTGTTATTTCGCGCGAACAAGGGTGTCTCAAAAGACGCGGATTTCTGGCGCCAGGCTCGAAACCAATGGAGCCAACAGTCAGCAATCAGACCAGAGGAGTTGATGCTTCAAATTGAGATACGAATCGGGTGTAGCGATGCCAATGGACAACGCGATAAGGACGTGGGTGGCAAGCTTTCCAGCCGGGTTTGATGATGGTGCATAAGCGTGCTCTTGGCCGATAGAAGCACGGACTGAGGACTCTAGCCGTGCTCACCACCAAAGGCCGACCCGGGGGTCACCAAATGCGGGAGCACAATGCTAAGTAATCCTCGGCACTCATGGCATACATCATTGTGAGCGGAATCTTTGCGAGAGTAGCGACCGATCGAGTAACAGGCCCAGAGGAAATTCGGCCGTGTGTTCCTAAGATTCAAGGTTCGCTCCGTAGGACAAGAACACTGGAGAGGAGGCGGGGTTGATGGTGGTCGTATTGCCGGTAGGTCGACTCGGTATTCCTTACCGTGTGGCCCTTTTGAAATCGTGATACCGTTCGAAGCCGACCGGCGCAGGACACGCCGAAAACGACCCAGCAACTTGAGGAAGCTGACTCACTCACAACTAAGTCAGGCCGGCTATTGCTGGGTTGGATCCTCGGCAGTTTCTGCCAGATTAGTACAGGGTGCATGATCCTTGCCAAGTGTGGGAAGTCGGCCTCAGATATGGCCATTGATGGCCCCAATGCGACAGGAGTTCAAGTCTGAAGAACAGAAGGGAGGAGGTGACATGAGAAGCGGGATTTGGCTCGTTTTATAGCTCGCATCTATAACGAGAGGGTGAAATATGGATTAATCAACGACCATCAGGCACGTTTTAAAATGGCAAGAGCCGGTTGAATACCGAGAGCGAATCAAAGTGAGCATCAGATCAACGACCAGCTGAAATCCGTTCAATTCATGCTGCCGTTTTAACAGCAGGATGCCGAGTTCCGCAAAATAATGCAATGCCTGTCAAATGCTGCTCAGGCTGCAACTGAGGGAGATTTAGCGCTTAAATATCGTCAGACCAGATATCATTCTGTGAGTGGTCAGGGAAGTGTCCACCAAGATCAGCTCGGATAGTGCCGATGCGCTAGGCTGTTTTGAGTCAAGATGTCAACAAATGTCGACAGCAACCAACAAGTTGCCTGCGCTTCGTGTTGTCTCAACTACATTGTTGTAGCAAAGCACAGACAGTGTCTTGCTTGATGGATAGAGACTATTGATAGCAGTCTGGGTTGAAGCAGTTATCGGTCCTTATTCATTTTGTCTTTTCTCCTTTCAGATTCACTATTTACATCGTTCTCTGGCCATACACACTCGTTCGACTGGCCGGCTCGATGCTGCTGTCTTCACCACTTATGCGACACGAGCCCTCCCCAGAAACAACTTGAGACCTTATTCTCGCTCGAAGGACATGGCGACCTCTCAATTACCCTCGAAATTTCCCTGTTGGTGTCGCGCAGTCTATTCTTGGGGAGGAGAGACGGACAAGGATTTAGGATTCGTGGAAGGCGATCTGATAGAATGCCTAAATGCTGGCGACGGTTCGTGGTGGATGGGAAGATTGAGGAGAGATAAACGGATGATGGGCCTATTCCCTTCGAATTTTGTCGTTGTTCTCGAGGACAACTTTGTGCCTATGAGTCGGTCCGTCAGCCCGTTGCCAGAGCTACACAAAACCGACAGCGGGCGAAAGAGTACGCAGGAACAACAACAAGAAAAGAAAGAACGAGCAAAATTCAGAAGGCCTTTCCAAGGTTACAAGCATGCCAAAGCTCCCACTGGCACAGGGGCCACACCGCAACGAACCACGGCACCAGCACAACCAGTATATGATTCCAGAAACCCTCCCTCTACAGTGCTATGGCAGCAAAGACCACCATCGCGAGCGCCATCACGATCTCCGTCTCCAATACCACACCATGAAATCGGTTCTTCTCCCCCACCGCCTCCTCCACCTCATCGCATTCTTGGGGGTTTCAACGGCAGCGCGTCTCGGGCTCCCTCCCCGGCGCCTGAGCCACTTGATATGAACGACAGATATCAAACCTTCTCCCGGACACCTTCGCCAGCACCACCTTCTTTGAACGGGCACACTCCTCCGATGATCCGTAGTGCTATGGACGACGTAATGTCTTCGCTTGATGACATGACATTGGTCGGACATGATCCACAACATGGGCAGGACCATGAATTCAACCCTTGGTCCCCAGAAGCTTTTGACGATTTCCGTCGACCCAACGAGCGATCGGACCCTCGGCCATTGACGAGTCTAGGGCTAGGTGCAGGAGGCAGCAATTACTCAGAAGGACGTATCAACTATAGTAGCCGCCATAACAGCCCAGACAGGTTTCAGGATGGCGCTCCGAGGCTTGAAAATTACGTTCAGCGAATGGAGAGCAGACTCCGTCATATGCAGCAGGCTAGAGAAGGCTTGATAGATCCAGACGACGTCGCAGGCAGCGACCCACCCGAACCACCTGCGAAGAACTCACCTTGGTCGTCGCGCCCTGTTTCATCTATGGCGGATCGTAGAAAGTCACTACGGAAACGGAAGTCGGCTTATGAACTTGGAGGCAATGGGTTGGCAAGGACGTACACGACGAAAACAAACTCTACAAACTCCAGCAGCGGCGTTCAGAGTGTTGCGACGAATTCTTCACATCAATCGAGCATGACCAGCCAAAGTCTCATGAGCGGGTACTCGGCTGGTGCTTTCAGCGCGACGAGCGCAGGCAGTCTCGCCAGGAAGAGAATGGGGAGTATCCGAGACAGAATGAGCCGACCTATGACTAGCGCAGGCATGAGAAATGACAGGTGGGAGCAGAACGATGCGAGACCGAAAACACCAATGACAGGCATCTCCTTCCATTCCAGTCACGACTCGAGGCAAGGTGCAAAGTCGGCCATAGGCTGGGAAGATGCAGAAAGGAGTACGACTGGTGGTCTTGGTGGATTCACCACGCCCAAGGCCAAGAAACCCGGGTTCTTTAAGAAATTGATGGACAGTGCAAAGACGGGGGCTGCGAGCGCCAGAAGTACGATCTCGGCAAGCCAGACCGGAAGCAATGCCGGTTCACCAACGAAATTGACTGGTATCGCTGGAGGCACAGCTTTCAATGCGCCCGTTGCGAGTACAAATGTGAATTCGTATGGTGTTGATGCCGCCCGTGAGATGGGCCTGGCAAGCGGAGCATCGGGCTCATACATCCTCACGCGGCGCGATATCAATCGATCCAATACTCCCGGGCCATCGGAACGACAAGAACGAGCGGACCGGTGTCACATGCTTGATCAACCCGTCATTTGTCCTGTAGAAGAGCTTTTCGAGACTCTACAAGGTGATGAAGATGCAAATGGTCGACCAGTCTACGAACCTTTTCAGATCAGTAATCCCAGCTTCAGCCAAGTCGACAAGGCAGCTCGGTTCATTACCAGTCTGCCGATCAGTATCACCGCTGTGAGTCTTGCGACAGGCTTCATCTGCCGGCCATACCGAAGTGGCGTTCAAAGACTGAGAGCAATCTTCATCTGGTGTGCAGAAAGGATTAGTTGGGAAGAAGACCACGACATGGGCGGATACAACTACAATTCTCCCATCGATACAAGGCGCGTCATACAGTCAAGAAGAGGGAATAGCCAGGAAGTCTCGGCTTTGATTCTAGAAATGTGCTCGGCCATTGGAATTCATGCTGAGGTCGTGCAAGGATATCTCAAGACACCAGGAGAAGATCTTGATCTGGATAGTCTCAGTCGACCGAATCACTTCTGGAATGCAATACTCGTCGACAACGAGTGGAGAATGATGGACGCAAGTTTAGCAAGCCCGACTAACCCAAAGCGAATCTTATACTCGAGTATCAGCACAAGCATCGCGGAGGCGTGGTATTTCCTTGCAAAACCAAGCGAGATATCCTGGACGCATGTACCTCTCGAGGATGTTCAGCAGCACATGATTCCCAGCATCAGTGCGGATGTGCTGCTAAGCTTGCCTGGAACATGCCCGCCGTTCTTCAGACAAGGTCTGTCAATGCATGCATACGACACTAGTATTATTCGCATGGAGGGACTGGAAATGTGTACACTCAGCATTAACGTTCCCCCAGATGTTGAGATTGTGGCAGAAGTAGAAGCCAGGAAATACCTTCGAGATCAGGACGGTGACGTTTACGAAGACACTGACAACATTACCAAGAAAAGAGCACTTGCTCAGCCCAGTTGGTATCGAACCATGCCAAATACTGAAATATGTCAAAAGCGATATGTCGTCAAGGCCATCCTACCCGGAGATGAAGGAATCGCCGTGCTGAAAGTCTACGCTGGGAAGAAGGGACTGATGCTGAGCTCTCGGGATATTGTTCATCCTGTGGCCCTGGCTTTGCCGCTTTATCAATCTGGCGAGAATCCTGCGTATGATTTTGTTCTGCGACATCCCACACCACATGCCACAAGACAGGATCTCTACGTTGTCCAACCACAATGCATACGACTGGGCGCTGGCGAGACATACGTCTTTTGCGTTCGACAGCACGCCGCATCTGTCGCTTCGATGCCTGCCACTGAATCAAATGGCTTTGACCATCGACCCGTCAGTCCGAACCCACTTGCACGGCCAGCTAGTGCGATGAGTATGACGAGCAGTGCGGCCGGAAGCAATCCAAGTGAACAGGGCAGCAATGTCATTGGGCCAGGAGGTGTGAAGGTCGTCAAAGACAAGCCAGCCAAGCTAGCGATTCAAAGTCCGAGTGGGAAGATCATCAGACTGAATCGTAAGCACGAAGGGCTACCACAAGCAAGTGCTCTCAGGGATGTCGACGGTGAGATTCTCGGCAGTGTGTGGGAAACGACGGTCAAAGTTACCGAGCGTGGAACCTGGCGTGGTCTGGTGCTGGCCGATCGAAGTGCAAGATGGTGCGTTTTTTGTGAATGGGAAAGCTCATGATTTTGGGAGAAGGGGGAGCGAGGCTATCACGACTGGCCTACTAATCGGACTGGCATAGCCCATGTGCAATGATTGGCGTTCTCGGCGGAGTGACCAAACAAAAGTTTTTGCGAATTGTTTTGGATTTTGTGGGCGGATACCCAGTATTTTGTTGGATGACCATGGTTTATGAGGTGTTGTTCTGCTGAGATCTGGAAAGGCTTTGGTGAAACGATTTCGACACGGATGTTCATGGGTTTGGGATCATCCGATGATGGGCACTTAGGTGTTTGAAATATTTCAGGCTTCTCAGTTCATTTCAATGGGCGATTGGATCCAAGGGAGGAGACAATGTGGCCTGGCATGGTCGATGCCTTTTATTAGGGGATGTATGAACAACAGACAGTTTTTTCGAGGGCGGGCTCCTACGAGTACTCCGTAATGATTGAGACGAATGATAGGATTGCGTAGCAGCGTATGGAGCAATTAAATGACCAAGGATTTTATGAACAACATTGCCTACCCAAGAAAACTTAGCAGGTTTTCTCTCTACAGTATATATATATATATACCTAATGTCCCCGAACTGTCGTCAGTCGCCCCGATTCAGCTGACTCATCCCCCGCCGCTTTGCTCTCCCGCTAACGACTATTTAGTCGATTCGCTCTCTCGTCTGCTCTCAAGTGAAAACAAAACTTCATAGTCCTGGGGAGCAGCGCCAAGAGGTATGTAGGCGCAAAGAATTCGAGCCAGGCGTAAAGGAGATCAACCGATGGATATGCCTGAGACATGTCCTTGACGGCGAGCAGGAACAATGCTGTCAGCGGATGGCGCCGTCTGGGTGAAGTTGTCTTGTCCTTTAAGCGTATCTTCGTTCTCGGTTCAAAAGTAGAAATCATCTGTCCTGCTCTCCGCCTCTTCTTCGGACTGAAAGATCCTCATCCTCCAAACATACGAATTTGGCAGGTATTGATGGTTTAGATGGTCAGGGCATCGAGTCTTGCTGAAAAATAGATTCACACACTAGAGGAACATTCCGCGAGAATTGGATATCTTTTGAGGATGTTCATGAGAGATAGGTATAGAGGAGGGTAGAATGTTTGGTGGCGTCACCCAGGCGGAGGTGGGCGGCCCGTACAGACCACTCTCCTGTACCGAATTAAGGTACTTCGGGTGCGGGTGGACATGCAAATCCTGAAAACCCCTGCAAGTACTCAGTACTTGGCCCAATCTGACTTGTCCACGTATGTAGGCTTTCCGTGATTGTCAACTTGCGTCGTTTTCATCCCCTCACCTTTCACCGGTCACCACAGCCTCAAGCCCAGCACGCATTCGGAAAAGGATGAGGCTGCTTTGATGCATGCCGAAAATTTACAACTTGTGGTGTGCATGATGTCTCTGTGCAGGGCGACATGTCGTCATAAGGCTGGGGGAAAATTGATAGCCAGCTCACTTGGTTCACAGCTGTCGCATACCACACCAAAGGGATCTGATGGGCATGGGAGATTTGATGCAAAGCAGAAGAAGAAGGTACTGAGCGATGAGCCATAGCGAGACTTCTTGGAAACGTTGCACTTGGGCAAGGTGTAGCCCACTTTGGCCAAAAATCGCTGCTCCTGCATGATGAATCAACCCCAATTGGACGATAAGTCATCACAAGTCCCAAGCTAAATTCAGATCACGCTCAGAAAGATATGTATCATGCAGCATCTCTCTCTCATCTAGCGCCGGTAGCTGTTGAGCTATTCCTCAGACTTGCAGCTCAGGCCGAACCGTTTCAAACTCCATCTTCTTCCAATATCAACGGCGAACACCGGATTTAAGAATTGCTCCAGCCTCCCTTTCACCTCACGGACCGATGCCACTATCAAAGAAGCCCCGCAATTCGTTTTGGGGCCTCCTGAAGGAGGAGTTATTTGGCCACAAACCCGCCAAAAGGAAGCGCCGACGACGGTCTCATCGCTCCAGACATTCTTCAGATGCAGACCAACAGGGAGGCCGCCATGGGGCCCATAAAAGATCGCACCAGCAAAAGCATCATGAAGAGAGAACACACAGCGAGACAGAAAGAGACTTGGCGAGACAACATATACGAGCCATTAGAAAAAGGAAACTCAACGCTGACGACATCAATCAGGGTGCGCTGGACTTGTAAGTCCAAAAGCACAGAGTGACCCCCTTCCGGAGCCTTGGTTCTGCTAACCTCGTTGCAAGTCTCTCGGACGACCTCTATTCGTCGTCTACTCACTTTATCCTTGAATTGATTCAAAATGCCGACGACTGCAAGTTTAGTCTCGAAAAGGAGCAAAATGTCTCGCAACCCAGCCAAAGCGACGATTCCGAGAGGGCCTACCTGCCCGCTCTAACTTTCATCTTGAGAGAGAGAGAACTCCGGACTAAATGCAACGAAGATGGGTTCCTTCCGGAGCACGTCGAAGCCATCTGCAATACTGGCGCCAGTTCCAAGAAAGGTGATCCTAACTCAACCGGCGAAAAGGGCGTCGGTTTCAAGTCGGTTTTCGCAATAGCAGACCTCGTCTGGATTATTTCGAACAATTACTCCTTCAAGTTCGACAAACATGAGCCACGTGGGATGCTGGCCCCGATATGGCAAACATTGCCTGATCCTGACCTGGATGGTATCCTCCCCGGCCAAGATGGCACTACAATGGTATTTCAATTGTCCTCGATGGCTAATGAGAAAATGCACGCCATGGTACATGCCTTACAGTCTTACATCCTCAAAGTATTGATTTTCCTGAAAAACCTTCGGTGCATCACGTTCACCATTGAAGACGACCGCCGGAGAGAGCAGCAAATTACGATGACACGGAAAGACTCAGTTTCAGATGTTAAAGGTCATTACACAACCGAGCTTATTTCTCCGGATCGCTCGCGACGGCTTTTCATGATCCAAAGCTTCAAGGTGCCGTCAATGCCCACGGAGGAAAAGCGACCCGGACAGGAGACATCAGAGATCAAAATTGCATTCCCCATGAATCCTGATAATCAGCCAGTGCTAGAGGCACAATATGTCTACTCGTTTCTGCCAGTCTATGACTTCGGATTCAAGGTACGCCAGCTCGAGAATGTGCGCGATCCGATACAGTATCACGGCTCACACGTAGAATAGTTCCTTCTTCAGGCCGACTTCCTTCTGCCGGCAAGTCGAGAAGCCATCAAGGAAAATTCAGAATGGAATAAAAAAATTCTTGCAGCTGTCCCCGGGTTATTTATTTCCGCAATCGAGCATCTGGTGCCAAAAATCCTACGCTATTCGTGGCTGAGGTTCTTGCCGGACGAGGGCCAGCGCGAAGACGTTTTCAAGGAAGTGAGACTGAAGATCTGGTCTCGGGTGCGTGAACAACCGTTTTTGGTGTCTGAAGCCGATGAACTAGCTAAGCCTGCGGACTTGTGGTGGGTACCTCCTTATTTCAGATACGAAGACAACACTCCCTTCACCTTGTGCACGGCCACGCAGGCCCACTACCTTTCGCGCGATTATTCTGCGGATGACCGATACATACTTCAACGCCTCGGTGTGGTTGAGCTCCCTCTGAAACAGTTTCTCGAAGACCTTGCGCTCCTTATCAAATCCGAAGATGGTATCGCTGAGCGTCCTGTGGAATGGCACCGACATCTGTCAAAGGCGATAGAGCAACATGAACATCGCGAACGTTGCATCCCGCAGTTGCGGTCCCTTCGAATCATCCCTACGAAGAGGCCGAGGCCAAATGAGGATGCCGAGTGGGTGGCCTCAGACCAAGGCATCATTATGTTTTCTTCTACGGAAAAATATCCCGATATTCCTCCTGGTATCAACATCTATCAAGTTCACCCAGATGTGGGAGATGAATTCGAAGACATAGACCGCCGCGCTCTGTTTCGGCATGTTGGAGCTCAAGGCTACAGGATTGGCCTAATTCACGATGAGATCATCAAGAAACAAACAGATCAAGAATCTGTTGAGTGGAGCTTGACATCCGACTTGGTTGCACAGCTTCACTTCTTGTATGAGACAGGGTGGGAAAGCAGAGGATCCCTCAATCTGTGGGTAATGACAGTGGAAGGAACTCCGGGTCTTGCATCCATGACCTATCTCAATTCCGGTCACACATATTCCGCAGCTGTGATTTTTGCCCGGGGCGGGCAGAAAGTGTCCCTCACGCAGGGCGAATACTCCGAAACAAAAGCCGGGCTCGTCCGGAGATGGAATGGTTGGCTTTACCACCAATTCCGGGTGTGGCATGTTCCAAAGCTGGTCAAAGACCGGGAGTCGTACAAAATCGAACTTTCCCCGGATTTCGATCGAGTCACCGAGATTCTCGCGTCATCCGAGTGGCTGTTACTGTTGAAGAAAAACCAGGACGTCTATTCAGAGTGGCTAGGTACTGACAATGCACGGACGAGCATTTTGAGAGATCAGCTGGGGTCGAAAGTTGTTGACTGCCATGACGGTTCTCGAGCTCCGCTGAACAAAACGTTCCTTTTCCCGAAAGCCCTGCTGCCCGACGAGCCCATTCCCATTGCGCGACTACAGGTGGATGACGAAAACGACGACAAATGGAAATTCCTGGCCAACTTAGGGGTTCTTTTGAATACGAACATCTCGTTCTACATCAGATGCCTCCAGGAATTTAGTGGGAAAAGCTCGTCCGTCAAAGACATGTACGCCTTCTACAAGAAGATACAGGCGGATTACAAAGAAAGCGAAAATGACCTCCTGTAAGAGCTCAAGTCCAAATTTGTGGCGTAAGAGTAACTGACGGAAGCTCACAGCAAGGCTTTTGACAAGCATCCGTTGATCTATTTTCCCATGGAGGACTCTAAACGCCAATCGGAATGGCTCAAGGTGAATGAATGCGTGTGGGAGGGTCCTCGCTGTCTTCCGAAGCTAGCAAGACTGGACCAACATTATCCGGAATGCAAGAGACTATTTCATGGCTTACTGCATGTCGCTGAAGAGGTTGATCCGACGCTTCTGATCAAGGAAGTAGAGTCTTGTAAGCCAACCGAGCTTGAACTTATCCTTGAGCTCTTGCAGGAAGCAGAACGGCGTTTAAGGAAAACCGGTGAAAGGCAGATTCCAGATATAGGGCCAAACACGGAAATATTCCCAGTGAGAAGTTACATGGGCCACAATGGTTCGGTAGTCATGAAACCGTGGCACAAATGGATGGATTGGTGGATTGCTGACGAAAAACAATTCGAAAGAACCGCGGGTGACCAAATCCCCCTCCTTGCACTCGACTTTGCTGACCTTCAGCTGATGCCATGCATAATGGATATCTTCAAGTTGCACAGCAGGGTATTATCTAGCGCGGCCGAGACGTCCTGGACGCACGAAGGAGCTCAAAAGGTAGCGTTGAAAAGTGCATTGTTTGATGAGAGAATCGGGTTGATTTGCCGGTATGTGGGGCTCAAACATATCTTCCAAAGAGCCCCGAAGAACTGGTAGCCCAAAGAGTCGAAGAGGCTGACGCTGATGGCTAACATTACAGGCTGATACCTGACCGAAAACTCAACCGAGGAGCTACCTTGAAACGCTTGACGAACATTACCCTCTATCAGGCAGACAACATATCGTATTCCTGGAGAGTAGATGGATGGCGTCACAGTGAACCGCTCAATGTTACATCGACCGTTCACAAAACGGAGGATGCGTTGCAAGTGTACGTGGTCAAGAGATATTTGGCCTCGAATAAGCTTCCACTTGAGCTGGCGGAACAACTCTCAAGTCATTGTGGCATCACTGATCCAGAGGGGAGACGACTGGCCATCATGGTGGTGACTCTTCAGAACATTCAAGACATCCAAGAAGAACTTGTCTCGCGGGGATATCACGAAAACAAAGGGGTGGTGTCACCGTTGAGCGACAAGAGCGCCAAACAGGCAGAGAACACTCCACCGACCTCGGGTCCTGCTCCGCAAGTCAGCTTGGATTCTGCTCCAGTCGAACCCGCGTCCGAGAAATTGAAGAAGTCGACGCTTGACGACGAAAATAACCATACAGTGCACGAGAAGACCCACCAGAATATAAAACAGCCGCGTAATCAGGCAAACACAAGGGAGACTCTGTCTACCGGCGCCGGCACAATTGACGTTTCCGAAGATCATCACCTCTCAACCATGCAAAGTAACCATGCGTCACAGTCCGTGCATCCACCTGCGGACAGCATCCCATCCAAGCTCCTTAAGTTCGCCCGTACAGACCCTGCGAAAGACAAAGTGACGTATCAAGGGGGTCTCGATGAAGCCGCCATTCTCTCGCTGTACCGTCAAGTCACCCACACAAAGCCTAGCAGCCACAAACCTAAATTGATTGAGCCCCCCGATTTCACAACTGGTCTTTTTGCCAAAGCTTCACCGTTCATTGTCGACCATGGCCTTCCTGATCGCTCGTGGCGCGAGTTTACTAGAAATCTTACCAGCCGAGTAACTCGCAAAGAGCTAGCTCAAGTAGTTTACCTGTCCAACGCTGCCAACAATGCCCAGGTTGACAAGGTTGACGACTTTAGCCTGGACAAGAGCATCAGAACACTGCCTGGCCGCGTGCATGTTGATGGAAGCTTGGCGCTGTCTACCACTGTTTTTGTGTCGTTGCCAACACCTATCGAGCAGCAAGAAGCGTTTGCCGGAGAGTTATTTGTGAGTTCGACGAGGGGACATCGGTGTTCACAACACTGACCACATGGCAAACAGATGTCGAAAGTACTTGAAAGAGAGCTTCAAGGCTATTACAAACCTGGAGTACATTGGACTAGCAACGCTAGAGTGCAAGAGGGACATGACCGCTATGAGAGTCAAGTGGATGCGGAGACGACTTTTACCCTTGTTGACTGCTCAGCGTTTACTGATTTTCTCGTTCGACATGAGTATCTTCCAGCACGAGATTGGATAAATCCTTCCATCACTTACCATCTAGATGTCCACACTACAGCAGGAGGCCTACATGATCCGTTCAAGATCCAGCAGAAGAACTTTGACATGGTGAGTCAAGTCTGAGATGGAAATTGCGACGATTGAGTGGTGGTGGATACTTACTGACCTTGAGATCTAGGCTCGTGCAACATCCAAATTCAAGACTCCTAAGACCGACCTCTTCGTCCTGATCAGAATCTTCAACATCTACCGGCAGCCAGACATGCGCCTCATTGTCAATCCTTGGAGTTTGTACGCCTCCGGAAACATGGACCTTACCGTCGAAGGCGATCACTACCGTGCTCTGCTGGCAGTTGACCACGAGGAAGTCGCCTTCACAGTTCAAACGACTGAGTTGACGAACAGTTATGAGTACGAAGAGCTCAAGGGCGAAAGAGATATCCGTTTGCTGGAGATCTACCCAGACAACGAACAAGAAATGCTGAGGGGCCGAGTCTACGATACGAACCTGGATGTAGAAGATGGATATATCGCTATTTCGTACACATGGGGACCAGCATTGAAACCATATCGCGTACACTCTTCGGTCGGGGACCTTCCAATTCCCGCGTCACTGCACTCTGCGCTAAAACGGGTAAGAAGCTCCGAGCAAAGTGTCACAGTCTGGGCGGATGCTATTTGTATCCACCAAAGGAATGAGAGTGAGAAGGTCCGACAGATCAAGCTACTGCCAGTGATTTTCGGGCAGGCAAAGCAAGTCTTTGGTTGGGTGGGAGACATGGCGGATTACAGCGATCTTGCCATCAAAGCATTACAGAGCGTCGCACAACCAGAAACTGAGCAGGCCTTTTCGGAATTCGATGATAAGAAGTGGAAAGCCGTGAGCGAATTCTTTGAGAGACCCTGGTTTGTGCGGTCCTGGATCATCCAGGAGATCATTCTGGCGAAGGATCTGCTTGTGGTGTGTGGATCCCAGACAATTCTATGGCAGGACTTGTACGAAGCCGTGCGGAACTGCCAGGAACACGCCAAAAGGTCAGTCGGGGCGCTAAATATCCCTCTCTTCCGCAATATGAACGCTATTGTCAGCCTTGGAGAGACCAGACATGGCTTTTGGTCTGGTTCCCAGAAATATTCGTTGCTCCAGTTGCTGGAGCTCTTCCAGCACGCCAAGTCAACCATGAAATGTGACAGGCTGTTCACTCTACTCAATGTGGCTGCCGATGGTGGAAGGCTAAACTTCAAACCCGATTATAGCTCTCCATTGGAAGTGATCGTGCGGCGATACGGCTCAGAATTTGTCGACAGAAAACAGACTTTCGAGCTGCTCTACCGAGCTCGACTTTCAAATGGAGAAGACTTTCCATCGTGGACACCAGATTGGACGTCCAACCAATATCCCAAAACCATATCTTCCTGGCAATCAGAACCGGAATTCAGTGCTTTGGGCGTGGACCGGGAACAGGCAGGTATAAGTCCACTCGACGACAGGCTCCTTCTCATCGATGGGTGCGAGGTTGATAAGATCGCCAAGGTCGGCAACTGTACGTCCGAGGTCCACGACGCGCTGGAATATATCGCCGACATCTTCGATTTCATCGAGCTGAACGCGACCGACTCGCAGGCTGTACCAAAAGACGAGCTCAAGAGGAAACTGCCTATCGGGTCGGCGGCCCGAGCCCCCTGGGGTGAATGGGTGGGTCAAGACTTCAACGAATCCTTCCTCGCATTGACGGAATACCTGGCCTTAAGGAACGGCCAGGACGAAGTGGGTTTCACGGCGGGACACTCTCCCGCAGAGACCACCGAGCGGCTCTCCCAGCTGCACGAAAAGTTGTGGCTCTTCCTGTTCACGGCGATCGAGTTCTCCGAGAGGTTCCAGCCGGCCGTGGCGTGCCTGACCAACCGGGGCTATTTTGGCCTTGTCCCAGCAAACGCGCGGGAAGGTGATATTATCGCCGTCCTGTATGGCGGCGCTGTGCCTTTCTGCTTGAGACGTAGTGATGACGAGGAGACGTGTCGGGTTGTAGGGGAAGCTTATGTTCATGGAATCATGCACGGTGAAGCCATAGGGTGGGAAGGTATGCGAGACGAGACGTTCCAGCTGAAATAGATAAAGTATGTTGTACGACCGGTAAATGTGAATCCGACACATATCCTCTATGCCATTCCATGCAGGCCCTGGCGATGGGGCTCCCCACCGTTCAAGAGGTCTCAATTGAATTTTCAAAACAATAGGACTAGTGCAACAGCAGAGCCTTGACACGCCTCTGCAGTTAAGGTTGGCTACCCTGAGTTCAACGCTAAAAGGCAACCGGATATTGAAGATATGGTCTCCGTTTGTGCTGGATTGGCCACAGTGGACGAAGAAAGCGGCATCATCCGTTTGGTTCACTACACAACCCGGGAATACTTCGAGCGAAAGAAGAACGATTGGTTTCGGGATGCAGAGACCGATATCACGAAAATCTGCGTGACCTACCTCTCATTTGGCGTTTTTGAGAGCGGCTACTCCCGATCTGATGAGGAATTCGAGAAACGGCTACATTCAAATCCGCTCTACAACTACGCGGGCCCAGAACTGGGGACATGATGCTCGCGTGGCTTCACTTCCATGCCAGGAGGCGATGGACTTTCTACTGTGCAAGGCAAAGTGTCTTGATCACTTCTATGTAATTCTACGCGCCCTTGGCGTGCCGAGATACAGTGAGTCCGGACGACCTTCGACCGCGTACAGATGGATTCGCCGAGCCTCATACCATTTGAGCCGCCAACGAAGTTCACTTTATTTGAGAGCCAGGTTATCTCAGTATATTGCTTTGGCGTTGTAAGAACAAAATGCTGACTGGCTGCTGGAGCTGCTGAAGCTGTCCAGCCACACTATCAATAGTATAGTCACGGACTTGCTGGCGTGTCGGCTGCATCATCAAGCTTCGGCTCGTGGGTGCTTGTTCGTCCCAAACCGTGTTCGGTTTTGAATGTGCTCGCGCGGCAACGAACGAGCGGACAAGAAGGAAATTCAGGCAGCAGCGTAAGGACAGGGATGAAGCACAGTTCGGGGCATATATAATGTATATATATCTATATAGAATACTAGTACTACTATAACTTTTCTCAGAGAAGATTTAACTCTAAGATTAGCGATGTAGCTTGAGTATAAGAGCAGAATAGCATTGAACTCTAGAGGCTAGGTACATAAGTGGTAGTACTAGCTAGTATTCAGAAATCATTTGCCTTGCCTTATTTAGGGTCTAGCGATATAGTAATCCTCACTCGATGAAACTAGGATTCAACGCCCTTAGCTTTCTTCTCTTGAATTTCGATGTGACGGGCAACTTGAAGTTCGTCCTTACTAGTAGATGGTAGTTCACCATCACTTTGCATCTTCAGATGATCACTCGATGGGAGTTGATTCCGTGCCACTACCGGTATCTCCCACCAAGCTCGTGCACTCGTGAAGAGATCCTCAAGCTCCTCGAGCGATCGCGCCTTTGTCTCCGGGACCAGAAAGTAGATGGCGGGGACAAATGCAAAATTGATGACAGCATAGACGATATAATACCGCCAACCAATGGTGCTGAATGCCACCGGTGTGATCTCGGCGATGACAAAGTTGCAGAGCCAATGGGTTGCAGTGCCAAAGGCCGCAAAGTGCACACGGAGGTCTTGAGGCCCGATCTCTGCCGCAAGCAGAAAGTTTGCTCCAAGAAAACCCAAGGGGAAGAAGGCCATGTAGGCAAAAAGGAAGAAAACCGCCGCCACAGTTGCGGCTTTCGACTCTATGTCCGAGACTGTCCCCGCCAGGCAGGCCATGGATATCCCCATTCCCAAGACGGCGGCGAGGAAGAGAGGCTTCCTGCCGACGCGGTCGACGGTGATGAAAGCCACGGTGGCCGCAAGGATCTTCCAGGTCAACAAAACGGCCGATAGCAAAGAAGCCATTCGAGAATGCAGCTTCAAGGACTGCTTGAATATGGTCGTGGCATAATACGTGATGAGATTTGCGCCCGTCATCTGTGCAGCGACGTTGATGCCGACGGCCAGCATGAGACGGTAGAACATCTTCCCCGAGCCCATCGTGAAGAGGTCCTTCCATCCTCGCTCGCGAGCCCGCTCCTGCTCGATGACCCTCTGCAGATTGTCGATCTCACGCTCGAGGGTTGGGCTGTCCATTTGTCCGTCGTTGAGGACGCGCATGACAGCCGCGGCTTCATCCATGCGGCCCTTCAGTGCCAACCATCGAGGAGACTCCGGGAAGAAATATGTGCAGCCGATGAGGATGGCTGCGAAGACGATGGGAATTGCCAATGGAAGCCTCCACGATATGGATCCGTGCTGAATGGTGTACAGGCCAAAGTTGATCCAGCTCGCAATGGCGATTCCCGAGGCGACAAAGATTCCAAGCACGACGACATTCTTGCCACGGCTTTTGGGCTTCGAGGATTCGGCCTGCCAGACTGGCACTGTTGCATTTGTGGCTCCAACACCAATCCCCGTGATGATTCTCCCGACAATCAACTGTGCTAGACCGAAGGAGGACGCCTGTAACACCATACCAACTGCCGCGACGATTGAAGCATAGACGAGAGTCAGTCTCCGCCCGAGGTGGTTGCCAACAACGGCGGTGCCTATAGCTCCAATGAGGCAGGCGATACAGTAGATTGCAACAACAGTACCTATGCCAGTCAGGTCAAAGCCCATTGTTCGTCGAGACTGGGTGTATGTACGCACCCTGGATCCGCGCCCTTTCCACCTTTTCGTGACCCTCGACATGAACGGTATCGATTTGGGGAAAGGTTTCAGTGAAAGATTTGAAAGCCAGAACACCTCCGATGTTGGATTGATTGTATCCAAACAATAAGGAGCTTGGAACCACGACCAGGGCGATTCGCAACCGGGCGAGGGTCTGACCCCGTAGACTGGTCTGAAGATGCATGGCCGAGAGAGAGGTGCTGGTAGCGTTCACATTCTTGGAGAATTGGAACTTGGATGATAGTGCTTCTGAAGACAGATGAGAGTGCGTGAAAGTGCCATCGCTTGAAGGTAATATAGTATATCTAGACCTGGAAGCAGGAGAGAAATAAGGCGGCGCAACCCCGTAGATTGTAGGGTATGTTAGGGTAGGCGAGGAAAACTGGGGGCCGGGGCTGAGTGGGTACGGGCGGAGCTCCCAGGTTCCGGTGCTCTGGCGGTTGGGGTCTCTAGTCGTCAACGACATCCCACCCACTTCTACGAGTACGTTGACCACAAGATCTGTTTCGCGTGATTTCATAGGGCACAGCCCAGAAACAGTACCCCTCCAGCATCCAGTTGTCTAGAGAGGCGCACACGCGGCTCTCTCCGGCCCGGGGCATCCACATCATGCCTCCCGTGAGGGCGGATATTCCAGGGCAAGAACGGGATCTGTCAAATTCATCGGACTTGGGCATCATAGTTGTCATTCGCGGTTCGAATAACCGTGGTCTTCGTCCAATTTGTGTTTCCGCATGTTACTTCTCTGAGCCCATGTCGAAGGCGAGACATCGATCAAGTGCAGGCATAGCTACCAGAGATTAAGCAACCATGACTTCAAAGGCAGGACTCGGCCTCATTCTTCCACATGGCTGCCGCATCACCCATGGAACCGCAGCATGCGTCAAGAAACCCTTTCGGGATATCGACATTACCATGAATAATCTGACCATCAGCACTTCAAAAACCTTTCGCGGTCAGTTGGGATGGATGGAGTTTACCTCGAACGTTCGGCTCCCCCGTCACCTTCACATGGATCTCCACGGAAAACGTCTGCTCGATGAACGAATCTTGGTCTTGAACGGCGTGGGCTTGGTTGAGCTGGCGGGAGAGTACTACGTCGTTGCTCCGGGCTCTCTTGTCGATATCCGTGGCGGCGTCCCGCACACCTGGACCGCCTGCCCCGCGGGTGTCAAACTACCAGACGGCACCATATCGAACAATTCGTTCTTGATGGTGTACGAATATGAGGATGAAACTACCTTCTTTCCGACTGCAGACAAGGACCCGATCAACAGCGTTTCCGACTACAAACCATTCAGCGGTCAGCTTCAGGAGATTCGATTTCCAAACTTCAGCGCTCAAGATGTGGCAAGGAAGGGGCTGATTGTCTTCAACGAACAAAAAGTGGCACTTGAACTGGCTTGACGCCAGTTACACCTCTACTGCGTTCATAGAGTGATTATACAGATGATCTTCAAACACTTTTAGGGACCCTAGAGAAGCAGGCAGTCCACGCATATTGAGTCCATGATCGAATTTCTGAATGTCCTCAGTAGTCAAGTACTAGTTATAGATCATAGTGCACTCATAGTCACATCAGCCCAAACTCCAGCGGTGTCGTTGTTGACGGCACTGGTAAGAGTTGAGATTTCAATGGAAATGAAGCGCAGGAACAAGGAACACTGGCTCCTGCAGGCTAAACCCCAAAAACCTCGGCTTGAACAATGAAGGCATTTGCACTAATGGGGACGGTCTCGCTCAGTCCTGTGGGCTGTGGACAGTGATCCTGCCTGTTTGGGCTCCAAAAAGGGGGGATGCATATCCTGGAGACGAGCAAGGCTATCAGTGGATCGAAGCGAGGCCGGGTTGTAGCGGTTATCGACGTTTGACGGGGACCCCAACATCTCCGCCCTGTCATTTCGTACCTGTACAGTATGTGGAGGCGGCGAGAAAGTTGAGGAATCGTCGAGGCATAAAAGGAGACTTTCCGCACTGCAACTCGTCGTATTCATTTCCTACAAGCCACCGTGATTGCTTCGTCCTACCCAACTCAAGAGCGCTCTCCTTCTCTCTCCGTCTTGGGGGGGTAAACGCGGTCCACCTATCCAGACAGACTCGTTACCTAGCTCACAGATATGTATCGTCCAAGTTTCTGGGGCTTGGGGGTTTTATTGACCTGGTGGTCCTGGAAGGGGGCGGCGTACAGCACAGGCGGGCCGCTACCGTTGCCTGCGGGAATCAGCGAAGCCTACGTCGACTGCGTCAATTCGACCGGACTCATGGTTCATACCCTGTCTGCTGGCTGCGATGACGCGGAGAAACCTCTGGTGCTTCTGCTGCACGGCTTCCCCGAGGTCGCATACACCTGGATCCATGTGATGCCGACCTTGGCCAGTCAGGGCTACTGTGTTGTTGCGCCGGATCTGCGTGGCTCCGGCCGCACCACCGGCTGGGACACCCGGGCGTACTCGCAGGTCGCCTTGAGCGAGTTCAGCAACACGAACATGGTCCGGGATCTGGTTGCGCTCGTCTACGGTCTGGGGTACGATCAGGCCCTGTCGGTCGTGGGCCACGACTACGGAGCGATCCTGGGCGGGTGGGCGTCCCTCGTGCGCCCGGACATGTTCACGTCGTCGATTCAGTTGACCAACCCGTTCGACCCGGCACCTCTGCCGACGATGTGGAAAAGGAAGCCAACAGCATCTTCGAATTCGAGCGAATCTGTCGCCGCGGCCCCTGTCAACGTGACCACTCTGACGCCCAGCATCGTCCACCTGGAAGCCGATCTGGAACACCTGCAGCCTCCGAGGAAGTACTACCAGCTCAGCAATTCGGGGCCCAGCGCCGCGAACGACTGGAACTCGGGAGGTGCACTGGGCCCGCGCGAGTTCCTGCGGTCATACTTCTACGTCAAATCCGCCGACTGGCCTGGCAACCGACCGCATCCTCTCGCAAATTCCACGGCCGAGCAGGTCGCCGAGATCCCCCACTACTATGTGATGCTGCTGAACGAATCGATGAGTCAAACCATGGTGTCCATGACTGCAGGCTACAACGTCAGCGCCAGCCTGTCCTGGCTGCCGGACGACGAGTTGGACGTTTACCTGGCCGAGTACCAGCGGGTAGGTTTCCAAGGCCAGCTGAACTGGTACAGGGTCCTGACGGCCCCCACGCCCGACGTCCTCATCATGTCCGGGCGCAAAATCGAGGTCCCTGTGATGTTCATCGGCGGCGACAAGGACTGGGGCGCCTACCAGCATCCGGGTGCGTTGGAAAAGTACAATGAGACATGCACCGATTTCCGAGGCACCTTCATGATACCAGGGGCTGGCCACTGGATGCAATTGGAACAGCCTCAGGCCCTGACGGAGCGCATCACACGCTTTCTCAAGGAGTTACGATAGGCTTTACAGCTGCTGAATGGCATGGCATCTACAAGGAGGACAATGTACCGTAAGCTTGCTTGCTAGGTGGCACAGGTTGAAGCGACGGACTTCCCGGCTTCCCCTGTGCAGGACGGCATAGCCCCATCGTGAGCGGGCGGGTCATTCGACCCCATCAATCAATTAAAGTATCCATTTGGATCAGAAACAGAAACAGAAGTATAAAATATGGAATGCGCCTCTCCTCTGTAACATGGCAATGGCGTGAGGCGCGAGCCACGTTTCTGGCCTGTTCTGAAGAAAGTCCGCATAAAAACATAATTCACAGTCATCTGCGTATTTGCATTCGCGCTGATGGACGCACAGGAGTAGCGGTGCCCGCGTCATTGTCCCATAGTCGCAAGATCACCGTCGACCGTGCCGTCAAGACTCCAAAGAAAATCCAGTTCCCCTTCATCCAGTAGCGCGTATCCTTGAGAGTCGCCCATGTCGAGCGATGCAAAGGCGGGATTATAGGGCAGACTCAACCAGTCGTCGACGTTGTAATCAAGATTGTCAGGGGCTGTCGCTGCCGCCGAATGCCTCCCTCCAGACACAACATCGTTGGCCTGGGACCGCGTGACCAAGTAGGGGGGATAGGAGGATGCGACGAAACTCTTCTCTAGCTGGCTCAGGTGCATGTCGAGAAGAGTGGCGTATCGTCCGCTGAACTGCAGCTCATCGACCGTGCTCCCTTGAAGACACGAGATGGCTCTTCGAAGTACGGAGAGCGATTCTTGCAGTTTCGACCCCGTCACGCCAATCCCGAGACCTTTCAGCAGGAAAACGGAGGCTGAGATCGCTCTGAGTGTGACGCGGGCCGGGGCAAACATGAGAATACCCTGGTCCGAAAGCTCGGAAATGAGATTCAATATTGCCATGGCACAATTGACCACCTCCTCCAAGAGCGAGTAGTCAGCCTCGTCGGCAATCCCGTGTGCAAAATACGTCTGGCACGGGCTAGACTGTTGCTGTTGCGTCGACGCGCGATCGATAATGGCTTGGATGACGAGAGAGTGGCAAGAAAGCCGGGCGCTATAGTACTCGATCAACAAGACTTTGCGGGAGCAGTCGGCGAGCACTAAATCGCCCGTTAGCATCGAGATCCGACAAAATTGAGCTGCCTCAAGAACCAACCACAGTGCGGATTGTCCAAATGCTCTTCCCTCCATGCCGAGAGCATTGGATCGAAATAGTCAACCAGGTCGAGGTACCGGGCTCGGTGGAGGAGCTGTGCCCTCTCCACGTTGGAAGGGAACAAGGCCTCCATCATGGCCTTTGTCAGCCTGGTCAATGCAATCCAAGCGGCGATGCACGTCTGGAGCTCGTCGTATCCACCGACTGCGCTTGCGGGCAGCTTGTGAGGAACTCGGCGGCTCAATCCTGGTGGTACCAGCGATTGGCAGCCGAGTTGCAACGAGGCTTGTTCTGAATACAGATACAGCAAGCTCGGCAGATGTTGCGTCGGGGTTGTCTGTCTTGCTCGAGGAAGTAACCGGCTTCGTTGTTGTTGTTGCTGCTGTTGTTCGGTCCCGGGTTTGCTGTCCCCAAGAATGCCCAGCTCGCTCGCCAGGGACATGGCGCAGTTGGTCAACATCCACGACATGCGGACGGATTTTCTGGTGGGGATTATGACATCTCGCAGCCACCTTCCTCGCGCTTCACCTGGAGTGCTGTCGGGAACAGGGTTTTGCTCGTGAGACCAATGCATCAAGAGATCGGAGTCCCAGCCGTCAATCGGTGGCGGAAATGACATGGATCGAGGGTGCCACTCGGTCAATAACAACAAAGCCTCGACAGTCCCCACAGTGCGCAGCTTTGCAGCAGAGAGTTTCTCCTGCCCGAGCAAAACACGTTGTATCAGATGCTGACAATGGGTCCAAAGACGCTCATGGATATAGTAACTTCTCATCATGCCGCCCTCCCCAGGGAGGGCGTGGTAACGGGACGAGATCAGAAGGATTGTGGAACATAGTAAGGGCTCGGATGAGAGCAATTGATAATGATTTTCGTGTTTCGAGTAGTAGTCGGTCACGATTGGGGCCAGCTTTTGAATGTTGGAGTAAAACCTGCCAGATGTCGAATGTCGTCGTTAGTCCTGAGAAACGCGGAGGCACAGGTGACAGGGGAGAGATGGGGAAAGCTTTACATGTCGACCAAGAACAAAGCCTCGTTGGGAGAAAACCACCCCTGCTTGACAAATCGACAAACGTTCCACAATTCATGGACAGGCCATTTCTCCATGGCCTCGATCACTGGCACACGTCCAGGTGGGAACGTGGTGCTTTCTGTTGCCGGTGCCGGTCCTGTAGCCACATGACTTGATGAAGGGGTATGACCGTCACCGACAGGCTCAAACAATGCTGCAAGCGCGTCGTTCCCAGTTGAGATGACTGTTCTCATCATCGAACTGGAAAATCCGCTCAAGCCAGCGTGGTCACCAGAGAAGATAGGAGAAGTCGGTAACTCTGATTCACTCTGGACGTAGTTGGTCGATGGCTGGCAGTGAGAACGCACAGGGGGCACGGCAGAGGTATCTGGAGCAACCATGGTCGTTGAAGCCTCCGGCGGTTCAAACCTCGCTGGCACAGTAGTAGCTGTGGCCTTGCGGGAGTCTGCTCTCTCGATTGGAAACACGCAGTCTCTCATCTCGCGCTTACATCTTTTGCATGGCGCACCAGGATTCCACTGCGGGTCTTTCTCGCAACGGCCTTTGCGCTTGCGACAAGAATAGCATGCTTTGTAGGCACGCTGGTAGCCGTGAGCCCTCTGAGTTGGGTTGGCGGCACTGTTGGTCATGGTCACGGAGGGTCGGTTCATTCGCCCAGGCGATTAGAGAGAGGGGGGAGGGAGGTAGACAGAGAGAGACAAAGAGAGACAGAGAAACAAGGCGTGGACGAGAAGTCGAGAAGAAGGAAGGTCGAGCTGACCCGAGTATGGATTCTGGAGTAATTAGGGCAAGGTTTGCGGGGTACAACACCTACTATACAGATAGGTCATGCTGGGGTGGGCACTCGCCACTCAGGGCCAAGGGACGGGACACTGGATGAACGGCGAACTTCTACCCCAGTAAGCTAAGTAGCACTGGTACTGTAGGTGCGATCATGACTGTGTGTGTGTGTCTCTTGCTTCCAAGGCGAGGCGTTCAACTGGGTGCACCGAGTAGAAGCAGTGAAGGGCGTGCGCACTGCTTGCCATATAGTGCGAGTGCACGCCATGGCTCGCCTTGGGTCCACGTTTTGGACGTCTATAGCAGCCAGCAACATCTCCCATACCCTCATCCCCGAGGACAGCACATTTGGCCGTGGCGAGGGATTGGCGCAGGCGGAAAACTCCGGGTATCGACGGACCGCTTTCCACGCTCCTCATATCAGCGGAACTGCTTAGCCTTGTGAGCCCCAAGGACGTCTAAGGACCTCGTCGTACACCTGCAGCCGTCTAACTTACTGACTCAATTAAGTCGACTGTAAGGACATCGTCCGACACCAGTTTTGATCCGCCCAGAAAACGTCCTTTTCCATCCTGTCTACCTAGGTGATAGTAGCTACTTCTGCGTCTTTCTCAGCATCTTCTTTGGTCGCACGGTACGGTATATCTTCCTAATGATGGACCCGGACCATTTGCAGATCTTGCAGCGCTATTCAAGGTGAGAGGTCTACATTAAACCATCCAGCTCGGGCTCCTCTCGATCTGGAGTACCTTCACTGCACATTGCTCTTCGCTGATAAATTATCGTTGGCATTACAGCTGTGATGTCGCCGATGCTCTCCTTGACCTTGGCGTGCCTGAAGGCGGATTTCTCCCAGGCCTTGTCATGTGGTCGCCACGACAGCAGGACGGCCACACCCGCATCGCAGGGCCTGTATGGACGGTGGAATACGTCCGTGTGGGAAAGGAGAAGCAGGCAGCCACGGACCAACAACCATTGACCCCGGCCGGGCATTATGTACGCCACACCTTGACACCGCTGGCCATGCTGATGAATGACTAGGTGGACTCGGCCCCATCCGGATCAATCATCTTCGTCTCGTGCCCGGAAGACACGCTGAGTGCTTGCTGGGGCGGTTTGGTGACCAAGCGCGCCAAAAGATTGGGCGTCATCGGCACTGTCGTTGATGGTCGAATGCGAGACCTGGACGAAGCTCGACATTTGGATTACCCGGTAGCGCAATGCCCCTCAACTCACTCCCAAGTGACCGAGTGCTCTCTGTTGGCTAATCATGGCGGCCAATGACTGCCAAACAGGTCTTCGCTCGCCAGGTCGCTGTTGCTCGTCCAACGGACGATCTAAAAGTGCACAAGGTCAGTATGCCGACAACCACGATCCATGTCCCGTCTTCATATCCGGACACCAAGAATGGCCGATGGACAGTTGTCCGCCCTCGACTGACAAGCCACAATAGGTCAATCAACCAGTCATTTTCCACGATGGACACGGGGCCCGCACCATTCAGCCAGGAGACGTAATTGTGGCCGATCTGAATGGGACGGTATTGCTGCCAGCTCAGCTTCTAAGGGCAACCATCCAGCGATTGAAGAAGCTGTCGGATGTCGAAGAAGTGAAGATGCGGCTCCTTGATCAGGGAATATCGCTTACCGAGGCGTCAGCCAACGCCTCTACCCAGGTGGCTTGAAACCCCTCTCGTCGAGCAGGACGAGCCCTATCATTTTCAATTCGCTTCCATCTCATACTCTTCTGAAAGTCGCTCCCGGAGGGCCTGGTATGACAACATCAGGCCGATTTGAGCCTGTGTGTTTTGACTTGCTGTCTCGAGTGGCCTGCCGAGAATTTCATGCTTGAAGGACAGTCTCTGCTCGCAAAAGTCGAATTCTGCGATGGGGGGTTATTCCACTCGGGACAGCGAATCGAACGCGATCATGAGAGGGGAAATAATCAGATGCTGAATCGAGGATGATGGAGATATCGACAGAAGGAAACCAGCGCGTGTAGGTACCTTGGGTGCCTAATTAGGTAGTAGTGATACTGATACTGGGCGAAGAAAAACGCCACTTCGCCCAGAGCGCTGCAACAGAGTTCGGTTTAAGCCTTTGTTAACACATCGAGACATGACTACCTATTTACCGTAGCTACGAGCAGCATTGGCAGTTGCTGATGGATGACTCGCTAAATCGTGGTTTTTACTACATCTTGAAGTTGGTCGCCACCAATACCTAGCCGGAGACGTACTATTATACAGATTGCTGAAGAACCACGAACTCTTCACTAGCAGACTCTTGAGCACATATCTGTATTGTAAATGAAGGCGTAGACAGCATATTGTGTTTTACAATTTATCGCAGTTGAGGATCCGGCTGGGTTTGTTTGCCACATCTAGGCCACGCGTAGAGAGGTTGGAGACGGAGAGCTGATCAGTGGTATTCCCATTGATGTGATGGACCCTCTTGAGGGTGTACTCGTCAAGAAGGCTAACGTGGGTACCAAATTGTCGTTACATGGGTCTATGTATACCTCAGATCTATGATAGCCCTTTGTTGAGCACGTTTTATAGGACGACAAGACTACTATTGAAACGATAGATACCCGCATAGCATCGACACTGGAGCACAAACCCTCACCCGCCGGAGATGTCAACGGTGAAAGCTCTATTGCCTTTTTTTTCGGCGCACCAGGTGACACACCTGGAGGCTGGCTCAGACCGGATAGTCGACCTTCATCTAAAGTTTAGGAGTTGAGCGCCATCTCACATAAGGATGATTGGTGTTTGCTGGCACCAAATGATCGACATCGGAGGTGTTGACAAGGCCAGGATGGACTTCTGAGAGATCCTTGGCCCCGATAAGCTTCATTGCGCTTTCCAGCTCACTTTGGATAACTAGTCAGACATTGTGATATTAGCAGGGAGAATACCTGAAACGGGCGTCATGCCTCTTTGCACGCGACTCACTTTCCACAAGATGTTCCACCCCTTCCGTGCCATAGTTGAGGGCGTAGAGAAAGGTCCGGCCGATTCCAACCGCTTTCGCTCCGAGGCAGAGCGCCTTGAGAACGTCGGCGCCCCGTCGGAACCCGCCATCAACAAAAACCTCCATTTTGTCGAAGATTTCCGGGCAACATCGATGCATTTCCAATAGCAAGAGGATTGCAGGAGGGGAGTAGTCGAGGTTCCGGCCACCGTGATTGCTCAACAAAATGCCGTCGACGTTGTGGGCCATTGCCAGTCTTGCATCTTCGGCAGACCCTATGCCCTTGAGGACGATGGGCAAGTCGGTGTGTTGCCTGATCCAGGCGATGTCGTCCCACGTCGTGCTCTGATCGATGTAGTTGCCGGTTGATCGTGTCAGACCTCCGCCCTTCTTGTCAGCTTTGACTTGCTCGCCTGTTACAGGACTGACAATGATCTCGTCAACCACTAGTCGCTCGTCAGACTCCCGTTTCCCTCTCCCTGCCGCGTCCACCGTGACAAATATAGCCCTCATCCCCATCGACCTGGCCTTGGACAGGAGCTCGACGGATTTCTGTCGTTGTTTGTTCACGTATAGCTGCAGGAAGAACGGATACCCAGGCGCCTGCGAAGCAATCTCTTGGATTGGATAGCTAGCGCTCGTGGAGATCTACATTTCCAATTAGCCAGGGGAGCGGTTCATCTTCGCCTTGACGAACTCAAGTGCATCTTGAGGGACACATCGACTCACGATCTCGAGAATTCCGGTTGACTTTGCCGCCCGGGCAAGGCCGTTCTCGGCTTCCGGGGAGATCAATTTTGCCAAACCGGTAGGACAGATGAACAGTGGGAGCGCCATTGGAATGCCCAGCATGCTTCCTGACGTGTCTATCGATTCAACATTCCTCATCACCCTAGGTCTGAACCAGATTCGTTTGAGCATGGCCTCGTTTGCGTGTCTCGTCCAACAGTCCGTGTCGGCAGTTGAGTAGAAGGTGTAAGCTTTCTTAGAGGCAAATACAGCTGCTGAGGCGTCAAAGTCGTAGCTTTCCACGTTTGTTAGCTGTGAGCTTTCGGGCAACGGAGCAAATGGGACTCAAGTATACCTGTTCAAAATGGAGTGCAGGGGAGGCTTCTCTTCCGCGGTGGACTCTGATACGGACTTGCGCTGGCCCTGCTGTTGTTGTTGACTGTTCCACTCCTTCGGGATTGAAGACCTTTCTAGTGCTCCTATGAAACAGTCCACGGGGAGGTTTTCCCTGAGCACAGTGGAGGCATGCACTTCGGAAAACGCTTCGGTCGCGTCATTTGCCGCATACTTGTATATCACTGCGGCATTCATCAGCATCTGTCCCAAAATTGAATGGCAACGGCAGCCAAACGTACAATATGAACCGCCAGGGTGCGCAGGAGCAAACTTGGAAACATCCCACACTTCCCCTCCGATCACAAGCCAACAGTCCTCCGGTGTGTTGTGGGCAGATAACTCATCAAACGACACGACTTTCGTTTCCGCCATCTTGATCATCGTACGCAGCTTATAACAAAGGTCGAATTGGAGAAGCTCTTTGATCATGTAGCCAAGTAGGTGTTACCTAAAAGTACTGAAGACCAGGGTTGAAGTCGGCCTCGACTATACCAGCCAAGAGTCTGAGGTAATGTAAGTCTGAAAAGCAGGGCCATAGCGTGACACCTAAGACATCCGCCCGGTGCCGATGGAGAAGGGGTTCCAAGGCTGCCTTACTTTGCCGCTGGTGAGGACCATGTCTGTGTCTCTGTCATGGAAGTAGATGTATCCCGGCAGGGCAAGGATTTGCCGAGATGTCGGCCGGCGAAACTAACTTGGGGTCGGGCCTGAACAATCTCCGTGGCTTTCCGCCAGTCTGGCGACGTTTTCTCCCTAGAAATGCAGTGACCTTGATACAAGGACAGACTAAGGACGGATGATACCATGATCATTCCCTTGAAAACCACTGGACGAACGGACAGGTGACTTTTATGCTTGAATAGGCAGAAGGTACTGTGCTCCTCTCTCATGGCTAGAGAAGAGAAGCATAACATGTTGCCGGCCGTGTACCTTAACATGGACACTCGTCAATTTTACGGGACCTGCTATGGCAAGCATATATGTAGAAAATAGGCTAGAAACTGTTTCCTGCTTCGCGAAGGCCCTTCATCAAAACCCTATCGAGGTCAAAACCCGCTATGGTTGTAGTCTTTGCCACGGAAGGGGGTCGCGCCACCAGCGCTTCCTTTTCCACAATGGCAAGCATTTGTTCGAAGTGAGGTTCAGAGAGGTGGCTCTTGGTGGCCTCTTCGGAGCTGTATCTACACGTCGGTCCGTGGCGAGGTTAGATACCCTGATTCCATTGCAGTATGGATCGAATTGGACTTGCGTTTCGAACAGCCAGAATTCTGGACTGCTTGTCTGGATTTGCTCTGTAAGCAGGAAGCGGACAGTGTAGTCCTCTTTCTCGTGAACTTGGCTGCATTGCTCGATCAGAAGCTCTCGCAACTGAGAAAGAATCAGCCTAAACATGCGACTATCGACAGTCCACCTCAACTTGCCCTCTCAGCCTTTCCTTCCGCCGGGTAGAAGATGGCGAATATGTGGACTTGCGACATGTTGGCCTTCAACAAAAGGCTCAAGGAAGTGTTTGTGACAGGTATTCGACTAGTATATGGTACCCAGTTGTCTACCATGGAGACGGAGAACATGTATTTCCCTAGGACAGCGCGCTGTATTATGGGCTTTTACTCTGATAAGTGGAGTTGTCAACGTCGTCGCCCAATAATTTTCGCTCTCCTGAGCTACCCGACCCTGGCCTCCCGTCGCTCGCCGGTCAATGGAGGCCTTCTGGAGCTTTGTCTCCGGCGACATGATAATCTAGCCCGACTTCAACAATCATCCCTCGACTGCACCGACTAGTTTGTCTCGTACAACCTCCCGCCGCGTACTTCAACGTCTGCCGGTCTTGGATCAGAAAAGCGCACCACCCACACGAATGCGCACCGACTTGACATGCGTGTAGTTCGACAGCGCATATTTGCCCAGCTCGCGACCAATGCCAGATTCCTTGCAGCCGCCAAAAGGGACCTGAGCGGTGAGCATGTTGTAGTTGTTGACCCAGACGGTGCCCGCTGACAATGCGTTGGACACCCGGATAGCGGTGTTCAGATCCCTGGTGTGGACCGCCGCAGCCAGACCATAGACACTGTCGTTGCTGAGACGAACGACTTCTTCTTCTGTTTCGAACTTACAGATCACACACACTGGACCAAAGATTTCTTCTCGCATGATAGTCATCTCTGGTTTAACGTTTGAGAAAACCGTAGGCTGAATATAGAAGCCCTCGGTGCCCTGTCGCTGGCCTCCGATCTCTAATGTCGCACCCTCTTCATTCCCTGACCTAATATACCCCATAATTCGATCATACTGTAGTCGACTGACTTGTGGGCCTTGGAAAGTATTGTCTGCAAATGGGTCGCCAACGATATTTCTGCCGACTCTTGCCTTAAAAGCCTCGACAAACTGGTCATAAACGCCAGACTGAACGTAGATCCGCGAGCCAGCGCAACAGCACTGCCCCTGATTGAAGAAGATGCCAAAGTTCACCCAGGAGATGGCAAGGTCGATGGTAGCATCATTGAACACGATGTTAGGAGACTTGCCGCCTAACTCTAGAGTTACCTTTTTCAAATTTGAATCGGCGGCGGCCCTCAGGATCTTCCGCCCAATCAAGGTCGATCCGGTGAACGCGATCTAGAGAGTATGAATCAGATAGGCAGAAGATGAGAAATATGATCGACATCCTGGACGATGCCTTACCTTATCAACATCCATGTGTGCCGCAAGAGCTGCTCCTGCAACACCACCGACACCCGACAAGATATTGACGACACCCGCGGGGATCCCTGCCTTATGGCAAAGATTCGCAGCATATAGACCAGACAGAGGTGTTTGTTCAGCGGTTTTAAGGACAACCGTATTCCCCGTTGCTAGAGCCGGCCCAATCTTCCACGACCACATAAGAAGAGGGAAATTCCACGGGATAATTTGTCCGCATACCCCTATCGGTTCGTGTCTCGTATAGTTCAGGGTTTCAGGGTCAGTGTCAATGACTTTACCGTGAAGCTTATCTGCCCAGCCTCCATAGTATCTCAAGACGTCCGCAGCTGCCTGGACGTCGCCTCTGGAAAGGGAGATGGCTTTCCCATTATCCAGTGACTCAATGGCGGAAAGGGTTTCCAGGTCCTCTTCGAAGAGATCGGCAAGCTTCGTCAGCAATCGTCCCCGTTGCGAAGGCGCTGTTTGAGCCCAGATCCCATTGAGTGCCTTTCGAGCGGCTTTGACGGCGATGTCGATATCTGTGTTTTGAGATCGATCAGCGGCATATAGCTTTGATGTAGCGCCAAAGATTGGATCGGGGGCAGGCAACCTTCTACTCCCGCCTCACAGACAGAGGCAATGATACATTCATTGGCTGGATTGATTGTCTCAAATGTCTTCTGCTCGACGCCGGCTGCCCATTTGCCGTCAATGTACAATCCGAGGGGCTGCTCGTAGGAGACCGTTGGGGTCTTGATCACAACCGACAGACTCATGCTGATGATTAGCCTGGGTCCTCAAATCTCGATGTTCCCGATATAAGGCTTCCAGTCCCAGAGTTAGAGCAACTGCGAATAAAATCCCTTCATCTAATATATCAGACCTTTTGGATTTGGATAAACTCATATCGCACAGTTCTCCTTCGCCACCGAGCTTGGCCGCAGTTTTCCGGAGCTCCAGAAAATCCATCTCGGACTATTCTGGGTACGGGTATCAAAGGGCTCAAGGATATTGTCTGCCGGTAGGGTTTCGGTCTTGCTCGCAAACCCATTGAGTTCCGCATCGAAGTTGTCACCCGAACGACGCAGCTTTCTATGTGATCATCGTGTCCTGCCGGACAGCTGAGATTGCGCATGTATATCTTCAATCGATCTTGTTTGCATACCGGAACGAGAATCCAGCAATGACCTACCCATTTGTTACTGACGCGAACATCGGTCACCCAACTCTACCGCTCAACATGTCACCTCCCAAGTCTTCAGGCATCGACTTATCTGACGATGACCTGGATTGTCTCAGCATATCGGAGCTTGAGAAGCGAGCGCTGGGGAGAATGGACAAACAGACAAGGGATTATTACAACGAAGGCGCGGACTCGGGTGTCACTTTGCTTGATAATATCATGGCTTATCAGATGTACCGCATCCGTCCTCGAATTATGCGTGACGTCTCATCCATCGATAGCTCAGTCGTGGTTTTCGGCCACAGAAGCAGCGCCCCTTTTGGGATCGCCCCAGCAGCCATGCAGAAGTTGGCTCACCCGGACGGAGAACTGGCGACGGCGCGAGCTTGTGCCAGACGGGGCATTGTCATGGGACTCAGCTCGTTCTCAACCACAACCATAGAGGACGTGCGACAGGCGAGCGGAAGGATGCCCAACGCCTTGCAACTGTACCTGTTCGAAGATAGATCTCACAGCCGTGATCTGATTGCCCGTGCCAAAATGGCAGGCTACAAGGCGGTCATCCTGACCGTCGACACTCCGGTCCTTGGAAGGCGAAGACTGGAAATTCGAAATCAATTTCGATTGCCGAGTCACTTGGAGATTGCAAACTTCGCCAGCCACGCCACTGAATCCGAAGTAAAGAGTTCGTCTACCGAGGAAGGGAACAATCTGCCCGATGGCTACGCCACTCGTGCGCCTCAGATCACCTTCCACACCCACGGTCCCAATCCTACTTTGGAGTGGAAAGAGACCATGAAATGGCTGAAACACGAAGCCTGGCCGATGCAAGTCTGGCTCAAGGGTATCTTGACCCCCGAGGATGCTTCGCTGGCAGTCGAGCATGGTGCGGATGGCATCATCGTCTCCAACCACGGCGGACGTCAGCTCGATGGAGCCCTTGCCACTCTCGATGCCCTTCCCGACATCGTTGCCGTGGTCGGCCGTCGCATTCCTGTGCATGTGGATGGAGGCATTCGCCTCGGTTCCGACATCTTCAAGGCTCTCGCCCTGGGGGCGGACTTCTGTTGGGTTGGTCGCCCAGCGCTGTGGGGCCTAGCATACAAAGGTCAAGTGGGAGTTGAATTATGCTTGCGCTTGTTGATCGACGAATTCCGGCGTTGTATGGGACTCTCGGGGGTTACTGAAGTGAAACAAATTGGCCCAGATTATCTTTGCAAGGTCGGTCGCAGTGGCTTTGTAAGTCGCCTGTAGCGTGCGATAAAGTACAGACAGAAATGCGGCACACCGTTGCGTGCCTCGGGTACTTTAGTAGAATAACAACCAATCTCACGTTACTCCAAATTCAGTTTTGCTACGTATCTCTGTTATTCTGCATCGTGGCCCTGGCCGTGGACGTGGCGTCTGGTATGCTCATGGGATTTCAGGATTTCCATACAGCCACCAGGACCCGGCGTGATGCCAACCACCTCTTTTGGACGTTACACTTCAATTCTGGGTTCTAGCGCTGCTCTGCAGGTCCGTACCTGGAATGACTACCACCAATCGGCTTCAGTAGGGGTCGGTCAGTGGCGGTAGAGATGCTCTGTCGCTCGGAAAACGACGGACCTATCCACTCGGGCGGCGCCAACGGATAAATGATAGTAGACATATCGCACTGAGCAAACTATCTCTTTCGTCGGGCGTATATGACGACCCGGAAAGACCAATATTGGCCAGATATGCTACTTGGGGCGATATATCGCTTCGGGCCTGTAGAGCTATTATCCGCAGGTCCTAGATCAACTAGACATTCAGAACCATCTGTTAGGCCTCTACTATATCCGATCTGAACTCTGGACTTTTGCTTCAAGCTTCAATGGATTTCGGAAATCCGACTTCAGCAATGCGGGCGGGACCTCTGTCTGGAACTGATCCGGCACTTGCACCCGTCCACCGGGCTATACGGGATCTTCTATACCGACCTGGCCATGATGATGGTTCTCTCGGTCCTCTTCTTGTACGGTTGGCCTGGCACTGTGCAGGGACCTACTGCGCCGTTTCGGACACAGGAGGCTCTAATGGCGGCGCAATGAGATTTGACGACGAGGCTAATGACCCGTCGAATGCCGGGCTTGAAACTGCCAGGAGCGCACTCGACGACCTGAGACATCAGCACCAGCTTTCATGGCTGAGCCACGCAGACCTTTACACGCTTGCAGGAGTCGTAGCCATTGAAACTCTTGGAGGACCCAAGGTAAAATGGCTCGGTGGTCGGACGGACTACTCGGACGCCCGAGAAGCTTCAGCATCGGGGAGTACGGTTGGGAGGCTCCCCGACGCCAGCAAAGATGCGAGCCATGTCCGGCAGGTCTTCCACCGCATGGGTTTCGAGGACCGTGATATCGTGGCGTTGTGTGGTGCGCATTGTCTGGGGAGATGCCATGCGGACAGAAGCGGCTTCGAGGGCAAATGGGTGAGAAACCCGACGAGATTCTCAAATGCATTTTTCCGAACGCTAAAAGCCCACGAATGGCACCGGCGGTCGCTTGGGAATGGGCTCTATCAGTTTTCAAACATTGCAGCCGGCGCCAGCCAGTCTGGTCGAGGCAGCGTGGAGGAGTTGATGATGCTACCGGCCGACATGGCATTGCTGGAAGACCCTGCTTTTCGAGTCTGGGTGGATAAATACGCCAAAGACAAGGATCTTTTTTTCAAAGACTTTGCAGATGCGTTTGCAAAGCTGCTGGAACTGGGATTGAAGAGAGACACAGATGGAAGACTCCTGCGAGCAAGTGGTCCCAAGGCATCATTAGTTGATTGTCCTATGCAAGCCAGGTTATAGATGGCGGATTTGAGGTCCGAGGCTTGAGATCTCAGAGAAAATAAAGGGTTAGAGGGCCGCCGTCGCGATGAGTCGGCCAGAGCTTGTATAAAGAGTACATATTAAGCGAAGTTTAGGGGAAGAGCGGGAAAAACGAGATATCGATGGGGAAGTGATATCAGAAGGAGGCCAAGGGAAAACCAAAAGAATTGGGGTGCGTTGGTGAGGGTGGGAAGAAAAGGGACTGCCTTAATTTAGTCTCTTCTCTTGTTTTGGCGCTCGAACTGCAATGTCAACAGTTTCGCATTGGGATACACGCCTCTGAAGGTTGGGTGGCTCAAGTGATGAAGGATATTGAGAATTGAAGCAGCATCGACTTTGTTGAGATATCATGGTATTTCTAAATTCACACCTAGTAACGACCAAGTCATAACTTACTTAGTTGTGTGCGTTTCGCAAAGATATCTCCATAGCAACTGACAATGGGGGCTATTTCCGTGATATACCCATGAGAGGTAGTCTTGTGTGAGATGCAGAGGTGATTGTGCGTGATATCTATCGCCGTTCACGCTCGACAGTAAGAAATATATATGTATATAAATATTCGTGGTTGTTTTTGGGGTTCTACGTCATGTGCTTCCGTTCCCACACACAACATTTAATTATTGTTCAGTACAAGACTTTCAGCAACAAGACTGACTCATAGTATAAATAATAACCCCCCCGGAGTGGTTTTAACTCCTTATGAGATCGAAAGAGAAAGTGACCGGAACCTTTATTCCCCTGATGGATGACGAGACGGATAGAACAATGCCTTTACTAACGACGTATCTGTCACGTATTCGACGCGTGGCGTTGTCGTCGCCGTCGTCACCAGCCTCGAATCTGCCCATGGCACAATCATCGTCACCATCATCACACAGTCGGGGAGGAGGAGATACTGGTCGACAAGGATCGGTAACGTTGGTCATGGGCAATCCTTCGGCAGACCTGGACAGTATCATCTCGGCCATAGTCTTGTCATATTTCTACAACAACAACAACAATACTACGAAAGACACTCGGAGAAGACGAATGTACGTTCCTATTCTGAATTTACCTTTTGTTCGATCGAAAGAATTATGGCGTCTACGGCCCGAATTCGGTGTTGCATTACGTCTCGCCATGGGCGAGAAGCCGGAGAATGTCAGACGAGGAGGTGATGGGAAGAGGCAGTCCGGCGACGGCCAGGGCAAGACAGCGAAAATGTTGGAGGAAATACTCACTATTGCGGACGTTTTGGACGATCAGGGCTCGGTACTCCACAAGGTATTCGCAGCTGCTGTAACAAGTGCCGATGAGAAACAGGAAGTGATTCTGGTCGACCATAATGCACCTTCTATCCCAATACCAGGATTGTCAGATGAGGTGATCCGGTCAAGACTAGAAATTACAGGTTGTATTGATCACCATGTGGACGAGGGCTATGTGTCTGGTGATGCGGACCCCAGGATGATTCGGACGGGTATAGGCAGTTGCACAAGTCTTGTCGTTCAACATCTTCGGGACAAAGGTTTGTGGCAGCCTACCACTTCAGCGCCAAGTCAAGAGGACAATGATCACCATCTACGCGACGACGCCGACGACGACGATGGACCGAGGCAGATGGCCAGACTTGCCCTAGCACCCATCCTAATCGACACTTCCAATCTCAAGGCCAAAGGGGATAAATGTTCAGATCTAGATAGGGAGGTTGTCAAGTTTCTAGAGTCGATCGTCAAGCACAGTAACGATGGCGATGGCGATGTCAAGGGACAGGGGACGACGACGACAAGTGAAAAGACCGAGTCCGGTGCCAAGTGGGATAGAGACGCGATTCACGAGATTCTAAGCAAATCCAAAACGAATTCTCTTGATCTATTGACCATGCAAGAGATTTTTGACCGAGATTACAAGAGTTGGGCCGAGCACACAAAAACAGCAGCAGCAGGAGTAGCAGCGAAGAATACGGAAACAGTCAATATTGGGATATCGAGTCTGGTCAAACCTCTTTCTTGGCTCGTGAGGCACGCTGGGGGAGTGAAGGAGTTTCTAGACGAGGTCGACAGGTTTGCTCACGACGAGACCAGAACATTGGGAATCTTTGCCATGCTCACCCGTGCTGGTGACGGCAGGAAAGAACTCGTTCTTTTGGCCATGGATCATAAAATCAAGGGTGTGGTCGACAACACGTTTGAAGCGAGGGCCGGGGGGGAACTCGAGCTAAAGGCATGGGACGAAGATGGAGATCTTATTCAAGCACTGGATCAAAGAGTAGTAACAGGAGAACAACGACAACAACAACTGGCGTCGTGGGAGATTTGGTGGATGGGTGATACTAGCAAGAGCAGGAAACAGGTTGGACCACTGGTTAGAGAGGTTACGAGGGAGTCATGATGTCCACCCAAGCCCTATCAAGTCTTTTGGTTTCTTGGCCAGGAGCGCGCTCTTCGATTGTCCATTTGCATTGCTGCTCTATAATTTCTCGGCTAGACGTGCTCCTCAATGTCATTTGCATCGCCGTCGGGGGTAGCGACGCCCGACTCAGCTTCGGCCAGTTTCTGTAGTTGCTCGTCTACCTTGCCCCAGGCCTTTTGGTTCTTTCTCGCCTCCGCTCCACCCACACTCTTCATCTGGTAGCCTCTAATCCGTGGGCCTTGGCCGGTCTGTTTTGGTAATTCGGATTCATACAAACGATTAAAAGTGTCCGAGTCATCGTCGAAAGAGCGTCGCTTGATGCTCTCACGGACTCGGTCGAAGAACGAGTCGAGGACGGAATAGTTGTGGATTTGCAAAAGGGCCCAGGCCAGCATCTCTTTGGCCTGAAGCAAGTGATGTACATATGCCCGATGATGTCTCCGACAGGTGTAACAAGTGCACCCCTCGCTCAAAGGAGATGTGTCTGTGGCGTAGGTGGCGGACCACATGTCAATTCCAAGAGGCTGTGTGGTGGTGGTGATGGTCTCTGCGGCGGAGGAGGATGATGAGGAGGAGGAGCCTGGAAATGAAAACGACAAAGCAATCCCAAATTCCGACGCCTGTGTGACAAATGGTATCGTCATCATGTCGACACCCATATCTATCGATGCCAGTAATGCTTGTGGAGTTGTAGGGTTACCTACACATATTCTGGGCAAATGGCGGAGGGAGTCTGGGAGTTCTGGTGTTGATGCAGGTGAGTAAAGACATAGTCCTGATATGTGCTCTTTGTATTCGTCGCGTATATCGTCGAGATAGAGTGATAGTAAGGGTGAGTCTAGTGGTGGAATACTGGCGAAGAACGGCCTCAATCCGTCACGGTCTTTTTGTTCAATTGTGTCTCGGAGCCAGGCATGTGTCCGGTCTGCACTTCTGGCAATCCTCTTCAGGCTTGCATTTTCAGTCGGAATGACGTCTGCCAGGCTCGTCGAGAGATCCGCTTTCAACTTGCGCAAGGCCTCGTTGTAATGTTTCAACTCTAGAAATCTGAAGCCGACGGATGTCGAGATTGTGACGGAGGAATTTGTGTTATGCGCCGGTGGCGTTATACTCGGAACGCGACGAGGACCTAGAATAGACAGGCATTGGGAGGGTAGCCCAGTGAAATTCCGTAGGGCTGAATCTCCGTTCTGAGTCGGGGTGGTGTAGATGGGCGCATTTTCAGCCGACTTCTCTATGACTATCATCCAACAACTGTGAGCTTTAAGTCAGTGCACAGCTTTACGCTGTTGGAGTCACGTACAATCCTCCAGCGACACGTATGCCGCCGATATTCTCGTGTGTTTCTGGACATTGTCCTGCGAGAGATGTGGAATGGCGCCTCTCGATGTCGGTACGATGTAATGCGGTGTCTGAATGGCAGACCTGTTGTGAACTGTCAATTGACCAAGACGAGCGCCCGCCTCTGAAACCGTGCCATGTTGCAGAACAAACTTCAGCATCTCGTCCGGTAGTTGACCGAGCGATGAGACATCTAGCTGCGCCATGTTGCCATGGTTTGGATCGTCCAAAAAAAAGAACAACGTTTGGTATTGTTTTCGCGGGAATTTGATATTGCCATTCAAAGTCCACCGTAGAGAAGTAGTACGGTGGATCAGGGAGCTTTAAGCAACGCGCTAACTGAATCGCTCAACTCAAGCTCCCTCAATTGACGCGCTGGTCGAGCAGAAGACCTTTAGAAGAAGATATCTGAGACGACATGGTTTCTCACCAAATGTCGGAAACGACCCCCTTTGAGCAACGGGGCTATCTGATCGTCGTCGAAGGCCTCGATCGCTCAGGCAAATCGACACAGTGTCAAAAGCTCGTGGAGAGTTTTGAAGCACAAGGAAAGAGAGTCCGATATGTTAAATTTCCAGGTCAGTGAGTGTCAGTCAGAGCCCGGGTCGTGCGATTAACGTGTCAATAAATCAGACCGTACTACTCCTACTGGTCAAATGATCAACAGTTATTTGACCGGCAAAGCCCAGCAGGACGACCACTCAATCCATCTCCTTTTCTCGGCCAATCGCTGGGAGGCCGTCAAAAGCATTCGAAAAGACATCCTGGATGGTGTGAGTGTTATAGTAGATCGGTACTCCTTCTCGGGGGCCGTCTATTCGGCCGCAAAGGACAACCCAGACTTGTCACTTGACTGGGCATGGTATCCCGAGATAGGACTGTTGAAGCCGGATCTGCTCTTCTTCCTCGATATCTCTTCGGCCGACGCTGCCAAGAGAGGGGGATACGGTGCCGAAAGATACGAGACGGAGAAAATGCAGACGCGGGTTCGTACTCTTTTCCAGCAATTATTCTCTCGCCTGGACCAGGTCTACATCAAGACTATCGACGCAGGAAAGACGATGGACCAAGTAACAGCCGAAATTTCACTGGGTGTCAAGGGTCTTTCAGATGCGGCTGCGTCGTCGACGCAGCTCAGAGTACTAGGACCACTAAAGGCAGCCTAAAGGGACGATATTTGCATCATATCTCCTCTTCGCTGTCCTCGATAACTACCTCCAATCGAGGCTCGTCTACCGCAATCTTGTCTTGAGCTATACGCGTAGCCGTGGTGCTCATCAGGGATTCTGTGGACGCAACAGACATGTTATCGTCATCCTCGTGCTCTTCCAAGAATTCTTCATCAATAACCTCCCCAGAGGTAAGTCCATCCGCTTCAGTTTCGGATTCTTCCTCGCTTTGCTCTTCTAACATCTCACTGGCACTTGTCGCTGTTTTTCTACTTTTTTGTGCCATTATCTTCTTGACTTCCTTCATACCCCGAGTCCTCAAAGTCACCTGCTGCATAAGGTCTGACCATGAATGATCGTGCCCGCACGAAGCACAATGCCCTGACTTTGGTACAAGTGAAGCTGACTGTTGTTGACCTAGGAAAGCATCTGCTAAGCATGTCACGTGTGATATGCTTTGACAATCATCAGTGGGGCAGACCACAAACAACCCTTCCTGCACATCAATTCCTTTGCTGCATACAGAACAGTTCGGATCATCCTCCTCGTCGAGGAGAAACTGACTCTTGTCAAAAACCCCACGAAAGGAGGCATATGTGGGATCAACACCGTCAACGCCACCCTTGCCGATAAGATCTGCTTTTCTTTTCCGCTGAACAGGCTGTGCCGACGTGAACTCATCCTGTATCTGTAAGGGCTGATTCTGAGGTGGATCGAAGTGGATTTTTATATCCTTCGAGATGTGTGTATCAACTCGCCCGCACCATGTTCGCCACGATTGATAGGCATCCTGGCTGAAAAAGCGAACCTCCAGCGGCCACCTCGAAAAATAAGAGGCCCTTAAGAGGAGATGCAAGTTGGATAGCTTGTCTATCAAGGAGGTTCTTGGCCTGCCAGGCTTCCGAGTGACCTTCCCAGTTCTTGAAGTCTTCGTTCGGGTTGTCGCAAAGGAGATTCGCTCGTTAGGCGGGATGTGTCTTGTCAGATGGCAATTCTGCCATGCCCACTCAAACTGCAATGCAGCAATGTTGGAAGGGAAACCCGCTACCACACAGGTGACTTCCCAGGGCTGAAGACTATGCCGAGATGTGCGCACAGCACCACCTTGTACTCGACCATTGTGTTGAGCAAGTCGCCGGGCTGGGTCCGGACTAGAGCCGACATAGACGCTGGCATGTCGGACAGTCGAGCGAAGTAGGTAACAACAATAAAATGCCGGAATAGGTTTCAAGTCCATTCTGGCCCGTTCTCGTAAATGCCTAGTGACGCGTCAGGGATGGTCGAGAGTCGTGCACCACATGCAATTTGTTCCGCAGAGTGATGTTGAGTGGGTGTCAGGCGCGTCAGTCCTCAATAGGACCGAGTCGGTGCAGTGGCCATGTGCTTGTAGGTGGCAACGGATCGTCTCCTGCCTGCGTAGTCGAAGAGGCGAGTTTATACAAACTTGCTGGAAAATTAGCCAGGATTGTCCAGTAAGGAGAGTAATTGTTGACGATGTGGTTCCCTCGGCAGTCTACCTGTTCTTCCCTTGAGGCTTGTGGCTGATAAAGTTGAATGTGGACTTACTTGTGCGAGTGCGAGTGGCGAGGAAACGGGTGATCACGTGAGTGGGGAAGTCTGTTTGGGAACATTTTGTGGCTGCTTAACGAGTGGCCTGTGGATCTGGTGAGATGCCTATGAGCTGGCTTCATGCCGCCCTGTGTAGCCAATATTCGGTTGCTATCAGTCCGTTAGTCTCATAGACAGTTCTTGCCTGCCCTTGGAAGGCTCAAGCCGTCTCTTTCACTTTCACTTTCAACTCTCACATTCTCGGACGATCATTGCTTCCTTTCGCTGGCTTTTTCTTCTGTATCTCGTATTCTGCAGAACTGGAGACTCTGCATGTGAACCAACCTCGTTCTAGTGCTGGTAAAGCACTACGGCGCTTCTCCAATCAACCTGCGCCATTCCAATACGAGGCTACCCGCATTCACTCGTTCCCTCACTCGGTCGTCTCTTGTTCACGCTTGAATATCGGCCCTCTTAATACCTCCATCGATCCGCACGCTTCACACATTTCATTCCTTGGCTTGGAGTTGGACTCACTGGACGTCTGTTACTTGCGAAAACCCCAATAAAATCAAAATCACAGCAGCTTTGGTCAGACCACATACATCCGCGCCGTCATGGTCGCTCCACCGTCCACAGGTGGTGTCGCACCTGCGACTGCTGCCGCGAAACCATCGCCTGCCACTCGAATGAATGGCGTAGGTCCCAACATTGCTACACCGGCTTTCCCGTACAGCGCTAGACACGCTCAAGCACTTGACATGCGCACTGTAGAGCGCAAAGGTGATCCAGCAAGCCGCGATCCTCCCGCCAGATCAAGACAATACGGGCTCCTTGAAGCACCCACATATAGACCGACAGAAGCCGAATTTCGTGACCCTATGGAATACATTCGAAGCATAGCCCCGAGTGCAAGCAAGTTCGGCATCTGCAAGATCATTCCTCCAGATTCCTGGAACCCAGATTTCGCCGTGGACACTGAGGTGAGTTGGGTGTCTGCGTGATCTTTGCCCAGGACTGACGTTTGTAGCGCTTTCATTTTCGTACTCGACGGCAGGAAATAAATCTTGTAGAAGGAGGTAAGATCTTGACATCCTCGAATTGTCCTGCAACGCCCTCTTACTCCTGCGCAGGAAATAGGACAAACCTCAACTATCTAGACCAGCTTGCAAAGTACCACAAACAATATGGCCAACACCTCAATCGATTTCCCAGCGTCGACAAACGTCCTCTGGACCTGTTCAAGCTGAAGAAAGCAGTCGAGATTCGAGGTGGATTTGAAAGAGTATGCAAAGACAAGAAATGGGCCGAAATTGGAAGAGACTTGGGTTACAGTGGGAAAATCATGTCTTCCTTATCGACTTCTCTGAAGAATTCGTATCAGAGATGGTTACACCCGTACGAGGAGTATCTTAAATGGGCCAAGCCTGGAGTTCAGCAGCAGCTCGAAAATGAGCAAGGAGGATCGTACTCTCCAGCCATGGCTCCTTACCAGTCGCCGATACCACCTCCGCCCCCTTCTCAGTCGGCTCCGCCTGCAATGTCATTGGGAGATCCCAGCCAACCTCACACCACAACTGCAAACGGCCCTTTGCATCCAGTTCCGCCACCCGTCCAACAACAGCCATCAATAGCGCCTGTGGCTCCGGCACCTCAGCCTCGACCAGTATCATCTTCCGGGTTTACGGCTGTCAATAGTGGGTTTGCCGCTGTAAATGCTCCCTCAGGATTCACGGCGGTCAACACCTTACCACCTCCAATCGTAAAGAACGAAGTCAATGGTACTACGACACCGCCTCCGAACCACACTCCATCTTTCATGCCTGTCAATGGACCTACGTTGTCAGCAGTTCCACCCGGAGCTCACCTGCATAATGGAGGATCCAACCCACTTAAGAGGACAATGAGTCATGACAGCCTCACTGGTGAGTCTGGGTCAGAAGCGATGCACGGCGATGAGGATGGGCCAAACGGCAGAAGGAGCAAGAGACCTAAAAAGGATGGTATGCCTACAATTCCGGGTAATCACATCCCAGCGATGCGCCCTTCTACCCCCCAGGTACGGAGCAAATCTACTCCGCGAAGACAAGGAGATAGATGTGAAAAGTGCGGAAAATCAGACAACAAGGAAAGCATCTTACTTTGCGACAGTTGTGATTTAGGCTACCACATGCATTGTGCAGAGCCACCATTGACACAAGCTCCGACCGAATGGCATTGTCCAAAATGTTTAGTTGGAACCAACGACTATGGCTTCGAGGAAGGAAGCATATACTCCTTGAAGCAATTCCAAGAGAAAGCCAACAATTTTAAGGACCACTACTTTGCCGCGAGAATGCCATTCGACCCTGTCACCAATACTCAGCGACGGCCTAATGAGGATGACGTGGAGCGTGAGTTTTGGAGACTCGTGGAAGACATCACCGAGCAAGTAGAGGTCGAGTATGGTGCTGACATCCATTCCACCACTCACGGCAGCGGCTTTCCCACCATTGAAAAGCAACCTCTAAACCCGTACTCCAAAGACCCGTGGAATCTCAACGTTATGCCTTTCCTCGAAGACTCTCTGTTCAGGCACATCAAGGGCGATATCTCGGGTATGACCGTTCCGTGGCTCTACGTGGGCATGTGTTTTTCGACCTTCTGTTGGCACAATGAGGATCACTATGCATATTCGGCGAACTACCAACATTTTGGGGCTACAAAGACTTGGTACGGAATTCCCGGCAGCCATGCAGGACTTTTTGAGGACGCCATGAGAAAAGCCGTTCCCGAACTCTTCGAAACTCAGCCAGATCTACTCTTCCAGCTTGTGACAATACTGCCACCTAATCAATTGAGAAAGGCGGGCGTGGACGTCTATGCGTGTGATCAACGTGCAGGGCAATTTGTTATAACCTTCCCGCAAGCCTACCACGCCGGCTTCAACCATGGCTTTAACTTCAACGAGGCCGTCAATTTCGCACCAGCCGACTGGGAGCCTTTTGGCGAAGCTGGCGTTCGACGACTGCAAGAGTTCCGTCGCCAACCGTGTTTCTCACATGATGAGCTGCTGGTCACTGCCGCGCTATCAGATACTACGATCAAGACTGCCAAATGGTTAGGACCAGCTTTGGAGCGTACTCGAGACCGAGAACTTCTGGAACGCACAAATTTCGTAAATACGCACAGGACACTGTGCCCCCACGATGACTGCGCGTTCGACTCCCTTGCCCCAGAACCTCCGGAAGCTTGTGGCCTTACCGTTAAAATCGACAGCTCTGATCTGGAAGAAGACGAGTATCAGTGTTGCTACTGCAAAGCCTTCTCGTATCTTTCTCAATTCCGCTGTCATCGCAGTGGCAAGGTGTCGTGCCTGTTACACCCATTAAGGGCCGACTGCTGTGACGACAGTGACGAGGAGAGAATGAAGGGCCCTAACCATAGCTTAGTCCTCCGCTTTACAAATCAGGAGCTGAGCAATATTGTGCAAAAAGTCGTGGACAAAGCCCACGTCCCAGAAATGTGGGAAGCAAAACTGGAAGCTTTACTCTCAGAAGAGGCCCGGCCTCCTCTCAAGGCCATGCACACTCTTCTAAGCGAAGGTGAGAAGATCCCAGCTCCTCTCAATGGTCTGGATGATCTTTCCGAATTCGTTAGACGATGTGATCAGTGGGTTGACGAAGCAAATCTCTATCTTACCCGCAAGCAGCAAAACAGACGCAAGAATGAGAAAGCATGGCGGCGTTCCTCGCTTCGCACTGGCAAAGGTGATGAAAAGGATAACGAACCGCAACTGACTTTGGATCGCATGAAGGAGCTGATTGATGATGGTGAACAATTGGGTTTCAGCACTCCTCAGCTTGAAGGTCTGCAGGAAAAGGTGACCGTGATAGATGCGTGGCGTGCAAATGCCAAGCGCATTCTGTCAGGCATCAACCCAGCAAGATTAGAAGAGTTGGAGAGTCTACTTGAAGAAGGCCGTGGGTTTTCCGCGGCCATGCCAGAGCTAACGAGCTTAGAAAAGATCTATGCTCGCACCCAATGGCTCGAGGAATCTCGACAGCTCCAGAACGATATCACAAGCAAGTCATTGGACGAATGCCGCAGCTTGCTTGAACGAATTACAGAGCTAGACATTCTCCCCCAGGCTCCGGAGGCAACTTTTGTCAACGAGATGGTTAAGCAAGGAGAATTTTGGGAGCACAAGGCGAAGGAACTTATGGCTGCTCAAGATGTCCACTATCCACAACTTGAGTCCCTTCATTCGCAGGTGCATCTCCAGATGTTCCCAGTAAACAAGGAAGTGTTGGACAAGATGGATCAGATATTGGCCAAGAATCGGGAAGCCAAACGACAGATCATCACCCTGGTTGAGCGCAGCCATGACCCAGATCTTCGCAAGCGGCCACTTTACGCTCATGTTCGAGATGTTGTCAAAGGCTTCGAGGATCTCAATGGAAAACCTCATGGTGCAGCCGAACTGGAGAAAGAACTGAGACGCCACGAAGACTGGATGAGAAGAGGCAAAAAACTGTTCGGCAAAGCCAATGCGCCACTTCACATTCTCGAGCAGCACATGAAGTTCGTGGAGGAGAAGAACAGCTTTTGCTTCGATCTCAATGACACTTTCAGGCCACCGGTTGAACCTGCTTCGCGGGAAGCCTCACCCACTGATGACCGAGGTCGAGGGCAGCTAGGTGAGGATGAGAAGCCAGTATTCTGCATCTGTCGACAACCCGAGGCGGGGCTGATGATTGAATGCGAGATCTGTCACGACTGGTAAGGACTAACATGATTTGACCAAGTTGTTGACTAACCGTTCTTCAGGTACCATGCGAAGTGCTTGAAGCTTGCTCGGGGCAAAGTCAAGGAATGTGAAATGTTCACCTGCCCAATCTGCGACTGGCGGGTCAAGATTCCTCGGGATGCTGCGCGACCAAAACTCGAAGACCTCCAAGGCTGGCAAGACGAGATTGCCGACCTACCTTTCCAACCAGAAGAAGAAGAGCTGCTCAAACGCATCATTGACAAAGCTCAAGCATTCCGTGAATTTCTAAGTCAATATACCAATGGCAATGCTCTCTGCAGAACTATCGAGGAAATGCCAGAGATGTTGTTCTATCTGCGTAAGATCGAGGGCGCCGAGGTGCTTCTGGCATATGAGACGAACCTTTTCCGTCAAGAGTTGCATAAGTGGCAACCTATCGCTCCGGAGCCACCGCCAATTCTAGATCAAAGCTTGTCAACGAGAAAACCCCGACCAACCAAGCAGCAAAAGTTGATGAAAGAACTAGGGGTGGAAAAGCCTGAGGATCTTCCACCACATCTCAGGACCAAGTCCTACGTACGAAGAAAGACACAAGAATCCTTCATGACTGGTCCTCTTCTGCCTAAACCATCCACACAGTCTCCGTCCGCTCCTGGCTCAGCGGCCAGCCCTAGCCAGAGTCAATCGGCTGGCAATGCAGAGACTCCTGGACCTGGACAGCGACAAGGGTCAGCAGGTGCAGCTGGAGCTGGCGGCACAATCGAGCCTGGTTATATCGCCGGGTCTGCGTCGTACGGCAACGCCTTTGGGAATGATCGACCCGAGTCATTCCCACCTAATAGCCCTTCACCCATGTTCAGTCCGACTAGAGAGCAACCTGCACAAGGTATGAAAGATCCTATGATGCCAGCTTTCGCAGGAGGGACATCATCCAGCACTGCTCGAAATCACGACCCCTCATTCCCAATGTTTCAACCAAATACTGGACTTGATGCCGATGATGATCTCCGGAATGGCCTCGCCAATGCCTCACCAGGTGGAACACAACCTGGTCGGGAAGGCACACCTCCAGGTGGCGAGTACGACAATATATTCATGGACATAACCAACCAAGATGGCGACGGCAGCAATGACACGGTACCAAGTCTAGAGCACGAGACGAGTCACGCTAGTGAGGCACTTGACATGATCCGCACTGCTAGCAATGACTCGGCCAACAACAATGCCGAGCTAGAGGATGGTGATAATGTTTCAAAACACTTTGACGACTTCCTCACTGGTGATGAGCAACACTAGGGGTCAAGCTCAGTCGTTTTGGGAAGACGTCGACGTTTCAGCTGACATGTACCAACTTTATGATTAGCCAAGGATTGATGATGCGACCGGAGTCCCCGGGTCGGTGTATTGAGTTATGTTATGATTGATTGACGGTATGGGATTACGCTTGTGTGTGAGATAGAAAGCGACTTTGTAGTATCTCGCATAAGTGCTCTATATAGCATCATCCAGTTTTTGCATTATCGCTGGGGAAAACATAAATGTAATTTGCATCATGATCTCCGATCTCCCTAGATTATGCATTGATAGACTAGAATTAAAGCTTCTGGAAGATGTCGACGGCAGCTTTGGCTGTACTTTTCGCACTTTGGGGATTCATGCCCGTGACGATCCGTCCATCAGTGACATGGAAATCATCCCAAACTCCCTCTGATCGGACATCTATAAAGAAATAACGGCAAAACAGGACGTTAGCATCAAGCATCTCAGGGATTTTGGACGGTCAGATCTTGGATCTTTCAGGTGACGGTGATGGTCCTCCGTAATGGGGGGTGAGATGTATCGAACAAGGAGAGCGAGCGACAGAAAACTCACACTTTGCACCCAACTTCTCCGCCCACTCGTCTATCAGAGGTTCACCCCAACTCCTGATAGGATCCGTGAGATTCATGTCATATTCGGCCTGGGTGGTGAATCCGGTGATGGTTTTGCCGGCGATGACCGACTTGCCGGTCGTGGAGTCGATGATACCCGGGAAGATTGCTTCACCATGGCACCTATAATAATATTCCGTCCCTTGATTATCAGATCTATGCCATATCCAAATTGTTGTTGTTGATGATGATGATGATGATGATGGCTCGTGATAGTGAGACATGGGGGGGAGGGGGAGAGTAAAACTTGGTGAACAACTCACACGGCGCTCAAAACACCATCGCGATTCCAAACGTCGGTGGCAATCTTTTGTAAACCGGTCGCGTGAGGGTAATCAATCAATGCAGCGTGACCTGCACTGGCAAAGAATATTCCATACTTGAAGAGAAAGAATTAGAAAAGAGGGTGTCAGTCAACTAGTACCATGTTCGGGTACAGAAGGGTACATGAGCGAGCAAAGCGTAGCTTGAAAGTTAGCAAGGGGCAGGTCGAGGAGGAAAAAAAGAAACACTTGCATTCTTCCCATCGACACTCTCGACATCAGCAACATCAGCAGCAGCAGGCATATTGTCGAGTTTTGTCCTGAACTCTCCATTCAAATCTTCCCATTGCTCCTTGTCCTCTCCGTCGAGGAAATCGGGTTGTAGACTGAGCCAGTTCGGGACACAAGTCCCCTTTTCCGACACGATGTCGACCTCGAACCCAGCGTCCTTGAAGACGTTGAAAGGGTCAAGGGCCTCGGAGATGAACAGCCACGTGGGTTGGCCTTGGTGGAGTGGCGCCGTGGCCGAAGTGACGGCGATGATGGCTCGACGTGGCAGCGGAGAAGAGGAAGAAGCGGGAGTCATTTTTTTTTGGTTTTTGGATGTTATCTTTTGTGGTTGGCCTGCACCGCTGGGCTTGTGTGTCGTAGTTGTATCGTTCGAGTGAGAACTCTCGAGTCCTATGATTGCTGATGGAAATTGAAGTACTGGATTTTTTTTTCCTTCTTTCCTCGAGTCTCGAGCCCTCTTCTATACCTGATCCATCCGAGTCGACCAAACCCTCCTCCACCACCACCACCACCACCTCCTCCTCCTCCTCCTCCTCCGGCGGTCACGTCATATCTTTTCCATCGTTGCTCACAAACATGGGTCAAGTATAAGCGAACCGCACACGCACGTCAACGTTCGTAGTACATCACTCGACGGTCGACGGTGATGGGTCCACACTTGGGAAAGGACGGTGGGACTTGGGAATTAGGTGCGAACCAAAGGCATCATCAAACCATACGTGTGTCACGTATGTATGTTGGGCGCGGGTAGGTCAGGTATCTGAGTAAAGTAAGGGTGGTACATTACCAACCCAGTCCAAAGTCAATGTTCATTTCCTTACCTTTGCGTTCTCGTCGCGGTCTCCCCCGGCCAAGTCTTCAGAAGAATCCCACCACCCTCGCGTAGAGAAGATAGTTGGTCGATTCACCCGCCGTCAAAGACACGAGAAGGACCCCCATCGGTTATGACTTTTCGCTCGCCGACAAAAAAACAGAAAGAGATGATAACCCCCGGGGAATTGCGGATTGTCTCGTCACTGTTGTAATGGGGAATGGAGTGGCATCCTAAGCAAGAGAAGCGAATTAAGCGACGAGGCTCCAAGAAGCCTATCTTGACCCTTTCCACTTTGCCAGGTCAACACCAACTAGTACTCTTGTACCGAGTCACACTTTCAACTGCCTACCTGGCTAAACACACATGACGCTGTGACAGGTCGAACCATTCGTATGGTGCAAGCCAACGAACCGTTGACTTGGTTGGCTAGGTGGCTTCGTAGGTATCTAAGCGAACCCTCCATGGTACCACGACACATTGATCGAGAAATCGATCCAATGACATTCGTAACAAGACTTGCCCAGATAGGTTGTCTTGAAAAAGGTTGATGCCAAGGGTGCGTATGTCACTTCTCTAGAGTCTTTTTTTCTACAGACTTGGCCAAGTGTCACCACGCTGATCAAGATCCAGAACCTCTAGGCTCTTGGATCGGCCGATGTGTACGCGAAAGAAGCTCAGGGTCCTGGTAGATCATAGACAAACAACAAGAGGATGGAATAGAAGGGTCAAACAAAGAGATGATCGTAATCGTGCTTGAAAAGATAGATTGCTTCACGATTTGAAAGGTTTCTCGTCTCGCCTGACAATGGGGTGTTGGATTGCAGTAAGCATTTTCTCCAGTCGACTACCTGTTGAACTGGTATCATCTTTTCTTTTCTGGTGATCCCGGGCTTGGACGCTACTAATCAACCACCACTGCTCTTCTGTTGTGGTGGCCTACAGCGTCATCACTTTGTTAATCCTGGGCGCGCGTCCGACCGTCATATGCTTGAGGTTGGTCTTCACGGAAACGATCTTCTCCAGCGTCAAGTAATCATGCCCCCCGAATTACTTTCGCCATGTTGTACAATGTTCTTGCCTCTCGGGCGTGACCTGGCGCTTCAAAATGATAGTGTAGGTGTAATTCATGCCCGGTGCGCAGATGATCCTGGCCATCGTGATGGGCCGTTGTCTTCTGTCACTGTTTCGACGGCCTATTTTTTGTCCAACAAGATCTTCCACAACTCTCCACCACGTCCAGCGTGACCTTCAGCATAGTTGTTCCCAACAATGTTGACAAGGACCAATTCCTGCCTCATCTTGTCCAGAAATTTCTCTTCATCGCTTCCTCGAGGGAAACATCTCCTCCAGACACTCCATATACTGTATGCCTCCTCACCCCAGGCCCGGAAACTTTCGTTCTCAATGATGGTCGGCGTAACTATTTCTCGGTTTCTGAAAACACCCCAGGTTACTGCGCTTACACCACTTGTCCCTGGAGTGTGTTTCGACGTTGACTTCTCGGCGACGTCTTGTTGTGCACTGTCTGCGCTAGATTCAAACACCCCACTGGCATCTGTCTTCATCCAACCCAATGTACCCGCATCGTATTCCATCAACAGTGGCTTCAAATGATCCTCCCACTCTTGTCGCGGACAGAAAAATTCGACAAAGGCTTTTTGAAAAACCCAGCCCTCGCCAGGAGGACCCCAGCCGACGATTTCATCATCACTTCTCGCGCCGTCGACTGCTGGTTGGGATGCCAGAGTCCAGTAACCCTTAGTCTCAATGAGACCCAGCAATTCTTTCCGGATGACTTGAGTCTCAGCTCGTAAAGGTCCTGAGCCTCCATTACTAGCGCCATCGATGTCCATCTCGTCACTCCAAGGAACCGCCTCCAGTTCCCCTACAACATGACGCCTAAATAGCTCAGTGATGTCCTTGTGTGACTTGGGATGGCCCCAGAGCTTCCGTGCTGTGATAGGTCCGACTTTGAGGCTTGGTCCATAGCCATCGATCTCGCCAAAGGCTGGAGAATCCGACGGGCCCCATCGACCATTAGGGAAGTCATCCCAGGTCGCCTCTCGCCCGAGTGACCCTTGTCCCTCGGAGATCATGAGGTTGTGCTTCCTCGTAGGCTCAGACGCTGGAATTCCTGTGCCTTTATCCGAAGCTTCATGGCGGGAGATCATAGGTGCGGTTAACCGTCCGAGCTGAGCGGCATCCTTCGATCCGTGAGGCGCTTTTGAGGTACCATCAAGAATTACTCGGTTATGAGGCTGCGCGTTCACCGAGCTCGTCCTCCGCTTCGTGTGGCGTGGTGTGTGGCTGTATTCCCCTCCTGTGACACCATCTGGCCTCTGGTTTCCTGAATAGCCAGGTCGCTTCTCATCGTCGATAATGGCATCACTGTCCGATGAGTAGGCTGGGCTAGCTTGTTCAATCACCGGGGGGATGAGACCCGTCCGCTCAAGAATAAAGGCCACCGACTTTTCAAGATTGAGAGTGTAAAAATGAAAACCTCGAGGAACCCCTTCGGGTTGCGGTAGCTCGGTCATCTGTTCGACCAATTCGCTGAGTATGTCAACCCCTACCCGTTTGACAGCTTCATCGTCCGACTTGACAGCTTCTATTCTCTCCAGAATGTTACCAGGAATCTTTGCGTGGCTTAGCTTGGTTATCCTTTTGATTATTTGGTAGCTCTGAATGGGCATCAACCCAGGAATGATGGGGATTTTCTCGAATAGCCTCTCTCCTTTCTCATCAACGTACTCGCGCAGTCTCTTCTCGTATGCCTGGTACGCCTGAATATCATAGGTGAGTTGGGTCATGATAAAATCCGCTCCGGCAGCAGTCTTTCCAGCAAGATATGGCATGTCATGTTCAACATTTTGTTTCCCGACCTCGGGGTTGTTTTCATCCGCATGTCCTTCCGGATATCCAGCAACGCCGATGGAAAAGTAGTCGCCGTACTGTCGACGAATGTATCGCACCAAGTCGACGGCCCAGACAAAGTCTTGGTTGCTGTCGGTGCCCTGGCCACCGCTACCTGTTTCATCTGTGTCCTTGTACTCTTCCCGCGGTGGATCGCCTCGAAGAGCGAGTATGTTCCTGATGCCCACCTCCTTTGCTCCTTCCAAGGCTTCATCTACCGCGCTCCTCCTCATGTTTGTGCATGTCAGATGCAAGACGGTAGTCAAGCCTAATTGCCTCTGGCATATCTCCGCCAGCTCTAATGACTTGGTCGCCGTGGAGCCTCCAGCGCCCCACGTTACCGTGACAAAGAGTGGTCGCAGTCCCTGGGCCATGCGAACAAGACGAGCTTGCAGATTTGAGAAGCCTGACGAGGTTTTGGGAGGAAAGAACTCGAGAGAAAAGTAGCGAGAAGAAGGGTCCAAGTTGGACCATATCGAAGGTAACCGGTCGTCCATGATTGTGGATGTAGAAGCAGATTTCCTAGGCATGTGGCCTGGAGGACGGGAAGAAGTTTTGTGGTCAGAGAAAGGAGTGTATGGACTTTTTCAATCACAAAACTTAGGAACAATGTGGTGAGCAGCAAACAGTCAAGGAATATAGTGAATCCTGGTGTATGTACGGTGGCTAATCCTTGCACTTTGGGGTATAAAGTGTAGTGATTTTTGTATGTAGAAGGAAAAATTGCCCCGCGTGCATCGAAAGAAAGATGGTGGCTTTGGGCTTGGGGAATTCTGAGTCAATGACGCCAACGTGCAGCCTCGTCAGCCTCGCCAATCTCAACAGCAGAAAATACTACGAGATGCTCCCAGCATCAATAGGGCAGAACATCGATGTTCATATCGAACATAGTAACATGGTCAAACACAACTACAAGCGACGATGATAACTTCATGATCTTGTGTGTTTTCATTCGTGGCATTGAGTCTCCTGCTAGTAATAAATCGATAAACGCCCCGACTACCACGACTTGTTTATGTCGAAAGGGCTACCACAGATATTGGGTCTGATGGTGAATCCAACACATAAACTCACCACCTCATCTTTCTTTTCTTTCAAGGAAATAAAGGCATAGTTCCGCTCATGCAATTCTAGTTCTCGTGCAAGACTTCCAGAGCCTGGCTGCTGATGCGCTCAGGCTTACCAGAATCTCCAGAACCCTTCTGGCCCAGCTTCTCCTTGGTGTATTGACGGGCGTACGGGTTGAGACGGAGGAGAACCTGTCTGTTGCGGAGAGGGTTCTTCTTCTGGACGTTAGATCTCTTGGTGGTGGCGTAGCCCTTGGGCTCCCTGACGACGGCCTGCACTTCGGAGCTGTTGATCAAGCGGGTGATGTCGGCGTTGCTGACGAGGTTGGACTTGGGCGCAGGGAAGATGGTGTCCAGAGCCGAAAAGGCGGACGAGGTCCAGATGATGAAGCGGCCCAAGTGACCACCTGGGGCGAGCTGGAGGAGGTTCAAGGCGGTGACGGGAGAGGTCTCGACACCAGGGATGTTGCGGAAAGCACGAACCAACTCGCGACCGTCGGTCTCAGGGTTGTAGACGACCAGGGGACCGCGGCGTTGGCGGTGGCGGCGGTTTCGCAGCTTACCCTTACCGGCACGCAGTTTGCGGGACTTCTGGACCTTGACGACATCTGGGCCGGCACCGACAGCCTTCAACAGAGCGACGGCAGCCGAGGTCTTGACGAGAGCGGCACCCTCGAAAGCCTTGCTGGAGACAACGAGAGGGACTTCGGGGACGGTGGAGATGCGGTGACCACGGGCAAGGAGGAGAGCTGGGACGGAGCTGGCAGCGATGGCGGAAGCAGCAGCGAATCGCCTAAAAGGGTTTGTTAGCATTGGTGCGCCGCAAGACTGGCGTGTCAGTGATCCCTACTTTTGACCCAGGTTGATCTTTTGATGCCACTTTCTCCAGACCTTGGTTGGTGCGAACATGCGACCAGAGCGGCACTGGTTACCAAAGGCAGCCTGACCAGCTCTGTGAGTACCACCACCAGAGACACGAGGGATACGGGCGACAGCACGACCTGGTTTGATTGTCAGATATTCCTGCTGCTGCTATTTTTTCGTCTCGTGGAATTCCAAAACGCACCTGTACCCCAGGACTCGGCAGAGGTCTGTTCACCGGCCTTTTCGCTCACGGCATATGGCTGTCTCTTGTTCTTGGCCATTCCGGTGTGGACGAATCTATACATCTGTCAGCAATTGTCGTCCATGGCTCATGGGAGTGGTGGCCTTTATCGTACTGGACAATATCGGGACGGATTGGGGAGCTGAAGACAGCTGGGAGAGGTTGAGTTTCTCCGCTGCTGGCGCCATCAGCGCCCAAGATACCGACGGTAGGACGAGACATGTTGACGGTGTTGCGAAAGAAAATTTGGTGGTTGTCGACGGTGAGGTTAGTTAGAGACTTCAATCCGTCTTTGCAGTGTCGAGGAACTCAGACTGCGAAATTTGGACATGTGTGAACTAAGCTCGATTGGGTGCAAAATCTTGGCGGCACCACCAATAATTCCAGCCTTGGCATGTATTGTACTTGTCTCGGCGCGATAGCGTCGAGCCTTGCTGACTAAGTTGATTTTTGTCTTAGTTGAGCTATTGACGAGCGAAGTTGTGGTGCACTGTTCGACGGCCTCGCTATATTCAATAAGCATAACCACTACGATTAGACCGGGCTACAATTACCTTATTTTTGTGCTCCCTTTGCCATTGGCGTTAGAGTCTCATTCGTTAAATAAGGATACCGACTTTTTCGTGAAAGCAGGTCGATCCTAGTGTTCCAACTTTCCAGTCGTTTTCAAGAGATTCATAAGCAGCAGTTGAGAGTATTCCACGGTTTCAAGACAATTTCGTGCTAATCCAGCTACTTTGTATCTACAACTAGCTTCCCATGTTCCGCCACCTGCTGAACTCTTGCCTTCCCGAAAGCCTATCATTCACTGTCTGACCATGGGCTGCCATGGCCAATAGATTTCCACTTGAAACCTCAAGTGTCTAGTAATACATTATCTAAACGTCGATGGCATCAACGACGACGCCCTTGACCCAGCTGTACTGCATGAGGCGAGCAACCTCTTGGGCGGTCTCGAGGCTCACAAGAGCGCTAACCAGGTACAAGCTGGCATCGATTCCGCTAATGGCTCCTCCGCTGGTGAGGACACGCATGCCGCCGAGCTTCATGCTCTTGCGTCGTACGAGGTTCTCGTATCGAGCGTTGGATTCTCGGCGGGCAAGACTACCCTTGCGAGCGTTGGAGCCCTTTCGGCCCTTCTTGAAGACGTACGGATTCTCTTCGAGATCCTCACCAAGGTCGAACCGGGCATTGTTCACGACGTATCGTTCCTCCATGACGTCGGTACGCTCGCCCATGTCTCGGGCTGCAGCGTCCTGACACTCCTTCTCCAACTTGATGTAGTAGTCTGGATGGATGGTGGCTCCGAGACCTTCGAGCAAACCTTGCTGTGCAAGGAAGAGCGCGGCAGTGTCGACTGCGAGGAGGGTCCTCTCTTTCGCCGGGTCCGCGGCCTGGACCTCAGAGTACGCCTTGACCAGCTTTGTAGGTTCCGCCTGCTCTTTCAAGATGTCCATCGCCTTTCCGCCCGGGACGACGACGAGGTCGAATTCCTTCAAGCGTTTGTGGGCTTCTTTGTAGGAGATGTGTGCGGTCAAGGTCACGCCTTGAGCGGTGAGGACGTGCTCAGAAGGACCGGCAAATGTGACATCAAAAGCTTTGGTTTCTGTGGTCGCGTGAGATGAGGTCAGCCTAGGGACACCCAGCCCGGCAGTGACTGGAATCAAGCCTTACCTGGGTTGTTGGGATCATGTTGAGCATGAGTGAGGACCTCAAGGGGGCCAGCAAAGTCCAGGAGGTTCATGTTTTCATGCATGGTAATGAGCACCTGGATAGGCTCATTGGCCTCTTCCCTGATTGCACTCATCTTGCCGGTTGCGGAATTGGGTTAATGTCAAAAGATATCGAAGAGTAGAATTTTGGCGGTGGTGACAATGACCGCGATGTGTACAGAGCAAAAGGTTTGAGATTTCTTGGCTGGAATGTTTGGGTTGTGTGTGTGGTGGTGTGTTCCTGCTACGTGGTGTGATTGAGAGGATGAGAAGTGTGAAAGGGATGGGCTGGCATCATTCCCAGGCACTAAGCCCCAGGAAAGGACTCGGTGGCGCGGGGTAGTTTGAGGGGGGTGGTGGCTAGGCATGGCTAGTCCTGATCCGGTGCTCGAGGGTCATGTGCGCTGGGACAACTTCGGAGAGACAAACCTGGCGAGGCCATCAATGATGAATGAATAACAGTATATCTCACATAAATGAGTGCCATAACAGTTTATCAGATCTAGACCGGAATTGTGCCGCTATAGCATCGCAGCAACATCCAAAACTGATAAAGTTATCGAGACAGCCCGCAGGACAGTTACATCTGCAGCAGAAACCTGTCAGGATCCCAGTCGGCTGTGTCCGCCTTATTCCACTTCAGCCTTGCTTCGATAACGCAAGCCAAATTCGATCTAGCACAGCAATATTTCACGAATCAGCGATATTCTGAGATGTGTCTCAATTGGGTATTTCCGACCAAGTATGACCTTTTTGAGGAAGTATCACTTGCTGTTATCTCGTAACGACCTTGTATCTTCGAGTCAATCATAAGAATTATGCTTTGGACAAGCAGTCTCTGATACAGGAAGACCCATTTTTGGACATGGAGTCTAAAAAGAGCGGCACTTCCTCTCGTATACCGGCCGTCATGTAAGAGGTGAGTGAGAGACTCCAGAAGCTATTTAAAGAGACCGATGCTGCTGCTGGTTGTGAGGTCTTGCATCATTCTCGACGAAACAATCACTCAATTTACAACACGAGATTAATCACGGTTCGCAGTGCTTTCACTGGGATTTTCGCGCGTCCAGCTTTCTTCTCCAAGTAAGTCAGCAATATGGTCAACAAGGTCATCGTTGTTCTGGGCAGTGGGCCAGGTATCGGAAGTGCCACAGCCTCACTGTTCGCATCGAAAGGATTCGATGTTGCCCTGCTCGCCCGCAATGCAACACGTTTGCAACAAGAAACGGCCCAAGTCAGAAAGGCCGGCCCAGACGTCAACGTCAAAGCATATTCTGTGGACATCTCTGACCACGCGGCGCTGTCAAAGACACTCAATGAAGTCGTGGTTGATCTCGGACCTCCAGAGGTTGTGTTCTTCAACGCTGCGAGGGTGGCACCGACCAAGATTGGGGAGACCGCGCCGGAGTACCTGTTGGAAGATTTCAAGGTAAGAAGACAAGTCCCTTGCATGTGGCTGGTGCTGAAGCCGAGCTGACAAGAAACGTTGCAAAAGACAATGAGTGTAGGAGTCTATGTGGCGGCGACGTGGTCCATGCAACATCTGATCGCGAAGGCTGGTCAACCGAATTCTCACCCATCCTTTCTGTTCAGTAATGGTGGCCTCTACAACCATCCACTCGCCGACTACTTCTCCTTGGCCATGCAGAAGGCTGCACAGTTCAGCTTCATGGGCAGTCTGAATCAGGTTCTGGCACCACAAGGGGTGCATGTTGCTGGCGTCGATATTCAAGGTCTTGTGGACGACAAGCAACCCGTGCTCAACCCCAGAAACATTGCAGAGCAATTCTGGAAACTGTATGAGCAAGACCAGAAGGTCTGGCAATTCAATCTTGAGCTGGGCAACTGGGACGAATTCATAAGACAGATGATGGGTCAGTGACAGAGGACAATGAGCGCATGCTTCCTATGTTGCTGGTTTTCAATCCATTGTTCTTTATAGAGCAAAGCTTGTAACGAGGAAATTTATTTCAAAGAACCTCAGGTCACGACCACCCTCTATCTGAGCCGAGGCCCTAATTTACGAATAGATTTGGTCATGATGGGAATCCGTAACGCACCTTTTTCTAAAGCAACGGCTTGCTTCCAAGTCGTATTTGATCTTCTATTACGAACGGAGTATATTTATTATGATGACATGATGCTGGAACGACTCCCCGAGTGCGGGCGGGAAGGGTTCATGCACGGTCCCACGTGGAGGGCGCCCGTTAGGCACCAATAAAGCCCTGGACGAGGCCCATGCGACGGAATTGACGGGGGCCTTTTCCGGGCATGTTTGGGCTTTGCATTCTCGGCTAAAAGTCTTCGTCGCAACCTTCAACCAGCCGCCTTGCCCGCTACTTTTTCGACCTCTCCCCGACAACCCACTCTCCAAGGTCGTGGCCGCTTAGTTAACCCAGCGACCTACTAGCCTAACCAGAGTACTACTTCGTTCGTAATTCAACGCTTCTTTCTCTCTCCGTCGCAATATTCTCCTATCTGGCCCTTCCAAAAAACCCTCCCTTTCCATCTCTTTTCAATTGATCATACTCCTTTTTGGAACTCCTTTCTTGTCGATCCGTTCTTTTTGGTTAAAATTCGTTTTGTTGTATTTCTCCCACCTTTCCCTCATCATGCACTTCTCCACACTTTTCCTGCTACCGCTCCTCGTCGCAGCCGACCAAGCGGCGCTGAAGGACAAGGCCGCCGGATGGTTCGACAAAGCCAAGTCGTACATCCCCAGCGCAGTTCCCAACCCCATCGATGCCGGCGCGGCGAAGGTCGCAGGATCCAGTGTTGAACCGATCAACATTCGCAACTGGCAGCGCCAGCTGGGCCCGAAACTGGACACCGAGGAAGAATGGATGGTCTACATGACTGGAGGCAACAAGAGTTGTTTCGGTCGATGCGGCGCGGTCGACTTGACTTGGAATGTTAGTACTTGACATGCGCCGAAAAGGGACCTGGTCCGTTAAAGAAACCTGTATTCTAACATCTCAACCTAGGAATCGGTCCCTCTCCTCGTCGCGCTACCAAAGACCGCAGGATCTCCGCCGTTGCATCTAGGTTTCGTCGACTGTGACAAGGAGGAGATTTTGTGTACGGGTTGGGCTGCGACGTTGCCATCGATCTATCACTTCATGGTGCCGATCCAGTCGAACCCTCCACCCAAAGTGCCTCTCCACATCGTCCCACTCAACCTGACCACCACGACCGTCGCCGACATCGTGTCGATCCCTTCGAACTCCAAGGCGCGATACCTCGAGAAGGAAGAGTACACCGGCATTCTGCACCCATTTGATGGAATCATGTCCAAGCTCGGCCTTCTCCAGCCTTTCGGATACCTCATGTGGGGCTTGAGCACGATCCCCAGCTGGGTCATGATGATCGGTATCAGTTTCATCTCGAGGCAGATCATGAGCAGGAGAATGCAGGGTGGGCAAGCCGGCGTGCCTGCTGCTGCTGGTGCAGCCCAGCCCGCCGCACCTCGACCTGCGCCGGCGGCCGCGGCGCAAGGAGGCGGACGTAAGAAGAAATGAGTTGAAACCGGGACAGGCATAGGAGATGAAAGGTGACGCTGGATATCATACAAAAAAGAAAACGTTGGATGGGATATCGCCGGGCTTCAACTACGCCTGTGGCCCAGACAGTGGGTGGCTTTATTAGACGTATACTTGCTTCCTCTTGTCGCAAGAGATAAAACGTAATTTGTTCTTGTACAGTACATGGAGGCTCTCAAATATCCAGCAACCATAGTGCCAGCTTTGTGTTCTTGTCCCTGCATATTATACGTGAACATTTCACTCAACCTGCGAACCCTGACCAGCAGGTCCCTCTCGTCCACCGACGGCGTCACTTTCGTCTCCCTTTGTGACCTCGACGTCCAACTCTTTCCTCAACAGCTCACTCAGTTGGCTGTTGTCGCGCAAGTAGACCCATCGTCCACCGGACCCGTCGTCCCCGGCGTCGATCGTCGAGCCTTCCTTCTCGTGCTGGCCCGCGCCTGAGATGACCCAATCGTACCGTTTCGGTCCGGATACAGGTGAAGACAGCCAGATTTGTTTATTGGGGGGCTGTTTATTGATCACGTACGTGCCGGCTTTTGGGTGGGTGACCGTCAGCACGCCGGCCTGGAAATAAGAGGTCAAGATTAGCACAATTTTACTCTGGATACCGCCTTTTTAATCCTTCTTTGAGTATGGAAAAGGAGCAGGGAAAGAAGCGGAAGGAGAGGGGGGAAAGAAGAGCGGAGAGAGAGCAAGAGGGAGACAGAGAGACAGAGAGGACGTACCGAAAACTCAACCTCGAGACCGTCGGTCCTTGACTCACTCAGTTCTTCGAGGGCGAGGACGAGCGTGTCGAGGTACTGGTCTGCTATCTCGTGGTACTCGGCGTCCGAGATCTGTGCTGGGCTGCTTCCATGTGACGAGTCGGTCTTGGGTGGTTGTGGTTCTGAGCTTTCCGGCAGGATGCCCTTGTAGGAGATGCGGGAGGTGGAGAATGACGCGCGAGGTTTAAGAGTTGAGGTCCTGAAGGCGAGAGGAGTCGAGGAGGCTGAGGTAGACCGGCGCAGGATGGGAACAAGAAGACTCGATGTACGACGGGTCGTGGAGCGTGTGACAAAGGTCGCTCGAGCAGCGGAGCCGAAGAGTGCGGTTGCTTTCATGGTCAAAATGCCACGGATCGAGCAGAGGAAAAGTTAGCAGCAGGATGGGCAAAGAGGAGAGGATTGCTGAATTGACAACGTCTATCAGATTCGTCCCGCGGTCTTGCTTCCCATTTGGCTGTCGGAGAAGAAACACGAGTACTAACAAGTCAAAAAGGGCTGTTTGGGAGGGAATGGAGAAGCAATGACGACAATTGGTTCTCCCCCAGAACAAAAACCGACTTCAGAGCTCCTATCATTGGCTGCGGCCGCGAGAGCTTCACAATGCATACAATCAAACACCTCGAAAAAGAATGAGAACATAAAAGGAACAAATAGATTGTAGACATATTCAGAAGCCGGTATTGAATTTGGCATCACCAGAACGAAAAAAGAAAATGTCTCAAGAAGAACAGTCGTTTGTTCTGAAACTGCTCGTATATCCCCCCCATCATAATGGCACATCTACACTGCTACCGCCTGGCAAAACTGCAATATTGATACATATAGTACACACTGGCAGCAAGAAAGGCTTTGAGCTGCCATCATCCTGTCTAGGCTTCTTCATCGGTTTGCAGAGCATGAACATGCTCAACCTTCCCTGGAACATCTCGTCCTCGTGTCTCTTAAGTGACGGTTCAATGCAGAGTACATTCTGTCCTCCCGGGAATGCTACTGGCATGTGCGTTGGCTCCGGGGCCCCCATCCGTTCATGTCAGCCGCATCGTGACAGAGTCCGCCCGAAACAGCAAGTCTCATGTGTTTGGCGAGCCGGGAGTCGGCTTGCATGTCCACACTATCTCCCGAGTGGAGAGATTGTTCGTCGTCGATGTGAGTGAGGCCTTGTTCCTCCCAATTGTGCCTGCGGACTATTCCATTTCACCATGGCAAAGTCCTCTTTTCCGGTCCCTTGTATCGATGAAGAATCGATCAAATCGTTCGACAGACGGCCCGTAGGAGCATGGTGGGAGGGCTTCTCTGTGACTGGTAGACTCCGACTCGCTGCGAGGAAGCTGTAAGGTGTTTGCAGGCCGTATACTATATACATCGAGGCGCCTTAGTGACTAGTCATGGCCTAATCTCGTCTCATGTCTGCGGCGCGAGCTTCGACATAGAATCCGGGGTCGGGAACTCGTTCTTGGTGAACCTCTTCTTTGGTCAATGGCTTGTCCACCTCTGATACGGCAACCAGCTCTTTCACTTTCATAATCTGACCAGCTACTGACGGAGTGACAGGTTGGAAGACTGTGGCCATGCGCTTGCGGAGTCCTAGAGCCTTGAGGACGTTGCTAGATTTCGCGGGCAGACCAATCGCAGAGCGTATCAGGGTGATTCTGAAGTAAGACATCTTTGTTGGGTGATGGGGGAAAAGGCTTGAGGTAGGGTTGCGTAAGAAACCACGTCTTCAGTAAGAGACTCTTGGTTGAAATTGCTCTGTTCAGGAAAAAGGTGATTTTCAAGAGCATCTCGGGGACAATGAAGCTAGACCGGTTTTCCACTAAGTACTCCACCGGAGAAGTACGGCCAATTATTCTATCCGGCAAACACCATTTCCACTCCACACATATCCACCAACAGAGGCCGAGTATCAGCACTTAACACAACTTCACGTTGTGTGCTTGGGTACCTACCTAGGTACTTTTAGGTAGGTGTTCCGCTCGTACGCGCGCTACTTCAGAATGTCCTGTCCTCATTACCAACCACGGCGTTTGGTCTGAATACACCTCGTCCATAGTCCGTTATCCCTACTGCCTGTTATGGTCTCTGGACGCCTATTCTGACACTCCACGTCCGAGCCTGGCACTGCAATTGTCCATCAAAAGGCCCACCGAGGGCAGGAGGCCTCAATTGTCAAGAGTGTTGGACACAAAAACGGTAGATTTATAAGGTCAGATTCCAGTAACGATCTACTCAAGTTGGGTACTCTTGATTGCGATAACGTATGAACGAGTTACTACAAAGGGAGAAGTTGCCATTATGGGACGTATTGGTCTCACCTGTCGGGCCAAATCCATAACATTAGCATCGTTGTGACATTTGCATGTCATTTGTAATGGGTCATGCCGTGATGCTGCTGATTCCTGTTCCAGCAAGGCCGATCACCAATTGTATCAAATTGGTAAGTATACTCTTTTCGCAAGAGAGTGGAAATCCACTATGGAGGTATAAAAGGCCACTGTGCTGACATGCTCTGTACACCTTTCCACTTTCTTCGCGAGTTCCTCGAATCTTTGGCAGCAGTCCTTCGACATGGCGAAAGCATCACCCTCGAAGACGTGGTTGGTAACGGGAGCGTCCTCCGGCCTCGGCCTCAGTATAACGTTGGCAGCTCTTGATGCTGGACACAAGGTCATTGCCTGCACTCGAAAGCCAGAAGCAGCAAAAAAAGAACACCCTGAAGTTGAAGCCAAAGGCGGTCAATGGCTGCTGCTTGATCCTAATTCGAAGGACACTTCAGACATAGTCAGAAAGGCAGCTTACGATGTTGGGGGAATCGACGTGGTGGTCAATAACGCTGGATATGTTCTGAATGGATCAGTTGAAGACTTATCGTATGTCTCTCCAACAAAAGGCTCACCAAGCACATCCATCACATAGAACTTTATGGGCTTCATCTAACACGACGGATCTAGGGAAGATGAGATGCAAGCACAGATGAACACGAACTTTTGGGGTCCAGTCCGTGTCATCAAAGGTGTCCTACCCTCTATGAGAGCTCGGTCTGGTACGATTGTTGCGATATCTTCGATCTTGGGCATCTTTCCCTTGGCGGCGGGAGTCATGTACAGCTGTTCCAAAGCATCGCTGGACATGCTTCAAGCAGTCTTAGCAAAAGAGCTTGCCTCGTTCAACGTTCGCATGATCACCATCAACGCAGGACTTTACGAAACCAATGTGGCTACTAACGGCAAATTCGCCGCCAACGGAGTCTCTGACGCTTACATCAACTCAACCGTTGGCAAAGTGCTCGGTGTAATGCAAGAGTATGTACAGAACGAGGAGACAGCCCCAGGAGATGCGAAGAAATTCGGCGAACGTCTCGTAGATGTTGTGGACGGTCGAGGTCTTGGAGCTGGTTTGGAGAAGAATCTGAGATTTCTCTTTGGCAAAGATGCCATTACGTTGTCCGACGTTGTAATGAAACAGATGGCTGAAGACTTTGAAGCCAGCAAGGAGATTGCGCAAAGCACAGATTTCGTCAACGCCACCCATACCGGAACTGCGTGGATGGCTGACCTCAAGTAGTGATTATAGAAGCAGAAGGCTTCGCACTGCATAATGCAAGATGGAACAGTGTTTTTGAAGACATCATAGTCCAAAGATATGAAAGATATAATAGATCACATTTGTGGATGTTTGATCTTTGTTTACGCCGTGTTGATGCGTAGTCAGTCGGTCCGAGTAAAAAGCAGCCACGCCAATGCGAGTTTCAGGTACGTAGCGAATATGCCGGGGTTTCTCCGTCATCCCTGGTACTCCGCGTTGCGCACCAGGTACCACAATGTCGTCTTTACATGAGGGACGCATTCCAACTCTTCGTTATACGCGCCCTCTTTCTTTTGAGTAATACCTCCAACTGGCGACTATGAAATTACATTCTCCGAAGTGATGCGTTGACACCCGGGGCCATAAGCGGTCGTTAGATCCAATCCTAACCTCATCACACGTCTCGCAAGGATGGCAGTGAGGGCTAATACCAACGCCCTCACTGGTATGCCACGGATTCAAGATACTCTCCGTACACCAGAGGACCTCGAGAAGATCACGAGTGTCAAAGCAGAAATAAATCGCCAGAAAGGCGATGTGGACGCCAGATTACGAGAAGGACTCAAAGACCACTTGGATTCTACACAAAATGGCATGTCTACGCTGGCGGAAGGTCAGAAACTCGTGGGGCATATCAAGGAGGAAATGAAGAGCATACATGATTTGTGTGAGCAGGCGCAGGCGATCCGTAAGAACTTCCCTCAGTTGGACTATCTGGCTCGAGTGCATCGCAATTTCGAGGCCACGCGGGCCATGCAGGCCGGACTTGACAATTTTGAGAGGGACTGCTCTGTTGTTCGAGCGCTCCTTGAAGAGGACGAGAATGATCAATACAACCAGCCTAACCTTCTGGAAGCGCACCTTCGCCTGACGCAGTTGCGCGACTTTCGAGATGAAGCACTGGATCAAATTCGACGAGGCAAGGATTCTAGTCTTGAACAGACATTGCTCGATTGGTTTCAACAGCTCGACGACATCATAGACATGTTTGACAGCCACATCGGAGCCATTTGTATGAACCTGATCGAACTGACCAAGCAAGATAACCATGGTCTCATCGTTCGCCTTGCCATTGTGATTGCCTCGGAGGAGAAGAATGACGACCGTGTACGGGCGTTGCAGGAGGCGCAGAAAGATCACCAGGATCTGGTCAGCAAGTTCACATCATTCACCATTGGGCCAAAAACGATTCGAGGGTACAAGGATAAATTCCTGTCGGCCATTAAGATGTATGCCGAGAGCCAGTTTGAAACGACAAGACAAAGCTTCCAGGAAGATCCATCTCGACTGGACAAGGCAACTAAATGGTTCTTCAACGACATCTTTGTCTGCAAACAAGGCATGCAGAACCTCTTCCCGAGAAAATGGAAGATCTTCGATACATATGTGAACATTTACCACCAACAAATGCACGACTTCCTACTTGAATATGTTGATGCAGAGGATCTGAGGCCACCACAAATGCTAGCCATCGTTCATTACATTGATGTGTACTACCAGAAAATGAGCAAACTCGGAATTTCGCAGTCGCAGCTGAAGCCACATGTACTCGATTCCCGAGAAGGAGATCTGATACGTGACTACAGAAATATCATCACCAAAGCTCTCAACTCCTGGATTGACAGGATGTATCTTACCGACATGAAAAATTTCAAATCCAGAGCATCAGAAGCGATAGAGCAAGATCCGGATGGCCACTTCAGATCCAAGACGCTCCCCGACATGTGGCGCATGTTGCATGAGCAAGCGGAAGCTGCTGGCGAGTCAGAACGTGAAGATGTGGTCGAAGGCGTTATGAGCGCCATGTTCAGTGCTTTGAAATCGAGACAGCAACAATGGGAACAGCTGGTGGACGAAGAGGTGGAAAGGTACAAGAATCCCACGTCAGAGCAACTGGAGACATTGCAGCCACTGCAGGACTGGCTGCTTGCGATTGCCAATGACCAAATCGCGTGTGTCGACGATGCTGCTGGGGACGTGATAGATGACCCGACGGCGCAGAAGGGGTACTTGACGCGCTTCAGAGAAGACTTCGTCAAGCTATCGACTCCTCCCTCCGCCAAGTTTATGTCGACGAATGGAGCAAGTGAGATGGATTCCCTACGAGATGGCTATGTCGATTTGGCCACTCACTGCATTTCTCGCTTCGTGCAGCTCATCTTCCGTGTCGATTTCCGCACCATTCTGACGGAGCTTTTCGTACCGGGAAAATGGTACGAACAAACGGCAATGCAGCGAATCACTACGACTTTCGACGATTACATTGGAGATTACAGCTCTGTGCTGCATCCGTCGCTGCTGGATATCATGATCGAAGAGTTATCAGATGCATTACTGGTCAACTACCTGACCTGCATAAAATCAAACAAAGGGGTCAAGTTCAGGCGAGGCGAGCCTTTCCCGGCCAAATTCAGAGACGATGTCCTGGCGGCGTTTGCATTCTTCGAAAAATTCCCCGACAATTTCAACGAGACGATCAAGCCTAAATGGAAGGCCGTCAACTTCACGGTCCAGTTGTTAGAAGCCGATAAAATGCAAGTGGTGGGTGTTTTTGCAGACTTCAAAAGAGATTACTGGGATTTACAATTGGGCTGGGTCGAAGGGGTGCTCAAGACCAGGGACGATTGGGATCGTAGCATGATTACTGCGGTCAAGCAGGCGGCTGCCTCGACTTATGTTGAGAGAGGAGCCGATACGGTCATGAGTAAAGTCAAATGAACTTAATGGGTGACCTCGAATGTACAACTTGATGTTCTGAAATATTGAACCGTTATGGTTGTGAGAGACAGAGATTTTGCCTTGGAACGAAACTTCTCAATATTCCAAAGGATTCTTCACGGAGTTACAAGGTGATATCAGCGGTGCATAGAGGGGAACGTGAGGTATCGGAAGCTCGAGATCATTGTTTGAATGTGGTGAGATGATTAAGACACCCATTGTCAACATGTTCCTGTTCCAAGACCATTCCGCTCGTTCAACACTTCCGGGTATCAACACACGCGAGATCGATCTTGGATGGGGACAATGACAAGCACATGGGAGGTGCAGGAATATTCAGAAACTACAGATAACTCTGTGAATTGCATCCACCGTTTAAGAACAGACTGTTGAGGTGACTGTGAGAGAAAGCAGTGTGAAGCATCCACATTGTGGTGTGCCATGTGCGCTACAGTCGTGACATGGCAGTTTCCAACTTGTGATAACGAATCCTCTTGATTGTAGAATTTGTAATGGACAATATATGTATTATATACCTTATATCACGATGTCTCCATGATAAGGTCTGAACAAGTTACACAAGTGTACTCTGAATGAGTAGCTGGTACTCCGTACGGCTCAACGACAGCCTTGTTGAATTGTATCGACAAGGCTGAACAGAGGCTATTTTCATATTCCGCCAATCGGAGACGCCCGTAAAGTGCCTCTTCCATTTCTCGCCGATTATCTCTCTTTTTCGCCGCCAACAACATTTTTCTGTGACTTCAACTTGTTACTGTACATACTCCATATCCTCGGTCCGACCCTTTTTTTTTGAAAGTCGTGTCGTGAATTGTGTCGACAACTGCGCACGCTTGTCGTCTAGTTCCGTTATCCCATCGCGACCTCGCACACATACACACACACACACACACGAACCGCAGCGATGGCATTTCCTGGAATGTATACGCCCCCGGGCGCAGGCGGCGCGGCAGGTGGTGCCGGAGGACTGAGCGAGGAAGAACAAGTGTGGGTGAAGAGGTTTCAACGAGGGTCCGAAAGTTGTGTCGCCAAATCGATCATGGCGGGTGCGATGGGTGGCGCGCTGGGAGGAGCTTTTGGTCTTTTCATGTCGAGTGTAAGTTGAGACCGAATTTGTCGCCTGCGTGACATTTCCAAAAAGTACCATCGTGCTAATTTTGGGATCTAAAATGGATCAAACAGATGGCCTACGATACTCCCCTGTCACCTCAAGGACAACAAATCACCTCGTTACCCGTCAAGGAACAACTGAAACGAGGATTGAAAGACATGGGGGCAAAGTCATGGTCGTCGGCCAAGAATTTCGCCATGATCGGCGGCATCTACTCGGGAGTCGAGTGCGGTATAGAGAGCTTCCGAGCGAAGTCGGATCTACAAAACTCGGCCATGGCAGGGTGCATCACGGGAGCAGGTCTGGCTTACAAGGCCGGCCCGCAGGCGGCGTTGTTCGGGTGCGCGGGTTTCGCGGCCTTTTCCACCGCCATTGACGCTTGGATGCGGATGCCGGAGAGTGATTGAATTGGTCTGGTTTGAACGAAAAGGGGAAAAAACAGAACAGAAATCACAACAAGGCACGGTACGCATCAGGGAAGTCTTTTCTGGCTGCTCTGGCATGCCGGCGTTTTAGGAGGACTGGGGGAGCCGACAAGCTCGTGTACAACAACAACAACAACGACGACGACGACAATCAAAATCTCGACCGACAATACGGAGTATTGAAATGGGGCTAAAGGAAAGGTTACCTACCTTCCCACCTGAGGTAGGTACCTAAAGACATGGTGCCGCCGGAGAGAACGAGGTTATCGCTTGTGAAACAAGCATTTTCCCTTTTTTTTTATTAGCGAAAGCGAAAGCATTGGCCCGGAGTTCAGGAGGATATGGAGCTTGTTCTTCCTTCAATCAGTTTCCTCGGACGGAAATCTACACTCCAGTTTTTGGGTGGGCGGTAGAAGGAAACGATATGGCGTTGAATTGAGAGGTCCCCCCCTTTTTTTTAACTGATTGGGCTGTTTATACCTCATTCGACTAGGAACGCATAGGGTCACGAAGGTGAAGGAGGTGAATCTCGACTTTTTCTTTCTCTCTTTCTCAATGGGCACGAACAAGGGCACAAAGGTGTGGTGCTTGATTAAACCAAAATTAGATGAACCTCTATTTCTCCAAAGACGATGATGATTTTCAACCTGCAAATTCGACATGGACATTGCGAGGGATGGGTAAAAAGTAAAACCTTTCTGAGACGGTTTGTACCCTCGCAGACACGATCAAAACGTTTTGACGAAGGGAAAAAAGCCCAGTCGTGACTTGAATCCATGAATTCCTATCGGCCTTGTATTTTTCTGTGTCAAGCGCTGCCTACTAGTCATGCGTCGCCCACACGGCCCACTCGTCCCTCTCGCCTTCCCTCATCCCCGGGGGAAGCTGACCCGTGCGCCCGACGAGCACCTCGCCTTTCCCACGTTTGAGGTACCTCCCGTCACCTGGGCTCCCCAGTATGCCACGTCCGTGGCCTTCGCGTAACTCGACGTCACGGTCCCACTTGACCTCACCGCGCAAGATGGTGTACCGTGGCCAGTTGCAAACCTTCACACCTTCAAAGGGGGTGTAGTCTATACTGTGGTGCAACATGTCGTTTGTGATTGTCAGTCCGCCTTCGGCCACGCCGGTGTGCCCGGGAGAAGGGTACCAGATGGTGATGTCTGCGTCGAACCCCGGGGCGATGGTACCTTTACGCCCCGAGAGTCCGTACAGCCGCGCGGGGTTCGTGGAAGTCAATTCCACAAATTTCGGTAGAGAGAGTCGCCTCGAAGGCGGGGTGTCGACGTTTGTGGCGGCGTCGAAGAGCAACGGAAGTCGCGTCTCCAAACCCGGAAGACCGTTGGGGATTTGTGCGAACGTAGGGACGGTCTGAGAAGCCGCGGCGTCGATCAGGGGTTTGCGTTTCCCACCCGGAGAGTTGTAAAGACTTGGAGCGTGGTCGGAAGAGACGGTGGTGATGGTGCCGTTCAACATGGCGTCCCAGATCGACTGAAGGTCAGAAGTGGAGTGTCGGAGCGGTGGAGCACAAACGTGCCGGGCACCGGCCCATTCGTCTTCGACTTCTTCTTCTTCTTCTTCGCCACCGCCGTGGGAGGGTGAGTGTGAGGGTGAGTGTGAGGGTGAGTGAGGTTCTGGAGCTAGGGCAGCCGGGACAGATGTAGCTGCCAGTTTCGAGGACAGGAGATACAAGTAGTGAGGACACGTTTCGGCGTGAACAGGCAGAAGAGATTTCGATTGAGCCTTGCGCGCGTGGGAGATGGCTACGGGTGAAGACATGTGGACAATCAGGATCGGTGTGGAGGTCAGCGTCGAGAGAGAAATTGCTCGGTTGGTGGCTTCGGACTCGGCGATCTGTGGACGAGCAATTGCATGGTATTTGGGGAGAGTTCGAGAGTTGCGGAGGAGTCGGCTCGTAATCCTTTTTCGAAAGAGAGTCTGTGAGCTTTTGTCTTTGATCAAGAATACTCAAGGGCAGTGTTGGGAAGAGGAGGACACGGAGAATGTGGGGACAACATGTCAAAATAGGGGGATGATGATGGTGGTGATGGTCATGCGATACATACATATCAATCATGTCGCTGTTTTCGGCATGAATCATCGTCGTCACACCCAGTGCTCTCGCTTGCATCATAATCTCGAGCATATCACCGTCACCGAGTTTCATCGCCGGATAGGTCATGTAGAGTTTGACGCTCGTGATGCCTTCTTGATCGACCATCGCTTTCAGTTCGTGCTGGAGAATCTTCTCGGTCGGCTTCGTCAGGATCAAATGGAACCCATAGTCGATGTAGGATTGGCCGTCGGCACGACTGTGGTACTCTTTCACAACGGGAAACAGTGACTCTTGGGTCCTCGACTGTGTCGCGAATGCGAGGATCGTGGTGGTCCCACCGGCCAGAGCTGACCGGGACCCAGTCAACCATTTGTCGCCGGTCGGAGCATTGTCCTGGTGCAAGTGAACGTGCGAGTCCACGCCGCCGGGAGTCACATAGGCTCCCTCCGCATCGACGACCTTGGTAGATGCTCCGACGGGAAGAAAAAGCGCTATGGCGACAATGATGCCATTCTTGATGCCGATCGAGAGCCCCGGTTGCAGGACTTCGGACGCTGTGACCTGTGTGTAAAATTATGGAACTGGTTAACACTTGCCCAGTAACCTTCTGCAAGACGAAGAAGCCTCTTCAAAGTATAGATCCGAGTTTACTGACAATAGTGGCATTCTTGATGATGAGGTCAAAGTCCATGCTTCCTTCATTGCCTATATCACCCATGGTAACGTACAAACGTGATATCTCGTGTTAGTATCGAGCGCAAGTTCTGGACATTATCTTCCTTTCAACACATTGTTTCAAAGACCCCACCGGCGGACGGAATGTTTCAGATACTTATCCTACCCGCGAGCGCAGCTCTGATAAGATTTGACTCGAGGAACACGTTCACAGTGAAATAGATAGAGGTGCATGTCAGTGATCGATGGGATGTAGAGAGACACGGCCAAGGTTGACGGTAAAGTCCGATGGAGAAAAGGGGTTGTCCGTAATGCATCTTCATTGGTGTTGGAGACAGTCGAGATGCCATTGTTCTGAATTCTCTTGATCCTTTCTTTCCGACTATCTATCACTGGCCTTTCGTAACCATGATCATGCCTCGGAGACCTGTTGCCTCAATATCAACTTCAAAATGCAGAATTCTTTCAACTTTTTCCTGACACGCCAATCATTCATGGTCCAATATCTCGATTTGCCAGTTCACTTTCTATTTTCCTGTTGGAATCTTGAAGAAAACACCAGGCGAATCCTTCGTCGCAGCCTTGTCACATCTGAAGTATCCTTTTCGGTCGAACTGAATGAAGTCGTCCACCTTAATATCCCATACGTTGCAATCAGCTTCGGCATAGGATTTGAACTCGCTCTTTGGCGTCAAAAAGTCCTCCCAGTGCTCCTCCTCTTCTTCGGTCAGCTTGTCCTTTGCCAACAAGTGATCAAAATCGACTAGCTCGACGGGACACAGCTCTTGATCCTTGGACAACCAGGTGACCTTCTTCTTCGTGGCCTTGAAATCACCGTCGAGATGTAGCTCAAGTTCCATAGAAGCAACATTCCCAAGAGCGTTAACGCCGTCCGTGATATCAGCTTTGTCCCCTGTTTTCGCATACTGGATGTTGCGAACATATGCATTACCCCAGTTCATGAGCGTAATCTCCTCGCCTTCAGCGAAAGTTCTGGCATCTTCCTGCTCGAGAATGACATTCTGGCTGTACCAGACTTTCTTCTCACCAAGATCATATTTGGCGTGCCTTGGCTTGGCCTCGGAGTAAGGCTCCTCTTGAAGACCCTTGACTTTGCAGACTACCGAGTCCTTATCGATTGCAGTATATCGGCCGGCTTTGAGATCGATGACTTTCTTGTTCATAGTCCAGATAGTGTGCCAATCCATGTTGACGACGTTCTTGCTGGGCCCCTGACTGACCATGAAATCTCGAAGACCTTCGACAGTCATGCCACGTCGTCTGATACCTCTGACGGTGGGGAAACGAGGGTCATCCCAACCAGATACGACGCCAGCATTGACAAGCTTTGTCAGCTTTCGCTTCGACATCAGAGTGCGGACGAACTGAATCTTGGAGAAAGTCCAGATGTAGACTGGTCTCAACTCCAGGGCCTTCAGGATCCATTTGTACTGAGCATCTTGATCGTTGTATTCAGTCGTTCTCAAGGCATGAGTGACTCCTTCAAGAGAGTCGACGACAGGACAAGCGAATTGATACGTAGGATAAGCCTTGTACTTTTCACCAGTTCGGTGGTGCGGAGTTTGATTCTTGGGACATCGGTAGATGACAGGATCCCGTAGAGAGGCATTGTCGTTGGCATGTGAAATCTTGGCTCGGATGCACCATTTCCGCCCTTCCTCAGTGCCCTTCTTCATCTCCTCGTATCTTGCAAGGTTGTCCTCAATGCTCTCGTCTCTTCTTGCACTGGGCTCACGTGCCAGTCTCATTGCACTGATCACGTCGCCCGGAGTATCATCTGCATATGCCTTGCCGGCCTTTATGATTTTCACACATTGCTCGTCAATGTGGTCAAAGTAATCGCTCGTGTAGGAGATTGTGTCAGGCTTGATTCCGAGCAAGGCAACGTCCTCTCGAATTGCATCTTGATATTCAGCATTCTCTTTTTCGGTATTCGTATCGTCAAATCGCAAGATCAATTTTCCGTTGTACTGGATGTGTGCAAAGTAGTCATTGAGGAGAGCGGCTTTCGAGTGGCCAATGTGTAGGTAACCTGAAGGCTCTGGGGGAAATCTTGTTACTACACCAGCAGCGGCGTTGGGCAGTTCCATCTGCTTTATTTTTGGGGCTTTTTTGCCCTTGGGGGCATTGTTGGCAGCCATGTTGACTGTGTTTGGTATAGAAGATGCTGGGAATCGTGGAGTGAGGGAGAAGAAGATCAAGGATTCACTTTATTCAAACCTCGAAACTTCTGCGCACATTGGAGGGGGAAAGCCTTTACATTTACAGTACGTGGGGAAATGATCGGCCATAGACTTATGTCAGCCTTGCCATTCTTGTCAAATCTTGCAAAACCGCCAAGCTCAGCCTCGCGATTTCGAGCTCCTAAAGTTGCGGACTTTTGGATTTAATGTCTGGTGGAAAGGAATTGGTATCCTTCATTCCCACGTTCATATATAGAGATGGAGGCATCTCGTGGTCTCGCAGCTGCGACTAAGCGACTATGCTGCTCCACAACTTCGTCCTTTCTCTCGTCGTTCACTTCTCTCCCGAAAACCGCGACCCGATCCTTTTCATCAGTTCCTATTCTGTTTGCGCCTCGATCGAGCAAGGACAAGGCGGCAGCAGCAAAAGCAAAGAAGAGAAAGAAGAGGCATCAGACATTCAGGCAGTATGACTTGAAGGACATGCAGCAATTCACCCTTTGTGAAGCCATGCGGTAAGAGAGAAATTTACATACGTTTTGGCCAGAAGCTCATAGGTTTCAGCTACATCAAAGCAATGGAAGTTACTCGTGATCCGGACGTGTCGAAATACGATATTCACATCAAGTTAAGAACGAAAAAAGACGGTCCAATTATTCGTAACCAGATCAAATTGCCTCATGCAGTCAAACAAGATATCAAAGTGGCAGTCATCTGTCCTCCCGACTCACCAGCGGCGAAACAGGCCAGAGATGCAGGTGCAGCCTTTGTGGGCGAGGAGGAAATATTCCAACGTGTGAAGGAAGGAAAGATCGACTTCGACCGATGCATAGCTGTGACATCCTCTCTTCCGAAGCTGGCCAAGGAGGGCTTGCCCCGGATTTTGGGTCCTCGAGGCTTGATGCCGAGTGCAAAATTGGGTACAGTGGTGGACAAGCCAGGCCCGGCTGTCAGAAACATGCTGGGCGGTAGCATGTACAGAGAAAGAACTGGTGTTGTTCGCATGGCAGTGGGCAGACTCAGTTTCACGCCAGAACAGCTCAGAGACAATGTGAAAGCATATGTCAGTGCTGTTAGGAAGGATGCTAATGCTTTGAGTGACCAGATCGTCAAGGAGGTCTCCGAAGTGGTAGGTCGAGTTGACTGACTGGTTTGCTGCCTCTTACTAACTGCCATTAGGTTCTCAGCTCCACCAACACGCCAGGTTTCTCGCTGAATGGCGAATTTTATAGAGCATCTCCGGGGGCCCCTACACCGCAGGAATTGGCTGTTGCATAATGTCGTCAAGTTTTTATCAGCACATGTACAGAATGTATTCGTAGACGAACGGCGCTCGGAAAATGGGGAGTTCTGTTCGGTTCTTCATATCGATCAACTTCGTAAACCCCCCAGGATATAGCATCATTGTTTGTACAAGCTCTTCTTCAGCCCTCTACAGCCCCTCGAAGTTGCAACATTTGCTGCTTGAATTTGACTTGGGGTTCTTGTTTGATCGCAGCCTCGAGATCTGACAACAAAATCTCTTGGATTTTCCGTGTCCGTGAATCTTGTGCCAATATGAAGGGGTGATGTGGGCTGAATCGACTGATAAGATGTTTTAATATCAGAAACTCTTCCACTCGTCTTCTTAACCGTGGTGGGATGCTTTTGTCATCGGATTCATAATCGTCGTCACTGTCATAATTCATGCTCTCTGTCCAGCCTTCGCTCCATGCATCATTGGCATTCCCGTGGCCATTGCTCTCCGTTGTATTTGCGGACCTGATGCTGGTGATATTCAGTTTCTCTTCCAGCTGCTCCAACCGTTCTGCAATCTCCAAAAAGGACCTTGCGATCCCTGTATCTTGCTTGAGAGCCTTCTTCTGCTTCAGTAAATCCGCCACCTCGTTTCTTCTCGTGTCGACTTTATCTCTGATTGCCTTGACCTCGCGTTGAAACCCAAGCAGACCTAGTCTGATATCTTCTATCCTTTCTTCACCGCCGGATAGTGTAGACCCCAAAGAGAGAAAGTCCTGGTAGTTGTCATTCACCAAATCTACCAGCTCTTTGTTCAGTGTCTGGCTCAACTCGCGAAGTTCGGTCTGTAGGTCTTCTAGTGTCTGAAAGCGATTGGACAAGCCCGAAAGGAATGTGGCCGCATCAAAGTCTGGCGTAAGGAAGGCTGAGCGATCTAGAGGTTTTGGAAATGGCAGAGGCGCATCATCGTCAACATCAGAGCCAGAGTCTGACCCGCCAAACTAGGAAAGTGTTAGCATCGACGCAAGTCCCAGTCCAAGGTGGTGAGCGCACATAAAATCTACTACTCATTGTGTTCTTTTCTTTTCATCCTCTCACATCACAACTTTCACGACACAATCACAGCCATGGGGAATGTTCTTAGTCGTGTGTTCTGGTGGTTGCTGTTTCTTGACGGTAACAATGAGGAAGCCACTTTACAGAACGATGAGGCTGAACCGGCTTTAGTCGGAGATACCGGCACATCTTCGGCAGTCGAAACCTCAAATGCATCTGAAAGTGAAAGTGCTGTGAACATTATCTCAACAATCAACACCTACATCAACACTCCTCCCACTGATAACAAAGTCGAAATGGAAGCCGCTGCTCGTGCCTCTAAGGCTTTGGAGAATGGAGATTTCCGTGGTGCTTTGTCTGCCTACACCCAAGCCCTTATTGAGCATCCCCTGTCGCCAGACTACCTCACTCAGCGATCGACTGCGTTTGCCCGCCTCAAACCACCCCGCAATGACCTCGCCTTGAAAGATGCAGAGCTCGCTCTGATTTCTGCCAAAAGCCGTGCCGTCAGAGAGAAGATCCAGGCTGCTCAGTTCAGAAGAATGGTCACACTCTACAGTCTTGGTCGTTATGCTGATGCCGCGTTCCTTGTTGAGAAATTGAAGTCATTCATTCCAAAAGACAGAAAACCAGGCAAGATGCAAGTCGACATGTGGGCAGCCAAATGTAATACCAAAATCAAATCCAACCCAGACCAGACCGTCACAATCAGAGAATACCCAGAATTTCCCTCTGGCCTTCCACCCCAGTCAGAAATGGTTGGAAAATTCAAGGCTCAGTTGGATTCCGAGGGAAATTATGTCTTTCCAGAAGATGTTGCTGCACTCAGCACTTCACAACAAACCAAAACTGCTACATCTTCTACAGAAGCATCAACTGATGTCAAGAACACCACTGACTCTCAATCTTCGAGTGCCACCGCCGCAACAATCCCCAAGATCCGACATGAGTGGTATCAAAACAACCAAAACGTCACATTGACTCTCTATGCGAAAGGTGTCTCCAAGGATGCAGCAGATATCGAGATCAATGCTGATTCTGTTTCCATCTCCTTTCCCCACCCTTCGAATCCAAATTCAACGTTCAATTTCACCCTTGACCCGCTATTTGCACTCATCGACCCAACTCAGAGTACCTCCAACGTCATGTCTACCAAGGTAGAATTGACCCTTCGCAAGGCGCAGGCCGGTCAGAAGTGGCACAACCTTGAAGGAAGTGGAATTGCCTTGCGTTCTTCTGGTCAAGATACTTCATCACTCTCAGCCTCTACCACAGCAGCCATCCAACCACCTCCTGTTGCTCAAACCGCGCCATCCTACCCAACCTCCTCTCGTACCGGTCCGAAAAACTGGGACAAGCTTGCGGACGACCTCCATGCGCAGTCCAAGGGCAAGAAGAAGGAGAAGACCACTGGGTCAGCCAGTGGCGATGATGAAGAAGAGGCGGACGTCGACTCCGACTATGACGGAGACGCCGTCGATGGCTTCTTCAAGAAGCTCTACGCCGGCGCCGACCCGGACACTCGTCGTGCCATGCAAAAGTCCTTCCTCGAGAGCCAGGGCACGGCTCTCAGCACCAACTGGTCCGAAGTTGGTAAGGGGAAGGTGGACGTCGTCAAGTCCAAGGACGACGAGTGAGGTGATGTGGTCGGCGTTGGGCCTGGCGCCAAAGGCGTCAATCGATACCCCTGGGGTCTGCTGTGTTTTCCTTGTTTGCATTGGCGAGTGTTGTGAGCTTATTAATGAGAAATGTGAGATGAGAATGAAACTGGGCTTGATAGCAAAAATGAAGAGTGAAGATGAAAATAAAAGCGTTCCATTTCCTGCCATTGCTACTTCCGTTGCCATGTATTGTGTACTCCATGTTTAATGATGTTATGGATCAAGGGATTGTATATCACGTTTACCTTGTGTCTAACAATGTGTGTGTGTGATAGCAATGGCTCTCATTTTCTTTGATTGTTTGTTTTTTTCGATTTACCCAGGTGGTCGTCTCGGGTGCATTTGGATCATGGTTCGACTTTTGTTCAATAAGAATAGGTAGGACGAAATCTATCTCTCATGGGTTTTGTATCATCATCTCTATCTAGTCTCATCGTGTCGTGCTTCCATTTTCATCTTTCATTTCTGCTGTTTCTCCAGTCAACATCAACACCGACAACATCACCTCTCCAACCATCCAATATTTGGCCATTTAGCTGATACTTTGAGATGATGATGCTCTTGTCTCGGTGGTCCCATAAGAACTAGCGGAGTAGGTACTGACACTGCTTATAGGATGATGATTCGAAACTCCAGATCTAGATCCACATCTGTATCGTTCGTGGACTTGACCTTGACCACTCGTATACCTATTTCCACCGACGACACCGAAATTGCCATTACTGGTGAAGTGCCTCTGGTATGATTGTCGAGGTTGAGGTTGAGGTTGAGGTTGAGGTTGAGGTTGAGATTGAGGCTGGTAGTATTGCCCTTGTCTATTGTGATGTACTGACCTCAGGGGTGAAGGACGACGTAGACTTTTGTTGTTCTTGTTCGTTGAAACTGTTGTCGTTGACGATGTAGATGTAGCAGAACTTGTACGTGTGTTTGTACAAGTACGATCTCCCTTCTTTGTGGATGACGAAGGTGACGGGAAAATATAATGATGACCCGGTGAACGTGTAGGTAAAGAAGGTGACGGTGTTGGTGGTGGTGGTGCAACTGAGGGAACTCTCGGGACGAACATGGAACCAATTTTGGTCGTGTTGGCTGTCATTGGTGCAACAGGAAGAGGAGGGGGGGACGTAGTAGGTATAGGCACAGATTGTGGTAGTGTTGTTGCTGTCGAAGGTCTTTGTTTTTCCACAAGAGAACCACCAACTACTGTAGTTCCTGAACAACTTTCTTCTTGACCCTTTGATTTTGTTGCCTTTGTAACAACAACAATTTCCCCTTTTTGACCTTGACCAGGAGAATTTGTCGTCGCCAAACCAGGAGTAGAGTCGGATGACTGCTGCTGTCGCTGCTGGAGTGATGACAATGTAGGTGGTGATGACTTTTGATGAAGAAGAGGCCATCTAGATCCTGTACTCAATGCTTGAATGGTCGGATCCGAGCTGAGTGGAGCATGCTGTAATGCAGGAGACCAAGTTGGTGGTGGACGTTGGACCACAGGCAGTACATGAGGTTCTGGGACAGATCCTGCACCATCACCGACAACTCCTCCATTGTCTTGTCCATGGACTTTTCCATTTCCAACCTTTTCAGGACTACCACTGCTACTCGACCGGTGTCTCGTTGTTGGTTGAAACCGACCTGAGCGAATGGTAGCTAGTGAGCCCGAAGACGTCGACGATGAAGATTGTGAAGACGTGACTGATTCTGGTGAATTGTAATCACCAACGCCGAGGTCAAGACAATGTCCTTCGGAAACGGACCTCAAAGTGCTGGAATACCGAGTGCTAGGTGCCGTGGTATAACTGCTGTAAACCATGTACCTTGGCCGGGGATGGTGGTTGTCATAATAGTAATGATGACTTCGATGAGGATGAATGGCCCTCTGGGAAGATAAACTGTTTCTCCTTTGTAACCATTGTTCACGTTCGAATCGAGGGTCCGAAGGTAGTCGATGACGAGGTCCAACAACCTCGGGTACCATGAACAACCTGCTGTCCTTGTCGAATTCGATACTTGACATTGAAGTGCCGATCCTTTTTCTCTGCTCTCGAGGTATCGTCCTTCGACAACAGCAAAAGAAGAATGTCAAGGTTCGATTCTTTTGTTGTCCATCGACCTCGTCGAAAAAGGAGAGGGCACACATTGAGATCCTACATTCGACAGAGATGATTTTAGAAAAATGTTTCTCGACTCGGACGATGAAAGTCTTCTTTCGATCCAGACCTGGATATAAACACGAAAAAGAGAGTGTGTACTCACGCTATCAGGATTGACAATGCAACTACACTTCGATGCAGTTTGCAAGTCATGCCGTATTTCCAACTCATTTCGACAAGGACATTATTGTCGTTTCCACCCCATTGTTGTAGTGGTCTCGAGAGGCAAATGGGAGCTCGCAGGGCCACGGGGAGGAGACCGCATCCCGCCAAAAGCAACCAAAACAGCATCAGACATTGTACCGTCGCGGCACAGGCAGAGTCCAGTTGTGGCAGGGCCAGAGATGGTGATATCGTTTGCAGGTTTTGTGGCCTTTGTCGATAGATCAAGAACAATCGTAGTTTGGTCACGAGGATGGTGAGGATCGACTTGGTGGAGCACAAAGGTTAGTGAGGGTTGCCTCGAACCGGACGGACCAGATGTGAAGAAGAGTGAAAAAGGCTCACAAGTCCAACAGATACGTATACACCCAGGGCGATGGTGGCGCAGATGGTTCCTTTTAGGAGTAAAAATCCGCAAATCAAGAGGACGCTGTATGACAGACAAAGCACCAAAATCCTGGTGACCACTCTGTACATTGTAGTTTGCTTCATGGTGTTTTGGTTAGACTCAGTCATGCTGGAAACCCAAAAGAAAATGAGGAACTCGAGAAGGGAAGACGATCAGTATGAACCATGGACGGGACAAAATCTTCCCTCTTTATTCAAACGCGACATGACACGAAACGACGCGGTTCGCTGAATGCTGCTTAAAACACCTTGAACATTTTTTTTCACACGCGAGAGAGTGTGGGCGCGAGACAAGCCATCTGGAAGAATGCGCGATGGCTGTTGAGGCAAGGGAGATGAAGGAGGAGGAGGTTGGATACGAATAATCGAACTCCAAACCACCAAAAGGGAGAGAGGGATAAGAGAGAGGCAGGGTTGGAAAGGGGGGCAACTCAGCGCATTGACTCTGGTATTTCTCCAGCTCTCTCTCGTTTCATCCATGGAATGCCATTTTCCTTTGTACGAGTACCTAAAATCCTTTTCATCTCTTACTCCGTGCGCCCGCCGTATGATCCAAAAAAATGGTTTGGCTGATCAGTATCCATAGTTGAACAGGGGGTATCATTAATCACACACAAGAAAAAAAAATCCAACATTTCCCAAATATCACTCTTCCATCATGTCAACGTCAATCATATCTTCTGCATCCATCTCCTCGGCATCGGCGTCAGCATCCATTGTTTGTCGATCCTCCAGTGCTTTGGCCAACTTCGAACTGACTTTCATCATGTCAAGTATGTTTTCTGGTACCAGACGCACAGGGCCTTCGTAACTGATGGCTTTGAGATGGCACAATTCTCTTCCTGCAATGCTCCACACCCATTCAGGAAATATGCCTCTTCGGCAGATGTGATAGTGCAAACAAGATGCTCGCAAAAGTGACCAGTAAGAAAATTGCAAAGTCGTTTCTTCTTCGAAACGACGGCGTATGGGGTGGTCAATCTTCTTCGGTTCAATGGCCAGAAAAGGCTCATAGATTTGACGAATGGCATAGGTGTACTTGGCTGAATCCGATAACTCCTCAGGCGATGCCACTTCTCGCCATCGCTTTTGGATCTCCTCAATGCGTTGTATCAGGTCGTCACAGATCAGATAGGTACCATGACCGTGTTCATGGTCTGCTTCAGCGATGAGACTCCTTGGCTGAGAACTGGACTTGCTGCCTCGCGAGCTCTGGCGAGATCTCTTTTCGGACGCCTTCTTCTCGTCGAGTGCCTTCTTCCACAAGTCTTTCCAAGTGGCACTCAGAACACCGTCATAGACACCAGCTTCCGAATTGAGTTTCTGGAAACCAGCCAATGTGTTGTCCTTCTCTCGTTCCGCCACTTCAAATTTGAGAAAGTCCATGATATTTGCAAAAGTTCCCTGTTGCCGTTGCGGAGGACTGCTTGTCTTGAAGGCTGGTCTGTGTAGTTTTCTGCCGCCGTTCGCTTCGGCACGGAATGAGAACCAAGCACTCTCATTCAGGCTCCAACCCTGCTTGTTGCTGTCAACTAGGTAACCAGCCAATGTTGCAAGCATGACAGCACCTGGGTGTGATAATTTTCTTGCGCTCCCCTGTTGGCTGATGGAGTATATCAGCTTTTCATGCTCTGTTGAACAGCTACCCATGAGACTTGGACGTGCATTGAATTCGACACAAGCTTGAAAGAAATCGTTCAATGCCTCTTGAAAGGGCCGGTCTTTGGTGAAAATCTCACCAAGCGGTCTCGACTCCTGTCTCATGCCACACGACTCTGGGCTGGGCATAGTAGGCAATTCGGAGTTTTTGAAAGGCTCCACGATCGCAGGGTCCCAGCACACCCAACAAGTATCACCATCATAATCTCCTCCGGACAGCATGGATGCCAATGGCCGAGTGCCAGTCGTAGGGAATATAATGACATTCCTGTAGTGTCGTAGCTCATGTATGTAAACAGCTTTGCGTTTCTGAACATCGGAAGCAAGGTATGCAGGATTTCTTGCCACAAGCACTTCAATGTCGTTGAGCACCAGCTCACTCATACCGCTCCGTGGATCTTTGACCGCCTTGGAGAAGTTGAGACAAACTTCATCATGCTTTAATTTGCCAGTGGGATCTGGCACACAGAAGACAGTCGTTGATGAGATTTGAGTGATCCACAGCCTCTCAACGTAATTGGTCATGTAGTGCATCAGTATTGTTTTCACACAGTCTTTGACCTTGGTAGACTCTGAAGGACTGAATGAGGACTCAAGCAGAAGCCTTAGCTGTTGCCGACGGTCTGAAGGGAATGAACCTAGAACATTTTTCTTCTCGATTGGGCCCAAGAGTCCATTCGTCTGCATCCACACTAGTAATGGCCTTCCGTCCCTCTCGTCTTTGATGGCTGCCTTGAGAGATTCCGAAAAAGATTGAGTATCGGCCATGAGTGCATCTTCGAACGCTGCACGAGGCACACCACCATCCTCGAGAACAGTAATCAATTGTAAATTGAGGTGCCCAGGTTTGCATTCGCCGGCCCAGTTCAGGACTTCAAATGTTCGGAGACACACATCATCACATTTTCGGTGTCTGGGATGTGGCTTGATCTTCAATTGCGAATCGGATACTTCGATCCAGTACCCTCGTTCACTTTTTTCAGAGTGCCGATTTTGAAAATCCACTATCCACAGCCCTTTGGCACCAGAGATTCTGCCTTGGAAAGCACACGGCATGTCGCCCTGACCACCTAACTTCTTCCAAATTGCCTGTGCCAATTCAAAAGAGATTAATGCACAACCGTCGTTCATGACTGGGCTAGATGGTGAGTCATGTCGGACAATAAACTCATTTCGATTGAGAGTTTCTGTTGGCGTTGTTTTCGAGAGCCCGAGACCGCATCTGGAAAACAACTTCAGATCAGTCGATTGTGCGTTGGCCTCAAATTGCATATGCCAGTCAGCCAGAAGTTTCAGTTCGATCTCTTGATGGTGGCCATCGATGTCAAGTGAATCTGCATATAGATCAACGGGTGACGGAGGAGCTATGATATCGTACCCTGTTTCTGCAAACAAGAAGAATTTGAGACGTGATGACTGATCCTTTCGCCGCTTCTTCTTATCGGGCTCCACGTAAAAAACACGCCAGTATCTCCCTGCGATGAAATGGCTGTTACCAGTCAAGAAGTTTGTGATTCGCTTACGCAGAAGATCTCGGTCGTTGGCTCGAGATTTGAGGGCTTCTGGGTAGTTGGTTGGAGAGAACTCAGGGGTAAACAGTACCAGAAATCGGTCTGCCCCAAACTTTCTGTAAAATCTACAAGATTGTTCAAGACGCATTTCCTGCGTTTCAAGCTTGAACCAGCCATCGGCAAGGTCTTTGTTCCAGACAAGGTTTGCGGTGAGATATACCGCCTTTGTCGAGTGTAAATCGCTGTATTTGTTCTCAGAAGCCATCCGAAGAGGAATGTCCGATTTGGGTGGTAGTGATATCTGTTTCTGCCGAAAATACTCCCTCGCAGCTTCCCAATACGCATCAAAAGTGGGAACATCGGTCTTGCATCGTTTCCGAATGGTTTCGTAGAAATCGATAGGAATATCTCCTGTCTTGCCTGCAAGACGATCACTCTCCCAGGACAGCCAGAATGGAAGACTCGAAGGTAATTGGCGCTTTTCGGGAAAAGTATTGCTCAAGGCTGCATCTGAATCATTGGATAAGAAGGAGCTTTCATGGAAAGACCTTCGGAAGTCGTCATCTTCCATTAATTCGTCCAATTCTTGAGTCGGCAGGAGATCTTGTGACTGTTCTGCCTTGGGAGAAGTTTCAAACCCTTCCAAGACCGAGGTTTGATGAGATATATCGCTGTAGCCCTCGACGTGATCGAAAACAGATGAGGTTCTGGATGTTGCAATGGTGTCAAAGCTAGTAATTTCTGGATGTGACCTGGTGTGCGATGGTGATAGGGGCTCCGATTTTGTGTAGAAGGGAGGTGGTCTGAAATAATTAAGTTGTTTCAGTGTTTGCTGACGCTTACTTTTCTGTTCAAGAGTTACAAAGACAGACCTTGGATGCTTCAGGGCTACACTTACACTATCAGGAGAAAGAATCGACCGTTTCACGGAGGCTGTTCCTGGAGACTTTAGTCTTGGTTCCAGACCCTCATGCGCACCAGCTCTCCTAGGAGTGATAGGGGTGCTCTGGGTCCGAGTCAGATGTCTCTTGGAAGGTGTTGATGGCGCAGTGTTGTAAGTAGTGTCCGATAGTCTTTCCGGGGACATCGACTCACGACAATTGAGCAAGCTTACAGTACTCATCAAGAACTTTAAACAGTGCTTGAGAAAGCTGATTTCGTTCTGAAGCAGAGAGTTTTTTCAGTTGCAGCGCACACTTCTCTCGCTCAATAAAACTTTTGGTGACAGGAAGAGTGGCAAGAGTGCCCTTCTCCTGCGAAGGTTTGTACACCCATTGCGAATGGATTTGGCGAGCCTCCACATCAAATTCTTCAATGATTTTTTCGATGGGAACAGAACGAAATGTGAGCATCCTAATCCTGGAGAAACATTGGAACGCCAGTCGATCATTACCACCAGCATTTCGAGCTTGTGCGCCATGCAGTTTTGGCAGCCTAAGATCCCAGCGGGCATTGAGATGATCAACAGCCCAGTCCACCTTTGCACCAAGATGTGCAGGGGTTGTTGTCATGTCGGATCGTTTGGCGGACTATGGCACTTGTCGAGTCGACATGTGGTGTATCGGCTGCCTTTGGAAGCGATTGAAGTGGAAGGTTGTTCTCGGTAGTTTCACCCAGACGCCGGGGGTCCGTTGGTGTGTGGAAGCCGGTGATGCCCCACCCGCATCAGTATGACACCCAGACACCTCTGAGGTAGAAGAGAAAATCCTATAAGTTCAATTGTCTATGATATCGGACAGTGAGGATGGGAGAGTGGAGAGATGTTTGCCTCAGGCACAAGTGAGAGTGAAGGGAGACAAGAAGTGAGTCGTTGATGAACGCGACCAATTGGCGATAATTAATGCTGGACGCGGGTCGGTCCTTTCCATTGCCGCTTTGGCCATTTCCCTGGTAACCCTTTTTCTATCACTATCACCCCCGAAGGTCTCAGTAAGCGAAGAACTGGTCGCGTTGTCTTGGGCGGCAACAGTACGCAGTAGTAGAGCGCGTAAAGTGATTTTACCATCATAGCAGAGTCATTATCTAAAGTCACCTCAATACGGGTTACAAATCGTGGACACTGAAAGAAAGTTGAATGTGTAGGAAACTCAGAAGAAGACGGTTTCCTCGTGTTTATATTCTCTGCTTACGACGTTGGTCCCTTCCTTGGTGGGTGCAACTAGATGGTTAGAGGTGGCCTCGACAATGCAAATCTGCCTAACCTCATGATTATGCCAAACATTGAACAAGCAATGTCTGCCAAGCAGCTGTATAGTCTAGAGCTTCATGACGACCTTCGATCCACTTTTGTTTCCTCTGTCATGCATATCAGACCAGCGTCATCAATAGCTGCTGACCACTCGGTCTGTCACAGCAAGTCGTCCCTGTCCCTTTGTGATGAAGCCGGTGACTAGTACTGTCGTTCCAATAGGATGATTTGTCCACATGCGTCAAAGAGACCGCCGAGGACCAGGCAACAGTCTATTCCTTCCTGCGATGGCCACGTGGATTACCTGAGCCACTGCTTGTTGTCAGCATCGGTACTTCGAGATACATGGTCATGTTTAGACTTACAAACTGATTCGTCGTGCTACGCCCTGCAGTTGGGCATCATTTTCGGCTTCGGTAGCGGCTCTTTCGAGCGCAACCCTCCTGTCCTCTGCACTTCGCTTCTCAATCTCCTCGGGTGATGGGGGGAGGCGTTCGTTTTGAATGTCTACTTTTCGGGCATCTTCAAAATTGTGGATGGCCTGTTTTATGCCTTCCGCGCCGAGCATCAGGGTGCCGGCCGGTAGACGACCTCCAGATTGCGTCTTCAACTCAGTAACACGCTCCGATTCTTCTCTCAGCACCTGGAAAACTCGGGAAAGTCTACCAATAGCTAAAATCTTGTTTTTGATGGCACGGCGTTTCGCTTCGATAGATTCGGCTTCACTGAGTGGAGGTGTTTCAGCGGTAATGCTTGCGCTCGGCGTGTCTTCTTCGAGTTCTTCCTTGGAGCAGGTGTTGAGGATAGCGATGAGCATGTCGGTGATTTTCTCGCCCACGAAAGGTAGTGACCAGGTAAAGACGTCCATGAAATTGGGGAGCCAATATGGATGAGGGGTGCAGTTGAACTGTCGAATGTTCATTACGTTGTTCTCATACTTGAGCACCGCAGCCTTATTGTTATACACGTCGAGATAATTGGGCGCGCTGAAAATGGTCATGACGCTAGGGAAGCCTGTGGTCCGGGTCTTGCGATACATGCGATAGCCAGCGTCTTGAGCTTCGTGGGCTCTGATGATGGAAAGCAGATTGTTCTTTTCCAGGAAATTGCACGCGGCGGGGTATGAGAAGAAGTACGAGCAGCCTCGAACATGGTTGTGAACGTAGTATTCCCCGGTCTTTTCTTGTCCAAATTCCTCTAGAGGATCAGCCCACAGAATGTCGCACATGAGACCGTGTGTAGGAGGTTCTCGAAAGCGGTCAATCTAGAAAGGTCAGCATTTGTCATTCCATCCGATGTGGAATCACCTGCCCTTTTGATGTCATCCAAGGTATGTAACTCCGGGCTGAGGCCACCATGGATACACAGAAACTGCTTGTTCATAACCGCAGCCAATGGCAGGGCGCAGAAAGAGTCCATGCAGGCATCGTAGATCTTCTCTGAGTATTTGTGTTTGCACTCGAGCTTGAATGTGAAGTAGTCTGTGAGATGTCGACACTCATGATTGCCGCGCAGCAGCCACAGAGTATCGGGATACCAAATCTTCAGCGCCCACAGATAGAGAACACACTGAAAAAGTCAGTTTCTATACGTATACTCAGGACCTGAAGGGAACTCACCTCGATACTGAAGTAGCCTCGATCAACGTAGTCGCCCAAAAACAGATAACGGGTTTCAGATGGATCCCCTCCAACCTCGAACAACTTCATCAGGTCGAAATACTGGCCGTGGACATCCCCACAGACGGTGATAGGGGCGTCCATCTCCAACAAGTTGGGTTCGGCCTTCAGTACTTTGGCGCCTTCACTGATGATCCATAGTGCTTGCTCTTCCGTCAAACGTCCTTCGCGATAGAAATGTTGTTTGAGAAAAGCGAGATTGGGTTTCGATGAATCGGTAGGCGACCAGAATTGTTCGTTGGTAGGAACTTGCATGGCGGGGGCTTGGACATCTGCCTCCGGGTATCAGCATGAGGAGCACGAGACAATAGTCGATTGGTTCTCACCCTTGCAGACTCTCTCTTGAGTGCTCACCTGTGAGCCATCTTCCATGATATGCAAGGTGAAATCAATCTCTGGGACTGGCTTCTTGTCCACCACCGCCTTCGCCAACGGCCCATCCATTATGAGAATTGGCTGCGCTTCGAGCGCAAGGTTTTGTCTTGAGACGCTGCGACCGTCAAGGACAGCGCAATTGGAGGCCCACACCAGGAGCAATTAATAGAGCTAAGATCCAAGGATAGCAAAGTCCGCACAGAGACAGAGAGGCGTGTCAAACGTAGAGTCGTGGGAGGAAAGTCGTGACGGACGTCAAGGTGGCACGCACGGCGAGAGGCAAACAGCGACACAGAGAGGGCAGCCTGCGCACCGGGTTGCGAAGGTAGGAATCGGAGGGAATGATAAATCTGGATGGTGTAGAAGTAGGAGCTGAAAGATTGAGATATGGAGGAGTGAGCAATAGAATTTATTATTGGGGGCTGATGTTGTACTGTAGGAGTCGATGATGGTAGCGCAGGTGGAAGGAGAAGCAATTGATTGAAAATGGAATAGTGCTTTCTTCAGGGCTGAAGGCGTTTTAATTCTGGACACCGAAAGACTCCTGAGGCTAATAATGAGCTTGACAAGAGGGGCGAGAAGAAGAACTTTGGTCTTTCATGCTCCAAAAGATCTGACCTGGTGAGATAATACAAGAGAAAAGAGGGGGGGGCCTTCGCACAGTAGGCGAAATATACAGTACGGTGTATCCGTACGAGGTATTACGAGTATGTGTCTCTACTCCGTATGTGTATGTGATTTATATACGGAGTACGGAGTAATAGTACAGCAAACACGAGCATTCGTCCTCCGTACATTCCATGCGCAATTTAGCAAACCCTCATGTATCTCAGGTATCTACCTCTACAAGTACCTCAGTCCATCCTGATACTTTGTGAGGTTCTACTCCGTACTGTAGGTGCCGCCCAAGCAAACCAACCAGTAAGACTCTAGTTCGTCTCTCGCCGACGCCGAGGCATGTGCATTGCATCTCCTCGTAATTAATTCCCCAGTCCTATCAACACCTGCTTGTATCCCTCCTTCTGCGACATTCCGAGATTGGGCGCTTCTGTGTTTTATTCTGATGGTGCTTGTTGCAATCTAGGGCCATGTTTGACACAACGAGTATGCCCTGCATGACCATATTTGACAAGGGAGTTCTGAAGCTGACTGCTGCAACCAGAGCCTCATCCATTGCTGGCCCAGGTCCCATTGACCGTCTCGCCTTTCCTGTCCCTCCCGACTGCTGTCACACTGCCATATACATATCGCTCTGTTCCTACCTCTTTGCCCTCTTCCATCATAGCGGAAAATGGTGAAGGGAAGCCCAAGTATGTCGTATCGTCATCTGGACACTCTGCACACCCAGAAGACATCGCCAACTCATGCAAAGCCCTCCAAGCCCATCTTCAAAAAAGTGCCGATGCAGCAGAGAAAGCCATAAGAGACTGGGAACAAAACATCAAAGACCGGGACCTTGCAGAAAAGCGAAGAGTTGCTCCTGGGTGGTTAGATCGTACCGAAAAAATACTCGAACCTACCAAAGCCCAGTCCAAACAAGAGAACGACCAAGGGCTGTTGGATGCACATCCTGCAAATTCTATTTCTGCTCCTACCATGTCACCCAGCAGAGAAGGAGAAGAATTGGATCGAGCATTTGGCGGCCTGAATGTGAAGTGAAGTGAAGTGAAGGAAAGTGCGCACCTGCGTGCACCTTTTGTGCCTCAACTTCACCTCACCACTGATGTACACCTCACTTGTCACTCACCACTCTGAATGGTGCTTGAGAGCCCTCACGTTCATCGTCGCCGATTTGGCCTACAAACCTCTTCCCCTCGTTTCTACGACTCCGAATTTGGCGTTGATGTCTGATTCACCCTCGAAAATGAACTTCTCTAGGCCATGCTTCTTCAAAGGAAGGTTAAGCTGCCAAAATGTAACAACTCAGCCGATTCCCTTTCTCGACGAGCCCTTCAAGACCTGGCACTCAACAATTTTCCTCGTGGTCTTTGTTTTGGCCTTCGCCATTGTCACCGCTTTTCTTGGGTATCGCTATGTGGAGGCTCTCAAGTTCAAGAGTTGTTCATGCTGCAAATCTATCTTGAATCCAGAAAGACAGGCATTCGAACCAGACATGGAAGGTCAACGTTGCCAGGGACGTTGGAAGAAGGAGGTTCACGATATTCCACCCATCCAGTCATGTGATCCTCATACAGATCAAATTCAACAACGTATCAGACCTCGTGAGGTTCGACTTAGTATTGTTGAACTTGGAGAGGTTCGAGAGAGTGGGATAGCACGGAGACGGGCCTCGAATCCACGGATCACCACTGATTAGGAGACGATGCACTCGGCACCGTCCTCAAGCAGCAACTCCTCAAAACACAATATCTCACGTTACAGCGCGTCTCACACTTAACGACCTTCCTCAATTCAACAACCGTATTCGAATTACTTTCGCCTGAAGTTGCATGTCCGGCCCACATCAGCAGCTACAGCCGTTAAGAGGGGGTCGGTCGGTGAGTGCCAAACATATGTTCATCAAACTTCGGATCTGGCTCCCACACACTCTCATTGAAAGGTTTTGGTAACACTACGGTGCACATGGTGATACGGAAAATCGGGATCCAATTGCAATATCTCGTCGATCTCGTCGATCTCGTCTAAGGAGCGCAGTATCCTCCATCAACCAAAATATCGGTTCCTGTGGTGTACGAGCTTGCATCACTCGCAAGATACAGATACGCACCGACCAACTCAATAGGCTCCCCTTCACGACCCATGGGGATCTTGTCTCTCCAGATGTTCTTGGTCTCGGGAGGCACGAAGTTGCTGATCTCTGTGGCAATATACCCAGGACTGATACTGTTCGCACGGGCAAATTGAACCCATTCAACAGCAAGAGAACTGCACAGGTGCCGGACCGCTGCCTTTGCGCCGTTATATGCACTTTGAAGTTGAGGGAAATTGACAATGTGGCCGCTCATACTCGCCGTCGCAATGAATTTGCCATAGTTGAAGTTCTCCAGCTTGTTCTTCTTCTGTTCTCGCCAGATGCGGCCGGCTGTTCGGGCGCAATAGAAGACGCCGTCAATATCGATCTTGACGACGTTCTGGTAGTGATCAAGTTCGCCCCCGATCATGTCTCCTTGGGTCCATGGAATACCAGCGTTAGCCACGAAGATATCTAATCTGTTGTTGAATTCCTTCACTTGAGAAACAATGGCCTCATCAACAGCCTTTGCATCCCGTACGTCAACCTGATATGCTTTGCCTGAGGATGTGTTAGTCATTCTCAATCGATTCTGTGATATTGGTCTCTATCGTATACATACACTTGACACCAAACTCCTTCTCGATATCCGCGGCACGTTCAGGTGCTTTCTTATTGCTGTGATACCAGATTGCGACATTTGCGCCAGCTTCGGCATATCCCCGAGCGACTGAAAGACCGATACCGGCACCGGCACCAGAGATGATTGCCGTTTTGCCCTTCAACGAGAACAAAGGCATGACCAATTTCGACTTGGGAGCCTCGGTGTTGTAGTGTTTGAAATTACCGCCATTGAGTGCGTCGTCCATGGTGGCTAGGGGTAAGAATTGACGATGGTTTAATGTGAGAGAACAGGAGATGACAAATGTCGAAGAGAAAATTCACAGAGAATTATAGTACAACTGTCTATATATATTTGATGAGATTTCACATCCACGTACGCTGGCCTGCTCCATTCCCGTCAAGGCAAAGTGTTGCCGTCAGGCAGATGGAGTCCTGCAAAAAGATTATTTGATTTATGGATTAATCAGTCTGGCGGTGACCACCGGCCGACTTCTTCTTTCGCTGACTGAACTACGGATGTCGATGTATGTGGTGGTCAATATTCACCTACACGAAAGTGATGATTCCTTCTTCCCCAAAGCTTCATATATTGCCGAAGGAAATTCGCAACAAAAGCATCGCAATTCATACAATTGACAACTTGTTGAATCCGGCCACATGTGTGTGTATCAGCGTATCCATATATTGACGCCATTCTCTGTGTTGGCCGTCTCCAGTGACGAAAATGGCCCACACGGCCCAGCGATAAGGTCGCATTTGCAGATCACCCTCTTGAAAATCTGAGTCGAGGTGAGCACGTCCCCGTAGCCTTATGGGTACCAAGGGACGAGCATTCGCACCGATAATTGCAAATCGGTTCGAGTATGCTGTGTGAGTTTGGAGGCGGCTTCTGGACCACATTCCATCCGAGCGTGCTTGTTTTGCCCGACCGTCTGTTAACCCAATCTCCCACATTCCAGAGCCAGGACACGCGAAACTCGTTGAAAGCTCACAATGAAAGCCTCACCGACTTTCAACATGATACAATTCGCAAACTTTACTGTTGAGAGAGGTCGACAATGTGGCCCGTATGGCTGATCATCGTTGTGGCGGTTGCAGCAGCCGCAGTCTGCACCATCGCCGGCGTCTTGTTGGCCGTTCGGGTTGAACGTCGACGACATCGCAACCTTCTTGGCAGTCATCATCTTGCAAGGCATCTCACAGCATATCATCGACCGAATCTCAACGCAAATGATAAAAATTATTCTGATGTTACTCTACCTGACAAGAATCTCAGCCTCGTACAGATGCCGTATGGTATCGTATCCATTGGCAGCAGTAGAGATCTCACGACTGAGGACGAAGGGGATGACCAGGCAAGATCGCGAGCGTTGCATGATCCTGATAGAATGCTTCTGGTCCGGAACGATAAGAGAGGCATCAAACGGTCGTTCATAGGGCATTCACTGGTTATACCCAAAACACGGAGACAGAAGTGCATACAAAAAGTCATGCCATGCGAAACGGCACAGAACTCGCCCCTCTCGGCTATCATCGAGCTTACGGATTCAGAACACTCCCCTCCTCTCGTGACAGAAATTGCAGATGAAGCTTGTTCATTCAATGTCATTCGAAAACCAGAAAGACAGCTCTCTATTCAATGGCCTCTGACCGGTTCGAAGGGCCGACCTGATGCTGCTCCGACCGAAGTTCTTTCAATGGCTGCACGCGCCAGCATGCTAATGAGGATGGGTGGGCGAAATACTGCTTCAGGTCATTCTGGACCTCACCCACTCATCAGGGTAGTCAATAGCAGTAATCCTTCATCGCCCACAGAGCATACGAGGTCTGCGAAAGTAACCAGCGTTGCCCACAACCGCGAGCTACTTCAAGGTCCAAGATACGAATATTCGCATGATGACACCGAATCCGCCACCAGCTTTGAACCCGAGAGGCACATATTCTGTGATGGTGAACACCAACGCCTTCCCGGTTGCGACTTCGGACTTGACCCCAGATCCAAGAGCCCAGCGCCGCGACTCCAATCTAAACCAGGACGAGCTACAGTTGATACACTGCGGGCTGTCAAGCCAAGTCTTCATTCAATTCATGCAAGCTTTGACATGATTGATACAAGTCCTCACAACAGTGAAGAGAATCCTGTTTCCCGATCTGTTCCGGCCGTCATCATTCGGGAAGACTCCTTCAAGACTATTGATGCGAGCCACTGGGATAGTCCTGTGAAGCTCAAAGTGCTTAAAACACGCGCGGGATGGAGCGCTAGGCGCTGCATGATTGAACCTTCCAGAGCCACGCAATGGCGTGCGGCAAGTGACTCACTCGTATCGAACAATGAAAGAGAGGATACCATCAGTGAATTGAGGAGGCCGGCTTCGGTCGCGACAGCAAATCCTTTGCAATGGGATTTGCGAGGTGAATTTGCAAAGGCCCGGGAGTCTTTCTCACCTCTGGAGAGCCCCAAGAAGGGACACAAACGCCAACACTGCGTCCGAATTACTAATCTTCCAGTTCCGACTCCCAAATCGAAACGGATCAACAACCTGCCAGAAGTGCTGGAAGACCAGCCCCTTCGAGCAGAACGGCAACTTCATCATTCCGTTTCAGGTTTTCAATCACGGCCGACAATCAAGATGGACGAAGAGGCATTCATGTTTGACTCTTCACCGAGATCTGTCCCCATACAATCACCATTTCATAATCTGCCGATTCTAACGCCGACCCTCGTCCGAGCGCCACGAAAACAATACATACAGTCTCCAGCCATCATGACATTGGATATGCCACGCCCTGATTCCGACATATTCGGTAATATCCCGAGTGACTACTCGGTCAAACACCCATCACCGCCGCAAATGCCGCTTTCGCCCAGTGCGCGGCATGACATCCGCCTCAATAGCACGCCTCCGTCCGAACACAATCTACCTCAGCCGTTTGACTCGCCTATTCTGCCATCTCCAGCTCTGAAGAGCTCAGCATTGTATCCACGCAAGTCACTGGTCAAAGGTCCACGTGGCCATTGTACAGCAGGGATAGGGAATCTTGAGCTCTCACAAGGTGAGAGTCCATTGCAGCACAAGACCCCGACTGGACACATTTATACAAGCAAAGAACATCTCAAATCCGGGGAGCTCGATCTCCGCAGATCGGTCATGCTCATGCGAAGTTTGAATTCGGAGAATAGACTTGATAGCTACACCAGTTTCAGATCTCGGCCATGTCACAAGGACGGCGTCGGTCAACATATGCATTCCGGATTATGTAGGTCAAGCTGTGCATCTAGCATGCTGACAATATCACCCATCCTTGAAAAGACGATGCCTGGGACGAAATCGACACACGAATCTGCACCACCAGTGTCGACCACCTCGGCTCGTTCTCGACAACCCTCGAATTCTCCATCAAACATGTCCACGGGCGCAGGTTCGATCTGGGAAGACGACAGCGTAGGTGGCGGTGACATAGATTGGGCCGGCGACTCAAATCCAGAAGATACACCGACGTCCACACTTGTCGGTGGTGGCACACATTTAGGGCTGCGACCATTTCCTCAACATGCTCCTCTGCGACCACGGCCGAACAACGAGGCAAGAGATTGCAATAAGCAGCATTTCCAATACCGCCGTTATGACGTGCAGAATTCGCCACCGCCACTCCTCGGTCCACGTAAATTTGAAGGTCCAGAATCATTATGGGAAGTCCAAACAGAAACAAAACGACAATTTTCGACGACTCGGTCACGCGCGCCTCCGCCGTCGATGGACAGTGGACTACCAAAGTGGCATGGACGTGGACATGGAAGTAGACGTGTCTATGGGGAAATGGATTCCCACGATCATTTGGAGACTGTAGATGCGAGTGCGGGAGACGTGCGTGGTAGTTATCCTTCGCCGCTTGTGAGGAATTTGGAAAGGGCTGTGAGTAGTGGACGATGGGATACTAGAAATGCCCGTACCCGTCATATTCGAGAAGGGGTTGAGAGTGATATCAACGGTGTCAGAAGTGGAAGCTCATCAAGAGGTCGTGCATATACACCGACATCTCAGAAAGAATCATCTGACGTATCAAGTCAAGGGTTGGGCTTGGGATTGGGGTTGAGGGTTGGTAATAGACCATTGCGATTGTAGATTGAAAGTCTGTTGTTGTTGGTATGTTAGGACATTTTCAATTCGATAAAGGTAGAGGTGGTTAATTTGTTGAGTCTAGTTTACAATTACTTGTCTAGTGATACAAGGGACGAAGTGATATTTGTTCCGTATCTGTAGCGAACATCCTTGTTGTGCCTGGTATCGGAACAGAGAGTGTATCGAAATCAAATTCCACCATACTTGTTCCATTCCTTGTTGAATCGTTCAATGACCGTTTTACTTTGGATGAGAACTCCCAACTCTTGACTAGTCCTCCAACTAGCTGCGTCCATGTTACAACTTCCCAATAACAATTTGGAGTCGTCAACGATTGTGACTTTGGCGTGAAGTTTGACGGGAGTTGTCGAGTGATTGTCACGCCGGTCACCACTCGACGGTGTCGTAGTTGTAGCCTCGCGCTGATGATCATCAAAGTAATGTACCATCAATTCCCCCCGGCTTCCGTGTGACATTTTTTTCAACCTCCGGACACAAGTAGGTGTGGTGGTACCGGCCGTCACGATTTGTTCGGTCGTCATCAATCTACGGTTCGTCCACACAAGTACACGAACTCCACGGTGGAGGGCATCACTGAGGAGTCCCAGGACGGCAGGTTCGGTCAGGTTCGGTGTCAGTATGGTGATGCTGGATCGGGCGGTAGATAACAGGTGGTGAGTGGTCTGGAGCAGGGGCGTTTTCGAACAGGAGGAGGATGCGGCGGTGGCGGAGCTCGGTATGGGGATGCAAGAACATTTCCTCGATAGAAGGGAACTCGGTCGGCACCAGAACGGTATCAAGGTTGATCGATGAGGTGACGGCAGGAGTATGGTCCGTGCCGCCGAGTCGATACTCTCATTATGGTCATCACCGTCACCGTCATGTTCATGATCACCTGGTCCGTCATGGCCTTGTCCGATAGGCGTTGTCGTTGATGATGATGATGATGATGATCCTGAGGTCGAGCCTGATATCGACGTCGGAGGTCCTGTGGAGGAAGTCGACGACCAGAAGGATTGATGAAATGCCATCAATTCATCGACAACACGCCCCCTCGTCGCGACACCGACCTCGAACCATGGTTCCCAAGACACGTTGCAGGACGGGAAAATTGCGAGTTTCCTGTCGACAACGACGTACTTGGAATGTATGATCCCAAAAGGCCAAAAGAATTTTCGCGTCACCACCAGATCTAGACCCGGTAGTTCTTCAGGGTCAGGCAAACCCAGCTTCTGCTTCCATTTGGTAGGGCCGTATATTTCTCCCCCCTTCGGTGTGGGCAACAACATGTTTCGAGCCAGAGACGAGGATGAAAAACATATCCTGACCGTGATCTTTGTTCGATTTTCCATTACCGCCTGGTTCGAGAGGGCGACCAGTGCGTCCCGGACGGAGTCTCGAGTGGTCGAAGGCGCCCAGAAACAGGTCGCCAGGATCACCTCGTTTCTTGCCCTTTCGATGTGAGGGATGACCAAAGATTCAAAGACTTCATGACCCGTCCCGGTGGTCAAGGATACAACCGTACTTTTTGTCCAGTGGCGGGCGTGTCGTGGCCCCGATGAAGAGACAAGCTCACCACAATCCATGTCGAATCAGTTACAAAGGTCGTGGTAGAGGAGATGAAGAGCCGAGTCCCTGGCGGCTTTGCCATTGCTTATGCCCTTGTCACTGACGTCGAGTAAATAAGTGATGGCAGCATCACAAAAGCCTCTTGATCAAGCACAACGCGGACAAACTGGGTTGAGGTTGACGACATTGAAGAGGTGTCGACAATGCAGAGGCCAAGGCTGAGTCAGCAAGTGATACATAGAATCCAGCGATTTCAATATTTTGAAGTATCACAGTACAAATACAATCTCAACAACCCACTGTCAAGCAGAGCTTGTCTAGGTAGTTTGCATTAATAGAGGCCACTAGCCTCCTACACACAAAGACTGAATGTCGATGTTTAATGGGTTCGTGCTATTCCAACACACAAAAATGGCGCCGCCACCACCATTTCTCATCGAGCTTTGAAGCGTCGATTTTGACCATCAAGAGTCAGAGAGAATAATGACTTGACGCACCACATCAACGAACCTCGTCGAGATGGGATCTCTCCTAAGATAAACATACGAACATGTAGTCAGGGATCCTTCGACACAACGCACCAAACCCAGAGTCTTGATTCAAGACATGCTCATTCGTGCACTCCCTTCTCCTTCAGACTCATCTGGATCGTCGTTCTTGACCTCCTCTGACTGGATCGCAGAACCCACAACTTCTCCATTTGGAGGAGGTGGTGGCATCACAGGAGTATTCGCAGCGTCAACTTGAAGTCTCGCCTTCTTCTCAGACCCGTCCGGCTCGGGGAGATCTGCCTCGCGTGCCTTTCTCTTTTCCTTTTCACGTAGCTGCTCTTCTTTCCTGCGCTCCTTTTCCTGCTTGTCTCGTTCTCGTCGAGCTGCTTTACTCTCAAATTCATGCCAATCACCTTCGACGCGGGCGAGTTCCATCGCCTGCTCGGGTTTTGGCTCTTCGTTGAGGAAGTACGCGTGTTTCAGAACTTCATCTGCAGAGGGACGCTTCTTTGGATCGTACTTGAACATCCACTGGACTAATTCAAGACCGGCGGGAGTGAAAATATCTCGCATGATTGTTTCGAATTGTCTCTTTCGCCGATCAGCGGGCTGCATTAATTCAAACCACGGCAAGTCGATGATACCGGGCCATTCTGCACGGGTGGGGGTGCCGAGCATATTGTAGACCTTTTCAAGCTGGCTGAGTTCACCTCCCTCACCTGGAAAGATCGCCTTCTTGGTAAACATCTCCACAAAGACGCAGGCCGCAGACCAGATGTCGACCTCAGGACCATACTGTGTCTCGCCCAGTATGAGCTCGGGTGGTCGATACCAGATCGTGATCACTCGATTTGTATAATCAAGTTTGCGAGATTTGGTGTAGAATCTGGCCAAGCCAAAGTCGGCATATTTCAAGAGCCCAGTATTGGAAACAAGAATGTTCGCAGCCTTGATGTCTCGGTGTAGGACGCCACGTCGATGAAGAAATTCCAAACCCTCGAACATCTGCTTTGCCAGGTCCTTCTTATGAGCTGGGCTCAATGTGAAGGTTGGGTGGTTGATGAGCCCAGTAAGATCATGTGACATGTATTCGAAGACCATGAAACATTCATTCTTTTCAACCATGACTTCTTGCAAAGCAACGACATGTTTATGTCTGAGATGTTGCAACAGCCTAATCTCACGAACCGCTGTGATGGGGAAACCATCTCGCTCGCCCTCCATGCGGATCTTCTTGAGTGCTACCTTATCTTTTGTGTAGATGTGAATGGCTTTGAAGACCTTTCCGTATGTGCCGGCACCAACCACAGATTCATTACCAGGCTTGCGAAAATACACCGAATCGGAGTCCGCAAATTCAGGAGTCAGAGTTGGTCGAGACTTTGTCTCTCTCCTGGATTTTTTCGAGGGAGGGGACCGCGATCGGTCGGGTCTGCGGTTGTCTGCGGCTTGAGCAAGGGCTCTTCGGTCGGGACGTGATGGAAAACTAGGTGGCAAAGGCCGTTGATTAGGCCTGTCGTCTCGTCGATCGAACCGATCAAATCGATCAAATGGCTTTTTCCTTGGTTGCGTGGGAGGACCTCGCTCGTCGGGGTGGAAAGGCCCCTTTGGTTTGGCTGAAAAATCTGCGTTTTGTCTGGCTGGACCTGATGGAGGAGCCTTTGACTTGAAAGCAAAGCTGAATTTTGAGGCTGCTGTTCCTGTTTGATCATTCACCTGCGCATGCTGATCTTCATGCTTCTGATCTTCAACCTGTAAGTCTTTCGAGGGTCTGAAAACATTTCCTTCCTCCTTTGGAGTTTCTCTGCCATCCTGTGAATGGACTGGTGAAGTTTGATGCATGTGTCCACCTTGTGCATCAGGATTTTGTGAACCACCTCGCTTAGGACCAGTAGGAGGTGCTGTCCACTGAAGATTGTTGAAGTGACCGCCTCTGCCTCGACCGCGACCGTTGAATCTCTGATCTTGTTTACCATATTGCCCACCGCGAGGCCCATGGCCGCCCCGGTAAGAGGGCTGTTGATACCCTTGCGAATTTGACCCATAATACTGCTGGTTTTGATAGTAAGGGTTCGGATTGTTCATGCTACTTGGCCCGGGGAAATTGTTTTGTCGGTACGGTGGAGATGAATTGTACATGGGACTAAGTAAACATCAGCGAGGCTGTCATGGTTATAGAAGAATCAACTTACCCATGCGGACTTTGACCACCTCCCCAACCGCCTCTTGGATTATGGTACGGCGATCCCGCCTGGGACCCATGATAGGAGCTGTTAGGTGTTCCCGAATAAGGGGGCGATCCGTTGTATTGTTGCCGAGTATCGACAAATGGCCTCTGTTGCCCTCTATGATTGCCATAGTTCCCACGCGTCGAGTGTTGGCCATCCATGGAGCGGTTGTCTGTATCGTCTACCACAGACGGAGTTCGTGAACGGGGTTGACCCCCTACAGGAAAACGCCGACCTCTAGATTTTCCAGGTCGTTTTGGAGGTCTGAAATCTTTGTGGGATGTTTCACGATGACTGGTGTAGTCGTCACGGCGAGATGGGGATGCTCTCGACGAGTGGCGAGGTGAAATCGATCGCCTATCTTGTCTTCGATGAGGACTCGATTCTCTGGAACCTCTGACGTCCGAGTTGTACCCACGAGGCCCTGAATCAGACCTGGATGCGTTGGATGGTCGGAAGGGAGACCTTGATCTAGAACGCCTATCGTGGATATCTGGACGATCTCGGCTGCGACCAGGATTCCGACTGTCTGAACCGAATCGGTCACTGGGTGCAGGCGATGGGCTCTGGGTACGTCGGCGCTTAGGGTGTCTGTCTGGAGAGAAATCGCGAATTCGGGCAGGTCTGTCTTTGAAGGGCCTCGAATGCTGTGCGTGCGAATGTTTAGAGTTTGCTGGACGGGTGGGAGAAAGAGACGGTTTTCTACCGCCGGATTTCTTCGTATCTCGTTGCCACTTTCGACTCTGACGACGCCCGCCGCGTGTTCCTTGGTCCCTATCTCGGTGAGGGCCCCGATAATCTTCAGAATATCCAAAAGAAGGCGATGGAGGACGATGACCACCGGGATGTCGCTCACTCTCCCGCGATCGATTCAAGTCTCTGTCGCGCGGGTCGTCTTCAGCTCGCCAACGATGCTTCATTGATGGGTCGTGTCGAGACCTTGCCATGTACTCCTGGGAGTCATTTGCATTGCGGTCGGAGGGAAAGGGTAGAGAGGGTCGAGGGTGAGGTGGTTGCTGGGGTTCGACGAGTCCTTCGCAGTCTGCAATCCCAGTTCAGTGAGCGAGTTGCATGAACATCGACCAGCGCCTTGGCGATCCACAAAAGCGGCGTGACGTCCGGAAGGGGATATTCCGAAGCCGAAGTCCAGTGGGTGTTCGGGCACTCACCTTTACCAGACCACCTCGCATTTTGCCGCGCACACTTCTTCCTCGCCTTCCCATGTCTTCCCTTCTTGTTCTTGCTCAGTGTCGCTGAGCACTATGTAGCAGCCTTGATGAAAATCTAGTCACTCGTAGTCTACAGTTGGCGTGCAGATATTGTCAGACCTCAATGAAGAGGATGGAGACCCCCGACGAATCTGACGCCGCTTTTGATGTGAGTGGCAGGGCAAGTGCGAAGAGTGTCCAGGCTGATGCACCGCCGAGCGATGGCAAGAGCCTTGACAATGAAAGCTATGTACGTGCAGGCCATATCCGTCCCCATTCATGCTGCTGTCTGGTCTGTTCTCGTAGTAAGTTCGCAAGTTCACAAATTCACAAGTTCACGCCAAGGCATTGAACTGCGCAGCTTTCACATCCCTCGGCCCCGCTAACATAATGTATTTGCCGCCGTGATAAAGATGTTGCCACAATATAGTGCAACATCTACTCACTCTGGCAACGTAGACTGTAATTAGCACAGGATGTCAATAATCCACCTCGGGCAAAAAGTGCCTCATTACCACTTTCCAAAGTCCATGTCGATCGGGGTGATCGACTGGGTTAATGGTAATGCTGGTAATCAGTAACTCAAAAGCTGGCACCTCTGGCGGGCTCTTTGTTTCCCCGAGGCGAGCAGATGATTTGTTGCCAGTCGTTAATCTGGCAGGCCTTTCACAAGCAGTGATAATCAACGGGTTCAGAAAGCCAGGGTTGAAGTTAGATTTAGCTGTGCTGCAGCAACAATGCACATCAGGTGTTGTGGTGTGAACAATTTCATCCCTGACAGTATCACCGCTGTAAAGACTGGCGAAGAGCAACATGGCTGAGAATAGTTCCGGCATAAACAACGAGGCAACGAAATAACGAGGCACAATCTGTGGGAATTCGTGGTTGTTTGGTCAAGTTTCCCCGCTGACCGCCTTGTCGGGTCTGCATGCGAATGGCGTGGAAAGCCTGAAAAAAAGGCGTAATTGCAACCAGGTGAGAGCCTTCACGGGATTTGCACCTCAATTTATAAAGAGGTATACTTGATTTGGATGATGGTATACAGAGATTGTTGACATTGGTCCTCACTTAAAGGAAGACAAGTCGTCTGATGTCAAACTTGAGATTCCCACGATGTCTCGGCAAACCTGCTGTTCGAGAGTTGCTTGCGTTGTGTACTAGCCATTCTTGGAGCGTTGTTTATTGTCGGTCATGTGACACAAACGGGACAGGCACAGTTCGATATTCACGAGACAAAACGAGCAATACAAAGCTACCTTACCTAGGTTGCTGAATTGGTTCATGGTTTTGTCCTATTTTCTCAAGTGGGCGAATCATCCATGTCTAGCCTTATTCGTCGATATCGACATATGTGATCGATCTGATTTCATGTTCCCATATCATCAAGGTTTCATAATATTTTCATCCTGCAGAGAACAGGTCCGGGCTTCCTAGGCCACTCAAAGCTCTGTTTGGTCCTTGATGTAGGCGTACTGGTACGCAGAAAACGCCCGAGTGCTTCGCAATCCGAGGAATATGCGGAGAACTCGCTGGACGTTTGCCAGCACCCGCCTTGTCCGGGGACTTTTGAAAATGGCGCCTCTTTCCTTCAACAGGCCACCTCGGGCTGCTCGAGAATGCCTAGTTACAAAGACGTCAAGCGAGGTTGTATATTTGTTGTGTGGCTTATGGAAAGCACAATAGGCGAGACGATTCCCACGGCTGATTCGAAGCGATGTTTTCGGATGGCATCTTCCTCAACATAGGTGACGTTCGGTCAACCTAGACTCATTTTCTCGCCCACGCCCTTTTCTCCCATGAGTTCGCAGCCAGTCCTTACGACACCAACCATGCCTCCAGTTTGCACGCCCTCACTGCCACCTCCAGCAAGTCTGTACTCTATTTCAGCCAGGCCTTGCAGCCAAGTCACCCGAGTTGCAACGCTGACTTCGAGGGTCTGCAGCTCCTCTGCCAAAGCGGTGAGAATGTCTGCTAGAGCCAAGCCACGGCTGCTTTTCAGTGCATTGATCGTGTTCAGACAACTCGTAATATCTGGTGTACTCAGCATTGTGGTCATAATCATACGGATATCGTCCGGATGAGGAGCGGCGATACAGTTATATATCGTATCATTGGTGATAAGCTCGTATTTGACGTCGGAATCTTTGACTGGTGGCTGTCCTCGCATTGGGAGCGGCCTCGAACCTGCATGACACGCCTGTAGAACGTTCAACGCTCTTCTCATGTCACCTTTGGACAGTCGGACGAGTGAGTCGACGGCCTCGGGGGCAATGTTGATATGTTCTTGCGAAATGACCAAGTCAACTAGTCGGCGAATATCAGGTTCTTTGAGAGGGGAAAACCGGAATCTCGTACACCGTGACAGCAGTGCTGGCGACAGCTTGTGTGTATAGTTTGCGATAATGCAAAATCTTGTGTTGGCCGTGTATTTTTCCATTATTCTTCTCAGAGCCATCTGTGCCGTCGAAGTCATTGCGTCGGCCTCGTCAAGAATGATCAGCTTGAAAGCACCAAGGCCGAATTTGGCTGCAGTCGAGGATTGCTGAGTGGAGGTGCTGAAGATTTGCTTCGTGGAAGCAAATGTCTTTATTTGCTCTCTTACAACATCAATCCCACGATCATCTGACGCATTCAATTCCAGCACCATTTGTCGCATGTTTTTAGCGCCATATATTTGTCTTGCTAACGCCAGGATTGTAGACGTCTTGCCAGTACCAGGGGGCCCGTAGAGGAGAAGATGAGGTAATCGGTTGTGTTCAATGAATCGATTAATCGTGGCCAGGATATCTTGGTGACCGGATACATCATCGAGCGTGTTGGGGCGATATTTCTCAACCCTTCAATACGAGATTAGAAGGTAACCCAGCTGGATTGTAAAGGACATACCATGGTAAGTTGTCCTCGGCCTCAATAGGTAAGTCTGCAACTATGCGCTTTTGCTTCCCTGCAAGATTGTCCGAGCTAAATTGAATCGACTTGTCCTTGGACACTGGGGCATCCACGTCCATATCATCTTCGTAGTCCGACATTGTGATCGCCGTCTAAGTATGTAACACTGGCTACACAAAAGTGCAAGGACGATCGAGGAGACATTTCTAGAGGGCGACGCGCTTAGACGCGTAAATTGATGTGCCATTTGTGGTGTTCGTACTTTGCCGTAGTTTACCTCCACCCTTCCTTCAGCCTCGCCACGCGAGTAGAATAACATAGCGTAAGGGGAAGTCATGTACATTTTATGGCCAGTAGTAATGTCTGTGTGGTTCAAATGTAGATCCATGTAAATCAAGACAGTATACAAATATATCGCTTGAAAGTCTAGTAGACGTTGCGTCGGAATAGCGTCGATGTCCTCGAAATATTTTCAGCACCTAACACTGGGGAACTAGGACGTCGAACTCGTAGGTCAACTCATGAAAAGATTCTTTCGACTATCACCCGACGGCGTCACATGTCACATCACGGAGGCAATGCAGGGTGGCCTGAAAATTTTTGTGTTAGTGTCAGATCAGCATTAAGCGGATAGCGATTTATTCCAAAGGTGATCTTGACTAAATATTTGAGACGGTGAAGTTCCTCCGAAGTACTCGAAAAATCCAGATTGTTGTAAACCGGTTTCCATCATTAAGTTGCTGACTTCTCCAACTTCGTAACTCGAATCTATTGTGTGGCATCAGTTGTCCAAGTGCCCATGCTTGGTGCGATCAACCAGCTCTACCAAGCTTCCCATAGCCAACATCGCCAGTGTAGGTAAGTCTGACAGGGAAGAAGTATTCTCGGACAGTGTTCGAGCCGCACCAAGAAGTGGTAGAGTCCTTGGAGGCCAATCCGTCCATGGGAAATGTTTGCGCCAACATGTCGCATCCGCCGCGTCCCACATATTTTCATCGTATGGCAAGTAAAGGTCTAATTCTGGTAAAGTGAGTCGAAAGGGAGACTGTGTACGGAGATGACACAGGCTATGGACGGCCTAGGCACATGTCAACTGGCAATACATCGAGAAGGTGACACGGCTCTGGCTTACCACGACCGCCCATCCTAGTCGGCTTCGTTTTTCTCTTGCGATCCATTTCTGCCACTGACTACGATACATCTCGTAGCCCACGTCCCTGGTTAGATTCTTGCCTAAGAAATCTTCTGGACTGAGGGAGCAATCTAGTGCGCTGATGTCTGAGGGAGGTGTAGCAATGCCGGATGCTGTGCCCTCGTTCTGCTCTTGCTGCTGAAACTCGAAAATGCAAGCCTTTCGTGCGTTGGCCAGCATACATGCCTGACCAGCGATGGCCCAAGGACGTAACAGCATGGAATTGTCGCTGATAATGACAAAGTATAATATGCACTGGCACAAGAGCAACGTTAACGGATCGCAAAGCTTATGGGGCATCCTCAAGTCCCCGGAGGTCTAGATCTGTATCAGCTATTCCGATCCCCAAGCGACAGATGCCGGGAATAGACATACACTCGAGAGAATCATCGAGACTCTAGCGAGGACTCGGAGGTGATATTCCGCGGCCTGAGGCTCTGAGCTATAACTGGCTCCAATAGCTGTAATGAGACCGAACAAAAGTGGTGGGGTTCCCCCAACATCACTCGAGGCGCAGTGCATAACTGGGAATATCTAGGGGGAAAATGAGTAATTGAGCAGACAGCGGCCAAAGAGTGACATGTCGATTACCTTGTGAAATTTTTCAAAATATAAATTCCAAAACTGCATCATATTTGCTTCGGTCATGTTAGGCACATCAAGAAGAAGACTCTTGTAGTCAGTTGAATCGAGAAGTTCTAAGGCCCCGAGAACCGTGTCGAAGAGATGAGCTGTGTCGGTTCGTATAGATTCGTCGCCTTGCATTTCTACCGCCATCTCTGCCCTGCATGAATCGAGATTGTCGTTGCTGGATTCTGCACCACCTCCTATCTCATTAACCAGGACTTCAAAGTATTGTGGCCCAAATGGTGTACCAAGTTTCCAGTTGAACTGTGACCATGGTGTAGCGCTTACGCGAGTTTCTGTGTTCACCTGGTGGTTTTGGATGGATGGGGATAGATTCAGTAGTGAAGCAACGGCCTCCGGGCTTGTCTCCTGCTGCATTGGTAGGTCGAAATGCATCATATCTTCTGGTCTGGGACTGGGATACTGGAAATCTTGATATGCAATATAATCGGTCTGTAAAAAAGCATTAGATCCATATTGGGAGAAAACAGAGGCTGGTGTAGGTGACTGTGTCCATCTGGGCAGGAAATATCAGTGGGCCAAAAAATAGCCTACCTGTTCATTGGTAACGGTGACTTGGTCATTTTCTGGATGAACCTGATCGGTTGGCGGGTGAGGGCTGAGTGACGTGTGGTACGCCAAATGGCCTCCCACCGCAGATTCTGATATACCGTAACTAGGTTCCGTTACCTGGAATTGGTTCGCATTCCCATCATGATCTTGGACCTCTTCAGCTGGAGATGCTGCCAGGTTCCGTCGCTCGCCATCATTTTCTTTTGCAGAAAAATGAAACTGGCAGATGATCCCGTTCTTCTCACATTGACCGCATGAAGGTCCACCACTGCACTTGACCTTGTAGCTATCAGGGAGCACTTGACTCAGAAACAAAGCCTACATCGAGGGAGGAAAATACGTACAAGGCACACCGGAGACAGCTCTTACGGCGACTCCTTTTCTTCGGTGGCTCAACAGTAACCTTCTGGTGTTTCGCTTTTATATGTCGCGTCAGAACGTCCCTTCTTGAGAATGTTTTTGAGCAGACTGGACAGGTAACAGGGTTGGCCCGCTTCGAGGAAAAGGGGGGAGCATTAGTAGTGGCTTGGGGCGAATGTTCCATCATTTTCTGAACGCTTTGCATGACTGTAGGGAAGAGACTGAGCTTTTCAGGAAGAAGTTTGCAGGGCGAGGAAGGACGACTCCCCAGACTTGCCCCACCTTGAATTCCGGGGCACGCACCTCCCCGGAACAGCACTACGAGTCCCTAACCGAGGTCGAAGGGTGAGTGGCGGAGTCGACCTGTCCACGTAGCGCGAGGGGCAGATCCCCTAGGACCAAGTGAGCCCTGGAAAATACCACATCTCCGTACTGTCTATCCAAATCGACCTTAACGATCTCGGAGAGCTAGGATATCTCTAAGTGGATCGCAGCGTTCGACCATGGACCTCTCCAATGACCTTAGTAGCGAGACAACAAGGAGTGCCGAACTCGAACGACGCTTCGATGAGCTCGAAAGTCGCCTGGCTGAGGTGCGACAACTGGCAATGCAGTCTTCTCAGGGCCCTTTGCATCAGAATACCGCCGCTGTCGAGCATCTTGGCAACTTTTTTCATGACGATGGACGCAATCATGATACATGGGCCGATTTTCTTGATTTTGGTGTCATGCCTGAGGAAAGGCCCCCGACGTCGCCGCTGTTTCGCGAAGGACCTCAAAGCAGCCGGTCTCCCGGAGGCACGACAACCACTTCCTGGCACAAGGCCATTGAGAGAGCTGGCACCAGACGGCGCCTACTATCTCAGCCTTCGATCTATGATATGGATCTTTTGGAACTTCACAGTTCTGTTCGGTACCAACTTCTGAGGCAGTCCATGACAGCAGGAGAACCACAACAAAGGTTAGTTCATTTAGGCCTCGCTGTGTTACCGAGAAAGAAAGACATTATGCTGACAAAATTCATGCAGTCTTGATACTTTGGTACAGAAAATGCTATATCTCCTGGCTTCCGACAGATACTGGGGAGGCAAGAGGCGATTCTGGTTTGAAACCCTCGCTTTTGAAAAACTGGCTCCAATCACTCGGTATCAAATTATGCCGACAGTCGAACATTACCAGGCAATCCAAGAAGAATTTCAACCAACACAATTACAATTGACCAGATACCATTGGCCCATGGTCGACTGGATTCCGTATGCCAGTTTACGAGACAAGATTATCCTTCACGCTGATGAGATTGACCTCGCTGCCGTCGTCGAAGGCACCCTCGAGAGTTGGTGCTTAGAATCAAAAGTAGTGGTGCCCTTGCACGGGACTCTTCACGAAACACTGGTGTATTATCGACTCAGCGAATATTTGGAGTATAGACGGCAACAACACGCAGATCCTGCTTCGCTGTCGGGCACGATGTCGAAGTCTGTCGAGACAGAATTTGTCCTCGCTCTTCGACAGCCCACCCAGGTTTTTAAACTCGAACGGTCGTATTTCGACCGCTTTCCCATGCTTTTTTGCGAGGATGCCTTGGCCAAGGGTCAGTATAGCCCGGTGGTTATCCAGCAGCGCTCTCCCGAATCACACCAAGCTTCCATCTCGATGTCTGTACTTCCTACAAGCAACACTGGCTGATTAAAGAACGTATCATCTGTCGAGGAGCTCCGAGATCTGACTGCAAACGACTCGACGAAACGATCTCTTCAACCATGAAGTCTAGAATGTTCTCGCGTGTCCCACTCATTACGAAGTCAAGAATGCTCCTTCTTTCACTCAAAGGAGCGCTATAGCATTGGGTGGAGATGCAACACCTCCTGGGACATACAGCGGCGCACTTGTGAACAGGAAAGACCACTGGTTCTGCTTTTTGCAGAGTTCACTGAGGCCCTCAAGATTCCAAAGCTCTCCCAGTGGCATGCCCCAATGAGCAAGTATCCATTCATGGAGGACTACTGCCCCCTTTTGACCGAACGGAACCGGGCACTGTTCAAACCCAATAGAGTCAGTTGCGACAGCTGAGATGTGCTGATTCCACAAAAATCGGACCATCTCCATGCTTCTTTCAACCCCTATGAAGGCGGTTTTATCAAGTTTTTCTCTTCGTTCTTCTGGAGAGGCGTCATAATACCAGCGAGTCCACCCACCACGAAGGAGAAGTATATCCCCTGGGCGGAGCTCGAGATTCTGATGTTTTGCCACCGCCTTTAATTCTGCGACAGTTACAGAGTGCGGACTGGCCGCAGAAACCGGAGGCTGTCCCGTCTCTTCACGCCATCTGACGTAGTCAATCAGTACTCCTCTTCCGACGATACCACCTGCCTCGACCCATTCTAATGATATCATTAGTAAAATGATACAATATCTCGGGGAAACATACTGTGTATTCCATTACGGCCATCACGACGTTTGATGATATCTTCATGTTTCAATCCATTATAATATAATTCTTGATCCTGAAGCCCACAGTGGGTGAGACCATCCCATTGAGATGATGACTGAGTGTTGAAGTGCAGTTCATCATCGTGACCTATGCTAGAATTCATCTCCTTGAAGTCCAGAACCTTTTGTTCAAACAATCTCCGGTTGGCAATGACATAATCGAAGATGTTCAAGGGAAGATCGAGGGATACACTTAGCCCGGCCTTGACCTCCTGGGCAGCGTATTTCCTGGCTTCAGGAGTGATTTTGTTTAAAGCTGATACAGACATACGAGTCAGTCAAAGCCTGGAAAGAAACGGCCCTGTTGAGTGGAACGTACTGCCAATCTGGTCATCTGCGCCCCACAACCCCCACGCATTCCCCTGAGGCTGGCCTTCAACTTTGGGCAGGTCATCAAAATCAGGAACAGCGGTCTTCGACATTGTGAGAAGTCGTGAATACCTTGAAAAATGCAATTAGTTATGCAATGAGTTGTTCAAATACTTTCGCCAGGTAGATCATGCCACGATGCGTTTTTCAATACTGGTCATCTTGTGGGTGCGCAAACCGTCGGTCCACTACCACCGCCACATTCAACCTCCGGTCTGAAACACAGCGGTAACGCTTCAGGCCCGTACTTACTTTTTGATCCTTTGCCAGAGGTAGAGATTGACAGAGATAAAGACTTCTTGTCTTGTACGTCGAAACATTGACGATAGCTCGCGTCATAGCCCGACTCTTTGCACTTCCTACGCCCGCAGCTTGTCCAGAATTACGGTTACATGTAATGGCATCAACGACAGTTCCCAATGGGGTGAACGGAGTCCACAGAGTCAACGGACATGGGCATGACTTCCTTCCACCCAATGTCCCATCCAACCTGGAAGAGCTTCCCGATCTATACGGATGGCCTCGGCAGAATCAACGCGGGTACCGCATTCGAGAACTACCTTCCGGGCCCTACAGACCTCTTAGGGTAGTTGTAATGGGCTGTGGAGCGTCAGGAATATCTTTTGCAAAATTCGCACAAGACGAGCTGAACAATGTCGACATCGTGCTGTACGAAAAGAACAGCGACGTGGGCGGGACTTGGCTGGAAAACAGATATCCGTAAGTCCTCCGTACCTGCTGCACCACGGGTGACAATGCACCTGCTGATACATGCCAGTGGGTGTGCTTGTGATGTTCCAAGTGTCACCTATCAATTCACCTGGGAGCCTGACACTTGGTCGCGCTTCTATTCTGAATCTCCAGAAATCCACCGGTACTTCAAAAGGGTGGCCGAGAAGCATAATGTCTTAAAGTACACCAAGTTGAACCATACAGTCACAAATGCGCTCTGGGACCAAGACAGGGGCAAGTGGAGCATCACCGTTCATGACTCGGCCGAGAACTCGACTTTCATTGATGAGTGTGACATCTTCATCAATGCTGGAGGGCCTTTGAAGTAAGTTGGAAGTTCCCATGGTGTAAGCCTCCCCCAGCTCTCTCTAAATTTTGTTACAGTCATTGGAATATGCCGAAGATCAACGGTCTCGAACGATTTCAGGGAGTCCTAGCGCACACTGCCAATTATCCAGAAGGTCTCGATCTGAAAGATAAAAGGGTAGCAGTATGTGGAATTGGCTCCAGTGGTATACAAGTCATTGCTTCAGTGCAAAAGCAGGCCTCCAAATTATATACTTGGATCAGAAGTCCGACGTGGATACTGGGCACATTTGGCGCAAAGTACATTCGAGAACCAGAATCGGATCCAAATCCAGCCTGTAAGCCAGAGCCATTGATTTAGTGGTCCTTCATTTGCTAACAAAATACCACACAAAGATACCAAAGAAGAACTTCGACTCATGCGACAGGATCCAAAGACGTACTTGAAGTATCGAAAGAACATTGAGTTAAGCATAAGCGAAGGTTTTTCAGTCTTCTTCAAGAATACACCCGAGGCCAATGCTGCACGAGAGGTATGTCAAACTTCTCTGATGCTCTCGACATATCTAACTTTGTACGAGATATCTACGAAGGAGATGCGAGCAAAACTGGCGAGTCGTCCTGATATCGCGGATGCTTTGATCCCTAAAGACTTCCCGGTGGGGTGTAAAAGACCTACGTGAGTTATCAAGCATCTTTAGCATCCCAAGAGATGTGCATTCCAGTATAGTCCTCTGACAGCTTCTAGACCCGGAATAGGATTTTTGGAAGCACTTTGTGCTGATAATGTCGTTGCATATCCAGGAGGGCAACTCAGTACTATCACCGAAAAAGGATTCCTCAACCCGGATGGCCAAGAAGAGGAAGTCGATGTCATTATTCTCGCTACGGGGTTTAATACTACCTGGGTGCCTAGGTTTCCTATCATTGCAAATGGTAAGAATCTGCAAGACATGTATGCAAACAACCCCCTGTCATACCTGGGTATCGCGGCACCGGAAATCCCAAACTATTTCACCTACTACGGACCTTATGGGCCTCTTGGTCAAGCCAGCGCGGTGGTCATGATTGAATTCTTTACACGATATTTCAACACGGTCATACGAAAAATGCAGACAGAGTGGATTAAGAGTCTCGCACCAAGGATGGATGTTGCATTACAATTCCAGGAACATGCCGATCTCTATCTTAAGCGCACAGTCTGGGACTCTCACTGTCGAAGCTGGTGGAAGGGTGGCGAGTATGACGGGAGGATCATGCTCTATCCCGGGTCACGCACTCAATAGTACGTCGTTTCCTCACCCGTTGTCCCCCAACCCTGCTTTCAAGTCTCTAGAGAGCTAACTACACAATATCTTACAGCATGGAATTGATTAGCAGTCCGAGGTTCGAGGACTATGACATAACATACCATGGTATGAATCGATGGGGTTTCTTGGGAAATGGATGGTCGATCAGAGATTATGACGGAAGCGACATTACCTGGTTCTGGGGTCTGGTAGATGGTAAAGATAAGAAGGAGGAATACGAGCTTGACTGGAAGGAAGATACATCTGCTAGAAAGAGCGACCAGGCGGCCATGGTCGACAAAGTGCAGGAAACGATCATTTCGCCCAATGCACTTTGAAATAGAACCGTCTAGGCCTTGACTCAATCTGCAGAGCTAGTCTTTAAAACATGTGATGGGTTCAACCAATAGAGCATGATACTTTCACGGAGTCATGTCCACCAACGATCTCAAGGTGTTCATATGTCCGATAGATACCACCGACGAAAACTGGTGGTCCCCACTTTTATAGCCGACTAGAACCATCTCTCGCCCCCAACTCGTCTTGAAGATCGTAATATCTAGACTGCAGTCTAAATCGGAATTCCGTCGTGGTGCTGATGAAATTTGTGGTGGTCTTGCGGATAGTACATGTATTGTGAGGCGCCCCAGAAAACCGGTTGATACCATCCAGCGTTTGATGGCAGGGAGGGGTTTCAACCCACCCGGACCGTTACTTTGACCGGACAATTGGATTTTGCTAAAAGAAGAGGCTGTGTCACCTATGCGCAGATAACTGTGTTTCCTGTTCCAAGTACAAGCTTCAATTTTTTTCAATTCAAGATGCCTGGTCGCCAGTCTGCAATTGTGACCGGAGGGTCCTCAGGTATTGGGAAAGCCACAGCTCACAAGTTAGCTAGCCGTGGCATCAATGTCCTTGTGGCTGATATCAATATCACCGAAGGAGAACAAGTGTCAAAGGATCTGAAAGCCAAATATGGTGTCGACTCTGCATTCGTCAAGCTTGACACTGCCGTGGAGGCAGATTGCATCAACATGGTCGACACGGTGGTGAAACTCTGGGGGCGGCTTGACTGGGCCTGCAACTGTGCTGGCAAAGCTGAGATTCTCACTGACGGTGAGGAAGATGTGACAGAAAAAGTGTTTGACGAGTGAGTCAAATTCACCAGCCCACAGATCAGACAGAACTGCTTAATAGAGACTGATGACTCCGAAAAATAGGATGTACCAAATCAACCAAAGAGGAACTTGGTTTTGTCAAAGATACGAAGCGGTTCAGATGCGAAAGCAAGAACCCCGAGTCATTACTTTGACGCCATCGGACAGAAAGGTCGAGACTCGAGGCTCCATCGTCAATATTTCTTCCGTGAATGGAATTGTGGGCTTGGGACAGCCTGGCTACTCATCTGCAAAGGCCGGGATCATTGCATTCACACGCACCGGATCTCAGTTCTATGGTAAAGACCTTATCCGTTTCAACTCTGTCCTTCCTGGATCTATCCGCACCGATGCAATGGTCAAATGGCTTGAGGAACTCCCGCCCGAGAAGAAGAAGTTTGTCTTGGAGTCACTTGTCAACTCGACTCCTCTGGGGAGGCAAGGTGCACCGGAAGAGCTAGCCAACGCCGTCTCTTACTTCCTGAGTGACGATAGCACATATGTCAATGGAACCACTTTGATAGTTGACGGAGGTCTGATGGCTATCAAATAGTAAACGTGTAGGTTTGTCAAAAATGGCCGTCTACTTGGAAATTACAGATGCGAATAGGTCAATACTTACATAAATATCTTCACTTCTACTGCTCCAGTCATCTGTTCTACCTAAATGAATGCCACAAGCTTCCTCCAATCAACCTTGTGAACATCCTCAGTCCCAGTTTGAGGGAGTGGCTCATCACCATGGGTTCTTTACCATCGCCGATCCATGCTTCTACTACTTTAGAGAGCCTGGAGTGATCTACGATGCTGAAACCCCGGTGTTGGCTGGCAGCTGAGCACGGGGAACCTCCTTACACTTGTGCCTTTTAGAACCACCACCCTGTGGGGTGGCCCTTGGCTGCGACACTGTGGCAATCAGTAGTCCGGGGTAGTGTGGCGGAGCTGACTGATACAAAATAATGGTGGTCTCCGGAGCATATGCCACAATAACATTGACCAAATATGGATAAATGGGGGTTATCTGGGTATCAGTACACTTGCCGAACACCTATCCAACAAACAAACGTCGAAGATATGGCTGGGTCAATACTGAGTGAAGGTCCTTCTTCACAGTTACTGGGGCTCGTGACCCAGAATCACGGTTCACTGCCTATAGTGATTCTGGCTTCACTCGTTGGGTATGTCCTCTTGAAGTCGATATATCGTGTATATTTCCATCCATTGGCCAAATACCCCGGTCCTTTCTGGGCCAAAGTCACCTCACTCTACGACTTCTATCAAGCATGGTCAGAGCATCGCGCGCATAACTTGCTGGCCCTTCATAGGGAATATGGTAGGTCTTTCATCCCAATGTGACTGAGAACCCACAGATTACCAGAATAAACACTTACAAAATTGAACAGGTCCTATTGTCCGATATGCTCCCGATAAACTCGTTTTCAATGAGCCTCAAGCATGGCAAGGTAACGTGTCCAACCTCACACCAACCCATTTCTAGAAAAATTGAAATGTCACATTGACATAAAGCCTGCAGATATTTATGCATATAAAGCCAATGTTCGAAAGTCTGATCTGTCCATTGCATCGCAGTCGAACCCTGAATCCACAGATACCTTTAGTGAGTTGTACAAGGAACCAGCTTTGAAGAAAAGGAAAGTCTTGTCCTATGGATTCTCTGAGAGCTCGCTGCGATCATTCGAGGGTAAGCAAGGCAACACACACAAGATACCAGCAAAGTTGCTTTTTTTCCTGACTTGTGGACAGCCTACATGCTGGACCAGATCAACTTGTTTTGCCATCAACTCCTGAACCCTTCAAATGAAAAGGTCAAAGATATGTCTCTGTGGTTCAATTACCTATCGTACGATATCATGGGAGAAATGGTCTTTGGTCGAGGTTTCGGGATGCTCACAGATCCTTCATTGCGATATATCTTGGAGCTCATCGATGCAACCGTTTTTTCTTATCTGTTGGTATGCTTTGCTCTTTATTCCAGCAGCGACACCAGGATACTAACGCAGTTCCGAAGGGTGGCATCATACCTTGGCTACATAGGTCAGGGGTCATAACCTTGCTAATGCCTCGAATCTTCTTTGGGAGGAAAAGGTTCGTTGCTGAAGCAGGCAAGAGAATTACAGAAAGAATAAAGCTTGGCCCAGACGCTGAAGGGATAAATGGCCGAAAGGACTTTTTCCACTGGGTAAGGCTTTAGAGACCCCTGGACCATGTTCGAGAGGGAGCCCATGAGCTGACAGAGGATTGAAAAGCTACTCAATGGGAAAGACGAGAATGGTCAGCCACTTCAACATGCACGCCTAGGTGCTGAAGGTGTTCTCTTAATTCTTGCGGGAAGCGACACAAGTTCTGCATGTAGGTTTGGGCATCGGGGCCACGATTACGATGTATGATGACTGACGTTGAGCAACAGCATTGGCTGGAACCCTTTTCTATCTCATGCAACAACCAAGATGTCAGAAGAAACTACTGGAGGAGCTCGAGCGCACTTTCGATAACATTGATGAAATTCGATTGGGTGACAAACTGACGAGTTGTGTATACCTGCGTGCGTGTGTCGATGAGGCACTCAGAATGGCCTCAGCAGGACCCGGAATCTCAGAAAGGACCGTTCTCAAGGTATGCAAGCCTCCCAAGCTGAGTTCCGCAATTGGGGCGCGACACTGATAAGACCTAATGAATCAGGGTGGGACAACGATCAATGGGGAATATTTCCCAGAAGGAGTAAGTTAACAACGTCTGAGATTCCTTTGTCGTCCACGATATTAACATAGCACTTACCTTTCCAGACCACGGTGGGCTCGGGTGGCTGGGCCTCAAGCTACAACGAAAAGTACATACGAGATTGTGAAAAGTATTGGCCTGAGCGTCATATACCGGGTGAAGAGTTCAGTGCAGAAGAGGTTCAAATTGCCCGTAGTGCCTATTGGCCATTTGGACTTGGTGCGAGGAAATGTGTCGGGATGAAAGTCGCCCTAAACGAGCTACACCTCACCATCGCGAGACTAATTTACCTTCTCGAACCGATTCCGGAGAAGCCTGAAGAGTTTCAAAAGAATTTCGAGATCTTGGATCATCAAAGTGAGTTCAAAGCTCTCTCTGCAGGGACCTGGAAGGCTATTTACAATGACTAACATGACCGCAGACCCGAAGAAAGTCGGCCCTTGGGCATCTTTCAAGCTCCGTCTTGGAAAGAAACTCCCAGACCTGAAACCAACACAAATGCAAGGGCAAGATTGAGCAGGGCAGCCTAGGTGAGATCAAAGACTCACGTGAGTTGATTGAATCGAGCATCTGAGCATATGACTTCGTAATTCGCAAGGAGAAGATGGTATCCTACGAAGTGTTGACTGGATTACGAGAATGGTTTTCAATTGAGTCAGCCATATATGCTTACTTCCATGCGACCTTCCATTTGAAGGTGTATATAGAGTGGCCCCATCAGGAAGACATTACAAAGACAATCATGAAAGTAAAGTTTTTGGTTGGGAAACCATTAATCTTGCCGACGTTCCTAAGAAATACCTCCAAGGCTTGTACTTAGACACCAGTAGGTTGAAGTGTAGAGACAGAGACACCAGCTGTCTCACAAAGTAGGACCACGCCCTGGCCGGACGATTTTGCCAAAGCTAATACTCATCTATGCTAGCAACTTGTATGGGTCTTGGGCAGCAAAGACATCTGAACTGAATGATAGCAAAGCGCTCAAAGCACAGAAAGTCCGATTTCGAAATCTCTGTACCGACTAACTTCAAGCCAATGAACAAAGCAATCTGCAGCTACCGGAGTGGCAGTGTGGTCAATACAGTTTGCAGCTAACTAACATCATGGGAAACAATTGGGTGGCCTGAAGTCCGGTCCACACGTGGTTGATGGGCCTTCCCCGTGGGGAACGCTCTGCGGGGCTTTTATCCCAGGCAGCTTGGTATATTTAGTCTCCGGCGTAGACGCTGTTTATCTGAGCGTCCGACAGCAAACTACGTCCTCAATCACTTCACCTTCGACTTGCGCTGTATATTCATTCTGTCATGGAGACTCCACGCGAAAAGAACGACACGAACTCGTCGAAAGATGAAATCACCGAGGCCGAGTTCGAGAACCAGGAGGCTTACTATGTCCCGAAAACCCAGATGAGGAATGTCTGGTACGTCTTGATGGTCGGTATGGGACAGATCGCTGGAGGTGCAGCCAATGGAGTGATTGCCACGACGCTGGCCCAGCCGACTTTCGTGTCCAAAATGTCTCTCAACGGACCGGACGCGTTGTCGTTGATGGGAGGAACCAACGGCGCCTTCTACGCCGGTGGATTCGTCGGTGTCTTCTTTGCGGCGTGGTCGTGCGACACCTTTGGCCGTCGGAAATGCATGTGGATTACGGGGATTCTGAACATCATCTCTTGCATCCTCTGCGCCGCCTCTGTCAACATTGGCATGTTCATTGCAGTCCGGTGAGTTGTAGACTTGGGTGGAAGCATCAGATGTCAAATTCAAAGACCTGCTGACACCTTCTTTTGCTTGCGCGTTGCAGGTTCATCGCCGGTTTTGCAGCCTGCCAGTATGTGATGCAGACTCCTTTGTATCAATCTGAGATCGCGCCGCCTCATCTCAGAGGCCTTCTTGTCGGCACGTTCGGGATTTTCAACGTCCTGGGCTACAACATCGCAAATTGGTCGGGCGCCGGATTCTACCACCTGAAAAATTCCAACATTGCCTGGCGTATGATCTTTGTCATAGTCGGCGGACTGTCCATCATCCACATGGTCCTCATCTACTTCTGTCCGGAGTCCCCCAGGTGGCTTGTCATGAAGAACCGTGTGACTGAGGCAGAAGAGGTAATCCGACTCATCCACGGCGATAGCGGCGACGACAGATTTGTGAGGTTGGAAACTTTGCAGATCGAGCGTCAAGTTGCCACGGAGAGAGAGTACAACGTCTCGTATTTCCAGATGTTTGCTGACAAGAGATGGAGGCGGCGCACACTTCTGTGCTGTCTCATTGGAACCGTGGGCCAGGTGTGTGCTTTTGAAAAGTATAGTTTCTTGTTTAAACACTGTGCTAACTTAGGAATGCCCTCCTCTACAGTCCACTGGGGTCCTTGTTATCAACAACTATGGTCCATACTTTTACGCCCTTCTTGGGATGACTACCGAGCAGCAGCTTTATCTGGCTGGTGGGTACGTCGCCCTGTCCATGACCGTCGCAATCATCGGGGCCTTTGGCATCGACAAACTCGGCCGAGTAAACTTGATGATCTGGGGCATTGCGGGACAGGTGGTCATGCTGTGCATTGAGACGGCCATTGTCGCTCAATACGCAGGCACGACGAACCGATCCGCCAACATTGCAGGGATATGGGCATTCTTCATGTATTGTTTCGTCTACGGAATCAGCTGGGATTGCACCCCGTACGTCTATGTTGCCGAGATCATGCCCTCGCACCTACGGGCAAAGGGCGTAACCCTTTCCATCGGGTGCTTGTATCTGAGTGTATGCGCCCTCATCACGTAAGTACACTGGCAGCCTCGACGATGAGGTACATCTCACTAACCTGCGAAACTATAGTGGTGCATTGTATGCCTTTGGAGATATCGGATGGAAGTATTTCCTGGTCTTTATCTGCGCTGGTCCCGTGGGTGCTGGGCTCATATGGTGGTACGCACCAGAGACGAACGGTAAGACTTTGGAAGAGATTGGCGGACTATTTGGTGATGATCTCGCTATACCCGAGCTCCATGCCACAGATGAGTCTCATCTTGCCCATAAAGCCGCAGCTTAAGAGGCAAACAAGGCGGAGCGACTGGGACAATGAAGAAGCAGGGAGTAAAAACATTATGCCGCCACAGCGCTAAATATTGTTATATACAACGTCAAGCGAAACAGTGCTGTCAGGTGTATCTCTATCTCAGCAGGCCAGCACGTCTTTCACGAATTTTCTATCTCTGTTATAACCTCACTAGAGCCATTATTGTGATTCCACCATGTAATGCCCCAGAATATCTGTCATAGCCCGGGCTCTATGTGCGGCTATGGTCGATGTATCTTCGAAACTAGACTTGCCGTGTGGTGAGAAGTCGTCCTCGATGCTATGCCAGTGACCGGATATAAAGGCCCGAACGGCTAACAACACCCGAACGAGGATTTGGCATAAGCTTCTTACCATTGTCGCTGATAACAGTGAAGGCAAGTTATCAAGCTCTCTGCTTTAGTAGTCAAGGAGCATATCAAGCTACATTTCCAAGGATTCTTTCGCTGTGACTGACTTTCATAAGCCCAACTAAATAGAAAATATTGAGCTTCAATGAAAATTTGTCCAGATCTTTAAGTACTGACTTTACTTTACCCGAGGTTTAATAACTAAGATGTTCGTCCTCCGGCCCCCCACACACACGGAGCGATCACCACGGAATTATGGAGTACCCTGGAATTGTGTGTTATAGAATCAGCGTGCTCCTTTGCTAACACGGCCGTATGAACCCCATTCACCAACCCTGTCCAATTTTGAGACGGATAATCACATATTAAACAACTAAACAACTAAACTTGTCCCCTTTTTCAAAAAAGACAGATTCTCGATGGCCGACTTGGGAGGAAAGTCAATCGTCATTACTGGTGGTGCGTCCGGAATCGGGCTTGCCACGGTTGCACAATTGCTACAATTGAAAGCTAGAGTTGCAGTTGGGGATCTAGGCCCAAGCCCTTCCGCGGGTCTGGCAGAGCTGGTGGCACAGACATCAGACCAGAATCTCTTCTTCTACAAGCAGGTGGATGTTAGTAGACGTTCTAGCGTGGAGGAGTATATGGGCGCCGTCCTCGAGAGATTCGGCACGATAGACGGTCTCGTCAACAATGCCGGCATCTGTCCGAATGAGGGTGAAATGGCGACTGATGAGGTCTTTGACGCCATCATGGCGGTCAACCTGAAGGGCGTCTGGAATGTCGGCACGGAAGCCATTCGGATCATGGCCAAGCAAGAATCTCGTGGCGTCATTGTCAATACCGCGAGCGACGCTGCATTGAAAGGTATCAAAGGTCTTGCTGCTTACACTGCTTCGAAACATGGAGTCCTGGGCCTCACGAGAGTTTGGTGCAAGGAATGGACGTCAAAAGGCATCAGGGTCAATGCCGTTGCCCCAGGTACGCACCCATACCTTAGCTCAGTAACCCCTACCCTATCCCATATCAAGTGATTCGAGTGAGATAAGAAATCGAGCCGTTGTTGATATTTGTGTGTATAGGTGTGACTGATACACCCATGGTCGCAAAGATTGCTTCGGGCCACACATCTGGAGAAGAAACGACGAAGCAGTGGCTGCAGAATATTCCCATGGGAAGATTTGGTCAACCTTCGGAAATTGGCAGTGTTATTTGTTTCCTGTTGAGCAAGGAATCCAGCTTCATGAGCGGACAAGTGTTGAGGATCGGAGGTGGTGAAGGCGAATAAATTGCCAACGATTTATCTCTACTATATTAGTCTAGACGGGGTTTATTCTTTCACCAAGCCGAGCAGAGAGAACATGAAGTATCATTCGATCGGGTAAAGTTATATCAATGGCGAGGCTCCAGAAATGTGGAGTCTTTGCGCATCAGGGGTTACAATATTGTAGAGGTGACACCACGTGAGAAGAGGTCCTTCAGTTCGCTTGTTGAGTTCGACTGGCCAATGTCAATAACATACTCGTACCCCGAAGCTTATACCAGTCGGGCAAAAGCTCTGACTAGCTCAGTATCCAGGAGAGTGGATGGTCCAACTGTCACTCTTCTAATGACGTGCCCAGACTTCATGGAGGAATTCCAGGCTTCAATCAGCTAGCCACAAACGCTGAACTCATTACTCCCTAGCTTTTCGTTGTCTGTATAAACTTTGGCGAAGCCGTCAACAAGATTGTGGCCCCCTTTGCTTATCAACCTTTTGCGAAGCACTCAAAAGTCTCCATTCACGGCCTCATCGAACGTGCACTTCACGCTGCTGGCTGAATGTTCAACATGGCGTTCACAACTTGACAGGCCGGAACTTCACGAGACATCAGCCCCTTGATGTCTGTGCCTTTTGACGGCCGGCCACGAGGACTGCCATCTTGTTGCTGCATAACCACGACATTATTTGCCTTAGGCTTTTCTTGCATTAGGGATAATTTATACAGCCTGGTGCGAGGCCCTCCACAAGATTGCGCACCCCACCTGGCAGCGGCTCCCAATCTTTCCCTCATCAACCGCCTTATACGACTTACTGCGCTGAAGAGCTTTCTTTCTTCATTCGACGGCCTTACAGCTGCTACCAAAGGTTGACATACTAAACTAGAGCCTCAAATGCTGTCAAGACATTGCAATCATATATTGAATCTCCTGTCAACGGAGAGTGCCCTGTAAGTGTCGTACACTTCCTGGGCTGGCCAGGCTTTATGAAGATATACACAGGTAGTCCCTTCAAGTTTTGAGGGTCTGAACAAGATTCCCTTCACTTTTTCCCCTGCTTCCTGCTTTGATCCGTTCTTACAGTTTACCATACTGGACCATGAGGTCATCTCTGGCTGACCTCCAGTTTGCGCTGGTGATCCTCCTGCCATTGCTAGACGTGCAACTATGTCTGGCGAGCCCCCGAAAGGCAGTTCATGCCCCACGTTATATCGCAACACACTCTGGGAATTTTTCAGGTACTAGTGTTGGACCTTTAGGTATAAGCACGTCTGCGAGCACGAGCGCAAGCACTACAGCAAACACAACCTCAACCACGACATCAGTTCAGAGCACCACCACCTTACTTTTCAACAGTACCACCACCACTGAGGCAAGTAGGCAGGCCAACCCTTCATCTACAAGCACCATTGCGACGACTTCAATCTTAAAGAACCACGATGCGTGGGGCGATTGGGTAAACTCATCCCCAACGTCAAACCACCATCCGTCGGGTGAAGATGGACCCTCCGCTCAAGGAGGAGGCTGGCGACCCGATCGAGGCGATAACTCGGGTGCTTCAGGAGGAGGCTGGAGACCCCATCAAGGCGACAACTTGGGTGCTTCGGGTACAGATAACAGCCGTCCTGGAGATACTCCTCCACAACCCGGTGGCAATGGACAACATGGTTGGACAGGGTCGTCTTGGGGCGGCTATCAAAACTCCACCACAGGAGACAACACCACAAGCGACGGAAACTGGTATGGCGAAAACGACGGTGTCCCTGCTCTGACGGAAGAGGATATCCTCTTCATCATCTCCGAACGCGCCCTCGCCTACGCTGGTTTCCCAGACTCGGACGGTTCTACATGGCCTATAAACGACTCCGTGGTCATAACGAAGAGACAGACCACAGGCGACTTCGACCCGAGCAAGTTCGGTGGACCAAATACTCTACAGAAGTGGAATGATCTAGCAATGGACGAATGGCTGGAGTTGTACGTCGCTAAGGTCGACATACCCGGGCAGCCGGGTAAGAAACTCGCCAACAGTACCAACTTCTTCCGTGATTTTTGGTTGTCCACGGTGAGTGCGAATCCAAAACCCCAGAGCCTATATCAGCCTACATCCTAACGAGAAAAATTACCACAGGGCGAGGAGAACATAGTCCTATGCACCAGCCTTCTAAGCGAGTGTAATGTGGCCGATATCTCGGACGAGAAGCGCTTTAAGAACATTAGCCGTGAGGATGCTTACCGTGCTCAATTTGTTCGCCAAGTCATGAAAGTATGGCAGTCCTCGAACAGCCAGGCATACCGGGTATGTTCAAAATATATCATATTCTACTGTTTTACTATCGGATGATGGTCGGGTAGCTAACTCACTGGAAACCTCTCTCTAGATCTTGTATGACACAGTGACATCTGATCAGCTTAAGGTCACCACGTCACACAACGTGCTTGTCCAAGGTACTCCTCCGCCGAGCACGAATATTTTCGATGTCATTGTTCCCGCCATCGCATTCCTGGGGGCATTTGTACCTGTTCTGGCGCCCGTGGCCGGTTTGGTCTCGGGGATCTACGCGGTCGGTAAAGCAGTCACCAAGCGCGAGAACGTCGTGGAAAATGTGATCTGGGAGGAACCTCGGATGAATTCTAGCGATGCATTCGAGACCCTCCAGAAACGAGATGATGAGCAGACCGCCGCGATAAGCGATCTCCTTGACCGTGTCCATAAGCTAGAAAACAAGCCACCGAAAACGTGGCTCGACCAGGCAAAGGATCCACAACAAATCGGCAAGGGCTTAGAGGCCGCAGCGTAAGTACCTCATCATGACGATCAATGAGGTATCGTTGGACAGTCGATTAAAAAAAAATAGCTAACTGTGAGCACAGTAAGATCTATCTGGCCATCAAGGGATTGAACCCAAGCCTTCCCTCGTCTAGCATTTCATCCTGGGATTTCTTCGATCAAAAAGTGCTAGAAACACTACAAGTGTTCCCCAAGAATATTCTGACCGCCTTCGAACTGAACGTCAAGACTTACTGGCCACAGCAGACCACAAAGAAAGATGGGACTACGATCCTCTCTAGTGGGATGAGACCATTCCTCCTAGGTGGCACTTGGTCGTTGGCCGAAGCTCATACGGAGGAGCCTTCCGCGACCATGGCTAAAGTCAAGAAGTATCTAGATGCTGTTATATTTATGCAGTACGTCCAGCAGCAAGCAGTAAGTGATCCTGCCCTCAAGACTTGGAGACCAGGAGAGAGAAATTGTTGTCCTGACCTACGTGGTGTAGTTCTACTACTGGGTCCAGAACTTCCCTAGCGCCTCGGCCTGTACCGCGGCGCGAGACGATGCCGTCGACAGGAATTGGCTTGCGAAGGATGGCTGGTACAACTGCGAACAGCTTGCCACTGGGCAGTACCAGCTTCAGTACACTCGGAAGCCTACGACGAATCGCGGCCGCGCAGACGCGAATACCTATACAGAATATGACCCATTTGGCGACATCGTCGCCCTCGAGCCTGCGCCTGAGTTCCGCGCCGGATTTTGTTGGGTGCAGCAACGTTCTGGCAACGCTTTCCGTGACAACGGTTTCCAGCAGAACACTGCGGGTTTGAACAAGTGGAACGACGGGATCCTCGGCGAGCTACTTTACGACTTCAAGATGAGCGACGTTTTCGGCGCCTCACGGGCCTGCCAGGCCGCAATGGGCGACCCGTTCACCCAAAACAAGTCGCCGCGAAACGCATTCTACCCATCCTTGCGCGTAGAAGAAAACCCCCCTTCAGATGGCGGTGACGGCGAGATACTCAGTGGGAAGCTTCCCCTGTGTCTCTTCAATCTCCCCATCTTCGAAGTCGGTCGCTCAGACCTCGACGCCTGGTGCAACAATCACATCGGCTCCATCTCACGGGACAGGTGGACTAAAGATGATGACAGCTGTGGCGAGAAGCTCGAGCTATGGGCCATCCAGTCCGACACGAAGCTGTGTGGTTCCAACCAAGGCTCTTACTATCCGAAGCGCAGCTCCCGACCTGGTTGTTCGCTGCATGAGCGTGGTGTCAACATTGCGTCCTGCAAGGACTATCAGGACATCTAGTCAAACGTACATTGATGTTCCAGGCAATGCTTTGAGAAAACCGAGAATCTTGCCCTAAAGGAGCATTTGGAAGCACTCTTACGCCTCACGATTTTTGCCACTACCCAAAGCATCGGACTTTTGACTTCTTTTCATTGGCAGTATTGCTGCCTCGCTGTGGCCGATAATACCACGTCTCAGGCTATCGGCTAAGTCGAGCATATTATTATGGCTCAACCACGACTAAATATGTCTCGCCTGAGGAGGGTAACCGTGGCTAGGTAATTTGCGGCGAGCCAGTATTTGTGCCTTTGGCGATTAGATTGTACCTCGATTCCCCTTTGATAGTAAGATAGGAATAGTCCTTCAGTTCGCTCCACCGTCGCGCACCGAGCCATGCAAAGGTTTTACTGGCAAGCGAGATCTCCTGGGGGGCGTCCATGGAGGAGAATGCGAATATATACCGCGAATAGATACATTTGCAGAAGGGTAGGGACCAGATCAACCAACCACCTTGGTATCCTTGCAAGAAATACCATGACGTCTCTGTTCGTCGTAGATCATTGGATAATCATCAACCATGGTCTATCACGACACATGTGTCGGCCTCGTCAAAATCCTCAGACCAGTGGCATGACGTGAGGCACAAGTGTAAGTCAGCCCATCGACCACAAAAGCTTCATTCATATTGAGAAGTAGCTGCAGCCTGAAGGAGGAATGCAATTATGTGAGTGTCGGTACGAGTCTCTACAGCGTACGAGCAAAAAGGCCGACCCATCGCGTAGCTATTTTTTCCTTGATCGTTAGTCAACTGCGTCTCTAACCTGTGCTCAAAGATGAATGGAAAAAGACTCACATGTGCATCTGACCACGTTCAAGAATAAATTCCACCTTGTTCCCAGCCAGCTTTGATCTCCTGGCCCAAGTGAGAGAGTCCGGCAGTAGAACTTCCGCTGTCCCAGCCAATATCAGCTGGGGAGGTAGAGAATGGAGATTGTCAAAAACCGGAGACACTCGAGGGTCATTCGCCTTCATACCCTCAGGCAGGAACGAGTTGACCAAGATGGGGTTATCTTGGCTGAAGGTGATGAGAAAATCCGTGGCCATGGCAGGAGAATGAAGAGCATGAGCCATCTCAAGATCAACCCAAGGTGAGATTAAAATTATTCCGCCTGGTGCTGACAATCCTTGTCGCCGTATCTCCAAAGCAGACATGGCTGTGAGGCCCCCACCGGCCGAGTCACCTCCAAAAACAATGAGTGCAGGGTTGACATGAAAATCTTCGACCAGGGAACGGTAAACGTTGACGAAATCATTGCGGCATGCGGGGAATTTGGCTTCATCTATCAGTCCTGTGGAGATTGTCAATACATCGTCCATCACTTGTTGGAGGTCAGGGGAAAGGGGTGATGTTATTCCATGTATAGACCCACTGTAATCAACTGATACGACTACCAACTTCAAGCCTTGTTCTTTTGCTCGCCTTATCCATCGTTCATAAGTCTCAATATACATTAGAGGTTCTCCAAAGGCGTAACCCCCTCCATGGGCATAGAGAAGGATGAGCGGTTTCTGTTGTTGTCCTTGAGTAGTGATGTCTTGGTGCTTGGATTCCTGTAAGGCGGCAGCTGCATCTCTAGGTATGATGACACAAGGGACTCCCCCCAGCTTCTCATCTGCATATCGACTTTTTTTCAAGTTTAGAGGAGCTTTGAACAATAAATCCCAGAAGTTCGCCAGGAACCCTCCCAGGTAACAACGATACAATTGAGTTCTGAAATCAACAGCTCGACAAGCAAAAGGGAGTAATAGACGATCCAAGAAGACCGAAACCCCAAGAGCGGATGTATGATAGATGCTTCGCACCAGTTTCCATGGTTGTGTCAGGATCAGTCTCAAATGGCTTGGGCGCTGCTGGCGCGGCATTATTCCGATGGGTTTCCAGTATCTGGCTCGAGGGTGGGCATATCAAACAAGCGAGACTGCTAGCACGCTGGCTTGTGAAAAATGTCAATCGTAGGTAAAGTCCAGGTCTGGAGAGAAGCACCATCTAATGCCGTCGAGAGCGGATATAATTAACCGTGGAAGATAGTTCGGTAATGTTTTCCGAAGTGTGTGGCATAAACTCCGATTTATAACATATGAGTACCCCTTTTTGCCACGGAAATCGAATTGCGTGCGGATACAGTGGGGATCTTTCTCCAGACTACCACCTGAATTACACTACCATTCTGAATCTGGGGTAGGTACTTCGCAGGCTCTAGACCCGATAGTTCACGACCTAAGGAAGGTCTGTGTTACATACTTCTTCTTTGCCAAACGCAACCTGTATAGCACCAATTCATTACAAGAGAACAAAAATGACTCGGATTGAAAAGGTAGCTGTAGTTTTCGGGGCCAGCGGTGGGCTGGGAGAGGCGACTGTCGTCAGAGTGGCCCAAGACTACAACGTCGTCGTCGGTTATTACCGAGGAGAGAGCAAAGCTCAAAAGTTGGTGGATGGAATTACAAAAGCAGGTAAGGTTTCGAAGTCCTCACTTGAGAGCTCACTGGGTTCTCTGCCAGACGACTCTCGTGATTTGGTATAAAGATCATCTGTGAATTTTATGTTGGAAGTGTCTCAATTGACAAAGGACTAGGTAGAAAGGCAACCGCCTTACAAGTTGACATGAAGGACTCCGAATCTGTACGACAGTTTTTCATGTCTGCCAAACAAGTCTGGGGTCGTTTGGATTGTATCATTTCTGCGACGGGGCCTCCCATCACTCTTGGGCCACTAGCAGAAGCATCTCCCGACCACTTTAAACGGGTCGTGGAAACCGACATCATTGGATCTTTCAACATCATCAAGCACGGCGTTCCGGTGCTGGAGCCGGCAGCGGCAGCAACGGCAGGGAGTGACGGCTCTTTCCCTTCGATTCTGTTGTTCTTGACTTGCGCGGTACAAAAGACTTTGGACTGGGACGGGTTGAGTTTCATTCCCAAAATGGGCGTCGTGGGGATTGTGAAACAGGCGGCGCGAGAGTTGGGACCAAAGGGTATCAGAGTCAACGGCCTCGCACCGGGGACCATCAATGCGGGTATCGTCTTTGACAGTTTCGCCGCCGACAAGTATGGAGCCGCCGTTTTGGAGAACCAGGGAACCCAGACTCCCATGGGTCGACGAGGCGAGGCCCACGAGATCGCAGAGGTCGCGGCTTTCTTGGTCTCTCCCAAGGCGAGCTACGTCAGCGGTCAAATCATTGGAGTCGATGGAGGTTTCAGTGCGTGAACCAGAAGGTTTTTCGTGTGAATTCCATCCAGGTAGAGGATGGCTACATCAGATGGAACTGATCAGTATGGGAGAAGAAACTTGGACCAAAGGTCAGAAAAGAATGTGTTCAAGAGTGAAGCATGAGGCCCTGGGGAATAATATATACACGGGCCACGAGGTTTCTACCTCAAGATGACCGACACATAGTAGATGCAACGTGATCACCCCGAGTCTTATATTTCAAGTGTAAGAGATTTTAACAATATGACTGGAAACTTAGGGGAGAGACGAAAGAAAGGAGAAGCCCTTGAGCGCCCCCACATATGTGAATACCACTCCTTCATTACCCATAACACCTTCTAATGCCATCCATTTTCCACATCATTTACCCCTGCTGTGACTTTTTTTTGCTGCCCCGACGGGTCCAATATCTAGCTAGCTCTCTAGAAATGGTCTGAAGCCGACGTAGTTACTGTCGACAACTTTCTGGAGCTCCTCCCTGAATTTCCTGAGCCCTCCAAAGTAGAATCTGATGGCGAGGGTTTTTCCAGGCACATTTGCCCCAAAGATCCAAGATGCCGTTTCCTTAAAGAGGCTTCCCTCGACGCTCTTCTCGCAAACCCCATTCCAGTCAGATTCGGCCTTCATGGTGGTCTCTACCACCACCTTTTTCTGCTCTCCAGTCTTGGAAGCTGCTGCTGCCGCCTCTTCGGCCTGCTTGATGGCTTCTGTGATGAACTCGACATGGACCTCGATCGCGCTAGGGATGTTGCAAAAGGGGCCTTGCGGTCCGGTGATCATGAACATGTTTGGGAAGTTTGCCACGCTCACGCCCAGGTAACTCGTCGGTCCGTGGCTCCAATGATCTTTCAGGGTCTCACCGTTCTTACCCTGGATTCTGACCCTGCTATAGTTGCCATCGACGGCATCGAACCCTGTCGCCATGATGATGACATCCAATTCGTGAACCTTGCCGCCAGTGGTGACTATGCCCTCGCCGGTGACGGCGGTGATGGGCGTCTCTTTCAAATCGACGATCGAGACGTGGTCCCGGTTGAACTGCTTGTAATAGCCACTGTCACAAAGTGGCCTTCGTGCATAGTGGTCATAGGGTTGTAGCTTGCGCGCCTTTTCCGGATCTTTGACAATCTGTGCAATCTTCTTTCTGATGAACGCACAAGCTGCTGCATTGGCATTTTTGTTTGTGGAAACCTATTCATAAGATAGAAAGTTAGCTGTGCTTCCCTCAAAATCATGGAGAATCGTTGACAAAGGTACACAGAAAGTGATGCGGTGATGACTAACATCGTTGAATCCTCCACCCATGAATCGGAATCCATTACCCTGACTCCAAAGGCTTTCAAAAATTGTTTCTTGCTCTTCGGGTGTGTAGGAATCGAAGGACCGATCAGATTCTTCAAAGCCCATGGCATATAGAGACTTCCTCGATTGCTCCATGAGTTGGTCGTACTTGGCGTTGACTTTCGCGCGGTACTCGGCTGTAACAGGTGCGTCCCCGCTCGGTACGGTGTACTGTGGATGGCGCTGGAAGCACACAAGTTCTTTGACGTATTTTGCAATCTCTGTAATCACTTGAACTCCCGTCGAGCCGCAACCGATGACTCCGACGCGTTTACCTTTAAGGTCGATGTCGTTGTTCCAGGCCGCAGTGTGGCAAAGGGTTCCTTTGAATGTGTTCAACCCTGGAATGTCTGGGAAATTGGGTCGGGATAACAATCCAAGCGCGGTGATGAGATAGGTGGCTTTTACTGTAGCCCCAGTACTCAGCTGAATATCCCACAATTTCTCTGATTCGATCCATTGCGCCGACAGTAACTCGGTATTGAAGAGCATATGCTTGCGCAGGTCGTGGCGCTCGACCACATGTTCCAGATACTTGAGAACATCAGGCCCTTGTACATAACGGTGTGACCAGGGGTAAGTTTGCAGGTCTTCCTTGTCCCAAGAGAACCGATAGACCTCGCTGTAACTGTCGCTCATGGCACCGGGGTACCGGTTATAGTACCAGGTTCCCCCTACATCACCTGCCATGTCAATGACTTTGACACTCAGGCCTAGTTGAAGCAAGGAATACAGCTGGTAGATCCCGCCAAATCCTGCTCCAACTACCAAAGCATCGACGCGGTCGGGGGGACTCTGAGAGACCATGTTCGTTTGATTTTGTGTGCCAGAGCAGACTCAGAACTAGATGAGTTACTAGAGGGCGGTGAATGCAGATAATGTCAGAGACGTTAACAAGAGGCTGCAGCAGTGACCAGAAAAGACGGCATTGTCCTATACTAAAAAGTGCCAGCAGGAATGGGTCCATTTTGTATCAGCCGAATGAAGCCTCTTACAAGAGGCCACTGTTGTCGGGGAAAGACTTCCGTGGAATTCGATCTAACTTTGGGATCTGTAGCAAAAGCTCCGGCCACTACCACCACTCTTCCTCGAATGAGGGTGGTTCGTAGCCAATTTTGCAGCCTCTCGGGTCAGGATAATTTCATGGCTCAAAAATTCGATTGTATTCTCATCGGGTGCCGCGAGGGCTCCGCCATTCGGGTGTTCTTAGCCGTTCGGCATGTTCTTGAAACTGAAGAAAGGTAAATTGCCCAATACTGGAGGGTATTCTTATTAGCGCCAGTGACAATGTCCACTCTCACACAGTATCCTCAAGCGTCGACCCTTATGCAGAGTCATTCCTAATCCGGAACCCTTTTTGGCCTGGAACTTGGACAGCTTGGAGTTTGTTGTTGGCATCGATCACACCAAACTTGTGCAGAAGCCGAGGCCAATGTTGCTAAGCTGCAAAGCGTCATTGAGCATCGCATACAGATCGATGAGCTTCATCTCATTGATGCTATGAGTGATTTCCAGCTTGTAGTGTTGGTGATGACAAGTCATGGGCGAACACTCACATACTCCATACTCCATACTCCATATTTGGATACCCGCTTTCAGGCAAGGCTACGCTTAAGTAAGCCCGCAACTCGTGCCCTAAAATTATTGTCATTTCAAATCGTTCCCCAATGTCGGCCGGTCTTTTGAACGTGCTTGGCGTACGTGAGAAACAGCCGCGCCTTACTCAGGTACCTGAAGTGGGATGGAAAGCGCAGACAAGGCTCACTTCATATTGCATTGCGACAACAGGATGACTTGTTGAAGCCACAATCTCTCAATATCAGACATCACTCTTTCCCTCTGTTCCTTCGATCGCTATCAAAGCGTCATGCCTGTGAGTACCGTCGGTGCCACTATTAGCAACTCTGAACTTATGACATGGCGCAGGCCTACCACTCCATCTTCTTGGGCGACCAGGGCGTTCAAACGATAGGTATACTTTGTTGCTCGCTTTACCCCATGTCCATCCGCTTGTTCTAATACAAAGGTCTCTGTTCAGGCAACTTTCCTCTGCTACCCCTACGCACGAAGACCCGGGGCCCGGCCTATACACTCCCTCAACTACCCCCGAGCGTCAATCCACTCGATGTCGACCCGGACTCGGAGTCATACGACTGCCTCGACGAGATCTTGTCTTTGTTCCGCGCAAATACCTTCTTCCGCAACTTTGAGATCAAAGGCCCCGCCGATCGCATGCTGATCTACGGCATCCTCTTCGTCTCAGACTGTCTCACCAAGATCAAGCCCAACATGGACACTCGGAGTGCAGAGAAGGCCCTCATCAACGGTGCCTTGGAACAATTCAGCATCCCGGGCGAGCCAGGTTTCCCGCTGAACCAAGCATTCGAAGCTCCCAGGGACAGGAACGAGGCGGAAGCACTCCGAAGTTATCTCAGTCAAGTCAGGCAGGAGTTGGCCATAAGACTACACGCTAGAATGTACGACGGTGGAGCGACGACTCCGAGTAAATGGTGGCTGAGTTTTACAAAGCGGAAATTCATGGGGAAGAGCTTATAGTGTTTTCATTACGAGTTCGTCCATAAGATAGAGCAGCTGGCCTGTCTGGTCACCGAATGAAGTCATGAAATACCAACTTTCCCTTACCAGGGGCTCCACAGACCCAGCGAAATTCCTTTCAAGCTCAAGCTGAAAGAGGTGCTTGGTATTGGAGTCTCACCGAACTCTTTACACTTTCGAGTCGGCCTCTGACCGCAAGGGCGCAGTAGGTGCTTCGACTGTCTCGTCAAGGTTATTTCCAACTTCCGTCTTTTGCTTCTTAAGCGGCGACTGTGGCAGGTCATCAACAGTCGAAAGTGGAGTTTCAGGCGTATCGGTTTTGACTTTCTTCCCTCGTGGCGGCCGTCCTCTGGCCTCGACCCTCCCTTGCGCAGGTAACACTCTCGTAGCCGTAAAGATGTACCCTTCTGCTCCACCCCGGCTTGTCATTAGCGGATGCGTTCGGCCTGGCAAGACCTGCCAATGTTTGACCCGTGCTGTCTGCACCATCGGTGCCAGCAACAGTGATGGATCAACAGGATAATCATCGGAAGGTATCTGCCGCTGATCCTCCGGTAATTGTTGATATGCCGCCCGTCTCGCTGTCGAGTAGGAGTCGGCGAGTTTGACTAACGGCTCGATGGCCTGCGAATAAACCACGACCTGAGCACCGCCTCCCAGAAGAGGGACCAGATGTCGAAGAATGGACGTCGGGTCAGTGTGGCTCGCCACTATGAGACCATTAAAGCCGCCCTGTCTGGTATCGTCTATGACCGTTTTGACCCTCTGCCAGCGCCGGCGTTTGCGGTAGTAGGCACTTCGCTTGTTTGACTTTGCCTTTGCAAGGTCTTCTGCGGCGACGACCTCGGGTTCTTGGTAGGTGATGTCTGACTCTGGATCTATGAGTTGTAGCCAGGAGAGGGTTTTGAGGTTAGTGTACAGCGGATGAGAATTCGTCGGGTTGTTGGAGTCGAAATTAAAATATCTTAAAAGGGCGAGGTTCGGTTGCTGATTGGCATGAACTACCGTGATGTGGTTGGAGGTCGCGCTCATGGCGTCAAGTCGGTATTGTTGCTTCCTGGGCTTGTGAGGAAGTGTGGTTTGTGTCTGTGTCTGTTGTTCACGGTCGGGTTTGCGGTCAACATCATCATCGTCATCACCATCGTTATCATCCGCATCACTGACTTCTACTCCTCCGTAATTGGTCTGATGCAAAATTCCCATTCTCTCGGCCATCGCGGCGACCACCATACCGCCCGTATCGTCCACCACGAGGTACCGTGATGAGGGCTGGCCTTCAGGTAGAAAATCTTCTTCTTGTCCGCTGGCGTGGACATTGGCCCAGCAACCCACCAATCCTACGGCCTCATTTCTCATCTCCAACACCCTTGCAAAATCCCGATCGGCCATCATCCAGTCCACCATCCTAGAGACGTCCAAGGGTAACACACAGAAGCGTTTCATGAACTTTTTGTGCTTACGCAAAGTGTACTTGGCCAGAGAAAAGGCGGTCTTCTGGTCGAGGGTGGAGTGAGATTGCATGATCTTCTCGATCAATTCCTTACCACTTCCCATGTCGCTCTGCTTGAGTGCTTCGATCTCGGCCATTGTCAATTTCTGGTTCGTAGGATCATCGTGTGTGTTGACGTTAGACTTCGGCGTCGTCCCTTGAGCTGGAGTCTCGTCTCCGGGGGTGGGGGTGGACCCATCTTCTATTTCCGCCTGCTCGACGAGGGCAACGGCGTGCAGTTCAGCGGCCGGGACGATCCTTAGCTGCCTGCCGTCTTTGGTGGTCTCGGAGCGGTCGAGAATCTCAAAGGTCAAGTGGTACGGACGACCAATGATCTGGTTGGCATGAAATGATCCATATTTGCCGAGGTTTATGAGGCTGGTACAGAGTCAGCGACAGCTCACAAAAGCCGTTGGCTGATATCCGTCTCGGCTCAAAGATTACGGTGCTTTTTTGTTCAAGAACCTACGTATTGGGGAGTATTTGTTCGATCCTCATCTGATCAGATGGCAATCGGAGAGCCACATACTGAAATGGCTCGATGGTGCGAAATGCCATAGTGAAGGGTCGCCAACGAGTCTTTGTCACCGAGTCATGTTGCGTGCTGCATGCTTTGTTTTATCAACGTCCAAATTTCTCAAGTAAATTTTTGGACTGAAAATTGTCTATCATCTGCACTCGAAAGAATTATTGCTCCGCACTACGACAACCTACTACGGTGGAACATATGAACACTAGGCATGAGGCTGCTTTTATGACACGACAGCCTCGTTCATAACTTGCTGGGACCAGGTCGAGAGCCTCATCGAATTTAGTATTTCCAAATCTAGGTAATCAGCTGCATACTGGGCCTTGAGATGATTCTGGATGTTCAAAAACCCATCAGCCTAATCCGTCACGGAAATACACACCGTGCACTATTTAGTGAAAGTATCTTCGGTTTGAGAGACGTTGACCTCGGGGCATTTCCCAACACCATCTCATTTGCTGCTTTACATACCGACCGTGTTCACACTGACGACACAAGCCACAAGGGAGCCTGTTCTCTCGATGGCCTCGTGACCAGTAACTGGACGTTTTCCAGCCACAAAAACAGGGACAAAGCGCCTCGCTAGAGCGTGACGTCACATGCAAACAATGGTTCACAGGGTACGAAAGTAAGCGATGAGATGGACTGTACCCGCGTGCAGGAGGATGATACAAATGGTGATGATTGTGACGCAGAAGAAGGGTAAAGAATGAAATATATATTGCTAGGTGCCAACGGATCTTCTTGATCTCATTTGCCTCACTGACCCCTTGCCATTTCCTAATACTCCCCAACAATCTATTTCCCCCGCTACTACCATCAATCCAAAGACCTACCAACATGTCGGATATTGCGAAAGGCGTCGGCAACTTGTTTGCGGCTGTCTTCGACATCATCAAAGGCATCTTTACCACCATCTTGAACGTCATTTCAGGCGCCATCAACGCTGCCGTTGGTCTCGTCAAGAACGTATTCAACATGGCGGAAGGTGTTGTCGGCTTCATAATCGGTAAGTTCAGGACCTCCATTTCTTCAAGGAGGACTCGGGCTGACATGTCTAGGCAACATATTCATCATTGGCACATTGTGCGCAGTGTATTTCGGTTACCAATTGTATCAACAGCGCCAGGGCAGGAATCCGGCCCCGATCTCGCGTGTCGCGACGAAGAAAACCAATTAGGAGAGATGCTAGAGGATCAGTTGAGAGCCAGGTGTCCTCAGGGACAAGGGGCGTGTATAGCACAACATGGGAAATGCCTTGTGATGGCATCTCAAATGGCAGGACATGGCGCTGGCCGGGACGTCGCTAGTGTTGGACTAGGAATCGCGACACGGGAAGGCAGCGTCAACGGATAAATTCGGTAATGGGCTTTTTATTTTTGCTCAAGTACTCGTAGTTTAGAAGAAGAATCTGATATAGCCGAATATGACACACGAAGAGATGTTATTGCGAAAATTGCAGTGTTTCAAGATCACTCTCATACCATCCAGAAACAGATGAAGAGCCTCGGATCTGCCAAGCCCGTTGTGCCGAGGTCCAAGTTAAAGTGAGTCTTCCACGGTTTTTGTCGCGTTGTGACAGCATCAACCAGCAACGTCTCACTCTCGCATGCTTCCGAATTCTCCCTTGTTTTCTCCATCTCCAATCGGCACATGCGTCAATCGCTGAGAGGCTACAAGAGCGGGCAACCTCGTTTAACGTGACAGCTTTTCGGTTTTCTCCTCATCATCCCCTGATTTCCTTTGATTCTTCTCCTGCTCAAGGTCTGCACTGACAACGTATCGGAGTCGCCGTATTGATATATTCAACTCTGTAAAACAATGTCACAGAACAAGAACATCGCCCCAACGCCCACCGAGGGCGACCTCGACCGCCCGTCGTCCTCCTCCGTTACACCCGCGACGTCCGCTGCGCAACAAAGCGACAACATCGCCCATGCGTTGGCCGGCGCAGGTGGTGGCCTGCTGGCCATGACCTTGACGTACCCTCTGATCACGCTCTCCACACGCGCCCAAGTCGAGTCTAAACGAGCAGACACATCTACCCTCGCGGCCGTGCGACACATCATCAACCGCGAAGGCGTCAGCGGGCTCTACGCCGGTCTTGACAGCGCCTTGTTCGGTATCTCGGTCACGAACTTTGTTTATTACTATTGGTACGAGTGGACCAGATCGAGTTTTGAGAAGGCCGCTTTGAAAGCCGGACGTGCCAGCAAGAAACTCACGACGGTGGAGAGCATGATCGCCGGAGCAATCGCGGGCTCGGCGACTGTCCTGCTCACAAATCCCATCTGGGTTGTCAATACGAGGATGACGGCTCGAAAGAACGAAGAAAGTGAAGGCGAGTTGCCGGGTGGGGAAAAGAAACCGATAAAGAAGCCCAGTACCATCGGTACTCTGATGAAGTTACTGAAGGAAGAGGGCCCTCGTGCCCTGTTCGCTGGCGTCCTACCGGCACTGGTGTTGGTCATCAACCCAATCCTCCAATACACCATCTATGAACAATTGAAGAATGTGCTGGAGAAGAGGAGGAAGGTGGGACCAAGGGATGCATTCTATCTCGGGGCTTTGGGCAAGCTCCTTGCCACCACTATAACCTATCCATACATCACCGTCAAGGCGAGGGCCCACGTGGCTACCCAGGATCAGCCTCACGAGGGAATGTGGAAGAGCTTGAACAAGATCGTAAAGGACGAGGGTTGGAGTGGATTGTACAAGGGTAAGACCTCCATTCTTCTTCTTCTTCGGCCGCACTGCTAACCGCGCGATCAGGAATTACCCCCAAGGTCAGCCAGAGTGTCTTGACGGCTGCCTTCCTCTTTGCCTTTAAGGACGTCTTGTATGAGATGACGGTTGCAGCCAGGCGGAAAACAAGAGCCGTCAAGGCATAAAGTGTTATCGACTACCGTATCCACCATACGGCGCTCAGGATCTTCACGCTTGACGCCAACAAGCATTCGTAACATGTGGCTATGGACCGTGCGATGATTGTACAGAAGAGTTTGACAATTAAAAAGGAAAAGGGGGTATCTCTAAAGGCTTACAGTCTGAGATCATGACGCGACGTGGGTAAGTACTTGGAAGGCATTGCTCGCAATGTAAAGCAATATATGCACAAACCAGAACCAAGAAGCGTGCTGCTTACGGCATCACTATACTTGGGTTGGACATTTAGTTTCTGGCAATTTGTTTAGTGGTGTAAGATATAGAAAGACAATTAAGAAATGAAACATGTAGCAGAGTGCAAGACCGATCCTGAAGCTGGTTGAATATCTACAGTATTGCATAGAGAGAGTACTCCGTATGAAGGGGTTCTTTTAATGGCTGCCCAACTCGCTGGTATCTGTTCCGACATCCCGAATCTCGATTATTAATGATCAATTAGGTCAGCAAACATGTCTAGGGGTCGAAGTGACTTGTGAAGAGAATTATGCATAAACTGCACGATGAGATCAAGATGATTGGATACTCGTACCAGCATCATCGCGGCCTCGTGCTGAATTCATGCTCTTGGACTCAAATTGTGTAGAGGGCAACATGGACGTATCCAGCGTGGTCAATACCCAGCATATCTCTATTCCGCACCTATAAGTAAGTCAAGTCATTCAAGTCAGGAGCTTCAGCATCTTCTCGGCCGACACTGTCCTGTATGTGCATTTTGTTCCGCACGCACTTTGACAGAATAAGAAGAGGTCGTAACCCCAAATATTTTGGTTTTGCACCATCTCCGCCGAGTTTCATTGTAGTGTGCACGTCAACATGGGGAAGCACCTTTTGGTTCTAGGTGCCACAGGTATGAAGTCCACGGGCGGAAAGTACAGACCTGTTGTTCCCAGTACACTCACGATATTAAAACAGGTCCGTCTGGGCTGGATTTCTGTGACGCCGCTCTGGAGAGTGGACACAGCCTCACCGTCTACGCCCGCAACCCGAGTAAACTGCCAGGTCGAATTGCGAAGAACCCCAACGTCGCCGTCATCCAAGGCCAATTCGACGACGTGGAAGGGTTGCGGAATGCAGCCTCGTGCGGAGCGGACGCATGTGTATCCTTTCTCGGACCCATGATACCATCTTGGGGTGGAAGCGTATGACTTGCCTTTATTTTTTCTTGCGTCTTTTTCTCCTTCTTGCCCATCGCAGCCGCGCGGTCGCGCACTTACTGATAGATCTCTTCCTTTTGTTGACAATGACTTTTTTTTCTAGCACCTCGTCGACGGTTACAAGATCCTCATCCCGTTATTGATCGAGCACGATGTCCAACGGGCCCTCTTCCTCTCGACTCCTTCGTACGTGGTCGCCAAGGACCATTGGTCGTTGGCTTGGTACCTTGCGACTGGAATTGTCTGGCTACTCTTCAACAGTGCTTGGCATGATGTCGTGGACTGCAGTGAGTACGTCGCGAGTCAACCGACGGACAAGCTGAGGTGGACTTTGTTCCGGCTGCCAAACCTCAAGAGCGGACCTGCAGGACCGGCCAAGACGGCATTCAGAGGTGACGGGAACGATGGGTGGAATTTGGACCGCAAGACGCTCGCCATATGGGTGCTGAACGAGATCGAGCAGGAGAAGTGGGTGGGAGAGGCGCCGATTGTTTTCAATGCTTGAGGTAGAACTCTTGAGAGCTTTCGAACTTCAAGCATGTTTTGGCCGGCGGGAAAGCGATAGATAAGCGTAGGGTGGTATTCATGAATGATATCGGGGTTTTGGTCTGCACGGCCCTCGAGGAATCTTCATATGTCAGTTCCCTGTGGACCATATCTCGCATGAACCGACGAGCCTGGCTGGTGGGTTTGGTGGAGATTGGACCTTTTACTCCGTGCGTTCATGTTCGTGTAGTCTGATGAGGTACAAGAGTTTGTGTGTTCACCTAATCATGATGAAGTAGAGTGCTTGGATTCCTAGGGATCCTCGGTTCACGGCATACAAGTGCCGTCCAGTATCATTCGTGCACGAGATATCTCCATAGTAATTGTTACCGAGTAAGGTAGTGACAGACCTTTTGCCATTGGGAGTGGATTGGATAGAGATTCGGCCCCATCATTTGACTCGGCTGTTTTCCACGAAGCGAAGCGAGATAGCGTGTACATGGAGTACCGCATGCTGCTTGTATACGGAATACGGAGTATCGTTGTACCTATTATTAGTGGCTGGAAGTACGCGAGGAAGATACATATTGGAGTCTTCGTTTAGTATTTCGTATCAGACAATATTTGCGGTGTGTGGATCCACCTCAAGGACGGAGTATTCCATACCCATTACACACTCGCAAAGCTAGTAAACAGTGCGTACTGTACTGATATCTCAGGGTTCTCTTATCTCTCGGCCTTTGTTGCATTTTGGAACGATCGATCCTCATTTGCATGACCTGAGATTTTCTCGCGAAGAGGGGGGGGATTGTTCTAGAATGACGATTTCGTTCCAGAGAGTGATCGGATATTCCACGCCACCACAACGACAACAACTTGTTTGTACGAAGTGTCACTAGACATCATGCAAATCTTCCATCGTGCCGGGGATCAAGGCCAGGAATGGTTTAGCACTTTCCTGAATACTACCCATTCTCAGTCTGTCTCCGGGCGAGCCAAGACGGCACCGACGGGAACTTGCAATGCCAAGGATGTGCCAAGACTTCCACCACCGTCAAGCCTTGGTTCCCATCCAATGAAGCCTGGAGAGTTCGGAAGCTTATCACTTGTCAATGCTTGTCACCTTCTGTGTCGAGAGTAGTTGGTGCTTGGCAATGGTGGCGTGTCTGGGGTTTAAAATCATGTTACTCGGTATAAAAATGCACTATAGCGCAGATCCCACACCCGTCGCTCAATAGGGAGCCGTACATTTCATATGCCTATGGAGTAATCTTGCCGTCCCATTATTCAACCGATGGAACGTTGCATCTATTGAGATACCTTCGTGCATTTTGCCATTCGCAATCAAGACCAGCGAAGCCTCGATCCTCTCCAATCTTTTACGAATTGGGACCTCTCGATGGACACCCTCGGCGTCCTCCTGCCAATCGGCTGCCTCATGTGTGGTGGTCAAACTTGTCACACCCAACCACAAGCTTTCATCCTTCGCCGCCAAAAGTACGACCCAAGACATTGCTTGGTCTTATCAAGCGTGGAACACTAAAAAAGCAGGGCTCGTCTTTGATAAGAGTAGAAACTCACGAGAAGAGATACCGCTAACTGCCGCGTGCTTAATCTCCAGAGCGAGCTTGCCAATAGTCTCGTATCCTCCCCAACCGCCACTACCCGCATTCTTTCGCGTGCTGTTGATCCAATGTTACATCGCGGAGAGGGACGACAGACACCGACGGGGGTGAGGCGATTAGACAGGTAGGTCTCCAGACAGGGTCTTTGTTCGCATGGCCTGTACCTCACTCCGTACGACTATTAAAAGAAGGCCATCTCCTCCTTCCCGCAAGGCAGCACCACTTCGCGTTTTCATGCGCCTCCCCGTCCATTGACTTCACCCTCTCCAAACCGTTAACCCCTGCGACCATGGAACATATCGCTCCAGTTACCCATCCAGCCCCCGAGCTGGATGTGGTGACCGAACAGCAGATGCGGAAGTCGTCGGTCGCCCCCACCGACAAGCCCGAGGTCATGGAGCGGACCTGGGGCTTCGCCGCCCGCGTCGACAGCACCGTCACCTACGAGGAGTACTCGTACTGGGCCAAGATCGAGCGCGAGATGGAGGTCGAGGAGAACAGGGTCTACCAGGCCGAACACGGCTCCCCCCTTCTCGACTCGATCAAGAACTCCTTCACCAAGGACGGCCGGGAGAAGAAGAAGGCGGCCAAGGAAGCCCGACTCCAGACCCTCGCCACCATCGAGGAGAAGAAGGGCCCGTCCGGGGTCGTCACTGACGTCGACAACGGCGGCCATCCCGTCCAGTCCGCGTTGAAGGTCTCAGACGCCGAATGGCGCAATGCCGCCCGCGCATTGCGAACTGCCAGTTGGGGTCAGATGTTCTTCCTCATCACCACCGACATTCTCGGTTGGTCAGGCGCACCGTAAGTAGTGTTGCTCGGTCCTCTTTCCCGAGCATCATCAGCGTGTATTATCCCCGACAGCGTCGAGAACTGAGCTGACTGTCGTTCCGCATATAGATTTGTCTTTGCCAGCGTGGGATACGGCACCGGTGTGGCTCTTTACCTCATCTTCGGTATCTTCGCCGCGTGGGGCGGTTGGGTCATCTGGAGAACTTTCCTCGAACTCGACTCTTCTCGCTACCCGATGCAGAGCTTTGGCGATCCCTTTTTGCGCCTGTTCGGTGTGAAGGCTCGCCACTTCATCAACATCGCCCAGTCCCTCCAGCAGTTCTTCACGGTGGCCATTTTGATCTTCAGCAAGGCCCTCAACATTGAGCAGATTGCCCACTCGGGCGTTTGTTTCGTGGCCATGATGGTCGTCATCATGGCCGTCGGGATGCTCGGAGGCTTCATTCGAAGCTTGAGGAAGATTGGATGGATTTCAAACGCCGCCGTGTGGATGAACATTGTGAACTTTATCATCTGGTCAGTTCTTCCCTTTCCCCCCTCTCGTCGACGTGATCCCTTGCTGACCGGGTGTCTTGCAGTATGGTCGCCTGTGTACACTTCGCACCTTACTACCCGGCCATCACAAAGTCGACCCTCATCAAGTCGATCGAGCCCGTCAAGGTCTTTGCCGGGATCCCCCCGGACGCGTACCAACAGCAGTCCCCCGGCTTCGCCGCCACGTTCAACGCCGTCAACACCATGGTCTACGCCTACGCCGGCGCCCTCCTCTTCGTGGCCTTCCTCTCCGAGATGAGACACCCTCTCGACTTCTGGAAGGGCATGTTCATGGCCCAGGCCTTCATCTGCATCGTCTACATGTTCTTCGGCGTGTTCGTCTACTCCTTCTACGGCCAGTACTCGGCCAACAACATCGTCAACGTGGTCAACCCTTACGGCCTCCAGACGGCGGGCAACGTGCTCCGGCTCCTGTCCGGCTGGATCGCCATCATCATGTACTTCAACATCGGCATGAAGACGGTCTACCTCGAGGTCTTCCAGGCCATCTTCAAGTTCCCCTCCATCGTCGAGAAGAAGGGCAAGTTCCTCTGGTACCTCTTGGGCCCTTGCTACTGGATCCTCGCCTTCGTCGTCGCCGGCGCGGTCCCCAACCTCAACGGCATCGTCAGCCTGGTCGGCGCCGTCTTCATGATGAACTTCACCTACACCTTCCCCGGGATGATGTACATCAGCAACATCATCCACAAGGCTGCCGAACTCCCCGGCGAGGGCTTCAACCCGGCCACCCGAGTCACCACCCGGCACGACGACGGCCTGAAGCGCTGGATCAGAGGCTACAAGAAAACCTGGCTCCGAAGCACCGTCGCCTTCGTCTACGTCCTCCTCGGCCTCGCTTGCTGTGGGATGGGTACGTGGGCCGCCATCGAGGGTCTGATTGACGTCTTCGGCCCCGGAGGTACCGTCGCCGTCAGCTTCGGTTGCCCCGTGCCTGTTTAATTTTCGAGGGACAACAAAAACAAGGGGGGTTTCAATTGCCGAGAAAAGGGACGACAGAAGTAGCAGAAGAAGCAACAGCAGAAGCATCATACAAATGTAAACATGGGAGAAAAAAGCCATAGCTAGCTCCCCCTTTCCTGTGGAGTGTGCGTCAATGTCATCGGTTTTAATGATTCAGCTCTCATCATACGAGTAACCCACTTCTCTATTAAGCTCTAATGCATATTTCCCACCTCGCAAGTCCGAGGACCATAGTCCTGAATGAAGGAGTATCCTGTCCTTACTCCCCATGTTCTCTGTTATTCTTAGACTATGCCGTATCTACAGCGCAGGTAAGATGGGCTGTGGACGCTTGACGAAATCCAGATGACCCATTCTCTTCGTCAAGACAATATCCTCCGGTCCCTTTGGGCCCTTTGGGTTCGACGCTAAGAAGTTCATGGGGAACCCAACGTCAAAGGGGTAAGCTGATTCGACGACATCGATCTCAGCTTCGGTCAGCCGAATCTTGAGAGCTTCAATGTTGGCCTTGAGATGTTCCATTTTCCGGCCTCCGATGATGGGAGTCACGTAGGGGGACTTGTGCATGACGTAAGCGAGGGCGATGGACGTCAAAGGGACCGGTGGAGTTCGAGCGTTGGCGACCTTTTCCAAAGCCAGACTGACTTGTTCTTCTTTTCCAGTCAGGATACTCGGGAGGTTCCTACCGCCGTCCCTTTTATCACCGTCGGTCGTGGTACCAGTGCCAGAGTCTCGTGAAGAAGATGTAGACGAAGGCTTGAAATATCCACCACCTAAGGAACCCCAAGGTGCCAACCCCATACCCTCGTCTAGACACATTGGCAGGATGTCCCTTTCGAAATCTCGTTCGGCTGCAGACCAGCGACCCTGGTAAACGCTAAAGGGCCGGAGGCCGTGGTGTCTGGCGTAAGCGTTGGCCTTGACCACCACCCAGGCCGGTGTGTCGCTGACTCCCAGGTACAACACTTTCCCTTGGTTGACGAGGTGGTTGAGACTCTGCATGACCTCCTCGACCCCCGTGGTGAAGTCCCAATAATGGACGTAGAGGATGTCGATGTAACTCGTCTGGAGCTTTTTGAGGGACGCCTCGACGCTCAGAGACAAAGATTTGGTATTGTTGGAACCAAAGTTCGATTGTTGCAATTTTGGGGCAGACACGACCTTGTAGGCCGATGTGTATTTGGTGGCGATGACCATCTCGTCCCTACGAAAGGGATGTCGGGCCATCCATTCACCGATCCAAGTCTCGGATTGTTCACCTTGGTAATTGTTGGCACTGAGAAATAAAGTAAGTACAATCTTCTGAGACCAAAAGAAAATGCACGACTCACGTATCAATGAAATTCCCACCCATTTCATAAAAACAATCCATGATTTCAAATGCAGTTTCTTTACTACACTCTCCCATGATGTTGGTCCATGCTGTCCCAAAGTTCATACCTCCGAGACACAAAGGACTGACGTGGACTCCTGCACTTGGGGAGAGTAACCTGTGCCGACCCAAAAGGGACCTTGGAAGAGGTATTGATGGGGTAGTCATTGTATTGTGGTGCGTGATGGCTTAAACCAGAGGAGATGATCACAGAGAAAAGAGAACTGGTTCAGACGGAGGAAGAAACCCACCCTTTATATAGGTACTCTACCAAATATCCGTAGAGGTTGGACACTGAAAGTCGGCGATTGGGGATCCACCTCCCTTCCTATCACCGGCTTACAGCCTCGATCAGAGCCAGTGCAAAGCTTTCCGGTCTTCTGTTGTACATTTTGTAGGGAGAAACAAGACTCCACGAAGTAATGAGCAACTCCTGAATGGCCGAATGGTTCGAATGGATCGAGGTTTATGGACATTGTGGTGTCACCAAATTGCGGAGATACGGGCTTCGAGCCTTTAACGCCACCAAGGTTGAGGCGGCCGCGTATATCAAAACCCGCGAAACTCTTCCTTTACGAGTAGGGGGATCCTGTCAACGAGAAATCGGCTGTCGGCTTCACAGTAAAATTGGGGGCAGACCGCGGTGGCCCATCAAGATCCTCATGAGAATCAAGCCGTGCAGGTCGAAGGATGAGGAGAGGAGAGACAAGTGAAGCCAATGTGAGTAAGGCTGAGATATTGTAAAGAGTCACTGGACGGAGTACGGACTACTACCTCTCGTCCTCGTACTCGTACTCCGTGATGCACAACAACCCTTCTTGAGCGTCGTGCATCCAGCCACCAACAAGGATACCTCCCATTGGGGCATCTGCACCTTGATCTTTCTTCGCCTGTAACTGTCCCGTATTTTACCGTAACAAGATACTAGAACCGAGTCAGGACGCACTACCGCTGCTTCATGCATAGCTAAAGATCTGTACGATGCACCCAGAAGAAGCAAAAGTCCCATCATCACCACCCATCCTCTCCCCTGCCCCTCCCAAAGGGCATCTTCAGCCGCACGTTCATACCAACCCAGGCACCTACTTATCTCGCCTGTAACCCTGTTACGTACTTTGCTGGCAAAGCTAGCTTAGCTGTGCTATCTTTCGACTCGGCCTTTTGTCATGTTTTTCAGCCTTACTGGAAAAAACATATCTTGTGCCATCTTATTTCAGCCTTTTGATCATCATGACCTTTCACATTCCTATACGGGGTACGACTAGTCTGGCATGTTTTACGCAAGCCGAAGAAATTCTTGGGTCGAGCGCGGACCTGACGGTCGCCTTCGAGAGGCGCGCCACCTGCCGCCGGAGGAGGAGGTGCATCTGCCGCGACGCGGCGAGAAACGGTATGGCAATGACGAGGTGGTAATCGAGGTGCCAGATGCATCATCACCTTCACCGGTGTTCGAAACTCAAGAAGTCCGCTTGCTGAGGCGCAATTTGCCCTCGTTCGGTGAGATCGAACGCCTGCTGGATTTGTACGTTGCCACCGGGGAAGGTCGCGGCGCATACACAAAGGCCGTAAAGACCGTCCAGCAAGAACATCGCAGGCGATACGTCGCGCAATATTATGGCGCCAGCAGCGACGACGGCGAGTACGACGACTTCATCAACTATGGAGGCCCAGGTCCCGGAGGCGGTGGACCACCGGGCTCCACGTACTTCAGAAGAGGACCTTATTACTACGACCGTGAGGGCAACTTCTCCGAACGTGATGAGAGCAGACGAAAGCCCACAGAGTCCGTATACTTGACTCGAACACCTCGTACAAGACGAACAGAGGGACTCTCGGACGATGGCGACAACAGCGACGACTCTCCTCCCGCTAGACCACAGGCACCAAGGCCTTCGGGCGGAGGACCATCCTCTGGCCCTCGAGGGAGCTACGTGATCAATCGAGAAAACTCCCGCAACGTTGAGTCGCCTGCACTGAATATCGACAGAACAATCAGGGCACGGTCGATGCCTCGATCAGAGGTTATGCATGGTGACAATACCGCCGTGACTCCTCCTGGTCCACGCCAGGTGGTTGTTCACCAGGAGGTCCAGGAAACCGTCGAGGAAGACGAACAAATACGTCGCCCCGAGAGGATGGCGGAACGATATCGATCCACACGTCGCAGAATGCAACCAACGGTGCAAGAGGTTTCGGACGAGGACGATAGAGTAAGCCTTCGTTCTTTACCGTCTGAAGAAGATGATTTGCGCCTGTCGACAAATCGCGAGCCTGCGCTGGAGCTTGCCCGTGGGCCTCGAGCACGAAGCCGTCGTATGCAGACTCTAGGGCAGCCAATTTGGGGGCTTCAGTCAACTCAGCGTAGGTCGATGAGAGGTGGTGACCTCCCTGAGTATAACCTAGAGGAGATGTCCGGTCGACAACAACTCAGGCGCAGCCTGCACCTTCGAGGAGGAGGTCCCGTCGCGGCTCCTCCAACAAAGACGGCCGCGGTAGGAGGAGGTGTCGTTGACGACTTTTCGATCGCTTCCAAGACTATTGCGTGAGAACCCCCTTTCGGTCTGCAACGACCCCCGGCTCAGCGCTGACATCAACATAAACAGGTTATACTTCTTTTCTGTGAAGAAGGGGAGGATCATCTCCAGTCGGAAAAAGGAGCTCTATCGCACATTCCGAGAACTTCACCCGACCGAACACTCTTCGGACGTCGCCCAGAGTTCCGACGTGTGGCTTGTCGACAGGCTCAAGGAGCATTACTGGACCATATGCCGGCGTGGACGACGCTCAATCTGGGATCTGACCTCGATGAGGACAATTGGGTTTGCGGTGTTCATTCGGGTACGTTTTTTTTTTTGGTTTCTCTGCCTCAAACTTCCGTCCAGATACCCGGAGTTTTGAATGAGCTTGCGGGATGCTAGGTAATCGACTGGTGACCTTGTGATTAACCATGAACCCAGTTCGAACGCACCGTCAAGAGAGGACACGATCCCGGAAACTACTTTGTCACTGCCAGGGCTCCTGCCATTTCGGCCGAAGGGCAAGAGGCCGTCTCTCACTTTGTGTACATGATGAGGTATCCTCTTCAAAAGTCCAAGATGATGCTGTTCCTCTTGGACAGAATGGCCGGTTCCACCAAGAGAGGCAATGACCACAACACGTTTTACGCCGTCGAGATCAAAGAAACGTTTGACACGAGGTAAGATGATCTTTTTGTCCTTCTTCAAGTGTAGCCACACACTTTTTTTGGACACGGGGACGGAGGCCGTGACTATGGCTGTTCAAAGACCTTATCTACAGAGACTTCTGAACTTCTGAACTGATTTTGCCGTCTCTTCAACGTGTCAACAGCAAGATATACTTCCTCCTCGCCGTTCTCATTCTCGTCAGCACCGCGGCTGGAGTGGTCTATTCGGTCCTGAAATCCGACCCGGGTACCGGTCTCTCGATCGCGAGCTACATCTTGACCTGTCTGTCCCTCATCCTCGCCGTCGTGGTTGCCGGCGAGTGGCTCGGTTTGAGGAAACCCGACGCATTCTCCTTTGCGTACGACTGGGTCGAAAACAGAGTCGTGGGCAAGGACGATCTCGACAGGATCGCTGGTGGGAGACTCAGAACCTATCAAGTACCTTATCTGAGATAACGTAACGCTCATAAACTCACTCCTCAGGGACATTGTGACAAGAAGAGTGTGAAAGTGATTGATGGGATCAATTAGAAATGTGGCATAAGTATATTCATGAACAATATCTAAGTACCACCTTTCTCTGCCTCCATTTTCTCCTTCCTCCTCTTCTTCGCGGCCAGTTCTCTACGCCGTGCTTCCTTTCTGAACCACTCACTCTCCGGGCCTTGATTCTTCTTGTTTTTCCGCTCCTGTTCCCGATACATTGGAGCCATGGTACCACCGCCACTGGCATCGGCCATAGAGACGGCTTGTCTCCTGACTTGAAGTTTCTTCGCGGCAGCTGAGCGGTTACCGGCGCTAAGATGACTCCACATGTTGTCCTCGACTTTTTCGACGTCCGCCTCTGACTCTTGTTGAAGCATAACATGGGCAAGCAGTTCATTTCGCTCGCGAGATGTTGTGTATGCAAGCCCAGGCATCTCACTCATTCCAGCGAGATGGGTAATGGTCTTGAATGCGTAGCCTTGATCAACAAGGAAAGCTTGCCGCTTAGCACTGTAAGCCATTTCCGTGGTGTCCTTCGAGACCAGAGAGTAGAAGAACGCATTGAAACCTTCGTCATTACGTCGCTTGGCCCGTAGGATACGCCCAAGACGTTGCGCCTCTTGACGTCGTGAGCCATAGTGTGAGGAGATCTGAATGAGGCACGTAGCTTCAGGCAAATCAAGTGATGTGTCGCCGATTTTGGACAGAAAAATAGTGTTGATAAGCTCATTGTGCTGGAAATTTTCAAGAATGTTGATTCGTTCCTGGTTGCTCGTGTCGCCATAAATGAAGGGGTTTTTCATCGAGATGGCATAGTGTTTCAATGCAAACAGATTGTCGCTAAAGACAATGATTTTGTCGCCTCGCTTTTCATGATAGTCGATCAGATATTGGCACACTTGGTATTTGACTGGGTTCATAATGTAATATAACGCTTGCTTCCGGGTTGTTTCTTTTTGATATTCTTGGTAGAATTCCATGGACATAGGGCACCAGACTTCAGCGCATTGCACTTTGGCAATATGACCTTGGTCTGCCAACTCCATCCAGTTTGCTTCATAGAGTTTGGGTCCAATGATGAAATTCAGATCTGTGATTTTATCGTCTTCTCGGAGCAAAGTTGCTGTCAATCCAAGTTTGCAGTGGGCACGAACGTTCTCACCAACTTTGCGGAACATCTTCGCAGGCACAACGTGTACTTCGTCGAGAATCATCAGACCCCATTCTTTGCCGTATACCCAATCCATCATTTGCTGGGTATCGTAGGCTCGCTTGCCACCAGCTGTGATCATGGAATAAGTTGTAACCAGCACACCAGATTCACCATTGAAGCGCCTCTTTTCGGAGGCGGAGAAGACAGCTATATCTTCTTCTTTAACATCGGACCACTTTTTGAATTCGTTGGCCCATTGATAACTGGACATGGCGCTGGTGCATAGTACAATGATGCTTTTCTTGATGTGACATCCGGCAGTGATCCCGACCAGAGTTTTGCCAGCACCACAGGGAAGGACGATGATACCACTTTTGCCACGTCCATTTCCAAACATTTTACTTAATGCCTTCTCTTGATATGGCCGAATTTGCGTCGACGGTCTCAGATCAATAGGCAGAGTGGGATTTTCAAAGTCGCCGGCGAAATCATATTCTGATATAGCTGGATAGCCAATATCCAGGCACTGTTTAGCTACTACATCACGCTTGTTTGGTGCGATTTCGAAGTTAGGGGCTTCCTTGTAAGTGTCTTCCTCATCTTCCTCATCTCGTAGTGCAGCTATCATGGCCTCATTTTCTTTCAGAGGATCGTCACGAGGTATTTCCACATTGCTTTGATCGGCCTGTTTCATGCCCTTGGCGTTGCTAGTTCCCTGAATGACTGTTGCTTTGGTTTGGATTCTGCCCATTTGCACATCAGTGCCTGCAGCTTTGCAAGGCCCGATGACTGGATCTCTCAGTAGCATATCAATGATGGGTCGTTCGTCGGATTCAACGTAGAACTTGTTATTGCGTAGTACGAGGCGCACTTTGCCGTAGGTCTTTGTGTGCTTATCAATGAATTCGATCACCGACTGGGGTACAGGAGTTTTGGAAAGTTTTTCCAGCGCACGTATGATGTCTTCACCGCGTAGACCTACCGACAGTGCCGCGTACAGACTATGTTCTGTAAATCTGTACTCGTGGAGATAGGAAGGCCTGGATTGCGGTTCAGCAATGGTCGTTAGGAGATCCGTTGCTTGAGCGGCCAGTGGAGAGAAGGCCTCTAGAGTAATCTTTGGTCCCTTCTTCGAACCGTAGGACACACTGGGGTCAATCCACAGAGGCCGGTTCTCATGGTCCATCTTTAGGGACAGCCACGAGAAATCTTTCTCGCCAAATATGGACTGTGCTTGTTTCCTTTTATGTGGCGTTTGAAAAGAGCTGAAGTCTAGCCTCGCCCTCGCCTTTCGAATGTGTTCCTTCTCGCTGTCGCTTGCATCATCTTGAGATCTTACATCAGACCCTGCGTAGTCCTCATCACTCTCTAGACTGACAGGAGTTGCAGGAGCAGGTGTAGAGCGTTTGGAGGACCGAGCACTGACGTCTTCGAGGGCCTTTCGCTTGAGCGACATAGCGGAAGAAAGGATAGCTGGCGAAGGCGAAAGTGAATGGGAAGACAGGATGATGCGAAAGGCAAGACAGCGAGAGGTTGCGAGATGAGAAGAAAAAGAAACCCAAGCCACGAAGTCGAGGTTGACTCAAGTAATAAGTCGAGGACATGCAAGATATGTCAAAGGTTGCCTGCGGTCACTTCTGTTCATACTCATCAGCCCGATGAGGCGTATAGTCCTCCGTACCTATTTTATGCCATATTGGTTACAACACTCCGTACTAGACCCTAGCCGCCACCACCGGCTAGCCAATTCCGCAGGCCAAGCGCAGGCGAGTTTAAAGCCCGCAGGAGCCACTACGTAAGGCTTCGCAGTCCCCGAGAGACTCCGAGCTATAAGCGATCAATCACTTCCATGCTCTAAGGTCCAAAAACACATTCAAAACTTCTTCCAAAGCTGCTTCATTCTGTAATGGAACAGGGATCTTTTCGAAAATGAACACCGTATGTTATTCCTTGCCCACATCTACCCTGATCCCACGCTGATACTCTCACTAGATTAGATCGACTTGGTAGGACTACCTCAACCTGTCCCTGCTTTCATCGTCGTGACAGGAGTCATGATCACGAGCGACTCGCGAATATCGCTATCTTTGATCTTTCTACAAGTATACATGTGCTAATCTGTGACCATGCTAGGTACGGTTGGGGTGTCCTCTGCGTTGCTGGAGGAGGTGCCTACTACTTCGCAAAGAAGTCCATTAATGCCGACCGAGCAGCACGGTTCGAAGCCGAACAGAAAAAGAAGGCGTACCAGCGACGTATAGAAGACTCTTCCTATACCCCACCGCGTTCGAAAACAAAGACAAGGACACAAGCAGATCCTTCGAGTGGCACTCACAATGCCAAAGGACTTGACCACGCAGGAAGTCCGAGTAGTGAGATTAGTGAGGATGCTGCTCCTGTAGGACATGCGCCGGTTGACAGTGAGCAGAGGATACGTGAAAAGAGCAAGTACGAAGCCGCTGTACCATACAGAAGCAAGAAAGGCGACCGTTTCAGTTGAAGAAACCCAGAGCAGACGACGCGGTTTTGACAACACCAACCCAGAGAGATCAGTCATGGACAAAGTTTCAAAATGTTGTGTGAATGTTGTGTACATGTGTATTGCTTATGGCGCTCCAATATCGAGCGCAATCCCCCATAAATCCCAAACTCCATTTGACCCATGCTCGCTGTTCGAGGGGTATAATGCTGATGCTCCTAACCAATATCTGTGTCATTATCTTCCATGCTCTCAAATGCTAAGAAAACCAGAATGTCGTTCAGATGCCTTTGCTCGTCCCTGTGTGTGTGTGTGTGTGTGTGTGTGTGTGTGTGTCATGCATGGCAGCATAGAGGCGCATAATGCTTTTTGGCGGCATTTGGGTGTCCAGAATCTCGTTCACGTTTAGACTCAATGGCTGGTGGGACAAATGGCAGCACAACAGCCGACGTGATCAGTGTACCTGCTATGGCTGATTGTAATTTTGTCGCTGGCCTGGGGGCTTGTGCAGAGAAATGGCGGATGGCGGACTGGGAGAGAGAATGTGAGAGGGTGCCTGCGAGACTCATGGTTGAAAGATATTGGCTTCTCTTTCTATGAAAGGTAAGGACAGGTAGCCGTAGTCGTGATGGTCAACGTGTAACGGTCTATAGGAGGACTAAGAGACAAGAGAAGCGAAGGGGGGATGGCACAAAGAAGTATTTGGGCACATGGATGACTTGATATTGGATAAGCAGATTTACAAGCAAGGAGATTGGGTAAGGGTGTCAGGAGAACCCGAATCAACAACAATCTGGCGGGATAACCGTATAGGAAAACAGGATTTGACTCATCTGACGGCGGCAATCGAAGAGGCGTGGGATTTGGGCAGAATTGCGTGCTCCTCCGCGCCTTGTTGTGTAGTGTGGCCTGAGATGCCGATTACCCAGGGCGGAAACAATAGAGGAGGCGACAAGACGGCACACCACGCAAAGAAGGTTAAAGTGAGATTATTGGGAACTACTCCGTATCGATTGCGAACATGTACACCCAAGTACTCGTATCAGTAACTACCGCCTGTTACAACCTTGTCATGCCACCCAGAGAATGCGGAAGACGCCGCTGGACCCGATATGCACCGATCTCGGGTACTCCTAATGGGGTAGAGAGAGTGGGAGAGAAGCCGATGATACTGTAGAGGCTGGATGACTCACTTATTATATAATAAATAGAGATTAGATTAGATCTGTTCCTGGCATTTGTTGTCGCGCCCACTCGGGAAAGGGGCCTCCGAAGCGGCGGTCTCGAAAAAGTTTCCCCTGCTTGCGCTTTAACTGCGATTGACATCTGTCCGCACTGCACTACACCCCTCGTCACGCCATTCCCCAGACTTCGAGATGGCAGAGAAGACAGTGCGCAAAAGCTTCCAAGAGGTGTTTCCCTCTCTCGTCGAGGACTTGCTCGGAGAAGCGAAAAAGTTCAATCTGCCAGACAATGCGCTGCAATGGTTCGAAAGGGTAGGCTGCGACACACTTGTGTAGTCGTGTGTGTGGCTAACTTGCAATCAGTCTCTCAATGCAAACACGCCTGGGGGCAAGCTGAACAGAGGCATGTCGGTGCCCGACACTGGCTCTCAGTTGCTTGGACGCGCCCTCTCCCCAAAGGAATTCAAGGACCTCTCGACGCTAGGATGGCTGACTGAACTCCTGCAAGCCTTCTTCCTTGTTAGCGACGATATCATGGACTCAAGCATCACACGCCGAGGGGAACCATGTTGGTATCGCCAGTCTGGCGTGGGTATGATTGCCATCAACGACGCCTTCATGCTGGAATCCTCCATATACCTCATCTTGAAGAAACATTTCCGATCTCATCCTGCATACATCGACCTTGTTGAGCTGTTTCACGAAGTTACGTGGCAGACCGAACTCGGCCAGCTCTGCGATCTCATTACGGCGCCTGAAGACAATGTCGACTTGAACAACTTCAGCATGCAAAAATACACCTTCATCGTCATCTACAAGACAGCATACTACTCCTTCTACCTACCGGTCGCTTTAGCCCTACACTATCTTGAGTTGGCTACACCCCAGAATCTCAAGCAGGCACACGACATCCTCATCCCACTTGGAGAGTATTTCCAGATACAGGACGATTACCTCGATGCATTTGGCGATCCTTCGGTGATTGGAAAGATCGGGACAGACATCAAGGACAACAAGTGCGGTTGGTTGATCAATCAAGCACTACTGATCTGCACTCCAGCCCAGAGGGAGCTTCTGGACCAGAACTATGGGCAGAAAGATGATGAGAAGGAGGCCAAAGTCAAGCAGCTGTACAAAGAGCTGCAGCTGGAGAAGAGATACCAGGACTACGAAGAGAAACGCGTTGGTGAGATTCGACAACTCATCGCAGCGGTCGACGAAAACGAGGGGCTGAAGAAGGGTGTGTTTGAGGAGTTTTTGGCCAAAATCTACAAGCGGAGCAAGTAGAGGATTTTCAATGGTGATCTGAATGGGTTTCGGTTACACTAACTTTCATGTATGAGCACATGGCTCCGATCTGAGAGATTCAGCACACAGGATAGAGACATGGCGGCCGAGGAAACATGGGAAGAATGCGGGACCCCGATTGGGGTGCATCCCGGTGAGTACCCAAGTACGGAGAAATAGGTATTCGTCCTCGTAGATTTGTGAAGGCTGCTGCGGCTTTGCATCAATCATAATTGCAGACTGGCATGTGGGTGTGGGACGCTCCTCAAGTGAAAGCCCTAAACTGCAATAAGGAGTGGCAAGCCGCATATGACGTTACCTGGGGCGTTGAGTTGCGGGTGTGATGCAAGTAAAGATGGGCTATGAGCCCTTATGAGAGGGGCTACTCTTGGGCACTTGACCTACCCGAGTTAGCTACCCATTGGGCCTAGAGGCGCCTCTCGCATGCCTTTAATGAACTCTCAGTCTTAGGCAGTTCTAGTTAAAAGAATCCACTGCCCCATGGCACCCTACCTGGTACAGTAGGTACCTATCCTCGCATCTACAAGCACGGATAAAAAAGATCATGACAGCAGACCACCCATGCATGAAATGCCGTCATTCCTTTGTCCAGCGCCACGGATCCCTTTTGAATCATATTTGCTGTGAATGTGTGCAAATACTTGTACCGTATGCACAGACCGTTGCTTGCCATATCTGTAGAAGGACAACATTGTCTGTATGGAGTACGCGTTTGGAGTATGGAGTACAAGGAACAAAGTCTCATCCCACCAGGTATGCAAAGTTTTGCCAGGGCTGGGAAATCCCTTGTACTCGTAGCGTCTTCCTTGAGTAGTCAAGCCAACTATAACGCCTCACACAAGCTTGTTGAATAATTAATTGCCCTTGTTCAAGTCCCAGTGGATCTTCGACTCCTCCCCTCTCAGTACTGAATCCACTTGACCTGCACGCTCCAAAAGCTCGCTGCATCGTTTCGGCCCAGCCTGCCTCAATTTCTCCCCAAGCTGCCACCACTCTATTCAACTTTCTTCTCTTCTCTGGTGCGTTCTCTCCTTTGGGTTCTTCCTGTCTACACAGCTGCAGAACAGGTCTTGCAGTGTAGATTCTCCGAGCTTTTTTCCTCCTAAAGACTGTTCCCTACACCCAGAGGCCTTCCGCTCAGACCTTCGCCATTTGCGGGGAAAGCTATCCATCGCCGAGTCCACCACAGTACGAGGAATATCCTAAAGTCTACGAAGCTCTCTCTCTCTCTCTCTTTCTGGCCAAATTCCGAGCACTTTACAGCCGTCAAAATGAACGGCGACTCGGCAAAGAGAGACATCAAGAACCATCTGCTGTTCGAGATTGCAACAGAGGTCGCGAATCGAGGTTGGTTATGCATATCACATGCGCTTTGGCGATTCCTACGTGCTAATCCCGTCAAGTGGGTGGTATTTATTCCGTGCTCAAGTCAAAGGCTCCAGTCACAACCGCCGAGTATGGGGAGAGGTATACACTGATAGGACCATGGAACAAGAGCTCGGTATGCATATCATCGTCTTAGGTGCGAATACCGGCTAACCAGTCCAGGCTGCGGTGGAAGTGGAAGACCTCGAACCTCCTGCCGGTCCTCTGCGAGAGACGATAGCATCTATGCAAGAACGAGGGATCGAGCTGATGTATGGAAGATGGCTGATCGAAGGCGCTCCGCGAGTCCTTCTCATAAACACGGGGACGGGTTATCGCTGGTTGGATGAGTGGAAAGGCGATCTTTGGTCCATAGCCGGCATCCCCTCTCCAGCTGGAGACAACGAGACTAATGAGGCTATCGTGTTTGGCTATCTTGTGGCTTGGTTCCTGGGCGAAGTAAGATGTTACAACAGTCTGGCTGTACACCTGGGCTAACGTCCTCTAGTTCCTCTCGCGCGAAAGGGATCGCGCAGTCATCGCCCATTTCCACGAATGGCTTGCTGGAGTTGCTCTCCCTTTGACCAAGAAACGGCAAATGGATCTCACCACCATTTTCACCACACATGCTACCCTTCTCGGCCGGTATCTCTGTGCTGGCTCAGTCGATTTCTACAACAACCTGCAATGGTTTGACGTCGATGCAGAAGCTGGTAAGCGTGGCATCTACCACCGGTACTGCATCGAAAGAGGCGCAGCTCATTCTGCCGATGTCTTCACCACCGTCTCCCACATTACAGCTTTCGAGAGCGAGCATTTGCTGAAGCGGAAGCCGGATGGAGTTCTCCCCAACGGCTTGAATGTCAAGAAATTCTCTGCGGTTCACGAATTCCAAAATCTTCATTCCATACAGAAGGAAAAGATCCATGAGTTCGTGCGCGGCCACTTCTATGGTCACCTTGACTTTGACCTGGAGAATACGCTGTATTTCTTCACCGCCGGAAGATATGAATATCGAAACAAAGGAGTTGACATGTTCATCGAGTCTTTGGCACGCCTGAACCACAGACTAAAGGTCACCGGCTCCAAACTCACGGTGGTTGCCTTCCTCATCATGCCCGCGCAGACAACATCCCTGTCTGTAGATTCTCTCAAGGGTCAGGCCGTCACAAAGGCGTTATCAGACACCGTTTCCAACATCGAGCGTGGCATCGGGCACAGACTGTTCGAGCGCTCTGTTCATTGGAAGGAGGGGGACCCCATGCCCGATGAGAAAGAACTCATCACCCCGGCTGATCGGGTGATGCTCCGACGTCGCCTCTTTGCCATGAAACGACACCACCTGCCGGCTATTGTCACCCACAACATGGTCAATGACTCGGAAGACCCCGTCCTGAATCAATTACGCCGGGTCCAACTTTTCAATTCCTCCTCCGATCGTGTCAAAGTCGTCTTTCATCCTGAATTCCTGAACTCATCAAATCCCGTCTTGTCATTGGATTATGACGATTTTGTCCGCGGCACGCACCTAGGCATCTTTGCCTCGTACTATGAGCCTTGGGGTTACACTCCTGCCGAATGCACTGTGATGGGCGTTCCGTCCATCACTACGAATCTGTCAGGTTTTGGGTGCTATATGGAGGAGCTTATTGAGAATTCGGCCGACTATGGCATCTATATTGTCGACAGACGTCTCAAGGGCGTCGACGACTCGGTCAACCAGCTAACCGATTACATGTTCGAGTTTGCGAACAAGAGTCGGAGACAGCGCATCAATCAGCGAAACCGGACTGAGCGGCTTAGTGACCTTCTTGATTGGAAGCGCATGGGTATGGAGTATGTGAAGGCTCGACAACTTGCCCTCCGACGCGCATATCCTGCATCGTTTGAAGATGCTGACGAGTTTGATGATATCATTGGTGGAACTGAGCAGAAGATTTCGAGGCCGTTGTCGGTGCCTGGATCGCCCCGAGATCGTTCCGGCATGATGACTCCGGGAGATTTTGCTTCCTTGCAAGAAGGAAAAGAAGGTCTGAGCACCGAAGACTATATCGCATGGAGATTGCCGTAAGTCATCCTCTCGTGACATCAGTAAGCATGCTAACATTTTCTTCAGTGAAGAAGAGGAGCCGGATGACTACCCCTTCCCCCTGACGCTCAAGCAAAAGAAGACTCCGGGTTCGGACTCTCCAGCACCTCTTGTGGGAGGCATGAACGGATCTTGAACTGCGACCAACTCTCCCGGAGGACACTGAGCGACGTTGGATAAATCAGAGGAATGCATACGGGATGCACTACCTTTGTCAGGCAGACACAGTATGGGCTGCAGAAACAGCGGGCCAGTTTACAGTCTCCCAGGACTGCTAGTGCAATGAGGGAGGCAATCTCGAAGGCCGAAGGAGAGATCTTGGTGCAAATTGGTTGTTCAAATCTCGCTTACGGCGCTTCTCATGTATGAATAATCTGCAACAGCATCTTGTTTGAGTTGTCAAGGATGTATTTCCGCGCAGACTTGAGCTGGCTGTTATGTCAAAGACCTAATTTATCAGATTCTGCGTAAAATGTGATCTTGTTTCTAAACCGCCTGCTGCGTACAATTCACCAAGTCACTTCATTTAGAACGATGCATTCAGGTTGAGGCAAGGTAGAATCTATACTCTGTCCTCCGTATCAATGCGTTAGTCGTACTCGTACTCGTATCCTTAGGTGCGTTTGACCTTCCTGCGGGGAAACTTTTTTAAGCACTTGGAATTTTTTTGTTGCCGACTCGATGCACTAACCATTTCGGGTGCTGCAAGTCGACAATTTTTTGGACTTTCATAAGACTCAGCGCCATAATAAATAACACTCTCCCATTGCAATCTTTTGGCTATTACCATGGGTGTCGGACGTCGTTTCAAGAAACAGGGCCCTCCTGCAACCCTCGAAGAACTGGGTTTAAACCTGAAGCGGAAACCCAACAGCGAGACTTCCCAAGAACCAGTAAAGAAGAGACGCAGATCCGGAGAGACTGATGTAAAGAAATTGGTCCGCCTCGACCGGGCCCTCAGAGGTGACCAAGAGAGTGGTGACATACAAGAGAGCAAAAAGTCGGACGGGAAAAAACAAAAGCAGAAGAAAAAGCTGGTCAACAAAGATGCGCAGATTACGGTTCCTCCCAAGTTTCCCTTCCTAGCAGTCGAGAGCCAGGACGACGAACAGGCTGAAGAGGTAGAAGAGCACAATGACAATGATGGAAATGCAGCATTCGGAGTGCCACTGGACGAGGCTTCTCTTTCTGACTTGGACGACGATGAGATTGCACAGGCAGAACTTGAAGGCGGATCATCTGATGACTCCGTCTTCGATTCAGACCCGGACGAGCAACCACGACGCATGTTCTCCGAAGACGAAGACGAGTCCGACGCCGAGGCCCAGCTCACGGCTGCAAACATCGAGGGACTCTCCCGGAAACTAGACCAAGAGCAAGCTCAGGTCGAGGCAGAAGCACAACAAGAGTTGGAAGACGCAGCTTTACAGACCAATATTGCCAAAGATGAAGGAGTCTTGGATTCTGTGGCCGCGCAAGGGCTGGCACCAGACCTGGCTGTCGTCCGCACTCGTATGACTGAAACTATTCGAGTTCTGGGCAACTTTTCCGCGCTCGCAGACAAGACAAAGTCGAGAACGGATTATACCGAGCAGCTGCTGTCCGATATCTGCACGTACTATGGCTACACTCCGTACCTTGCCGAGAAACTGTTTGCGCTGTTCACCCCTGCAGAGGCCTTTGCATTCTTCGAGGCAAACGAAACGCCGCGTCCTGTTGTGCTGAGGACCAACACACTACGTACTAATCGCCGCACTCTCGCCCAAGCTCTGATCAACAGAGGTGTTGTGTTGGAGCCAGTGGGTAAATGGTCAAAAGTAGGCTTACAGGTTTTCGAATCTCCTGTCCCACTGGGTGCCACTCCAGAATATTTGGCTGGTCACTACATTCTCCAAGCCGCTTCTTCCTTCCTGCCCGTCATGGCACTAGCTCCCCAACCGAACGAGCGCGTCCTTGACATGGCCGCAGCGCCTGGCGGCAAGACTACATATATTTCAGCGCTGATGCGAAACACGGGAGCTGTCTTCGCCAACGATGCCAATCGACAACGTGCAAAGGGTCTGATTGGTAATGTTCACCGTCTTGGGTGCAAAAACGTGGTTGTCTGCAACTACGATGCGCAGAAAGCCTTTCCCAAGATTCTAGGCGGCTTTGATCGGATTCTACTCGATGCGCCATGCTCTGGTACTGGTGTCATCGGCAAAGATCCAAGCGTCAAGACGTCGAAGAATGAGCGCGACTTCCTAGCCCTACCTCACATGCAGAAGCAACTGCTTCTTGCCGCCATCGACTCGGTCGACCACAAAAGCAAGACTGGCGGGTACATCGTATACTCGACCTGCTCGGTGACTGTTGAGGAGAATGAAGGTGTGGTTCAGTACGTGCTACGCAAGCGACCGAACGTAAAGATTGTCGACACTGGTCTTGGCAATTTCGGATCGGAAGGTTTCAAGACCTACATGAACAAGAAATTCGACGACAAGATGCCTTTGACAAGGAGATATTTCCCGCATCGCGAAAACGTCGACGGCTTCTTTGTCTGCAAGCTGAAGAAGACGGGCCCAACCCCGAAGAATGCCGGTCAAGCGAATGGGTCGGGCGAAGCCGAGGCCAATACGTCGATGGTCAATGGCCACAAGGATAAGTCAGACACTGACGGAGAGACTGCAGAGGATGCAGCGGATGACGGTTTCGGCGGCTTCGACGATGAGGAAGATCAAAAGTACATTGCACAGGCCGAGAAGAAGTGGCTCAAAGCTCGTGGTCTTGACCCAAAAGCAGCGGATCGAAAGAATCGAACCGAGACCAAGGATGCAAGTCAAAGCAAGTCAGGGTCAAAGAAGAAAGCCGGAGGGAAGAAGCATGGGAAATAGAAACGAAAATGCAATAATCAGTATTCTTTTCGGCGGCCTGGCCAATCTTGAATTTTACGATCATGATTGTACTATCACATCACACTTTACATATCAGAGATGGTCTTTTTCATCCCACAGAGAACAAAGGCAGAAGGGAGATTGAGAAGTGAAAAAAATGAAAAGTGCTTACGACGACTCAACCTCCAAATGATACCACTTACGACTGCCGCCGCGGCTAAAATGACCAGACCGAAGACAGCCAACATGTGCAGGACCCGCCGATACTGCTGCAGCACCGGTCTTTTCTGTGACCGACTGAGTGACCGCCGACTGGATGGTGATCGTTGAGTCTGATGCGAGTCTTTGTGGTGGTTGTGAATGCGAAAGATTCGATCAATCTCGCTCTCTCCCTTTTCGATGTCTTTGATGTCTTCGATGTCCACATTGACACGGTTGGCGCTACCTGCTGGAGAAGATACTGGGGTTCTCATTTCGTCAGGACACAATTCCTTGTCTTTCGACGAAATTTGCGACCGCGTCCGAGAAGGCACATAAGTTGGAGAAGAAGAAAGGTGCGTCGTGAATAATGTGTTATTGGGGGATAGAATGATGGTAGGACGTAAATTTGGTAAAGAAGTTTTCGGTCGAGGTGGTCTTTGAGGTGGTGATAGTGACGACGGCCATGGTGATGGTGAAGTCTGAGAAACTGGACAAGACCATGGAACCATGGACGAGGGAGATGATAATGGTGAGGTCGAGGTCGTTACTGTTTTCTTTACCGGCGTCTTTGGAGGCATTAAGAATTGCAATTCGAGATTGCGTCCCTAGGGGAGTACTAGATACAGACAGAATTCAATGTGGTCTCGATGTGACCTTTGCTTTTCGGACGGTCAAGGCATGTTCTTAATCAGCTAGCCGAGCTACTTCTGTATACGAAGAAGAGAATGACAGAAATCTTGCAGCTGCACAGTCGTACAGATTGATTCATCGCAGAAGAGGACAGCATCACAGTGGGCATTCCAGAGAGCGGGCGAGAGCGAAATCATGCAAGCCCAACGATTGGAATGTGCTACATGCACCTGGCTAGATGGATTGGATGTCGTTGTACGGATATGTCCAGGAATGTCGGACATGTCTTGAACACTTGCGTAACAATACGACGAGCAACTCAATGGGTTTCGTCCTTTTAATTGCTTGCCCTAGGTAGGCATGCAGGCATAGATGGGCAACACACAACGGCCAGATGCATCTTGCGGGCGGTTGGTGTTCCCCTTCGAGCACTGGCTGAGTGGCAACTAAAATGATTTTGCTTGCAGTTGTACGGGGAGTACCACAAGGTTGGACAACCTGCTGTTGAAAAGACCAACGAAGCCTTGCAGTCATTTTGTTCAAGTCGTCTTGACCACCAATGATTAACAAGGTAATGAAGCTGACGAGGCGGGAGACACCGTTAGTATCTGGAGAAGGCGTTTTCCAACAATCTCCAAGTGCGTTGTAATGAATTTAGCAAGGCCACTCACATATCCCACGACGACGGGCGGAACGTAGCAAGTTTCCATGTTGTTGGGTCGCGGGCCGACCACCTTACTGTACTTTACTGAACTAGTTTATCAAAACTCGGCTTTCACCCGGGGTTTCTCTTCGCATGTCAGGCCACCCACCATACGACTGTAGGGATTTTGTTTTCTTTTTGTTCGAGCGTGTAAAATAACGTTCCAACAGTGATCATATGAGGATATGTGGTTTAGAAATATATCCCTCTTCCAGTTGTTCCGAAGGGTAGGTTAGGGATGGGCCCCGATGCACTTCGCAACGAATCCTGCCCAACTCATTCCGCATTACTACGCGTTGGTTCCGACGGAGAAGAGCCCACACGTGATCGGACTAACTTGATCGGGCGTATTATTGCGGGTCTGGGCTGACACGATCCGATGCAGGAGAGTTTCGGGGCGGGGTAATAGAAAACAAAATGGTCCTGTGAATGGTTTGTTACTGTACGGAGTAAGTCAAGAGATCGAAAAAAGGGTGTTCCCATCCAACCCGCATTGTTCCAAGCAGAGATAAAAGCCGCGCAAGGCACAAGTCGGGGAGCTGATCCATATATGAAGGCTGGCAAATCCCATCTCCGCAGCCAAAAGATTTCTCACAAGTACCATAATTCACAAGTATCCGTCTTTCCCGAGCCTTTGAATCCCCCCCCTCTCCGTTCTGTCCAGGCACACGAAGCCCACGTCACTATCATAATAGTATCTCTGTTCGAACAATCATCAACATGAACGGCACGACCAAGTCAAACGCGGCGCGCTTCGATCCCAACTTCACTCAACATGTCATCGACGCCATGGGTCCCAAGACTTCTCCGCGAATGCGCGAGGTCATGACGAGTTTGACCAGACATCTACACGACTTTGCCCGGGAGGTCGAGTTGACGGTGGACGAGTGGATGGAGGGTGTGCAGTTGATGAATTGGGCTGGCCAGATGAGCAACGAGAAGCGAAATGAAGGTCAACTGGTGTGCGATGTCGTGGGTTTAGAATCGTACGCCTCTCTCTCTCTCTTTCTACACCATTGTTGAAAACCCCATGCCGTGGAGTCCATTCTTGACACACGATATGTTTCTTCAACTTTCTTTTTCTTTTTTTTTCCCGTGCTTCATTGCTAACCCTGACCTACCACAGCCTCGTGGACGAAATCACATACAAAAAGGCTTCCGAGGCCACCGACGTGGCCACCCAGAGTGCCATTCTCGGACCATTCTTCAGACATGACCACCCCATCCGGGAGAAGGGGGCCACGATTTCATTCAACACCCCCAAAGATGCCACCGTCGTATACATGTACGGTAAAGTGATGGATGCGAAGACAAAGAAACCTTTGGCCAACGCCACGATTGATGTCTGGGAAGCCTCCACAAACGGTATGACTTATCTATACCCGTACAGGAGTGACAATACCTCCTCCTTCCGAGTAACCTACCTTCTGACCTTTTGGCTGTTGTAACAGGTCTGTACGAACAACAAGACGACAATCAAGTCGACAGCAACCTCCGTGGGAAGTTCGTCACCGATGAGAACGGCGAATATGCGTTTTATTGTCTGCGACCGACCCCATATCCTATCCCCTACGACGGACCAGCCGGCAAGTTGTTGCAATTGCTAGACAGGCACCCGTACCGTCCAGCACATATTCATCTGATTGTAAGTCGGGAAAACCGGATTGGATCATGCCCAAAATAAAAAAAGAATCTCCTTTTCCGCCTGACCCTCAAATCGCGAGTGCTGACTGTGGTCTTCTAAAACAACAGGTCCTCATCCAAGGATACAAACCCATCACGACTCAAATCTTCGACAAGGACAGCAAATACCTCGACGACGATTCGGTGTTTGCCGTCAAGGATTCTTTGATTGTGGAATTTGTCCCTCGAAAGGGTGACTCTCAGGCCAATTTTGAATTGAAGTATGACATTTTGATGGCGCCCATTGACTCCAAGGGAGAATCTGGACCGGAAAATGGACTGTCGACCGTGGGACAACCACAGTACTGAGTGCTTGGTTGAAGGATATTTTGCTTATTGGACCCATTTTGTACGGAGTACACCTATAGCGAATTCTACGTTGTCGTGAGCCTTGACTCTGAAGTCTCTGACTTGGGGAGTACTCTGAGAAGTGTAATTCAACTCATTCACATGTAAATGTACGGATACTGGGCACCGGCTTTCCACCTCGGCTATTTCATGTCAGCACATTTCTCATTGGTGCGTTGGGGAATTTATCCGGCTCGGCGAACTCGGCTCACTTACCTGACTCGGTGCATGTCTCTAGTCTGTAATGTACCGTACCGTATCAGTCCAAGTCCCAGTGATTGTACTCGTTCGAGCTCGTACTGTACTGTAAATCTCGTATTTGTGCGTGTCAATTCCCCCGGAAAGTCTGGGACCTTTTAATCGCCCACTTCCGACGACGAACTCCAGCTTTCCCAAACTTCCCAAACTCCACGCAACAAATTCATGTTCCCACGGTGCCATATCCGATTCGATCGTGTATCCATTGGATCCTTCGGCTATCAGGTGTATCTGGGGAAACTCATACCGTCACGTCACAGATTCAAGCGAAGTTTTATTTAGTGGGAAACTGATGCCTCGACCCCGGGTCAAGGACGAGGATCGGAAACGGGTCGCCCGCGCGTGCGACACGTGCAAACGACGAAAGGAAAAATGCGACGGCCAATACCCGTGCCTGTTGTGCAAGCGACGTGGTAGAGAACCAGAGTGTGTCTTCACAGAGGCCTTCTCCAAGAGAGGCTCGGCGGTTCGCGGCAGCAAGGAAAGGCCCACGCAGCCGCAACCGCCGTCGTCCTCCTCGCACCCGATGACACTCAAGGACGCCCTGACTGACTCCAACGACGCCGAAATCGCCATCGAATCGCTGTTGACGCTCTCGGGGTCCAGGAGTGCCCCCAAGTCACCGCAGTACGACCGGGACCAGGAGGACGGGTTGATCTCGAGGGCCCCCGTGCCCAAACTCGCCCGGCTCCTCCGCGACGGCCGGGGCAAGTTCATCTTCGTGGGAGACTCGAGCAACCTGGCCTTTGTCCAAAACATCCGCCGCCTCGTCAAGGCGGAAATAGGAGAATGTGGCCTCACGTCGGACCCCCTCCGTCACGCCATGTGCGAGGTCATCCCGCCGCACCAGATCCCGTCGCCGCTGCAGACTCAACACCCCAAGCCGACCGAGGCGGAGGCGAGGGACCTGCTGAAGCACTACCTGCTGGCCTCGAGCGGCGTGATCGACCTGTTCGACCCGGACGAGATCACGGAGCACCTGGTCGCCTGGACGCAGGACTCGACGGCCGACGCCGACTTCAACAGCTCGATCTACTACCTGGTCATGGCCATCGGCGCGGTGTGCCGCAACGCCGGCGACCTGGACCAGGCCGAGTTCTACTTCACGCGCGGCCGCGAGATCGGCGTCTCCAGCTTCCTCGAGGACCCGAGCGTCCTGACCATCCAGGCCTACGCCCTCATCACCTTCTACATGCTCTCGGCCACCCGCCGCAACGGCGCCTTCATGCTGCTGGGCATCGCGGTGAGGGCGGCGTACGCGCTGGGCCTGCACCGGAGCGACATCTCCAACCTGTTTGAGCCCCGGGAGCGGCTGGCCCGGGAAAGGGTGTGGAAGAGTCTGCGCGTGCTGGACCTCTACATGAGCGGTTCGCTGGGTCGGCCACCGGCGACGTCGGAGGTCGACGGCGGGAGCGTGTCGTGGAACAGGTCTACGCGGGACTACGAAGGCATACAGATGAACGGTCGGAACACGTCGGCGACATTGAGGATTTGTTTCATCTTTGAAAGGATACTAAACGAGGTGTATTGCCGCCGAGAGGTCTCTGTGCAGCTCGTGGAAAGTATATCCAGGCAGTATCGAGACTGGACGATGCAATTGCCCGCAGGCTTGCAAGCCGACAGTCTGGACCAGAAGGCAGGTACGACGGCACCGACGCTGCGGCAAACAATAGGCATTGCCCATCTCAAATGCGAGTACTATTGGTCTATAATCCTGTTAACCAGGCCTTTCTTGATCTTCAAGGTCTCTTCCAAGATCAAAGGACGGCAGGACGAAGACAACACGGCCGGTAACTCCGTCACCATGACCCTGAGCGAGGCCTGCATAGACGCTGCACTCAGGAGTGTCGAGATCGCGACCGACCTGGTCCACATCCCTGGCGTGCCGAAAAGGCTCTTCATGGTCACCAACAGCGTCTTCATCGCCGCCATGGTGATCGGGTTCGCAATCTTTGGCGACTTTGACAAGTCCTTCCCCTTGCTGAGTAGCATTGTCCAAGCAGAATCCATCCTGGCCATGGCGGCCAAAGATGATCTGTCCGCTCGACGACACGATGAGATCACCAAGAATCTTCACCTCGCTGCCCTGGAACACATCAAGCGGCGTGACCAGGTCCAAATGCAGAAGCGACGGCAGGACATCCACAACATCTTCGGCGATCCTATCAACAAGGGCAGCGGGGCAAAGTCAACGGGGTCGACGACGGGAGACCAGACGCCCGTTGACACTGTAAAGGCACCATTGGTGAACCAGAGTAATGGTCTGGGGGATTTCGACGCCACCGAGCAGCTCGAAGATGCGCCGCCGCCGTGGCAATTGCGTTTCGACATGCCTCCTGAAAGCCGGGGACCGGTGCTCACCACGTCTGGAGCATTGGCTTACAACGGTGAGGATGGAGGGGACCAAGTACAGATGCTTCCCCGACAAGATTTTCCTCAGATGCTCGAGACGGATGGCCTCTCGCCTGACGGATCGGGAGTGCCGAGTCTGCCATCTTATGCAGAAGAGTTTCCGCTTTTCTCGTTGATGACCGAATTTGATCAGCTACAAGACCCATTCGCAATGCCAGGGCCTTGACCAATATTTCTAAACAGCAACTGCATCCTCGTCATAATGCTAGGCGCATCTACTGCGACTTTTTGGATGTGGGAGGCTCATTAGATGGAGCTGTGCACACCCTTGACACCCATCCCGAGACAAACCACGCACAGCCCGCTATCAACACCAGATAAAGTGCCGTGGGTATGAGAGACTTGGGGAACACGTTGAAGATATAGCGATCTAAAATAACGTCGACTGCCACGGGCGGTGCTGCCATCATCAATGTGTCATTCGGACTGTAATAGTCTGCAGCGGCAAGAATTCGGAGGAACAGGAGGGTTGTATCGGGCCGAACAGCGGTCTTGCGCCGTTGGAGTGCCTCGATGTCTCCGGTACCGAGCTTCGCATGGCGTGCATAGGCATATTCGCTCACTGATGAGAGGAGGCTGCTATCCGAAAGCACGGCATCAACTTGGAAGGTAGCAAGTGAGAACTCTGTCGGTTGGGTGGCTGCCCAGCATATGCGAACTTCGTAGCGCTGGTGTGGGCGCAGACTTTCCAGGAAAAACCAATGCGCCTGTCCGTTTGGGGACGAACTGTTTGGGAAGCTTACATTGAGCTGAGTCCTGAGCGTAGGGTGTTCCTCAGAGAGTGGGACGAGGAGGAGATTGTCGAAGCTGGCGTCTGTAGGATATGGCTCTGCCAAAGAGGATGTGAAGATGACCTTCTCGACATTTGAATGGACGATTTGACTGTATGTAAGCAGTACGAGGAACATCAAAGATATTGAATTCATATCGTTTGTCATCCACTTCAATGGCTGAATTCGTTGGCAAATGGAGATGTAATGTTTGTGGTTTGAGGTTCATTGAGCGCCATTTTTGTCCTCCATCGTTCTTTGCTCCGCCGTATGAGCTGAAGGCGACACACGTGATTGGTCTGACACGTCTTTTCAGAGGGAAATTTATGATTGGCCAGAGCAGTTCAGGAGACAGGCGGTGAGGGAACGACGGCGCGCGCACTTGTCAACAATTAACGATCGACCGCCAAACCACAAACCCCCACAACCACAGCCAGCAATCAACAATCCATTCATCAGTTCATCCCCTTTGTCCTTCATCCGTTGCTGGGTTTTGCAAATTGTTCGTTCTCCGTTCCATCCTCCTTCTGTATTTGTCTCACGTCAACCCACCGCCATCATGAGAGAAGTTATCAGTTTGAACGGTACGTCGTGATACGCGTCCACTGAACCCTTTGGCAGCCCCCCCTGGCCAACCCCCTTCTGCAGGAAAATTGAGCTAACCTTTGCGTCTGCGCAGTCGGCCAGGCTGGCTGTCAAATCGCCAACTCGTGCTGGGAGGTATGACTGCACTTTGTTTCTCAGTCTATTTCTTTCTTTGTAGGACCACTGACAATCCTGACAACTGCAGCTTTACTGCCTGGAACACGGAATTCAGGTGAGCCTCGGAAATCCAACTCGCGGCTTTGCCCATGGACTGACTCTGAATCTTCCAGCCGGATGGATACCTCACTGAAGAACGAAAAGCCGCCGACCCCGACCAGGGATTCAGCACTTTCTTCTCCGAGACAGGTACGATTTCGACCAAAAGAGATGGCTCCGTCGGACCCTTGAATGCTGATAATGACAAATGGTGCAGGCAACGGCAAATATGTCCCCCGAACCATCTACTGCGATCTCGAGCCCAATGTCGTTGATGAAGTCCGCACTGGCGCGTACCGAAGCCTTTTCCACCCAGAACAGATGATTACAGGAAAAGAGGATGCTTCCAACAACTATGCTCGTGGCCACTACACCGTCGGCAAGGAGCTCATTGACCAGGTCCTCGACAAGGTCCGCCGCGTCGCAGACAACTGCAGTGGCCTGCAGGGCTTCCTTGTCTTCCACTCCTTCGGCGGTGGCACCGGCTCTGGCTTTGGTGCCTTGCTCATGGAGCGCCTCTCGGTCGACTACGGCAAGAAGTGCAAACTCGAATTCTGCGTGTATCCCGCACCCCAGGTCGCTACCTCCGTCGTGGAGCCGTACAATTCGATTTTGACCACCCACACCACTTTGGAGCACTCGGACTGCAGTTTCATGGTCGACAATGAGGCCATCTACGACATCTGCCGACGTAACCTGGGAATTGAACGCCCCAACCTAGAGAACTTGAACAGACTGATTGCTCAAGGTTGGATTGTTGAAGTCTAAGATGTAGTACTCAAGCTAACTCTTTTCTACAGTCGTTTCTTCCATCACCGCCTCCCTTCGATTTGATGGCTCCCTGAACGTCGATTTGGCAGAGTTCCAAACGAACCTCGTCCCCTACCCTCGCATCCACTTCCCACTGGTGGCCTATGCCCCAGTCATCTCTGCTGCAAAGGCTCAGCACGAGGCTAACTCGGTTCAAGAGATCTCCATGTCTTGCTTCGAGCCCAACAACCAGATGGTCAAGTGTGATCCCCGCAACGGCAAATACATGGCGACTTGCTTGCTGTACCGAGGCGATGTGGTTCCAAACGACGTCCATCAAGCTGTCGCTACCCTGAAGACAAAGCGCACCATCCAGTTCGTGGATTGGTGCCCAACAGGATTTAAGATTGGAATCTGCTACCAGCCACCTCAGATGGTGCCAAATGGGGACCTCGCTAAAGTCAATCGTGCAGTGTAAGTCAAAGTCATCTTCACTCTTGAAAACATGGCTAACAGATACAGGTGCATGCTGTCCAACACAACGGCCATTGCCGAGGCCTGGTCTGCTCTGTCCCACAAGTTCGACTTGATGTACTCCAAACGCGCCTTTGTGCACTGGTATGTTGGCGAGGGTATGGAGGAAGGTGAATTCTCCGAGGCTCGTGAGGATCTTGCTGCACTCGAGAGGGACTACGAAGAGGTCGCCAGCGACTCGATTGAAGAAGGAGAAGGATCGGAGCTCCTCGAACATTAGTTCCGCCATTGATTGTCTCTTCGTACTGTTTAGTCACCATTATCAAGCTCTTGGTTGAGCATCGCAAGGAGTGCAGGAGCCGTGATTATTTTCTTAGTACTACTTGATCACACCCTTGAAGACAGAAGGTCTCTGTGAGACGAACATAATTGGAACTTGAATACCTACCCAGATTGTCAATGAACATCCTTTGCCCGTATCTAGGGAATAGGGTGGTGAGATTAATCTGTCGACATTGCCCATTGTGTCTAATAACTGCTCCGTATGAGGACATTTAACTTGGGATTCGACTGATGTACTGTACTCGTACAGAACGTGTTGTTGTACTTTGTTGTAACTCGGCAATGACTTGGTCGATGTCCCGGATACTCCACTGGAGCTTCTTCATCTTGGCAGCAACTCGTCGCTCGTTCGTCATCGCGCTCCCCGGCTGCCTCAAGTCTAGGTACCTATTACTTACCTAGATTATTATTACTCCGTGCCTACACTACACTACACTACACCACACCAATTCTCCAGCCATTTCTTTGATGCGCGAGAACCATCAAGAGCCGACAGGCTTCTTCTTCTGACGTTCTCTAGATTGCTTTGTGCGATTCTTTATCTCGATCTTGCACAGTCCTCAACAAGTCTTCACTCTCCCTTCCATGCCGTCTTAGTTTGCGCGCATCTTCTAGTCTTACCCGGTTAATCCGTCGCAACCGCGACTTTCCACGTCTGCATCGGCCATGGCGGAGAGCATAGGATCGTCTGCTTCAGGTTCGTCTTTTGTCGCCGCACCAAGTTGCTCTGTTCATGTCGAGTTGACAATTGATCCCCAGGCCATCCAAGCCTGAACCTCAATGCCGAAGAGAAACGAGTCTACGGACAACTCCTGAAAGACGCCGACCCTGATGGCTTCGGAGCCGTGTCTGGGGATGTGGCTGTTAAGTTCTTTGAGCGTACAAAGCTCCCCGCAGACGTGCTTGGACAGGTCAGGATGCATCGCATATGAGGACGAGAGCTGCCACTGACGAGAGGCAGATCTGGCAAATTGCCGACACGGAAAATCGAGGCTTCTTGACGCCAGCAGGCTTTGGAGTTGCTTTGCGATTGATCGGACATGCACAAGCTGGCAGAGCACCATCTGCACAGCTGGCACCACAATGTATGAACACTGCGTATTCGAGTACCGGCGTGGGCTAACATTTCCCAGCGGCTCCTTTGCCTCGATTCGACAACGCCGCAAACGAACAACCACAGCCGGCACCGTTACCACCGCAACCTATTCCTCAGCAGTCAACCGGAACACCAGCGAGTCCTACTCCCGCGGTTCATCCAATCCGTGTCCCAGCCTTGGGTCCCGACAAGGTCGCGGAATATTCGTCGTTATTTGAAAAGTCCGGTGCAGAGAACGGCTTCCTTTCAGGCGTGATTGCCAAACAGATATTTGAAAGAGCGAGATTGCCAAACGATGTGCTTGGGAGAATCTGGGCGTTATCCGACACGCAGGGACGAGGGACCCTGGATGTCACGGAGTTCGTCATTGCAATGCATCTCCTGACATCCTACAAGTCTGGCCAAATGCGAGGTGTTCCCAACACCTTGCCATCCGGCCTCTATGAAGCCGCCAGCCGCCGAACACCCGTGCGGATGGGAAGTGGTTCACGTCCAGGTTCGAGTGCAATGCAAGGTGTACCTCCCCAGATTCCTGCGTTTAATGCACGACCACAAAGTCCTATTACTCGGCAACAGGTCAGCACACCACTATCTGCACAATCCACGGGTGAAGTCTGGGCAATCACGCCTACTGACAAAGCCCGCTTCGATACGATTTTTGCGAGCATTGACCGTCAAGGCTCGGGTTATATCAACGGCGAACAGGCCGTGGAGTTCTTTGGGAATGCCCGGCTCCCCGAAGAGATCCTTGCACAGATCTGGGACCTGGCAGATGTCAATTCTGAGGGTCGACTGAACAAAGATGAATTCGCCGTTGCAATGTACTTGATACGTCAGCAGCGGGCTACGAAAGATGGCCGAGGCAACTTGCCCCAAACTTTGCCTCCAGCTCTCATTCCACCGAGCATGCGGAAGCAACAAGCACCTCCGCCTCAACCGACAGCGCCATCTTTTGAGAATGCTCCAGTCACCAAACCTCGATCCGCCGCTGACGATCTCTTCGGTCTCGATGCATTTGGGCCTGCGCCAACCGCTCCTGCAACTGCACCACCTCAAGTTGCCCAGTCTACAGGCGGCACTGATGCTGGCCCCTTTGCCAACCCTCCAAGCTTTGCTGCAGGTCTTTCTCCCCAGCACACATCAACAACATTTAAACCGTTCATTCCTTCCAGCTCATTTGGACAGAGTATTATCCCCCAGTCGACAGGTTCTCCTGCCCCACAAGCAAAATCACCTCCTATGTCAAATGATGATCTTCTTGGAGACGCAGATCCAGAGGTCAGCTCGAAGCTCACAAGTGAGACAAGCGAGCTAGGGAATCTGTCAAATCAAGTCAGCACTTTATCGAAGCAGATGACCGAGGTTCAAGGCACCAGGAAGCAAACGGAGCAGGAGCTTTCAACAACTACTGCACAAAAAAGAGCCTTTGAAGGTCGCCTCGCTCAATTGAGGTCCTTGTACGAGAAGGAAGTGCAAGAGGTGAAGGTGCTCAGAGAACAATTGACCGCTAACAGGACCGAGATCAAGCGGCTGCAACAAGACATGGCAATGATAGATGGCACACACCAGGATCTTTCAACGCAGCATCAACAACTACGTGCACAGCTAGAATCTGACCAACGCGAGAATCTAGCTCTCAAAGAGCGAATTCGACAGACCAATCAAGAAGTCGACCAATTGAAACCACAGCTAGACAAGCTCAAGTCCGAGGCACGGCAAACAAAAGGGTTGGTTGCCATCAATAAGAAACAACTGGCGACTAACGAGACAGAACGAGACCGAATTAAAGCTGAAATCGCAGCTGCTCAAAAAGAAGTAGAGGATGCCCAGAGAGAAGCCGAAGAATCCGCACGACAGGTCGAGGCTTCGAAGAAAGAATTGGAGGAGGCGCGTAGCGTTCCTGTTCCGACCGTCAAAAGCCCTCCTTCTGTCGCAAGCCCAGCCCCTTCGACGAGTTCCAATCCGTTCTTCAGACGAACCACCGAAACTAGCTTCTCTCCGCCAATTGCTGAAGAACAACCGAAAGACAATACCCAGAATGCTTTTGATAGTATATTCGGTCCATCATTCGGTGCGGCCGCGGCGCCTGCACCCGCCGTCTCCTTCTCTAGTTCCTCGCCTCCTCCTAATTCGACGATTACTCAGCCAAACGAAACAGCAGAATCAACGCCATATCGTGAGCCAGAGGAAGCGCCATCGCCGCCTCAGTCGCGACAGCTGACATCTGCTGCTCTTCCTTTTCGAAGACAACTGGAACGAGAAGACTCTGTTAGCTCTTCAGTGAAGGTAGCACCACCAACGAGCCGACTTAGTCCTGCCGAGACACCTCGCGCGCTGACACCGACGACCTCTACCTCGAGCCCATCTGGCATCCCAGAATCGCATGACGATCCGTTCACCGCCGCAGCACCGGATGCAGAACAAGAATCAGTACGGCAAACGCTCCCTCAGCCCTCATCGAGTGACTCGGCTGAAAACGCTTTTGGAAAGCCATCCTCAGGCTTAGTCGGCATTCCTGGCGCTTTCCCTTCAACCTCTCGATCAGATACTCCTGCTGAAGGTGTAAGCTCACATGATGCGACTCCTGGAGCTGGACTTGCCGCCGCTGCTCTCGGAACCGGCGCCGCTGTTACTACTGCTGCTGCTGTTGCTGCGAGTGGCTCTGGGGACGAGACAGCAGCTGCGGAAGCAAACAAAGGGGACGCTCCCAAATCCCCCGAACAGGGATTTGATGATTACTTTGGCGGGCCTGCCCATGCGCGAACGGCTTCGCAAAAGGCGGCCGATTTCGATTCAGCATTCGCTAATATGCAACAGCCTCCGGCGGCCAACGGTGCTGTTGACAGCGCTGGCAAGGAGTTCCCGGACATAGAAGAACTGGGTCAAGATGATGACAGTAGTGACTACAGTGACGAAACACCCATGAAATTCGAGGATGACTTCACCGCCAAATCCCCTCCCAAAGACGCTCCCAGTAGCGGCGACATCAAGGCTGGCAAACAGCCCGAAATTGCACCAGGAGAGGACGCCCTTCGGCCTCCCTTGCAAGGAGCAGCATCAACATCAAGCTCACTCCCGTCGCCTGATCAGCAAAAATCACCCCCAACGTATGGCGATGTCGTTCCCCATGATGACCCTTCACATTTCCCTCCCGAATTCAAGGGCTTATTGCCGGAGAGGCAGGATCCCACCTTGTCACCCCCTACTGAAGGCGGCGCCAGCAACCCCGGTCCGCTTCCGTCTGGCGAACCCCCGGCCTACGGTCCTGAAGCTCATCCCAGAAGTCCCTCAGACTTGAAGGCATCTGCACCCCCACCCACTGTAGCTGCACCTTTTGATTTTGACAGTGCTTTCTCTGGCGTAGGTGCAGCGCCGGTGGAGGACGACAACGATGAAGACGAGGACGCTGGTTCTTTCATCGCTTCCAAGACCGCAGCCGACTTCGATCCCACGTTTGACTCACCACCGCAGTCAAGGTCATCGGCCCTTCCTCAGACAAGCACATATGACTCTGTGACGACAAATGGTGCATCTCAAGGAGGGGTGCACAATTTCTCACTTTCGAATGGTTCATCTGGTGGGCCCGAGACTGGGCGCAACGCTGGAGGCTCACATGATTGGGATGCTCTTTTTGTACCGCTGAACACCAACACAGCGTTCCCATCGACAGAGCCCGCAGGACAAGAACCTGCCCTTCCTGCTGAACAGCCTGCAGAAGCGACACCTGTCTCGCCCGCCGCACCAGCCCCAGCTAGCCTGGCGGCGCCGATGTCTAAACCGGAGCGCCCCCAGCCTGGTCGTGCACTGAGTACCGGAACTGAGCACGACGACCCGATCCTTAAAAGACTAACGGCAATGGGTTGGTCACGCGAAGAAAGTCTGGCGGCGCTGGAGAAATTCGATTATAACATTGACAAGGTGAGTTTCTGGTTTGAACGAGTGGTTGAGACTAGTGCTAACAAGTGACTAGGCTGCTGATTTCTTGACATTCCGTTCATGACACTAATTGGCAAGTGTGTTGTGGTGGAATGGAAAGGCTTTTTTCTAGAATAGTCTTCTAGCAGCCTTTTCTAGCATTTAAAAAAGAAGATGGAGTTTCGTAGAGTAAAGCTAGGAGCTAGATATCTATACCTTTGCTTGACTCGCAGCTTCCAGTCCCAAGGAGCTCGGAAAGAATAGTGTGTGATATTGAGCGAGTTGAGAAGGGGAAATTTATATTCTGCTCTTTTTGTCCTCCGTAAAAGTAGATCTGTAGCCAATCGATGCTGCGGTCCTCTCTGGTAAATAAATGAAAAAGTTCGAGACAGACTGCGCAATCTCAGGCACGACGTAAGATACTGTCCGACCATGCACCGTCTCACTTGAATGACGTTGAAGACCAGGTGATGGATATTCTGGCGGGGGAGACGGGAAACGGCTGCACTTGGACCGTCCACGAGAGGCAAGGCGGCAGATCTACGGACAGAAATGGTGTATTCAATTGAACAAGAACCGCGCGTGCATATTTCATTGACCTAGGTACAGTCTTTAAAAGGATCACTAGGCCACTAAGGATCGGATTGGTTTGCCTCGTTACTCGTCGGGGAGTCAATAAAGGCAAACCCTACTCTGGCGAAAAAAACAAGAACAAAAAATCGACACGAAAATTCAAGGAGGCTCGGCCGACGTATCTGCGACGGGCGATTCTCCAGAGGCAGGTCCAAAGGGAGAACCCAAACAGGGCAAAACTCAAAACACTCGTTCCCCGATGCGTGGCGCACCCCCCTTCCAGTCGTGACGTTCGTAGTAACGAAAGACCAAATCGTAGCCGTCGAGGTCGTGGACGATGCGGTCGACGCGGCGGTACCCGTTGATGGAGTCCATCTTGGCGTTGCGACGGGCCACCTTGCGCTCGAGCATCCTGATCTCGGCGAGCTGGTCCTGGTCGGCGCAGCTCTGTTCCTCGTAGTTGGTCTTGGCCTCGAAGAGGGTGACGCTGAACCGGCCGGGCTTGAAGATGTCCACCACGTGCTGGACGATGTCGGTCGTCTCCCGGCCCTTTTGCCCGACGGGGACACTAGTCTCGAACGAGGCGTAGGAGCAGATCGGCTCGGGGGTGACGTGCACGGTGAAGTAGTGGGTGCCCTTTTCGCCCGGGGGTGCCGGGATGACACCGTTGGCCGAGAAGCCGCAGGGGGTGAACAGGTAAGCGTCCACGCGCGCATCCGGGTACTTGTGGGACGGGTAAACGTCAGACAAGCCACAGGCTTCGGAGACCACGGTCCCAAGGGCGTGGCCTTCGGTGGTGAGCTCGGCGGGGTAGGGTTCCTCCTTCATCGAGATATCAGCGTCGGACGAGGCGTTGCTGAAGACGTCGACGTGGTCATCTTGACTCTGTTGGGACCCTCTCCACTGATCTTCTGCGACCGCACTCGCATGGTCGAGGTAGAATTGCTTAGCATTCTCTTCGTCCAGATCAGTCATGAGCACCTCCAGAGTTTCGTCTTCTCCCTCGCAGACCCTGGAACCACGGTCGATCGTGAGCGAAGTCGGCAAGTCCAGAACCTTGGTCTCAGTGCCCGGACTGTCCAAGCTCTGTGGGCTGGCCGGTGGCGTCAACATGGTATACGGCTCGGTCAAGTAGAGGTACCAATGCTCGCCGTTCATCTTGCCGATCATGTAGGCACTTCCTCCCACGAAAAGCTTGTCGAGAGCGTAGACCTCGTCACGCCAACTGCGGTGAGGGCCTCGCTGTCGATCGGGGAAGAGGTAGTTCTTGCGGCTGTAGAAAACGCGATACGGAGCGGCGGCGACGGCGATGCCACGCGAAGATGGCGCAGTGGAGCGTGCAAAGCCACCGAAGAGAGTCGCGATCTCCAGAATACGTGGGAGACCACAAAGCAAGGTGGTAGTGCCACATGTTTTCAAAATGAGCTTGTGTGGAAAGACGAACATGCTCGATTCCGAAAGGAGATAGGCATCGACATCCTCGGATTCGACGATGGACAAGACCTTACAATTGACCAGGTCAAGCATGGACTTCCAGATTTCGGCAGGCACAGCCTTGAGGCCTAGCGGCTCCGAACAGCGATGGAGAGCATTTGCAGATGGACTAAACCATACTTCTAAAAGCTTTTCAGGGCCTGCAAAAGGATCAGTACATGAGTAGCGTGCGAGTTCAGGCCTGACTGACCTTCAAATGCATTGCTAGAATCAAGATCTAGCGCAACTTCACGATTGATAGTCAAAGATGTACTATGACTAAAGCTCGATGGTGAAGTGGTATAATGCGGGGGGATCCCAATATGTACCATATCCTTATCGACCTCACGGACGGAGTCGACTGGAGAGAACGGTTGAAAGGAGGCTAGATGTCAGGAAACACTGATCTCAAGAGTCAGTGAAGCACTATCTGCCGCCCAGACGAACAATGCGGTGTCCGCCTGAGAAGAGAAGGCCCACTAATCTGTGGGAAAAATGGAGGCTGGCTTTTGCCAGCAGCAATGCTCGGTGTGATATTAAATTCCCTTCCAAAGGGGTCGTTAGGGAGGCCGGAAGGAGGTGAGGAGGAAGAAGATTTCCTGCACGAACGGAATTGTGGGCAGTATTTTTCGTCTCTTTCTGATCAAAATTCGATACCGGTCACGGCACCGATAAGCAGCGCGATGGACACTTGCGGGCAAGTGTTCGATAGTCGATCAAGATCGGTGTGAAGGAATTGTGTTTTTGAGTAATTGGTGTTATCGTGGCCTGAGACATTGTTAGCAACAGCGTCGGCGGGAATTTGAGTGGGAGGCCAACTTTGCAGGCTTGGACAGGAAGCGTAGCAGATCCTTGCGGCTCATGAAGCTGCTACAAGGAGCTTGTTGATCGTTATGTCCTGAATGTGACACCCAGGGCTGGACTGGTTGGGTTTTCCAGACCTGCGACTGTGTGAAGCTTGGTGTGTGAGGAAAATACCTCAGAAATTTTCACACCGCTTGGCTGGTGTGCAAGGTCGGTAGGTGTTGCAGGGCAACAGAAATAGAGCGTAGTAGAATACCAGTGGTATTCGAAATGCAATTGGGTATTAGATCAATCCAGGAGCTGGATGTTTCTGTGTAGAAAGTGTTGAACACACGAAATGGTCTTGTTGGCGTGAACGGTCAATGAGGTTTTGGGCACTAGAGTCGGACAGTGTGTGACGGATGTTTGGTGGAGTGGCTCAGTGGCTAGTGAGGTTAAGTGGCTCAGTCACACTCACTAGGCTGCAAATAGACTGGTTTGCAACGGGACGAGCGAGGCTGGCCAATGGTAAGGAAGTCGCAAGTTGGGGCGCAGAGCAGTGACGATGAGCTGCAAAAATCTTCTCGGTTGTCGCGCTACACTCTAGTAAACAAAAATTTGGGCTGTCAAGCGAAGATCGGTGATCGACTTACAGATACTTGTAGCAATACGGAGCTTGAGTCCCCGAGACTTGCCAATCGCCTGTAGTTGTATCCGTACTCCGTATACAGATACTCTCAATGAAGCACGTGCTATTCCATTATATTGATGACACTGAGCATGCCCACTACTATGAAGTAAATGTCATACAGTCGTACTGCTGATTAAAATGCGAAACCCACGATATTAGGTAGTCATCCTCTTGTGGTTTAATTTTCTGTGCGTGAAGCATGGCTGGTATACTCGTACTCGTACTCGTACAGTACAAACGATGATGCCTTCTGGCGCCACCCCCGCGACAAGGCTACAAGGTCTCGTGGCAAGGCTGCCGAAGAATAATTTTTGGGCTCGGCTTGTTACGCCATTAATCGGCGGACGATGCCGCTACTTTGCTTAGCAATACGAATTACAATACAAACACTTGCTGTACAAAAGTGTTGTTTCAATGGGTAGTCTCTGATCTCTCATTCACATGATTTTTGACATCTTCTCCAATCTACATCTCCTGCGACAGAAACAGTCCTCTCCATCATGGGCTTGGAGAACGTCAAACACGTTGTCCTCGTCCTCTCCGGCAAAGGCGGCGTCGGGAAGTCCAGTGTCACACTTCAACTCGCCTTGTCACTCACGTTACAAGGCCACAACGTCGGAATCCTCGATATAGATTTGACTGGACCTAGTATACCCCGTCTACTGAACCTAGAAGACAAGAAAGTAACTCAGGCTCCCGGTGGATGGCTTCCCGTCAAGGTGCACGATGCTGCCACTGGCAATGATGGTGATGAGTCCACACCAGAAACTACAGCCAATGCCAGTCCACACTCGTCGACCCCCTCGAAACGCGGACGTGGATCCCTACACGCACTGTCTCTTGCCTTCCTCCTACCTTCTCGCTCCTCGGCCGTCATTTGGCGTGGGCCCAAAAAGACCGCCATGATCAGACAATTCGTCTCGGACGCATTGTGGCCACCGAATACCGATTATCTACTCATCGACACCCCACCGGGAACGAGTGATGAACATATAGCAATAGTTGAAGAGTTGCATAAACTTGCTACAGAATCACAGCCTGTTCAATACTCCAACGGCAATGGAGCCTCTACACATACCGGCAACGAGCCCAGACTTGCAGGCGCGGTGGTCGTGACCACACCTCAAGCCATATCGACGGCGGATGTGAGGAAGGAGCTCAACTTTTGTGTCAAAACCCAAGTGCCCGTACTCGGTGTGATTGAAAATATGGCCGGTTACATGTGTCCATGTTGCGGGGAGATCAGCAATGTCTTTAGCAAAGGCGGTGGAGAAATCATGGCCAGAGAGGCTCATGTCCCTTTTCTTGGTTCGGTGCCCATTGACACTGGGTTTGGGGCTCTGGTAGAGGGCACCAACAACCAAGAAGAACCGAGTGCGGACGGCTCGGATAATGATCCTGTTGTTCCAGTACAACCTCTACCTACAGAACTCGTCGAGCGATACCGAAAGTGCGGCCTGTGTCCGATATTTGCTGGATTCGCTACAGACGTCGACCGGACGGTGCGGGCTTTAAACGCTTAGAGACCTGGGCTTGGTTCAAATCAATGTCCCCAGAATGACCTTTGCAGACCATGTGTCTGGCTTCACGATTTCGGGCGGCGTATTAGAGGAGGGAAATTTTCTCGCTACGATCTGTGAACCTGCACATCTAGATCTTGAGAGCACAGCAGGACACTTCTCTAGACCTGATGATCAGCTTCTGCAGTCTATCTCAGTTTCCGAGAGAGCACATCGATTGCTGTTTGACCCGGCAACTATTTTTGACAATGGTGCGCAGGCGAAGTCATTGCCTATCCCTGCTCCCATCTGCTCTGACTGTGCAAGCGCCACCAAGTCTGGTGTCAGTATAGAGCAAAGAGCCTTCATCGATATCAGTAGTGGAGCGAGACAACGTCGGCGAGTTTCGTGTCGACCCTGGCCTAAACATGGCTTCGTCATGAACGTCGACCGCAAAGTGAAGGGGTATCTGCACCCTCAAAAGCCGATGTCCTAGGTGACATGCTCAAACCTGGCTTATGAACCTCGTCGAATTCCGTGTTAGGATGGCCTTTACCATTGTATTCGCTTCTACTCGAATCACGAACAAGAAAGGACGAACTTATTGAAGGAAAGGACTTTGGTTTCCATTAGAGTGGCAGCAAGTTTGAGCCATAGGCCCGAGCCAAGTTCTGCAAGGAATGACTAGACTATTATGTACGTATTATATATTCAGACTGTGACTGGGCGGCTTTTCACGGCATGGAATGGTCATATACAGGCGGACGATGCCTCTTTCAGAGAGAGAGAGAGAGAGAATGCGTGTGTCTGTGTTGTGTTTCCAATCAACGGCGACGCGACGCACTGCCACTAAAGATGGTGCCGTCGTAGTCTGTGCCATTATTTGGCCAGTTGACAGTGTAGTTGCCGAAGCAGGCGTACTGGTAGTTGCTCTGATCAAAGCTCGACTCTTGGCTCTTGAGGAACGCGCTGAGAGGGCACATCCCGTCGGGTCGGTTCCCGCAGTAGCCACCGCGGATGGTGGACAGGGGGAGGATGCCGTTGTTGAGGCGCATGCGGACAAACTTGTAGGTGGCGTTGCTGGCCTGGTAGCCGTACTGGCTCGTGTAGTACTGCGTCCTGGTGGTGTTCTGCGGAGAAGGGTTGCCGGAGCCGCAGCCTATCACTTCCGTGATCAGACGCGCCGCAAAGGGCGTCAAGTGGGAGAGGATGAAATGTCGCTGGGGGTCTGGAGGATAGTCGGTCAGACTCGGCGGGTCGCGCAGATAGTCCAGAGAGGCCGCGGTCAGGACGGAAATGATGATGTCGTCGTGCGAAAAGTCGGCGTAGAACTTTTGGTCGAGGGGGAACGTCCGCGAATTGTTGGTGATGGAGCTGTTGACGCTCGAGTTGGACGACGTGATGTACTGGTGTTGCAGCCTTGCCAAGAGTTCTTGTAGGTAGCCAATGCCTTGAGCACGACCCGTCGGGTTCCCCCACGCATAGTCGTAATAATATTCTTGATCGAGCGTGCTTTCGAACCCGGACCATTCATCTTCGGTGAACAAGCCGCAAAAGTCACTCATGCCGAGATAGTTGGTCTCGTAAGCACAGAGGCTCCTGGAAGGGAGGGAGGTGATTTCGTCAGCGGCCCGTCATCTTTTTGACAGTTCAAAGAGAAAACGACTATATGAAAATGGTGTTTTTCCAACTTACTGCATGGCATACGTGTCGTTGAGGGTCAGATTGAACCCAGAAGGCACATACTGAGAAAGGCGCTTGTTGGCGTCCGAGAGGTAGATGGGGACGTAGTTGAACAACAGGTCGTAGTCTCCGAGAAGACCCTCTGGCTGATTGTTGTCGTTGAAACAGCTGTCGTACGAGGCCAGCGTATTGTTCTCGGTTCCACCTTCGGGGATGACGACCAGATTGAAGGGGCTCGTGGCGTTCGCCAGGGTAGGGTTGGGCGTCTGCATGAAAGACGGCCCGAAGAATCCCAAGGCCCAATTGATCTGCGTGTTCTCGATGCGGGACTGTGATGTGGTCCGTAGAACTGGCTTCGTTCTCGCCGTTCCGTTCGGGAAACTCGTATTGTACGCGAGCTGACCCATGGAGGCATTGTACAGGACTCGACCGTAACGTTCCCAAAAGGTGACTCCGGATGAGAACAGCTGCGAGGCGCCAGTCCCGACCAGGTAGCTCTCGCCCATCTGGTAGCGGTAGGAGTTCAAGAAGCTGAGCGGTCCGGTGAACTGCTCCTTCGAGTTTGCTTGGGTCCAGTTGGACACCTTGGAAGCAAAGTTCTCGTCGTTGACGCCGTCGTCAAAGTAGCTCGTTGGGAAACGCGAACCATGACGCTGGAGCAGATGAGCCTGCTCGACTTGACAGCCGTCCGGCAGACCTGTCGCATCGACGCCGAAGAAGTCCTCGGCATTGTCCGCATAGGGTGTGAGCTGACCCCAGTACGACTGAATGATGCTGAGGTCAAGCAGAGGCTGGGAAGATGAGGAGTTGAATGACGACTGCCGACGTTGTCGTGGGTAAGGCGACGCCGCTGCCAGAGCCGGTAGGACGGCAAACAAAGTGAAGAGTAACCTCATCTCGACGCTGGTGTTGTGGTCAACGGCTGCTGCGTGGCCGGTTGGTCGTCTCCCGAGGATGATACAGAAATTCCAAGATCCTGGCCGCCGGTTGGCTGGAGCCGAGGTTTTTGTACTTGGGACCTTGCGAAAGCTTCCATCTCAGGGCGCTACGCAGCGTACGGAGTACGTACTCGATACCCAGGCTAAGAAGCTTTTCGATTGGAAAAGGATGACGACAAAGGCGTCGAAGCTATCCGCAATTGCTACTCCGGAGTTGACCAGCGCATATCCACTTTGGAGGAGGTGAGCCAAGGTCGATCGACCATATCCACGAATGGGACCATGTCGTACGTAGCACGGGGCGCTGTGGACGAAGATCCCTTGTCACCCAAAAAGCAGCCGATGGAACAGCCGGATCGTGGTATGGAGAGCGGGATGGTACGGAGGAATGCTACGGAGTACCAAGACTCGTAATCATCAGAAAATCACATCTGCGCACGAACGGCCAGGCATTCAGTCTATGCATGCAAGACATCATGACAATAGCCTGGGCAAGGGCATTGTACCGACCTTGGCCCTGGTAGATGGAGATTTGAGACGGGCGAAAGAAGGACGAAGACTGTGTTATTCTTGTAGTGTATTCCGTAGAAGCCCACTGTTTGTATGGTGAAGTTGTGGAGTATGGAGTATTTCTATCTTAAACTTGTCACGTCAAGCATCGGTTGAAGAAGCTTGTCAAGACAGCTTAAATATTCTTCTTGAATGGGTACATTGATCGAAGTGAGCTTCTCGCAGTCTCTAGGTAATGGAATCCTTGGTCTGTCGAATGAAGATGCGCCAAATGTCCTGCGCCCATTGAAGCCTCAAACTGCGATTTTCCAAAACCCCAACTCTTCAATCTGAACCAGTATCTGCTCAAACTGCTGCTCCTCCCGTTACCTCTGATCTTTCCATCTTGTCCAGCGTTTTTCGACACTGCTCTTCTTGTTTCCATCTCCACATCCTCTGTCTCCTGTGAGACGCGCGGTTCGCCAGACCATCGCCCACACTGTGTGTCACCGGCATCCTCACCAATCTTTGAGCGCCAGAGTCAATCTTAGCCACCGCCAGCGCAGGCCATGAGCCTCTGGCACGATTTCCATCTTCCGTCTCCCTTCATTGGGTATTCTTGCAGCCAGATTTCCTGTCGTCAGATGCGTTGTTTTTCTTAAACCATGGACAGTCGAACAGACACGTCTTCATCAGGCCGCTTTGCCGGACAATGGGCTTTTCTTACGTCGTCTTCAAATCATGGACAAACAAGGTCACTTCCGCAAACCTCGAGCTACCTGCGCAGCGACCGTAGCAATGTCTCGCCATTCCTGCATATCCAGCAACTCAACGCCTCCCGATCCAGTTTGTCCAGAAATGCCCAGACCAGGTCGGTGGGCGGGCAGAGCACCACCACCATTCCTTCTCAACCGGTCCTCGTTCGCGTTCATTCTGCCAGCGCCTCTATCCAAATCCACCCTGAAACACGGCCCAGGAAACTCAAAGAGAAGATGAGCAAAGACTCTGAATTGCCAGCAATTCATGAGTACAGCATACGAGGCATTCTGGCAGCAGTTCATGAAGAGGTGGATGACGATATCAATGCAATATCTGAAATCCTGGGGAGGAGCAGACTAGTTCTGGCCGACCAACATGAAAGCCACTTGCCTCCTCAAGGTGAGATCAGAGCTTCTCAGAATCAATTACAGGTTGTGGCGGAAGCTGGCATAAGCAACGAAAGGCTGACGCCGGCGGACGATGTGCTCATTCTGACAGAAGACGCAAGTCTCGTGGGGGAAAGTCATCCAGGATCTTCCGCTTTTGGACTCATGGAAAGAATGCAAGTAAATCCACGCCGCATGGCCGGAGTGTCTGATGCTGCAGGGCAAGCCGTTTCTCAGCCTCCGTTCACGTCCAACTGCCACCAACCGACGCCTGAGATGTCGCCTGCTGCTGGTCAAGCCCATGACCGAGCTGCTACAGCTGCGGCAGCACAGTCATCTCGACGACTGCTTTCAAGCCAGCTCCGGGAAAGTCAAGATGTTCGATCGTTGTCAAGAAGCACAGATCCCGTGGTATGCGAGACCTACCTATCCCCAGGTGCAGATTCAGTCACTCTGCCAGACCCATCCCCAGTACCCGGAGACGTGCCCTACACGCTCGACGGCCATGATGGCAATGAACTTTTGGGCGATACATTGCCTGCCACACCCCCACGCCGGACATTTCTTAACCGGTTATGGTCACTGGTACCAACAGAGGACATCACCAGACTGTTTTCCTGGACGAAGGGTCGAAGAGAGCGTGTGGTGACTGCAGAATCCCAGTTGAGAGATATTATGGACCGGCAAGAACAGAGACACCAATGATGCAACGATTTTTACGATATTAACGATGTTGACGACAATAATGATGATTTATACTACTAGCTATTGATTGATTTTAATCAGCACTGTCTTGGTCTCCAAGAAATTGTTCAGACTGTGTCCGAGACCTTCTCTGCCGCTACCACTGCTCTTGTATCCGCCAAACGGCATGTCTTTAGCGAGCGTCGGACTCGTGCAATTGACACCAACTGTACCAGCTTCCAAAGCCTTCGCAAATCGCATAGCCCTGTTGATGTCGGTGGTATAAACTGCCGCGTACAACCCAAACTCACTATCATTCGCCTTGGCGATGACCTCTTCCTCTGTCTTGAAAGTGTTGATGTTCACAACAGGGCCGAAAATCTCTTCCTTCATGATGACTGCATCTTCGGGGGTTCGGAGGAAAATACTCGGTTCAATAAAATAGCCCTTGGCGCCTCCGGCGACGTTGGTTGTACCGCCCATTGCAAGGTTTCCTGAGGTTTTGCCCATTTCAAGGTACTTCTGCACTGTATCCCACTGAGCTGCATCTGCCTGGGGTCCGTGGGTCGTTGCGGGATCCAGAGGATCGCCAGCCGAGATACTTGCAGCTTTGGCTTTGAAACGTTCCACAAACTTGTCTGCAATGCTCTCTTCCACATAGATTCGACTGTTCGCCATGCAGACTTGGCCACTGTTCCATTCTATGCTGTTTTGAGTGTCGGTGACTGCAGTCTCAAGATCGCAATCCGAGAAAACAACGGCGGGTGACTTTCCACCGAGCTCCAGGATCACATTCTTCAGATTGGATTTCGCAGCCGCAGCCTGGATAAGTCTACCAGTCCGACATGAACCGGTAAAGCTGAGTGCCCGAACATCCATGTGCGAGGAAAGAATGGCGCCGGACGTTTGACCGTGACCAGAAATCACGTTGATCACTCCAGGCGGGAATCCAGCTTTCTCTACAAGGGTTGCGGCATATGCAGACTAGGAGAAGGTTGTCAGCAAAGGCTTTCCAAAATGAGAAAATCCCGGCGAGTGGTTAATGTATGGCTTCGGACTTACTGACAACGGAGCCTTTTCGCTACTTTTCAGGACAACGGTATTACCGGCCGCAAGTGCCGGGGCGACCTTGTTTCCGAAAAACACCAAAGGAAGATTCCAAGGAATGATCGCAGCGACCACTCCGTACGGCTGCTTGAAAGTCATGTTGACAAATCCCGGCGTGTTGAGACTGCTGACGCCTTGTGCTTCATATCCTGCCTCTGCGTAGTGCTCGAATGTGCTTGCGCAAGCATGGTTGTCGAAATATGTCGATACTGGACGGCCCATGGACATGGCCTCGAGCTCCGATAGCTCCTTGTAGCTTGCGTGCAGTAGAGCCGCCAGCTTTTTCATATACACACCACGCTGATCCGGACCTAGGGCGGACCATGATGGAAATGCTGCCTTTGCAGCGGCAACTGCAGCGTCGGTGTCTTCCTCACTGGCTTCGTGTACTATTAAGGGGTGGTGATGTCAGTCCAACATGATTGCAAACTCGCCTCTCGAAGACCAAATCAATCTGAAAAGGTGAAAGTATTTTCTTGTACCTTCAGCCACCAATTCCCTCGTGAATGGCGATTTCAATGGAAAAGTCTTCCCGTTTGATGACTCAACAAACTAGAAAGCCTCTCAGCCTTTTGATTACACGTATGATGCGTGCCTTGTGACGACGTGAAAAGCACACCTACCTTGCCATTGATGAATAGTCTTGTCTCGATCTTCTGAATGGAACCCATGTTGCTGCCCTGCGCCAAAGAAAGACACCGTGCGATACCTTACACTTTGCAATTCAACTGCTATGTGTGACACGGATTGATGCCCAACGAGAGGCCTGTGGAATGACGAACTGAAATTTGTACGGTTGTGAGCAGCAGTGTGAACTTTGCAACTACCGGGGGGGCGTGATCCGATGGTTTTGAGGGACCGCGGCAGGAGGCATTGATATCAGCCGGGAGAGAAGTCTCGAACCCTGTGGGCGCGGGGAGTTGTGGAGAGTCCCACGAATTACTGCAATGGGTGTTTCTTCCCTGATGGGGTTGAAAAAAAAAGAGGTCTCTCTACTGTGGCGATAGGCTCTAGACTGTGAATGATGAAAAGGATTTACACGGTCCTCTTTTACAATTTCGATGCTCGTTGCTCACAACTCCGTATCGAAAAACTCGGCTGGTCATGCTTCTGGACTCCCACTTTCCTCGTTATGGGGGAAAAACCTTCCGATGCCAGCCTTGCCGGCTCGTCCACCTCAAGTAGAAATTGTGTGGACAGAGAGAGGAATGCCAATACATATACGGTCTGGTAAAGTCTGTGGGGGGGGTTTTCAGCCACAGCACCTTGAAGCTGGACGATCCCCCAAAGCCCAATCATACACTATTCGTCACGCGTCAACAATCAATGGCTTCCGTTGATCCCGTTGGAGCTGTCGATGACCCCGTTCGGTCCTTGTCGGTGCTCCTCACCGTGTCGCTGATGTCGACGACGGACCTGCCACGGTAGAGGTTCCCGGGCGGGGTGGGCCGGACCTACGTCCCCGGATTCGGACCTCCTCCCTTTCCACGCGTCAATGTCCCTCTGGTCGACGAAGTTGCCGTGCAGGCCCAACTTCAGTTTGAACGGCAGGTGGATCGCCGCCACCGGACCCCGGGCCACGTCGAGGGCGTCGAGGATCACAATGTCGTTCCTCAGGACGTCCAGGTGGTTCACGAGTGCGATGATGTAACCCTCACCTTCCGCGCCCCCGTCCTTGGGTATGAAGGAGGGTTCCTGGAAGGTCGCCGTCGGTCCCGCGAAAAAGACGTCCTCCTTGGTCCTGTCGTCCCAGGAATAGTGGCCGACGCAGTTGAAGAGCCCCCCCGCCGGGGGACCACACCTGGCAAAGTCGTACGGCCTCGCGGGGTCGACCTTGGCCTGCCAGAAGTGGTTGTACTTTTTGGTCACGTACCGGTCGTCGATCCTGGAGAATTCCCCGTTGGTCATCCAGGTCTCGGCCGGGGTGACCCTGGTCCCGGTTTGGGCCTTGGGGTCGAAGATCCACCTGCACGTCGGACTTTTGAGTTGATTCCGTTTGGCCAGCGGAGCCTCCTTCTCGTCGACCGGGGGGAAAAAGAAGAACACGTTGCCGTCGGCGACGGTCAGATCAAACACCACGTGACCGTCTTCGTTTTCGTAACAACCGGCGATATGACCGTGGAAAGCTGTGAGATCAAAAAATCAGACAGGCCTCGAAGTCGTGTTGCAATTAAAACTACTCACCGTTGTCGGCTCTGAACCAAACGATATCCTCCGGTTTCCCATTCCGCCTGGGTACCACACCGTACCATTGGTCCTCGTTGGGATCCCATGCCCAATGGTTTTCGCCCTTTTTCAGTCTGTCCATGCCCGTCCACTTGATCGGGGTGAGTGGCAAGACCATGTAGTTTTCACTGACACCACAATCGTGAATCATGCCACAAAAGGGGGCTTTGTACCAACACTCTTCGGTCTTTCGGCCGTCACGGTCGATTGTCCAGACCACCACGTCGTTGGAACCGTCGTGACCGTCCCCTCCTGCCTCGTAAGCAAAACACAACATTTCGCCCGTGTCGGGGTCGAATTTCGGGTGGGCCGTGAAGGTCGGGGTCAAGATTTGACCTTCAAAGTCGTATCTCCCTATGGTTTCCAGCGTGACGGGGTCCATGATGTAAGGTGGACCATCTTCCTTGGACGCCAAAAGTAAACCCCTCCAGAAGGTGATGTTGGTGTTGGCGACGGTACGGATCACCCCCTTGACGGTTTCGCTGTCGGTGTACGGGTTTCGGTATCGTCCAAAAAGTGCCCTACGAGCCTCGGTCTCGGCCTTGTATCGATCGGTCTGGACGTAACGTTGTCGGAAATCCGCGTGTCCGTTGGCGATTCGAATCGCCGTGACACTACCGTCGCCGTTCTAGAAATAGTAAAATTGATATGAGCACGTCGGGTCCGAATTGAGGCTGCCGATAGACAATGGAGCGGATCGAGAAACGGGGTCGAGCCGGGTCAGGTAGATTTTTTGGACTTACGAAATGTATATCGTCCTCGAAAATGGGGGGAAACCTATGATCTGGTTGTATTCTGTAGAAGGTCCCATTGATCTCTGGAGGGATGATTCCGTCAAACTCAAGGTCGAAGATATCACCTTCTAGACGACAAGGTTTGTTGAAACCCTGAAACACTCCGGTCGCTGGATAGACGACCCGATCGTCGGAAGACTTGACTCCGGCGCTGTAATTTGAAGGTGTGAATTGAGGTGCGAGATCAAATATGTGTGCCATGGTGTTGGAATAGCTGATCTACCCAAGAGTAGATTTTCAGGATACCAGGGCAGTGATTGACTATTATCTGGCTTCGAGTAGAGAAAACCATTTCCATGCAGAATATGACTGCCATCCGATTTGGAAGCTTGAAGTTGGTGAGCTTGAGACCACCGGCGTTGACAGCAACAGCATAACAGGATCGGCAAATGGTTCTTTGACAATTGCCGCCCGGAGATGAGTTATTCTTTGGAAAATCCATTTTCAGATTACGGATAGAACTCTGGGGTATCGTTCCAAAAGGCCGAGGATGCCAGGGGTGATCGTCTAGTTCTGTTGCACGGAGTACGTTGTCTTGAATGGACTCTGGGGTATCAAGGACGGAGTACATACGGTATCAGCTGGCCTGGTTAAGAGTAGTGCGGAGTCTCTCCACATCAAAGTCAAAGTCTTCAGGCTCCTTGTGGGGAATGGATCACTTCCCAAACAAGGAGGGGAGGGAGGGACATTACCACATGAGAGGAGACAAGGCAGTAGTAGAGGGTTCATAGACGAAGACTAACAACAAGATCGACCAATTGAGAGAGAACATGATACGGAGCGTAGGTGCATCCTTTTGTCACTATAATAACCGTAGAAACATTATTGATTGAGTTGGCGTACATCTAGCCACGATATGTCCTTTCGACTCCTGACTCTCTACGAGTATTCGGTCTGAGATACCTATAGGGTCACTGGTTAAGCTGGCGTCGCATCGGCAATCTCACCGTGCTCCTGAACAACTCCCTTCTCCTTGGCCAATCTCTCCTGTTGATCTTTTGGTAAAGCCAGTGTCAGTGGAGGCTCCGAAGTGCTCACATCCTGTCCGTAGTGTGGCGCCCTCAGGTCGTCATCCTTGACCTGTTGTCCAGTGACGGGGTGAGGGTAGTGGAAGGGGATGACTCGGGTGTCGGGCCACAACATTTTCTGTTCGATGATTTCGTCGGGTCCGACAGGGTCTTCCGGGTAAGTCGTGGTCGGCCAAGGGATGTAGTTTTTCTTGGTGTGTGCCCAACCTCTTTCGAAATCGGCGTGCCAAAAGGGAAAGTAACGGTATCTTTTTTGAAGTGGTAGGTTGTGTTGTCAGAAAAAGATCAAAGAGTGGCCGGGAGGGGGTTTTAAAAAAAAGATTGATCGAGGACGTCAACTTCCTACATACCTGAACAATTTCCAGGCACCATTTTCTTTGATGTATTCGTTCTCGTAGAGTCCTCCTTCCCACCATTGGGCGTGACCGCGGGGGTGCTCTTCTTGGATACTTTGGTGGGTTCCGGCCGACATCAGGGCTCGGAGGCGGCCCCAAGCGTGCGTAGGGGTGTCACGGTCGATGATGTCTTGGAGCATGGGATGGTCCAACAAGAATCCGTACACCGGGCCATTGCGTCCCGCGACAAAGTACTTTTGGAAACGTCCCTGGTACAGACGACGGATGCCGGCCTTGCCCCTGTATCGGGAACCCAGAAACTCGACGTAGGCGTCGGGGTGGTCGGAGAACATGTCGACAACCTAGGCAATTAAAGTGTCAGTGATTTGACAGTGTCGGTTTGAAGGTTTCAATCTTGGGCTTGTTCCTGACCTCGTTGTAGAGACACTTGTCTAGGTAATAACCATACTTGAAATGTGTCTTGCGAATCTCAGCTTCATCTGCCCTTGTTTGTTAATGTTTTTGTTTCTGGTTATATCCCAGTCCATCACAAAATGTCCCACCTTCGACCTTTTGTAACTTGTCGTGAAGTCGCTTGACTTCGGCCTGTAGATCAGCAATTTGAGCTTCCATGATGGGTGGAATGTGTATTGATTCAAGTCAGGGGGGCGTATGAGAGAGAAATCAACGACTGGGGAAGAAGTTTCGTTTTTGGACCACGAAACGACATGTGTGCGTATGCCAGCGGCGTGCCACTTTGTACCTAATATACTATCGTAGTCCGTACCGTAGTATGAGCATCTTGGTCAAACCAATCCATGCAGTGAGTGGCTTCTCCGCAGTTTCATCGACGCGCTTCTTCCCAAAAGGAGCCAATGCCCCATCTCGCAACTTATGTACGTGCATAGTTACATTTTCTCGCACCCCGGATTCTGCGATGGGATGAAGTGCCGCCTGCAATTGACTGAAAAAGAGTTGATCCGGCAATGCATGAGAGACTGTACAATACCTGACCCTCTATTTTCCAAAGAACAAATGAACAAAGGCGGCAATGACATTTTGGGAAATTGTCAACAAAAAGAACGAGGAAAGTCTGCCGAGTACGAGTTCATCGTCCCAAACGTTTATTAATCTGTGGCTTTGTCACCTTCAAAGGTTGGTTGAAGGCATTGAATACTATCTGCGAGCACTATCTTCAATGACAACTTGGCTCTAGACATTCGGGAATCACATTCAACTGCCGAGAATCACCTCGACTCTTTATCGACCAGGTCAAGTCAATACCCCGCCTTCCCAGTCTTCGTCCTTCACGTGGGGTCAGAGGGTGAACGAGTACGGACAAGTTGGACCGAATAGTTTGGAACGAAATATTTGTTGAAGTCAGCCTGGTGTTTTTTCATTCTTCACTTGGCCAGAAGCCTGGCATATTTCGCTGTCGTAGTATCTGCATCAGCCGCACATCGTGTGAATCGGTCAAGACTTCAGTTGGCTATTTGGGTTTTGCTTTGGTGTTTTGCACAAGCTAATTTGCTGACAAAAAAGAACAATGATTAATATTCATAATACTTCGGCATATCCTCAGTGCACATGTGGTATGAATAATGAGCTCCTCCTCCATATTCTGTACTCCATATGCTTATGAAATATTCACACTCCGTACTCTGTCTCCCCCTGGAAATAGAATTGACAATTTCAGCCTCGGGCGGAGAGCGGGGGATTTTTTGGTTCCCAGTATCCGAGGATCTTAGTTAATGACGTTTCTACATACGAATAGTCGCGCTTAAGCGCATCGAGAGCTTCCGGTTCGGAAACGGGGGTCACAGATTACACATACTGTACAGGACGAGTATATGTACAGTGGTGAGAGATTGATACGAGTCATGACCTACTAGGTACACTTGATTTTATCAAGGTTATGTCCTGGTCAAACTTCACACGTATAAGAATCCACATCCCACGACGACCATCAATAAATGCTTCGCCCGTCAGCATCGGCACCCACAACCACAACCTCAACCGCCGCACGCTGAAAATGGACGCCACACTCCATCCTCTGTCCGGTTTGTACACACCACACCGACTCAAAGGACTGTACTACGGACCCGACGTCGTCAAGAAGCATTTGCTGTCCTTGCTCCCTACGGAATCGTCAAAGGCCTTCATCGTCACGGGCAATTCCTTGGCCACCAAGACACCCCTGATCAAGTCCATCGAGTCTTTGTTGACTCCGACCGGCCGCCACGCCGGTACCTTCAGTGACATCCGTGAACACGCCCCCGTGGCCCAACTCGACCGGGCCACCGCTCAGGTCCAACGGGACACCACCATCGACACCGTCATCTCCGTCGGCGGAGGTTCCCCCATCGACTCGGCCAAGGCCATAGCGTACCGGGTCCACGAAACCTCCCAAAAATGGTTGCTTCACATCACCATCCCCACGACGCTCTCCGCCGCCGAGGCCACCAGTTTCGGAGGGTACACCCAACCCGACGGCGTCAAGACCGGCGTGGGGAGACCCGAGATGTACCCTGCTTACATCCTGTACGACCCCAAATTCGGTCTCTACACGCCCCCGACTCTGTTCCTGTCGACGGGCCTGAGGGCTCTGGATCACGCCGTCGAATCTCAGTACCACCCGAGCGCGAGTTGGATGCCTTGTCGACTGATGGCCCTCACGGCCATCGGTGAACTCTTCAGGTTACTCCCACAGTACAAGTCCTCCCCCCAAAACGAGGATACGATCACCGGGTTGTTCCTGGCCGCCTACGCCAGTTTGGCCTTCATGGGGGAGAGTCAAAGGGGATCCTTGGGTCTGTCCCACACCCTGGGTTACGCCTTGGGTTCCCCTTACGGTATCCCCCACGGCTTCACGTCTTGCCTAACCTTGGGCCACGTGGTGAAGCTCAAGGCGCGCCAGAACGAGACCAACGCCGAGGCAATCGCCGCCATACTCCCATACATGGGACGCCAAAAATCGGGGGACAATATAAAAGACAGCGACATCGTGGGTGATGCCATCCTGCGCCTGGTCAAGGATTTGTGCCTCGAGACTAGTTTGACGGAAAGGGGGGTCGGCAAGGATCAGCTCGATGTCATCTGCGCCAGGGCGACGGGTGGATTGCCGCAAGTCAAGGAAAAGAGTGTCCAGGATGAAGAACTCTTAAAAGCCGTTCGAACCTTGGTGGAGGGATTATTTTGATTGAGATCATCTCATTTTTCTCCTGTTTACGAGACAAGGACAGAGCCCCAAAATCCTTGTACAGACCAAATACTCTGACCGTCATATTCGTGGCCTTTGGACAGACTCAAAGAGTTCAAATCTCTAATTTAGTTGTCTGAGTCGCGGTTTACCCCATACACACATACGCAATCATCACCATCACCTTCATCATCTTCGTCGTCTTCGTCTTTGGCAAGATCAGTCTTCAAGTCAAAGCAATTAGCGTCCACCTCGTTTCTACCCATCTTGATTGATCCTGGAACCAATTCGTCAACTTCAGAAAGAGTCTCTTTTGGAGTCTCCTTCTCGTCCTCGTCGGGTTTGCGCTCTCCGACCGGCCGCATCGCCATGACTTCGCCCCCATGAACGATTTTGCTGTTGACGGTCTGGGACCTTGATTTGAAAAAGATCTCTCTCAATTGAATCGCAAAAACAAAATCAGAGCCGCCGATCCAGCTGACGCCGTCCGTGACCTTGACCGCGATCTCTCCTTCCACGCGGACACCCGCCTGCTTCATCAAGGCCGCAAGTCCCACCTTCGACATGGTCGCTTCTTTCCCAATCAGCTTCACCCACGGCCCACGCGCGACCTTGACGCCCGTGATCATGTAGACGTTCTTCTTGAACCATTTTCGCTCCAACTGCTTTCGCACTGGCTCATCTAGTCCGCTGTCGAGGATGTACTGTTGGGAGGGGACGAATTTGATCGTCTCCAGGCCTTCAAATTTCAGGTCGGACACCTTGGCGACGGAGAAGACGCGAAGAAAATTCGCTCCCATGGTCACGACGTGGACCATGAAGCGTGCAAATATTCCCACCTTCCCTGTCGCCCCCTTGGTATTGGCGAAATTGAAACACTGCTTGGTGGTCGAGTAAGGCTTGCATTCCGGCGGGATGAGTAATAATCCGTCTAGATATTGGCAGATCGCTCCGGCTCCGTCACGTCGAAGATCAGAGACCCGAGTTTGATCGGGCCCGGGTAGGGCGTGTCGAAGTTTGGCATGAGAAAGAATGTCTTTGGTCTTGTCATTTTTGCGTTCAGGCTTTGCCTTCAAGGACGGAAAGCAAGGGGTAGCGGGGATAGGAAGCAGAAGAAAATGTAAAGACTTGGATGTGAAAAGACGTTTTCCAAGAGAGATAAGAGATAGAGACAGAGAGAGAACCCACGAACGGGATTTTGTAGTCTGTATTTCAACCAGCGTTCACGACTTTAACGCTATGCAACTGACATTCCATCACGGCGTGATGTACCTACCAAAGGCAGGGGTCTTTGGTCCTGTGTCTCTCGTTGGACCTCTCAGAAGAATCATGCGACGCGCATCTTGGCCTTTTCGACAACAGCCAGAGTAAAAAACATCGAAAGTGCTTATGGGGGGAGGTCGTTTGTGGCTTTTTGGTGGCAGAAACCGTTTACCTAGATTGGAAGTCATCAAATATCGTCAGAAAACGCGGTGTCGGTTGATTGGTGTGACTGAAGAAAAAATGACGAGCAGTTTATAGAGCCCGTCATCCAAGCCAGGATCACAAAGAGTCTACGAGTAACACTCGTTCATATGGTCTTGATGTTGAACCGGCAGGCAACACCCGGGAAAAAGTCAAGAGCGGAAACCATATCACTTGCCAAGGGTCGCCTCGACTGGGGATGGCCCCCAATTCCAGTATCTAGAGATTCCTAAGAGCGGTCAATGAATACGTACTGTGAGAGAAAAGGGTACTAGTCGGTGGGAATCATTGTTCATTGCTCATTACAGCACCACCAGCAGCTATACGACGTTCAGAGAGGGCAATGGATAACCGCCCGTAATAGTCTGATGGGTACAAAGTACCACAACTCGACTAGCTGGGTTCCCCCTGAGCGCTGGAGACCTCCTTGTTGCCAAAGAGACCCTCTAGAGCATCGCGTCATTCGTATGTATACGCAATTCGCTGCATCTGCGAGGTGGAACATGAGTTGTAGGTAACTGTCTTTTGACGCAGCTGCCGGCGGGAATGAACGTTAGTCTGGCTCGCAAAGACTTGTATGCCCTCATTCGATTGATACCCGTCGTAAATGGTCGTGAGGTAGTTCCGTTTGACGTCGGTCGACCGAGTTTTGCTTGTCGACTGCCAAGATGTATCTGGTGATTGTCATCCGAGGCCACATCAAGTCCAGCACAACGTATCGGTAAGCTGACAGGCGCGTCTGATCGGCTTCCTAATCATCTGGCGCAAGGCAGTGACGACGGGGCATAGAATGTCCATGGCCTAGAGGAATTGTAGATGGACAGCATGCGAAAATGCTCATCTACCACGACCTCTGCCTCCACCACCGCCGCCGCCACCTCCAAACATGTTGGCCATGGAGTTGAGATCCATGCCGCCCATGCCGCCAGGAGGTCCACCGCCACCCATTCCCATGCTCTGCATCATCTACAAGAAAGAAAGTTGTCAGTAAGTACATTTGTGGCCCGAAGATGTCCACGACGTACCTGCATGAGTTTGCCCATATCGTTTCCTCCTGGCATAGATCGGCCCATACCCATCCTAACCAGAAGAATCAGCATATTGTCCTAAACCACAAAGAGAAAGTAAGACTTACGCTTGGGCTCGCTTCTGCATAGCAGCCATCTGTTGTTGTTTGTTGCCACCCTGTAGCATTGCTTGAGCCTTTGCCATGTTCTTTCTCTGGGCTCCCATGTTTTTGGCAAGACTGCAGGAATGTCAGTGCTGGTATGATGTGATGTGGGTGTAGAGATGAGCACTTACCTTGCCATCACCTTATGTTGGGTCAGAAGCTCCTCTACGTCTCTGACGCTGGTTCCCGAGCCACATGCAATGCGCGTAATTCGCGTTGGTTGAGAAATAAGAATCTTCCCGTCGGAGTCGAGTTCTTTAGCGGTCATGCTATCGAATATGTAGATCATTCTGCGTATCTTTTCCTGGCCATCTTCGTCTGACATGCCACCCTGTTCGAGTCATTAGACAGAAGCTTAGAGGGATTTGGTAATTCAGAATTTCGACTCACCATCATTGAACTCAACCCTGGTATCATGCTTGCAACTTTGGACATGGGACCCATTTTGAGGATGTTCTGGATTTGTCTGAGACCCCTGTTAGCTCACAGCCTTTCCTTCCTGGGCACCATACATACTCTTTCATATCTCTCATTGTGAAAATACCCTCGGCCAAATGCTTCTGTGTCTCCTTAAGACCAGCGGACTCCTTCGTTATCGTAGAAATCTGTTCGATCAGGCCTGTGATATCGCCATAGCCCAAGAGCTTCTGGATGAATGGCTTCGGCGCGAATCTCTCAAGATCCATCATGTGTTCGCCGGTGCCTAGGAAAATGATTGGAGTATTGCTCGCCGCAACAGCAGAAATCGCACCACCACCCGCAGCACTAATCAAGTCAGCGGGCCGACTCGACCTACAAAAAATAAAGATATGTGCTTGGGTATGGATACTCACCCTCCGTCGGTTTTTGTTATGATAATTGCTCCAAAATCTGCCGTCTGCTTAAAGGCCGACGATTGTGCTTCGGCTGCCTGACCTATCGTCCCGTCCAAAACCATGATAGTCTGGTCAGGTTTGATGGCATTCTGAACTTGAACCATCTCAGCAAATAAATCCGCCTCTTGCTTGTGTCGACCTGATGTATCGACAATGATAATTTCGAACTTCTCTTTCTTGAACCGGGCAACACCCTCGGCCGCCACCACCGCAGGATCGGTCTGCGTCAACGAGCCGTAGTAGGGGATCTTCGCCTTGGTGGCGTTCTGCTTCAACTGATCGTACGCACCGGCTCGAAAGGTGTCTGCGCAAACCAGACATGACCGGAACCCTCGTTGTGCGTAGTACCTGGCCAACTTTGTGCACGTCGTCGTCTTGCCAGCACCCTGTAGACCGACAAACATGATAACATTGGACTTGCCCTTCTTCGGTTTGTATGGCTCGGCATGAGGGTCGACTAATTGAACGAGGTGATCGAAGACTGCCTGCTGGATCAATCGTTTCTTATTGTTCGCGCTCGTGTGAGGTGGGAGATCCTTGAAGTTGACGGTGCTCTGGATCGATTTTCGCAAATTCTTGACCAGGCGAATGTTGACATCTGCAGATAAGAGGGCCGAGCAAATCTCCTTGATCATGGAATCGAAGGCTTTCTCATCGAGGTTGGGTTCGCGGTTGAGATTTGAGACGGCGGCATTGATGCGGCGCCCGAGGTCTGAAAGAACCATCTTGATTGATCGGTGCTGTACAAGAAGAAAGTCTCTCTAATACCAGTATGTGTATCGCCGTCTTGAGGTCTCCTGCATCTATCGCAGTGTGGGTGGTTGACTGATAGTGGGGAGAAACGCCATCGATGCTCCGTGTTTCTCTCTCCGCGCTTGCCATGCAATAAATTGACCCTCTTTCTCTTTACACCGCAGTTTTGCCGACCGAGAAATTCTATCATAATTTTCTTGTCGGGCTGCAAGTTCTCGTACAGCCAACACCACTGTACAGACCTCCAGACAGCCGAGAAAGTGTCGACATAGTCACCATGGCTCCTCTGTCACAGAAAAAACGCAGACTCGAAGATGGGATGCGCGGCAAGACAGATCGACCTAAAAAACGAGTTCGCAAACAAACGGACTACCACAGTTCTTCAGACGAGTCAGATGCGCAGGAGAACGGACAGTTTACCGCTGTCAACTTGAATGATTCGGATGAGGAGACCAGCAAGCCAACAACTAAAGTGAAAAACACAAAGCCCGTAGAAGAATCGGAGGATGATGTGGACGAAGACGGCCTCGAAGAGTCGGAGCAAGCAGACGATTCCTCAGCGGACGACGACGAAGATACAGTGCCAGGTGTCAATCCTAAACGAAAGTCTACAAGCAAACGAAATGACCCTGAAGCCTTCTCAACCTCGATATCCAAGATCCTGTCAACGAAGCTTTCTCAATCAGCACGTAAAGATCCCGTGCTTTCTCGGAGCAAACAAGCCGTGGAGACGAGTACATCCTTGGCCGATGAGAAACTGGAGCGAAAAGCAAAAGCCAAGTTACGGTCAGAACGTCGCGAGGATCTAGAAAGAGGAAGAATAAAGGATGTGTTGGGATTGAACTCTGGCACGGCTGGCGAAATCGCCGAGGAAGAGAAGCGATTGCGAAAGGTCGCGCAGCGAGGTGTGGTCAAGCTCTTCAACGCCGTTCGAGCAGCCCAAGTCAGCAGCGAACAGGCGGCACGAGAAGAGCGCAAGAAGGGCACAGTGGGCATGGCCAATCGCGAGGAAAAGGCAAATGAGATGAGTAAACAGGGCTTCCTGGATCTAATTGGGGGAAAGAAGCAGGCCGCAGCAGTGCAATAGAATACACAATTCCAGGCCCAGTATCGGCATTATTGTGTCTTGGGGGTCCCAGGATAAGAGCGATGATAGTTTATGATAGTACATATACAGGTCGTTTTATGTGACACGAAGACCGCCTTCGATTACCGCTTTTCAAAATCCGAGGCTTGCATGTTCCTCGTCATCTGAGGCAGCTTAACCACGAGCCCGTCTAACTCGGGCGACATCTGTACCTGACAACCCAACCGCGATGTCTCGGTCAGACCAAAGGCCAGGTCTAGCATGTCGTTCTCGTCGTCGCTCGCCTCGGGGATTTTGTCGTACATGTCGTCGGATTCGACGATAACGTGACAAGTGGAACAGGCGCAAGATCCGCCACAGGCACCTGCAAAAAGGCCATCAGATCTGGCTGTCCACCAGAGGTGAATAAACTGTTGTATATCAACACAAACCTTCCATTTCTAGATCATTTGCCTGCGCAATGTCCAGCAAATTGTCCCCTGCGGCAACTTCGAATGTATGGTTTTCTCCATCTTTGTCGACTATCGTAACGTGCAGTCTATCGTACATCACACCAAGGTCAGCAAGTCTTTCTGATTGCAAGCTGATTGCCCAAAAAAACGCACTCTTCTCCTGGTTTCGGTGGATCGAGATGGCCATGACGGCTGGCAGGACTCGTCGAAAAGCGTCGCCGCCCTTGCTCCAGAGCTCGAACATGGGACCTGATCTGACTCTTTTTGTATTCAACTGCGGCCTGATGCTGCCGAAGCCTTGCCAAAGAAGAAGATGTGTGGACCTTGCGAGGGAGTGGTCTGGCGCAAGCTATCTTGGGAGCGACCGTTTCTGGGACGTAGCATTGTAATCTTGCTGCCGAGAGGAACAGTCGAGTTGGGATTCCTGCGGTCATTCTCGGATTGGGGGAGCTGCGGCAATTCACTGGGATTTCAAGAAGAGGATGAAGAAGACGCCGACAGTCAACAGCAACCACAACGGACTGCGATCTCGCACCCGTACAATTTACAAGACAATATCTAATCTCTTACTGGGCAACTTCAAATTACAAAAAATGGGCGCCGCAGAAGGCCGGATCTAGTGACGCAATCTTGGCATTGATTATGGCCGATTCAATCTCGGTCTGCGGACTTTACACTCAAACATTGACAATCTCGAATCTACCAGGGCCGAACTCTTCGCCTCGTGGTTCACATATTCTATCTGTCGTTCGCCGGACGAGACTGAGAGGAGCAGTATGCCGCGCGTAGGATCAGGCCAGTGGACCATGGCGGCCTCAAATATTAAGCCATGAGCCTTAGTGAGTAGGTAAGGAGCGTCCCAGACGCGACCGGCACGATGCGGGTATATACATGCCCTTCGTCATCATGGCTCGACGACGACCATACTACCCCAGCCATGTTGTTCAGACGATGCGTCGATGGCCCGATGAATGTCTCGAAGCTTGAACCCGATCATCTTCATCCCGCTCAGTGGTCGATCGCCGAGGACGAGGTTCCCGGTTTCCACCAACTTGATGGCTTGCTCACCCTGCCACCTGTCAAACATGTAGCGGCCCTGGATCCTGATGCCCTTCAACATGACAAAGGCGTACGGGATTTCGACGTTGCTGAAGACGAGGCCCATCAGGGCCGCCCGCCCGTGGGGCCGCAGGGCGCCCAAGCACGACAGGAGGTGTTTGGAGGCCGCCGCCTGCGGTGGCACAAAGTCAATGTACCTGTCCGCGCCCTTGCCCCCGGCCGCCGCCTTGATCGCCGCCGTGTCCCGGTCCGTGTCCCCCGACAGCTTCACGGTGAGGAACCTGCCCGAGGCCCCGAAGGTGTCGGTCATCTTGGCCAGCATCTTCTCGTTGCGCCCACAAGCGACGACCTTTGCGCCGAGCGAGAGCGCGGCCGGCACCGCGGCGCCCCCAAAGGTGCCCGTGGCGGGGGCGACGATCACGCTGTCCCCCGGCCGGACGTCGATCTCCAGCAGGCCCCCCAGCGGCACACAGACCGTGCCGATGTAGCTGAGGTCCGCCGGGCTGTACTTCAGGGTGTTGCAGAGCAGGTCCTCGTTCAGAGGCCAAACTCGCTCCAGCGGCACTTCGGCGTATTCCGCGAGGGTGCCCTTGTTCCAGGTGTCCTCGAGCTGGGGGACGCCGCCCATGTACCCGGCCAGGATGCTGTCGTCCGGATCGTCCCTGGACGAGGTCCAAAAGTCGTACATGACCAGTTGGCCCGGCTTCAGGGACGTCGCGTCGGGGCCGACGCTGTGGACCCGGCCGATGGATGCGAACCCCGGCGTGAGGGGCGTGCGCAAGGCTCCGACGCCCATGTGGCCTCCGTACACAGTCTTGGTGTTTGGGGAGAGTGCCGTGGCGAGGACCTTGATGACGGCGGATCCCAGGTTGGCTTTCGGGACAGGGACGGTCTTCAACACCACGGGCTGTCCGACTGCCTCGAGGACGACTGCCGTATGGGTTTCGGTGGCCATGTTCGACTCTGTAAAACCTTGTGACTTTGTGTGTAAAATGTCGGAATGGGGTTGTGGTCAGGAGGGCTTGGGCTTTGTGGAGAGAGATAGAGAGAAAGCAAGAGAGATAGAAGACTGCTTTGCCCAAGTGCCAAATGTTCTACTCGTACGTTGGGTGTGTTATATACTCGCTGATGATGCTTCGCCCACCGAGTTGGCATGCCCTATCTACACCAGGCGGACCGTGCTCCCTACGCTGGACCCGCAACGCCCTGACTCAGATACGAAGCGAGGTTAGACTCGAATTCCAAATGAGGAAATGACGTTATATCCGGGCAATGTCTTCTCCGACACGGGGAGTTTGTGGGAACCGCCTCTTTCAATACAATAGATGTGAATACCTTGATAATTAGGTAGCTACGGTGGGTGGAAATCATCTGCATACTCGTCACAAAGTCTCTGATAATTTGTGCAACAATCACTCGAAGCCTCGGGTACCGGAAGTTATCAGTAACGTGAATAAAGGTGTGCACAACATAGGTGAGTTACTAGGTGACACCGAACATTCTTCGGTTGAGTTTGACGGGCGGACGAAACATCTTTAACATACAGTGAACTTGTCAATCACCATTGCCTCGAGACTTGATCTCCATCTCTTCAGTCCAGTCAAGCCGCCTCTCAGTCTTTATACTCGTCACGGTGGTTACCTCTCCCATAAGATGTGATTGAATTTCTCAGCAAGCCATTTTACTTTTCATTTCAACTTCTAGTGGTCCCCGTCCCTAGCACCCTCGACAGTTCATCCATAACATTGTTTACAACTCGTTGGAAACTGGCATTATCATCCAGCTCGTTGGAAGTGCAGACGCGGGCAATATATAGGTCGGTGTTGGGGGCAATCTTCATGAGAAGACCTGCGGTGAAAGTACCATGGCCATACGTGTCGTGCACATTGTCATTATTCTCAACGAAAGTCCACCCGTGGTGCTTGTTGATCTTCTGAAACTGCTCGTGGCCAGGGTCGACTCCGCTGTCCAGGATTGCGACCTTTGCTTTCTGATCATGCTCTCTTCGTGAAGATGTGAACAAGGTATTATTGATTGTTTTAATGAGATCCTGGATCCAATGTTTCGACTCTGTAACCTGAAGGGAACTGCCATTTGAGTATGTCAGTATTGTGAGACCCATTTTCCTACTTTGCGCGAGTTCGTCACTCACGTTGGCTTTTTGTCAAACGTTGTCGCATCAAACAGTGTCAGCGATTCACTCATCGATGAATATCGAGGCGCCGCTACCGTGCCACTCGTGTGACTAGACGACGAGACGCTTCCCTCCTGGTAACGCGGCCTTCCCATGTCATACCAGCCGTCACTGGCTGGCCACCAGCTGGTATACATTTGTCCTGATTTGTTGTTGATGAAAACATGTAGCCGCTCGCTTGTCCGTGCAACGGCAGCGACATTACAGAAGCCTGGGTACTGCTTGCTGATCGCTTCCCACTCATGTTGACTTCCCCAGACTGAGTATCGATTTCTCCAGTTCGTGTAGAGCCGAGAATTTCTGTCCTTTCCGAACACGTCGAGTTGAGTATCTTTGCGGTGGAGGACCGTCACTTCGGAGCCAGGGATCATGGCACCTCCCAGGCAGAGCCACTCTTGTTCCGCCCCTAAAGGGATGGCCTCTCGATCCCAGGTGGTGGTGTAGACGAGGCCATCCGAATCGCAAGCGAACACCTCTGTGCTTTTCAAGACGCATGAATTCGCCGACACGTAGGCATTTGGTGGAAAGCCACAATCTGGGCGGCCCAGACTCGTCCAATCTGTGCCTGGGTGGTCGAAGTCTGTGACGAGTTTCGAATAAATGCGACCATCCTCACCGCATGCAAAGACTTCAATCTCAGACTGCCTATGAGCGACGGCGGTGGCATTGCCTTTTGAAAAGTTCTTATCGCTACCCAATGATATCCACCCACCCTTCTTGCAGGCCCAGCCTCCCTTTTCCGTCCAGAAAGTCAGGTCAAATTCGCCCTTACTCGACAAAGCGAACAAGTAGATGACTTGCCTTTGGGGCAAGTTTTGGCAACGAATCGCTCAATTCTCAGAAAGCAGAAATGGCTCGCGTAGTATGCAACTCCGAGGTGTTGCCGGACATGAAGGACAGCGCCACTTCGTATGATCAGTGCCATTCGAACAAGGATGATGCAAGTGGCATTTTGTGGTCTGATTGAATCGGCAGCCCATATCGGAGCCTGAATTCATTTGCGGACATTGCGAATTATTGTTACCACGTATAGTTTTATTTATGGTCGCTCTTGGATGATATGGCTAGATGGCTGGGAAGGCAACAAGATAGATGGATCAAATGTTGCCATTTGGGTCGAGCCGAGCCGCTTCGTTGGTTGAATATGTAGTTCAAATGTCCCCGTCCGCGCGGCGAACCTTTGGTCAACAAGTCCGCGGAGGTTTCGTTCCCCGGCCGGCGCGGTAGGGGGCCTAGAGGGAAAGGGGGAGAGGAAAGGGCGAGTGGAAAGGAGTAGACGCGAGAGAGCGTGTCGACTATGGATCTATGGTGGTGGGAGAGTGGAGGACGAGAGGATATTGAGACGATGATATCGCCACTTCATCAATGTGCTCTCTCAAGGACTCCAGGAGCTGGAAAGAATGATGTGCGCTTTTTCATTGAAAAGGTTGAATTTTTACCTGCTATCTACCCAGTTCGTTAATGGTACATGTCCAATTGGCAGTCTGCAGCGTCGAAAATCAATTTTATATCCCCAATCAGGTCATTTCTTCAAAAAAAAAGAAATATCAATACGAAAAAGACCGGTGAAATTTCATAAAGACTGAAACTCCGTCGCTCGGGAACGATTGTAAGAAATGAAACACACGCCCCGTTCGTCATCCAAAAACCTGATGGCCGTGAATCCATAACGTCTAGCGAGCATCGCCTCCCGTTTTCATTCTTGAAACGCTTCGTCACTAAGAGAAAATTTGAAAGTAAAGTGACTTCCTCCTCGCTTGTCATCCGGCGACTAGCTTTTTTTTGTTTTGAAATGTCGAAAGAACCACCCCGGATCCAATTTCATGCTGCATTCATGCTCATATTCTCGTGCTATTTTGTGTGCTCGGACTGGTTTAGGCTTAAGCCTTGATCTCTGGTGCACGCTTCATCTCTTCCGTGGCATGAGCCATGTCACCATCCTTGTGGGTCTTGGGCTCACGGGGTAGTGGCACAGAGTCATATTGAGCGCGTCTGACGATACCGCCAGTGACGGGAAGGACGGAACCAGTATGCATCAAAAAGCTGTCCACTTGTCGGGCGCACTGTCGACCTTCGTTGATACCCCAAACAATGAGAGATTGGCCACGACGGCAATCACCAGCCGCAAAGACTCCCGGAAGGTTGGTGTTGTACATGTTCTTGGGGGTCTTGATGTTCTTGCGTGGATCAAGCTCAATCTCGGACTCGAAAAGGCGATCATCTGGGCCGAGGAAGCCCATTGACAGCAAGACAAGGTCGGCAGGAAAATATTGCTCACTTCCCTCCTTGGGCTTCATCTCCCAGGCACCTGTTGCTGACTTGGTCCACTCAACACGGTTGGTATTGATACCGACAACGCGGCCATCTTCCATGACGAAGTCTTTGGTCATAACACAGTACTCGCGAGGATCTTTGCCATAATGTTGCTTGACTTCAGTGTGGCCATAGTCTACACGGTAGATTCTTGGCCACTGAGGCCATGGGTTGTCGCGAGCACGCTCCGGTGGAGGCTGTGGCAGAAGTTCAAAGTTTGTGATAGACTTAGCACCGTGTCGAAGGGAGGTACCAATACAATCGTTACCAGTGTCACCACCGCCAATGACGATGACATGCTTGTCCTTGGCCGTAATGTACTTGCCATCACCCAATTCTGAGTCAAGGAGCGACTTCGTGTTTGCATGGAGGAATTCCATGGCGAAGTGGACACCTTCGGCTTCTCGGTTCTTGATCTTGAGGTCTCGAGGAACCTGGGCGCCAGTGGAGATGATAACTGCGTCGTTGCTCTGGCGCAGAGATTCCAGAGAGAACTTCTCACCAGGTCCAACCATAACACCTGTGACGAAGCTGACACCTTCGGCAGCCATGAGGTCGACTCGTCGTTGGACAATGCGCTTATCGAGCTTCATGTTGGGAATACCGTACATGAGCAAACCGCCACAACGATCCGATTTCTCATACACAGTCACGCTGTGGCCAACACGGTTGAGTTGGTCGGCAGCAGCCAGGCCAGCAGGGCCAGATCCAATGATAGCCACCTTCTTGCCGGTGCGTTCAGTAGGTGGATTTGGTACCATCCAGCCCATTTCAAAACCCTTGTCAATGATGGCGCATTCAATGCTCTTGATGCCCACGGGGTCCTCGTTGATACCAAGCACACAAGCCCCCTCGCATGGAGCGGGGCATACACGGCCAGTGAACTCAGGGAAATTGTTTGTCATCAGAAGACGGTTGAGGGCATCCTTCCACTGGTTCTGTAAATATGTTAGCACAGTCAAGCGTTGAGGAACGTTAGCGCTCTCACCTGAAATACTAACTCATTCCATTTGGGAATGATGTTGGAGATCGGGCATCCAGTTTCGGATTGACAGAAGGGAACACCACAGTCCATGCATCTCGCAGACTGGTATTTCAGCTCATCCTCATTGAGACGAGATGACAACTCAGCCCAATCTTTGACTCTGGTCTTAGCGTTGCGGTACTTCTCACTGCGACGAGTGTACTTCATGAAACCACGAGTCTTGTCAAGCACCAGTGCCGCCTTCTGTTTGGCCTTGTCCGCGTCGCCGTTGATACCTTCCTCGATATCGAGCATGTCAACCTTCTTCTGCTTAGATTCCTTGTCTTGCGCTGCGTTGCGTTGTTCTTGGTGCAGGTTACGCACAGGATTGCCAGGTAGCAAGGGTAAAGGATATTCGGCTTTCTTGGCCTCTTCCGCCTTCTTTGCTTGCTCCAACAACACTCTCTTGTAGTCCGTGGGAAGCACCTTGACAAAACGTGGAAGAGCACGGTTGAACTCCAAGAGAATGCGGGCTGCGAGTTCGGAGCCGGTGTAGTGATGATGATCCTCAATCATGCCTCGAAGGAAAGCGATCTCAGATGGGTCGTCCACGCCAGAGACTTCGACCATTTCCATATTGATTTTGGAATGGAAATCCTGGTTCATGTCAAGAACATATGCAATACCGCCAGACATACCGGCAGCGAAGTTGCGCCCGGTACTTCCTAGAACAACGATACGGCCACCAGTCATGTATTCACATCCGTGGTCACCAACACCTTCAACAACAGCGTTGGCGCCAGAGTTTCGGACGGCGAAGCGTTCAGCAGCGACACCCCTAAAGTAGCATGTACCGCTGGTGGCGCCATAGAGACAGACATTGCCAATGAGGATATTTTCTTCGGCCTTGTAGACAGCGCTGCGCGGTGGGTAGACAATCAGACGACCACCAGAAAGACCCTTACCAACATAGTCGTTGGAATCACCCTCTAGTTCCAGGGTGACACCGGGAGCAAGATAAGCGCCGAAAGATTGACCAGCTGAGCCTCTTATATTGACGTGGATGGTATCTTGGGGCAGGCCGGCCTCACCATATCGCTTGCTGATCTGGTATGACAAGGTCGCGCCCAGTGTGCGGTCGGTGTTGACAATGTCAGTTTCAATCCGGCAAGGCAGACCCTTCTCGAGCGCAAGTTCTGACTCTGAGATTAGTTTGTTGTCAAGACGAGTGTGCAACTTGTGATCCTGCTTGCGGACGTTGTAGGTGGCAACACCTGGGCGGATTGAGTGAGCTGGTGTAAGAATGAGTGAGAGGTCAAGATTCTCAGTCTTTCGCGAGCGAAGATCCTCGCGGACCTTCAAGAGTTCGGCACGGCCAACCATTTCATTAACAGTTCTTAAACCAAGTTGAGCCATGATCGCACGGAGCTCGTTGGCGATATAGTAGAAGAAGTTGATGACGTGCTCTGGGGTACCTTGGAACTTCTTCCTAAGCAAAGGATCCTGAGTGGCAATACCTACAGGGCAGGTGTTTAAGTGACACTAAATATGTTAGCACGGTCAAGCGTTGGGGAACGTCGTTGCTTACCTTGCGCATCATAATGCAGCCCATCGCAATGAGTGGTGTGGTTGCAAAACCCCATTCTTCGGCACCGAGCAGACAGGCAATGGCAACGTCACGTCCGGTTCGAATCTGCCCATCAGTCTGGACGATGACTCGACCTCGAAGATCGTTGAGAACCAAAGTCTGGTGAGTTTCGGCCAAACCCAGCTCCCATGGAAGTCCGGCATACTTGATACCAGTCCATCTAGAAGCACCAGTACCACCATCGTGACCAGAGATCAAAATATGATCGGCCTTGGCCTTCGCGACACCAGCTGCGACAATACCGACACCAACCTCAGACACCAGCTTGACAGACACTCTGGAACGAGGGTTTGAGCACTTTAAATCATAAATCAACTGCTTCAAGTCCTCAATCGAGTAAATATCGTGATGAGGTGGAGGCGAGATAAGACCGACGCCAGGAGTCGAATGTCTTGTGCGAGCGATAGGTTCGGAAACCTTGTGTCCGGGAAGTTCACCACCTTCACCAGGCTTCGCACCTTGAGCCATTTTGATCTGAAGTTCGTCTGAGTCTGCAAGGTAGTTCGAGGTGACACCAAAACGACCCGAGGCAATCTGCTTAATAGCCGACCGCATGGAATCTCCGTTTTCCATCTTGAGACTGCGCTCGGGGTCTTCACCACCTTCACCGGTGTTGGACTTGCCGCCGAGGCGGTTCATGGCGACAGCCAGCGTAGAATGTGCCTCCATGGAGATAGAGCCATATGACATGGCACCTGTTACGAATCGTCGCACGATCTCTGTCCATGGCTCAACCTGGTCAATGGGGACTGGCTGGCGCTGATCGAAGTCGAAGTCCAGCATGCCTCGAAGGGTGCAGTTCTTGATCTGCTCATACTCAGAGAGCGAATAAGCCTCGTAGGATTTGTCGTTGTGAGTCCTCACAGCATCCTGGATGTTGGCGATACTGACAGGGTCGTTGATGTGGTTTTCACCGCCGTCACGCCAGTGATATTCACCAGTTTCAGGGAGACCTGGGATGTCCCGAACATGCCGTGAAGGGTACCCTTGCTCATGGAAAGCAAACGAGTCCTCGGCAATCAATTCGAAAGTCATACCACGGACGCGGGTGGCGGTGCCAGCAAAGCACCGATCGACCACCGTGTCATCGATACCCAAAGCTTCGAAAATTTGCGCACCCTTGTAGGACTGAAGAGTGGAAATACCCATCTTACTCATCACCTTGAGAATACCGCCATCGCAAGAAGCTTTGTAGTTTGCAATCAGTTGTTCGTCGGTAAGCTTCTTCTTGATGATTCCCTCGCGGTTGAGCTTGAGGATGCACTCAATGGCGAGGTATGGGTTGATACCATCGGCACCATAACCGAGGAGAACACACATGTGGTGTACTTCCCTGGCCTCGGCAGTCTCGAGAATAATAGCAGCTCGAGATCGCCACTTGTTGCGCACCAAGTGATGGTGAACCAAGCCGGTGGCAAGAAGGGTAGGGACGGACACTCGTTCTGCGCTTGTGGCTCGATCAGACAAGATGATGATCTTGTCCCCTTCTTCGATGGCTGTGGTTGCGGCATCGCAGATGCTGTCAAGGGCGCTCATGAAGCCGTCGACACCAGAAGACTTCTCGAAAGTGATGTCGATTGCACGAACAGACCAGTCCTTGTTATAACTGTTGATGTTCTTGAGAGCGTTAAAGGTCTCGGTTTCCAGGATTGGTGACGGAAGTAGTAGTCTGCCGCACTGAGACTCGTCCATCTCTAGGAGATTGCCTTGAGGGCCGACATAGCACTCTAGCGACATGACAATGGCTTCTCTGATGGGATCAATGGGAGGGTTTGTGACCTGAGCAAAAAGTTGTCTGAAATACTCATAGAGTAGTCGTGGTTGCTGTGCCAGACACGCAAGAGGTGCATCATTACCCATAGAACCCAGAGCTTCTTTAGAATCAGCAGCCATGGGGGCAAGCAGCAGGCTAACCTGTTCGAAGGAGTAGCCGAAGGCCTTGAGCCTAGCATCCTCTTGGACGGAAGACTCGGTGAGTTTAGAGCTCAAATCAGACTCCTTGGCCAGTGCCTCGTAGATCTGCGGCATCTTCATGAGGCTCTTGTCGAGCCACTGCTGGAAAGGTTGACGGTTGGCGACGGTGGCTTTGAGCTCGGCATCATCGATGATGCGTCCAGCTTCCGTATCCACTAGAAGCATCTTACCGGGCTGCAGACGACCCTTGATGATGACTCTCTCGGGTTCAATTGCAATTGTGCCGACCTCTGAGGCACAGATGATGCGATCATCGTCAGTGACATAGTACCGGCAGGGTCTCAAACCGTTTCTGTCGAGATTGGCACCACAGTACCGGCCGTCAGAGAAGGTGAAGAGAGCTGGGCCATCCCAAGGCTCCATGAGGTTGGCTGCGTATTCGTAGAAGGCAGCCTTTCCAGCATCCATGGCTGTGTTACCCTGCCATGCCTCTGGCACCATCATCATAACTGCTTCGGGAAGAGAAAGAACACGGTTCATGACAAGCAGCTCAAGCACGTTGTCGAAAGCAGCAGAGTCGGAGCCACCATCCTCAACGATGGGGAACAGCTTCTCAAGATCTTCACCGAAGAGGTCGGATTTCAAGACACCCTCACGGGCTCTCATCCAGTTCTTGTTACCGCGTAGCGTGTTGATTTCTCCGTTATGGGCAAGCCACCGGAGGGGCTGTGACCGATCCCAGGAGGGGAAAGTGTTGGTGGAAAACCGCGAGTGGACGAGGGCGAAGTGAGCCTCATAATCTACGGATACGAGATCATGATAGTACTGGTAGACTTGCACAGGAGCCAGCTGACCCTTGTACACAATGTTTCTGTTGCTCAGGGAGCACACATAGAACCACGGCTTCCACCGGGGATCATGCGAGACGGTCTTTCTCAGGATGTACAGCTTGCGCTCGAATTCGACATCGTCGAATTGTTCGGGGTCTGTGATGTCGGGCTTATTGCCGGTTCCATAGGCAGAGGCAAGGACGACAAAAGGTTGCAGGATTATAGGTTCTCGTGAGAGGGCAGCGGGACCAAGGAGGGTAGAGTCGCGTGGGACTTCTCGCCAGCCGAGGGTGCGTAGGCCCAGGGATTGAGCGGCTTCCTCGAAGCTGAGGGTGGCATGTTTCAGCATCTCAGTATCCGGCTTGAAGAACAAGTTTCCAGCGGCATATTGACCAAGGGGAGGCAGCTCTACGCCGACCTCGCGAGCGAAATTCTTGACGAAAAATTTATGAGGAATCGAGCTCATGACACCCGCACCATCGCCATCTCGTGCATCTGAGCCGACCGCACCCCGATGGGTCATGTTACAAAGTAGATTGCGCGCATCGCTAACAATTTTGTGGCTTGGCTTGCCCTTGATATGCCTGTGAGAGAATTGTCAGAACAGGGCATCGGACGAACGGGGACGTCGGAGCGTCTTACGCAGCAAAGCCTACACCACAGGCATCTTTCTCGAGGCTAGGGTCGTAAAGACCTTGCTTCTCAGGCAAAGCCTCGCCCCATCCATAGCCCTTCTCGGGCTGGTATGGCGTATACTCTTCCTGAACCTCTGGTGTTTCGTTCTCTTGCTTGTGTGATTCCACCGTTGACAGGCCCATCCTATGGTCGACGGGCGACTCTTTTCTTTCACGGGTGAAATAAGGAGGAAGGGAGGTGGCGACTACGGTCAGATCGGTCGATGGGAGGGAGAGTAAGGCACGGTGAGGGAGGGGCTTACTCGGCAGCAGGAAGGCTGTCTCTATGTAGGTCGAGCTCCGGCGATGGCAGGATTGAGTCTGAGGATGGCGAATAGACAGTGGCAGACTGGGAGCTGGGAGCGTGGTGAACAAGAAGAAATGGAAGAATTGGGTGGACAAGAGAAGGAAAAGAATAAATTGGGCTCTGAATCTGGGTGTGGGGTTTTTTTTTGCTTGCACCAGACTTTCTCAGAGTGTTTGAGCCATTCACAGCCTTGGTGTTAGCTACCTAGTAACGTACGGCGGAGTTGGTGAACAGGACGAGCACAGGCACGGAAGACTCCACGGTACGAAGAACGCCTACGAATACGGCCAAGAGTGCGTTAAGGTTGATCTCAGAAGCAAAGACCGCCATGGCATACCGCCCTTGGTGCCTCTTCCTCTCCCTCTCCTCCTACTCACTCCCTGTAGCTTACAGTTATGATGGACGGAGGTGGGGGAAAAGGGCATCATGCAGCACGGGCGAGCTCCATTATAATTCGTGGCTTCTCCTCTTCAAGCTCGAGGCTCCATCCGCCGCATCCAGCTCCATCATCTTGCATGTGCTGATAAGAGTCGCCGTGGCCAATCATGACGGCTTCTTTGACTTTGATTACCATTTTCATTGGAGCAACTGAAAAGATTTCGCCGCTACCGGCCTGTGTTTGTCTGTACAAAGTGCAAAGACTGAAGAACCATCACCTGCTACTCTCTGCTGCTTCTGTGTGTCATACTGCGTGCGCGCGCGAGCTGCATCTCTCCACCGCAATCTAGATGCAAGGATCTTTTCTTCGCTTCGCCTACATTGTTCGCACGAATGTTTCCTCGACTCTGTACTCCAGTCCCCCCCGTTCCCTGCTATTGGTACACGAAAGGAGGGAACTGCGCAGTGTCCACCTCGGCATTGACCGCGGCCTCTGCTGTTCCTCCGTATGTTTTCGTCCTTCTGCGTGCTTCGTGCTCAACTCTTTCCGGTGTCGCCCGGTAAATAGGCTGCCAGCTAGCGAAAAGAAAATTTTTCTCTGGCTGCATCCTCTCCTTGTACACGGTCAGGTCAGCAAGTGTCAGCTGGACAGCCAACACTCCCATCGCCCCAACTCGGCAGCCTCACAACACCGAGCAGTACAGAAGCTGCTGAAAACATCACAAATCATCACTACAAAATCCCTACCACCGGGACAAGATGTCTACTTCAAGCATTATTGTTCCTCACAGCCTGAGTGTCAGCGACCTGCACCCCACGCTCGGATAATTCTTTACAACCCCGTATTGCATTTGTGCGTTAACAAATCAGATAGGCTGCATTAACGGAAGGGCCGCCATGTGTCGAACTGGGGAGCGTAACGCAGTAGTGGACTAACCAGTCGCTATAGCCAGAATAGCAGAGGATTAGCCGATCAACTGTTTCTCGTAAAGGAAATTCGGCATCGTCACTGGTACTTGTACATACTGTACAGGGCGAGTACCGGCGGGCATGGACCCTCCCTCAGTCAGATAAGCTTAATAGGTAAGGAATGCTAACTACGTAAAGGCGACTGTCGACGAGTGCCGTGTATGGATACCAGAGTCCTACATATGTACTCGTAATATTTACTTCTCCAGTGGCTGCCGACGTCGGAACTCCAGTGCCCAAGATCTCCAGTGCCTAAAAAGGCTGCTCAGACTCGGCTCCACGGCCCTGCATAACATTGTTTACAGTATTGTCTGTACCGAGCACCCTAGGCCTGTCTACCCACATCACTCTGACTTCAGGCCGCATGCCAGGGAGTAATCCAGATTTGTTCATTGGCCCATCTGGCTAAGATTTCCAGACCCCTGGCCCGTTTTCTCGGTATTCGACACCGCGTATCCAGACTCTCGATCCAGAGTGAAGAGGGCTTGACTGTGTCTTGTCTCCTCGGACAGATGGGCTGATCTTGACATTCCACCCACCCACACACAAACAACCAATTTTAAGATTTTTCACATGTCCTGAACTTGCGAACTGGTGCATTGAAACAGGCCCTTCTTTACTGGCTTTGGTGGCTCTCATCGTGTTATAGCCTGATATTCAGGGCCGCCATCGGGACATGTATTGTACCTATGGTGGTGCATTCGGTAGTGCTTCTGGTAGTGTCGTAGTACTCGGTACGATAACTGGAAAAATCCTAACTTCTCGGGTGTCGGCCGGGAGCCTCGTCTCACCCATTTCGTCGACACATGGAAATTTGTTTTGCTCCATGACCAAAGCTCGTGGACGGTTTCACAGCATGGTTTATACTCGGGGAGAACCGGTTCCTGATCCCCAGAGAAAGCACTGAGGTATCTGTGTCAAGGGATAATCTACTAACGTGGGTGTCCCATGTGATCTTCGTGCTTATACGGGCAATTGCCCCCTTGATGAAGCTGGCATTGGTTACGGAATGTCAGAGGCTGATCGGGTGTGGGCCCCATGTGAGAGACGAAGCTGTGGTTGAAGGACTCGTCCACCGAGATGAGGAAAAACTTGCACCCCTGGTTAGTATCGAGGTGGCTGGTGCCTGAAGACAAGGTATGTCGACGTCGATGTGAAGGTTGAGTGTGAAGAAGAACTTGCCGTTCAGTCATGCACATTGTTTTTGAAAAAGGCCTAGGAAAGGATCTGCTTCAACCAGGCTGCGCCGGTGCTACCCGTAGTTATTTTCAAGCACACATTTTCAGGTTGGCTTTGGCATTCCAAAATTGGATGTACAATCAGACTCTGTGGGAAGCCGATCGAAGATTCTTGACCAGCGTAAGGAAAGTCATTCGTATGATGAAGCTGGGCACCACGTCCCAATGATGCTGTCAACCTACCTCCCTCTTGAGTCTCATCTCAATGACACAGGCAATTTAGCAAAAGTTGAGTCGTCCAATACGATTTCCCAAACGATGTATGATGTAGTCAGTCGAAATCTTCCCAAGTACTACTGGTGAGAGGCATTGCACCCTGTTTCTCTACTCAGAATAGATATTTCCCCGCATTGATTTTCTACATCTCGATACTGTATTGGAGTAATAGCATGTAAACAATACCAATTGATCCTTGAATTTCAACTAATGCACGTCTCAACAGTAGTTCAGAAATGCTCATACTGTAGCTACAACGACATAACACGAGATGATGTTCACAACGACACTCCCTCTTTGTCCCCCGCCATCTTCCTCCCTCCTCCCTGCACCACCCTCGTCTTCATCGTTCGAACCAAGTCAACAGCCACCGCACCACCCTTCCAATCATGCCAGACGGAACAAAACCCAAGCCGCGATGGCTCGCAATACGAACTTGGCGACCCTGGCCATGGACGAGAGGACCATCGTGCAGCGGAAAATGGCCATAGCGATGTACGGCTACAGCTGGCTCAAGCCCGCCGGCTGCGCAAAGACGATGCTCGGCAGGCGGGAAGAGGAGCTCGAACGCGAAGAGGTGGAGAAGCAGCTCCGCGAGGTCGAGCTGCAAGAACGTTTGGCATTGGAGGCGGAAGAACAAGAGCGGCTGGCGGAAAGGGATGCCCTCGGGGAAACCCAAGACGACAGGGACCTGGACGGGGACATCCCTGACGCAGAAGAGGACGAGGACGAGGATGAGGAAGATGAGGACGGCGAAGAAGACGGGTGGGTCGAGGACGAAGACAGCGAGGCCATGATGCACACGGGCTTCGATATGGAGGGTGACCTGGATGATGACGTTCCAGAAGCCGAAGATGACGGGGACGATGACGCCGAGAACGAAAACGACGAGGACGGAGACGAGGCTCAGGATCAAAGCCAGGCGTGGGTGTATGATACTAGGAGAGAGCCCGACAGCGACGAGGACGGTGGTCAACTTGTACGTGCAAGAAACGTCAGGCACGCTCACATCGCCGGTGTGCGCGTCCCGGTGCCCGGCAGTGAGTACGAATACGACGAACAAGAGGCGGAAGACTTGGCCAATGCGATGCTCGACGAGGATGAGATTTTTGAAGACGAGCAAAACATGGGCATGGAAGGCGAAAGAGACCTGGACGACGACGTGCCCGACGCCGACGAGGGCCAATGGGAACATACCGACACGGAAGCCGAGGAGAGCGAAATGGACATTTCCATCGTGCCGGCTGGACAGGAACAACCAGGAGAGCGGATGGTGGGTGGTCTGGGACGACAGCATCCTCCACAGCCGCAGAGGGCCGTCGGAGGCCGGACGCGCGCGTCTGCCTCACGGGATTCGGGCTCCTGGATCGCCTCGCCGCACGCGAGATCGGGAATGACCAACACTCACAGGTCGACCCCCGATGTCTCCATGACGGGCGGCGCGTATTCCCGCGAGTCTGCCGGCCTCCTGCTGTCCGGAAACCGACATAGAGGCGCCCAAGTCCGGCCGCCGCAACCTCACTACGTGCACACTCCTGCGATGTTGGACACTCCCTTGGACGGCGACGAGGATATGAGGGAAGAAGATGACGATCCCTTCGCGTCGTCGACGGGACCAGCCTTTGGAGCGCACGCACGACCTACGGTTCGTGTTGGCGGTGGTCATGCCACTGTGATTGACAGCGCGCCAGGATCCGGACCCGGGCGAGGAAGTGGTAGAAGAAACGGCGCAGGTGAGAGTAGTCCTTCACGGGCGACGGCCGCTCGAGCCTGGCTTGACGGTGCAGCCGCCGCGGTGGGCGGCAGCGCGAGGCGTACCTTGTTCGGACGAGCAGCGAGGAGAGGACCTGCAGCTACCACGACGACGACAGGTGCGAGTGCTGCTGTCAACTTGTCCAGTAGTGGCGGTTTGTTCACTCCGTCACCCGGCATGCCTGGCCCTGGACATGGACATGGACACACCGGAGCTGAATCGAGTACGAGTACGCCCGTGAATCAAAGTGGCGGCCAGGACCAAGCCCAAGGCCAGCGACGAAGTGGCCGCTTCTTGAACTCCAGGAGAAGGGCGGCTCAATAAAGAAGACCTGGCATATGAGTACAGACTCGCCACTCGAAACTATGACAATGGTCATGAGAAAAATAGGGGGGGGATCATTGATTTCACCCTAAGATTATGATTATGATGCCGTGTATGATACATGATACAAAGAATACCTAGTAGAAAACTGAATGTACATTATATTTCCCTCACAGATCGAGTAACGTGTCGTATCCTTCCTCCATCAACCTTCCACAGAGCGATCAACGATTATATGCGTTGCCTTTCAACCTAGGGCTTCATACACGCTCCAAAGGCCTATACTTGTAGAGAGAGGGAGAGGTGGTTTCGAAAAGTAATATATGTTGCTTCCCATACTCATACCTAGAGTTGGACTTCTTCCGAAAACATCAGACACGTCTGATCCTTCTCTGGCAGAAGATGATAAGTCTTTATTGGCTGACACGTCCAATAGGTACCCTGCATCGTCTCCTTCTCATTTCGCCTCCGGCAATACTTGATCGCGTTGTCGTAAACGAGGGTGTCCGGTAAAATATAAATTGATGAATGAAAACCCCCAACGCCAAACGCTTGAGCCTGAACTTTTCTGATAGTGTACAAGAAGCTAATACAAGCTTCAAATGTTGGTCATATAAGCAGGAGAAATCGATTATTATGATGTCAAGGTCGTGATCGATTCTTTCGCCGTCACTGCTTGAGTGTCTGGACAACTGCGTCCATTTTGAACAGGGGCATCTTTTGGTTGCGTGGTGAGCCTTGTCTTGTCGTTGAACGGCAAAAGAATTGCACCCTTAGTTAGGATGTTGGATGTTAACTTGTGCGGCGCCCACTTCATCCAAAACCTGGGAACAGTTCACGTCGACCCCCTCCTGCTAAATGTAGTGTGTTTGCTGCTTCGAACGGTCTGGCCGTGCTTAAAACAACCATACCCACGCGAAGAGTGCCCATACCGCCACAAAGAACAACACCCACACTTTCCACCCTACCCCCGTCCGCTCGGCCATCCGAAGCATTCTCCTCATCGTACCGCGTAACCGCACACCAGTGTTTTCAAAAGTATCATTGATCTGGCTGGCCAGGGTACTCGAGTCTCTTATTTCGTCACCAATAGCGATGGTGAGCGTCTTCAACTGTGAGACCTTCTGCGACAGAAGGCTTGTGGCACTGATTTCGTTCTGCGCCTCGAGTTCCTCGAGTACAGACGTAGAGTATTGGCCTTTTGAATTGGGCGTGGCGGAGCGGAAGGAGGAATTGGATTCATGAGGCGTGCTGCCATTCGTAGAAGCATATGGGTTCAGATACGGCGATGATGAGGACGCAGGTCGGTCCGGCTGTGAATTATAGGCGTATCCAGGGCGAGGGGAGGAAGAGGACGACGGCCGGGAACCTGGATAGTCTTGGAACAGAGCGGAGGAAGGAGCGGCTCGTCGGTTGAGCGATGAGTACCGGTTTCTGTTGCGCGAGTCAGAAGAGCAATTTGCAACCAGAGAATTTTGGTATGTATACGTACGTAGACATCGTGAAGTCTTATTGCCACAGAAGCGGCACGAGGATCGTGAAGTGTCTGCAGCTGCAAAGTATGTTGGTTGGTCGAGGCGCGGACGTAGAGATGTAGTTGCGAATACTCGAGGGTCGCAGCTATCGGAGTCTGTGGACAAGACAGTTTCGAGGAGTAGTTGCAACAAGTAGCCTACTCCAGGTGTTACTCTCTTCCGCAATATTTGTTCAAATGGTGTATCGGGTGTTGCCATCCGTACAGCAGGCGACCAGGATATCGGGACACAACGACAAAAGACGAGGCTGCGCTAGGCAAAATCCGTTGTCATCCTTCAGCCTTGGTCGAGTATCTGTACGTACGAGCGCCGTTATGGTATTGCGGAGAACTATTTTCCCCGCGACGCGTCTTTCGAGTTGGAACGATCACACTACTTTCCCAGAGTCCAGCGAGAGCGAGTGCTAAAGGACATCAAGATCCGGGGACTTTGCCTGTTGTCGAACCGACACACAATACCCGATGGTCAGCCCCCAGTTTCGCTAGAACAATGCGCAACCATGTCGCAACACCGCAATGAAAGTTTTGGTTCCAATGGTGAGGTCGACGCGGAGGTGGTCTCGGAACTACGAGATCGTTTGACTGAAGTCTCTATAAAATGCTCTGAGCGTTGCTTGTATCAGTCGGCCAAATGGTAAACATCGATCCCATGACTTTGGGAAACAATTGTGCAAGAGCGTTGACTCTTATAGGGCAGCCGAACTCCTCAATTCACTTCCAGAGGACCATGACCATGACGACGACGATTCCCAGATGCGAGATACGAACAATGTCCAATCTTCATACCGCGTATTCTCTACGAGCTACGATGATCCGGAGGAAGCAATGTTGGAGGCCAAGGAAGCGCCCAAGTATCTGCTTGCAAAGGCTTTGTTCGACACCAAAGAGTTCGACAGAAGTGCCGCCGTTTTCCTCCCGCCAGCGATCCCAGCAGGCGGTCTTGCAATTTTTGACAAGCAAAAAAGTCGAACACCCATGTCAACGCCTTCTCGATACAAGAGTAAGACAAAACAGGCGGATTCGACGACTGCCAACCCATATCCACACCTAAGCCAGAAATCCCTTTTTCTGGCCCTCTATGCACGCTACCTGTCGGGGGAGAAGCGCAAGGAAGAAGAAACTGAAATGGTCTTGGGTCCTGCCGATGGAGGACAGACTGCGAATCGAGAGCTGCCGTCCCTAGCCCGCGGCCTGGAGGCATATTTTCGAAACCGCGACGCCGCAGATCCGACACTGAAGCGCTCCCAAGGGTGGCTAGAATACCTCTATGGCGTGGTGTTGTCCAGGTCACGGCAGGAGTCTCTCGCACACCAGTGGCTTCTGCGATCTGTCCGGCTGAATCCCTACCATTGGGGCGCCTGGGAAGAACTCGTTTCTCTCCTGGCCTCCGTGGATGAGCTCTCTACACAACTTACAACCCCGTCTGTCCTCCCTTCCAATATCATGTCTATAATGTACCAGGCCGTCGCATCCGTCGAGCTCTTCTCGACCACGGATCAGTCCACGACCGTCTCCTACCTCCAGACGCTCCTGTCCTACTTTCCCACATCAACCTTTCTGCTCACCCAGCTCGCGACCCTCCATTATCACGCGAAGGATTATGATGCCGCGGCCTCCATTTTCGAGGACCTGCTGGTCACGCATCCTCAGCGCCTGGATGGCCTGGACCATTACTCCAACATTCTCTACGTGATGGCCGATAGAACTCGCCTTGCGTTCCTGGCCCACCTTGCCACGTCCATTGACAAATTCAGACCCGAAACCTGCTGCGTTGTCGGCAATTACTATTCTCTCTGCTCGCAGCACGAGAAGGCCGTCATGTATTTCCGCCGTGCATTGACCTTGGACCGAAACTTCCTCGCTGCCTGGACCCTCATGGGCCACGAGTACGTCGAGCTCAAGAATACGCATGCGGCCATCGAATCCTATCGACGCGCCGTGGATGTCAATCGCAAAGACTACCGCGCCTGGTACGGTCTAGGTCAGGCGTACGAGGTGCTCGACATGGGCTTCTACGCTCTCTTCTACTACCAGCGGGCCGCGGGCTTGAGACCGTACGACCCCAAAATGTGGCAGGCCGTCGGGTCATGCTACGCGAAGATGGACCGGCTGGACCAGGCCATTCAGGCCTTCAAGCGAGCCTTGGTTGCGGGGACGTATTTCGATGACGCGGGAAGCACGCAAGGCAGCTTTTCGACGGCCGGCAAGGGCAAGGGGCTCCAGGCGACGCAATCCAGAAAACTCCTCGACCCGGACACGCTCTATCAGATCGCGCTGCTTTGTGAACGGAAAGCCGGGGCGTCGGGCGACGCCGAGGCCGCCAAGTACATGGAGTTGTGTGTCGCGCAAGAAGTAGGTGGCGGCGTGGTAAAAGATCCGTCTCGGGGGGACAAGATATCGGCGGGAAAGAGAGCCCGAAAAGAGGCCAGGCGCCGTACGGTATCTACAGCGGAGGCTGCGGTCGACGATGATGTTGTCGTTGGAACAGGCGACGGGGACGACGACACGGAGATAATGTCTTCGGATCACAGCGAAGGAGACGAAGACGGCCACGATCGCGACGCCGACGAGCCGGAGGCGAACCGGGACGGCTTCGGGACTGGAACCACGGCGACCACGTCCAAGGCCCGCCTGTGGCTCGCGCGCCGGAGTGTCAGGACGGGCGATCTGGATCGGGCGGAGAGATTGGCGGAGGAACTGTGCATGGACGGCTACGAGGTCGAGGAGGCGAAAGGCCTGGTCAGAGAGGTGAGAGGACGGCGAGGGGGAGTGGTGGGAGGCGATATGTGATGCAGGCTCGGATAATCAGTTGGAAGGCAAAACAAATGAGCGTCGATCAGTGCACGAGTAAAGCATGATCACAATGAGACTTAAAAATATAGAAGTGAGAAGAGATCAACCTTTTGTATGCCTTCGGTTCATAGCCGTGGCCATTAACGAAATATTGTCATTTATGAGTGCTCGAAACAAACAGAACACCTCGTCTTCCAGCCCTGGTTTTCATAGACACCATCATTAACTTCGATTGCGTCCAACTCGACAAGCTCTAAAACCTGTTGCTGCTGATGCGGCTACACTCATCAATCCTTCTTCGCCCGTCCTTTTCAATATTATTACCGCTGACTAGCGCACACATCATAACCCTCCTGCCGGTACTCTAATTCTGCATTTTCGTCAACTGTTTGGTGATGTCGAGTCAGCCTCGAAAGACTGAGGGGATAAGAGGTAGGGTTTTGTGGTAAAGGTCTGGATCATGGTCAGCAATCTGTCAAATAAGGAAGAGCTCCCACCACAGTTGAAGCAGACCAGGTCTGCAATGCTCTTCCTGTCAACCTTGTCTGTCGGTGTGATTGTGCGGCAATCGAACCGTATTCTTCGGTTACGATGCTCTGCTTTGAGAGCAGAAGTCACATTCTCCTCACAGCATGCACCTGGCAGTCGATACGGGCACTTTGCACTCGATTGACCCAGTTCCGATATCGAGCCCAAGCACAGATGGCAACCTTGTAGCCAGGTTTCAAGCTTCTGACAATGTCTCTGATATCTTCGTTCTCATCATCGTACCTCCAGGTGACATCGTGGGTGTGCCACTCGAAGTCAGCATTGATGTTGGTGATGATGTGTCTGCCTGTGAAAGGGCCTTGAGATTCATCTGTGCCAGGTGGTAGAATGGCGACTTCAAACCAGGTCCAGCTTTCTTTGTACGTGTAGTGAAAAGCCGTCTCGCTCCATCCTTGGTCACGCGAGGTGACTCGAAAGGTCAGGCTGCGCAGAGCGTGGGGAGGAAACGTTGAAGGGATGTCGGCGAGGAGATAGATTCTTCCAGCTTCATTCTCGGTGACTCTCATTTTGCAATTGCTCGAGGCTAGGGGGATATCCACCCAGAGCTCGGCCATGTCAATGATGTCTGGCACCAAGTCTGCCGTAAGACGCTGGGCGAGAAGAGAGGCGACTTGTACGGCATCTGGTTCGGATGGACCCTGTTGGATCATGGGAAGTCGGAATGTGGGAAGGATGTAGGACAGAATAGGAGCAAAGAAAGAAAAGGGACGGGGTAGATTTTCAATATCCTCGACATGCCAGGTGTGCTTCCCGGATGTCTGATCCAAGATGATCACGCCAATGACGGCAGAGATTGCGGGGAGCGTAAAGATAACTTCGGGAGACATGATAGTATACAAGAAATCAGACCCTTGGCTCGGCTGCGCCATTATGAGGTGGTCGTATCTTTCATTCTGGCCGAAGGGATAGAAGAGTACAACAGTAGGAGGGCGTAAGGGAGGAGAGCATGGTTGAACGGGGTGGGGAGAGAGAAAGATGAGGAATATGAAGGCGGAGAGTTGAAGACGGTAAATGTTGACAATGGTCGACGCCTAAGATGGGAAGGTCAGGCGCGAATCAATTCACTTGTCACTTGCACCACAGAAACAGTCAGGAATCGGTGAGACATGAAGTCAACGACGCGTCGCCTGACGACTTCGTGAGTCTTGATTCGGCGATCTTCAGGCACCAACAACGTTAAAACTCCGTTGAGGCTTCACAGCCTTGCCGCGTGCTGCCGATGTTATTCCGGGACGTGTAGTCACCCTCCCAGCCAATCAAGGAATTCACTGCCATTCCTTCTGCTCAGCCTTGCGGACTCTCAAACATCCTCACCCTCATTCTCTGCTCTTACGACCCAGAGAGGATCGTGCATGAATGAGCCTTCAACCAGCGTCTGGATCTCAATGTTCCTCCAGCCGCTCCACCACAGATAGTCGCCGACCATGTTCAGTCTCTCATCTTCGTTCACCTTGAGCCACCGATCCACCACCTTCGTCGGGAAACATCGATTTGAGATGACGAGGTGTATTTTGCCCCCTGACTTTGTTCGCCGTCGAATACTTTTCAGGACGTCTACTGGCTTCGTGAGATAGTCAATGGATACTACGCAAGTGGCGGCGTCGAGCTGGCTGACATCACTCCCAGCCAGTCGCACCTCGGGATCTTGGTTCAAATCCTGAACAGACCGACATGTCAGTACCGGGTTTTTATCGAGTTCTCTCTCGTTCATGCCCGATCCCAGCACTTCGAGATGTCCCGCAGATGCCGCCTGCACCACGACTTGCGGGTAGTGTGAGATCCAGCTGCTGCAGAAGTCGAGAATTCGCCCCTTCCGAGGCAGGACTTGTTGGTAATACTTGCGAAGGGTATTGATGGCGTTGTCGTCAATATGCGTCACAAACCGAGGAGCGGCATAAAAATGAGAGTCGTTTCCGGCATCTTGAGGTGTCAAGTCTGCAGTTGAGTAAGGAAATGGGCCGTCAGGATTTGATGGCACATAGTTTCGAATCGGCATGCCTCCATTCTCCATGCTCTTGTTGGACAACAGGCCTGACAGAATTGATATTGAGCGGAGATTTCGCTTCACCAGTGCCCGAGGCATCGACCGTCCTGGGAAGATGAGATAGTTGCTGACTCGACACCCAGAGATCCCAGATGTTGATTATCGTGCCACTCTAGCGAGGAATCTAATAAGATGCCTCCCCATGTTAGGTAAGGATGATGACGTTATCGAGTCATGCCTCATGCATCTCCAATATTGGACACTCTACGAAGGGCGATAGGTAGTTCGCACACACACCTCTGAATTGCGCACAAGGCTATCTTATCACCAAAGTACCCGCTAATTGTCAAGAGACATTCTTTGAGGTGGTTATTGATTCGACAAAGCGGTGGCAGGAGTGTCTGGTGGAATTTATTGAGACATTCCTCCAACAATTGGTTGCTCGGATCATCAAGATCCACCGAGTATCTCACTCCACGTTATTCGCAAGTTCTCTCGTACTCGTATATTCGGACCTATCTGACCCCGGAGCCGAGTGTCTATTGCTGACAAAACCAACCACCAACAGCTCAAAAGGCTTCCCCGGATTTTGCTTGGTGGACTGTTCCAATTCGCCCTCTTATCATATGTGACCTCATTTGGCGTGGTCAGAAGGGCCATCACAGTGTGGCATTGTTGACCCCTCACAAGTACCCTACTAGCTTATTTGTCTCTGCATTGGGTGAGACGGAGGTGTATATAAGTGATTCGAGCCCATCTATACGGATGTCTTTTCGAGTCCCTCCCTCAGTGACTCGCTCATCGCATATCCTGTGCTCACCAACCTTTAGCCGGCCTCTTCACCGTCATCAGCACTCACTAATCTTTGGAAGGCGAAAAATGGCCACAGAGGCCCACATTGAACTCGATCCTTCTCATGCAGGTGTTTACCATGTTCCGAACATCTCACAACAATCATCCGATACTGGAAGCAAATTGCTCCAGTATAACTCGGATGCTTTCCATATCTTCTTCAATGCTTCCGGATTCCACAATCACATTGCTCATCATCTCTTAACGATATATGCTCTCGGTGCCACATCAGAAGAATTGCAACATGCGTTCGATTTCAACAAAGGCTACCAGCGAAAGCTTCCTCCTGTGGACACAGGAAATGTGCAAAAAATGTCTGATCCTGAGGGATTCAACAGCTCTCTGGGGAAAGCGCAGTACTTCCACGACTACGAGGTTTTCTTTCAAGGAGAAATCGAGAAGAAAGGGTGGGAAAAGGTCCTCAACGAACATGTTTTTGCTCGCACTGAGCACTCCGAGAGAATGTTAGTCCGCATGTTTGCAGGTTTCCTGCACCCATTGATCCATTTGGGGTTTGGGGTGGAATTCAAGCAGCCAGCCATCATGATTGAAGCTCTTGCACAAGCGGCTGTCCATGACGACTGGCCTGGTAAATTCCTCCATGCAGCTGAGAAGGCCGCCAAACAAAACCGATCCTCCAAGAGCCTGGTACAATTGATACACGAGACTCGTGCAAATGAGAAGCTCCGAAACTCTGCCCATGCTGAAGACGGCAACAAGCTCCGAGATGGGGTGTTCGCCAGAGCTGCTGAAGAAATGACAGATATTGCTTCTCAATGGACCGTGGAACCGGAAGAACTACAGCAAAAAACCGCGGAGATGATTAACGCTGCTGTGTATTTTGCTGCCGGTGCCCAGCGTCCAGGCAAACAAGTCAAGTTTGACTTCTTCTACATGCATTCCGTCAACTGCTCCATATTCTTTTCAGCATTCTTGGACGAACCATGGTTGAGTACGGAGAACAAGTGCAGGCTTCTGGAATGGAAAGGTCGACTCGATCTAGCAATGTATGTCTCCAGAGGATGCCCGAAATTGTTGACAGAAGAGATCAAGAACTACAAACCGCAGCATCCCCAAGACGGATGGGCGGAGATCATACGCAGAGTCGACAAATTCCCTGACGATGGACATGCTAGCAAATTGGTAAGAGCTCTCGCCAACGGACATGAGGTTTGCAAACCATATGAAGGGCAGTCTGAGGATGTCTTCGTTCTTCAGGGAGATGATGTATGGCTGAAATTAGGTCACATGGCCATTGATTCAGTTGAGACAGGCGAGCCGCACTGGGTACGCAATGCTGGATTTGATGAAGCTTGGGACGAGGTCCCTGAGCGGGCACGACTATGAGGGAGGCTGATATCGACGAAATTGGGCTTGCGTTCACCTATCACTACTCCTTCCTATATGTAAAATAGTATGAAGCCATATTCCAAGGTTGAGTTTGACACAGCACGCATTACGAGGGTTGAATGTAACGGAGTTGAATTTGATTGCAATTCCGAGGATGTGTTGATAAAGATATTATATTTATCTATATTTATGAAGCCCGAAACATGTCACCATTTTCCCCGCATCATCAACTCGACTCAGGCAACATCGATTCCTCTCATTACTTCTCTCCTGTCCTACACCAGTAATCTCTGTTTCTTTATCTTCTGTCCTTTAGACTGTGCTATACTCCTTGCCATCTACCATGCCTGACAAGCCTCAAAACAGTAAAGACAACTCGATCCCACCTCCTCTGGATCCTTTCCCCACCTACCAGACACCCTTCCCTCGATCAAATAGGGACGATGACAATCCCTTCATACAGTTCCGTCGATTTGCCGATGAACAGTTCTCATCGATGTTCCAAGGTATACCTCGTCTCCTTGGATTTCAGAGCAACAGACACTTTGAGGATATGATACGGGAGAGGCAGGAACGGGAAGAAGGATGGCGCAAGCAGATCGAACAGGAGATGGAGGAATGGAGACAGAACCGCGAAGGACTCATGCAGAGATTGACACAGAGACTCGAGAACAACATCCCAGAACGTATTGAGCAAATGAGACAGCATCGCGAACGCATGAGACGCATGGAGGACGCCGAGAAATCCAGCGAGGAATCCACACAATCTTTGCCACAGATTACACCATGGTCGGCTCGAGATGCGGCCTCCAAATGCCCGGCGTCGAATGGCAGCCAGCACTTACAAGGTCGACCCAAGTGTCATGCATGGCGCAACAGGAATGAGCAAGCAAGGACAGAGTTGGATGCTTACGAAACCTCAGAGCATGATAGCCTTGCACCGAACGCGCCAGGAATACAGTCAGGCTCCGACGACACACCTAGACAACGATCAAAGTCGTGGTTCTCGTCATTTGGCTGGGATGGCAGAAAGATCGAGCAAGGCAGGGATAAGGACGACTCCAAACGAGTTTCACTTGAGTGCGAGGAACGATCGTCTCAGCCTGTCACCTATACTATGTTCTCTACCAAGTCTATGGACCCCTTCGACGACACTTCCGTCACCATGCCCTGGCTCATGTTGAACAAGTACTCCCCGATATACCTTTGCAATCCCTCTCAACCGAGGATGTATGAGGTACAACTACATGATGCCGAGGACGTACCATTCCGAATCTCAAGGCCAAGATTCTTCGAGCCATCGCCACGCCATCATGAGTTCAATGAGAGGTTGGCGAAACAGCTCCCCTGGGCAGATGCGTTTGAAGACCTCATCAGCCTACAACAAACCGGCAGAATGGTGGACAGAGACTACTCGACTTGGCGCACTCCGAGTACTTGGATCCATGATATGGTCTATCGAGGGAGCTTGGGCCCTCGCTGGGCTTTCAATCACGATGGAATGCTGATCAGGCGTTCAGTTGACGCCGAGACTCGTGCCCGACAGCAAGGGCAACGCTACGGGTGGCACGATGGATTCGCCGGACAGTCTTCGCTTCTTTTGGGACGGAAAGTGAGCGAATTTCTTGACGAGATGGGCGATAATGTGACAAAAACCATTGCAACATCACCCATGTTTAGCAGCGTTTTGTCGGCCGCCAATGCAATTGTGTCGGCTGCCGAAGAAGCGCAGAGAGACTTCGAGAGCATGGCACCAGAGACTGTTGACGAGCGAGGAGAAGAATCCAGACAGACGCAAGACGCCGAGGTCGTTTCTGAGCAAGTGCGGTCGACAGCCTTCTCCCACGCCTTTGAAAGTTCGTTCTCATCATCCATCAATCAGGGAGGGACTGAAAATCAGGTTGTCGGCACAACAACGTCCATCAGTCAACGGACGCTTCCGGATGGCTCCGTCGAGACCAAACGCATCTTCAACCGACGGTTTGCCGATGGGACCACAGAGTCCGAGGAGAGCGTTGATGTGAGCCATGGCCCAGCTGCTCAGCCCAGACCTCTTTACGGAGCCCAGGCGAATGAACAGCTTGAGACCGGAACAGCTCCCGCCGCTTCATTTCATTCCGAAGACGGCGAAGGGCATGGTTCCATCCCGAGGTCAGAAAGACAACGTCAAGAGACTACAGACGGAGCAACTCAGGGGCAAACCGAGAACTCCACTGAGCAACCTAAACGAGGTGGCTGGTTTTGGACATGATCGAGGCTCAGCCCTTGATGTCTCGTATTATCCTTTTTGATCCAAGACCCCTGCGACAAGGGTCTATTGACCACGTTCTGGGGAATTCATGGATCGTAACAACTACCTAAATACTTTTGTCGTCTGGACAGTCTCCACTCACTTACTCTTGCTCTTTTTGGTGGTTCGACGGTGATGTATTTTGTTGAGATGACGATTTGGAAAAATGAATTCATGATGTTTATGTCTGTGTATACCTAGGTAGCTACTAGCAGTGTCTTGGAGTTACAATATATATGATCTCCTCTCGAGCAATTTCAGAGTCTTCCTTTATCCGTTTTTACGAGCATCGATTCGAGTCGCTATCGTCTACCTACCTAGGTACCATAGCTAGGTATCTATCTGTGTCTATGAGTACATCTATCATGACCGAAAACCTCCCGAAAGCTGTTTGGGTGGTGACAAAGAATCTCAATCAAAGTTCTTTTCTGCTCCTTCATAGTAGTCGAAAAAAAAGGTTTGTTTACAGCTTGAACCCCCGCTGTCTACCCGGCAGACAGACAAATCATGCAAACTCCTTGTCAACCTCCTCGTAATGGTCAAAGAACCCCTTGTACAGCTTGACTCCCAGACCAGGATCGAGAGAGCCCGTGGTCGCGCGGATCGAGTGCATGCTCAACTGTGGAATACCGCAGTCGATGGCACGGCAGCCCAGCTTGGAACTCGTCATGGGTCCGATGGTGCCGCCACTCCTCGAATCGTTTCGGATCTGGAAGACCTGGAGCGTGCTGCCGCATTTTTCCGCTATCCGGGACAGGAGCGCGGTCGAGACGGCGTCGGTGGTCATGTGGCCATTGGGGTCGGCGCTCACGGAAACACCGACGTTCAATCTGGGCGAGTGGTTCTCGAGATAGGACCCCAGGAAGTTCGGGTTGACGGCGTGGATGACGTCGCTCGAGACGAGGAAGGAATTGGCCATGCACCTGCCGAGGAGGTTGGGTCCGCAGCACGTCGTCATGGAAAAGTTTTGGCCAATCCTCTCAATCACATTGGACATGAAGTTGCCCCGGGCACCCTGACGAAGATACGACCCGATTTCTTCGTCATCGAAACAAGCCACCATCCTGACGATGCCCTGGGATGTCTTGTCGGAAGAGGCCAGCAAGGCTTCGACGGCGGCAAAGCAGCACAACTTGTCGTCGATCCGACCGGCAAAGATGAATTCCTTGTCCAGGCCACCCAACTGGGCAGGCTGCACGTCGAAGAGCTCGAGTTCCCAGTTCACGATGGACGTGTAGTCTTCTATCCCCATCTGTCCGGCGATGGCCCGCACCAGTCGCTCCGGCTGACTGGCGACGAACGTCCCGGCCGGGAGTTCGAGGCTCGGCTTCTGCTCCCCCGAGAGATCAGAATTGTCGAGGCCCACGATGGGTACCATGTTTGTTTCGAGGTTGAAGGGCCCCGAGGCGGCTGCGCCAAAGTGAGGTGCGAGGGTCGGGATTCTGGCGATGGGCCAGTCCAGCTTGACGAGCTCTTCCCTGATCTTGCCATCCTTGCCACGGACGAGGACCCGACCACCGATGCCCAGGTCACGGTCCCACCACGTCATGTTCATGCCTCCGGCATAAGGGGCGACTCCCAGTTGGACATAGCCAGCCTTGGTGGGCAGTTTCGGCACGGGTTTGACCTTGGCAGTGAGTGCATCGATGTGCCCGGCGACTATGGCCATGCCCTCGCCATCTAGGTAGTCCTTGCCAATTGCAAAAGCGATAAACGCGCTCCCATTTCGTTTCGTGTAGTACTTCCCCCCAGGCGCGAGGTTCCAGTGATCCCTCTCCGACAAATAACGGTATCCTGCCTCTTCTAGTCTCTTTGTCAAGGCTTCGACGGCATGAAAGACGGTGGGGTTGTTGGTCATGAAATCGAGGTACGGCTGGGTGTATTTCTCAGGGCTAAAATATCTCTGCGAAGACGGAGGAGAGTATTCACCGTGCTGTCCCATGCGGTTGTAACCTCGAGAGACATGGAGAGGGACGTCTTCATGGATCGAAGTAAAGAATCCGGAGGATGTTTTGCGTACCATGTTGGAAGAAGTATGTTTGATAGAGGTAGGGGCAGCGGCAAAGGGTGTAAACAATTACTCAGATGATCCTGAGGAGCAGTAGATACCTACCTAGTAGGTACTGGAATGTAGGCTGCTGGTACCTGAGATAGTGGCAGTGACAGTGACAGTGACAGTGATGGAGAGTGATCAACAGGGAAGCTTTGTATGTTTGACTGCGCCAGGCTGCATGTCGACGTCAATACAAGATCCGTCACAACTCCACAGCAACCGGTCGATAATGCGATAAGCGACGCCACCACCATCCATCCTGGTCGTACATAAAAAGACATCTTGCCAATGCCGACCGTTGCATCTGTCACCCCACCACCCTACGACATCTTAAGGAATTCTCGGTATAAGAGTACATACCTACCAACAGCGATATCTGGATCCTACCTCAAAGCCTGCATCATTCAAACCTACGATTTCTCACCACCACCCAGCGATACTCGTGAGTTAAGATGGCTTCAACGGTCGCAGCGAAGAGACTCTTCCAAGAATATAAATCCTTATTGACCAATCCACCCGATGGCATCACCGCTGGCCCTGTGAACGAGGATGACCTTTTCATCTGGGAGGCATTGATTCAAGGTCCCGAAGGAACTCCTTTCGAAGGCGGCATCTTTCCCGCGGAGCTCAAATTCCCAAAAGATTATCCTCTGAATCCTCCAAAGATGAAGTTCTTGGGCGAGATATGGCATCCTAATGGTAAGTCATCCGTCCTCGACCGTGTCAAGTGTCACTTGGACTGACAACAATAATCTAGTATACACCAACGGCGAAGTCTGCATCTCTATCCTCCACCCGCCCGGCGACGATCCAAATCATTACGAGAGCGCATCGGAAAGATGGTCACCCATACAAAGCGTCGAAAAGATCTTAATCTCTGTCATGTCAATGTTGGCTGAACCCAACGATGAGAGCCCGGCGAACGTTGAGGCTGCAAAAATGTGGCGGGAACGTCGACCAGAATTTGAGAGGAGGGTACGAGAGGGAGTAAGAAGATCATTGGGTCTATGAGTGCATGAACGGACCTCTTCCGCATCGTGTCCCTCAGTCCAACAACATATCATCATCTTCAGCATGATTATGAGCTTGCAGCTTGACACTGAGACGCGCTGTCAGCCAGTGTTCCAGTCCACCACTCCTCTCGTCAAGAATTTGAATTTCTGCCTTTCGATTGAGCATGAGCATGCGACGAAGCTCAATCAAACCCTTGGCCAAACCTGGCAACACAGATCCAGACTCGTCTCTCAATTCCCGGTTCAACAGCATCGAAACCGCCAGGGTCCGGTCTCGTATTGACAAGACCATTGACGTATCATCAAAGTCGCCGAGATTGACCACATCCTTTGCCTTCAACCCAATCCACGCCATCTCGGGAAGATTGCAGTGCTGTTCCCGAGCCATCGCCTTTGATCCATAGCGATAGCATTTCATAATCTGTACGCCATCTGGATCCCAGTCGAAAAGGCCAAATATCGGAACAGCGCTTTGTGCACGGTCAACAATAAGGCGTAGGAACCGTCGAGTAGAAAGGTCGGGATAGCCCTTGGCCTGGTGCTTCAGTCAGCGACGAAGTGAATCCAGCTCAGCACTCCAGTACCGTGACAAGTAATCCAGGACCGACGGTGGGGTTTCGATGGTATCCTCTTTCAGCCAGGCTTTTGAACGTAGCCTGAAAAGCATCAAAATCTGTCCGCTCATACATTTTCTCTCTTACTTCTTTCTCAAAGACCAAAATCCACTTCAGATATGTGATATCTGCAAATCCGTGCTCAGTGGAGAGATCTTCTGGAACCAGGGCCGTGTGACTCTTCTCGTGGTGACTCTTCCCGTTAGTAGTGACGAGACCGACCATGAGGCCTTTCGGACTGCTCGCCTGCAAGGATTTTAGTTCATATGCGACTTCGCTGGGCCTTGCGTGCTGGGTGCGTACGTACCACATTCAAGTCATTCCTTGTCACCTGGAATGTGTGGGCAATGTCGTCAATGTACCGATCCACGGTTTCTTGTTGCTTGAAGAGATCTGGATCGTGGTAGTAGATATCCCTGCTCACATTGGTAATAGTCCCCTCAGCGTTCAAAGAAATACGCTCCTCTTGGTTACTCTGATCCCGTTCTTGATTGCTCCGTGTATCTCGGTCAAGATACGTCCAACGCAGGCTGGTGGAATCAGTTGACCCTGCTGCCATTCTATTGCCACTCACCGAATCTCCATGCTTCCTCCTTGGTTTTTCCGGGGAAGTGATATCGTACTTCGCGGTCTTCAACATGCCACCTCAAGCGACCCTCATCAGCTTCGTCATAGTATGGCACGATGGCGGAAACTCGTCTCAGGGTAATGACAGGTCTGCCGCCGGAAGTCACGTCGATGTCACGGACAATATCGCTAAGGATTGTTTCGATTTGATCAATAACACTTTGGTTAGCAGTAGTAAACGGTATCAGGGAATGGCCTGGCGTAACATGATCTCTGGCCATGAGAATACTCATTGCGATTCAGCGCAATTGGCCGTAATCAACTGCAGTCGCCCAGTGACCCGATGTCGAAGTTTGTGCCGTACGAACACGAGTATTAATTCTCTTACAAATGGTGGACCACCAATGACCCCGGAAAAGACGAAGTTGTGCCTGAAACTAGGAAAGTCGCTTAGGCACAAAATCCCCGAATCTCACATGCTCCGAGTGGCATCATTATTGTCTCCCCTTCCCCTACACTATCCGTCACCCCAGCTTTTTTTTCGTAAAGGCAGACTCAGGAACTCTTTTTGGAAGCGCAACGAATTCTAGAGTCAAGAAAATCATGTTTTTGCATCGATAACAAACTTGCAACATGGCGCGGACGCTACGATCTGCCCAAAAGCCCCTGAACGGCAGCATTCACAGTGCGCTAGATGGTCAGGCGAATGGCGCACCCAGAGAGTACTCTCGAGATACTGACAGCGAATCGCTTGATCGATCGCGCTGGAGACTACGCGCAGAAGGTGGTCGTCATACCTGGCACTATTTGAAAATTGAAAAAGAAGTTGAAGAATGGCCGCAGACAGTCGCCGACAAGTACCACCTCGGTCTACCAACAGTATGCGCTGATCAATTCTACAAAGAAATCTACTGATCGTTACAGAATCTTCCTGGTCGTCCACCTGCTTCGAAACCGTCAGAATCGATAGAGAACTGCCTCGCCTTTTACTCGGAACTTCAACTTCCTCCTGGACACTGGGCTTGCGAATATGGTGGCCCTCATTTCCTCCTTCCCGGAATTGTCATCTGCTGGTACGTAACGGGAACACACATTCCGACAGAGTACCAGATTGAAATCAGGAATTATCTGTTCGCAAGGCAAAACAAAGACGGGGGATGGGGATTACATGTCGAAGGACACAGCTCTGTCTTTGGGACTGCTATGAACTACACGATCCTGCGAATCCTTGGTGCCAGTCAGGAAGATCCTCGCATCGTGAAAGCCAGAGGTAAACTTCACCAACTCGGTGGTGCGCTTAACGGTCCCCATTGGGCGAAGTTCTGGTTGAGTGTCCTGGGTATAACGCAATGGAGCATTGTCAACCCAGTGCCCCCAGAGTTGTGGCTCTTACCAGACTGGGTACCGATCGCCCCTTGGAGATGGTGGGTTCACATGCGCCAGGTTTTTCTGCCCATGAGTTATGTCTGGTCCAAGCAATATACCATGCCTGAGAACGATCTTATTCGCTCTCTACGTCAAGAGGTTTTTGTTCAGCCGTACGAGACTATCGACTTTGCCTCACATCGAAACTCCATCGCCCTGGAAGATAACTATCACCCCAAGTCGTGGCTGCTCAAGCTCATTATGTCCATTCTGGTATGGGTATGGATCCCCGTACTTCGCACCAAGAGCATCATTGAGAAGGCCGAATCCTGGGTCTGGAGGCTCGTTCAGTACGAAGATCATAACACGGACTATGCTGACCTCGCGCCCGTCAATGCCCCAATGAACACACTAGTATGCTTCATCCATGAGGGGCCTGAGAGCTACTCATTCAAGCGCCACCTTTACCGTCTTGAAGAGTATCTTTGGGTTAATAAGGAGGGCATGCTTGCGAATGGCACCAATGGCGTTCAAGTGTGGGACACAGCCTTCACGATCCAGGCGTGCGTAGAAGCTGGACTCGCCAAATCGCCCAAATGGAAACCCATGCTGACCAACGCTCTCTCATACCTTGAATCCGAGCAGATTCGCGACGAAGTCCCGGATCGGGAGATTTGCTATCGCCAATCACGTAAAGGTGCATGGCCTTTCTCGACCAAACTCCAGGGATACACGGTCTCAGACTGTACGAGTGAAGCCTTGCGCGTCGTTCTACTCTTGCAGAACGTCCACGGTTATACGCCACTCCTGGATGATAGGCGGATCAAGGACGCTGTGGATGTGCTGTTGACCATGCAGAACAAGCATACTGGCGGCTTCGCTAGCTACGAACCCCAGCGCGGCAGCGAGTACTTGGAAATGTTGAATGCCGCAGAAGTCTTTGGTCGCATCATGGTCGAATACGACTACCCGGAATGCACCACGGCCGTCGTGACGGTCTTGTCTCTCTTCCAGAAGCACTACCCTGAATACCGAACCGACGAGATTCGTCGCATCAAGGAGACGGCGTGTCAATATATCCGCCGAGCCCAGCGCGGGGACGGCTCCTGGTATGGCAGCTGGGGGATCTGTTTCACGTACGGGGCCATGTTTGCGCTCGAGTCTCTGAGCTCGGTCGGCGAGGATTACAGCAACTCCGCGAGGGTCAAGAAGGCCTGCGAGTTCTTGCTGTCGCACCGCATGGCCGACGGCGCGTGGGGCGAGAGCTACAGGGCGTCGGAACTCAAAGTGTGGGTCGACCACCCGGAAAAGTCGCAGGTCGTGCAGACGTGCTGGGCGGTGATCGCACTCATGTACGCCGGGTACCCGGACAAGGAACCCATCAGGAAAGCCCTCCAGGTTGTCATGGGCCGGCAGCAGAGCAACGGGGAGTGGCTGCAGGAGAGCATCGAGGGGGTCTTCAACTGCAGCTGCATGATCACCTACCCCAACTACAAGTTTTACTTCCCCGTCAAGGCCCTGGGGATGTACATGGCCAGATGGGGTGATGAGGCTCTACTCTGAGAGAGACAGGGCGAGATGAAATTGCAGAACGACAAGACATCTAAGAGTGTGTCTAGACTCAATATATATTGGTATATTACATACAGAGTGAGTATTTGCAGGATGAAACTCGTTTGGAGTATGGCTAGCTATACGTCCTATTTGGGTCGATGGTACAATTCAAAGTGCTCGAAAAAAAAACAATCAAGCACTGTCATGTCATCGAGATCTCCTGATCATATCCTTTTGAGTAATGTACAGTAGATAGAATCGCAGGTAACGTGCTGTACCACTCGACGACCTTCCTCCAATCGATGATTGGAGTCGCCGAAATTTGGTCATACGGTTGAAAGGTCCGCAACAACAAACGTAGGACCTAGAGTCGTCCAGAGGGGAGGAAGGTTGTTGACTGGCAGTGTACGGAGTATGTTGATAGCCATTCAATGACAGATCAATGACCGGTAATAACCGGTGGTAACCCCGTGTGAATGGGTTGCTGCTTCCAGCTACACAAGTCTAGAAATGCTCACGCTCGATATCCTCGCAACGGAGAACTGCTGATCGTATTTGTACCACGCCATATTGTGCAGCGTTGTAGACTTCAAAACAATGTCATCTTTGCAAGTCGAAGTATCGGCATGCGGGTCATATGACAAATGGTCCGATCAGCCTTGTGTTATTCGCAGACAGTGTCGGTGAGTCTTTGTGGTGTCCAGACTCCGCTTATGCCGCGGGCAGCATGTACATCAATTCCACGTCGTGGTGAAGAGGCTGAAGTAGACTTGGAGAACAAGTCATGCCTGTATCGATACATGATGTAAGGAGTTGCCCCGCTCGTGAAGTCCTCAATCTGGATCATTGCTGGCATCGTAATATGCTTTGGAAGGATCCTCGTAGATGAATGTCGTTGCTGTACTGGACAAACTTGGGATCGACCCCGGTGATTCCCCGGATTCGGTTGTTTCAGCGCTCGACTCTCTCTTCAAGTGAAAGTTGGGCTCATCCCTCTCCCTCAATTGGAAAAGGAGCTCATTGAAAACATGTTCTGCATGGACGCCCCTCTGTTTGACACGTTCAAAGGCCTTCTCAAGCCATTTGGTCGCGTCGCTTCGCCCAATCCTCTGGTAATAAAAATAGGCGAGGTTTGCAGGGAAGTTGATGATGTTTGCCCCCCAAGCCCCCATGTCCGGCTGTAGACAATACGGCACAGTCCGGCAGATATTAGAAGCATAGCGGTCTGCGCTGAGAATTTCCTTCAGCGTCGTTGGGCTCATGGATTCTGGCACTTTGTGCCCTCGTAGTTCGAGAGCCTGCACAATATCATCGCCCAGCTCGGCGAGCGTCAATGAACATGCATAATAGACGACTCGAGCATGGACAAAAAGATGATTCTCGAACCAGAGGTCTGTTTCGAAAGGATATCCGTCTGGGTCGTTCGGATCATGCTTTTGAAGACGCGGAGTTGCTCCTTTCTTTGTCCCATCTCTCCACCTGTCCATTTTCAGCTGAATAGTCTTACAGTCGCTCAGGAGCTGGATGAGATCTTGGCCTATATCCGAGTCGCTCTCTCGAAGAAGGTCGAATTTTTCGAGAAACCCAGGGACCAGTGTTGTGGTGTCTGTCAAAAGATCAAAATATGTCCTATGCCCCATCTTAATCCACGGAATGGTCAGCCACTCTTCAGTCGCTAGATAGGTTGACTTCCTCTGCAAGATTGATGCATATACGGTGGGGATCCGAGAGGCCAGAAACGGGTGATGGGCTGCCCAATGTTGATGCCTCTCAGGGCCTCGTAGTTGCACTAGGCGTGCCGCTCCAGCAGCATGCGTAAGCCAGCTCCGAGATTGAAACGCAGGGCCTTCAAAGACCTCGTATAAGCCCAGTAACATACAAGCCATGAGAATTTGATCAGAGTACATGCGCTTCGGGTCAAACAAAGCCTCTTGCAATTCTTTTAGCGCTCTGCCATAGATTTTGCTGCTCTCATGGACGAGTCGAACATCTTTATTGGCTTGTCCGACTCTTGATATAGTCAAAGCAGAAAATGCCTCTTCCAGAGAACTATCCTGGCTAGACACGTCTTGTATGAGTTCTGCCCAGTTCATGGGATGACCGCAGCGGATCAGGAAGGCGTCGCGACAGGCGCATTCGCCTTGGGGCATGTATAGATCCCAGAACAGACTTCGACATTGCGCTTGTATGGCTGTCTGATTGAGAGACCCGGGAAGCGGCCCAGCAATGGATCTTGCGTACGGGAGGAAGATGGCTTTCTCGACTTCTTTGCTCGCTGGGTGGAGGATGAAGGTCCTATCGCGTTTGTATCCTCCGCAAACAAATCCACTTGAGGCACATTGACCGCAGATGGGTCGCTTTTGATCGCACTACAGAGGTAGTAAGTGAGGAGATGCGCAAGAATGGAGGAGTCTCACATACACCCTTTTTACGACGGCGACAAGTGCTACAGCCTTTGCTTTTTCCAGGAACGCCGACCATGTCTAGCCACCAGCATTTCCACCTGGGGGAATCGCAGCTGGTCCAAAGAGGTATGTGATGTATCTTTCGATGGAATAGGCGCAAGGCGAGGCCGGATCAAGTGAGGAATGAGCGGCATGTCATGTCTATCTGACCGTGCAGGCGACGTTATGAGCGGTCAGGATGGTCGATGTGAGAGTCGGGCCTGAAAAGTACTGTAAGTAGAAGCCTATCCATACAGTGTTGCTTGACTACTCAGGGAAGTAGTGGGGTCGTCATTATCCATGGGACTTTTGGCTATTGGGGGATGGAGATTTTGAGAAGAGGCTCAGTCATATCGAACACGAGTACGGATAGAGAAACCGCAGTTGTCGCTATTGGACTGCTAAAGAAATTATTTGAGTGCCCCCGATTCTACCGTGACACGGGGGCTTAGGTGTTCCGTAGGTACAATAGGTACAGTACTCCGTATGACCAGGTATCATTTAGTAGGCTGGTTTTGGTATGGACGATGGCGAGATTATTGGGGCCGAATGGGTGGCTGAGAAGCGAGCCATCAGCCACAGATGTCTTACTGGGATCTCTGACTTACTTTAGGCCCCAGAACATGAATACCTTAGGCGGCTCATTCTAGGCTCCTATAGGCGTGCTCAGGTACTTATGTGGGCACCTAGAGGAAAGAGTAAGCCGCCTCGCGAAACGCCCGCTCCACCCCCAACCGCAGTTTCGCCCTACCAGAGAACAGGATAGAATAAAGGTGCATGATTACAGGCTTCATGCAGCGTCTCCAATTCCGCTTAATAGAGCCCCCATGTTGACATCCGGTTAGTAACAGGCCCTACATAGATACCCAGTACGGAGTACGGAGTACCGTAGGCGTTGATTCCACCACGAGTCTCGGAGTATGGAGGATTCTTGGTGCTTGTCCCGTCACAACGTCACTTGCCCCACGCTCTCATACAAGAGACTCTCTGTGCGCATGTGTTGTGTCCGAGCGCTCTTCGACGGTAAACAATCAATCTTGACTTCACTACCTCACGTTTGACGTTTCTTTTCTTCTTCCTTGTGTATATTTTTCATCAGGGCGAACCAGTCGCTATGTTATTATCCGGCCGGTGACACTTTGTTTACAGGACCCTTGTCTTAATGTTTAGTACTGGGCGGTGAAGGTCAACAGTATTCACCGCATCATGGACCACTCACAGCTCGCCGACCTGCTCGCCCAAACAATGCCTCAGAAGGCTTCTAATGCTTCTGGCAATCGAGTTACTCCTTTGTCGCCTCGACAAGCGTTCCAGTCTCACGTTCGAACCTTGAATAGCAGGCCAACCACCACCAAACCATCGCCTGCAGCGCTTCGGTCACCCGAACTTCAACAATTCTCCAGCCTGCAGGTCAACTCTACAAGCCCTCCCCCACGTAGCGCGGCCCGCCCGATTGCAGTCTATGGGTACAACGACATAGATCTGCGCATTTCAAGAGACGGGCAGCCCGAATTCGTCGCGGAGGAACGGGAGGCTTGGGCTAGGCCTTCGCCACTGAGGATACGCAAGAGACCATCCAACGATGTTTACGTCCTCCAGCCGCCAGAACCAGAGACTCCCGTTAAACAGCCGAGCAAAGAGACTCGAGGGCTTCAGCAATTTGGTCCCATGCCGGCTACGGCAGACACGAATGAACGACCGAAGACCAGCAGAGGGCCAGACATAGAGCAGGGTAGTTTTGATGATCGTTATCATGAAGAGGATCAAAATCTGCAGTCTCGAAACTCCAAGTTCGCTGAAGGGAGCATGAGCAATCGATCTGCTGGCATCTCCTCTACCTGGCACAAGCACGGCTCCATCAGCAGCCTTTCCGACGTGTCTGATCACGAGCTCACTCCAAGAGCATCCCCACAACGTTCTTCTGTTGATGTTGATGAATTCAAGCCACCTGCAGTCACGCCGTCGACCCTGAAACAGCGCTTGTTCAAGATTGGTTCTACTTTCAAACCCAATGAAAGAGCGGGGAAGATTGAGGACCCTTTGCCGCGTGAAAAGAAGAAAAAGGGCCTACGCAAGAGTATATCAATGTGGAATTTTTCACATCTCGGTGACAAGAAGAAGGCTCGAGAGGCTGATTTGGACCATGATCCTGCGCCACAGACAGCGACATCGACCGTGCCAGCGCCGGGTGACAAGAATGTGCTCAACGAGCGAAAGAGAAGAGCAGAAGAAGCCTATGTTCAGCAATTTGGTTCGAAGAGACGTAAATCGACCGGTGCCCAGATTCCTTTACCAGAACTGGCTATTCCCCCACGACCACTTCCTGTGCCCGAATTACCCACCAAAGCACCTCGAGGCCCCAGACGTAAGCCCAGTGTCTCATCCTCAGCCATTGCCACAGACTCTGAATTATCTGATGACACGAGCTGCATTGATCACCATAAGCGACCCACTCGACGCGAACTCGAGAAGGAAAACCAACATCTGCGAGCGATGCTCAAACAGCAGCATGTACGACGCAAATCCGACGGAGCCGGCGTCAATGCCCCAGTCCCAGCCTGTATCTCGCTAGATGAATTGGCCAATGACGATGACACGCCAAAGATGCGGTCTGCCATCACTTCTGGAAGCAAAGAGAAGCCCCCGCCAGTCCCGCCAGTGCCAGATAGAGTGGCACTGCGGAACCTTAGCAACGTCAGGAACCAGCCCAAGAACAAGACCAGTAGTGCTAATAGCACTTCCTCAATCGCTATTTCTAATGATAAGACCAAGACCAGGGAGCAGGATAATATTGAACGACGTCCTCTGACTGACACCAACACTATGGGACTGCCTCGACCATTCTCGATCATCTTCGAGGAAGACGAGGAGGCCATCGAGAATAAGACGCCGACCCCGAGTCCGAAGAGGCGTGTGCTTGAACCGAGCTCGGTAGAAAAGAGAAAAGTTCGAGACCAAATTTCAATGCAAATGAAGGGAGTGAGGAGAGAGCAGTGGGAGTGGCCTGAAGATGTGTTTTGAATGTCCAACTGAGCAACGTCCAGAGTTTTATGATTTACGAGACACGAAGAACAGAATTATGTGGAGACGAAGTGAGCGCGGAGAGGACGAAGCTGGTGAATTTTGTATGCCAACGAACAACGCGATGTCGTTATCGATTTCACCTCGACCACTGTCAGCGCTGGTGAGGCAGACGGGAGGTCGTAGAGATGGGGAGTGGGAGTGATCTCGAGCAAGACGTCTCGAAATGAAGATGGTTAAAAGTCAGCTACATTTAGTTTGTTTCCTTCTGCCTCAATCATGCATCGTGCTTCCTTTGAGGTGTTGCTCCGTGTCAATTGATGAGGCCTCTTTTCACTTTAGCTTTGGCGTTTCATCTGCTTTATTCGTGTACATACATTCAATACAATTCTCTTGACGATGAAATCAAAACTCCGTTCAACATAGAGATTCTCCATTCCTGGTGATTGTAGGTCTTTAATATTATGCAGTGGGCATGTTCATACCGATAGGGAGTCGCGGATATGTCTTCCACTAGTCGAGAATGTTGACATAATCAGAAATCAATAATCTGGACGTCGCTTTGCTGTTCTACCATGTCAACAGTTGATTCGGGTAACAAGTCACTCCCTACAACCATGTACTGTATTGCTATGAAGATGGGTTGATGACGGATGTTGATGTTCAACTAAATGGGACAAAAGTGGTGTACAGGATGAGTGACTAGTGATCGTCAGTGGCATCATATAAAGGTTGGTTTCAAGGAAATCGAATTCAAGTGATAGCAGCGTCAACAGCATGCATCCTCACGCAGGAAGACAAATACACTGTGTTTGTGCCTCAACGCGGCTGAGTGTGAATTGATGTCTGCGTGTGCTGCAGTATTTCAGGCTTTATCTTCTTGTTTTTCTCACAGCAGTCACTCGAGTCTTACAAAAAACCACCCATGATCCTGCATGGCTACGCTCCTCTCATATACACACTCCTTTGAATCATAGTATTATTTGCAGCATTCAACATCGTCGCATGACATGGTAATGCACAATGGCTCCCCTTGTTCTCTGAATACTAAAATTTTCACAGGCGCGACCTTCATTTGTCCTTACCATCCTTGCCCTGATCTTCTTTGGCGCGTCTGCTACTGCTGAATATGACTCGCTTCCTACCACTTTCATCACCGCTGCTTCTATGCTGGCTTTCCGACATGATACAGACAATAGCATGAATACCCGCGAAGGATTATCATACACGGTCGTTGCTGGCCACACCGCTGGCGGTACTGCTACCAATCTTGGAATATCACGGTCACACCTGACAGCTGCGAACGGTGAAGCTCACACTGATAACCGGCATTCTCGTCAAACTGGCACTGCTCTCTCGATTTCATTGCTGCCCATACAGCATAGCTCGACCTCGACGCGTCAGGCATTATCCTCGTCTATCTCCAACAACCCGGTCCCAAAGCGGTCTCCAAATGCCGCTCCAGATACATGGACAGTATCTTCTGGTGACACCGGTGAAGATATCGCGTCCAAAGTGAGCAAGCCTTTTGCTGAAATCTCGGCGGCCAATCCAACGGTTATATGGACTCTACTCTCCATTGGTGAGACGCTGAGAATCCCTCCTCCGACTTCCGCCACGTCAATCGAAGCTACATTTCTGACACAGACAACCGCACCAAATGTGGCATCTACCTTGATCAGCCAATCGCCTTCAGCTTCGGCTTCTAGACCGTACACCGTTCTGCCAGGTGATACTGGCTACATCATTGCTGCGAAAGCAGGTTCGACCTTTGAACAGATCTCAGCTGCCAACGCTGAGGTGGCTTGGTCTGCGCTTACGGTAGGCCAAATTCTCAGTTTGCCACCTACGACAGAAACGCAGCCGCCTGATGCTGCAACCAGACCAATGGCCACAAACACAGTGCTGTCTCTAGCATCTGCATCTGCGAATGCTGGGTCTGGCATTTCCAAGCTAGTGGGCAACTTAGCCGCCAAACAACTCGACCTCACCAATGGAAAGACGTCCGCTCCGGATACATACACCTTCTACTCGGGAGATGGTTCAGTGGAGGCTGGGTGGCCACCAATGTCAGATTGGCTTTCATATGACGCCCTGCTGCAAAACGTGAAGCCTTACATTGGCCAGAACTGTATCAACAATGCCCCGGGAAATACTCCGATTGAGACTGCACAGGTCCTTGATGCAATCATAAACATTGCCAACGAGACGAACATGGATCCCCGGTTCATCCTCGCCGTGGTGATGCAAGAGTCAAATGGCTGCGTCCGAGTGGCAACGACTGCTGTCAGCAACGCGAATCCGGGCCTCATGCAGAGTTATAAAGGCAAAGCAAGCTGCGACCTGAACGGAGTACCCCTTTCCCCTTGCCCTCAGTCCAGCATTCACCAAATGATTGTGGATGGGACAGCTGCGCGAGTGGACGGGCCGACCTTGATCAACGCTCTGAATAAGGCTCAGCAAATGGACAATTGTGAACCCGCACAAGCGTTCTACCGTGCTGCTCGTCTCTACAATTCGGGCATGAATAGCCTGCAGTCAGGTCTGGATCTTGGGGTCGTGACCAGTGGCACTCCATGCTACTCTAGCGATATCGCCAACCGCTTGGTGGGCTGGGTTAACGCTTCGACAATGTGTTTTCTGAAGAGGTCTCTTTCTCGGCCATGAACCATCTACGTGGATGCACGAATGTATCTAAGTCCCGAGAAAGATGAGGCAAGATGTTTATTTTGGAGTCCGAATGCGATGGCCACAACAGGATCATTGAAGTCGCAGGTGTAAAGATTCATGCGATCGATAACGAAGTCATTTAGGTGTGAAAGGCGGCCTTTGGTTGACTATCATGCCTGGTAGACAGACAGTTCATGCAACAAGTTTTTTCCATCTCGCTTCTCTGCAATTTTCCAGCCTTCTGCGTGTGAATAGTTGTCTTGGGATTCGCTGAGACTTATCTCGATGATCAGCTACCATGGCTCGAATCTGGCCATCGCCCAACGCAGAATGGCCGCCTGCTAGGGTAGACATGGGAAATGATCGTGTAACGTGGAGGGGGCTATATCATCATGTCTGAGCCAGCCGCGGAGCATGGTTGCCTCGCTGTCAAGAGACTACTTAGTAAACAAAGCAGTTGCATAGAGGTTTCAAGTAGCCCTTTTGGGGGAACCAACACCAAGTGTGCGAGTCACTTTCTATACCAAACGCCCCAGACGGAAAAGGGCAGCCTCGTGGTAAGACCAAAGAAAAAAGGGGGCAACAACCCAACCAAGATGCAGTGAGTGCTATATACGCTCTTTCACGAATGTAGGCGTCAAAAACCTTTGTCGAGCCGTCCGCCCATCCCAGTCCTGACCAGCTCGGCTATATCTCGTCCTCGTCCTCGTCGTCGGCCCCGTCGGTTTTGACCTTGGGAGATTTGGACAAATTCGTCATTTCGTAATCATTGTTGTTGCTCGACATGGCCACGGCTTGCCGTGCAGTCGGATTTTCCTCCAAAAACTCTCGCAGCCTTCGCTTGCCTTCCTCGAGAGCCTGCTGAGATGCTGCGTTGGCCATGTTGAACATTGGACCCCACAGGTTCAGGGTGTACGTGACATATGCCCCAATTCCAACAAGGATGAGAAACACGAAGTACACCGGGTTTCTAAGCACTGTAGGAGGAACGGATGTTAGCATTGTGACTCACACGACAGATCAGAGTTTCCTTACCGGCAACGATCTCGTTCCATCCGAGGGCGAGTAAAAGACCGTAAAAGTACAAGGGTACTTGCGTCATGCCACCAATCGCGCTACGTTTGGCCTCGACGTATACCCCATCGGCAGCCTTCTTGAACCGAACCGTCAGGTCCTGTCTCTTGGCCTCGTTGAGAATGGTCGTCTCTTCCTCCAGGCTTTTGCCCTCTTCCTCATCCACGCCTCCGATGGGCGTAAGGTCCTCCTCGTCTGCAGCAGTGGCAGCCGCCGGCGTCGGGCCGACCCAGCGATCAAGAGGAGGCGGTACGCCAGATTCGGAATGTCGGAACCGCGACAGTAGCGGAATGAGCGTCAGCGTGCTTTCGCGAGCTCGTGTATACACACCTTCGATGTCGTCGGTGGGTCGCCATATTCTAGGCACACCGGCCTCGTCGTATCGAAATTTGTCCTCGAAATTCTCCCGAAGCTTGAGCAAGAGGTTACCTTCCATCATTTCCTCGTCGATCTTCGAGCGCAAAACAGCCCAAGACTTGCGTCTCAGTCGCCATCGACCTACTTCGACTTCTTCGGCACTAGCGTCAAAGGAAGCTGCTCGGTCAGCAAAGCGTTTCTCTGCATCTTGAACGGTGGCGGTGAAAAGATTCCATATACGATCCCAGATTCCTTTCTCGGTCGGTTTCTCTCCGTGTTCGGGGGCTCCGGATCCGCTACGGCCGGAGCCCAAAGAATTGAATTCCAAGCCAATGCTGTCGTTTAATCTGCTTCGGACCCATCTCTCGACACGTGTGGCCAGTCGTCGCATCTCGTCCCTGCGCAGCTGTCCGGAAACCTTGTCCAGATCCTTCTGATACAGCACCATTGCCTGCTTGTAATCCGACCAAGATACACCTTCAATGACGGCTTCTTTAGCAATCGACTCAAATCGTTTCAGCGCCACCTGTGTCTGCTCCTTAACAATCTCGGCAAAGTCGTACGATGCGCCTTTCTTCTGCCCAGCTTTGACGGCGCCGCTAACAGCGTCACTGAACTCCTGTACTCCCAGTTTGTGCGCAGCACTGAGTTGACCGGACAAAAGTACCTTCAGTCTCGCATCCGTCTTGCCTTCCAACTCGGTCCGCTTCCGTTGGTACACCCCCTTATGATATCTGCTTGCCTCTGTTTCAAAGTTTTTAATGGCTTCGGCTCGAGCTTGACGCATCGCGGCGCCTAGGCTGGGGATGACCTCTGCGGCGCCCGTCCTGGCAGAATCTGCTTGTTGTGTTTCGAAGGGAGTGATCGTCTCGTCAAACAGAAGCATGACCTCGCGCATAATCTCGTCACACCGAAATTGCGCCAACAATTCCTGTTGCGTAGGTAGATCCAAGTCTTTGTTATGAACGATCTGATCCCAGATGCCCTCTGCGTAGTGCGCAAACCCATCAGCAGGAATGCGACGATGGTACTCTGGTAGGAAAACTCCTCCTTCAAACTCCCCCAGCAGTGCGTCCCTTCGAGGGTCTCGATGACCGTCTCGGAATCGGGTCGCCATTTTGGCCACCTCCGATTTAAATTGCTCGGGTTGATATAGCTTATGAGGAAGGGCTGTGAATGCGAAATCAAAATAGTCGTCAATGCTGCTCTTTTCCAGCCCGGGTGGTTTGGACAGACTCTGCCAGATCCTGCCCATGTCCTGCATCAGGGTGTTCCGTAGGTTTTGTAATGGTGTAGTGCCGAGGAAATCTCGAATGACGAAATAGAGGAGGCTGCGGGAGGTCGACTTCCTGTCCTTCAAAAAAAGCTGTAGATTGACCTCGAAGACCGTCTTCAACAGGCCCATGTTGGCGCCTTGGTATAAGCCGACCTGATGTTCCCACACATTGACCATCAAGACCTCGCTCGTGGCGAGCGCGAATAAAGAGCTCTTCCGTTCAAAATCTTGATCCTCGCCTCGTTCTCGGCCATCCGTGCCTTCGACGTCCATAACCAAAATATTCTCCGCCATGTTTGCCTGCGTGCTTTTGTTCTTGGAAAGCCAAATTCCTTTGGTCGTTTGCCTGCGCTCCGCCTCAGACATGACGGAGAAATCGGTACCGAAGAGCGCATTCAGGAGGGTGGATTTGCCGGTTGACTGTGATCCAAAGACGGAGATCAAGTGGTAGTTGAATCCGGAGTGAGAAACGTTGGTATAATTCAAGTATTTGGATAGATCCGGACTGCAGCACCATCCGTCAGCAATTTGTGTGGGCGAGTATAGTAGTCCAAAAGGAGGACACTTACTTGAAATCTTTGTCCTCATCAATGACCTGCACGCCATTCTCAAAGTTGGCTTCCCCATTCTGACCAGCAGACGCAAAATGGCCATTAGCCGTCATTTTGTCTGGCGCAGTGTAGGCGCGGCTTGCTGGAAATGGTCTCGCAGTGCCTATGGGAGACATGGTAGATTGGGAAGGGGAGAGACTCGAGTTCGCCATGACGGCAGCGAGCAGGGGGATGGAGACCGAGACTAATTGAATTGCAGGCTTTCAGTGCATGGGTATGATCAAAGACATCATGTGTGTGCGGTCATGGACAGGGAAGGTCTGGTGTGCAGGTGTAGCCAGTGGGAAGAGGCCGTTGTCGAGTTGTTGGGCTTGGAGTGCATTAGGCCTGTTTGTTTCGAGGCATCTGGCCTTTTGGACAGTATTTACAGGGATCATCAGGCCATTTCACTGATGGGCCCGGCAAGCTGTGTCACTGCCCGCCGCTTTATACGTATCCGGCCAACCTTCCGTTATAGGGCACTTCTGGGATATTACCAAATGCTCGACAATGACTGGAGGTTGATTCTGGCTGGCGTTGAGGATCAGTCGCGTGTTGTTCTTGGGTTGTGAACGACGATGGCTTCTCTCTCTTTGCTATTTTCCGAGGCCGAACTAGGGTTAGGATATAGTGGTAGCCAAATATCCAGGTTACTAGTACGAGTACAGGCACTGAGTGCGGGAAAATATTCGCAAACATGCTATGGGTACAGGTCTACTCCGTACATGGCGACCATGATGTCAAATGGTGAAAGCTCGCTACAGTCAGTTCTGTAGCCTGGCAGGAAGGCAATTTTGATTCATGCCTCTTTCTTGTGATGTATGTAGTATGTACAAGTTTTCCCATGTTATGCTCCTCTTTACGTTAAGACTCGCCGCAACAGCTCCCCCGTTAGTCAAATGTTTATGAGGGCTGGGTAGCCTGATCTTTTCGGATGCCCACATCCTTCTCCCATGGGTATACTACCCTCGTGTTATCGGCGAATGTCTGCTTGTCTCTGAGGTGAATTGGTGTCTGACCCTTGGGCGTGTCCGGAATTGTCTTCTCCAATCCCTGTACTCATGTCAGTCCGCGTTCTGTCAATGTGCAGCCACAGCTTTTGCAGTGGCTGGAAGGTCCGTACAATCTTTTGAAAGACGCATCTGTTCAGTACTCGTTCAGGTCTTCGACATTGGTATAATTGGTGGTTGTAGTTTTCCAAACAACTCCAATGCGCTCGGAATTCTTCCAGACAGTTCTTGTTGATATCATCGATCCTGTTTGAAGAGCAATGTCAGTTTCAACTTGCCTGCCTCCCTTCCAATATGACTGCCCGCAAAAGATTGGAAATACTACTAACACGCTCGCTGCACATCTCGTCACTTTTCTTCCTTCCTTCATACAGTCAAGCTCTCCTCTCCCATAAGACTCGGTCTTGCACTGCATGTAGTCGTCGTTGTATGATCGACATCTCGCGCCGATAAAGTAGGCTGCACTCAATAAAGGCGCCGATGTAGCTCCGATCTCTTTCACCTTGGGGATATGATCGGGCATAGGCGTCGTGTCGACGACGACGTCGGTGTTGAACCTGGCGGGCTGGGAGTCAGCTTCTCTCTCTCTCTCTCTCTCTTCAGCCTTGTACGAGGAGCATTTCATACCTTGCCTCACGATCCGCCATGATTGCAAGGCTCAAAGGAAGCGGCTTGGTTTATATTGAAAGGACCGGTGTACCTGGTTTCTTAGGAAGCAAAGCGCAGTCAGTCACTGGCGGAGCTCGACATTCCGACGCCAAGGCTTAAGCTGGCTTTATTGGGACACGGTCCGCCGCCGCTCTAAGTACCTACAAGTTTGGCCGCACAGCTCCCACTCTCCCTCAACTTCCATCTGCTCCACGATTCAGCAAATAAGTTGAATATCTTGTCAGATGTACCCGCGTGCTCACGAAATGATATAATTTCCGCAGATATACTGGACAACTTCTCATTCAGGTCGCAAGATCTCCAAACCCTTGGGTAACATCTCTAATACCCAGGCTTGCGGAGAAACTGTTGGAGATGGAACTTCGTAGTGCCGTTCTGCGCTGTGGAGTGTCTCATGAGCATCGTCTTCCTATCAACAGGAAGGGGGAGTTTGTCTTACAGGTAGGTCAGCTTGTGTCGATCTCGCCGCGAACTCGTTCTTCTTCCAGAGCCCGTTCTTTCCCCTCCAAGCAGATGTTCACACCTCGATCACGCGTTTTTCTACGACAGGAAACATACTACTCTCGACAAAGTGATACATACCTAGGTGCCTGACAGCCCGCCGCCGCCGTGATGACGACTGATATCAAAGCAACAACACACTCTTTCAACCAGGGCGCGGCAATGCTCGTGATATGGGGTTCTCTCAACCCCGAGGACACTTCGATTGACGAGAATGCCCTCAACGCCTGGTGGACCAACGAACATCTTCCCGAACGTCTTGCGATCCCAGGATTCCACCGGACACGCCGGTACTTTGCGAGGGACCCCGAGACGGCCGCGTCGCAGTATCTGGTGTGCTACGAGGTTTCGGCGCTTTCGACCCTTACCTCGCCTGATTACATGGAAGCATTGAACAACCCTACCCCGGGCACGAAACAATACATGCCGGTCCTTGCGTCGATGAACAGGTCGGCGTGCAACGTGCTCTTCTCCGTCGCACGAGATGAGTTTGACAAGTGTTCCACCGGCGTCGGCGCCACGATAGCACACATTGTATTTTATCCGCCTCGGTCAGCCGAGGCCAGAACGGATTTGGGCAAATGGATACAGGCTGTAGGTTGGCCCAGCCTCGCGGCATTTCCCAGTTCTCTGGCGCTGCACCTGTTGGAACACGACGACGAGGCGACAAAATCAGGCAGCTCCACCAAGTCGTACGACGAGGTTCGGTTCCAAGCAGATGATTCCAAGCAAGACCAGTCGCGGTGGATGGTCATCATCGAATTCGCGGAACCGATCGGCGCGCCGTTCGGGAAGGCCTCCGCCCTGACGGGCACGATCGTGGATAAGTTGGATGAGATTGGGGCGGAGGAGATGGACGTGAGGTTGTACGGGTTGATCTGCGCCGTCAGAGAATGAGATCGTGGTCATTTCTAGGCCGGGGCTGCGATGGTTATTCAGATACCCTGCTTTGGCACGGGCGTGAGACAAGGGGCCAAACTATAACGACTAGAACCGTTGACCGCAGGAAGATCGTCGAGTAGAAAAGTAGTTTTATTCATTAGTGTCCTGAATAAGCGACTGTAGCACATCTATCCTATGGTCGACACACCCTCTATCTCTTGCTCTGCCTAAGGGGCCCACCAGTGACAACCCGTTGAGTGAACAACCTGAATCACTGGAACATAGATCCTCCGGCCGCGCGGCGCCGGGCTTCCTGCTCCACGGCGCCGATGAATTGTCGAGGGCCGTCATTGTCAGTCAAGGCTTTACCGACGTCGAGGTATCTTGCTCTGAACATCTGCCAGAGCTTGTTGTCCTTGTCGTTGCCGAGCGTCGAGGGTCGTGGATAGTATGGATCGTTGAAAAAGAAGCCGTCCCGCAACTGCTTGATCCCTTTTTCCGGCTCTTTCATGTCGAAGGGTTTGCACTGGTCGAAATCGAGCAGCCATATGCCGAGTGGTCGGTCATGGGGGTCGTAGGCGAGCCGGCAAGGAGCGGTGTCCTTGGTCGCCGCGGCAAAGTCGTCAACGCTGCCTGCCGGTTTTATGATTGGGCCCGTGCCTATGACAAACTCGACGTCGTTGGCGTCCAAGCCTGCCTTCCAGTGCATGATGGCCAAGGTTTCAGCCATGGTCCGAGCGAACAAAGTAGTATCAAGACTCAACAATTCCATTTCGTCAATGGTCATGTCGAAATTTCGGAGCTTGAAAGTACTAGTACTAGTAGTACGTTTCGTCGTCCTACGGCGACCCATGTAGATGCGGATCAAGCAGTCTTTGTTTGCTTCTTCTGCAAGAAAGGCTCGTTTCCAGGCTCTGATTTCTCGAGGCGCGAAGACGTCTACAAGGGCCTCTCTTACGGATTCGGGGACAGGGTCGATCCTGCCCGTGACCAGCGCGTAGGTCCTCCTCTTCATTTGGCCACCGGGAATGAGGGGCAAGTTTCGATCCCAGAACCGATCACTATCGGCGGGAACCCAGTCGCAGATCGGCGGAATGTTGATCTCTCGTCGAAACGAGATCGAAGTCAACTTGAAACTTTCTTCGACCGTTCTATGTCTGACGCAATCGTTCCAAAGCTGGTCAGACCTTCCCTCGTTGGCCACCTTCAGCACACATGGCGTCCCGGCCACCGAAAACACTGTTCCTGTTTGGCCTTTGCCGATCTCTCGGTGGTTCTCGAGTTGATTTGTGGGGGTCGTCGAGATGAACGTTCGAGTAGACAACAATAAGGACAGTATCTGTTCTGGCTTAAGCCGTTTCAACTCAACCTCATCCACGACAGTCACTCCAGTGATATCGCCGACGTGTCGCCGTTGGTTGGTAGTCGCCATCCCATCGCAAAAATTTGGTTCGTAGGTTGCGTTGCTAAAGGAGGAGGAAGATGATGGACTTTGATCTTTGCGGGCAGAGAATGGAACAAGAAGGATGAGGAGAATTTATACATGAATTCGAAAGCTCCTCATCCTGCCCGCTTCAAACCTGCCTGCTTGGATTTACAGGTTGCAGCTGTTTCCTTTGAAGTTTAACCATACTAACAGCCTATCATAACTTGTGCCGTATTGCGAGGGACTAGGCGGCCACTGTCCCAGAGAAAAGTTAAATAAAGGTGTGCAACCGTGTCAAGATTTAAGGGATCGCAGGAAAATTTCACTCTCCTTGCCCGATACGCTCGGGATGGTACGCCGCTGTGTAGGCCATTTCGATGTCTTCGTCCGTCTCGCACATGAGCGTGCGAAGTTTTTGACTGGTACCGATATCGACAATATCGCCAGTCTCTGCAGCCTTGCTGTTCTTCTCCTGGTCCAAGGTAAAGCCGAGACAGGACACCTTGTTCGTTACGACTTCCCGTAGATATGCGCTTTTCTCGCCAATACCGCCGGAGAAGACCAAGGCATCGACCTTGCCATCCAACTTTACAAAGTAGTTGCCGACATAGCCAACGATGCGGTCCACGAAGATGTTGAAGGCGAGCTTGTGTGTGTCGGGGGCGTTAGGGTCGGCGATCTTGGAGAAATCGGTGGTCCCGGTCAGAGCCTTCCAGCCTGACTGCTTATTGAGGATCTCCTCGGCGGCAGAAATGTGTAAATCTTTAGTGCTGTTGGGGCTCAGCGCACTCGCGTCAGAGGTGTAGTGGAAGACCAGACTGGGATCGATGTCCCCCGTGCGAGAACCACCGGGGAGGCCCGATACCGGGGTCAGGCCCATGGTGGTATCTATGGACTGGCCGTTCTTGATGGCACAGGCAGAGGCTCCGCTGCCCAGGTGGAGGGCTATAATGCTCGTCTCCTCAAGAGGTTTGTTCAGATACTCGGCCACGCGGCGGCTGATGTATTTGTAACTGAGGCCGTGGAACCCGTATTTCCGCAGACCCTTCTCTTTCGCAATCTTCTGGTCGATCGCATACGTCTTGACGTAGTCGGGCATGGTATGGTGGAAACCGGAGTCAAAGCAGGCGACGTTGGTGACTTGGGGGAGCTGCTCCTGGCAGGCAATCATGAGGCTGACTGCGGAGGCATTATGTCTTTTTTGGTTCACAAGTCAGTCAGTATGCGTTCGTCCGTTCAAGAGGGCTAGAAAGGCAGAAGGGACAGGGAAGAGCGTACAGTGGTGCCAGATCCGACAATTTCTCAATCTTGTCAAACGTCTCTTTGGTTATCAACTGATCATCTTCGAACGAGCCTCCATGCACCACCCGGTGACAGGCGTAGTGGATGTCTTCTCGGTGCGAGGCCTGAGGGATCTCCGAGTCGGTCAGGAAGGCATTGAGGACGTGGTTGAATGCCGCCTTGTGGTCGGCCACCTGACCGAGTTCGCTGGTGTCTTTGTAGGAACCCCGGACGTATTTGAGATGGGCTGGTGGATTGTTGATGTCGGAGATCTGGGCACTCGCCAGTTTACTCAGCTTCTTATCTCCATCCTCGCCTTCTTCGAGGTAGAGGGTGGTTTTGAGACTCGAGCTTCCTGCGTTGATGCTGAGGATGAGGAATGAAGACATGGTGGTGGGTTTCAGTGAATGACCTAGTAATGTGCAAGTCCTCAAGCCGACCTTTTGTTTTATCGAGGGGTTTGTCGGCGATTAATTTGTAGGCGTTCACTGCCTGCAAGACCTATTTATCTCCTCCGTACGGAGAAACTAATGGGTAATGAGAGGATTATTATGTCACCCCACGCGTGCATATATTTATTGAAGAGAGCTTCTGAAGTAATGAAAGAGACACACTATGCTCACCTTATGTTACCATGAAACCTTCGCAATGCATCATCCCGAACTCTTTTATGCGAGACAAACGGCACATGGGAAGATCGGAAGAGCATGTGGAACATGCGTCAATCGGGCATCGCGATTGGTACCAAAAATCTAGATCTCATAGGTTCGTTTCGCGATCAGATGCTGCCTTATTAATTCGCTGAGCTGATGATTAGACAGCTATAATATTCGTTTTACCATATACCTGAATTAACACTTGATTACTGTACATAGGCAGGTACTCTTATGCGTATCCAGCACTAGGACGGAGGGTTTTCCGGCTACAGATACAGTCCACCCGCAAAGGGTCAGATGCCAACGTTGTCAAATGATATCTCAACAAGTACCTCATGAATCAATCGTTACTTAAAGGGTCTGCGTAGTAGTCGTTGTCGTGTACACCGTCCCATTTCCTGAGCAGATGTTTCTCATTCGTTTGTCGAATGGCGACATTGCAGGTCAAGATTCGACTGAGATAGCTGCCCAGTTCTTCCTGCTGTGGCTGCTGCTGCCGCGACTGTTGCTTCGAGCCCTCGACAACATTTCGATTCAGGTTGTCCTGGTGGTCTTCTTTGTTCCCACCGTGCAATGACCACCACCACTGACTTCCACTGATCATGCCATCCTCGTCGTCATCGTCATTACCAACAGAACCGACTTCGCTGGCGTGTTGCAACGCGTCACCGCTGTCGATGGCAGGTATGTCCGCTTTCGCGATCCAGGCCCATTTCCGGAGAAACCATGGTTTGACTTCCCAACTTCGTTTGCTCCACGGTACGCTGTCGCGCATGCTCCTACCGTATTGGGCGTTGGCGCCGCGTCGGCCCCAGCAGACCATTCCGTCGTGCATTATGTCCAAGAACAAGCTGCAATGGTCCAGGCGATTGAGACTGGACAGATATACCGCCATGCTTCGAAAGTGCGGGAATGGAATGCAATCCAGGTAGCACGGATGTGGGAGCATGATCTGAATGGCCGTCGGTCGGAGGTCGGCGGGGATGGTGTGGATGTCGGCAGTAGACGAGGTTGAGAAGGGGGACGGATGGTCATTGACGTACGAAGCTCTGCTGATCCCCAGACCTGTGGCGATGGAGAGCGTTGCGGCGAAGCAGGACTCCCCGACCAGCTGGAGGTGATTGATGTATGGCGATGGCAAGTGTGACCCGGAGGAGAAGGAAGACGGTGGCGCAAGGGTGGTAGTACGGGACTCCCCTTGCGCGGACGGTGGAGATGCGTTCCACGACGAGACAAGGGTCGGAATGGAATATGGAGAGGTAGTCGAAGGAGGTTCTGTCGAGACTACTCGAGGCCGCCGAGACGGTTGTGGAGGTTGATATAAGTTGTGCTCGATTCCTGGAGGACAACCCCAGAAACATCGCATATCTACCGCCTGCGGGTCAGGCGGTAGGAAGTAGTACAAAGCCGTGGTGAGAGGCAATACTGGATCTGGAAGACAGATCTCCTCGTCTGATGAGGAACCCGAAGTCTCCATCGGTTTTTGATCCTGGACCTGGGGATCGCAAGGCTGTGAGATTCCAGAGCTGGGTACTCGAATCGCATCGTGGCCGGCCACCAAGGTTGACCCGTCATCTGCTCGCTGTACATACGATGACTGTTGGCTTCCAAGCTTATGTAGCTCTTCTTGAACTTTGGATTTGAGCTCTTCTTCGCGTCGTTGTTTCTGCTTCTCGCGCCAGAGTCGCTGAGACCGACGGTTCTGCTCGCGACGTGCCTCGGTCAACTTCCGCTTGTACTTGGCTGGTGACCCGGTCGACTCTCCTGCCGCAACTTCGCCGCTTGAATTGACCATTTTTATTCTTGTCCAAGGAGTGCCAGATCGTCTTACGGTGTTTCTGTAAATGACAAGAGTCCTGCGTCTGCTGGTTTACATACGTACTTATTCAGCCCAAAGAAATGTGGACGGCCCCAGCAGCCGCAACGGCCGTAACTGACGGGACCAGGCCACCAGCGAGTCTTCGTCTGCCCATGCATGCACTGACCAATTATCCTGGCCAAGTCTTCGTCTTGCCTTGGAAGTAAGTATGCAGTGACTCATGCTGCCTTTCAGAAGCGGATTTTTGCTCTATTGCCCAGTAATGCGTGTATGGGGGTTAATTGATCATCGAAATCACTTTTGTGCACTGTCGCAGCCTCGTCGCATATATCACGACTGACGATTTTAGAACAATTTTATCATGGGGAGAAATGCCCAGACTTCGTGCTTTGGCTTGCTTTCTCACGGCGACTCATATTAAGCTATGGTCTCTATCTTCTGATTGATCTTGTCCTGAATATCCTTTCCTCTTCCCATCCTCGACGCGGTCCTTCGATCTTTCCAAGAGCTAATCCGATCACGAAGCTCGAATTGTGTGGGGTAATTGACAGGACTCTCGCCACCGAGGAAAATGAGCAAGTCATAGACAAAAGCCCCGAACAGCGCGCCCGTGATCGTCCCTACCCAGGGGCCCCAAATCCACCACCAGTCAAACAAAGTAAACACTTCGGTGCTGAACCCTGCCATCCACGTCACCAGTCTGGGGCCCAGGTCCCGTGCGGGATTGAGCGCGGTCCCCGTGTTGTACGAGAACGCCATGCACAAGGCTGACGTGAGGAGGCCGATGATGAAGGCGTGCATGCCCGCGCCGGGGGGCGAGTTGGTGTCGTCCCCGAGGGCGAGGACCGACCCGGATGCGATGGCGGTGGCGGTGAACTCGGTGAAGAAGGCGGCGGCCTTGCTCAGGTCCTGCCGAGGCGCCGTCCAGAAGGCCGGGCCGACTCGTGTGACGTCCGCGGACGCGTACTGCTCGATGGCGTCCTTGTAGAGTCCGTACACGATCCCGGACGCGGCGAGAGCTCCCAGTATCTGCGCCAGGATATACTGCCAGCACAAACTCCAGGGGAACCCGCGGAACACTGAGAGCATGAGGGAGAGTGCCGGGTTCAGGTGGCCACCGGACACTCCCCCGGCGATGTAGATGCCTATCATCACACCGAGACCCCAGGCGAGGTAGGCCGTGAGGAGGTTGCCATAGTCGTCCGGCGCCGTCGTACGCACTATACTGCCACAGAGGCCGATGGTCATAAAGACCAAGGTGCCCAGAAACTCTGCAAATGGCTGTCGCAGAGGATTGCGGCACTTGCCCCAGAGATTGTAGTACGGCGGATCTGGAGGCTTTTGCAGCTGGGAGTCGCGATCGGCCTCATCTTCTTCTGGCTGCTGGAACTCTTCCCAGTTGATATTTGGCGAAGTCTGATGTACTCCTGGCTCGTGCTCTGCGGTGTCGGCCAGTTCTTGCAAGCGTCCGCGGGCAGCTTCGACTTCGGCTTCACTCAATTGTGACTTGGTCTGTCTCGAAATCGGATCTTGATCCCGGCGATGTGCCACGCTTGGTGTAGAATGCAGCCCTTGAAGAACCGCCATCTGGTGACCGTGGCTCGGTCGACCACGCACCACGGAACTGCTGAACGGGGTGACCTGATCCTGTGCGCTGATGTGCTCGTTGGCGAGGTCCTGCGTCCGTCGACTCGGCCGCAGTTGTATAGATTCTACCGGCTTCAGCGTCGAAGAGTGATCCTGTCCGTCGGGGTGGTAGGTGGAAAGTCCAGCGGTGGTAGCTCGACGCAGAAGATCGGGATGTTGTTCTGCGACGGGACGAGCTTTCTGCTCGTGATCTTTGTCGTTCCTTTCTGGCGTGACTCCGACCTGGGGAGCTGCTTCCGTACCACTCGGGGCCGATGGCTGAACGGATAGCTGGTCAGTCGGGTGACGATGGGCTTGGGTTCTATTGCTGGAGGATGTTTGTTCGTGATAACCTGTACGTGTTCGTCTCGACTCCATCCCTGGACGTTTGACGCGGGGGAGAGGTGCTGCAAATCCCCAGATGGGTTGCTTCGTATACTCTGCATGATGCGGGTCGTGCTCGTGATATTCTCGACTGACGCAACTGGTCCCCTCCTGACCACTTCGAGTCTGCTGCCTTTCAGGTTCGGGGGAGGCTCGAGGCCCGGCAAGGTTGTATGGCGCACTGATGGTCCGGGGCGCTGACGGTTGTCGACCAAGTTCATGGCCATGTGAAGCTTGGCTGGTTATGTCGAAGGGACTGTGAAAGGACATTTTTCTGGATGGGCTCGAAAGAACAAGACGGCATGCGGATCGATGCGTGCTATCGGGAAATTCGTATGTCTTTCTTCAGATGGGCTTTGGAGAGACAGAACAAAATTTTCCAAGACGAGAAAAATATCAAGAACTCACAGACGTCAAGGCATATTGTAAGGAACGTCCCAGAGTGTCAGCGGGAATGATGATGGTTGATTGAGGATATTCGATGTTCTACAACTGTCCCCTGGCAACTGAAACAGCGTCTCTCCATCAGCAAGCAACACCCCGTATTAGATGATTGAGTGGACGCGAAATGAATTCAGTCATGCGTACTGAGAGGTTCAGAGGGAGGAAAAGTCTGCGTGAGACATTCAAGACAAATGGATGGAGTTGCGACATGAGTGACTGGAAAACACAGGCCGACAGTTGTTGGCGACGTCAGTGGATGGACGGATGGGGGCGTGCTGATGGATACACAACGCTTCGGAACAAATATCCTCCAATTGAAAAGAATGGAAAGACTTTCCTGAAGATCGTGTTGAACAAGGCCAACGGTGCATTCAACAATAATAATGCCATTATTCTCGCTCTTGTCGGACACCAGATCCTGCTTTGGTTGGAAGGGTACATATCAAGTGGTGGTCAATGTTTCTAAAGTGTGGCGGAAGACATAAGGTGAATACTTAGCATCGCTTATTTAATCACGCACAGTGATGGGTTGTGGTTCGCACTGGTACTACTATCCAAGACGTTGAAAAAAGGATCAATGGGACTCATAAAATATAATCGACAGATTATGTATTATCATATCTTCGTAGTATCTATATCTAGAACCAGGGTGCGCCTCCCTTTAAATCCCGGTTTCAACCTCAAAATCAATATAGTCGTCCTACCCTTGCGTTTCCGCCATTTACCTGAAGAGCCATCGCGTACATAGCGCGCACCCTTTTGCTGCCATCGTTCTGAAACCAACCCATGTTCAGATCGCCATGAAATACCGCCAATTTACCATCCTGTGTAATGTCAATGCCGCCGGGAATATACACCTGCGCTGGGGTACTGCCAGTTTGCAGAAACGAATTGGGTTGCTTCGTATAAGGTCCGGTGATGCTTTTGCTCGTGGCATAACGGATGTTGTAGGGAGTTGTGGTGAAGCATTGAGAGCTGTAGAAGAGAATATAAGTCCCCGACGACGCGTCGTAGGTTAATGAGGGAGCCTCAATATTCGGTCCATCGTCCGAATCATTCAGCAGGACAGCGAGTGGAGTGCCGATGAAGGAGTAACCGTCATTGGGGTTTACTTCTTGCAAAACCAGCGGCGTCGGGGCGATGGGGTTGACGCTGTTTGCGCAAGCACCTCCATTGCCGACCGAATTGCCATCGACCTTGTAGATGACATATTGGCGACTCGTGATGGGATCCTGAAAACCATCCGCATCGATGGCCCCGCCGGCATTCAAGTCACAGGACAGTGGTGTCTGGACTGGTGTAAATGGTCCTTCTGGGTTTGAAGCGATGGCTGCTGCGACACAGTGCTTTCCCGGGCTTTCGGCCATGGAGACCGAATAGTAAAGCACAAAATTGCCATTCCCCTGTCGATCCAAAGTTAAAAATCCTCTCAAGCTACGCTTCGCTTATGAGAAAATATGAGCACATACCAGTTGTGTCACATCAGGAGCCCAAACGTGAGGCGGTGATGCAGCCCATGATGGCAGGCTGGGCAAAGCGTCCCAGCCGTCTCGAACCGTCCATGTGGAAAAGTCGGTCGAAGTTGCAATCAGAACATTAATGCCGGCTGGGTTCCCATTGACACCAGCATAGGCCATCCAGCTCCCATCGGCCAATTGAACCACGGACGGGTCCTGGAAGTTAGAGCCAATAACCGGACCGGTGACCTGCCGTTTGTGTTGGGGCGCGGCCAGGGCTAACACCAGGGCCGTAAGAAAAACGAAAGACAGCAGCAACATGATGAGAAGAGTACGAACACGCCGAGAAAAAGATTGAACAGAAGAATAGCTGGGCTTTTGGATCCATTTGATGTCTTTGGCATCTTCCAAGAGGGTGGTAGTACTCGATGAGGGATGCATCGTAGTCCCCATCTTGTCTCAGTTGGTTCGGGATCTTCACTTTTCAGCCGTTGACCAGACTTGTACGGGACAGTCCCCACAAGAACGGCGATAGCTGCAGGCCTTTTTCAACGAGAGTAGGGTCGGCCATGGGAATGCTGGCCGTTCAGTGTGGGAAAACATGCCCTTAGACAAGCCATAGGGGGTGGCAAGCATGCCGTGGAAAAAATGCCACCATTGGGTCGGGTGGTCGAATAGGACGAGGCTCAATGGCCCGCGACGAACAAGAGTTTGAAACCGAGGAAGGTAGCGCCAAACCAAGCTCACCCAGAATAGAGTCAATCGTTCACGCCAGAGTCAATAATGCTGCATACCAATGGTGGAATGGACCTGGACGGCGAGGGCGGACGGGCCAGACCCTGACAAAGGCTCCAGGGCACAGACTTTTTCGCTCACTCCTCCATTTCCTCTTCGGTTGCGGATGACTGCGGTACGTGCAATAGTGTCGCATGATTGAGAGGATAAGCTGACGATCATCCTAGGATTTATAGGTATATCACGTACAGCAAGATTCCTTGTTCTGTCCTCATACTCGTAGCATACGAGAAAAGGGAGAAGAGAGATCTCTGAAGATGGACAGTTTGAGGAAGATCTGATGACTCGGCATTGGTTGGCGCGAGTAGGATAAGCTTGAAAAGCCTCTCGCTTACTGCTTTATTCAGTAGCTTATTTTTGTGGTTGCATGTCCCTCGAGTTCATGGATGGTGAGTGGTCGGTGGGTGACAGGGGGGTTTATTGTGTTGAAGATTTATCGCAAGATTTATCGCAGTCTACAGTACGATAAGAAGTGGTGGTGATGACTCCTTCCTCATTTCTTGACTTTTTACCCCGCGCGACATGGACAACTGCGCAACAACATTGAACAACTAAGAAAAAACACCACCACTACCACCACCACCATTTCTAGTTGTCAGCAACCCTTTCAGTCCAATGGTTACCCTTTACTTTCAAAATCAAAGTGTCGACTCCTTCTCGAACTCGCCCTCTTCGCGAACTTTGTCTTTGTGTTTGTCTCTGACCAACCCGCAACTGTTCGTCGAGGTCCTCACATGCAGTCTACACCTACAGCCCGAACCTGAGCGAGCGCTCTCGCACATTGCTTAGTTACCCCATTTCGGGCTGAAGGTAATCAGCCAGTGCGAATCAAGAAACAAAAGTACTGTGCGAAAGAGAGTGAATACAATTGTCAGTTTAAGCTCACAAGTGCCACGTGAACATCAAATCGACAACTTTGGACGAAGCTGGCTGGCTGTATACAGCGCTGGAACTGCATTCATGGATGACATTGAGATGGTCCCAGCGAGCGAACAGGTAGGCTTTGAAGCATGTGCTCAGCTCAGGTATGGTTATCTTGCTGTATGTTTATGTTGAGCGTCAATTGATCCTTTGCTCGTGGGCTTTTTCTGGCAACTATGAGCGACATTCCACTGATTTCGTGCTTGCCGAGAACGTGTACGTTGGTCGACTTCACTTGTTGCACTGTGCGCTGTTGAGACATTCGTACATGGTCTAGGCCACACTAACCTGGATTCGCGAGGTATGGTGGACATTTCCAGCTCCAGCGATGCTACCAGATTGCAACCAGGAACCCGAGGCAGCTGATCAGATGCGTTGCATATCGATATTCATAGAGTGGAGTATATGGACAATGACAAGCGAGGTCGGAGCTTCTTCCATACCTTTGGAGGCTATGTCGGTCCACCACGTGCTGGGTGATTCTGTACGTGGAGATCGCTGTATCTCTCGGACTGGAATCTATTTCACGCTATCCTCTTGATGATGCTTTGATGATGAGATACTCGAGAAAACCACTTTCCACTCATGCCGTCGAATATTCCGCTCGATGGACTCTGCCATCCAATGATGACCTGACTGAAAAGCACGCCTGAGCCGATAGCATTTGCCTTGAGTTCCTATGTCTCGGCATACTTCATCTGTGTCAAATGGCGACGATGTCGGGAATGCACTCTCGCTGCCAACGTGGGTGGCTTGATTGGAGGATAGAGCTTGTTGTGCCTACCCAGGTCTTGGCAACTCTCCGGCGTCCTTGGCATCATTCCGCTATGAGCTCCTCCTGCTCAAACAAGGCTGGCTTCAACGTCAAACACCTGTTCTCTATGGGCCGCTGCGAGACTGGGCAAAGCTTGATAAAGCCACGAGGGTATTGTGAAGGTGCCTTTTCGATCCGAATCACCAGGATGTAACCATCGGAACTCGTCAGCAGTTGAATGGTTTGACTGGCGGAAGATGTCTTTGGAGACAAGGCGTGGAAGCTACAAGAATGCCAGAGCTTCCTCTCTACTTCTTCATTCGCTTGCAGTCTCTTCTTGAGCTCGAAGATTGCATTTGAAACCGAACGTCGGTACAGTGGCACCATGAAAACTCACTTTGGACTAAAGGCGGCTCTACTGCTTGGTGCCTTGTGCACCCAGTGTAGCGCTCAGACATACCAGAGACTTGGCTCCTGTCCCAGCTTGGGATGTATTCTTCCTCCAGACCAAGTGGATTTCCTTCCAGGCCAATACTTCGACATTCGTGTCGAGGTTCATGCTCCCGTCAATGGCAGTGAGGTGGTTCCAGGTTACAGCACCCCTGACACCAACTTCACTTTGACTGTTGCAAAGGACGGGGACAAGCCAAAGCCGGCAGCAAGTTTTTTCAACGTTGACGAACCCAAGCTCGAAACTTGGAACTTTACGTGGTACGAGGACCTCTTCGCAAAGGCTGCCCACACTCCTTCTATGGTCAAGGTTGCGGCCAAGGCGTACAGGCGGGTTGCGTTGTATGAACCGGGTAACTACATTGCTACTCTCAACTACCGCAACGGGTCGCAAACCTATGCCAACTGGACGGTCCGAGATGTCGCTCCTCAAAGGAAGGCCAAGAATATCGTCATGTTCATTGTAAGTGCAACTCGCTCCCTCAGATCCGGTCCCGTTGTGCCTGGGTCTGCTTTCGCCGACCATCTATCTACAACTGTCTGACAAATCATAGGGCGACGGCATGACAACCAACATGATCACAGCTGCTCGATTGATTGCACATCAACAGATCAACGGCAAATATCAGACCAAGATGGCCATGGACACGTTTCCAGTCTTGGGTCACCAGATGACCCATTCATTGGACTCGTTCATTACTGATAGTGCCAACTCTGCAACAGCACTCTACACCGGCCACAAGTCCACTGTAAACGCCTTGGGTGTCTATGCGGACAGTTCCAAGACGCCATTTGATGATCCTAAGGTCGAGACTATCGCCGAGATGTTCCACCGACTCTGGAAAGGCGGTGTGGGTATCGTCTCGACAGCCTTCATTGCAGATGCTACACCTGCGGCACTGACTGCCCATACTCGTGACCGTGGTCAATATGGCGCCGTGATTGATTCTTACCTCAATGGAATTACCAACTACACTTGGACGAACTGGACGGGCCCTGACGTGCTCTTCGGGGGTGGCGCTGAACAGTTCTACCCAGGGAAAGGATCTTTCCAGGGTAAAGACTACTATGCTGAGTTTGCGAAGAAAAACTACTCGGTTGTCCTGAACAACACTGCCTTGCAGGCCTCTTCCAACTCCTCCAAGACATTGGGTATTTTCTCGGTCAGCAACATGGCCAAATGGCTCGATCGAAATGTCTACCCAGAGAACGTGGACAAGCCCAAAACCGCGCCAGATGGGTCCAACTCTTCCGCCACTGACCAGCCGGGACTCAAAGAGATGACACTCAAGGCTCTCGAGATTTTGCACACTCGTCACCAAGAAGACGGCTTCTTCCTGATGTCCGAAGCGGCTAGCATCGACAAACAAATGCATACATTGGATTACGATCGGGCTCTTGGTGAGCTCCTCGAACTCGATGATACCATCAAGGCCACGTTCGCTTATCTCGAGTCCATTGGCGAGCTGAACAACACTCTTGTCCTCGTCACTGCTGATCACGGACACGGGTTTGACGTCATGGGTAGTGTCGACACCAAATTCCTCAACGCTCAACACAATGATCGTGACAAGCGAGGAGCCATCGGTACTTACCAAGAGTCTGGCCTCTCTCAATATCTGGTGGCCAATCGATCAGCCCCTATCGGCAGTGACCAGAACCTCGTCTACGGTCCCGGTGTCAATTTCCCTGCCAATTGGGACCCCAGATACACTTTGTTCTCCGGGCTCGGTGCCAACCCTGACCATAGGGAGAACTATCAAGTTCACAAGAAGGGACCTCGTCTTCCGGCACTGAACATCACTGGCTTTGATAACGAAGATTTTTTCGTCAACTATGTCGATGCTGTCACTGGATTCATTGTCAATGGAACTCTTCCTGTCTCGGTGAGCCATTTCCTCTCCTGCAGTATCTATGTAGCTATTATGACTAACGAAATTTTTTCTCACAGGCCGACCAAGGCGTGCACTCCCTTACTGATGTTCCAGTATTCACTCGTGGACCTTGTCAGGAAAGATTCGGGGGTGTGTATGGCAACGTTGATATATTTTTCGGCATGGCTGAATGCCTCGGCTTGAGTCGAACCAGTCCTTCGTCCTAGATGACGATCTCAGACAGTGTTGATGCTGTGACAAGAAAGTGATGATAGAATACAATCACGGCATAAGATGTGCCAAGGAGAAAGAGTATTGAGTATTGAGATAATGTAGGGTAGAGAATATATCAGTATGTAGTGACCCTTCCCTGACTTCCGGACCTCAGTGTAGACAACGATCTCTGCTCTCTTTCCCCGGTGAAAGGGCTTTGAGTCCGCACGCTTATCGTCTAGTTGGGCAGATTACTATCGTCGCTGCACTGGACACGGTGTTTCCCAAGAACTGGACCGCGAATTGTCTACACTGGAGGGCACGTCCTGAGAGACGAGTGATTCGACATCTATTTCAACTGCTTTGATCCACCTATGTAGCCCTCAACTATTGTTTCGCCGTCATTCATACCTTGGTTTAGGGATCAAGCTGTCCTACTTTGAGACTTGAGACAGCGCAGTCTGCTGTCCCCGTGACGCACTCTTGGACGGCTACTCTTCACGGTATCCGTGCGTCCACCTTATTCCTGAAAATTTATGACAAATACGACCCTAATCGACCTCTACCCGTACCATCCAGACTCGTGCACGGGACCTGAATCAACCCAATCTGGGACGATAATACTGTAGAGTTAGATAAACTTCGGTTAAAGCCCGCGCTTTCGAGCACCGCCACATTTGAAGGAAGATTGTAGTGCCCAGAACGGCCGATAGAAAAATATAGTAGAAGACTTGGTAGCAAATTTACTGTTGATGAGGTCAGTACGGAGTATACGTGCATATAATAAGCATTCACCTCCGTCTTCCATACTAGGAAGTGTCAGTGTCAACCTAAAGTCCTGTTTAATTCTGACACATCACTATATAAAAGCATCACCTTTCAACTTACCTACTTCAATCCCCGGGTCAACACCGCAACAGAAAAAAGCCGTCCTCGCCCAGAAGTTGCTGCTCCACATCTTATTACATCGCCATCGACATCGTCGTTTGAGGACCCACAGACAAGGTCAAGAGACGTGTCATTCGATTTATATCACACCCGTTAAACATCACACAGACCAAAAAATGCGTCTCCAGATTCTCGTCTCTACAATTCTGCTGTTTATGGGCATGGGCATCGTCTCGGGCCGGGGTATACTCCTTGCGCGAGATTCCGACGACGTCGAGAGCTGCGACGATCTCTGCACCGATTACTGGAATTGTGTCAATGTCGATTCTTGGAGTGGGTCACAGTGTAATCCACCGGTAGAGTGCGACTGTTGAGACTGGCCATTCTCCTTCTTGACATCAAAGCACCTCTGATTTTTGGGTCTTCTTCTGCCTTGTACCTATCGTGCCATCAAGCAGTTGCACAGATACTAGAGAGGGAAGAAAGGAATAAAGTCGGAATAACTGTTGGTGATGACATTGTGAGGTTACACTGTTAACTGGAGTTTTGAATCTGATTGTATTGGTAAGAAGGAGTAAATAGCGCATTTTATAACAATACAGGACGTTAGCATGAAGGGAATTTCTTCTTAGTGATTGTCTAATCCTCTGAAGCTAGACTTGTACCTATGAGGAAACAAGCTATCAACAGTGCGCCAGGACTGACAGCGCAGGAAAGGAACAGTGTGCGTGAGACAGAGAGGGTTGTACCAGGGAATGATGCTTGTATATTCTCCGAGGATAAGAATACTGTCACACACGGTGAGGATTCGTCATGGGCGCAAGCCATTTCTGCACGTAATTTAGAATCCTTTTACCATACTTTGACAGGGCTGTGCAGAGTAAAGGGAGAAATACTACCTAGTGTTTTGTTGTCGCGACAACACTATTTTTTTGGTACTACAACTTGAAGGCTCGAGCCCGTTTGTCGTAGTAACCATATACAAATACAGTCTGAGACAAATCTATGGATAATACTGTGAAGGAGAAAATGATCAACTACTCACCATTCATGAAGAGAGAGCTATTTTTGGATTTTGAAGCATCATGTCTTGTCCTCAGTGGTATATCGTCACCATATTGGTAGCAGCGATACTACCTACTGTCCTCGCCGTCCAAGACAACAAGGTAGTAAACTTGGGTGGTACCCCGACATATTTCGAGAACGTGTGGCTAGCTGACGCGGGGTGGCTTAGTGGCAAGGCACGGACCTTCTTAGATCTGGACTGACCCTTGAAAGATCGAGGTCCGGAGCACGGGTCCCTTGTCGGTCCTTGTGCTGCGTATTACCAGGAGTAACCAAGTATACCTAAGATTAGTACCTGGGAAGTTTGACAATGATGTTAGTAGGTACCTTGGGCCTCGGGGATGATATAAGGAGTATCAATACTTCAATTATTCATGGAATCTTTCATTCCTACCATCGCTACTCTTTGAATCATATCTCTAAACTTATCTGTTTCATCAATACACGAGCTTTTTCCTTCGCGGGACATTAGAAAAAAATGCTTACTCAGATTCTTCTCTTAACCGGGGCCAGCCTTGCCTTGGCCCAGTCCGCCACCACGGCGGCCCTTCCAGCAGGAAGCCCCATCACCATCGTCGGAGGTTCGTACAATGGCCAGCAGATAGCCGGAAAGCACGTCGGTGCGGCTCAGAACTACCAAGTCGCACTGTCACAGCGTACCGGCAGCAGCGTCGTCTCCGGAGGCGACCAATTCTATTTCAACTCAACGTCCAACTTGTTCATGGACACGACGGTCGTGTCGGGGCAAGGACTACCTTGCTACGTCATCAAACAATCCGAAATCTCAGGCAATGCCGGTCCTCTCGAATGTGGTGCGGCCACTGATGCCTCCTACCCCATGGCCGGCTCGCTGGGCAACGACGGTACCGTCCAGATCACCGGCGTCCAAAGCTGGTGGGTATGCTCGGTCAACGCCACTCAGCCATACGGCGTCATCCCTGCCACCGTCGTGGGCGGCTTCTCATCTGCCGTACCAAGCGGACCTGGCATCACCAACTGCGAGGCCATCACTGGCCTGAAACTGGGCGGCGGCGGCAGCAGCTCAACCACGTCTTCTCCAGTCCCACCACCAACATCGTCGGTCACCTCGACGCCCGCACCTCCTCCTTCCACCACCAACTCAGGCAATAACTGGGGCACTTCAACCACAATGACTTCCGCCGCGCCGGTGACTACCACTATGTCCATGCCACCCTCATCTTCCTGGGGCTCGCAAACTCAACCCGCACCGTCTACGTATACTGGAGGTGCCGCACCCGCATGGAAGGACATCTCGAAGGTGGGCATGGTGATTGCTGGTGGTGTGGCTATGCTTCTTTAAGAGACACATACGGTGAAAGTGCTTCTAGAGATCTGACTTTTATTCTGTCTGATACAGTAGATACCTATTTTTGTCATACAAATATTAATACTGCAAACTTGAAAAAAGACACTCTTCTTGGTACATCAACCTGACGATACTCCTCATGGATACTCAAGCGGCTATAATGGTAGAAAGACCAAGCTAATATGCTCAGTCATTCAAGCCCCTGAATCCGGTGCTAATGCACAGAGCGAAAGCTTCGTGGTAAGGACAGTAAGCATCGTCTCGGGTATGGTGATGTCACAGGTACCGAGGCCAGGCACCGTTGTCCAACGACCAATAATGAACCATCTGCCCGGTACGTGGGGAGGAGTGACCCGCTGCGGCTCGCTCTCGCAACATTGCTGCTGCTTGTGCAACATCGTGCTATTCTTCTCCATACAGATAACCCTGGCGTGAAACATGATGCCAGTTGACGCGCGTCTCCAGATAGGCCGACTGACGAAGCAAAGGATGACGGACCATGACGAAGACAACATGCCAACAAAGGAAACTTTGTGTGAGCAAATTTCTCGAAAATGTTGTCAACGGAGGCGACTATGGCAACCAAGAAGACGTCGATGCTTTTCTCGAGAGATCGTCAGGGCGCACACGTGAACATGCCGGGGGGTCCCGGTGGAATACTTCTGAATAATGCAGCAGCATGACGTACTGATACGGTGATATATTGTCCAGGTCGCTAAGAAGAACAAGGCTTATCAACATGAGCGCGGTACGTCTACAGCTTTACAGCAATTGCACCCCCAAGGTTAGAAGAAGGACAATAGTGTGTCGATTCGTCAAAAAAAAAGACATTTTCTAGACCATACAGCATGACCTGGCAACCTCCGACCAACTGGGAATCCAGACCTGTCTGCGTCCTTGGTGGTGGTGTTCTTGGACGTCGCATCGCCGCCTGCTTCGTCGCCGCTGGCCATCATGTCCGCATCCGCGACCCGACGGAGAAGTCACGTTGTGACGCCGTCAAGTACATCAAGGATGAGATTTCTTCTTTCACCACATTGAGCGGCCGCCGTGCTGGCACTTGGGAGGCTGTCGAAGACTTTGCTGCCGGAGTCAAGGACACCTGGTTGGTATTTGAGGCGGTCCCAGAGATCCTGGCTCTCAAGGAAAACACCTTTGCCGATTTGGAGACGTATGCTCCAGATGACTGTATCCTTGCCTCCAACAGCAGTTCCTATAAGAGCGGTGAACTGTTGGGTAAAGTCAATGACGAGACGAAAAAGAGGGTTCTCAATACTCATTACATGATGCCGCCGGAGGTATGGCTTTGTCGCGTGAATGGTACTGGACAACACTAAACGATGAACAGGCAGTTATCGTTGAACTCATGACCAGCGGATACACGTACCCTGAAATATTTCCTTTCCTTGTAGATCGTCATAAGGAAGCCGGTCTACACCCTGTGGTGGCGTTGAAAGAATCCACGGGATTTATCTTCAACCGCATTTGGGCCGCCATCAAACGAGAGGTCCTGTCAGTGCTCGCCGAAGGGGTTTCGACGCCTGAGGTCATCGACGGCATTTGGATCGAACAATACGTCAACCGTCAGGTCGGACCATGGCAAGTGTCTTGAGACCGTTCAATCATCCCCAACTGACTTTCTCTAGCAAAATGATGGATTCCGTCGGCTTGGACACGGTCGAACATATTGAGAAGCACTACATCGACGATCGGAAACTGCCGGACTACCACCTCAAGTGGCTTCAGGACAACTATATCTCCTCTGGCAAACTTGGTCAAAAATCTGCCGGCAAGGGAGGATTGTATGCTGCTCCGGCGCCCGGTTCGCAGACACGGTTGTTGTTGCTCAATATTGGCCTGGCGGAACCATTGAAGGAGAAGACTGCCGACCAGATCATGCACTCGGGCCAGATTTTGGCTTACACGGTCGAAAATAAGGGGTCCCGGCCGGTCGAGCTGGCAGGGTCGCTGCCGAATCCCGATGGCATTGATGTGGCCTCGTCGACCAAGCGCATGTATTGGACCAACATGGGAAATCCCAAGGCAAACGATGGATCCGTACAGTCGGCCAACCTGGATGGTAGCGACGTACAAATGGTGGTCCGACCTGGGCAGGTTCACACTCCCAAGCAACTGACCATCGACCAATCCGCCAACAAGCTCTACTTTTGCGACCGTGAAGGGCTGAGGGTGATGAGGTGCGACCTCGACGGCCGTAATCTGGAAACAATCTACCAGTCCGGTGACTGGGAAAAGGAACCCGAGAAAAAGGCCAATGGTCTATATTGGCCAGTGGGCGTCGCGATCTCGAAGAAGCTAAACAAATTCTTCTGGACGCAAAAGGGCCACTCTAAAGCCAACGAGGGCCGCATATTTTCCGCGAGTCTCGACCTGCCCTCCGGAACCACTCCATCCAACCGGCAGGACGTCGAGATCGTCATCGATGGCCTACCGGAGTGTATCGACCTCGAGTACGAAGACGAGGATGGCGTCCTCTACTGGACCGACCGCGGCGAAATCCCATACGGCAATACTCTCAACAAGAAGCAGATTGCGGGCGAAGCACCCTCAGCAGAGGGTAAACTTGGCAGGCAAATCATCGCCCAGGGTCTCGGCGAAGGCATCGGCCTTCGACTGGACAAGGTCAACGACTGCCTATACGTGGCCGATATGAGTGGACACGTGTGGAAGTGCTCGACCGACTACGGGCTCAAGGAAAAGATTCTCGAGGGTGCTACCCACGCTTACACTGGTCTATGTTTCTACAAGTTTTGATACAAAGAGCGAGAGGGTTTATGTAGATCGCATAGAATGTCCAAAGAGTCAACGATAATAATCCAGCCCGTCAGGTTGAAACAATTCGAGCTTTCTGCTTATGCATGGAATCTGGTCTAGAGTAGTTCACACCCCGTGTTGCACGATAATGCCTCACGCAAGAACCAGGGCCTAAGGTCACCTAAGGTAGAGCGAGTACTTGACAGATATCACGGCTGGGGGTTTTTGTATCTGAACAAGAAAAGATTGTAGACGGGGTCGAGACGCTATTGTATCATCTTCGCACACAAGAAACGCACAGTCTGATACGGAGCATTTATATCAGTTAGATTCTAGTCAAGGTCAACTCAAGATCTGCAAAATAACAGGCTTAGAAACAAAAGATCTGATCCGTCATCTTTCCCACAGCACCTGGGGCCTCGAAACCCAACTCCACCAGGTTCTTCTTCATGGCGTTGACCATGCCCGGCGGGCCGCAGAGGAGTACCTTCGAGTCGGGAGAAGGCTTGGGCATGTATTCCTTGAGCACGTCTTTGGTGACGTGACCCTTTCCGCCGGTCCACGACGGTGAGGGCGCGTCGAGCAGATAGAGAAGACGGAACTGGTCCGGGCAGTCTCTCGCGTAGGCGTCGAGCTTGTCGCGGAGCATGATGTCGGTTTCGCTTCGATTGCCGTAGACGAGCGAGACTCTGGTGGAGTCTTTCTTGTCCTCACAGATGGCCCGGATCAGTTGAAAGAGAGGGGTGATTCCCGTGCCACCGCCGACCATGCCGATTTCCTTGATCATGCCGCGACGGTAACGCATGGCACCTTTTGGTCCACGGATGGAGGCCGTCTGACCAATGTCCAGGCTTTTCAGACAGTTGCCCATGAGTCCCTGGGGATAAACCCGGACGAGGAGTTCGAGCCGGCCCAGGTCACGGTTGTTGGAGACGGGGGTGTAGCTTCGCACGACCGAGTGTTCGTCGACGGTCGTCTTGATGGCGACGTGTTGGCCGATCGGTAGGCCCAAGATCGAATACTTGGTGGGCAGGTCGAACACGAACCGCCAGATGCCGTCCGACAGCTCCTCCTTGTGTCGGAGTCGGAACTGTTGGTACGCGGACTGCTTCAGACAGCCCTTCGGCTGGAACGGTCCGCTTGGGTCTGCCGTCGAGAGGTGCGCCGCAAATGAGCTGAACGATTTCTCTTTGCTCGCCCTCGACAGCCACGTGGCGCCAGCCGCGGCCGCGACGGCCAATGATGCGGTGGCAGTCAAAAAGCCGTGGGTGAAAGCCCCATGGGGAATGTGGACGGCCGGGAAGAAACCATGAGTGTTCAGGAACGGTAGGATGTAACTGTTCACCATGACCGTCAACCCTGCACTGCCCGCTGCTACCGCGGCCAGTTCTGCTCGACTCTGGGCAGAGGGGGCGGCAGCCTCTTTTCCTTGAGACCCCTGATGCCTCCTCACCACAACACTTCTGGCAGCCTCGGACCTACTGCCGGTCTTCGAACCTCCCCCGGAACCGCCATCGGTGCTGGCCCCTTCGATCACGCCGACCAGGAACTTGTGCATGATCTCGGCAGCATCTTCAGAGTGACCGACGTCCTCGTACGCGCTCGTGGCATCGGTGCCAGCGACCTCGACCAGAGTATCGAGGCCGCCCGGGAGGTCTTTAGAGTAGTCGGTGACGTTGTACACTACATAGTTAGCTTGTTGGCGACTCGAAGGACAAAGAAATCTCACCCTTTCCGTGAATAATGATCCAGTTGTCCTTTTTGGTGTTGTGTTTGGCAACGTCGGATTGCTTGTATGTCTTGACCTCGACCTCGTTCTTCCATTCCGCCTTGAGTTCTTTGTGTTCTGACATGGCCTTCAACGGATGAATAGAGAATACTCCTGAAATAGCCTTGAGAGAGTAAGTGAGAATCTAGGTAGAAGTGATTGAATGGGTGTTGTGCAGTTGAAGATGGCCAGAATGTGCCGATTTGACTCTGACGACAACGAAAGACAGACTGCCACCTGGTAAACACAGAAAGACGAACAAATCAAGGACCCGTCTTTGTCATAAGTGCTCGTCAGAGAGATTTACATTGGATATCGGAAAGAAGTAGAAAGATCTTGGGTCAGTCTCGAACCAATGATAGCACCTGTGAAGGGATCCAAGGCACTTTGTCAAACTGGACCTGCACTTACTCAATTCCTGTCTCAATAGCCTTTGCTGATTGCGGGTATGTCACATCCGCCTATTCAACATGGGTCTTTTGCTCCGTCTTTCTGCACATTGACGACATCATGTTGAGGGATGAGTGATGCGAAGTCAGAAAGCCTGGCACGTTAGCTGTGGATAGCAAACCGTCCTGCTTGTGTTGCTACAATTTCATTGTCCACTGAATCTCGCTGACTGATCACGCTGACTGGTCATGCTACAATCCGGTTGCGAGATTGGGGATGCTGACGGCGATCATCACGATAGTACCTTATCATATAGGACCTATTCGAAATCATTGCCGACTCATTCTCAAGTGTTGGCTCCGTATTTCGTTGTACCACCGAAAGTGGATCTCGCTATTCTCGGTCTCTGCAGGCGGATCTCACTACTGAATCTCGCTGTCTGCGGTAAGACTCATACTGCTAATCTCGATCACAGGTGTAACATGACTTCGGCAATTCTCATCGATCTGTCAATTAGAATCAGGCTGGTTTTCATTCAGCAGTGGATTGAATTGACTCATGCTGAGTAGTTTGACAATCCGCTTTTCTGTCAACTATTGATATTAGTCGGACCGAGCAAGTTGAACTCTCCTCAAGGCCCATTTGGTCTTCGACTAGAAGCGTGACACCCGGCTGTAACATGACGATGGTGTACCACGATGATGAAGTCAGCAAGATCCATAATCCCCAGTGAAATTTAATGTTAAGAAATTAAAAAAACGCAAAGGTTGCATGGAATTTAGAGATGCATGAGCTGTGTACGAAACAAAGGTCATAAAACAGGTCCTCCAGGCTTTTCGGTAGTACTGTGTCTTTAGACTCCTGTACTATGGCCGCCATTCATTTCGAGTTCGACGTCAGCACTGGCAGTAAGACCTCGTTTGACTTAGAGCTGGATGGGGTCAAAGACTTGACTGCTTTGAAACATACCATCAGCTACAATTACGGCGTGGTTCAACCGGAGGGTACGTATTCGTCTTCTGTTCTTATGTTGAAGGCTGACCTTGCTAGGCCTCTCATTCCACAGCAGCGACACGCCATTGAACGAACTTGCCGACATAAAGGCATCCAAGGGCAAGATTGGTATCAAGGTCGATGGCCATGCGCTAAGAGAGATTCCGGGGCCTTCGGGTCTTCCTATGGTTGGCAATTACTTCGAGGGTATTCGTCCCTTTTCCTCACCATTTGCCCCTGCTAATGTCAGTCTTTCCCGATCACCTTGGGAACAATCAACGCTTCTTCGACAAGTACGGAGCGATTTTCAAGACCAATAACATGGGCAAGATCGTGGCCCAGACCAATGACCCTGAACTGGCCCAGATCTGCTTCTCCGAGTCAGAGTTCTTCTCCAAAGAGATCGTACCTGACCACCCACTCTACCCCATCAAGAACCAAAAAGCGGGCGTGTTTCTAGGCGATACCGACAACCCAGACTGGAAGGTGGTCCATAAGTTCTTGCCGCCAGCTTTGGGGCCCAAAGCCGTCCGTCACTATGCTCCTCAGATGAACAGTTGCTGCGAAGAGTCATTTCCGGTGTTCGACGAAATGGAAAAGGCCGACCAGGCTTGGAACGTTTACCAATACATGTTGAAGCTCAGCTCGGGCACAGTAGGCAAAATCATGCTGGGAAAGGACCTCAAGCACTTCACCAGTGTCGATGCTCCCCTTGATAGGATTGTGCTCGCCATCGCCGAGGTACTGGCCATCAACAAGAAGATTGCGAGCCGCGGCGAGTGGTATTCACATTTGCCGTTCGGCGACCCTCTGAGACTCAAAAACCTGCAACAGTTCATGACCGACCAAATCCAAGAGGCCATCAACGAGGCTAATTCGAGCGGTACTGAGGACCTGCAACTGCAGGAGGCCGCTCTCAAGGCAGCAAATGTTGTTGGTATGAGGATCTTGAACTGAGATTATCAAATCGAGGTGACTGACTGGTCCAGATTACCTGGTTCGCGCAACCGACGGCAATGGCAATCGACTGCCCAAAGAAAATCTGGTATCGGCCACCATTGTCGCCACCGGTGCGGGTTTCACCACCACATCTTCACTCTTGTCCTGGTGCCTGTATGGCCTGGTCACGTATCCCGGCACTCAAGCAAGAATTCTCCAAGAACTCATTGACAAAGACATCACGGACGAGACCTCGATCACCGCAGATCAGATTGACGAACTCGACGAACTCGGCAAGTTTGTCAAGGAGATGCAACGGCGACACAATCCATCATACCAGCCCGGTCGGACAGCCCAGCGCGACATGATATTGCCCGGAGGCTACCAGGTAAAGAAGGGGACAGTTGTCATCCCTGCATTGCATCACATCCACAACAACCCAGCAATATGGGAAAATCCAGCACGGTTTGACCCTGACCGGTGGGACACGGAACAGGTCAAGCAACGACACAAGGCTGCGTATATTCCGTACGCCCCCCTTCTTCCCTTTTCGTGTTGTCAAAATGCTGATGACTCTCAAGTTTTGCCACCGGCCAGAGAATGTGCATCGGGTTCAACTTTGCCCTATTGGAGGTCAAAATCTTCCTTTGCAAGTTGGTGTATCGATATCATTGGGAAAAGGAGGGTGACATGGAAACCGAATACGATCCTTTCTTCCAACTCATCCGCCCTGTCAATCTGTACGTCAAGACTCAAAAGCGCGAACGCTGGCCGAGCAAGACCACACAGGAAGGTACAGACACGAATGGCAGTGGACAAGATACTCGAGAGTCTTGAGATGAGTAATAATGAACAAAATATTACGAGTCGTCTTCAGCAATGTCGGCCAAGACCAAGACATAGATTAGCGAGAGTGTTGATCATAGTGACTATTTAATGCATGATTGAAGGTTGTTCAAGCAAGCGAAGAAATTCCAAGAAGAATGAATGAAGCTTCTTGTTCTTGGCTTTGAGTGAGATTTATTACCAGTCACTCTTTTTCAGCGAAAAAGAATCGAAGGGTCGACGCTAAACGGACGTCGCCAGGTAAGACTCGATACATTTACGTACAACCCGCTTCAGCTACAATCATTTAGCGCTGTGTGCTGAAGCCACATGCCGATCCAGGCGAGTGATCACCCTTGACTTTACTCAAGTTTTTTGGTGAGCTCTATCTTTGCAACAAACTTTCTTCGTGGACTGTTTTCTTGTTCTCTTATTAAAGAAAACATAGAGCCTTTTGAGGGCATCAAACACAATATACCCTCTCGGGGCGGAGCGAGACTCGGGGAAGGAAAGAGAAATGTCCACCGTGAACGCGGAAGCGGATTCCCAAGAGAAAGTGCCTGCGCAGCCGTCGGCCAACAACACATCGTCATCATCACCATCATCTCCGGCTGCCGAAGCGTCTCGATATCTAATTAAACGACCCAAGGCGCTACAATGGTTTCACAACGGCACTCTCGAACGAGAATCAGAAGAGGAACGGCAAGCTGGCCGCTTCGAATTATTTCTCGACCTGCTGTACGTGGCGCTCGTGGCCAATTTCACCGAGAACCTGGTCGAACACCCTTCCGGTGCTGGACTGGTCAAGTATCTTTTGATCTTCGCGCCGGCGTGGCACGTCTGGAGCGACCTCCGCGAAATCATGAACTCGTACTACACCGATGATCTGGTCCAACGCGGTGTGATACTCTGGGTTATGGCCCTGCTGGTTCTGTACGGTAACAACGCGACGCTCGTAGCCGAAGATATTGGCGCCATGAGGACCGCCGTGGGGGCTTTCATGACGGCTCGGGTGACCGTGGCGTCTGTCTATGTGATTTCGTCGTTTGCGAGTTTCCAGCATCGCGCCCAAGCGAGGGTCATGGCCGCATTCATCCTGCTGGGTCTTTTGATCTGGATCCCACTGTACTTTGAGAGTGTCAGCATAAGAGCCAAAATTGCTGTCGCGGTAGTGGCAATCGTCTACCAGGAGATCGCATGGATTCTCACCTTCGGCACGTGGATGAAGCGATACCTGCGCCTCGAGTACAGTACCGCTGTGGACATTTCCCACGAGATCGACCGACTCGCCGCCTTCTACATCATCATTCTAGGCGAATATCTGTACAGTATTGTCGTCGGGGACCCTGCTGCGGTCGGACTCAACCTCGGCCTCTTGAAAGCGGTGTGGACTCTGATCATTGCATTTTGCTTGAATTGGTTATACCTCAATGGCGACGGCGGCGTGGACAGCATACACCCGATCAGGCGATCCGTCGTCACGGCTTTCATGTTTTTCAGTCTCCATATGCCCCTTGCTGCGTCGTTGCTGGTCGGGGGGCACGTCTGTGCGGTCAGCGCTGGACAGGAAGAGCTCAGCAAGGGTGAGCGTTGGCTGTTGGGTGGTGGGCTAGGCGTGGGCATGTTTTGCCTCTGGATCATGGCCGTCTTGTTCCGTGGACAAGGCTCCCATGAACTGATCATGCCCAAAATGCTCAGAACAGGGATGAGATTGGTTGTCGCCATCATCTTGGTGCTATTGCCATTGGCCCATGAAGATCATTTCAACCCAGTCCAACTCCTTAGTACAGCCATGGGACTGATCGTGTTCGTGACCATCTGGGAGACAGTTGGAGGGCTTATGAAGGGAGCGAGAGTGTATGAGAAATGGGACGCGAGGAATCAACCACGGCTTTGAGTATGAACTATACCTCTGTAAGTCCTGGAAACAAACCAAGCACATGCATAGGTTTGTCTACATCTGGTGTGTGTTATCTCGAGATTCTATGTTCTTGGTAAAACAGTAAAGCCCTTACCCTCTCACGGTCCTACTTGGTGAACCATGCCATCTCGCCCTCCCAGCCCTCATCGGTAGTCCCGTCCACCGACAGATACTCGTTTGCAAGTCGTAGACCCAATGTCCATCCAGAGCCAGGAGGTCCATTTGTTGTCCTCGTGCCCTTTTCAGGTATCGGCACAGCTTTGAAAGCAGCACCGTTTCGGCAGAAATGCTGGGTTTCCCAGACAGTCTTTGGGGGATGTGGCTTTGACGCCTGTGACATTGATGAATCAATTGATGTCTCCTCCGGGTCTTGCCCATGCAGACTTAAGCACTCCAGGTCCAGATGGACTACACCTTTCCCATCCGGTGGTGTCGACGTGCCTGATTCTCCTTTTTCTTCTGGTTTGCGCACGTGAAGGACGAATTGATTGCCCCACGTATGGTGACCCATAGGCAATACGTACAAAGTCTGCGCCTTGTTCCAGTTTGCTTCAAGATCCTGTTTGTTCTTTTCGGCCACCTGAAAGCCGCACAAGACTCGGTCTCTCTCTGGGCCTTGGGCGCGCGAGACACGACACGGTCCGTAGGCCGGGTGATGGTACGTGCCTGCCAACTCGTCACAGAGGTCATCAGGGAGTCGATCCCCTTGTGAAGTATCAACGATGGTTGCAGATTCCGACGGACTCGGTTCGCTCACTTTCCCGGCCAGAGCAGCCAACTTGTCGAGCGCATCAAAGTTGCTGAGTGACTCAGCAAATTCATCTTTTGAAGTTCCGGAAAGCGCAAACTTTCGCGCCATGAGTTCGATACAAACGGCTTCTCCGATTCTGTGGCTGGAAATCATCGTGTTGCCCAGGGTGACACACCCAAATTCGTCGTTCGGAAGCATGTACAGCTGAGTTCCGAAGCCCGTCAAGCCCCCAGCGTGTGCGACAATAGGGTGTTTGAGACCCATCGTGCTTGACATATTAAACCATCCGAGCGAATATAATCGCGGTGTCAGATGGCTGTTCTTGTTCATTGGCGGTGGCAGCGGCTGCAGGATCCGCGGGGAGGTCAATTCAGCAAACAAATTCGGTGTTATAACAGTGGGCTGGTCCTCTTCTGAGGATGCGGCCTGGTGCTGTGACTCTTCTGTCATACCCCGAGGGCTGGCAGCGTCCAGAAGGGCTTTGATCCATTTTGCGTAATCAACGACGTTTGAGATAACGGACCCAGCTGGGGCGATGCCGGCAAAATCCAAGTATCGTTCCCGTATGAATTGCCCTTTTCCTTCTTCATCCTCGGAATCCTCTGAAGGCAGCCAGAAGTAGCCATAGGCGACAGCGTTCTTCTTAACATCCGGAATTTCATCCAGCTTCCAGAAAGTTGATACCATCTTCAGAGGCTGCCAGATGAGCTTGCGGAGGGCATCCCCCCACAAGAGACCAGTCGTGGTCTCCAAAACATCTCCCAAAACGCTGTACATCAAGTTGTTATACTGGAATGTCGTCCGGAAGGACTTGTTCGGTCCGCCCAAGAATCTGAGGGCTTTCGTGATGCCTTTAGGCTGCGAGCCCATCCAGCGCCCGTACAGATTATCCGCACCCGAGAAGCCAGTGCGATGGGACAAGGCATCCTCGACCGTAATCTCCGAACACGCATGCTGATCCTCCAAAACAAAATCTTCTGGGAGGATCTTGCTGATGGGTGTCGCCCATCGCTGCCTTTGTAAGGTCTGTAGTTGCTTGTTCTCCTTTTGTTGATGTGATTCAGGCTCGTCGCTCATCAAGCGCCCCAAAGCGGCACCGACCATTGCCTTTGTCGTGCTTCCAGTGAAGTACATTGTCTCACTGGTCGCAGGGACATCTGGAAGACGGGCAAATCCATAAGCCTGTGCCGTGAGGTGTTCGCATTAGCTACATTGCCTCCCCTTAGATAGGCCCGAGAATCTTCGAGTATTGCCAAGGGGAAAACATCTTGTCCTACCGCTCCGAATGTCACTTACCTTGGTGAACACCCTCCCTTCATCGACAACACCGATGCTAATTCCTGGAACATGGTGCTTCTCGAGGAGAGCTTGCACCCACGCGTCGAAATCAGCATCAAAATACTTGGTTTCCGAGCCCATTGTCGGTAATTCTTTATTTGGCTGGCTCGTTGCTTCGTGCTTTCGTTTCTTGTGGCAAATGCCAGATACCGGATAGTGTTGTGTCGATTGCTTCCCGGGTGCAAAGGAAGACGGACTCCCAGGCTTTTAATGCGTCAGTCTTGGATGCAATATCATATGGCTAGAGTCGGACACACGCACCTGTATTTTCGAGAAGCTCTGACATAATCACCACTTGTGCCACTTGAAAATAAGCGCGTCCACCCGCTCCCTATCAAGGGCGGTTTAAATTACCATAGCCGATTACGATAGGCGACGGCTCGTAGGTATTCTTTCCCGAGACACACGAGTGGGCGGGGAACAATGTCAGAAGCCTCCCAAATAAGCCAATTGAGGTCGCGTCTAATGTGAGCACAGGATGCCCAAGATAACAGAGAGATTCTTCGATACCAAAGACGTGCAATACAATTGCAATGGCTGGTGACCCTGATATCACGTGCCTGGACGTGTTCACGTAACGCAAATTTTGGAAAATGCAAATCTGCTGTAACCCTCACAGATCTGTCGGAAGTCCGGTACTGGCTCATGAACATTCCAACTACAGTGTCGGGAAGTCCCAAAAAGTGAAACCTCAAACCGAGTCTACCATTAGTTAAAGGTATATGACGATTTTGGTACAAAACCACCAGGTACTATTTGGAGCGGCTATCTTGCTTCCCCACCACACCCCGGAAGGCAACCACGCTATATTTTGGTATCAACAGCTTCAACTTGCTGGGCTGCACCCTCAACATCGTGAAGCTCATGGGCTTTCGTTACGGCACTGAGCTCAACATTCTCCGGCCCCGCAACACAAAGATGACCTTGTGAGAACTTAGCATTGGTCACCTGAACGAGCATCGAAGACGTGGAGAGTAATCCGGTTCATGTTTGAGGAGTGGCAGAAAGAGTGAACATACCCTTGAACTTCCTGGCAGGCAGCCGATCTTGAAACATCTCATCAACCTCAGCCGGGGTGCGACCCTTGACTTCGGGAAAGCAAAAGAATGTGAACACCAAGCAGACCGCCATGCAGCCCGCGAAAATGAGGTACACTTTCGCTCCCAGATCACCACTGCGGTAGTGAAAAGTCCAATTAGTATATCTAGCCGAAGCTTGAAACGAGATTTGAGAACTTACGCATCAGCATTCGTGATGTATGGAAAGACATATGTCACGGTCAAGGATGTGAGAGAGTTGGAGAGGAGAGCATATGCATTTGTCTTGTTGCGCAGTCGAGCGGTCGCCAGCTCGGCGGTATTGATATAGGTCAAAGGCCCAAAGCCGACGGAGACGAAGAAGCCAAACATCAAGGAGAATCCTGCAATTGCTTTGGCCACCTTTGAGTCGGAGGCGTCAGCAAAGCCCAGAGCTCCAATGACAATGTCGATGATCAGGAGCGCGGTAAATGACCACAGAGCGAGAGGGCGACGGCCGATGATGTCGAGGAGTATCCCGCCAGTGATCGCACCTGCGAACGTGAGAATGTTGAGAGCAAAGACTAGTAAATATACATTGGTCGCGCCGACCTGAGCTAGAAAAATCGTAGCGTAGTTGGTGGCATAGATTAGACCAGATAGTGAAACGAATACACCAGCGTACGTAGCAAGAATGGTCCGGCGGAGGTCGACGCCACGGAAAATGTCGATCCAGTGAACTTCCTTCTCTGCGGCACGGAGGGATTTCTGCATTTTCAAATTGTCCATTTCCTCCTGGATATCGGCGTCGCTGTAGCCCCGACGAACCTTTCGCAGACTTTCCTCGGCCTGAGCATCTTGGCCCTTGATGAGATAGGCCGTAGGAGAATCTGCAACAAAGAATGTGCAGAGCGCGATGAGCATGGGAAAGATTATCTGCAAGCCTATAGGAAGTCTCCAGGAGAGGCTGGACAGAACTCCGTGGGTGGCCCAATTGACTCCAGCAGCGATAAGAGCACCTGTCTGGATCGAGACGACAGAGAGTCCGCCCAGAAATCCTCGGAGAGGAGCTGGTGAGATCTCGTTCTGAAAAGTAATTGCCATGCCGACAAGGACGAAGACTGAAATTCCTAAATCCCGGATGGGTTTGTCAGACTCAAGGCTGATACTCTCTATTGACGGCACTGGCAAACATGGCACTGGGCCGCACAAAAAACAGCAGGAAGCCTACCAGTCAAGATTCGACCGACGGTGATCATAGCGACAGTATAAGAGGCCGTCTGGAGGACAGCTGCCACCAAGCTGATGGCACAGCCTCCGAGCATGGTTTTCTTCCTGCCAAAGCGATCGGCACAAGTTGAGTTGATTAGGAAGCCGATCAGAGAACCCGCGGTCGGAGTGGCGACAATGATGGAGATGGTTCGGGCAGTGAGAATGGGCCCTTCAGAGGTCACGGAGCCAAATTGCTCTATGAATGGCAGCATGTTGAGTACGCCACCAATGACACTGCCATCATATCCAAAGGTGAAACTTCCGGTGGACAAGAGGACAGCTAAGGTAGGGAGCACGGAGTCAGTCACGGTGATACCAAGTATGCTATTCAACAACCCATCGCAGGACTCACCGGTCAAGACAAGACGCCAGTTATGGCGAAGGTGGTAGATTGCATTGTGTTGATCTGGAGATATCGATGTGGGCGAGCTCGACGCCATCGTTGCGGGCTATTTACTGCTGCCCGGCGGTGTTTGTAGACTCGTTGTAGAGAAATTCACAAAGGTCCAACAGAAATGCTCAGATGTACATCTAATGTGGCAGGATGTGATCAAGAAGCCAGCTGCTTTTAACATTTTAAATGTTTTATCACTATCAAGCTCGTGCAAGTATCAATCGTTCGTGTTGCCCATACCAGTGCCGATAAGTGTGGGTGGAGCGGGACATGTCAGCGGCTGCCAGAGGCTGGACTCACCTTGTAAGGTTCGGCGACATTGATGCTCGACGAAAGTGTAATACATTCAGAACCGGGCCTGGACCAACTATCTCTCGGAGCCCCTAGTGCCTCGGCCAGACAGCCCCTCGGTGCTTGCAATGGTTCAGCGGGGCGAGGCGGGGACCTGGCAACACTATTTACCCAACATCCATAACAGCATCTTCCTCCCTTCATGATTTCCTCCCAAAGCCGATGGCTTACATATAGGTGCCTACACCGTGTCGTAAGGAGGAAACCGCATCCCGACCAATTTCTGACCAACACCGGTACCATTTCCTGAGTCCTTGGCCGCCTATGGTGACTGATGGCTGAGCATCAGAGACGGGGGAAATTTTCGAGTCTGTCCACCTGACCCTTTACCGTCTACAAAAGTTGCATTTTGTTATCCCGACCAATGCGATGAACATATCGAGGGCACCAACAACGATGTCGGCAATGGCCTCGCCTCCACAGCTTACGGGGACAAAGCGAAGGCGGGTTGCTGTGGCATGTGAAAACTGTCACAACAGCCGGGTACGCTGCGACGCTTATTGGGTCGGGCTTCCATGCAGCCGCTGCAAGGGCAGTAAGCGAGACTCTTGCCATTTCATTCAGTCGAAGAAACGGAGGTTCGTGCTCGTCGCTGCCGCTTCGTGTGCTTCAGTGTGTCTAATCAATACGCAGAGGCGTCGACGGCCGCTTCGTCCCCGTCAGCACTGGCTCTTCACTCGACGGCTCTTTTCAGTCTGGTATATCTTCTACCTTATCTCCTACACATTCCTATAGTGCTCCTACGGCGCCTCTGTTATCTCGCGCCACGGTTCCACATCATGCAGCAAGTGCAGTGAGAACACAGATTGACTCTGGGTCTCCTGATCAGGCCTTAGCTTCGACAATTGGATCATCTATTGAAAGACTGACGAGATCACCGAATACCACAGTGGACTTGGATCCCATCTGTCGCGCGAATGCGTCGGATACAGAGTTGCAAGCCCCGACGGACCGGCACAGTCGCGTGCACGACGAACCGCAAGACATTACCCTTCTCAACGCGAGTGAAGATCCCCAAGATGGTAGCCAGATCGAGCCCATCTCCTACATGGGCGAATCTTGGTTCTTATCCTTCGTGCTGCATAACACCAATCACGAAGACACTAGTCGTCATCGCTCCGTCGTACCTTCCTCCACTGCCCACAATGAGAGCTCAAGAATTTCTAATCACAGTCTTGAATCTGCCACTCACGCAACGCGCCTAGCAGAGATTCCATATACTTCCCCGTTGCCAGAAGCCTTGAGCGGCGATATTTGCGACCAATTGCTGGATGCTTATTTTTCGTATTTCCAACCGATATGCCCCATTGTTGACAGAGGACCATTCCTGGAGTCGGTCCACGCGCGAACAGTCTCGAGGACATTGCTGCTTTGTGTGTGCTTCATTGCCTCGGTCCATTGTGAGATGGATGTTCTTCGGTCTTTGGGGTATCAGACACGCGTTGAAGCCGGCGACGATCTATTCAGTAAGGCAGACCAGGCGCTTGCAGACGATACCGATTCTGATCGTATCACAATCATGATTTCTTCTTACCTACTGCACTACTGGTGGGGCAAGCCCGTAAAATTTGACGACTCGCTTTGGAGGTTGGCTGGTGTCATTCGATCGGGGCAATGCCTGGGAATGCATCACAGCACTGCCAACAGTCACATGGGCCTGGACGTTCGAAAAAGATGGAAGCGACTGTGGTGGTTGTTATACGTAAGCATCCTTGGGTTACCCCTGTTTATTGGACGACACTAGTCTCATCTTCATATGCTGAACGTTCACAGATACGTGACCGTCAAGTGTCGCTCTGTTTGGGCATGCCAATGATAATCAATGATGATGACTGCACGTTGGAAGCCTTGACAGTAGAGGACTTCCCCTCTGAACCTCGAGAAACAGCCCAGTATATCATTGGTCAAGCGAGCCTTTCGCGCGCAGGTTAGTGCTGTTATAGTTAGGCTCAATCGAAGAAACGGATTGCTAATACAAAGACACTTTCCCATAGCATGCGAGGTTCGAAAATATATCTCATCTGTGCTTGGTCAGCATCAACAGCAACCGATCGTGGAAACAGAGCAAGAAATCATGCGATTGTTCCAGGTTTGGCATCGGAGCCTTCCCAAGGACATGCTGTGTTCCTCCAAGGGCGCAAACCAGCTGGCACTGACACTCCAGATTACTTTCAAGTATGTGCATTCTTCGATATCAATGTTCATATGGAACCTTGCTGACCCTCGATCTTTGTGTAAAGTTTGTATCGAATCATTTTCCTCCAAAGGCTTCACAGAGCCTATCAAAATGAAGCATACGCGACACGAAGCAACCATGATATTATAGATGCGGCTGAAACTATAACATCCTTGACCGAGCAAGCTCTCACACACTTCCAGCCTCGTTCTCTGCCAATGATATGGTAATTGTGTTCTCATACCCAATTTTGAATCCCGAACTAGATGAAGACTGACCTTGGAAACCCTTCTTAGTGTCACAGCGATTTTCGCTGCCATGAACGTGCAGTATGCCGCTTCGTTCTCCTGCAAGGACTACGTCAGTCAGGTCCTGCTCCACAAACTACGCAAGAACCTTCTCGGACTGGAACAACTTGAGCAGGTCTATAGCCTGGCTGCTTGGATTCGCCGGCTCTTTAGCAAGGTTCTTGATCAATCAGAACATAGAAGAAAGTCCTCAGCCTGTGCTAGGATCAGCACAAAAGACAATCTTCCTTCCTTTGTTGACGAAGCTGCCTCACAGTTGGGCTTGGGAAGACCCTCAACATCGCAAACAAGCCCTGAAGCCGAGACACCTCTTCCACAGGCCTCATCATCACACCACAGGTACAATGATACTAGAATTCCCACCCTTGGTCCGGAAAGCACAACCCCGGTTCCATTGACTGCGGGGGAGACTATTATTCCTTGTCCGCCACCAATCTCTCAAGGCGACTTGCTCTTTCCGAACATGTGGACTGACGAACCAGGCGATTTGTCTGAGTTTGAGGCTCAGTTCCTGAACACCAATGTCCCACGACATTGGCCTCTTCTGAGCCCGCTCGAGCTAGAAAACATGCGATTGCTTGGGCTTGGTACTGACTTCACCTATGACATATGATTCATTCAGTAGACTATGTTCAGTAGGGTAGCACATATGCTCGATCTTAAGTCTTTCCTTTAAACAGAACAACAAAGGCCCACAAATAAACAAAATAGTTTGAACGTCTTTGATTCGGCTGTGGGCGGGAATATCTGACCTCTCAAACGAGGCCCGACCAGATACAAGCCGACAATAAAGAACATTTTAGCGGCAACTGTTATCGCATGCTGCTTAGATTCCAAATCCCCAGGTCTGGCCCAACCAATATTGTCAAGGTTGTGCCTCTTCCCATTACCGAAGTCTACTGTGGCACCGTAGCATGGACCAGACCCGACTTACACCGAAAGCCTCCGACCATCCACTCCGAGGGGCTAGGCTCGAATGTAAATCCGACGGAATTCTTGCAAATAGGCCGAAATCAGACATCATAGTGCCATTTATCCTCCTTTCTTTGTCGAGGGCTCTCCTTAGTTGTGGAATCGTATTCGACCGGATCCCAAACACTCCCAGGGACAAAGACAGAGCTTCTTGAAAATCACACTGCTTGTCCATTGCGGGTTCGTGTACTCAAATTGCAGTGGGAGAACAGTTGATGGCCAGCTTCAGATCGACAAAAGCATCAAGATGAAAAGAATATCTTTGCCGAGTTTCAGCATACGCCACTCACAATCAACAGCGCAGTCGCAATTTCAGGCTAGACGACAAACCAGAAATGTGTCTCTCAAAGTTCCAGCACGAGAGACACAGTCTGGTCGCTCTCAAAGAGGTCGCTTAGGTATGTAGGCAACAAAATGAAAAGGAACCGAAGGGACGTCATGCTGATTATGGCGAAGGACTTCTGTCAGGTCTTGGGCTTGCAAGTGCAGGGGCTGTTATTTGGACAGCTACCGATCGTGGTAAGCCGGGCTTCACACCTGGCCCCGTCGCATTCAGCTCGACCCAGCCCCTGTTAGACTCGCCACCAATTGTGCATGATATTTCAGCGGACAATCTGAGAGAGGCGTTTCGAGACTTCGTGGACATCCTCGGCGAAGACCGCGTCTCGAGAGATCCTGCTGACCTACTGCAACACTCGGGGTCTGATTTCCAATCGTATTCTTGGAGCGAAGACACAGCTGTCCCTGGGCATGTCATTGTCTATCCGCTCTCCACCCAAGAGGTGTCAGAGGTGGTGAAAGTATGCTATCGGCGACGAATACCCATCACACCATACTCCGGTGGTACTTCGGTGGAAGGTCAGTACATTCCTGATATGGGAGGCGTGTGTGTCGACTTCAGCATGATGGATAAGATATTGGAAACCAATCCTGTTGACCTGGACTGTACAGTTCAGCCGGGCTTAGGCTGGATGGAATTGAACCAGGAGCTCGCAGCTAACAATTTGTTCTTCCCTCCTGACCCGGGGCCGGGCGCCTTGATCGGTGGGATGGTTGGCACGGGATGCTCGGGGACTAATGCCGCCAGGTATGGGACCATGAAGGATTGGGTCTTGTCACTCACCATGGTCCTTGCAGACGGGACCATAGTGAAGACACGGCAACGGCCTCGCAAATCCAGCGCCGGGTATGATCTCACGAGGCTGGTCATCGGAAGCGAAGGAACCTTGGGTCTGGTCACAGAGGTAACCCTAAAGTTGGCCGTTAAACACTCTCACGAGGCCGTTGCGGTTTGCACTTTCGCCTCAATCAAAGACGCAGCCCGTACAGTGCAGGCAATCATCTCAAAGGGTGTCCCAGTAGCAGCAGTCGAGATCCTGGATGACGTGCAAATGAGCTGTATCAACAAAGCAGGGCTTACGAGGCGCAAATGGGCAGAGCAGCCGTCGTTGTTCTTCAAATTCACCGGTAACACGGATTTGATGGTCCAGGATGCCGCGAAACTGACTGGAGAGATTTCTAAACAGCAAGGTTCGACCTCGTATCTGTACGCAGTGGATCAGGAAGAGCGGGAGGAGCTGTGGTCGGCACGGAAAAACGCTCTGTGGTCGGTACTGGCTTTGCGGACGAAACCAAGTGATAGAGTATGGACGACCGACGTCGCCGTGCCGCTAAGTCGGCTTGCAGACATCATTGAAGAAGCAAAACTACACATCGAACGTTCTGGTCTGCTTGGAACCATTGTGGGTCATGTCGGCGATGGGAACTTTCATGCTTTACTGCTGTTTCCGGAAGAGAAGCGCCATGTCGCTGAACACTTGGTTCATGAGATGGTGGACAGAGCGATTGCCATGGAAGGAACCGCGACGGGTGAACACGGTGTCGGGCTAGTAAAGAGGGACTATCTCGAGAAAGAGCTGGGAAAGACAACTGTCGATTTCATGCGTAAGGTGAGTTATTCTCTCTCCCACCTCAACTTATGCTTGGTGGCAGACCTGACTCTTTGCAGCTGAAGAATGCCGTGGACCCGCTATGCATCCTGAACTGCGGGAAGATCATGCGGATGGAACACAGTCCATCTGTGGAATAACGTGGCCGCAAGGGTCGGCGGCTCAGGACCTCAGGTTTTGGGACTTTTTGTGTCCAGCGCCACACCTGAAGTTAAGAATTACCCGAATCGCCAGTACAGCCCTACTATGGCGGAGTGTGTACGACAATAATACCGGCAATCATTCCACGAAAGACCTGACCCGCATCGCGGATGATACGACAGCCTCATACAACACTCTCCTAGAATCCTAGAGACGGAAAGATCGAATCGTGGCCTTTTCTTGAGCGTATAAGATGTGGTACGAAAGAGACCCTGAAGTGTAACTTGCGAATATCGAGCCGAGGTGGACACGGGTAGAATGAGGTTCATTAACTTTTAACAGCCCTGGTTTCACTTACCGTAGCCGATTACGATAGGCGATGGTTACCTTCGAAACAACTCTACACAGTTCACAATGGCTTCTGCGAACAGGTGTTTTCTTTTTGCTTATCGAGTAGCCTTCCGCCGATTCTTTGGTACACATGACTGTGTAGACTGGAATCTATGTCCTCGAAGTACAAGGCTACACCTTCTTAGAGCGTATATTTAAAGCCTGGCTGACCCATTATTACAAGCTCACCGCGGTCCACCTTGCGGTTTGCTCGACCGAAAATGAAGAAGTTCTTGATCAACAGCATAGCGGTGAGTATGTTGAAGGCAATACTCACTCCAAGGCCCGTACGGTACCCTGGTTTATCCTGGGCGCGGAATGCATTGCCTGCGATAATCCCGCCCATGGCTCCAGCCATGGTTATCATTGCTAGGCAGAGGCCCTTTTTCTTTTGACCGATCAGATTATTCTGTGCATATGCCCAGATGTTTGGGATGTTTCCAGTCATTCCGATCTGGCCGATGAAAGTACCTGCGTATCGCGCATTGGTATTGGTGCACCATCCGATCCTGTTCAAGTGGTGTGAGCAACATCTGGCGTGACCTCAAGAGAGTTGATGTACCTACATTACAATCCCGACGATGAAAATCGCACTGTTAACGACCATAATAGGACCGCGAGTTCTGAGTTTATCCCCTAGCCATGCGCAAAACACCATGTACTGCCGAAATAAAACGAAGAGAGGTCAGTAAAATGTTTGTCTCAGTTTGTTAGTTCCCTGAGTTGAAACACGTACCACACCCCCGACAACGTAAGGAGGAAATGTCATGATTTGTGTTTTGGCTGTTGAATAACCGAAGCCGTCCTTCAAGATTACAGGAAGGAAGTAGGCGAATGCGTAAAGTGCTGTGTTCTGTGTGGGACGCTCAGTGACTGTTTGTTACTATTGTCAAGGTCGGAAGGTTCCTTACGTTGAGCATTAGATACAGTGGGAATTCCCACACTTTCCAGTCCTGGAGGTAGGTAAAGAAAAGCTTTCGAGTCAATTTCTCCTCCTCAACAGCATCACCACGATCATGCTCGATGCGAGCTAAAACGATGGCTACCTCTTCCGGGGTGAGGAACGCCTGTAGTCCAAACAGCCTTGCCAACCAGTTCTTTCTCGCCGCTGGGTTCATGTGAGTCAGTCTATGTAGATTGGAGAAGGGTGTAAATATATAGTTACCCTTTTCTGGAAAGTCAACAATCAACACGTAGCACAACAGGCCCACGCCTGCGGAAATAGCACCCTCAATAATGAATATCCACCTAGCAGCACGGTCAAAGGCTGTCCGAGAAGCATGAAAGATTCTGGCAAAGATAGGACGTACCGCCAGCCGCGAATTCCAGCCGTTCCCTCCATCTTCTCGATTCCATACGCCAATAAGCCAGAAATACCGCCCGATACGACGCCGACAACGTAGAAGGCGGCGATCCGGGATCCAATCTCCCATCGAGTGTACCACGCAGACAAGAGGTATACAGCACCTGGAGACCGTCAGAAGAAGTAGTCGGTGCGTTTAAAGCGTTTTCGAGAAGAGTCAGGCTTGAAAATGAACAAACGTACCTGGAACAAGACCACCCTCCATGAAGCCAAGCAGAATGCGACATACTGCTAGTGCTCCCCATGATTTGACAAAGCCCTGGCCGATGGTGACAGCACTCCATGCGATACAGATCGAACCAATCCAAATAGCCGGTCCAATTCTGCGGGTAATATATGTGGATGGAATATCGACCAAGATGTAACCAATGAAGAAGATCATCGTAAGTATGGAATAGCGATGGCCAACGTTTGTATCAAGATCATCACTCATCCCAGCAATATTGGCCTATCAAGGATGTCAGCTAAGCAGCTCTCACCCGGGAACGTGAGGTGGATTCTAGAAGGATCTGTCAGACGCTTGTGTAAGGGCATCCTTACATTCCCCAGATTACCACGGTCAATAAAAGCCCAGACATAGACCAGCCCAAGAATAGATATCAACCTGAAGTCAAGTTTTCGGATAATCCTCTTCACACGCTTAGAGTCTAGTTCTGTGTGAGACTCCAGGACTTCTTCCAATGGGATTTCTGGATGGATGGCACGCAGTGCTTCGGCATCACGGAGTTCATGCTGACGGATAGCGTCATGTTGTTGGTGTTCAATCTCCTCAGGCTTGGGAGCCTTCGAGTCGTCGCCTGCCATGGAACAGAATCTTCTAGAAAGATTTTCAGGTCTACGGCTGCTTCAATCCACTGTCTAAGGTAAGCAACTTGTTCGATGAGAATAGAATGGACGAGAAGGGAAAGTAGCATTGGATAACGGTCAAAGGCCGGTCTTCAACATATTCTTATAAGCGACTCCGAAGCTAGACGATGCACAGTACAAGGGATGATCCACGACAGAGGTCTGTAACCCGCTGTCAATTAGTATAGTGTAGCTCGCCTAGATGGATTGCAGACCTGGGACACGCTAAGCAAAAACTTCAATGAGACCCTACAACCCCGATTGTCCACCGCTGCATTGGCGAATCCCGCCTTTGCCTCCGCCTTCTCTACCCTTTACCCGCAATCCCCATATCTAGTACTTTTGTGGTACGAACAAGTGCGAGGGCGGGCGGGGTATGACCCGGGGTAATAAGCTGTACACCAGGGCGAGTAGAGTTGAGGCCATATGGTCTCGGCAGGCGGAGGGAAGGCGGATGGCCGCCGCCGCCGCTAAAGAACGGGTTGAACACGGGAGTAGATTAGGACAACACACCAGAAGCACGCTGATGGTACCCGCAAAACTGGGAACTCAAGATAACATCTCGCAGGCCCAGGATGATTCTACATCTGAAAATACCCTTAATCTGCCTTCGACTCTGCTCCTAGATCGAGAGTCATGGACTGTTCAAGCATCGAAAGCGCATAATTCCTCCTTGCACATCTCATTCAAAGACCTTTCTGCCTGACCACTTGAGCCCGATGCTTTCATGTCCCAAAACAAGCACATACAGAATGTTCCTGCCGCTGATGAAAAGGGACAAGGTCCAGTCTGCATACGAAACGAGAGCATGCAGCCGGAAAAGAAGGAATCTGAGATTCCAGGTACAACGGATAATGAGGTCAATATTATTCCACAAGTTCCTATCGAACCAGCACCTGATGGCGGCTACGGATGGGTTTGCGCCACCGCCGCTGCTGTCATCAACGCCCATTCTTGGGGATTCAACTCGGCTTACGCCGTCTTCCTTGCCTATTACTTGAAGAACGACGTTTTCCCTGGAGGCTCACCTCTCGTTTATGCTTTTGTTGGGTCGCTGAGCATAGCATTCCTGTTGCTGGTTTCGCCAATAGCCACGATGGCCGTCGGAAAGATCGGGATCAGAAAGACGATGTTCTGCGGGGCGGTACTCGAGGCTGCGAGCTTCGTTTGTGCGAGCTTTGCAACACATATCTGGCACCTGTTTCTGACACAGGGCGTCCTGTTTGGGATGGGACTGGGCCTGCTCTTTATCCCAACTGCTGCTGTTGTTCCACAGTGGTTCACTCGGCGCCGTTCGCTCGCGAGTGGCATTTCACTTTGTGGTGCAGCCGCAGGTGGTGCAGTCTACTCACTCGCCGCCGGCGCCATGATCAGAAATCTGGGACTCAATTGGACTTTCAGAACCTTTGGAATCATGGGATTTGTCGTCAACACCACTTGTATCATTCTCATCAAGGATCGTAACAAAGCAATCGGGTCAAATCAATCTGCCTTCCAGGTTTCGCTGTTCAAGCGGGTGGAATACTGTCTCATGATCGGCTGGAGCGGTTTCACCATGCTTGGATATTTTGTGCTGATTTTCACGCTTGCAAACTACGCCAACGTGATCGGGCTAAACTCCTCTCAGGCTGCATCCGTCAGCGCTTTGTTCAATCTAGGTCAAGCCATTGGAAGACCGCTGATCGGCTACTTTAGCGACACAACGGGACGAATGAATATGGCGGCATCCATGACGTTTCTTGCAGGTCTCTTCCCCCTGGTCATCTGGACTTTCTCTAAGAACTACGGAGTCTTGATTTTCTTCGCTATTATAGAAGGCCTAGTTGCTGGAAACTTCTGGGCGACGTCTGGACCACTGATGGCGGAGGTTCTTGGTTTGAGGGATACAGCCGCTGGATTAAGCCTCATGTGGCTCAGTATGGTTTTGCCATCGACTTTTAGTGAGCCGATTGCCTTGGAGATTTTCACCAACACTGGAAGTTATATTGGCACGCAATTGTTTACAGGATTTGTTTATATCGCCGCGGCAATTTGCATGACACTGTTGCGTGGGTGGAAACTGGGACAAGAGGAGCTGCATCATCCAGTGGAGAATGGTCCGAGATCTGTTCAGTGTCACCGCCGAGTAGGCTTTGGAGTGATTTTTCGTCGATGCTTGCGGTGGAAGACTTTGTAGCGACTGTCTGAACTTATGCTTTACTGAATGACAATTGCAGGCACGATGAAGGGCAATTTCATGATTAACGCGTTCTTGAGGAGGACAAACTCTTGTCACACGCAGGCACTGATGTCAATGCGAAGGAATACCATTCAATACATATGCGACACGAGCTTGAGTGTACATCAGACAGCTAGGCGCTTGTAAATAATCTCTTTTGAGTTGTTTCAGGCGTTGCCTCAACCAAGTTACGATTTGATTCAGTCCTCTACATGCACTGTGCGACGATTCTGTTATAGCTTGCTGACTCCCTGTTGCTTTCCCCTTATCTTTCTTCTTTGCTCGGCAAACCTATCATATGGTTCGCCTTCAACCATTCTCTCCGCCAAAGCATCCATTGAAGTCATGATAGAAACCAACCGGGAATCCCTCACCGATGCATTCATCAAACTCTTTGCCTCCATCATACTCTTGCCAGAATTGACCTTTAGTTGATTTCTAAGGTAATTTTCGACATCGTGGTGAAAGGACTTTGCAGGAAAAACTCGGCTCACGAAGCCACACGATTGCAATTCTTGAGCGGTCATTTTGTTGCCAAAAATCATCAGATCATTGGCTCTATGCACGCCCATCGACTGTGCAAAGTTCACCGCCGATCCGAATTCAGGGACAAGCCCGAGTTCCGAGAATGGTGCGTGGATCCAACAGGTCTCAGATGCCAGGACAGTATCAGCTATGCCATAAAGCGTCAGTGAGAGTCGTTTGTGGGAGATCACTTTTCCAAGGTCTACGGAAAGTCACGTACCGACTCCGAGAAGCCAACCGACAGCACCGCCAACAGCAGGTCCGTTCAATGCAACGACAAGGACTTTGGTATGATCGACCATACTTCGAAGCAGTTCCAACACTGGAGCATAGCCAGCAATGACTGCGACCTTTTTATGGGCCGCAGTCGGCATGGCCGGTGGTGGGACAACTTCATTGACATCGGCACCGGAGGAGAACTATTCAGCCAGTCAGGAAAAGACAAAACAGAGCTTGTAGCTTGGAGGTAAGGGAGCACCAACGAATCGGCCCTCTCCAGTGATCACAGTGATTATGGTGTCTGGATTTTCATTGAGTTCCCTCAGAGCCACTACCAACTCCATGGTCATCTCGCCACACAATGCATTGAGTGACTTTGGTCGATTCAATTTGATCGTGCCAATTTTGTTCGAGGCGCTGACGTTGATGTTGGTGTACTGCATGATGAGGATCTAGTTACTTGCAGTGGCATATGAAGTATGAGATTGATGAGTGAGATTCTTGCGGACAATGTATATTAGCGGCGTTTGTGTGGAATGCGGGTTTCCGACAGCAGCTGTCTTCCAAGTGTTGAAAACTAGTCGACTGGCTGCAGAGCAGTCATTTTGTAGTATGCCGTGAAGTCTCGGCGACCAGAAGTGCAAGCCCAAGGTATGTCCAAGGTACATCCCATGTTATCGGGCTTCGCAGCACACATCATAAGGGACACTCTATTCCCCCTGCGGCAACGTAACTGGTGTGTCGGTGGTGCGATGAGCAGTCGTCCGGCCCGCCTCCCGCCTCGAACCAGGGTTACTGTGTTACCCGCCTCCGCCTCCGCCTCCGCCATCGCATCGGCCTCAAAGAAATCTACTTTGAGCAACTTGACATTTGGGAAGCTCCAACCACTCTTTTCTTTTGAGCTCAGGCTAGGTAGTGTCGAGGTAGGCGACACTAGGCAGCTCTAAGCGGGACAGGCTTGCAGAAGCTGAGTCTTCGTAGCAAGCATACACCTATGAGGAAGCTTGGTCTGCCAGCCTGCCATATCTAGTATGAGCAAATACACAAACACAGAAACGGAGCTACAAGACTACTTGACAAGCATTGAGAGACAGGTGTAAAATTAATGTTCATGCCAGTGCTGGCCACTCTATCCCCTGTTCAATATGTATAGCGGAACTGCGGATCACCCTCGATGATCTTCTCGCCTCTGTCCACCTTCTTGTTTGCTGAAACGAAATACACGGTCGTCGTGCACATGGATACAATACATAGCACCACAGCCACAAGACACGCGTAAAGCCCGGGACTGTTACAATTGTCAGTATTGGCAAATTTCTCCCGGCGATTTCAGATTTCACGCACCGGTATGCTGGAGCGTCCTGGGATCTGAAGACCAATGACCCAATGATACCTCCGATACCACCGGCTCCAACGATCGTGGCCGAGCAAAAAGCGCGCTTCCACTGTCCGAGAATGTTGTTGGCTTGATAGGTGAGGGAGAAGGGAATATTCGAGAAAGCAGGGCCGATGATGAAGAAGGCGCCAAAATATCGCACCCCGCTGGGTTTGGCGAAGCCGAGCAGACAAACACCGAGAATCTCAAGCGCACAGTTTAGTAGGAAGAAAGGCGCTCGCAGATTCCACCTGTCTGAGAGGAAGCCTTCCGTGACACCGAGGATGATTGCGAAGACGTAACACTCGCGCGCACAGTCAGTATGGGTACCCGGAGGCAGATCGAGACAGACATACAGGGGCATTGAGACACTGAGCAGCAGCAACAGAGAAGCCGAGCTCATTCCGGAGCACAATCGGCAAGAAATAAGCGGCGGAATAGTTGACGACTGAGGTCATGCAGAAGTTGATGGCGAAGAACCAGATCTTCCAATCCTTGGCATGGCTCAGGTAATGCTTGAGGTTGAACGGAGGTGTGATGACATCTCGGCGATCCAGGTTGATTCTGGTGACCACGAGCTGAGCTTGTTCTTCGTTGATGAACTTCCACGACTTTGGCGCC